ACTGAGAATGAGTATATCGAACAGAAAAAAAGGAATGGATAACCAGGTCAAACGCCCTATTTAACTTCAAAAAATTTTTCGCTTGGTTGCCTGGCTGGCCCGCTTGGTCACTCGATCGCTCACCCATTTGCTCATCCTGCTCACCCCGCTCACCCACGCTCTTGACAACATCACCCAAATCACCCGCACTCACCCTTCGTCTTAGCGTTGCTCACCCATAAAGCAGCGACTGAGAAAGGGCTCATATTCCACTCGGCCGCGTTCAATAGGTGGCTTAAGTACGGCTGAGCGGACGGGAAGCCCTGTTTTCCACACCCTGTGGTCGTATGTGCTCATTATTGTAAAGGGGTTGCCCATATTCTCAAGATAAAATTGGCCCTCGGGTACAGCAGTTTTCGAAATGATTTCTGACGCCAGCAAGGAATTGCGAAAGTGAATCAAGGCGGGAAGATGGAGGGAGTTTCTGCCTAAGGCGGCAGGTGCAAAGACAGAAACAAACACTAACAAATACATCAACCACATTAACCACATCAAATAGTGCAAAGAAGGATTAACCCTCGAGTTCTGGGAAAGTCATGTCAGTAAATACTTGGATATCATGATATTCTCTAAAGATCACTAACCATATCTTAAAGCACGAGGCATCATCCAATCCACTGACTCGAGGCCACGTCCGGAAAAAAGGACTCCCAATCGAAACCAGGCCCCAGTCCCTCCAAATCCTGGCTGCCGTCAATCTCCATCGCCGCAATAGCCGCATATTCCTCTGACGACATTGAGCTCTGCTCTCTGGTCTGAAGCAAGGTGTTGCAAAGCCCTAAACTGTCCCTGGCCCCCCGCGCCACCTCTACTTCTACGGTTTTATTTGCTTCAACGGCTTCAACCTGAGCAAGAATCATGCTGAGGAACATGTGGTTCTTCACATTCGTTTCACCTTGACGAATGCGATCCTCGGACAAGTCGATAAGATCCCGCACCACCTGCTTGAGGAATTCCCGGTATTGGCGAGTCCGGTACAAGGTACCATTCAGGCGCTGGGTTTCGACGTGCGCGAGAAGCTCGAGACTGATTGCGGAGGTAGCACTTCGGATGCCCTCTCGGAAAAGTCCCCCGCCCATCGCCATCAATCGTGCAAATTGGGGATTGGGTTCCGGAGAGACCAGCGCTAGGGCCGCATCGAGACTGAGCTTTAGTGAGTAATGGAAGAGCGGGTTGCTGCGCGCCTGGTTACTGAAATAATAATGCATTGGAATCATGAATCGACGGACAAGATAGTCCAGGAGATTCCTATGAAAAGGCGTGAAAGCATGACGATTGCACTCTTGAAGTGCGGTTATCAGCTCCGAGCTTAGAGCTAGAACTCGCTCATAAGAGTTCTCCGAGTGGAGTCCATTGAGAAGCTGAACGATGCGAAGACGGACGGGCAGCGACTGAATCAAGGCCAGCTGAATTGAAGTCTCCGTGGTGCTATCTCGCGGCAAGAATTGGACCGTCGACTCGTTTAGCTGATCGTCGCTAGCGTTGGAAGGTGGCTCGGTATCGAAATCGTCGAACGAGATTCGTGGAGGCATCCACGAGTCGAGGGACGCCTGAACAACAAACTCCAAGATTGTGTACCACAACCGGCGGCGCAATTCGGCATCCAGCACGGACCTCGTCGGAAGGTGTTTCGGGTCACGATGTAGTCCTATCTGCATGGCACTGTGAACTAGAGACCCCATCGAGATCCAGATCGTATCCCCTCCGATGGAGAAAAGTTGACGTGCAAGAATTGTCAGGCAAAATATCTGCAGCCCTGGGATATCCAATCGATCTTTCTCTAGGGGCCCGGAAAGCCAGGTCTGGGCTGCATATATCCATTGTTGAACGCGGTCAATGTTGTGGAGCACAGAAGCTCTGTCGCCATGGTCATAGAGGCTTGAGCCAATGCCAATCACAAGGAGAACCTTGAGGCGCAAAATCGGTGTAATCGCTTCTGGGTTATCCCAGTATTTGCGGTATTCTGCACGAAAAGTTGGGAGATGAAGTATTCGCTGCCTGTTTTCAACATCTCTTCAGTCACGGCTTCTTCTTACAGCTGGGCCCAGGTCAGAATGGCCGGCGATACGTACACTGATTCAAACGAGGACAGATAAAGCTCGACCATGGCATCTGCGGTCTCACGAGGAGGAGGCACCGATCCAAGGCCTGGAGGCAAAAGGCCTCGAGTGGGCCGACCGAGCTTGATGCTTCTCGCCTGAGTTTTGCATTTCCGCAAAAGATCACCCGCCTGGGTGACCAGAGTTGAGGCTTCAGGACTATGAAAGGATACCTGCCTGTTTTCCACTGACTGGCTCGCGATCTCACTATAACAAGCAATTACCGCGTTCAACTCATTGGCTGCGCCCATCCAACGACTTCGCCCCCAGTCCCTGGATTTGTTCAGGACGGATTGCCAATCATGTGTCCCTGCAGGCGATGGCTGAGAGCAAGAAGACCCTCCGCCAGCACCTAACGGGACATGAAGGTTGGGACTCTTGGTGACACGGTTTTCTGTAACGGATAATTCTTCGAGCTTTTGCACGCGGTGCAGCAGCTCATGCAAGGTGGCCCCATCACCCGGAGAGGGAGGTGGCCTAGCTTGTGTATCACTTGCTGGAGGTCCTGAAGAGGCTGCAGGCGCTCCAGCTGCTACCGGGGCTGTAGCTCCGAGCTTGAAGGTATGTTGGCCGGGAAGCCGAAGGGGTTCTCCTGAAGCGCTAGTTGTTGCTATGACTGGGGGAGGAGACAGAGGAGGGAGTGGAGGAGGGGGTGGGCTCGCGTTGGCAACGATTGGTGGAGAGCTAACTGGGGAGCCATGTGGCGAAAGGCTATAGGAGGTATATAAACAGGAGGTTCCATGACGTCGACACTGTGTACATGGACTCTTATGGTCACACTTGATCTTCCGACGACGACATTCCCGGCAGGCAAGGGCGGGTCTCAGACGTCGACGCGGTCGGGCCGGTTGTGGCTGGCTCTGCATTCAGCGCAAAGACCGATCTCCGATCTGAGTAGTACGTACATACAAGGAGATGAAGGGGAGATGCAGGAGGAGGGGGAGGGGGCGGGGAGGAAGAGGAGGAGAGGAGGCGGAGAGGAGGAGGTGGAACAATAACCCCGATTGACGGGAACTCCCGCTTATCTCCGTCTCCACCCGCTTTCCGCTATTCGGACACTCCGCATTTGGCCGAGTTACCCTAATTATGGCAACTGGTAGAGGAAAAGATTGTATATTTCTTGCAGAGTAAGTTTGAGCTAGTTAATTATCAATATGTATAATCTAATTCTCTATTTTATCTTCTCTTCTACCTACTTTTTCCACGAATGCTCTTCCTCTTACCTCTCCTCTCTTGGTGGTGAGCGATGCCATGGCTGTAGAAGATACTTGACTCGACAGTTCGATAAATCAATCCTATAGAAACTTCATCGAACATAGGCTTACAGTTTCCTCGATTTATGTGGGCCTAACTCATCGTAACAAATGCATGTTCGAAACAATTCGCGGACTATAGATTCTGCAGCTTACGCTTTTACCGCGAATAAGCGCGGGGACTTTTCTCTTTGAATGATAATTTCGATGGCGTCGGCCACTATTATCTTCGGACTTGGTGGAGACCTTGATGCTCCAAAATCGGCGACTTTTTTCTGGACATTTGTTTAGTCTCCGACTTCTCTCTTACAGCTGAGGTGGAAGTGGATTTGCCTTCATTGGGAATAATTCAATTCATTGCACCGAAACAACATTATACGATTATGAGTTTATGAACAAGCCATGTAACCTAGTTGCTAGGGTTCCCTGCTGCTTCATGCTCTCTGTCTGACTACTGTATTGCGGATCATCATGCATTACATTATTTCCTCTGTGTTGATCAGCCTTGTGGCCGCATTGCCATCCCTCCCGGCCATTCTCCCACGCGACAGTTCGACAACCAACGCGACAATCGTGTCTATCCCTTTGCCCGAACGCCTCCTATACCATAGGCTAGATGGAACCTGGGTGGAGAATATTGCGGTGCGGCCCAATGGAAATCTCCTCCTGACCACTTCCACACCGAACGGGACCGTGTGGCACGTTCGAGCAACCGTGGCTCAATGAGCCCGAAGTCGAGCTCGCCTACAACTTCGATGAATGGCACCAAAAGACACCGTAAGGATGAGTTATTTGAGTTAATCCGGCACGAAATTGAGACCGGCTCAGCTGGAGTTCACCTGATCTGAGCAATCCTGATTGCAAGGCCCCGAACTCTCGACTGCGCGCAAGCACCAGATGTAATTCTGGTCCATCTCAAATATCATATCCTGTCCCACACTATCTTCGGGAACGCCTCCCTCTTTAAAGGCGAACGTGCTATTCAAGAGTTGATACATGTCAAATTCGAAGGGAATCGAGCCTGATGTAGACTGAGATGATGACTGTTGCATAGCCTGCAGTTTTCCCTGGTCAGGGCTGTTCCACTGCAGGAGATCCGGTCCGCTGCTTCGACCAATTCTATCCTCGTTTACCCCCGTCGTTTGCTCATTTTCTGGTCTTAGGTATTGCTGCATCAACGTCCGCTTGTTCTTGCTGTCCTTTGGTCGTCCCAGCCTACCTGCGGGGCTGTAATTGCACCCTTTGGGATACCATTGGCAAGCGACGCAAGGGTTACCTCCGCTACAGCAGATCTTGGACTGACGGCAGGCGTCATGGGCAGCGAAATTCCGTCCTGGCGTCTTTGAATTCAGATTTCGCCCCATTGATCTTCCTCCGCGTTCAGATACCGGTCGAGATTGCGGCCAGTTGGCGGCAGCGCCAGCAGGACGTTCGGAAGCCATTTTCAAGTGCGAGCAAGATAAAGGCGGAGGATTGATGCAGAGATTATCGACTAAGAATTATAGATAGCGCGGGATATTTTTGCCTTCTTGAATGAATTACCCTGACCGGGCTATTTGCCCTTTACTACCCCACCCGCCAAAGAAAGGGTCGTACTGTGGAAGGATGGCGACCTGATATAAAGGCGGACATTTAGTGCTACTAGCCATACATCTGACGTGAGATGAGAGCCAACTATATGGAAATAATCACGCTAGATGCTGCGATGGCAGAGCCCGAACAGCCACCGATGCAGTTCCCGACCTGTGAGAACCCTAAGCACAGCTCGCCAGCCCGGTTAGCATTTCAAGACGCGGTCGGAGCAAGTATCACGCCGAGCAGATCAGTGCACTGAGTCTGCAAGTAGGAAGGCAAAATGTTACCCCTCATGGGCTGACATAGAGCTGGAACTTGGAGAGTCAGCACCAAGTAGCTAGTACGATTGCGTATTGTCGAAGCACTAAACATGCATGCGAAACACCGACTCGCTGAATTCCGCTAAGTCTTAGCGAATTTGTCGAACCCGTACACCCTTTCACAGGATGCCTTGCCCGATACAAGGTGTTGAAGCTGAACACTTTCAGGTCGAGGCACTTGTGGACAGATGAAGCTAGCAGAGGCATCATAGTACAAAGGTAGATTCGTAATAAACCATGCGACCTACATGGCATCGATACTAAACAATCAAGATACGGTCCGAACTGTCAGCTCGTTGACAAGATTTGGGGCTGCGAGGTGAGACAAGTACTTATCTGATTAAGAGCAGGGCTTACCTGGAAAGCTTGTCAGGAGTGGAAGGACTAATAGTATGAGGAGTAAGCAGCAAGTATCCATACAGGTCTCTGCGGGCGATAGTATAAGAAGTACTCCGAAGAGGTGGTGTAACAGTCCGAGGTGGTCGGCCGAGACACGGTGTCGGTCCTTGTTGCCTTTTCAGACGTCGGCCGAAGGCTTCGGCCGACGTTAAGTCCGCCATAGACCGAATGTATACTGAGCCCCTTCTTGAGGGCACCTTCACCAGACGGTACTCGTGGTTTATCTATATTGTAATAAATTCTCATACAAGGACCGTGAACACTAAGATTGATCTCTTACTACTGCAACTACACCTTGAGAGCCGCACTGGACAGGACCGCAGAGCATACTCTGACAACCATCCTCCAGAAGAAGCAGGCATAGTGGCCAGAGTCATGGCCCAGTCTACGCCATCGACTGTCCAAGAGCTCGCTCGTCGATTCAGTCGCGACACTCTCCCCTATTCAGACCACAAGACGGCATTTGGAAGCAATGATCCCGAATCTCCACTTAACCCATTCAGCAAGAGGTTCAATGCACGTGCATGGGCTACAGAAGTTGCTAAGTTGGCGGCAGACAGAGGCCAGGAGTATCGTCGCGTTGGTCTGTGCTTTCAAGACATTAATGTCTTCGGCTATAGCACCGCAACAGACTTTCAGAAGACGGTTGCAAACATCTGGCTTGCTTTGCCAGGGATGATTGCTCGTCGGCTCCTGCCCAGCGTCACTACTTCGGGGCAGACGCGAGTAAACATCTTACGAGGGCTCGATGGCATACTACTGCCGGGGGAAATGTGTGTGGTGCTAGGCCCCCCTGGTTCTGGCTGCTCAACTTTTCTTCGAACCATCTCTGGGGACCGCAATGGCATCCACGTTAACCAGGAATCGTATCTAAATTATCAAGGGATCTCGGATCGCGAGATGCACACAGCTCACAGAGGTGATGCGATCTATACGGCGGAGGTTGACGTTCATTTTCCTATGTTAACGGTTGGGGAGACCCTCACGTTTGCCGCTTCTGCACGCTGTCAAAGGGAACTGCCGGATGGCGTGACTCGAAAAAGGTAGGTCATTTGTTTGAGGCTTATGCCGACTAGGCACTTATCGCTGACCAACTTTCACCTATAGCTACTGCGAGCATCTGCGTGACGTCGTTATGGCCATGTATGGCATCAGTCACACCGTAAACACCAAGGTTGGAGACGAATTCGTTCGTGGGGTTTCTGGAGGCGAGCGCAAACGTGTCAGCATTGCCGAGGCCACCCTAGCATATGCGCCTTTCCAGTGCTGGGACAAGTAAGTGACAGGTGAAAGTCAAATCGGATCTCATGAACTGATTGTGTATGTCACAGCTCGACGCGAGGTCTAGACGCTGCCAATGCCGTCGAGTTCTGCAGAACGCTGCGCCTGCAGTCAGAATTATTCGGCCAGACCTGCGCGGTGTCGATGTATCAGGCACCCCAAAGCGCATACGATCTCTTTGACAAGGCTCTAGTTCTCTACGAAGGGCGGCAGATTTACTTCGGACCGGCTAAGCGGGCCAAGGAGTACTTCATCGATCTCGGCTTTGAGTGTCCAGCTCGTCAGACCACGCCAGACTTTCTCACCTCCATGGCTTTCCCTGCAAAGCGCGTCGTTCGCGCGGGATGCAACCCGCCTCGAACAGCAGACGAATTTGCAGCTGCCTGGAAGAGGAGCGTGGAGTATCAAGCACTACAGGAGAGCATTGAGCTTTACAAGGCCCAGCATCCAATCGACGGCCCCGACACTGTCGCCTACAGACAGCTGAAGCGGGCTTGTCAAGCCAAGGGGCAACGTCTCAACTCGCCTTATCTTCTCAGCTACTCCCAGCAGGTTAGGCTGTGTATGTGGCGAGGATGGAGACGCTTCTGGGCCGACCCTGGTCCCTCTGTGTGGGTGATGGTTGGGAATGTGATAATGGCCTTGATCATGTCCTCCTTGTTCTACAACCTAGACCAGACGACGGCCTCATTCTACGGGCGGGCCGTCGTCCTCTTTATGGCTATTCTTTTCAATGCATTTTCCTCAATTCTTGAAGTTATGACTCTTTATGCTCAACGACCGATCGTCGAAAAGCAAGTCCGCTACGCTTTCTACCACGCTTCTGCCGAGTCGTATGCTTCGGTCCTGGTCGACTTGCCCATGAAGATCACAGGCACGGTCTCTTTCAACCTCGTGTTTTATTTCATGACGAATCTCAATCGAACCCCCGGCAACTTCTTCTTCTACCTGTTTGTGGTTTTCTTGAACGTTCTAGCCATGTCGGGGGTCTTCAGATTCATGTGAGTGGAATCTCCCTCAGGGATGCCTTACACAAGCTAAGAAAATATCAGTGGCGCTGTCTCTCGAACAGAACAACAGGCAATGGTCCCCGCGTCCATCTTAATGCTTGCATTGCTAGTTTTCACCGGCTTCGTGGTCCCCATTCGTTACATGCTGTCATGGTGCCGTTGGATCAATTACCTCAACCCTGTCGCTTACGGGTACGAATCGCTGATGGTCAACGAATATCACGCGCGGAACTTTACCTGTTCTTCATATATCCCAAGTTACAACTCTGCCGGTAGCACAAGTGTTGCCTGCAATGCGGTAGGTGCGGTGCGTGGCCATGACTACGTGAACGGGGATGCGTATATCAATTCAGCCTACAGCTACTACCATGATCACAAGTGGCGCAACGTCGGGATCATTATCGCCATGGCGATCTTCAACCACTTGGCTTACTTCCTCGCGAGTGAGTACGTCACAGCCAAGAAGTCCAAAGGTGCAGTTCTTGTCTTTCGTCGTGGGTTCGTCCCTCGATCTCTGCGCTGGGGTAAGTCAGATGCCGAAGCATTGCCCTCAGGCCCCGTGACGACGTTACTTGAAAAGCCCAGCAACCACTACCGACCCAGCCACGAGCCGGCATTCCGGGGCTCGAGAGGCGTGTTTCACTGGAGTGATGTATGTTATGACATCAAAATCAAAGGCAAGCCCCGCCGCATTTTGGACCATGCGGATGGCTGGGTGAAGCCAGGCACCTTGACAGCCCTCATGGGCGTATCCGGGGCTGGTAAGACCACTTTACTGGACTGTCTTGCGGACCGCCGCGCAGGGGTGGGAGAGTTGACTGGAGAGATGTTGGTGGACGGAAGGCTGCGTGATAAGAGCTTCCAGCGCAAGACTGGTTATGCGCAGCAGCAAGATATACATCTGGAGACGACCACAGTGCGGGAAGTGAGTTCGCCGTGAGATTTAGGTGTGGGGTTCAAGAATGGATACTAACTCCCCCGTCCGACAGGCCCTTACCTTTTCTGCTCTTCTTCGCCAGCCAGAGAGTGTTCCAGAAGCGGAGAAGCTTGCTTATATTGACGAGGTGATTGAGCTTCTTGACATGCAGGAATACGCAGATGCTGTAGTTGGCGTACCTGGGGAAGGACTAAATGTTGAGCAACGCAAGCGTCTGACGATTGGGGTTGAGCTCGCTGCGAAGCCACCTTTGCTCCTGTTTATTGACGAGCCTACATCAGGGCTGGACTCTCAGACCAGCTGGGCTATTCTCGACCTCCTCACCAAACTCTCCAAGGCCGGTCAATCGATCCTTTGTACAATTCATCAGCCTTCTGCCATGCTATTCCAGCGCTTCGACCGTCTGTTGCTCCTTGCTGAAGGGGGGAAGACGGTGTATTTTGGTAGGTGTGCTTGTTACTCAGGGCTAACTTCAAGCATGCGCTAATCTCACATAGGTGACATTGGACCCAACTCCCAGGTCCTGGTAGACTACTTCGAGACCAACGGGGCAAAGCCTTGTCCGCACGATGCCAATCCAGGTGAATGGATGCTGGAGGCCATTGGGGCTGCTCCTGGCAGCGAGTCGGAAGTCGATTGGCACGAAATCTGGCTCTCCAGCCCCGAGTACCGCAACGTTCGGGCCGAACTGGCGCGACTTCGGTCGTCCACCACGACTGACCCTTCGGTCAATGATGATGATGACTCGGCTTCGTATCAAGAGTTCGCCGTCTCTACGTGGTATCAGTTCGTTCTGGTCGCCCAGCGCTCCTTCAAACAGACCTGGCGCACTCCTTCGTACATTTACTCGAAGCTCTTGCTCTGCACTGCCACCAGTCTGTTCATTGGTCTGGTCTTCCTGGATTCGCCGCTCAGTATCCAAGGACTGCAGAACCAGATGTTCGCTATCTTTGAGCTCATGAGCATCGTTGGGCAATTGGCGGATCAACAGTTCCCACACTTCATCGCGCAGCGTTCGCTCTACGAGGCGCGCGAGCAGCCAGCAAAAACATACAGCTGGAAAGTATTCATGCTGAGCCAGATTCTGTGCGAGACCCCCTGGTATACACTGGCCTCAGTGCTCATGTGGGCGCTGTTCTATTTCCCGGTCGGGTTCTACCGTAATGCCGACGCAGCCGGTGAGGGCACAGAAAGAGGCGCGCTGATGTGGCTCCTCTTCTGGGTTTTCCTGCTGTGGGTGGCAACCTTTGCGCACCTGTGCATCTCGTTCGCAGGATCGGCCGATGATGGGGGCAATATCGCCAACTTCATGTTCGTACTAGCCTTCTTCTTCTGTGGTGTGCTTGCATCGCCAGACCAGATGCCCCGGTTTTGGATCTTCCTCTATCGCGCCTCGCCCCTATCATACTACGTGTCCGCTGTGTTATCTACCGGTCTCGCCAATGTGAATGTGACATGTGCCAGTAATGAGTTCACCGTGCTGGATCCTCCGTCCGGCCAAACGTGTGGCGAGTACCTGGCTGAGTATATTTCCACGGCCGGGGGTTACCTGCTAGACACAAATGCCACGAGCGACTGCCAGTATTGCAAGGTCAAAGAGACCAATAAATACTTGGCAGCAATTCATTCCCGTTACAGTACTCGTTGGCGCAACTTTGGCATCATGTGGGTGTACGTCGCCTTCAACGTGTTAGGGGCCTTGGTTTTGTACTGGCTGGCCCGAGTGCCCAAGGCAAAGAAGGAGCAGAAGTCGAAACCACAGTGACTGTCAGACTGACAAGAGTCATGCCACGAGCAGGGTCCTCCGCTGTTTCCCTCAGCTCAATTTTGATGCCACATCTGTCGAGATGGCAAAACGCGACCGTTGGGGACGAATAGGTTGTGGTTGTAGATTGATCCCACTGCCACCTGAATGGAATATAACCATTATTTCCCCTGTGCTTTTATTTTCCTTTTGTCAATTCTGCAAATGTCCTAGATCTCAACTCTTCTCATTGTTTGTCTTATCGAGAATTTCTTTCAAACCTCAAGGCGATTGGAACTGGTTGGGCTACTCATGTTCACGCCGGGTTAGGGTTGGCCTCAACAGAAATCATTCATTCGAGCTACAATGAGATTCATGGAACTATAAACAGCTATGGCGACTCTGCCTTGCATCCAGCCTTTCATTTCCCCAAAATAATCACCGGTGTAATAACGAGAATCATATTTCTAACTCTAACTATCATCTCAATTTTATGTAGAGCCGTAATCCTCTTGTACTAGACCTAGACCAGCTATCAATAATCTACTAAGAATCTATTAGCAGTATATTAAAAATTAATGATTATGAACGTAGCAGTTCACTACTCGAGATACTTCTCTATATATAAATTATAATAGATCTAGATTTTAAAGTTATAATTTAAAAAACTATGAATTATGATAATAATGTAGTATTTTTGGCTTGCTTAGGGATTCCACTCTTTGATTACTCTACTACCTTCTATATTACCTTAGTAAAAGATTTCTTAGATCTCTAACTTCTAGATGCTGTGAGGTTTCTCTTTTCAGTTAATTTTCTTATTATATAAAGTAGTCTTACCTGCTAGCTTACCTGAAAAAATCTATCTATCTTCTGGCCGCGTTTAAGCTATACGCCGGGAGGTTAGTAGCTGCCGTACTAAGTGAATTAACATTGGCTTAAGCTTTTAGGCTGCGGTCGAGTTGGTTACCCAAATAAGTTTAGTCTACGGGAGCTGAGCCCTCGCACTGCAAGCCTTAATCGGCAAAGCTTGCTGATGGCCCGCCGGGCAGTGCTTGGTTCATTCATCCTTCTATGCGATAATTACCGTAGTTGAGAGGTGGGCACCGGGTTATAAAATGCCTACAAAGCCTGCATCCTAGTTTCAAATTGCAACCTTGTTCATCATCACTTAATATCCCCCAAAAGAAGTAGGAAAACTAGACTACTACAACCAAACATGGGCCGTTCAGACCAAGGAGGTCCCATCGGGGCCATCATCCATGGAGTCACCTCAGGTATCGGTTTCGCTACCGAAGTCCACAGTTACAAGAAAACCAAGAAAGCTGCTCGGAGGGAGCGCGAGCAGCAGCAGCAGCAGCAGCAGCAGCAAGAAGAACAATCAGAGCAAGAATCATCGCATTCTCCCTCCCAATTCCCCCCTCCCTACTCAGTCACCCCGCCCGGTGACCAGAACAAAACCCCAGACGAGACGACAAGAACACTCTCACTAAGCCAGTCCACCCCTCCAGCAACCGACATCGAGCGAACCTGGCACCTCGACGAAGCCCAAGAGCTCATCGCCGAAGAAACCGCACAGCCCCGCACGAGCAAGCAAGGAACCGCCAACCCGGACAAAGTCATCGCCGCCTTCCTCCAACGCCGACTCCCTCCCCCAGATGGCGCTATGCACCTCTCACCAGTCAGTAAACTCACCTACCCAGTGGCGATCCCCCAGCGCCGCCCCAAGGACAAAAAGCGCGGCTTCATCCGCGCCTACGCGCCCGACCTGCAAGCCGTCGGCATCGACCAAGACACCTGGCTGGACATGATCGAGACGCTCAACGAAGCCAGTCTCGCCAACCCTTGGATCAATGCGATCAATCTTGCCTCGATAGCCGCTGCTCCGCTGCCGTTCGCTATATCCACCGCCATCTCGATGGCGATCATGGTGGCGACGGATGTTGCAATCGAAGCGCAGAGCCGGTATCGGTAAGTGCAACACCCTCCAATTGCCTGTATTAGCCAACTAATAACCCATAACATGGGAACAGCCAAAACAAAGCCCTAGACAGATTGAACCAGGAATTCTTCCAGCCCCGCGGCCTCTACTGCCTCGTCATGACCTGGGATGCCACCGCCGCGGACGACGCCCGCATCAACATGAACATCAACACGACCGTCCAGAACACAATGGATAGCCAGGGTCGCATGTCGCATAAGTTCCAATCGTCGAATGGCGTCACGAACGGGATGGAGTCGATGCAGACGGCCGAGCTGGTCTTCCCCGGACTGGACTTCCTCGCGACGGCGACTCAAGATGAGCAGGCGGGGTTCAAGAAGAAATTGGCGCGGGGCAAGATGTTTGTGGATGATTATCTGGATCGCAAGGCGCAGGCGAAATTCGTGCGTTCAATCCTTGTTCCTTATCTTACTTTCGTCGGCTCTTACTTACCACGATTACAGCTCGCCGAGAACCCGGATAGCTATCTCACCCAAGCTGGTAAGCCGAAATTCGCGTCCAAGTATGCCGATCCCACGCATCCGATGCATAGTGGGCTGTCGGGGGGTATGCGGGGAGCACACCGACAACAGGGTCGGGGCTTGGGCTCGAGGGGGGACCTAATCGGCCGGAGGATAGAGGGGAGACGAGGTGGTGGCGGTGGTCTTCTCGGCCTGGTCAATATGGCTGCGCAGGCCGTGGCGGACCGTGGCAGCAACAATAACAGCAACAGCAACAACCACTCCAACCCCCCAGCCCCATATGGCAGCTCTAACCCGCCCGCGCCGTACGGTGGATGTGATTCCGCCCAGCATAACACCGACGGTGAGTCTAGACCCCCGGTCGCATACGGTGGATCCAACTCTAGTTATTATGATAACTATTACAACGAATATCCGGAACAACAGCAGCAGCAGCAGCAATATCGTCGCACACGTGCAGGCCGCGGTGGCGGGCGGGGTCTCAATCTCAAGAATCTGGTCAGTTCGGTACGTATATCTCACGCTTCGGTTTCCTGTCGGTCATTCGCTGACTTGCATGCAGAAAGTCCTCTATCTGATGGTCGTCAACATGCCGACGGAGGAGGAAATGGCTCAAGCCCGGAACTTGACTGCTGGATGGAATGTCCAGAGGCAGCAGGAGCACTTTTAAGGCTTAGAGGGTGACGATGATAGGCAGGCGCTAAGACATGAGCTTTATGATGGAGTTTAGGAGTATATAAATTCTGTTTATCTTTCTCTGTCGCGGGATAATGACATCGTCCATACATCTATCGGCCTGGTAGAGAATCGGAGCTGGGTTCTTCGATCTTCTTCGCCCATTGGCGTCAGAAATAAGTTTAAACCCAGCATTCGAAAACCAGGGCCGACGACGCAGCTGCTGGCTGGTCATGCGCGTCACCAGCATCTTGACGAGATAACCTACTTATATCGAGCCAGCGAGAGGTGAAGATCTGGAAGATACAGTGGGTCATTTTATCTACTCTAGCTGCAGGTGTAAGCTTTGGGCTCCCTCCCATTGCATTCAGCACTCGCACTAGCCTCTCCGGCCTTCCCTTCAATCCCGAACAGTACTTGCTTACTGAACACAACGTTTTCAGCCACCCACAACTCAGCGGGATCTGGGGATCGCTCTTGATAGTCCTTGGTATCATGTATAATTTCTCAATTTCAACCGGACTGCGATGACATTCCAGGCTCAACGGGGCGGGTGGGTTAAAGATTGACTGTGTATTAAATGAATTCGGAATAGTGATTGCGGTCGTTTTGCGGACCGGACATTATATAGTAGGGCTGTGTCCATGGACTGTACAGCGATGCCGTTCTTCAACACTATCAGCATCGATCCTTCCCCCTACCCGGAATAAAAAGCTGGTCAGCGTCAGCTGTATTAGCTCGCCTGAGCCACAGAAGACTCGGCTTCTCTTCAGTTCTCTCCCTGTTTAGAACATGTGGTATACGGATACCTGTAAATCTACTACAATATTATTAGAGCACTGAAGTACATGAAGAGATGGCAGTTTTGATCATTGGGTCCCTGTCTAATAATGTAATGTAAGAGCCCCAATATTCGATGTTAGATCCAGAGTCTTCATCTTCTCACCATTAAAAGCTGTGGTTGCGAGTCACCAAGATAGTAGTTCTTTGATGAGAAAGAGCCCTCTGTGCCTTTTCTTCGCCGCTGCCCAAGGGCCTGAGCGTGTTGGGCGACATCGGCGGTGATCAGCCACTAGTTCCTGGCGAGTTCCTGGCCACTCTCATAATGTCAGATCCTCAGTTAGTAATATCTTGGAATGGCTGACAAATTGAATTTACCCTAGGGCTGGGTTCGGGAATGAGATCGATCCCGAACTCCGGCAGTGATTGATAAAGCACAGTACTTAACCGTAGATTTCCGGACGGACAAGTCCGCTGGAGACCAACACTCAACCACAATGCCACCTTTTATGGAGAACCCTGCTCTTCCATCTGGCTCAAGAGTCTTGGTCACCGGCGCGAATGGGTTCATCGCGTCGCACATTGTTGACCAGTTGCTCGAACTCGGCTACAACGTCCGCGGCACTGTGCGAGCACCCAAGCCGTGGCTGGATGACCTGTTCCAACCCAGACACGATGTCACTCGTTTTGAGAGCGTGATTCTAGCAGACATGAATGATGCGGCCGCTTTAGATGGAGTCTTACAGGATGTGTCGGGCATCATTCACGTGGTAGGGACCATGCACGATCACCAAGTCTGCACTGATCTGATATTGGCAGGCGTCAGATGTCTCAATGAGTCCAGACTCGAGTGTCATCGCCAAGACAGTCACCTCAACCCAGCTATTGCTGAAATACGCGGCCAGGCACCACTCTGTGTCTCGGGTGGTGTTGACCTCGTCCTCGACGGCCGCAGTCTTGCCCCAGCCCAATCGGCCAGATATCACTGTGACAGAAGGTCAGTCAGCCAGCCGCGTCTAGCATCACGCGGATCTGGAGCCAGCTGACTCTTGGCGCGACGCAGACACCTGGAATGACTATGCGGTGGCCTGTGCCTACGATTCCACAATTCCCGCCGCTCAGAAGCCGTACCTCGTCTATGCAGCTTCGAAGACGGAAGGAGAACGCCAGGGCTGGCAGTGGATTGCCGACAACAAGCCCGGTTACGTGTTCAACACCGTCTTGCCGGGGACAAATGTACGCAAACTACTTGATGGGACGTAAAACTGCCAGTCGGCGATGCTGAAGTCACCCACTCGCATAGTTTGGCAAGATCTTGCACCCGAATATCGGCGGCTCCACGATGGGCCTTGTCCGTGCACTGCTCGCTGGCGACTCATTCCCTATAAAGGCCATTCCACCGCGTTTGTTTCCCATGACCCCGGATATACTCAGACTGAGACTGATTCCAGGCGACTGTTAGAATGGTTCGTCAATGTCGAAGACACGGCGCGCCTGCACATCACCGCGCTCCTCGATCGCACGGTGGCTTCGGAGAGGATCTTCGCATTTGCGAACCCCTTCAATTGGACTGACGTGCTCGAGATCCTGCACAAAAATTCCAATGGGGATTCCGATCTGCCGCCGATTCCGGAAAATGAAGCTCGGGATTTGAGTCAGGTGGTCCCGTCGCGGAGGGCAGAGCACCTACTTGTTCAGTCTTGGGGGCTTTCGGGGTGGACTAGTCTGGAGCACAGCGTGCTTGCTTAGCACCGTGTTGTCACTCAGGGAATTCATGGTTAATGACTGGTGAACCTTTCCGCAGAATCAGGCTGTGAGTTTGCGTTTCTCAGTCTGGGGAGCTCCCGCTAGACCACAAGACTACCGTCCATAGCCGGTCTATGTCCGGGCAAGATAGAAGCCTGTTAACCCTCGGCCTAGAAATGGATTCTAAGCTCGTGTGCCTTGAAGGTTCTCTACAATCCATTGCTGCGCTTCTCTAGAGTAGTGCATACTGGCTGAGCATAATAGTCTATGCCCATCATTTTGGCACCGCACAATTCCCACCGGATTGGTCATTCCCATTCAATCGGCCACTCCCACTCTGATACCCATTCCGATTCTCCGGCCCATCAACATCCAAACGATCCCCAAACTGCTCCGCAATAGCCACCATCTCCCGCGCCATCTGGACAGCAACCAGCTTAGTGCGCCGATCCAACGCAGTGACGGTAGTCACCCACCGCAACCGCTGAATCCAGAACGCCCAGCGCAGCTTCGACCAACCATGCAGGCCCTTCCAGATACTGTGATCCCACTCGCGGCGCATAGGTCGGCCGTTCCGCTGATAGAGCTCTTTACCCAGATACTTGATCCATTGATAGGCGCCGGGGATCTTGCCGTTGAGCGTGCGGACGTCCATCTTCAAAATCTCCAGGTCCCGGAACTCCTCGTACCACTCGTCGTCCGCGCCGTCGTCGTACTTCTCGATGTCCGGGTGGTGGTAGATCTCCCAGTCGGCGTTCTCGAGCGTCTGGCGGATGATCATGCCGCCTTCTTCGGCCAGGAAATCGGCGAGTGAGGGGACGGGTAGGACAGCGGCCAGTTTCGCGCCCCAGGCGCATTCGTTCACCCATTCTTGCCGTATGGTGGTCTTGTCGGGGTCTGTTGGGAGGGGGTCGGCAACTGGATACCTCATGACATGACAATAACATATCAGTCATTGATCTACTTTTGAGGCGTAGGATAAGCTGTAGATGAAAGATTTACATACAATCAAAGCCAAATTCAAGCCAATATGACCCGAAGTCCGGCAACTGGTGAAAAACCCCGTTCTTGTCGGGCAACTTGGACAACTCCACAATCAGTTCGACTAGACGATCGTTGAACTTCCCCAGTCGACGCACTGCTCGCATGTGCGTTCGCCAAATCTCACCGCAGTCGGGGATATAGATTGGTTCGAGGGTAATCTGGCGCAGCAAAGGGGCTGCTGCCTGGCGAGCGACTTCGGAGACAGGAACAGTGGGGTCCATGAACAGCGTGCGAAAGGCTGCCAGGACTTCCGGCTCGGGCGGGTATTCCCTTTCAGCTTCATCGGTCAGGAATTTATTATGGTCATCGTAGTCAGACGTGCGAGACATGTTTCTGGTTTAGTTCGGTTGGAAAGTCGACGAGGTTCTGGGGGCGGTGCAGTGGGAGGTGGTGAGATAGAGAAGAGGAGAGGAGAGGAGGATTTGAACAGGGATACTTTGGGGTATCGGAAATGAGGACCATTCACTGGATTTATAGGGGACCGAATTGGCTGCCTGGTAGGGTAGTTTGAGGCCACAGCCACGGTTACCTTGCAGGAACCGTTCGGTACATCCCGGTTCTTGTCTGCATTAGAGTGTATTAGTGCTCACGTTAGATTGGACCATTCCACAGCCCTAGCTGAGGTGCCGGTCTAATGTCTCACCCCAATTGAACCTTGTCAATGCGATTTAACGCATCTATCTGACGAGGTAACCTATGCTGTGTGACTGGAAAGCTTACATATTGACATTATGGCCCCTCGTCCCGGTCCAATACATCCTCATGTCAATGCAAACATGTGGCGAAGCTTTATGACGGCCAACACCCGGAGCAGCACTACTATCCATGTCCATGGCTTATCCATCGTTTCTTCCCAATCGTGCTCGAGCTTTGTAAAGAGCTTTGGGTGTTGGTTTCTGGCCCCCAGCGCAGGCATCAGTTTACACTGAAAATGGAAGCAGTGATATTACGGCTGAATGCCCTATATCATCACAAGTTGAGCGAGCACCAGGAGTATTTATACCTTCATACTCTCATCCAGAGGAGAAGATCCATATAGCATCAACGTATTCAGCTCTTTTCGCATCCGTTTTCAACTCGAATTCCATTCTTCTCGTCCCTTCCCAATCCAAGTCTTTCCCACCCAGAATGCTTTCTCAATTCAAGGTCCTCTTCACTCTAAGCCTCTTTTTGGCTGGCCCAGCATTCCAGGCTCTCGCCTACCCCTACCCAGGTGCCCATCTGGATGACGGGGAAATGACCAATCTGTTCATCCGCGGCGGCACCTCCAGTCTGACCGTCAGGGTCGGAACACAGCCCACCAGCGGCCTGACATGCCCGGCGACAAACAACGGGGAGAATCGAGATTACGCGGAGCACGCCTACACGGCCGGGCAGATCAAGGCCGCCATGACCGAAGGCGCAACGCTGGCTGCCAAGGGCAAACAGCTTGGGAAGAGTAAGTTTTCCTCACTCTCTACCACTCTCATATCGAAAGGTGTGAAAGGGGCCGCGCTGAGCACATGTGATCCCCAATACAACAGGTCTCTACCCCCACAATTACAAAAACAGAGAAAGACTCCCCTTTACGTGTGGAAAGCACAAGATGGAATTCCCTATTCAGACTGATGGCAAGGTCTACGATGGCGGACTCACCGACAATATCCCGGACCGCGTCATTTACGACTATTCGAAGGACAGCAAGGACTTCAAGGTGACCTTTTGTGGTGTCATTCGCCACGGTCCCACGGAGAAGTTTCTGAAGTGTACTTGAGTTCTTACAACCCGTGCACTAAACCTGCAACGGGGATGATGGGTTACCGGTGATGGGAGAGGGGGCCCAGGGGGCCATGCGTTGAGATGGCACTCTTCTTTCTTGACTAACTACTTCTTCTCTGGATCTGTCGACTTCGGTGGGGATTGCGTTTATAAATGATGTATGAGCAAAGAATGTAGTTATAGATGAAGTGAGCTTCGCTGAAAAACAGCCTCGGTGGGTCCATATCGCTTGGCGCATTCTGATTGGCTGAACCACGCTCATAAATATGAATAAATTTCTACATAATTCAGCGAAGGGCCTGAGTACCCGGGGTAGGGTTGGAGTAAACAATCGCCAGCCCCTTTACCCGCGCGCAACCCCCCAAAAAGCGTTTCAGATCTCCAATCCTTCCATCGTAAATCCACTGCGGAAAATCACACCGGAAGAAAATGGTCGAATACGATTTCGGCGGACCGTAAGCAACTTGCTCCTGCTCCCTTGACTTGTGCTTACGCCTCCATAGTCTGGGTGCCGCGGCCATCACTTTTGGCCTGCCCGTGCTGCTCTACGCGTTCGCATTCGCTTGCAACGACGTTTCTGGCTGCCCAGTGCCAACTCTTCTTCAACCTCGCGACTTAACCTGGGAGAAGCTGAAAGCAGACGCAGGTCTATTGAATGTCAGTCTGTCAAGTTTCCTTTCCTGGAAAGTGACAAGTGTCACTGTCGCCTATTATGTCTTCGGTCTATTCATCTGGAAAATCCTTCCTGCGAAAGAAGTTCATGGAACCAAGTTGGTGCATCATGATCGCTCGCTTCTGTATCGATTCAATGGTATCGACACCTCCTCAATATTCAAAATCAACGCAGGCTAATGATCACCTCAGCGTTCTCGGCGAGTATGGTCACCTTGTCAATCTGTGCGGCAGGCACTTTCCTCCAGGGGGCTGAGTTCCCCGCATGGACTTTTATCGCCGACAACTACGTGCAACTTCTGACGGCAAACGTCCTCATTTCGTACGCCCTATCTATTTTTCTCTACCTCAACAGTTTCACTGTCGACACCAAGTATCCCAACCGCGACCTTCGAGAGCTGGCTGCCGGGGGTACGACAAGCAACCTCATCTATGATTTCTACATTGGGCGTGAGCTCAACCCCCGGGTCACTCTGCCTCTGCTTGGAGAAGTCGACATCAAGACCTGGTGTGAAGTTTGCCCCGGTCTGACCGGGTGGATCCTACTGGACCTAGCATTCGTAGCCCAGCAGTACCGCAACTATGGATACATCTCCGATAGCATCGTCTTCACGACTGCCGTACAGGCATACTACGTCCTAAGCAGTCAGTATCACGAGGCATCCATACTGACGATGATGGATATAACGACAGATGGGATGGGCTTTATGCTTTCATTCGGCGACCTGGTTTGGGTCCCCTTCCTGTACTCTACGCAAGCTCGTTATCTCGCGGCCTTCCCCGTGCATCTCGGCTGGCCAAGAATTCTCGCCGTCGCCGCTGTTTTCGTACTCGGCATCTACATCTTCAAAGCGGCGAACAATCAGAAACACCTGTTCCGGACTCAGCCAGAGCACCCAGCCGTGCGGCGTTTATCCTCCATCCAAACCAAGCGCGGAACCCGTCTCCTCACAGCTGGGTGGTGGGGTCTTTCCCGGCATATCAACTACTTCGGCGACTGGTTGCAGGCTTTGCCATTTAGCCTCCCCACGGGGCTTGCGGGATACATGATTCTCCCGGCCGGGGCTGCATTGGGCTCGGCCGATTTCTCCGGATCGCAGTCTCGGACTATGCTAGACGGGCGAGTAGCGGTTCAAGGACCTGCAACTAGGTGGGGGATGATCTTCACCTACTTCTACGTGCTGTACTTCGGAGTCTTGCTCATCCATCGCGAACGCCGGGACGATGCCATGTGCGCGAAGAAGTATGGCGAGGATTGGAAGACGTACAAGCGGACCGTGAGATGGAGGATTTTGCCTTGGGTTTACTGAGATCCGTTTTACTGAGGACCGTACGAAGAGATGGAGAGGCAGGTCCTGATGAAAACACCACGTCTTTTCCCAGATGTGATGGACTGGGAGGAATACGACTGGAAGTGTTATTTAGGAATAAATAGCCAAAGGATGGATATTTGACCCACCCCAATGTCTGGGGGCCTTGTGAGTCATGCTGTGCCAACTAGCATGCCAGCAAATGCTGTTTAACTTAGTTGCAAGGTTAAAGAAATAACACCATACAAACCACATCACAGAAGCCCCGCTTCCACGAATTACCTCATGTTGATGAGGAGTCACAGCACCAAGCCCATCACCAAGAGCCTCATCCTATTAGTGCTCAGAGTCGCTGGTTCGAGGTCACGAGGGACATGCAGGCCCAGCCAGACCAACAAGACAGCTGACCAGCCTTTCACATCACTCTGTTGATAAAAGCTCGAAAGGTTTCAGGACATTGCAATGGAACCCTAACCGACCTTCTGGATACACCTTCACCGCGCGCGCGATCCCTTGCGCTGAAGGATCTAGAAGAACGGTAGATAGCTGCTTATCCTTTTTTAGCATAATTTCCCGCTCTTGTACATACCGGACATATCGAGCGCTCTCCTCGAGGAGCCCTATTCGCTCGGTATCCTCCGGCTGCCTGTCTTCCGCATCTTCATCCGCATAATCCAGCGCACGGGGCCCGACGACAATAAACAACGGTGGCTCGAAAAGCTCCCAGGGGACGGTAGAAGCGCCCTCCCAGTCACTCGTACCAATAATACGAAACCTTTCATCCACGATCATATTGCTGTGATACAGATCCCGGTGATACAACGGGAAAGGGTCTTTGTCGTTCGTTGCGATCTTCCTCGCGATCGACTGTAGCCTGCTTGGGAAGTTGTTGACCGAATTGAGAATGTCTGCGGCGAGATCGTCTGGGACACGTTTCCGAATGGACTTCTCCGACGCAGGAAATTTCGCCTTCTTCGCCCAAGCAATGAAGAAATCGGTTGCTGTTGCGAAAGGTCCCCCGATTCCTGGCAGCGGCCCGACCTCGAATGAATTGTCCTCCCGTCGGACCACGGTGCCGATTTTGGGGACCCTGATCGAGGCGAGTTGAACCTTCCGGAATGGTCAGTCATGGGTTGCAGAACATATTCAGTTCAATCTGGATCTGGCATACCTGAATCCCGGCGACTTCTCGGTAGAAGGTGTCTCTTCTCTCCGGCAAGATGCTGCCATGGTGCACGTCGTAGCCGCCATCGGCATCCATCGCGGAGGAACCGGGAAGAAACCCCATCAGGGTGAAGGCCGCGCGCACCGGGTTCGTATCGTCAACCTTATAGCCAAAAACCTGCGGGACCGGGATTGTTGTTCGAGCGCGGACAAGCTCCATGGCATCAATCTCGGCGCGAAGACCGCTGGCCGTGGCCGGCGTCGCAGGCTCGAGCTGGATCCGAGCAATCCACTGCGTATCCTCAAAATTCACGAGTCGGATTAAATGTACTCCGCCCATTGTGCTGTCCGGAAGAAGGCTACAGGGTTTACCCTGGTTGATCGAGGACGCGTACGTACACAGCGCGTCCCAGTCCACCCTTGCCACGCATGCATCCCGCGCATGCTGACTGGCAGGATGGCGAAGGTAGTAATCACTGTCCTTCCAATTGAGAGTAAGACTCGTGTCCATGATTGATGTTGAGAGCTTTTGTTGTCGAGAACCTGTTACGGGGAAGGCACTTTCGATAGAAAATGTTTTGGGGGGAGGAAGGAGGAGGAGCTAAGGGCGTCTGTCCTAGGGCTGTACTTAAGGATCTACGGATATAAGTTCAAGTCCGTGCACAGTTTCAAAATCAAGGTAAAGGAATGATAGCGGGTTGGATACATGAAGTGCCACCTCCCTTTGTCTGCTCAAAACATCAGCACGTTAAAATACGACATACCAGACGCCAACTTCTGCATCTGTCTGTCCGCTCACAACTCAGTCTTTGTTCCTAGTACTTTGATGTGCACCACACCTTTTTGTCGACGAGACAAGCCATTTCACTAATTCTTTATCCCACTCACATCCATCGCCTGGGTTATGCCACGGGGTCCCATGTTGAGCCCTCTCCACACTCCCGGGATAGACCAGCGGGGCTGATCAGCGCGTCAGCAGCCAAGGTCTATCTACATGTGCAGTGAATGATACAGTACCTGGAATGATGAAAAAAGGTCTGCAGCTCGGAACAACGAAGGTAGGTTTAATGGCTAGACTTCTTCAGCAGAGATGATGTAACATCTGCCTGAGAATGCCGGCGGTCCACATTCAGACCACGCAATCAGCCCATGGCGAACCTATAAACCTTCACAACCCACTGGCATAATCCTATCGCCGATCCAACAATCATAAATCCTGACAACCCTCAAGCATCCACACCGGCAATCCTCCCAACCAACCCCCCCACCATCCCCAAATCCCACTCCTTAACGCCCAAAAGCGCATTATCATCCCTTGGCCACGGCCCCACCAACGCACTATCCGCAATACAATACCGAATCTGCACCTCAAACACCGCATCACTGATCCTCCCAGCCCTCAAATCCGCCAACGCCGCATCAAACCGCACCCGCATATCCTCCCAAGCAACCACCCCCCACCCCTCCTCCCCCAGCACCCCCTTCGCGACACCCAGAAGCTCCCGCTGAGACAGATAAGCCGAATGCACATAGACAACCCGATTGACCGTCTCCTCAGGCCGGAGAAGCACCCGCGCGGTGGCGCGGCCGACGTCCTCCAGCGCCGTCCAGGGGACGATGTTGGTTCCGTCGCCGAAGAGCGTGGCTTTCTTGTTGCAGAGGTCGAAGCCCGCGAACCCTGAGGATAGACTCCAGTCGAGGAAGATGCCGTTGGCGATTAAAGTGTATGTTAGCGAGGGGGGTTGGGTGGCGTGGGCGTGGCGCTTGACGGAGTCATAGGCGGCTTTTTTGCGGGCGAAGACGGGGAGGTTGTGGACTTCGGGGTGGTTGGGGTCGAGGCCAAAGTCGCTTGTTATGCTTTATGCATGCATGCATGCATTTGTGTTAGTTGGGGGTATGGGTGTATTTGTGGGGGCAGAGGGGGGGTGGGCGAGAGTGGACAAGGGGGGAGGGGGCACGGACAAGCGGTAGACCCCAGCTTGGACTGCTGCGTCGATCAGTCGCAGTGGAGCTTCGGTGTCCGGAGAGAAGGTCGTGTCGATTACGGCGTCTTGGTTGGCGAAAGCAGCGCTGAGGGACTCCGTGGAGGTGAAGTCGACCACCTGTACGCGCGCAGCACCCGGAAATGATTTGGAGGAGTTGCGACTCAGCACCGTGACGTTGAATTCCAGTTCGAGTAAGGCGCTGAGAACATGAGATCCGACGTTTCCGCTGGCCTGGTGGTCTCGTTAATGGAGAAATTGTGGTTGGATTGGTGTTTAGACGCTCACCCCGGCAAGAGCCACGTTTTTGATTGTACGTGACATTATTGTTTCCCTATTGATAGGTCTGGTTGACAAGATGGCGTTCCATGACCAGATTGACAGATGATAGCAAGAACAGTCACTATAACTTGGTTCCAATTTGTACGTTTTATGCAATTAGGGCCCAGGCCGGCCTTGGCCGGAGATCGAGGGTTCAGCAAGCAAAAGCCCCGGAGTCCGGAATACAGCCGATGCTCGCAGACCACAAGTTATCTCCGTGCTTACCACCATCGCAATAACCTCGCATTTTCTCGAAACATTCGCACTCATCATATCAAGCTTGAATACTCTTCCCCCTGTATGTCTCCCGTACCAGAACCCCTTCATTATCACAGATTTCCCAGTCACCGATCCCATAATTCTCAGGAGCTACCCTGCAGCCAGTTCCACCCTCACCAACAATCGCATTTGGTGGACGCTAACTGGGATTCGCCTCCATTCGTCTAATTATCGAGCCGTGGAACTTAGCATCGCGCGGTGTATCGCGCGGTGTCCCTCGGTGCAGTGGCCAATGCACCAGTTTCCACCTGCCGTTCGACTGGAGTGCAGCCCATCTAAGGGGGATATACTCCATCAGACGCCACGCCAAAACGGTGGCATTAGCGACGCCGGGACCAAAGTCCAGGCAAGAATACAGTAGGGCTTTTATGCTTGAATCGACGAGTGCGGACTCGTAGTCCATATTAGATAATTCATCCACCGAATCGGCACATTTGAATGCCAACAATCTTTCAGAGTCAAACTGAAGCCCTGCTCGCCGAGCTTCGTTGCCCATCTAGACGAGTGGTGCATGGCTGAGTTGCGTCCACTCATGCGCTCCACGTTGAAACCCACCTCCGGTGTCTGCATGATTTCCGGGGAACCAGACCTCTTCCAGATCTTGGGAGCAGTCATCTGCATCCATTAGGACCGGACTCGAAGCCCGAACAGAGGTTTCCGCACTTGCTGCATCATATGTGGAGCTACATTATTGTGCAGCTATCGATCTCTCTTCTCTTCTCCAGACAATCCCAGCAAAACCGGCTGGAACTTCACGCGGCGCTCATCAAGACTTACCGCATGTCGAATCACGCGCGCACTTGACCGGCTATCGTTCAAGACCTCGAAACCCGTGACACTATTCACCGTATCAAAGAGGGCCAAAAACCTGATCCGATCTACAGGCTGACACGGTGTCTTGCGGCAATGCCTCAGATACTCTCCTGCCACTTTCCGGCGATCAGGCGTACGATAGCGAGCCAGCTTCACCTGCAAGAACGCCTCCCAGATCAGCGGGATCATCTCCTCATTGCCCCGGCCTAGCAAGCCAGCATAATCAAGCCTCTCGGCCAGGAACATAGCCATGTATGCTCCCCGTGAGAAGCCAAATATGTAGATGTCGCTGCTCCGCTGCCGGTAGTGGCGCATCAGGAATCGGTAGCCGCCCAAGACATGCTGGTCGAATGTCTGCCCAAGTGCCTGGCTGAGAGTTTTGCTTCGCTTGCCGAAGGGAAAGCTGCTCCTCTTCAGTTGGGTAGCGGCCAGGCAGCCGGGGGTGATCGGATGCCCACTGGTTGTGGGTAGGGTGTTGGCTAGAGCAGTAATAACGATCGATGATTATGGGAGAACTAGACTCGTGATTCTTACGTTGATAATACAATCCGGGATTAATGATGATCATCGTTCGTGCGCAACCACGGACCGGCAATCACGGCAGCTTCGGCTTAGATCCATCTGTGACTTGGGCCATCCACTGGACTTTGAGTCGCCCGTTGGTGTGAGATGTGACATTTGGTGGTGGGGCAGCTGAACCTGCTTGCCTCCACGAATTTCTTCTTAAAGCTAGGGTGAGGTTTGAGTTGAAGATGCGGAACAAGCACCCACTCCCAATCTTGGGTAAGCGTCACAGTGACCCGCTGCTGTATTGCTGGCGATGATTGACAGATAAACGATCGAATTGGATGTTACTGAAAAGAAATTGACAGAGAACAGAGGCGCAAAGCAGGAAGCATGGCAAGGGCGGCAAGAGAGGAAACCACCATCCACGTTGCTTTTTCGATGCCAACCTAGTACTACGAGAACAACCTTTCGTGGAGAAAAGAGCCCGGTTGTGAGAGTTATCTCGTCCGGCTCCGGGACTGGTAGAGCTGAGCTCTTTCATAATCTTGTTGGGAGCCATCATCGTTCGGATCGATTCCAGTTCGCAGAGAGTTCTCGGCAGAACGCCAAATATCTTGTTTTTCTCCTGTTGCCAGAACTGCTCGGGTCTCGAGAATCAAAACCATCGATAAACGATGTAACATAGTAAGGATAAAGCTCGAGATAAACAAACATGAAAAACTGTAACGGATATCTAAAAGACCGGGGCTCTCAAGTCTAAGGTGGAATAGTTTTTGCTCGGTAGATGCTGCCTTTCATAAGATCTTGAATCTCTAGAAGAAAATGTATTCGTCAACAACTTCTCTTTGAACTCCACTCGCATCGGATGAGACTGCATGCGTTGTACTCATACCCGCTTCTTGCTTGACAGTCTCCAACCACAAGGGATGATAGTCCGCATAGGTCTGATCCCAAAGGTCATCACCACCGTATGAGAATTGGCGGGCCTTTTGCTGAAGCATTTCATCTGACGGGAAGACCCCGACCGCAGTTTGACTGCGGATATAAGCGACCAGCGCTCCACGGAGACTCGTGTAGCGGTTAAAGGCATTCGGAACGCCGTCTTCAATCGAAGTTGGAAAACGACACAGCGTGTCTTCCTGTCCTAGACTCCCTCGCCGAGTAACACTACCGAAAATTTCCAGGAATCCATGGTGCGGCGTTTGTGGCCCAGCAGGTAGGGTGGCGTGGCATGGCATTCTCGACCAACTGCTGCACGTCGGTCTCAAATCCCCAGTTTCCCCTCCACTCCGCCATGTCAGCCCCATTCTTGAAGTGCGCCACTACATGGTCCACGCGCTCCTTCCAAGACGTAAAGGCCGCGTCGCAAAGTCCACAGCGGGAGACAATGTGTGGCGTGCGGGACGCTCGCCATCCGTCCATGAGGCCGGAATGATACTCGGCGTATTGCGAAAGTTTAAGATGCTGCCGCAGGTAGTCTTTGCGGGAGCACGCCCGTTTTGCGACGCCTCGGGTTTGGCAGGCCGGGTAATCGTGTCAATCCAGAAGATGACCGTCATCCGGGTTTGCGGTCCGACAGAACACGCAGGTCGGAACGCCCTCAAGGGACGTGATACCACCGTCAGGGGCGCAAATCAATACGTCCACAGGAAGGTGCAAGGTCTTTTCATGTCGCTCCCAGTCATATTTGGTGCTAAATGAATCCGTGCAGAACGTGCACTGGTAGCAGCGTTGTTCTATTCTCTGGCGTTCGGTCTAGCGATCTGTGGAGCATGGCGGCTTTTGGCGAGGGAGGCGGCGGCGGCTGCGAGCGGAAGGTCGTCGGCCTGTCATTGAGGTAGGCGGCCGTTGTACGGGCTGATGATGCATGTGCTGGCCGAACGAAAGCTCAGAGCCCCATGAGTGGCTACAATTGATCGTGCTGATCGAGGGTGCCGCAGCCACAAACGAGTCGCTTCAACTATGGCTTGACCACGCATACTGCGATGCCGATGAGGCGGTGTGCTTATCATTGTCACCCGGGTCTCGTATAGTTCGCAGTGCTCGCATGATGTCCGAGGTTGTGGCTGCCTCACTTCCGGGTGGGGAGTTTTTCCATCTTTCCAGAGGAGATTGCAGAGAGGGATCGACCGTAGCTGTCAATTTTCTGGCTGCCGGCGGCGCAATGCCTACGAGGTTGCGTCGTCGTGCGTTGCTAAACCAGTCCGATATCTGGGCGCGACTCAGCCCCGTCTGTTGCTGGAATGTGTCTTTCTCCTCTTTCGTGGGGTAAGGGTAAGTCCGATGGCATTGGAGCCATGACCGCAACACTTTCACTGCCTCGTTCGACAATCGCTGATGATTTCTCTTTGCATACGTGCCACATTCAGAAGATGTCGTATCGGCCACCGCCCCAGGAGCGTCTGCGGAGGGAAGAATTTGGGATCTCGACAGAGAACGTGCTTCTTCTTGTACACTTTGAGAGACAAGTCAACATTGCCGAAAAGCGCCCAGCACGAGCACGGTGAAGCCACTGAATCAAGACCAAGCAAGTTGAGCACCTTGCAATAGGCTCTTCTGCAGACCAAGCTACGGCGTGAAAGCGCGGGTTGTGAGTCCTTATTCCATCGTAAGGTCTATCCAATGCGTCATTGTCAACGCTTAATAGCGGATCCAATAAGCCTGAAGGCCCATCCGACAAGGGACCGGGGATGCGCGGATCAAGAGGGGGTAGGTCTAGAACCTCATCACAGTATTTGGGAGGACCAGCGAAATCCTCCGCCATCTGAGGTATGGAGTGTATGTAGATAGCTGGTGGAATTCCAGCTTGGGAGAGTCTGGTTGTAGGGCTCCCGCGCCCTGTGTACTCACATGTGGGGGTAGCCCTACTGAATGATGTGTGAATCGGGAAGACAGACATCCGGTCACATGAGAGAACGAGAAGGCCAAAATTGATGGAACTCGTGGTTGCTGTAGCGAACAGATGTCGATGGTGACAATCTTGTAGCTAGAGCTAGTAGTAGTCTGATCGATCCATCGACCGTAGAGACGCAGAGACGTACTCGTAGTAGGTTTCCTGAACGGGAAGTTGCCCCCAACCCGGTCACGGGCGGCACGCTACAATAAAAACACGTGACTTGTTCGATTGCCGGTTCTTCTGAGGGCTGGCGAGTCCAGCCACAACAGCGCTCCGCGAATTTGCAAGTTCAGGTCTTTGCAGAGGTGGCTGGAGATGCTGGGAAAAGTAAAGAACGCACACTCCATCACAATCGGAGAAGACGGTCACGGTGGGCCCAACCGAGTGTATATCATTGTCCAAATATATCATCAAAATTGTATGCAGGCAGAAAAACACCAAGAGATATAGAGAAAAACGGATAACATGGTATGGAATGAAACATCACGAAATTCCACCATGGTGTATATAGATCGCCCAGCGTACATGTACTATACCAATCCTCAGAGAATAAAAGTCCAGCTTTTCGTGAAGAATTCCTAGAAAACAGTGGTATGGTGAGCACCACTGGTTCGAGTCATCGCTTGGCTGATCCAAGTTTTCAACAGTCCAAGCGTGCAGTTCGTATAGTCATTGGAGCGACCGCATACAGGGTCGCTCAGGGTGCCTTGATGGTCATGTCATTGTACCGTATCTTGAGTTTCCGAAAACCCTCAAAGCCATTAATCGTAACATCCGTAAAACATAAAAGTGGTCAAACCGCGCAATTCACGCGCCGACTGACGTAATAGGCCTCACCTAAAATCAAGTTGGAAGGCCTTCCATTTGCCGCCCACTGTCCGACAGCGAGGACAGCCACGCGGATTTGGGTAGCTGGTCGGCCCGTGCGACATGGCGCTTCCTGGACTGGAGGTCACATTCCTAAAGGATGCGGGGGGACTACTGATGAACATTCCGACGCATTCCCGACAAACCCCACAGATGCACTCCGTACAGGCATAGCATTCATTCAGCGCCCAGGCTCGCTTGCAGCTGGCACAATAGATCTGGATTTCTTTGCTGCGGAAAGTGGCCGGGGTCGGATTGGAGAACCGATGGTGTTGACGTTGCGACGCGGACATGGACGGGAACATATTCAACACTGGGCTGGAATCCGAATTGACCGACGGGGCGAGATGGCTGGAGAAGGAATGGTTCTTGCCGGAGATTGACGATGTCGAGTCAATGGACGACTCGATAGACGGGAACGGTTCCAAGTCACTGTCACGACTGCGATCGAACGGAGGTGGAGTGAGTGCCTTGTGCAAAGGCGACGCAAATGGGTGTGGGAAGGGGCGGTAGGATGCCGGTGGTAATGAGGAACGGCTGTTGCCCGTAGGGGCCGAGGTGATATTCGAGATCAGGGGAGGCATCGTCGGTGAGCGACCGACCTACCAACGGTTAGAAACGCAAACTGAAAGAGCCAAGTCGACTCACATCAGACTGGTGTTCATCATCTACCTCGGTGGCGGAAGTAGCGGCTTCGATGAGATCTTCCCAACGCTTGCCCTGCGCCCAGGCTGCGGTTTGGGGCTCTGCGGAGAGAGCCTTGCGATCGCCAAGACTAGGACGCCGTCCGAATTCTTTGGATTTGGTTCGCTCGTGCTTCGGCTTGCGAGCTCCCGAGATAGACGACTTGCGCGATCGAGGCAGCTTGTCCCTGCGCTGAATAGGGGGCAATGTCGAAGAGCGACCGGGCGGGGAATGGGTCAGAATGGAAGGCAGAAGCTCTCGAGGGCGAGGGTCCCGAGGGTGAGACGAAGGGAATGGAGGCAATGACTCCTGTTTGAAATGTTCCCGCAGAGAAGGCAGTTCGACGGAGCGAATCCGGTCCCGGTCATTGTCGGAATGAGTTTCCTGAGACAGACCAGTCAATGTCTGATTCCTGCAGCCCCCCGCACTTCTCCCTGCTTAAATCCACCAGCGAGCAGTCTGTATAGCATACCATGTCTGTGTCCCAGTCGGATGCTAAGCGGTTGTGGTGCAATTGAGCCAGCGCAACGGCAGCGGTGGCCGCGGCCGGATGGGCCTCATCGACACCCCGCGGGGTTGCGGGGGAACCAGCATCGGCAACGTAGATGTCTCGATCGACCAGATCTATATCGCCATCAGCTGCAAAGTTCGCTCTCCGGTCTACTTGGAAAATATCAACCAACCATTGCGTCGTCGAGAGGGAGCCGGTTTGGGGGGAGACAGGTGAGCACGCTGGTCTGGTGGGGTAGTGACCATCAGGATAAAGCTCTCCTCGGTAGCCGGGAGCTTCGGAATGTAATGGTTGGGGTGAGCACGGCGAATGTGCTCCTGCATGGAGCGATAGCGTTTTTCCTGCCAGTACAAAACCAACCGATTAGATGCGATCCTCTTGAAGCATGTACACATGTTTCTTCAGTCATCGTAGCTCGTCCCTTCAACGCAGTTGCCCCCCCATTTTTGCATGGCGCTTGCTGCCCACTGCATCAGAGAAAAGTGGGGCCCCGATCGAGATGAACCGAGAGAGCGAGGTAACGAAGCCACCAAGGGTACAAAGAATTTGGGAACGGAAAACTCACTCCAAGGCATCGCTTGCGACAATTGGAGCCATCATTATTCTTCAAGGGACAGACCACTTCGTTGTTGGCGTCGGTGACGGAGAACGAACTGGTCAAAGACGATCGGGGCGGCATGGTCTGCATGGATCCGTTCGGGCGGCGGCGGGGGGTGTGGGTTGGTCGGAGGGTCGAGCACCAGCAGCACACAAGCAAGCAAACAGGTTAGGCAGGCAGGCTAGATGATATTCAGGGCAAGGTCAATTCAATCTGGCAGATCTCCGTATGGCGACATAGGTTGTTCGCGATCAAAGAAACACCAGCAGTTGATCGAGTCTAATGAATAGGCGAGGCAAAATGGATGATGGAAGAAAGAGAACAACGGGAGGAGGGCGGCAAACGAAGGAGAAAAAGAATAGTGAGTTATTGCAACGGTATGAGTAATGGGTAATGCAGGCACCCTGCTTTAGAGCTACTACTACCCCTTTGCCTAGCTTCTGTCCCAAGACCAGTAGCAGCAGCAATAGTAGTAATTCAGTAGCCTGGGTAATCGGAGAATGATGACAGAAAATAAAAGCAATCAATCTTTCGAAAAAGAAGAAGGAGGAGGAGGAGAAGAAGCAAAGAGATATCGGGACCGGTTCCAAGAAAGGGAGGGAGCGAGAGTAGTAATACTTAGTAGTAGGTAGAGCTGGTAGCATTGAAAGCAAGTACAAGCTGGGGTGGTTTGGAGGGGAAAGTCAAGGGAGCTTCACCTCGTCCACTAAGCCGAGAACAGGCTAGTGCCACACAATCTGGACAATTGACAGGCAGAGGATTGGGGGAGAGCAATTACCCACTAAGCAAAAGGAGAAAGAGATCAAAAAGAGTAAAGGAAAAAAAAATGAAATGAAAAAGGAAAAGAAAAAAAGAAAAAAAGGAAAAAAAAAAAAGAAAGAAAGAGGAAATGAAGAAGGAAAGGCGAAAAGTGGGAACGGAAGGCATTGGGTATTGAAGGTGTACAGTCAGTAATCATACGTACAGTAAGTAAAGTAACCAGCCAGCAGTGAAAGCTAAAATGAAAGGGCGAAACAGCTGGCGAATGCTGGCGAATGCTGGCAAATGCTGGCAATTCGGGCAATGCTGGTATCCCCGACCGCGTGGCTCACAGAGTGCTTGTGTTCGCCGAGATGGTGGTGGTCCAGGATTAATGAATAATCCAGAAAACCACAAAGCCGGCGATAAGTGGAACAAAGAAGGTTCCCTTCGGCGGATTTTATCGTCGAGCCCTCAATAAAGGTGGGATAAGCGTCTCACAGGTGATAGAAGTCGGTGGCACGATAAGCATTCAACTTCCGGTCTCCGTGGGAGGCAAGAAGAGGACTAGGATTGGGGAGAGAAGAGGTTTAAAAAATGACGAGAGTCATATATCAGTTATAGTGGTGAATTCTAGTAATAAAACCCAGGGAAGAAGAAAAGAGAGAGAGAGAGAGAGGAAGGAGAGATAATCAATTATCGATAGGAAGCTGGTCGATGTTGAAGTGGGAACTAGAAGATAAAAGCTCGCTATCGGCTAGTACAATACAGTCAATAGCTCTCACGGATAAGCAGGAGCTCCCTCATGGCTGGTTATTAGCCTTACTCCCTCATACTACGGTAGCAGCTCGGCGGCATAACTTTTCCAAGCTTACTGGATTCCCTGAATTCTCACCCGAGCAATTCCCATTATCCTATGATGAGGCATTATCCTCCTAGTTGTGCCGGTGGTACAGCATGTGCCAGTGATCCTGGTATTACGATTTCCTCCCCGTCCGAGACGAGACTAGCTGGTGGAAGTCCGAGGGTATCTGGTGCCGATAGCGCCTATCGATAAGTGATTGGAGTCGTAGCTAAGCTAAATGTGGGACAGCGCGATATCCGCACGCACGACGTGGATAGACGGGGAGAGGAGAATTCGGTTTGATCGCGGAAATTACCAGTTTGGTGGGTTTTGTTGTGAACGACGAAGCTGGACATCTGATCCAAATTTTCTGCCTTCTCTTATTTTTCCTTTATGTTTTCCCTAGGGGGAGGCAAACGAAGGGAGCGGTTGTTCGCCGAAGTCTCTCGCTCGAGTCCCGGTCGAGTCCTTTTTTTGCTTGATAGTTAATGCGTGGTGACACTTACACTTTTTGATAGCTCAGCCTGGTTAGTGGGGGAACAGTCAGACTGAGTCTTACGTGACCATACCGGAGGTCGAGGATGAGCGGCAGGAACCCCTCTGAATGGCTTCCTCCGTTCCGATTCTGCCCACGTCGAAGCATTGGCAGTTTGGCACAAGACATATAATTCATATACTATCAGCAACGACAGCTACGCTACACATCTCTCGTGATCCGCGCCATTCAACCTTTTACAGTTTGCAGCGGATAGTTTTATGGGGGCTCTTGTCATTGTCCAGCTGGTCTAAAATTTCCACCACCCATCATCGGTCGACGGCCCGGATCATTGGAATGGCCCTAGTGGTAATTACAATACCGTACAATAATGAATGACCAGCAATTCGGGAATGCCGGTGGGGACCCCTCCATTCTTGGGGTTTGCGACAGCTGCTAGCTGGGGGCTGGACTCCCTCGCCGGAATGACTGGCAAATCTGGATCCGTTGACGAATAATCTTATCGAGGCCTTCGACCACGGGTAAATCCCCGGGTCAAGATGTGGTCGAGATGTGGTCGTGGTTGTTGAGTACTAGGTAGATACTGTACATGTACAGTACTAGATACTCCTTGACTCCCGTCCGAGGACTGTACTTTAGAGTGTAGTCTACTGGGAAGCCTGGAGCTAGTAAAATAAGGAAATAAGGAAAGCACCGCGTGGTTGGGGGAAGGTCAAGGATCAAATGGTGAACCGATAGGCTAAAAAAGGCCATGTGCTGCAACCTACTTTTACCCCTCCTCACAGTGATCAGTAAAGCACACACCTACTGAGTATCTTCCCCTCTCTTTCACTCCCCCTCCCCTCCAGGCTGCTGCTGCTCCTCCCCCTCCCTTCCCTTCCACTCTTCCTTAACCTCCTAAAACCAGCTTCTCTCCTACCCGCTTCCCCCCTCCCCCCTCCCCCCAGCAGCTCCCAAGGGTAAGGTGAGCTTCCCATGCACCTCAACCCAGAAGCTCACCCAGCTCCGAGCTTTCTTTGGTAGTTGCCTAGGACCAAACAGGCTAAGACACTGAAGTAGGTAGTGGCAAACCCAGTTTACCTCGACGCCACTCCAGTTCCTTATTCCCGTCTCAGTGGGGCTCTCGAAACGGTACCTTAGCCCAGAAGAACACAAGAAGGAAGAAAATTTCGTCTTCTCGAAATAAATGGCCACTTGCTGATCCATTGGATGCAGGGGGACCAAAGTGCTCCCCCCTCCTTCTCCCTCTGGCCACTCTCTGGCCATGGGGTGGTGTGAGTCGTTCTACATGTCCTCCCTCGGAAAAACAATTCAGATCACCATCCAGGGAAGGGGGGTGGAAGGGGTCACTTGGAGATCCGTCCTAGATGCGTAGGTCGCACTAAGACCCGATCTATACTACTGAACTACGGTCAAAGGGACAAGTTCAACGGCCGAGAAAAATAGCGGTGCCTCGGAATCACACTATCGCAATCCGCCCGGTGAAAGTGGAGGAGGAGGTTGGATGCCCAATTCGCCCTTTAAGCGAAAGAATGGGTTTTGCCGTGTATTCCCGTGTTTTGAGTAGCTTGAGGGTGCGACGGAGCTACGGTGCTACTGCTACTGCTATTGCTACTGGGTACAGTTGGGATAGTACCTAGTACTTATATTGTTTCGTTCTGGCACACAGAGACAAAGAGACAGACTTTGCTCCATTTGATCACTGGATAATCCCCGGGTGTTGGTGGTCGGTCTTGCCTTAGTCCGATCACAGCTCGACACCTAGCACAGTTGAACCCCGCGGCTAATCGGCTCTGATATCGAGGAGATGAGGAGATAATGAGGAGAAGGGGGGAGCTTGCTTAGCTTTGACAGAGCAGGTCTCTTGTGGTCCTCCGCTGCTCAACCATGCTCACATGCTATAAATACAACGCTCCCAGCAAACGTCAAAATTTCCTCACCGACACCAACTCCAACCTTGAAAATCCAGAGTTTCACATTGGACGTGCGGAGGAACAGGCTATTATTGGAAAGACAGTGCGATTGTCAGCCCGCACAAAAAAAGCATCGGGTGAGGGGCGCACTGATCGCCGCTAAATGAGAGCATTACCGAGCTTTGGCGGGTGGATAAGGTGGAATTGGATTGGAAAGGCAGCTGGTTTGCATGGTCGTCGGATGAGGTTCTACTGGATCTCCCAATCCCTTGCATGAAACGTAGCGAATGCGATTCTATGATTTCTGGAGTTGTGTGCAGGACGATTCTCCTCGCAGGGATGCCATGCATTGTTACCACCACCAGCCAGCAGCAAGCAAGCAAGCAAGTACTGTACAGTGTTCACTGGACTGTACTTCCAGCGGAGCAACCTGCATATGCGGTGGCGCAGAAAATTCCACGGTGCTGACCTTCTTGAAATGGCAGACAGGCACTGCAGGCACTGCAGGCAGGCCGGCCGGGCAGCCTGAGCTGGTCAGTTGCCTCTCGAGGCAAGGTGCAGCTGGGAAAAGCAGCCTGATTGGCGGGGCAATTTGATGGAGGAAACCAGCTGGTATCCAATCAGTGCGCCAGACTTTGGGGACTTTAAGAGACTTTTTATCCACTGGCAAGCAGAACTGACTCGGGCGATAAGAATGTGCTTTCTCCACTCGGTCTCGGCTAGCTGCGAGGCCCGTATTGCCGTATTGGCACTCTTGCTTACCCGTACAACCACTTCACTCTCATCAAATTTCAGCGTTGCCAAGACACACTTCCCTTCTTAGCGGTCACGAGGAGTAACGAAAGGATTCCAAGGGATTCACCCATGGGCTTAGCGGCAGTCTTGGCCATGGGGACTGTCAATCCGGGGTAGTGACTACACTGAATGAAGTCGGAATGCGCAGTCAGCCTTTATACAAACCAGACTGTAGACGCTTATTCCCTGTTTCGGTTGTCGGCAATGCGCCCAGTTGTTACACCACAGAGGTCGGGGTTTAAGTACATACAGTCGATGACCAACAACAGCAATGAGGGGTCCCTTACAAGTTACATATCGGCACGTTCTTGCCAGAGAAAAGGGCCGAACAAGAACCCCCAAGCATGATGATTCTGGTACTTTGTGACACCGTCTCGATGACGTCGATATCCGATGTGCCCTGATGTCCCCGGCTCACGACCACGCTGCAGGGCTGCATAACGTCAAGTGTCAACGGCTTTTTCAAACAACGCGTATCCGACAGGTCCCTGCTCCAGCACGTTCAACGAAACGTGTAGTAAATCACGCCGTGAGGCTCGCATGTTGGAGACATAGCACAAGCACCGAAAAGGCAACCCCTGTCGGATGCGGAAATCCCCCGGAAACGTCGGCTACATCCCGTCCATGGGTGAGGCAGCGCGTGCGGTCATCATGTCCACGAGATCTATGCCTGCGGTGATAGGACCGGTCGTCCTATCTCTGTGGCCGACGTTCTTGACTGGTATAGTGGCTCCTGCTATATTCCCCCTCATCAGAGCATCGGCTACGCAGCGTAGGTGCCGCCTAACCTTGTCCGAAGCTCCACGGGGATCATCCGATGGGGCTCGAGTGCCCAGAATTCTGGAACCGACCCTCGCTGGGCCAGATCCGACCTCCACGCTTCGTCCACGATGACATAGTTAAGGGGAGGGAGTCGTAGGCAGTTTGACCTCGTAAATAAAAGGGCCGTTCGTAGTGGTGACACCATCAAACCAGCCATCAAACCAACCATCCTACTATATAACAGCAACAACATCTCACCACCAATCACCCTACTGCACGACCCCATGGCCTCACCCAAGAAAGACTTCCACGTCGCCATCATCGGCGGCGGCATCGCGGGCGTAACGCTCGCCATCGCCCTGCACCACCGCAACATCTCCGTGACCATCTACGAGCAAGCGCACGCGTTCTCCGAAGTAGGCGCGGGCGTCTCATTCAGCCCCAACGCAGTGCAAGCGATGAATTACTGCCACGACGGGATCTACAGCGCATTCGAGAAAGTCTGCACGCGCAACCTGTGGTCAAGCAAGCAGAAGGTGTGGTTCGACTACCTGGACGGCTACAACAAGGGGCCGAACGAGGCCCACGGCGACCGCCGGCAGGACATCGAGTTCACCATCACCAACAGCCTGGGTCAGAATGGAGTGCACCGCGCGCACTTCCTGGACGAGCTGATCAAGCTGGTGCCCAAGGAGATCTGCCGGTTCCACCGCCGGCTGGAGGACGTCCAGGAGCGCATCCGCGACGGCAAGCTGATCCTGAAGTTCGCCGACGGGTCCGAGGAAGAGGCCGACGTGGTGATCGGCTGCGACGGTATCAAATCGCAGGTGCGCCAGATCATCCTGGGCGCTGACCACCCGGCCGCGAAGCCCTCGTATACGCATAAGTACGCCTACCGCGGCCTGGTGCCGATGGAGAAGGCCGTCGCGGCCATCGGCGAGGAGCTGGCCTCCAACTCGTGCATGCATGTACGTCTCTCCCTCCCAGTCTTCCTTAACCACCCCCTCCACCCCCATCCCTCTCTCCCAAATATCCTAACACGTTACCTACCAGATGGGCCCAGGAGGCCACATGCTCACCTTTCCCGTCAACGGCGGCAAAACGCTAAACATCGTCGCCTTCCACACCAACCCAGACGACTGGGCCGACTACCCGCGGCTGACGCGCGAAAGCACGCGCGAGGAAGCCCTGCGCGATTTCGAAGGCTACGGACCGAACGTGATCAATCTGTTGAAGCTGACCGAGTCCGACCTCAGCGTGGTACGTTTTGCCCCCATCCCCTCTTATCCCTCAATTCTTCACCCAGCCACACGCTACTCAAACACAACAACCCCAATAAACTAACCAACAAACAAAAGTGGGCAATCTTCGACCTAAACGACCACCCAGTCCCAACCTACCACAAAGGCCGCGTAGCGATCTCGGGCGACGCGGCGCACGCCACCTCCCCGCACCACGGCGCGGGTGCGGGCTTCTGCATCGAGGACACGGCGGTGCTGGCCAGCTTGCTGCAGGACGAGCGCGTGCAATCCCACCGTGATCTCGAGGCGGTGCTGGCGGCGTTTGACGCCAGTCGGCGCGAGCGGTCGCAGTGGTTGGTGCGGAGCTCGCGGTTTATCGGGGATTGCTATGAGTGGCGGGCAGAGGGGGTGGGGAGGGATTTCGGGAAGATCGAGGAGGAGATCGTGCGCCGGAATGCGGTGATTGCTGATTTGGATATTCCGCGGATGGTGGAGGAGGCGAGGCAGGAGTTGGGGAGGAGGTTGGGGGGTGGGGAGAGGGCTTCGCTTTGAGGTAAGGTTTGGATGGGTGGGTGGTTAAGTTATGATGCTGGTGTATAGGGAGTGTCCGGCAGTGTACATACTTGATCCTTATCTTGTGTTTCAGCGAGTTAGACTTGGTTTGTTCACTCATGTATGCTTGACTGTTGTTGTTGATATCTTGTTGTATAATGACATCATATTTGGATTCGACAGTGGCGATTGCTCTACTAGAGATAGCCATAGAGGTGATGTCTTAAGTTTGATAGTCTTGACTAGAACATACTACAATATATGGCAATATGGCTCCATTTGTTCTTCGTGCTATTGTTCATGCTTCTTGGGGCATTCAAGTCACATTGAAGGTTCGAATTCTATGCAGACTCGACTATTCACTGGAAAGTATATATATTTGACACTCTCTGAGGTCGTGGTATACAATTATACAGCAACAGTAAAAAGTTAGCCTTCCAGAGTAACAGTCTGAACTTGCAGCTGAGTCCTCATTCCAAGCTATTCTCGGACTCAGACCTTACAGACTGCCGGTGCAGTCATTGAACCTCTTTTGCACATGGAGATTCTCCTCATCTCCATTGGCTACCCCGCATTCAACTGCCGGACACTAGCCGATCTTTGTCCCATTTGCCCTGTTTGTCCTGTTTGCCAGTCATCGGAAGCGGTCAACTGCGGCAGGAAAGAACGCTTCCGATGGAGTGGGGGAGTTCCCCCTCACCAACTTGCCAACTTCCGAAAGCTTGTTTCTCTCCAAGTCCCGAATTTCAAAGGGTGAGACTCTGAATATGGGGTTCGCTTCACGAAGTGGAGAAAATCGCCCGGTGAACAGTATGCTGTTTCGCTTGTCTATGACTTCATTCAGTATGGCTGCTACTTGCTCGCCGTTTCAAGATGGTGGTTTGCTGATCCTTCAGGAACAGTCGGCTGGTTCAATCGCCCTCGGCGTTCTTGAGCACCCGGAGGAATGAGGTACAGTCTGCATAACTGTCAGCACGCAACTTCTCCAGATTAACGGATCCAACTCTGAAAGCACACCTTTATCCTCGTAAAATTCCAGCTCAAGATATTTGGTCCGTTGGTCCGATCCTCGCGTTGTGAAGGTCGAGTGCCTCGATTCCTGCGAGAGGACACTGGTGCCGCTGTCCATCGAGCTGCGGCGCGACGCCCCCTGGAATGCGAATTTGATATGCTTGGACTTGGCATGTGGCGCCCCCAGGTCGCTCACTAGAATGTGTCAGCTTGGCTGCGACAATCTCATTGGACTGTAAACGTACTCGGAACGTCCGTGAACCTCGCTCGCCGAGAAGTCCCCGGGAATGAAGCAAAGTACAACAGCGAAAGACCTTGCGTGATTGGGTCCTCAAGTATACGAATGGTTTCTGCCGAGTTGGCGTGGCAGTCGGTCGCGTTGACGGATATCTTTCTCACATCCACGCTAAGAACCACTTTTCTTCGCAGGAGGATCTCTTGGAAGCATTCGAAATCTGCATACGGTTAGTCGTTCTGCGAGAAAGACTTCTGAAAGAGATCTGCCATACCGCTTGAGTCGTGGCATCGGTAAATCGGTGAAATGTGGTATCTGGCCACTGTTTGATGGTCTTCAATCTTGGTCTTGTGTGAGCCTTGAAACCAGAGTCCGTGCTGGGCGGCAGGGACTCGTTGGCTGGGGACATAAGGGAGCATCGAGCTCTTGACCGTAGATGATCCGCGGATGATCGTTTGAGTGACCTTGACTCCCCCTTGAATATCGATCGCTTCGATGGCTTCGGGTTCGTTCGTTTGCATGTTGAAGCATGCCACGACATTGCACAACAGAGGGCGGAAGAGTACCCGGCTCGAGACATTCGGGTCGGGAAACTCCCTGTAACGACAAGACGGTCAGTTTCAGAGACCTTGAGTCGAAGACGGAAGAAGGCCATGAGTGGGGTACGTACAGATGCACTGGATGGCTCGTCAATGCAAGCTTTCTATCTGGTATCGGCAATGAGATCACGGATTGGGGAGAGCCAATCGTCGAATCAGATTCCACGGATCTCTGACGAGAAATAGGCATCACTGGTGTGCGAACATCGGGAGATGGTGATATGCTTGGACTAGTTCTCTGGAGCGGCAGTCCGGGCGAGTGAATCGGCTTCAGATCGTAGGCGTCGGTCTTGAAAGCGTGAACGAGCTGGAAGTCGAGCCATTGTCGGAATTGCTCCCACTCCTCGGCCGTCTCGTTGATCGAATGGTGTGCCTTGACTGAAGCTTCGTTCTTGGGAGCGAGTTCACGATTAGGCACCAAATCATGTCCATACCCGACCATACCCAGCGCATCACGCACATCGTCGCTTACTTGGTGAAGGAAGCGCACCATAGCTGCAACATTTGGTTTCTGGCTGCTATCATCATCGACCGCATATGTGAGCCCGCCAGGTGAATGCCCCACAGCCAGCTCATGTGCTTCATAAGTGTCAAGTCTTCGAGTGAGATTGCTCAGTCGCTCAGATATCTCACGGATGCGATCCAAAACCTTTTGATATCTCTGACTGTCCACCTGGCTTAGTATATCGTCGTTCTCTGGTATCGCACTTAGCACATGCTCCGATTCGAGAAGAGCTCGCTTCAATCGGCTTGCGCGGTGACTTGGATGATGAGCATCAAAGGGGTCTGTCTCAACCGGGTTTTCGAGCATACATCGCCTTAGAAGTAAGGAAATTTGCGAGGTCATTGTTCTTCCAACTGTTAGCGTCTTTCGTCATATAACACGCTCCACCGGTAGGACAAGCATACTTGATTGACCTCAGCATCTCGATATTTTCCAACTGATTGTGCTCGGTTGCCTTCATGAAGCCCAACGTTGCATCGCGTGTCTCCTGGCTCGACTTCAACGTTGCAATCTTGAGGCAACGCTCAAGCTTTCGTCGGAGCCTCTCCGCCTCATCCCTCTCCAGAGGCCATGTAGCCTTCTCAAACAAAGTGGATGCTTTCGTGCCGAAACTGTTACAACGACCGCCGGATGTGGTCTCATTCTGTGCCAGCTGTCGATGCTTGTGTACAAATTCCGCGCATTCGTCGATTGTCTGGTTGTAGAAGAGTCCTAGGTCGCGTTCTCCCTTGATGGTCGATCGCTTTGTCTGTTGGATCTGCTCCAACAAATCTTTGATGGCCCCGAATTCTTGACGAAACGAATTGAAGTCGGCAGCAGCACTCCCTGGACCTTCCTTGACATTTTTGTAGATGGTCCAGGCAGTAGTTAGAGTTGTCATGACATCCCCCAGACCAATCTGCGGGAAGCTCATCGCTGCCGCCTGTTGAATGGGATAAATATGCTTAGAAATGGACGTGTGTAGATACCGCAGGCATGAGATGGTCTTGGACAGCAGAAGAAAAGGAAGAAAATGGGGGGTAAGCAGATATGGGACTGCAGGGGCGTGGCAGCAGCCCGGCCGCTAGCATGTCAGAAGGACTTCCAGCTCAAATGCAACGAGGCTGAGTTGACATGACAAGCACAAGACATGCTAGAATGGAAGATTCATCACTTCTATCTAGTCATGCCATGCCCCAGAGTCGCCTGGCTTACAGGCGCGCTGCATGAGTGGTTTCCTGAGGATGAGTGCGCCCTGCAAACTGCCCCGACTGGAGGTCGAATTAATTTCCGTTCCAAGAGCTCTGAATCTTGGCAACCTGACCACATGGTCATTCCCGGGAGCTTCATTGTGGATGTCTTCATCGGGCGAGCTTTCGTGGTGGCGGTGCACGAGCCTTTTAGCACCGGCCTAGTTTCTCTCTTACACCAATCGAGAAGCCCTAGTCAGGAACGTGCGGAGAAGAGACGTTCTAGTCAAACATGGCATGCAGAGAAATCGTCCTTTTTAGCAAACTCAACACGATCTGGATGCTTTCTGCCACACTCCCCCGGGATTGCACTTCCTTCCGTCGGCTTTCGTGTGCGTCCGGATACGAGCGGCACCTGTGACATGAAGCAGAAGGAACTTGAGTGTTCAACCCAGGCGGCTACAGTCTTCCTGTCAGCCTTGCGGCCTCGCAGTCATGTCCTTCATATAACTTCAGGAGATGGCCTGCTAGACTTCGGCCTTTGAGTGAAAAGTTCGTCTCTACGGTTTGAAGGAGGTCGTTTTAATCCGGCCTTCCAGTCTTAGTGGAACTTGGAAGGTGATAGCCATCTGGGGCACGAAATCGAGATCGAGCCAATCAAACTCGCCGGTAGTACTAGTGTGATCGATCAACATGGGCCTTCTGCCCCAAGTCAAATTGTACCTGAACCCGTGGGAAACCTATGACGACTTCCAACATCATGCGGTAGGTTACATTTCATAGTTGGTCGCAACTAAACTGACTTGATTCTTCTGTTGACCTGCTCCTAGCCAGCTCAAAGACGCAATTTCATTATCAGCCGGTTAGAGAATGCCAGACGAAGAGAATGGCTTTGGATAGTCGTCGTGGCCGGAACCGGTTTTTTCGCAGATGCCTATTGTGTAGGTTTGTTCTAACTCGGATCTGAGGCCGTCGCTGATTTTGTAGATCTTCTCTGTCAACATGGTCGTTCCGATGCTCAGTGCGGTCTACTGGAACGACATAAAGCTTCGGTCCGATATTCTGCACAACTACAGTGTGGCCCTAGCCATTGCGACCTTGGGAGGTGCACTGGTGGGCCAAATTCTTTTCGGTGTTGCAGCTGACATCTGGGGCCGCCGTAAGATGTACGGATGGGAGCTCATCATCCTCATCTTTAGCACTCTGGGTATGTCGATGGCGTCGTCTGGGAAAGACTCCATGTCTATGATCGGAGTTCTGCTGTTCTGGAGGTTCTTCATGGGGGTTGGGGTTGGGGCTGACTATCCATTATCAGCGGTGATCTGCTCAGAGTACGGTTCATCGTTCTTCGTGTAACTGGCCGAAGCTGATCAACTTGCAGGCTTGCCCCTACACGCATAAGAGGTCGCATGCTGGCGGTTGTGTTCCTCTGTCAGTCATTGGGTGAAGCGGCCGCCGCTGTGGTTACGCTTATCGTCGTAGCTGGCTTCCAAAGCAACTTATCTGATTTCCCGAATGATCCGAACAGCCTGGAATGTACGGGCTCCTGTGTTCGAGATATGGACAAAATGTGGAGATATATTGTCGGGCTTGGGGCAGTGCCCGCTTTCGTTGCCATCTGGTTCCGGATGACGATCATCGAGTCTCCGCGGTTTACTGCGGATGTGATGAACAACAGCCTTCAGGCAGCCGCCGATGTTTCTCAATTCTATCGCTCGACAGAGCTACCGGCCACATCAATGTCAAGCCTAGAACGAGATTCTATCTCCCTAACACAGACCCATACACGCGAAGACGGCACTATCTCACCGGTCATATCCCGCGATTCGGGCTCTATAACCAGTGAGAACGTTGCCCACTCTCGTGCCAACCTGTGGAAGGACTTCAAGCTTTTCCTCAAACAAGGTCACAACCTTCGCACTCTGGTTGCCACGTCTTTGTGCTGGTTCTGTCTCGATTTGCCCTTCTACGGCTTGGGCTTGATGAATGCGGAGATTATCAACACCATCTGGTACGGCAAGAACATTCAGCCAGCAGGCAAATACCAGTATCTCCTTCGGGTCTCGTACCAGAGCATTGTGGTCGTCTCGTCTGGTGCTATTGTCGGCAGCATCATCGCCGTAATGACAGTTGATCGAATCGGCAGGCGAAATCTGCAGCTCCTGGGGTTCTGCTGGCTTTTCATTCTTAATGTGATCATCGGTGCAGCCTTCCGTTACCTGAGCGAGCATGGGGACTCATCGGCTCTTGTCGTACTCTACGTGCTGACGCAGATATTTTTCAACTTTGGTAAATTGTATGCATGAATTTTTACAGACCCCCTGCTAACGATTAATCAGGACCGAATACTACCACGTATATTGTATGTCGCTCTCTATATGCTGATCATCTGGCTTACGTCTAGACTGAGTAAGTTTACAAGTAGTGTTGCTGACATTCTACAGGTCCCCGCCGAGGTCTTCCCAACCCGGTTCCGCGGCACCTGCCATGGTATTTCTGCCGCCTCAGGGAAATTGGGCTCAATCCTCGCACAATGCTTCTTGGGTTATGTGGATTTCGGAAACGGTGCAAATTGGCACAATGTGCCAGATTGGCTGGGTTACGCTCTTCTCTGGTATGTCATCTCCCTTTCTCCGATGAACAGGGGCGTTCTAACAAGCGTCAAGTCTCTCTTTCTTCATGCTCATGGGCCTCATTACTACACTGTGGATTCCAGATACTCGGGACTCACAAGGTAACAACAAGTCTCTGGAGCAGATTGCCGCGGAGATGGAGGCCAAGCATAACTTTGGCTGTGATATTGAAACGAATGATCTTCATGTCCAGGTTGGTAATGATTCATGAGTCTCGGGTTTTGTCTATGGCTTTCAATCTGCAATCATAGTTTTTGTAATATAGGGTCCTAATCGTGCTCATCTACCCTGGCACGGCAAGCCTTCTTTGGAATAATGCTAAATAATTGGATGATTTGAGTTTTATTCCCTCATAAGCACGAGTAGCGTCCTTGTCCGATATTCACAATCTATCACTCAAGCAGCCTTATTCTGATTCACTGCATTCTATCATATTCATATTACCTCTGTGCTTATTGTTCTGCACTGCTGACAGGTGAATTATTCCATCGTCATTATAAATTGTTGGTTGTCAATTACCTCCAAGTAACTCTGTCACCTTCTCTTGATCCTTCTCCACTATTTCAGCTCCTCTTCCACCTCCCACAAACCACCTTCCTCAACCTCATCCTTCATCAACTCTCTACCTCTTCCTCCACCACTACCGCCGCCACCAACTACCTTTCTTTCTTCACCAATATCTCCATCTTCCTTCCTATCCTCCCCCCATCCAAGATCTTGATCCTTTCATCCCTCTTCTTCTTTCACCATCTTTCTACCCATAGATCCATAGTCATGTCTCCTGGCCATACTATACTATATGCTCATCTTCAGGTACAAGCTATCAACTCGAGCCATCTCGCTACGTCGTTTTAGAAGAAGATATTCGATGCCGTTGACGAACAAGTCTCAGGAATCCCTCTCGAGCATTGGGAGGTCGACATGTTAGCAGCGGATGATCAGACAGCTGCCAGCCTTACTACCTCATGAGAAGATCATACAGCCCAGAGCCGAGAGAGGAGTAACCACAGGAGCACAATCTTCCTATCCGGTGAAGACATCGGTACTACTGCGGACTGCTGTCCCTCTCCGACCGTGCAGACGATGGGCCCACGACATGGGTGAAAGGAATGATCGAGAGCGTTGAAAGTGTTCGCAACTAGCAACACGAGATTGTTATTCGGGAACACCGCCGAAGCGGAGGACGATCTACCTCCAGTGGTCATATGCTCCTGTCCTGAACTGGCCCCTCCTCCCGATGACCTCAAGATAAGGCTGTGAATGCTTGCCATCCGTCTAGAATGACACTGAGGAATTTGAACCACGCACTCTCGACCGAGGTATTTTGAAATTGTGAGGGCGAAATGCAACTTAGATACCGACCCGCAGCTGGACAATCCACCCTCTGGAAAGCGCAAGGGCAATGATACCAGTAGCACTGCGTTTGCGGAAAGTACCTGTGGTCGTCTGATGGTAAGTCTAGTAGCCTTCCCACTCACAGGCTTCCAATCGTACTGGTGCTTTTCAGCTCTGTCATGGATTTAAATTCAATATACCTGACAGGATCGTGGAGAAGCTGCATATCCTCCGTTCTTCTATTGCTTCCGGCATCACGATGCAAATAGACGAATGGGGTGAGAATTGTCTTTCAAACCATTGAACACAGTCCGGATAACCATGCGCGAGAGGAGATAATGCTTGTGAGTAATTATCCTTGAGTCAAATGATATGGTTCTAAGATGTCTCATATCTCAGAATGGGTGGGAATGCGAATAGTATGCAGAGAGGCGCATAATGGCGGCATACTCGGCAAGCTTTGGACAAAAATTGCAAGCCCAGCACTCGTCTCTACTTCGACGACACTCGCACCGCATCTTCCACGCTAAGATACAATCTCAACACCAACACTCGGTCCGGCTTCGAAACCGGTGCGCCTGTTCAGGTCTGGACTGTGGCTCCCGTCCCTATCTCCCTTGCTATCACGCATGACATCTGGTGCCAGAGGACAACTCTCATTTGTCGTTGTTCATAAGACTGGAATTTTCAACCCGCTACAGGTTTGTCACGGGTACGTACTGCAACAGACAGTACACTCTATGACATTGCCAGAGGCCATTGAGATGGTCTGCTCTTGCGAAGAAAAACCAGTCAAGCCTGATGAAGAGATTACCAACGGCACGAAATCGCGGGAGGGGCAACTCAATGAGATGATTGCCAAGCAGAACGAACTCCTTGAGGTTATTACCGACTGGTTGAAGCAATTGCAAATAAGTGAGAAATCGCAGCCAGCAAATCGGCCGTACTCAATGAGCTCCAGCTGCTGCGTCGAACACTACCGCGCACGTCATTGCATACAAATGCAGCAGCATCTTAATGGGACATAGCGCGGAGATTCGCGCAAGTTTTCTTGTTGGGTATTGGGAGGCTGGAATAACGTTATAGATTTATCCCTCTGAGATAAGCTGCTTGCCCTTGCTCTGAGACTGATATGTTACAGTGACGCAACTCTTCCGTGGATCTGTACTTGTTCCATATTGAAGCGCCGCGATAATATGGAGAATGCGGCCAAGTACACTCTCTCTAGCATGACTTGCCGCTGTTAGGTTTTCGCGTACATTGAGCCCAGCTTGTCGCAACACTATCTGCGAGGCTGCGATTTTGAACTTTCCTGCTGCCCTGCACGTGGGTGTTTTGCGTGGCTCCTCTTCCAGAGCCTAAGTACCACCTCATCTAGCTACGGGCTCCGATGCGTACTCTGTTACACTGCATCAAAGACCCCCCTAGAGGGCGCGTTCGGGCGTTTCGTGAGTAGCAGAATGCAGCTCGTTGGAAGCTCAACCGATGACTGTGGTTCACCAAAAAAGACACCGAAGGGCAAAAAAAAAACCATCAAGATGGATTTTAACGGGCAGCGTGGAAACCATGGACCATTCTAGCTGAGATGTGGCATGTGGTGCTAGTCGCCTGGTCACCATATAAAACACAGCTCCCAGATGCATGGGTATATTTTGTTGCCAAGTATTTGCCAATTGATGAAGTTAGCAAATACGAAGCAATATTTACTAGGAAGGGCTCGTTTGGTTGTATCGAGTGGCATACGGCCAAATCTTACCCCTAAAGAAGGTATACTGCTGTGTCAAGGAGGTTAAGGCAAGCAAGCGAGCACTGATGTATTCTTATGACTTCGACGTGCGCGGGGATATCAGGAAAGAACGGGGACCATCAAACCCGACTATACATAGCGTTCGAGATAACGTCATCTACTTTCCCTGTTGTGCAGGTTACTATGTCCTGGGCGGAAGCGCGGCCATGGCCAGGTTTTCTATCGAGCGCCGCGACGATGATGAACTGGTTTTGTCGCCGCCAAAGTTGCCAATATTCGCCATGCCGGCGCCTGCAACCACGCCTTACGCGCGCCATTCTTTGTTCTAGGCTGACATTATATGCAGGGTTGCCCTTCGGGGCTAACCTGATACTAATTTCTTGATTTTAGTAGAAAACCCAGGTACGCACATTGTTGGAATGAAATGTACCTCTTTCTTCAAAGCTATTATGCCTGCAGCGTGGATGATTATTATCAGCCACTATTTCTATCCTATCTTTGTGAGGTCCACGGCACAAATTGTGTTTGGAAGCACCCGTGCGGAATCATCTCGTTAGCTCTGCCATTACTCTGCAGCCGCGATTCCTCCTGCAGATTCATCTGATATACCTTCGATGGATGCTCCTCGTCAAGGAGAGGAGAAACAAGCAGCTGCAGGGAATCGCGATTCATGGGACTATCAGACACGGGGTATTAAAGTACCTGCTTCAAAGGGAATTTAACCGCTAGAAGATCAAATCGATATTTCGAAAGGCTACGCCCTCTGGTTCCTTGGAACCTTGAGAACCCTGGTGTTACAGCCTCCGGATAAACCACGCTCACCTGTTGTGGTTCGCATTTATGATTCGAAGTCGCGGACAGAGACAATCAGGTCATACATGGTAAAGATGGTGACGCTGATTTTGGAGTCATTACAATTAGCCAACACTAACTTTCAAAAAGGCAAGGCACAACTACTGGAAGTAGAAAGCAGAAGAAGCATAACCAGGTGCAACTGGGGGCGCGGAATGGTTCCTAAAGACCTCACTCCGGAGTGGCAGTGTATCGGGAGTGGCTGTCAGAGTGATTTAATACTGATGGCCTAATGATCTGTCAGTAGATACAAGAACTTTGTACGCATGCATTATCGATGGCGTCCAGTCAGACTAAATGCAGCTCAAGGGTGGTCAAGCAGATGCGGAAACAGACCGCCATTGATGTGCTACCACCTAGAGAGCACTTCTTGATGCAGGCCCATATCTCGATTAACGCGAGACTTTATCAGCAGCATTTACAAGCATTTCTGATCATACATGAAACATACCACAAGGTCATGAGACACAGGGCTTGCTGCGACCAATTCGGAGAACTAATCAGCAGCTACAAAACCATCGCAGGTCGTGCAAGAAAAAAAGCGCGAGTGGAAGAAACATTTCCTTGAAACAGGAGAAGAACCATTACACCTGGTGAGCCTTATAGATAGATACCAGGTCTCTCGCCCTTCGTTTCTATCCTCCTGCCATTTAAGGGGTTGAAGTATCTGCAGTGGGTAAGGAACTTGGCCTGAATAAGCTTCTAGTGAATGTCATGCTTCGTACGCTGTCCTGAAAGTGTTCGCAATGTTTACCGCCATCACGGTCTCTTGGTATACCTAGCAGTGTGCCATTTTTCGGAACATTTCGAAGTCGTACTTGACATTACCACCCGCTCTCTCTACTGTCAGGTTCAGTGTCCCGAGCTTTTGCTAGGCTCTTCTTCCGTCCTCCAGTACATTGAGGACACTTCGGCTAGAGGCTGGACGCGATTACATTGATACTAGAGAGACTATTCACATGGATTTCTGGCCTATTGAAGAAATTTGGAGTCCTCGAGACGAAGGTATCCGGGTATGGTCAACTGATAATACTTCACCTTTACCACCCGGCTGGTAAATCCCGGAGGGATTTGCTTGACATACTTCAGGCTTCTCGGAAGCACTATCTCAGCAACGGTATCGTGGGCAATAAATATGGCGGACTGCTCATGGACCTCTTCCGCGAGTTGCAGAATTCAGCCCGTTGGGAGGTCAGTCTGCGGATGTCGCCGCCGCCGATAAACGACGACACTGACGTCGCTGCCGCCAATATTCCTGTGCCCGCGCTTGGGTCACTTTTCTCGTTGTGGTTGCCCTTTGAGGTGCTGATTTTGTTCGTTTTTTCCTGTTCGTTGTTTCGCTTTACAGGAGAGTTGACACTGTCGTAGCTGTCGTAGCTGCCGACACATGGACTACCTCGGTCCATAGGCGTTGACGCAGACTTAACGTTTATTGCAGCATGTACATTGTTTTTTGTGATATTTATCCGATTGACTTGGTCCACGGGACACTTTCCAAGTGTTATTGCATCTCTGCGCAATCTCATCTTACTTTACCAAGATATGCTGCTCGAAAATTCAAGGAATGCGTCATATCCTAGGGTTATAATTCTTGCACGCAACCTACCCCGACAAAGCCAATAACTACCTTCACCCATGCTCGAGGAGTATAGTCTCTTCGTGCTGTGCTCCGCATCTAAGCGCGTGCACGGCGCCGAGATGTCGGAGGGCGGGTATATCCAGGGGCTGGTGACGATAGCGAGAGCTGGGCGCTGGGGCTTACGCCTCCGCTGTTCTGGGAATTCTTCTTCAGCCTCTTACGGGTGTATCACGGCTAATTTGGCAGCCGCTGCCTGCCGCCGCCTGGCCTCCTGCGGCGTGGCCCTAACCCCCGCGATGTTAATTCTATCCAGTCCGGTGTGGTGCTGTACAATCTGCACATGCAGAATTTATAGACGGCCCCACGACCCCCGGACGTTTGGTTACTGGACCTGCCCAGCTCCGCGAGGGCATCCTTGTGACTAGAGCTGGCTGGATGCCGCTGCCCGACCAGGTGTGTAGATACTGTCGCAACCTCTCCTCCGGGAGGGTGTTCCGCGACTGTATCAGCGCAGGAACTGGGCAGAGGTGCAACAAGTGCCTTCATGCGATTTTACCTGCCAAGAGGTCCGTACGACAATATCCTACTTGGAAAGACGTCGAAGTTTCTATAATGGGCGATCTGGCAACTCAGGCTTCAAGTTAAAAAGATATGCATTCGACTACGATAGATGGACTTAGAATCCGAATCATTTCCAGGGTGATTTAAAAGCTATTCCGGGAGCCTGCTACAATACCCCCTGGTGGCACTCACACTGCTATTGGCGATTACCCTCTAAGATATCTGGAAACCGTCGTGCCGCGAGGGGAGCGGATATTACCAGCCAGGCGCAAGTCCAGTCTATGGATATCCATGGAAACGACTGGCGAGTCATGATTGGGTAATCCGGTGTTTACACGAGAGCAGTGCACACTGGCCAAGAGAGACTTTCTGTGGCACAACGCACGACATGGCTGTACGTACCTTTCTAGCTCCGTGTTCGTATATCTTTTGACTAATGGTATTGTTATTGTTATGTTGAAGTTGATTTGCCGTCGATGCAGCGAGTAGCAGCGAGCAACAATGTTCCTCGCCTGAGCTACATGGTATCGGCCCCCGGGAAACAGAACTCGCACCATTGTTCGATTTTCTGTATAGACAATATGAGTCTGATCCTTTACTACCAGCAGCCGACTACGCCATGGTTACTGCCTTCCCAACACACGAGACTGAGTTTAATATGTCGAGGTTACTGTGACCGCCGACACATGGTCCAGGTCAGATCTTCAAAAATGTCTGCCACAACCACTCGTCGCGGGTTGCTAAGAGCGGTATTAAGGAAGCTTAAGTTGAGCTTGGCCTTGTTGGAAAGATCTACTCTCTCGGCACTGAACGCTATGGCTCCACCGGACTGCACAAGGTCGCTTAGGAGAGGTTTAGGTCGTATTTAGCGAGCTTCTCATCTAGGGTCCACGAGTCCACACTGCTAACAGTTGCCCCTACTGTATCCGGAAGTTCAACAGTTTGACAGGTCTAATCGCCCACCATGAGACCGGCAGCAAGCGCTGCAGCGCGCGCAGTCGCGTCCTGCAGGATCCAGCGATGGATTGGTCCACCGGCGGAGCTGCGCGCAGTGCAGAGCCCCTCGAGAGCAGCGCGGTCGAGTCCAGGGCAGGCAACATGGGGCGCTGGACTGCCGGCCAATGAGATGAGCCTCGCTCGGATTGACCGACTGTCCCACGTCAAGTGGTAAGCTACCTCGTGTCTAGTACGCAAGCCGCTATCGCCGCAATACGATCAATCCGCGGGCACATCCGCGGTGATACCGCCCAGGTACTCTATGGTCATCCCTGTGCCTCCTGCAAATTCGGTCTTTCTCACACAAGGTTGTTTTAAACATAATTTCGGGGAGCTTCACCGCAAAATATCAAGAAGCAAGTGGTGCCTGACCGACTTGTACCAGTGAAGTTTTTAGCTCGAGTCCTGGCTTTGAAAGCTCAGTCTTCTGACGGGTTTGAATCATGAACATGTAGATGCGGGAGGAGCTTTATGATCTTGCGGCAGGCCTTGAATCTAGGCCGAGCTTGAGGTAGTGGATGGCCAAGAACGGGGAGCATGGCTACAGTTCGGAAAGCAGAATAGCCACCTCTACAGGAAGGAGCTCATGAACTGTTCTAGTTGACCCATTCCAGAAGCGGGGAGGTTCCTCATCTACTTCCTGTTCACCGCGGGTGTCTTTGCTACTATCGAGGTGCTGCGGCTTTGATACATGCAAAGCACCCCGGCTAAACATAGAAGCCTTTGCATGGAGATGAGCACTGGAATTGTCCAGGTATACTACGAATCCTCGCTATACCAGCCACAGACCAACAACTCCGGTGCATACTCAGCTGATATACTTCTGAAGACCCCAAGAAGTATGGAAACCACATCCCGGCTTGTACTCGAGGGCACAACCGCCCTGGTGAACTTACGCTTCTGTCAATGGAGACCGGGCCGGTTCTATTTCACGCGACCTGGCCCATCGTCCAACTTCTTACGTCGGCTTGAAAGGAGATAGCAACTCTATCATGATACGGAATCTCTTTTAGCCAAGAATTTCGAATCCGGATATGTCAATTAATACGACAGCTTCCAGGGAAGGGACCAAGAGAGCGACTGAAGTCCTCAACATGGGGTACAAACAGGGCGGTCCTGAGGGATTGATGATATGTCTGGAATGAGCCATTCTCGAATCGCTAAGCAATATTAGTAGCTTGTTCTTATTCCACTATATGCTTATTGAAGGTGAAGTCATAATAGTATTGGAAAATCGACGAAGGGTCATCAAGAATGTCCAGTTCACACGAAGCCACAGCTTATGCTTTGTGGCTGCGAAGAGGCACAGTTGCATATTTCGGGGCTTGCTTCTTGATGCTTGGGTGTCCTCCTCTCTACCGTCTTGCAGGCAACTTTGGCACCCTACTGAAGAATTATTTGGCCCTACTCTAGAGAGCCATAGAGACGACAAGACCCGTTAACCTGTTACAAGACTCGCCAGACAGACTTAAACAACAACCAGGCAATAGGAGCCATTCAAGCGAGGAAGTTTTCTTTGGGTGAATAATGAACCAGAACTGAGCCAATGATAGCCAAATTCCTTAAATTCACCCTGTATTCCATCCTATACCTTCTCTATATCCCATTATGGCCAAGAACAGAGTCTCCAGGTTCGATGACGCAAGGATTTCTAAGGCCTTAGTCAGTGATGGTGAGGATACCATGATGGAATACTGCCTCTCGTCTGTCTATACTCAGCCAATCAAACTATTCATCGCGCTAGTCAGGGTGTAATCTTTATCCTAGGACAATGAGTAAATATCTGCTCAATCAGATGTTATAGAAGATACTGTATAAAGTTAGTACTCTCCTCTCATGCAAGATGGAGCGTGAGGCGAATGTCGCGGACTCAGGTTATGTGTCGGCTGTGCGTGTCCGAGACAGGGCTTCGAGCACTGGGCTTTCTACGTCAGCTGGGCAGACTGACAGTCACCTTTTTTTTTCAAATGGCTATAAGCACCTTTCTCTCCAAGAAACGAGAGAGTTTGACATAGAATGGCACGAAATCTACTTGAATCTAAGAGTAGCTAAGTGATTTGTGAGAGAAGCAAAGATAATCATATAGGGAAACTGCACGAGATCGTGTAAGCACCTTCCCGAATAGACAAGTCTGAATCTATCGCGACTTTGTCCAACATCACATCTCGACTTGCTGTTACTACAGTTACATTATTGCCAATGCCCCGGCCGATGCATCTTCTCGCCCGAGAGTGATAACGTTATTGACCATGTACTGTACATGGAGTGCAGACAGGAGTACACAACATCACCACCGGAGATTGCGCCATCGGTCCACGGCTTTCGCGATCGCCCGCCCACACGCCGTGCCACTGGTTCAATCATAACCAACTTCTCAGTTCACGGTCAGGCACACCATCCACTCCACTCCTTGCAACTGCTTGGTGCTCAGCGATCATCCGGTGCAGGACCACACTCCCTGACGGATCCATGGCTTGGCTGATGCGCCAGGGCGGAGGGGAAATAGAGGGGTAGATACGAGGTATATATGTCACCCCTCGCTCGTCGAGAAACACCCTTTGACCTAGTACTCTGAGACTACCAATCAGACAGTATCAGCCAAGCCAGCATTCGCAATCCCAGACACACTTCACAATGGCACTGACCCAACAAGCCACTTCCATTCCCTTGGGCATTTTCCCCGACGGCCTCAAAACCACCGGCCAACACCCCCCGCTCTACGAACACATCCACCCCTTCGACAAGTTCCCCAAAGAGATCACCGGCCCGACCGTCTGGAAGCCTGAAGACTATCGCGAGCACCCGGAGAAATGGACCCATCGCTTCACTGCGGAGGAGATCGAGGAACTGTCCACGGCGGCCGATAATTTCCTGGCCAACAAGATCCCTATGACGGGGATCAGCAAGGCATGCACAATCCCACCCGTATCTACTTCCGTCCCCCTAATATACTCACTAACCGCCAAGCAGAGCAACTTCCCCCTCCCCAACCTCTCCAAGCGCCTCACAGAACTCCGCGCCGACCTCCTCAACGGCAAAGGCTTCATCCTCTTTAAAGGCTTCCCCGTAGAACGCTGGGGCAACCACAAATCAGCGATCGCATACATGGGCCTGGGCACATACTTAGGGTACTTCGTCAGCCAGAACAGCCGGGGCCACGTGCTGGGCCACGTCAAGGACCTGGGTGAGGATCCGACGCAGATCGACTCGGTGCGCATCTACCGGACGAACGCGAGGTGAGTTCCCTACAGCAACGCCCACGAACCCAGTCCCCTCTCTCTCATGACCCAGACCCGGCGCCCAAGCCCTAACATAAAAATCACAACAGACAATTCTTCCACTCAGACGACTCCGATATCGTAGGGTTACTCTGCATCCACCGCGCCAAAGAAGGCGGCGAATCAGACCTCGTCTCCTCGCACCACGTCTACAACACACTCGCCCACGAGCGGCCAGACGTTCTCCGAACCCTGGCCGAACCGATCTGGTACTTCGACCGCAAGGGCGAGACCAGTCGCGGCGAGGACGAGTGGATCCGCACCAGCGTCGTGTATCTTGAACGCGGGGAGCATCCGCGCGTGTATACCAAGTTCGTTGTCCAGCCTCCTATTTCCAGCCCTACCTTCCCAACCACCCCTCCCCTCAAAGAAAGAAAACTAACCAGATGCGAAAAAAAAAAGATGGGACCCCTACTACGTCCGCTCCATCACCCGCTTCTCAAACGCAGGCCTCATTCCACCACTCTCCGCAAAACAAACCGAAGCCCTCGAGGTGCTGGAAACCACCTGCAACCGGCTCAGCCTGCACATGGTCCTCGAGGTCGGCGACATCCAGTTCCTGGCCAATTCGCACGTGCTGCATGCCCGCACGGCGTACATGGATCATGCGCCCCCCACGCCCCGTCGCCATCTCATGCGGTTGTGGCTTGCCACGCCCGAGAGTGAAGGTGGCTGGCGTCTGCCGTTTTGGGATAGTAATGAGAAGAAGCGCGGGGGTATTCAGGTTGATGATCAGCCGCCTGTTGCGCCTTTGGATGCTGAGTAGGGTATTTTTTTGTTTTGGGGGAAGGGGGGGGATGGTTCTTTGATTGTGTTTTGGGTTGTACGATTGATCCCGTTTTTTAACTTCGTGCATGGAAATACTGTTTTTTATTGGAGTTTGATTATGAAAAATGTAAGCTTGTGTGTACGTAAATGTATTATGGTTATATGGAAGGTCTCGCTATCATCGTGAATCGTACATCGCTGCACTGCGCCGCTTTAGCAGCGTGATACTGCCTGCCTGACTGGTACGTATAGTATACTAGCGAGGACCGCGTCACTAGAGAACCAATGCAGAGATACATGGGCTACCCCAGCGCGGCACTATCCCACTCCCCAATCTAACCCCTGTATACAGACCTAGTCTAAGTCTTAATCTTATAATTTCCCCCACTCACAATCTCCAGCTTCCCCTTCGCAACCATCCCAGCCAAAAACTCCCGGAGCTCCTCGTTGCTAAACGGGAACCCTCCCGGCACGGCGATCTTCAGCATCATCACGATCCGCTGCAGCGGCATGGCGCCCTGATTCGTCAGCATCCCCACGATGAATTGCCAGTAGAGGTTCATCTTCTCCATCGCGGCCGCTTCGGCCGATTCCTTGGCTGCGGCTGCGGCGGCTGCTGCGGCTGCCTCGGCGGCGTCTTCGAAGACGGGGGATGTGCTTGGGTGATGTGGGTGCGGTGGGTGGCGGGGATTACTCGTGGGGGTGGTCGGGGTTGTGGTTGTCTTGGGGGAGGTGGAGGGGTGGGTGTTTGCCGGGTGGGCGGCGTCGGGTTGGTCGGTGGAGGAGGAGGTGGAGGAAGGGAGGACTTCGAGGACGCGGAAGGTGTCGCGGGGATGTTCGTGGAGGATGCGCTTGCTGACCCAGAAGAGGCAGGCGGAGCGGACGAGGGTGATGGGCATTTGGAGTTGGTGGGCGAGGTCGGTGGTGGTTTTGAGGGTGGGTGCCGATGACGAAGAAGGTGAGTTGAAGGCGTAGATCACCGTCGCTTGCCAGGTGGTGACTTCGTCGACGAAGACGCGGTCTTCCAGGTCCAGTTCGACGGTGACCTGGCCGAGGCCGTTGAGCCAAGTGAGTTTGCGGGATTGTTTAAGGGAGCCGAAGCCCTGGGCGTAGCGGTGTTGGAGGGAGGCGACGGGGTCCGGGACGCGGAAGTCCGGGCCTGGGAGGTCGGGCCAGAAGAAATGGGACAGAATTTTGGCGTGGAGGTCGGTGGCATGCGCTGGTTGCTGCTGGCTCTTGTGTAGGCCTTGATCGGCGCGGACGACGCTGTCGACGCGACGCGAGTCGAAGATGTCGCGGAGCATGACCTCGCAGGCCTGGAGGGCGTTGTCGCCGAAGCGGACCTTGAGCAGTTCCAGCACGGCCATCTCTTGGTCGAAGTCGGTGCGCTTCTGGAGTAGACGCTCCCCGAGCATTTTCTGCATCTCCTTGACGAACATCTCCTTCGAATCGAACAGGCTGATCAGGCTGCCGATCACGTCGGATGTCTTGGATTTCCGGTAGTCTGGCGCCGCGTCCACTGGGTCCGGCATCCAGTTCATGTCATCCCAGTCGAGCTCGCCGCTGTCGGCTCGGAGGGAGTTCTGGTGTGCCTTGGTTAGCTCCGCAGAAAGCTCCACCAGGGTGTCGGGGTGGTGGGTGGAGGCTGTTTGGCCGTCCGCGTCGGCAGGATCGGCCAGCAACCCGCCAACGATGACTTGGATGGTGTCATCACGGTCGCGGAGATATCGACGGATGGGCCGAGCAATTCGATCAAGGAGGACGCCCTTAGGATCAAGTAGATTAAAGGCTCGGATGATCGAGATGTATACCTGGAGGATCTCGATTGTGGATGCTCCCGGATGTAGCAATCGTTGATTGAGGACGGCGATGAAGGATTGCGTCAAATGGTATCGCGCAGCTGGATAGGTTGTGAAATGTCGGAGATCCTCGATCGCACCGCTGCTTGCCGGCCACTCAACGATCACATCGAAGAGTTCGCTGGTCCGTAATGCGCCTAGACGCGCAATGCCAATCTCCTGCCATTTCTCGACGTCGCTCAGGGTCACGTCAAGGTTGCCAAGCTCCTTTTCGCCCGATTCGGGCACGTTGATGATCGACAGGACTTGGACGACGAGCTGCGCAAACACGTTCTCGATCCACTGCCGCAAATGCTGCGATGCAAGTGAAGGACCCTCCCACTGGGCCGTATAAGCTGCTCGGACAAATTCAGTCATCATGGTATCCATCACGCTGGCGAATACCTTCTGTGCCTTGTCACCGCCCATCCCCACGAGCTGCAGCCCGTCAAAGAGCATGAGCAGCCGCTCCCGCGCAGCACCGACCCGGGAGTCCTGATCCGTCAACATCTGCATCCTAGCAGCCGGGGAGGGCTCATCGCGCCAGTCCTGATAGGACACCGAGCACTGGCGATCAAGGTCCATATCATCCACGCCGCCAGCCCCCTCAGCAGCCGCTCGTTCTCTGAGGGCATCAATCCCCAGAATGACCAGCGCCTCCTTCATAATCTCACGACCCAGCAGCCCAGACGCCTGCGACCACGGCAGCGCATAGGCGACCATCATATAAAACGACCGACACAGCCTCCCATACACATTTTCCTGCACGCCTCGATACAGTGCGCCAAGGATATCCACCAGTGGCTCGAAGTAAATCCTTCGGACCAATTGCAGACACACCACAATCCTCTGCAACAAACCATCCTTGTCCGGCTGTCCCAGCGCCTAGAATCCGCGGTCAGCAAACGCGCACCCACACATTCCCTCTCCCCTCCCGTCGTCAAAGCTTAACTAACCTCGACCAATCCGCCCCGAACATTCTTCAAAAAGTGCCTCCGGATCTCGAACCCGTACCAATCCAGGATACTTTTCTGCACCGCGTCCCCCTTCGGCCTGCGCACCCTCCGGTTACCTAGAAACGGCTCGAGTAGACACGCAAACGCCTCCAGCACGTCGGTCTCCGCCGTGCGATGGCGATTCCACAGTCTTAGGAACTCCGTGGGCTCCGTCTGCTCGTATCGGAGGAGGGTCGCGTAGCCGCGGTCCGGTACCGCCAGGAACCCCGTCGCAACGTCCCATGCGCGGGTCCAGGTATCCTCGTCGAACCAGGCGCCGTCATCTTCGTCGTCATCGTCCGAGGTGGCGATTTCGGTTTGCTGGGAGGTGGTGGAGGCGCGGAAGGTAGGGTTCTCGGTTTTCTGGGAGTCGGAGTCGGCGCTGGGGTGGGTGTTGTGGGAGAGTTTAGAGGACGGGAAGAAAAGCGGGGGATTGGGGCCGAGGGTGTGTGATTTCGCAGCTGTCAGAAAGTCGTCGAGAGAGGCTGGGGGGAGGACGGAGGAGAAAACGCGTTTGCGACGGGTGGTGGTGGATGTTGTTGATGTTGGTGGCATTTTGTGTTCGTGGCCGCGCTTGCTGGGTGGGCGATCATTGAAGGGAGGTCATAGTAGGGATTCGGACAGAGGGACGGTCGTTACACGCCTTCTTCAGGGCGGCATTCCGACGTAGATAGCTTGTCGTGGGTGTGATGGAGCGATTGAAGGAGTGGTGCAGGTCGGTGGAATTGATGCTGCTGTTGATTGTTTGGGGATAATGCGATGACTCAGCGGGCTTATCGATAAGTCATAACTATCCGAATGAGGAAATATCCAAGCAAGCACGGCATAGCAGCGCAGGACAGAGTATTATACATACTTTTGACCTAACAGACTACAGAGGTTGTACAACTGTGTAGAATTCAATACATACCCAGAGACCTTTGGCCGTAGAAGACTTCACAAAGTGGGGTTCTCGTGCTTGCTTTATACGATAGTATCGCCGTGCGAGAAAAATATAAGTCTGCCTTCATCTAAGTCTGGCAAAAACATTGGACGTCTATCAGCACTGGGCTTGTCGCGTTCCAAGCAGTATGGGGGCCAGCTACTAATTGGACGCCCTAGGCTGTAGCCTTCATATACTGTGAAGTAAGTCTATAATGATGATACATTGGTAAATCATCAATCTACCGGCAGGGAATGCCATCTAATGGGAGTCTCGTCGGTGCGAGGAGAACATAAGACCACGCAACCTTTGAGCATATGTATCAGACCCGCCCAGAAGACAGATGTATCGGAGTCTGTTCTGAGGGTTGCGTTTGCGGAAGTAACCAAAATCAAGTCGAGCCGGGGTTGGCCGCGAGTGGCGGTTGTGAGACCGCGAATCCTGTGGCATCACTAGGCCGCGTGGTTGTCATCCACCTTCTCCCATTCACTATCGGTGCTTTGGTAGCCCGAACTCTCGCCGCTGACGCTGAGACGCTTCCGAATTTCGCCTTGCGCCTCGGGAAGTTGCAGTGTGGCCGAGGCAGTGGTGGACCGGGGAGCGGAGGTGGGCACTGATGCAATCTCTTTGCGCAAGGCGACCTGTTCGGTTTCGGTGTCACTGTCCGTGGTGTCGAGAGCACCGGGAGTCTTCCGGGTGCTGCTGTCGGGTTTGCCCTCAGGTTCGTCGTCGTGTTCCTTATCCGCGTGCTTTTGCTTCTCCGCCTCCTCGGCCTGGAACTGCCTCACCTCCCGCGCAAACCAGTTGATGGACCACCAGAGAGCGCCCGATAGGAAGGATAGGACCAGGAAGTGAATGCTGTAGGTGGCCAGAAGGAGGGATAGGAGGAGGGCCTGCAGCGCTGCAAAGGTGACGTTGGTTGCGACGAGGAGCGTGGGGGTGGGTCCGGGGGTGAAAATGCTGGACCAGAGGTCCTCCATAAACGAAGCCATAATGGCGATCCGCTTCCGGTCGATTGGTCGGCTAGATGCGGGGGAAGATTGCAAGGTAGGTTAAAGATGAGTCTGGGCAGCTTGGTAGAAGCTGGAGAAGGAGAAATGACGTCGCAGCCGGAAAGTGGAATCCGCTGTTGCGATGGCCGAGGAACTGTTCCTGCGCTTATTTTTTCTTCTTCTTGCCGGCGCACTGTGTGTTGCGAAGTGAGTGGCTTCACTTTCCGATCTCGCCCACACACAGCTATCAGTGCAGTGACCACAGATTGGCGAGCACCAGTATCTGGTCTGTGTGAAATAAAGGTGCGGGAGAGTCGAAGAAGCTGGTGAGGTCTGAGCAAGGGAGAGAGAGTCGGGGAATGTTTGGGTTGCGGGGGAGAGCAAGACGGATCGACCGAGCGGGAACGGATTGGGCGGTCGGCGTTTGATTTGAGCCGATCGATGGTGGGGAAATCCGACTGTCTGACGTTTGGTAGACCAGGAACTAGAACTGGAACTGAACTAATCCGCGAATTTACCCCGTGGGGGAGAGTGCAATACGTAGATGAAGGTGGGTTGAATGTAGTTGTGAAAGTAGAGACGAGAAATAGAAGAGGCAGAACAGATTCAGGTCACTTGAAGAAGGAGAATAAGAAAGAGGGGGAAGAGAAGGGAGGAAAGGGAAAAAGGCCGCCCGCCCTCGTGGCGGTGGGCAGCAGAGATGAAGGAAGCAGCAGCCCAACGCAGGCGTGTGTGTGTGTGTGTGTCTTGAAGCGACTCACTCACTGCATCACGGGATCCCTCTTGGTTTGTCGGGTTTGTCAGGTTGTCAGGTTGTCAGGCTATCAGGCTGTCAGGCTACCTAGCAGTGAACTGAACTTGATCGAACCTCCTTCCACCTCCGTTGCCGTCTCTCTATCTCCCCCTCCCAGGCATTTATCAGTGATCGGCAGATGCAACAGCGATCCTTGCTCTCTCATTCATCCAGAATATGCACCTGTCATTCTCCCGACTCCAGGAACTAACTAATGACACGGTCACCCTCCCTGCCCGTGACCGGCTGTGGTTCTGACCCATCACGTCCACTGATGTGAAACCATCGATGTCGTTGGTCAGAGGAGTCCCCAACTGGGATTGATCAGCTTGCAGTCAGATGAAGAGACTAGGCAACTCTTCTCGTACAACCCCCACGGAACTACCCCGACCTGGTCTGAAGCCAAGTCGAATTCCGTTTGCATGTCCGCATTCGGCAGATGTTTAATCATGACGACGGCACGTGCAGCAACACGATGACAAGCACACTCAAGCAGACCTGATCGCAGGAGAATGATCACAGATCCTACCTGGTGGCCTGATCTGATCAAAGCGCTTCTTTTCTGTTCTGTTGTCGGGCCTGGAGTTTGATAAGGAACCATACCGGCAATTCGATCTTGTTCCATCCCCAGTCGGCTTCCTTCGATGGGATTCGCTGCTTGGCTGCTTGGCTTCAAGGACATGCTCTTTTCCCGGCCCACCTGCATCCACCCCTTCTATTCGACCATCCACCCTGCAGATCACAGCATTTAGGGTTATTTTCTTCTCCTCTCTTCTGCTTCATGGCGCTGGACCATCCGAGGGCCGCCAGCTGGGTTAGAGCCAATCAGGTCGTACTGGTCCGGCCGCCGTTTCCTTGGTCTTTTGGCTGCCTCCGACTGGTTCCAAGCTTCGACAATACTCACTACCCCGAGGCCCTGATAACTATAAGTAACACTGCAACCTGTCTGTAGATCGTAGACTTCTCTGGTAGCATCGACCACGTGCATCAATCTCCTTGTCTTCCTCCTCCTCCCCGACCCAATTGGGCTCAATCCTTTCAACCTCTTTCTCTCCTTCTCCTCCTCCTTTCTTCTTCCTCCTTCCCATTCGTGGTCATGGCGAGCAAGTCAATTGATCAGCCAACAAAAGACCTTGCCATTGATGGTCGATCGTCCATTCAAGGGTTTGCCCACCATGCCGAGGACATCGCTGATGGCCGGGAGCCCTACGGTCCACCCGGTATCAAGGGTCTCATGGCCAATCCCTTTGTGCTTCTATGCGCCGGGTGCTCAACACTGGGAGGTCTTCTCTTCGGATACGACCAGGGAGTGGTCTCCGTAATTCTTGTCATGAACCAATTCCTCCAGCGTTTCCCCGAAGTAGCGGAAGGACACTCAGGGGCTGGGTTCTGGAAGGGGTTGATGACGGCGATGATTGAGTTGGGCGCGCTCATTGGCGCCTTGAACCAGGGCTGGATCGCGGACAAGATCTCCCGGCGGTACTCCATCATCGTTGCCGTGATTATCTTCTTGATCGGATCTATCCTGCAGACGGCGGCGATGGACTATGCCATGTTGACGGTCGCTCGGTTGATTGGCGGTCTGGGCATCGGAATGTTATCCATGGTGGCTCCGTTGTACATCTCAGAGATTAGTATGTCTTGTTCCTGGTGGAGGCTTTGACCGGATCATTTCTAATGCTTTGTTGTTGATAGGTCCTCCTGAGTGTCGCGGTACCCTCTTAGTGCTAGAAGAATTCTTCATTGTGCTCGGAATTGTCATCGCGTACTGGATCACTTATGGCACTCGATACATGGCGGGCGAATGGGCCTGGCGACTGCCGTTCTTGCTGCAGATGGTTCCCGCGGTTGTTCTGGTGGCCGGGGTCATTGTTCTGCCTTTCTCTCCGCGATGGCTCGTCTCGAAAGGAAGAGAGGAGGAAGCCTTGCACAGCCTATCGCGACTGCGCCAACTGCCCGCAACGGACAAGCGCGTCCGCCAGGAATTCATGGACATCAAAGCTGAAGTGCGCTTCCACCAGGAGATGAATGCGCAGAAGCACCCCAGCCTCCAAGGAGGCAGCCTGAAAGATTCGCTGTTGCTGGAGATGGCGTGTTGGGCGGACTGTTTCAAGAGCGGCTGCTGGCGGAGAACCCACGTGGGCGTTATGCTGATGTTCTTCCAGCAGGTATGCTTCCAGCCCTCCCTCTCCTTTTCTGTTGATCGTATTCAAGTCTAACATGTTGCATAGTTCGTGGGAATCAACGCATTGATCTACTACTCGCCTACCCTTTTCGAAACCATGGGCCTAGACTACGACATGCAACTCCTCATGTCCGGAATTCTGAACGTTCTGCAGCTGGTCGGCGTGGCCACGACAATCTGGACAATGGATAGCATCGGCCGTAGGCCCTTGCTCCTTTGGGGTGCAGCTATCATGGCGCTCTGCCACATCATCATCTCCGTGCTGGTCGGTCTCTACTCGGACAATTGGCCCGCGCACCGAGGACCCGGCTGGGCCAGCGTGGCCCTGCTCTTCGTGTACATGATTGCGTTTGGAGGATCTATCGGCCCCGTCGGCTGGGCTATGCCTTCCGGTACGTACATACTATGCTCCGCCCCGCTGCACGCAAACGACGAGACCAAACATACTGACATCAATCCATAGAGATCTTCCCCTCGTCCCTCCGCGCGAAGGGTGTGGCCCTTTCCACCTGTTCCAACTGGCTCAATAACTTCATCATCGTAAGTCCTCAATCGCCTTCTCCTATTTTATGCTCCTGAACAACCCGATTGACTTCTTTCCACCAGGGCCTCATCACTCCTCCACTCATCCAAGACACAGGCTACGGAGCCTACGTCTTCTTTGCCGTCTTCTGCGTCCTCACCTTCCTGTGGACCTTTTTCTTCGTCCCCGAGACGAAAGGCCGCACCCTCGAGCAGATGGACCACATCTTCAAGGATAATTCCAGCGAAGCTGACCGGGATCTCCGACGGGCGGTCGAGGCTCGGATCCTGCAGGAAGAGGAGGGTCAGGTTGTTTCTGTTTGATTAATTAATGTAACCGAACTCCAGCCTCGTTCAATTCGAGCTTAAGCCGGAACCTTGTTTAATGTGGCGTCGAGTCCACTGGTGGATTGGTGCACTGCCGCTTCGATTCTTTGTGCATAGCATTACTTAGTACGTGATGAAGTTATGAATCTTATTTGAGAATTATCTTCTTTCTTTCTTGTCTGCCACTGTAGATCCTTTTGCCGTGATATTAATCCTTCCCGACCTGGCGTTAGCTTGTTTGCAGGTGACTGTGGCTTCGTGATAAAGAAACTGGAAGTGTTTTGTGAGTCTCTTGTATCTCCCCGTCAGACTGCAGCCCGAGATCTGCTGTAGGTGTGACATGTATAGTAATCTCAAATATGGTAGATCCGTAGCTGCACCAGCTGCACTGCAAGCAGCACAACTCATTCACAATTGTCTACCGGTGGATCTTCTCAGAACCCCCGACAATATCCAAAGCCTCGAACAATGCAAGTCGCACAACAATAAGATGACATCATAAGCTCCCACCCTTGCCGCCAATTTGCACAAACAAACCAGTAGCCATTGTTCTCAATCCTAGTCTTCTTGGCCAACACAAGTACATAACCCGCATCTGCAGCAAGTAAGTCGCTTGATAAGAACCGGTCTACAATGCAACCCATTGCCCAGCCTGCATCACAATGCACGACCAGACCGACTCCGCCTACAAAAGGCCGCCACGGCCCCCTCCCCGTAACTTAATCCTAACCCACCCACCTCAAACCCGCCAACATGCGACCAGTATACGCGATCGTACTCGAAGCACTCGCGGGAGTACCGATAGCCCTATCATCATCTCATCCTGAGCCATACAACCCAGCCCCTCTCAACGAATTCATCAAAAAACAAACCCCGATTGCCTGGCAAGGGATCCTGAACAACATCGGCGCCGGGGGCGCCTACCCGGGGATCGTAGTCGCGTCGCCATCGAAGTCCGATCCAGACTGTAAGCCATATCATCATCATCCACACTATCATCCACACATCCCACCCACTCCTCAAAAAGGAAAGAAGCCCTAACCTAACCCGGCGATAGACTTCTACACCTGGACCCGCGACGCAAGCCTAACCATCACCGCACTAACCCCTTACCTTTCCTCTTCCACCACAGAAACCACCAAAATCGAACCCCTCCTCCAAGATTACATCACCAGCCAAGCAACCCAACAAACAATCACCAACCCCTCCGGCCCGTTGGACGATGGCACCGGCCTCGCCGAACCAAAATTCCACGTCAACCTGACCGCGTACGTCGGCGCATGGGGCCGGCCTCAGCGCGACGGGCCCGCGCTGCGCGCCTCCGCTCTAATCGCCTACGGGAACCACCTCCTCTCCACTGGCCGGGCGGCGCTCGCTCGCAGAAATATCTGGCCGATCGTTCGGAATGACCTCGCGTATGTAGCGCAGTACTGGAACGAGACGACCTTTGATTTGTGGGAAGAGGTGCGCGGGGCCTCGTTCTTTACGACCGCTGTGCAGTACCGTGCGCTGGTGGAGGGGATGGCGTTTGCGGAGGCGCTGGGCGAGGAGTGTGCGGGGTGTGCGCTTGTTGCGCCGGAGGTGCTTTGTCTGTTGCGAAGGGGGTATTGGGATGCTCCGCGTGGGGCGGTAAGGGCGAATTGGCCGGGGAGTGGGCGCCAGGGGATTGATGCGGGTTCGGTGCTTGCGGTTGTGCATACTTTTGATGCGGGGGCGGGGTGTGGGCGTGATAGCGAGGACGACGGGGATGAGGATGAGGATCGCACGTCGTTCCAGCCGTGCTCGGATAGGGCGTTGGCGAATCATAAGGCTGTTGTTGATTCGTTCCGGGGCATCTATGGTGTGAATCGTGGGAGTGCGGTTGGCGTTGCGGCGGCTGTGGGCCGTTATGCGGAGGATGTTTATCAGGGTGGACATCCTTGGTCTGTCTATCTTATCTCATCTTCTTGGGTTTTGTACAGTGTGGCTGAGTGGGATGAATTGCTGATATGTTCGGAACTAGGTATCTGACGACGCTGGCCGCCGCAGAACAGCTGTACGACGCCTTGTATCAGTGGGAGAGGCAGGGCCGGGTCGATGTCACGGCTCTGTCTAGGCCTTTCTTCGCGGATCTCGTCCCTGATATCTCGTCGGGGTCGTACTCGCGGGGTTCGGAAGAGTACGCGGCCATCACTGACGCTGTGAGACGGTATGCGGACGGCTTTCTCGCTGTGGTGCAGCAGTATACTCCCGAGAATGGGAGCCTGGCGGAGCAGTTTGACCGCAACACCGGGGCGCCGGTGTCCGCCGTCGATTTGACGTGGTCGTATGCTGCTTTCTTGACGGCTGTCGCCAGGAGGGACGGTGCAGTGCCTCCGTCGTGGGGGTCGACGGCCGCCCAACCAGCCCCGGCGCAGTGTAGCCCGACCAGTGTGCCTGGTCAGTATGCTACGCCGGTGGTAGGCTCGTGGCGGGTCAGAGATGAGCTGAAGTGAGTTGGTCTGTTTGGCGTTGTGCGTGGATGGATGGCAGTAGGGGTTGGAAGCTATGGCAGTATGTCAGGACAGTGGTTCTAGTGTCAAGTGTCAGATGGTAGTAATTTTGTATGAGCTCTGCGACTTCTTCTGCATGGTTGTACTAGTCTCCACCACGTCAGGCGAGGATCCCCCTGAATTCCTCGGGAAACCGACGGATGAATATCAAGCTAATAGTCCTTCCCACTGAGAAATCTCCGGCTGTATATGCCCCCTGGGTGCTGCACCATAACTTCCCCGCGACACATATACCCATAGCTCCCTGATGACGAGGATGAGGTGATAGGAAGAAAGAAACAACCAGATGAGTTTAATGTGAGGGTTGGCTCCGCGCGGACTTGCAATGCAGATTGAGGTACATTGCATGTAGTGGGGTGTCAGGTCTGCTCTTCGTAAGACTTCCCAGGTGATCCCTGGTGAGTCTATTGGTTACGTGGGAGTAGAGTGGCCTACGCACTTCTGCAGCAAAATATCACGAGATCAGCCGCTTCCAGAGGTCACAGTGCCAGCGATGGTCAACAATTAGTGTCTTAAAGTACGTTCCTACCTCATTCAAACTCTGGTAGCCGCAGTCGTCCCTCTAGCATGCCTCTAGATCTTGTACACATCTCGGGCATAGACCTGTGCCATACTCGTAGAACAGAATGCGGCTCGATCCTAGAGCGAAAGCATATTCCGTTCCCAGATCACAACATACCAAATGCCATACTTGTTCGTGTGTTGCATGCGCTTGAATACAGTGGCAGAAAGAACTGATCTCAACTTCCTGAATGCCTTGTCAAAAAGCTCAATGAGGTGACAATCCATGAATGATATTCTACTGCATCTCCGGGTTAGGTGACAGAAACGCTCACAATACTAATTCAACTTTCGCTGTTGAATCGAGCTAACAGTATATGTGATCGAAGAGCTTATAGGCAGTGTTTTGCTGAGACAATGATCTTGTGAAATGACTTCTCCTTGAATTGAATGTCTTGAGGCTTTCAGAACAGGGAGAGGGGCAGATCTGGTCCACACGTCGATCTCACAAAGGTGCAGCAGCTCTAGGCTTGACTTCGTTGTCAATTTCGGATTTAATCGCAACTATCGATTCCATTCCAACTCTGAGCAAAGCCTGGGGTTCACATCGCCACAAGTATATAAAGCATCTTAATAACTATGAAATCAATCTAACCTGCCAAGAAACACCCCCATCAAGCCAGAATCCCGGAGAGTAGATCAAACACAAGCACCTTTCTAAAGCTAAATCCAGGGTCTAAAGCGTCATCACTCACTATGACCTAATTGAATCTCTGCAATGGTGCTGTTTTGCCGCTCGCTATACTCCAAGGACATTATTTATATACACAACACCCGCCTCACGAAATCCTCAGAAACCCTCAAAAAGCCATACAGACCCAGAACCTCAATCCTCGAAGAAAAAAAAATATATATATATATATATCTACACCACTCACCAAAACCAAAGCACCTAACACATAAGTCCAGCTATATCCCCCCTACAACTTGACCTCCCTCCCAAGAATCACACTCCATACATACACCCTACAAATAATACCACCCAGAACACCACTATACACCCACGATACAATACGTACGTACCATACATCCCGTAGGTCCAATCGAACCCCACCCCGCCCATACCGCAGTTAGCCGTCCGGCCGTCCGCGGGCATTTCCCGCGGGCATCCATCCATCCCATGAGTCCCTTCTCATTTCCCCTTTCCTTCCCACTCATCCATGATCCGCTCTTCCCTCCCCACAATCGCCATGCTTAAATTGCCTTTCTAAAACGGTTTTCCAAACTTGTCTGAGTTGGTGAGACTGAATTTGTCGGATCGATCGACGACCAGTGCTTCAAGGAGATCTTGTTTGGTTGTGCTATCTTTCCGACTGGGTTTGGAGCAAGCGAGTCGCTTGAACAAAGCTTTCTAGCTTTGAGCTTTGGGTTTGGGTTGGATTGGATTGGATTGGATTGGGGTGGTATTACCTAACTTCTGATCAATATTGCTATCTGCTATGTAGTAAACTAAAGAACAGTAGTAGAGCTACTAGGCTACTAGGAAAGTGAGCTTTCTGTTTAGTATCGGGAATGCTTCAGAGACCCGGGGGGCGGGGGGGGGGAGGACTGCTTGGACCATGTTCTCGAGAGTATATGTTATTGATTGTCGAGAACTACTCCGTAGACGAACTACTCTCATGGTCTTAGACATGCATCATTTCCCTACGGCAACAATTCATCCTACTTAAAGCCAGTTCATCGATTGTCACTGGGTGGTGGGCTTAAACGCCAGGCAAGCAGGCTTTTTTTGGTTTGTTTCCCTCTGGCACATGGCCACATGCCGGGATGTTCCCTGAGTGGGGTGGGCGCGATTTTGGTGGCGTCCGCATAATGGAAATCAGACTGCTTCCGCGTGAAATGATAGGACAGACCGTATAATAATTTGGAATGGCTCTGTTGGTTGACGGGCAAACAACAGGCGCTTAGCCGGAGGCAGGAGAGAGGGGGGCTCGCTATTGTAGCGGGTAGGCTGCCGGTAGGTTTTTTGCTCGGCCGCTCAATCCCGGCGCGTACGTGATAGATCGAAATAAGTGGGAACGCTGCTGGCCCAGATGCTTTTGCGACCAGATCGGAACTGTTAATGAAAGAGCCTTGGGAAAGGATCTCAAGGGAAAACGGCCTGAATCAGGGACCCGGGATGGAAAGTTTAAACCCCACGAGATGAAAAAGGAGGCTGGCCTTTAATTTAACCCGGAAAGAGTTAGTAGAGCAGCAGGGCAGAATCATGCCATGGTTCGTTCACTTTCATCGTGAGGCTGATGATCTTGATGATGATGATGATGCTGATGGCTTGCTTACCCTCCATCTACTTACACTATAATTCTACAGTCCCCCCGACAACCCACACTTCCTCTCACCCCCCTGCAGTTTTATCGTCGGAAGCGACAAGAGTGGTGCTAAATTACCCAGGTACAACCATGTGGCCTGACGGCTGCTACCCACCACGACGGCATTCATTTCGGCCGCATGCGGCCATCCTAGCAGGATCATTAAAAGTGCCACAGCACGTGGAGATGGGCTTTTAAGGTCGATCGACAGACAGATCCCGGACTAGTCGGGCGGGCAAGTCGGATTCTAGTTTGGTGTCGCGCAGAATTTCATACGTCTCCGGTTCTGTCTGTCTGTCTGTAAGAGTACAAGACTCTGAGGGCGTTTTTTGTATTTTTCCCACTTGTGGCACTTGAGCCTCTAGTTAGAGCGTCGCGAAGCGCCAGCAGGAAAAGCAGCGCGTGCACCAGCCGAGACGCTTTGGAGGCTAAGGGATGCCAAAGCGCTGGACTGTGCACAGCTCTCTCGCGGGTCTCCGCACCACGAGGCAATCAGACACGGTGGAAATGCGTTCCCAAGATTCAAGGGCGCTTCGGATGGATGTCGCCGAGACCCGGCCCCAGTTAGCCCAAAGTCAATGATGCCATGTCGAATGGTCTATTGCCTATGTCCGTTGTTGTCCAATGCCAACAGGAGGACAGCCGACAGGTAGGTAATATGGTGGAGTCCGTAAATAGACGAAAGGGAGAAAACGGAGCAAATTGGTCGAAATCTTTGGTCGCAATCAAAATCAGTCCATCACCACCACCACTACCACCACCAACGCCGCCTCGTGATCCCTCGATATGGAACGGCATGAGAGGGGGGCCATTTAATTTCCAACTGTCTCTCTTTTCGTGTTTTGCGAGGGTTGCGCTCGCTAAGCGTCTATTATCGTCTCAATTATCTTCAGTTCGACCCAGTTCCGGGCGGGAGGGTGGATCAATGGGCAGTGCAGGTTCGAAGCTAGACCAGAGGCTGCAGGGAGGGAGTGAAGAGAAGAGGAGAGGGAAAAGGGAAGGGAGAGAGGGAAATTTGGGAAACATGTTGGCTCCGATCGTATACGAGGAGAGTGGGTTCTGGTCTTTTTTTTTTTTTTTTTTTTTTTTTTTTTTTTTTTTTTTTTTTCCTTTTTTTCCCTCCCCTTCGCCTCGTTGACAGCAGTGTGTCTGGAGGTTCTTGATCCTGGCCGATCATTGCCATGGCGGTCAGCACGATCACGGGATCGGAGCATCGGGCCCTTGCCATGCTCCGGACTGGGGTGCAATATGACCCTCTAACCCATACAAGGCTGGCTCCAGAGTACCCTGCTGGATTCCCTATTTGTGCTGGTGGATGCGATCCATGATGAATGCGATCATCTTAGACCTTCTTCTCCCCCCCATCGGCGGCTCTGACCGTCCGTCTCGCCTTAGGCGTTCCCAATCTGGTTATCTAGACTATACTCCGAACTCCGTCCAGGGCAGACTTTGCGAGTAGGTAGGCAAATCGGTCACTTTGTAGCCAGTCAGCTAGTTGGTAGTGTACTGTACGGTCGTCGCAGTCCAAGGCTGAATGAACAATGCCATGATTCATGATTCAAGAATCCTTCGGATGTCACCGCTCCGGAAAAGGGACACCGGCATATTTCCGCCTGAGGCGTCATCTCCAAGAAGACCGGGATGCAGACGCCGCCAACGGTTGAGAGATCGACACACCTCATCACCTCGTGGGATGAGGGCAGGGGATGCATGCCTGCGAGGCCCATGTGTCGTCACTCGTCGTGGAAGTGGAATCGGACGATCCTCCACGCTCGACCACCCTCTCTGCGGTCAGCATGGTGAATTCTAGAAGTGGACGAATGCTGCATGGACGTGTCTTAGTGGAAAGCTAGAGCTGAGCTTGGAGCAGGCAGTCCGAACGGACGAACAATACGTACATCGTATGTGCGATGAAACTAGTTTGCCTTAGCCTGTCAGCTACGTGGACTCCCGGTGTATGCTGAGAATCACCGAGAAGTGGACACATGGCGTGCGGACTAATTGGATTAGCATGTTTGGCAAGGGGGGGTTGAATATCTTCAGCTCTGAAAGAACAATCCAGAAAAGAGACCCAAGAGGACCCTTAGTTGGAGGAATCATACTAAACGCAGAGGAATCCTCAGTAGAAACGACGACCACCTATCCTCAAGGCTGTCCCAAATGAGGCAGGAGTCGGAATCCGTAGCGTGGCTGGCGGCCGCTAAAATTCGTGGGGGCCAAAACCGGCCGAAGCAGAAACGAGTTGAGAAGAGATTGTGGAATGAATAAGAAAGAAGAAACGAAAGAGTGAGAGTGAGAGAGTGAGTGAGTCTGAGACTTCAAGGCAACCAACCCGGGAACTACTACGGTACTGCTTGTGCGGAGTACTTCTACACAGATTCAATTGACAATTCAATATATGATGTTTCCATGGGTGAGGTGAGCATGATGCGAAGGGACAACCCTATTATACTTCTTTCTATAGGGTTGGTTACAGACACGAATCGATGAAACAACCAAACCCATCGTCCAATTGGAATGGTAATGCACATCGGTCGGAACAAAGTGAGTTGAGGTATGGATCCCCCTTGCTGCCTACCTTCCTCAAAAGGTTCAAACCCTTGCATCCATCGCCCGAGTCCCCGGGAAAGGATTGGATTTAACCGCTCATTATTGCTTATCGCCATGTGGTTCTGGATCTAAACAAGGCCATGCCTGGGTGCTAGACTGTTAGTAGTTATCATGACGATCGCGCCGGGCGGGCTCCACGTTGCAAATGTCAGGCGGTACGGTAGACTAGACTACGTATTGTCGGTTCGCTGCAATTGTACTTAGGACTTTAGTCCACTACAGGCTAACCAGCAAACCCGCGCCATCATCCATGGTCGAGCGTCTAGCCTTGTCGGCTCTAGTTGCAAAGACCCGCCTGGGATGGCCAAATCGGGGAATTGGGTTTCCTGCTGAGCGGTTACGGCCCCCAAAAACCCATTCCATTCGGATTGCAAAACGAAGTGTTGTTACGGAGGAGTCGACATTTGTGAATGCCCCTCTTCCTTCCTGCCACTCACTCTCACCCTTCTTACTTTCCCCTCTCTCTGTCTCTCTCTCAACCCCCAATGTTAGTTCGTGATTTTTAGTTGATGTAATAACTTAATTATTTACTATCATTTGATACAGATCAGTGAGACGGCAAATCAGAGCCATTACTAAGGGGGATGAGATTCTCAGGATTTCTGGAAGATCATCTCCCATCTAATTAACCCCATGTCGGTAGGCTGCGTTTGATATTGATATTCGATCCTGCATTTCTTCCTCCCCAACCTGATTCAATGCTGGCTAGAGTCGATAGAGGAGGAGCTAGTTCCAGCCGGACTGTCCACTATGCTGGGAGCTTGTTTCTAAACGTCGAGGAGGCTCTCAGGCCAGGCTCCCGCGGGCTTGGAGGTCTGGAGAATACCCCTGTCCGAGCTCAAGCCAGATTTACCCAGTGTTGGTCGGTCAACAATCGAAGATCCGACAGGTTTACTGATGACTGACTGATGTCAATTGGTCTATTCTACTGTTTTTGACTTTTTGTCTTTTTTTTTCTTTTCCCCTCTTGACGGACCCCCCTTCTCTTGTCTCCTCCCGTCATCCCGGGTGGAGTCAGAGGAACGGCAAGTGGCTTCCAAGGATCAGGCTGATGCGATTGAGCTACCTAAAGATACGTTGGGACCTTTCGACCTTCACGTGGCGATGGTTTAGGACTATTCCTCTTCCAGCATCCTGGATCAGAAGTTCAGAGCCGGGGGAAAAAAGGCAAATGAAATGGCCTATGACGAAACGAACATTTTCAACAGTCGAGTGGATAGACCCGTGAGCGAAGACACCGAAACAGTTGGAAACCCGACCACCTTAATAGCAGATCGCACTTGATTCATCATCTCCCCTCTCATCATCAGTGTTCCTTGGGTGAGGGAAGTGTCAAGCGCCGCACCGTTCGGGTGGACTCCTCCTCAAACCTTCATGCCATCATTTCCTCCATTCATTCATTGATCCATCCATCCACGGCCCGGCCGAACAATGGCCGCTAACTGCGCGACCGATGGAGACGCTCAAGCTCAAGGGCCACTGAAGGGCGCCAGCTCCATTCGCAGTCAATGTTGGCTTTCGGGTTTCTGGATTCATTCAGGAGTAGAAGAGGAAGGGAGATCGTGTCTCATCTTAGGACCGTGGCAGTGAAAAATAGATCGACCATCTATCATGGGGAAATAATCTCCCCCAACCTTGTTCGTAAACACATGCCAAATTAAAACCTGGAGCAATAATGAATCACAGAATAAGGAAATTGAGAAGGAAAATAATAAAAAATAATAATTGAAAATCGAAATGAGAATCAAAGAAAAAAAAAAGTGCCGTAGCTCTATCGAGAAGAAGAAGAAGAATAGGAATTGCGCAGGGTCAGGGAAAATCCGACAGAAATAATCTCGAAAGACGGTAATTATTCTCAATAACCCATTGCTCAGAGACAGTAAAATACACAATAACCCACACACGCACATACACCACCTACATCCACACCCGCCCGCCATCAGCTGTCAAACTGGTGAAGGACCAGACAGGGACGAACTGCCCAAGACTCTTCGGCCCCCGTTCGTTACGCTTATTCTTGACTTATTGGTTTCCCCATCAGCAGCCCGTTAAATACTCTCTGGTCTGACCAGTCTTCGAGAGGGAAACCCCCAAAAATCAAGTTTATCTTCCCTCCCTCCTGCTGTCCGTCCGTCTATCTATCTACCTATCTATCTGGCCATCTATCTCAAAGTCTTGTCTTATCCTGTGTCTGTCTCTCAGCTAGTCGGAGGGTCTCACCCGTCATCTCGTCTTCGGTGGATATAGATTGCCTGTTGATTCCGAGAAGGATTCCCGTCCGTGAGTGCTAAGACACTACTACCACTCAAACTGTATGTGCCATCAGTGCTTTTGGTCTGATCCAGTGGTTTATTCCTTCACCGTCCCTTCTTCTGCTGGTTCTTGTTCTTGTTTTTCTTCTTCTCCCCCTCGCCCAGCTGGTTCAGGTCTTACTTCCTGTTTCCCCATCACTTGGTCTTCCACGGTAAACCCTCACCCTGCGTGGCTGATCTACTGGCTCCTCTTGCTCCTCCTGCTCCTCCTGTCTGCCTCCCTGCGTCGGACCCACGAAAATCTCCAATGCTCTCCAAAGGGATCCACAACTCACCAGGCCATCCGCATTTCTATCACAGGCAGCTCAGTGGCTCTTGCGCACGAAGCTGGAATCTACTATCATCTGCATCACCGGCTGCACCCTGCGATCTAGTCAAACTGGACGATCTTCGCCGGCCTAGGTCTGCAGCGCCTCAAAGTACAGCAACTGCCACGCCCGCCATCTCCGCTTGGTCTGCTGGTGTTTCACAGCCTGGATCGGGATATCGATCGAGCATCGGCACGAACGAGGGACAGCAGCACCATTTGCCCTTATTGCACACCATCCCCGGCATTGGCAGGACGCCATTCCCTTCCGAACTTGTCCCGCCCGATAGTGAACCGAGGGGATTGCCTGCATCCGCACTACCGCTTAGAAACCCCGACCAAGCCGTTTTTGACAGCTCACGGTAAGTCTGGCAGTGTGTGCATCTCTAGTCAGCCAGTCAGTCAAGACCGCGTTTACTAAGCACACAGGATCTACCAGAGCTTTGAGAGCCTCACCCCAATCGATGCATCCCGGATCAGTGGCCTATTTGACATCCAACATGGCACATCATTCACAAAGTAGGCTGACCGGAGAACGACGATAGCCCGCACAAGATTGAAACTAACGAGCAGCAGATTACGGCTGGCAGAATCGCCTGCCTCAGCCGCTTCACCATCCCTCGTCCATGTCAATGGACCAACATCCGTTTCCCCCAGCGCAGACGCTCCCACCACATCCGGGCTATCCAGCCGCTTACCCGCCTCAACCATCCGGCTCGCAAAGCTATTACCAACCAGGGCTTCCATCAACCCAATATCTGATGCCCCAGAGTCGACAGCAGCCTCGAAGGTAACGCTCACTGAAGATGAGATTTCAGACTCGAAGACAGCAAAGAAACTAACCCCGCCACGTTAACAGCTCCTCCATACCATATTCTTATCCTAGCAGTTCCGTCTCTGGCAGCCCACCAACTATTCCAGATCCGGCTTTTGCTTCAACGTGAGCACACTGTATGCCTCCTGGTGATATCTTAACGCTAATCGAAAGCCAGGCCATCGTCCTACCTTGTGAACCAACCAGACTATTACATGACCCCGAACTCTTCATTATCGTAAGGGACTCACGCAATCGATGATATACTTACAGCCTAACACGGATAAATAAGCAGGCAAACCCCTAACTCGATACCACATCCACAAGCCCTCATGCCCACTGGGACAGTGTATTCCTCACCTGAATCCGCGCACAACTCCTCCGATCCGGAACAACAAGTCCGCGTCATCAGTTTCCGACCCAAGCCGCAATGCTGGGACCACGGATGCAACGGCCGCGAATTCTCAACGTTCAGCAATCTACTTCGCCATCAGAGGGAGAAGTCGGGTGTTGTGGCGAAGGCAGAATGCCCCAGCTGTGGGGCCGTCTTCACTCGCACCACTGCCCGGAATATCCATGTCGCTCAAGGGAAGTGCAAGGGCGTGGTACGGGAGCCTTCTGCGGAGTAGGCTCTTCAAAAGTCTAGGGCAGGCCTATCTCTTTGAAGATGAGGGTCTGTTCTGAAATCACGGTTCTACAATTGACAAATGCACAGCCGCAGAACTGTAGTTCCCAAGATGTACTACAGAGCACATTTACGCGAACTGACGGGTGCAGCTCGGCATATGCACCTGCTAATACGGTATATGGCTGGGCGGATGACCCAAGTCTGGGCGTGAGGGGTACGATGGACCTACCAGTCGACACATTTCGGAGTGTTTTCTTTTTTCTTTTCTTTTCTTTTTCTTTTCCGCTTTGCATACTTTCTTTCTCGGAGCGCTCGGTTCTTGCATTGCCACGGGTTTCGTTTACATTGATTTAATACCCTCTGAGATTGTTCTTGTTTGTGTTACTGTGATACACTATTTTCTGACCATACCTTGACCTGTCATCTTACTCGAGCGCCATTGGAATATCATCTAGACCGGATACTTTGTTGCTAGGATTAGATCAGACAAGAAGCACATCTATACCTTCTTTGGGAGGCTTTTTCTCTACAATCTCGCCCCCACGGTTCTCTGCACTTCAAGTTATGGTTGCGATGTATTGTGGACATATACGGGGATACAAAATTTGGAATCTACTTCTGGCTGTTGGGGACCAAATACGTACTTCTAATCTCGTGTACGGTGTACGGGGGGGGGCAGTATGAAACGAGGTGCTGCTAATTATATTACCAAAGCATTGCAAAGCATTGCCGATCAGAAAGACATTCACTGTGACAGTGATAAGCACTAGCGAAGTAGGATTTCCTTAGATCGGGTGACTATTGATATTGCTAACTTTACCTGAAACACCAAAAAGGACCGCGTAGGAAGTTTGTTCTACCTAGCGAATCCCCCCTGGCAGCCCAACCATTCAATCCATCCATTGACTTGGCCCTTTTGGACGCTAAGGTAGCCAGGATGCGGGGCCTCAGGCACTAAGGATAACACGTGGCTACCCGCTGCCTGCTGCTGCTGTTGTTGTTTCGTCGTCACCTGACCAAGTCATGTCATGTCGTAAGGCGCCGAGAGGATTTCCGCCCGCTGCGGCTCTTCCGATGCCTGAATTCCCAGGACGCATGACTCACGCGCGCCGTTGAAGATGATCCGACTCCTCCCTTGATCAGCAAAGTCCAACGTCGTTTGCTGTCTCTTTGACTCTATTGCAGAACCGCATTTTATGTTTCTTTGGTCAAGCTGTGCCGGGTGTCTTTCCTCTAGCTAGCCTCTTCCATCCCAAGATGCTTGTTTCAGTATCGTTCTATGGTTATTGTGAAGGACTACGAACAATAGGCTATACAAAAGCGCGTCGAATATAGGGAAATCGCTTCAACGCAGACCTGCTCAAGGCCTGCTGAGGAAGAGGACGCACATACTCTACGTCTGCTGCTGCCGAAATACCATTTCTGCTACTGCTCTCGAATCTCCTTACATTGGTTCTAGCTGACCGCCATCAAAATGGCATCTGTCTTTACCTATGACCCTGACCCCCCAAGGGTATCATCCCCATGGTCGACGTCGGGCTCCTCCACTCCTCAGGTGGCAGCCACCAGTAATCGCGTGGTGCCGCGGACCCGATCCAGCACGACTCTGGACCGGGCCGACCCCGACCTGCTGTCGGATTATGGCATTGCAAAGCTCGAGCCAGAACCGCAAGAGGGCCCTACGGAGTACAAATTGCATCTGCTCCTGCGTCCCCGCCGTCCGTTTGTCGCTATGTCCACGGGCCATCTGGTGGGGGGCTCGTATCATTTCCGAGCGAGTCTGTCCAACGCGAGTCCTACGCCGTCGAGCTACGAAGCAACGGCAAGGACGCCCCAGGCCCGCTCGACGGAGAGTCGTCAACAAAGACTGGAGCACTTGACTACGCAGTTGCTCTGGCGCCTGCAGCAGTCGTCACCGTTCCACTCGTCTACGACTGCTAACCTTGTCCTCCCCGTGCTTCCAGATGCCACTCCCCACTTGGGGGCGCCGCAGAAACCAGCCCGGCTGCTCCCGGGTCTTGAGGAGAGTCAGGGGGCGTTGTACGAAATCGGTGTTGCCGATGACGGGACATTCGTCGGCCTTACCGTTGACGAGCTGGAAGAAAGCTTGTCCACTCTGCAGGTCATGGCGGCCAGCCTGGGCTGCAAGGTTGAGATCCTTCGGAGGGTCATTGTTGGCAAGTGCGAGTGGGTCGAAGATCCCGGTAATGCCAATGCTGATGCTGGTAAGGTTCATACGGAGAGCCTTTGGGTTGCGGAGGCTCTCGTGAGCCCCGACTGGGAGTTCTACCGCGTCAAGTCTCCGAAGACAGGATGGGAAAAGGAGGAATCTTCCACGAGCAGCAACCCCCAGAGGCGACCTTCGCTGGACGACTCGTCGAAAACGGAGCAAATACGCATCTCCATTTCGGGCCCTAGCGCAGCTGGCAAGTCCTCCCTGCTGGGCACGTTGACATCGTCTGTGCTCGATAATGGTCGGGGCACAAGCCGACTGGGGCTCTTGAAACATCGACACGAGATCTCGTCTGGTATCACCAGCTCTGTGGCTCATGAGCTGATCGGATACAATGTAAACGGGTCTAGCCCTGACACGTTTGACGTGATCAACTACGCTTCTGGCAATATTGCTGCATGGGATGACATCCATGCCGCGTCGGAGGGCGGCCGTCTCGCTTTCGTGTCCGACCTCCCAGGGTCGATCCGATATTTGAAATCTACCTTCAGAGGCATCATCAGCTGGGCGCCTCATTATGTTTTCCTCTGCATCCCAGCTACATGTGACGATGACACGGTCGCGGAAACCGCGAACAGCCCGTCCGAGCAGTCTGCGGATCTATCACAAGCATTGTCACATGTGGAACTTTGTGCTAAACTTGAGATTCCTACGGTGATCGTCATCACCAAGATGGATGTTGCCTCCCGCACTGGCCTGAGAAAGAATCTCGCTCAGATCCTCTCTGCCTTGAAGTCGTCCGGCAAGAAGCCTTCGATGCTGTCCATTCCAACAGTTCCGGTTGCAAACTTGCAGCATGTTGGGGCCAAGGATACCGGTGAAGTCAGAAAACTGGTCGCCTCGACGGAAAGCTGGCATTCGACAGTACCAATCGTCCTTACAAGTGCCGTGGATGGCTCGGGAATTGCGAAGTTACATGCTCTACTCCGATGCCTCCCAATACCCACACGGCCGCCATTGAGAGACGTCTCTTTACCAAAGGCTCTGGCACCGCCGATCGCCTTCGAGACCGTCTTTGACGTTGATGAAGTTTTCGCCATCCCGCCGTCAAAGGTCCACTCTTTGTCCGGTGATGAGCGACCTAAAGAAACGCATGGCATCGTTCTATGTGGGCTTGTTCGCTACGGAGCTATCTCGGCAGGTGATGAGCTCATCATAGGGCCTGTCTTGTCCAACGCCGCCGCCGAGCATGGGGCTGGCACAAGCCCACCTAAAGATCGGATGGAGAGACGGTCAGATGCCCATCTGTCTACTAGTTCCTCTCGAAGCAGACCGCCGTCCGGGGATTTTTCAAGTTCATTTCTCCATGGTTCCCTCCCAGGGAAGACTCCTCTGGCGGTACAGGCGAGTTGGCAGCGTGTGCGGGTCGTCAGTGTCCGAAACCTGCGGCTACCAGTGCAGAGGTTGACGCGGGACCAAGTAGGGACTATCGGGATCGAGCCGTTGGCACTGTCACCGGATGATGAGCGACCGCGACTGGGTAAGATTCGCAAAGGTTCGGTGTTGGTCAAGCTTCCGCCTGGCGCTGGCCCCGCCCCCCGCAGGTTTCACAGCGGATTCGTGGCCAGCTTCGCGGCCAGTGAATTCGCCTCTCCTCTCTCCCCGCCCGTGCTGCTGGGCGGCCATGCCATTGTCTACGTCGCCAATGTCCGCTCAACCGTGAGGCTGACGTGCATGGCGCTGGCGGAGGATGAGGTGATCTCGCGCCCGCCCTCACCCACGGAGCCGGAGTTTTTCAGCTTCGATGGGGATACCTCTGATCATGAACGTGGTCGGGAGCGTGGCGTCCACGAGGTGATCAAGTGTTCTGGCAGTTCCGAGGCGGGGAATATCAGGATCACCTTCTTGTTTGTTTCCTCGATTGAGTGGGTGGAAGTCGGGTCGCGGGTGCTTCTGATGCCTGCAGCGTCGGCAGCCTTGGCTTCTGCACAGGGGGTAGGTTCTCCCTCAGGGTTTGAGGGGTTTGTTGGTCGGGTTTGTGATGTGGTATACCCGGCCGATACCAAGTAGATAAGGTTGGGTAGGACTACCGAGTTGATGATTATTGTCCCAGCTGTTAGGAAGAGGGGTGTGTTATGTCTGGTAACTAGTCTCACCAATGATTGAGTTTAATTGATCAATCTATCTATCTTTATTGCCACTGATTACGCATCTGCTGTGAAGAAAGAAGATGAAGTGGTGACGCTGATACGACCAGATCACTTGACCAACCACCGACACTAAACCCAGATAGGCACCGGGGCTCAGACCACCCTCTGACTCCATACTTTCATAGTACTTTACATCCTTCTTTTCTCTAGTCACTCACTGACTGCATAAAATCAATACCTACCTTAACTACTTACTGCTTAGTCGACGCCAACTGGCCGGCAAGCTAAAAGCCGATCTTCTTCCTTGACTCTACTATCATCATCATCTTCATCATCATCTTCATCATCTTCATCACTCTTCACTTCCCCCTCCAATGATTCTTCTTGGTGTCAGTACTACCTGAAAGGTCTTGAATCCCCACAGTTGACAATCGGTCGATGATTGGCGGTTTTGTTTGGAATTGCGGCACGGTTGGGCTCGCTCGATTTGGCTGTGTTCCCCCATCACCTGGCAGTGACTCTTCCTCTACCCCGGACCCATTCCCGTCATCAGTTCCGCAGTTGACCTTCAGCTCCTCCCCCAACTAAACTAGAACTAACCTTCTGACTTGTTGTATTCTCCACCCCCCACTCTCTCATTCACTGCTCACTGCTCACTGCAAGACACTTTTCAATTTTCTTCGTCTGAGGGGCAGGACCTCTCGAAACTCTCCATCGGACTTGGTTTGCGTGACTGGCATGTCCTGAACCCCTCACCGCCCACTTTCCACAGATCGAGCTCCTAGGCAGTCGTCGCAGTTCCACCCTCCACCACCCGCCATCATGGCTGGTCCCAGCAGCTTGAATCTAAGCTCCCGCGTCAGCTCTGACTTCGACGGTCTCTCAGACGATGGAGAGGAGTTTGTTTCGAGCGCCAGTACGACGTCGAGTACGTACGAGTCGCAGACGAAGGAAACCATGATTGCGGGGAATTCCAGTCCCCAGCACCCGCAACCCGCTACGGGGCCGTTGGATAACCACCCGCCTAAGAGTGTTGAAGCTAAACCGGTGGTTACGTGTTGTGCTCGCTCCCATACAGCTTCCAAACAGTCGGAGAGGAAGCCACTCAACTTGCTTGATCTGCCCATGGATATCCTGCAGGAGGTCATGAAAGAGGTGCGTACCCTGCGCTTGTTGCGTTGGATGTCCAGACCATCCATCATCAACCATACTGATTTGTTCTGTTACAAATATAGGTGACCCACACGACTGACCTGACCTCCCTTGCATTGACCTGCTCTGCTCTGCATTCGCTGGCGATTCCGCAGATGTACTCCCGCTTCGACATCGTCTGGCCGGAGACCTTGTCGACCTCCGACCATCCGGCTGGCGTGGATGCTCTCTCGTACGGCTTGGCGACTTTAGTGACCGGGGAGGATATATTCCACGAGGTGCCTGCGAGGTGGCCCCAGCCATGTCCACACTGCGGTTGCCGCACCCCGCCACCAGGTCCGATTGAGACGGGCGCACCACCGCGGGTCCGGCGCGGGAATTACTACGCGCAGTACACCCGCAAGTTCTCCGTCGGCAACGGTCCGTTGGTATGGGTGCAGGAGTATGCGGTGACCAAAGAGACGGGCAAGATGCTGGGGACGCTGGTCGCTTTGGCGGTCGCCCGGATGGTGAACCTGGAGACCTTCGTCTGGGACATGCCCACCGGGGTCTTGCGCGACGTGTGGGTGGCACTGGCATCCCTCGCGACACGGCCGGGGCACGACTGTCGTCTAGAACGCGTCTGGGTCCGCTGGCATGATAACTCCGAGAATGCGATGCGGTCGCTGGTCGCTACCGCCCCGACTGCGTCCTCGGTTACCCTCCCCCATACACCAGCGCCAGGGCCAGGGCTAGGATCTCCAGGGAATAGCACCTTGTGGCAACGATACGGACACGTGGAATACCCCTCCCTGTCGATTCTTCCCCCCCTGAAGAGCCTGAGCGTTTTGGACATCGACGAACCGTCGTATTTGGAAGAGATGGGGGTGTTGGTCGACCGGTCGCGTGGCCGACTGAGAGAACTCCGTATAGGGATATCTGCTAAAGCGTATCAAGCAGCGTGGCTGAAACCGGCCGGTGCCTGGCAAGCCGAGCAGCCAACACCTCCAAACAGGATTATTGGTTGGCCCCGATCTGGGGGCGTACTGGGGGTCGTCCTTGGCAAGTCGGAAGATCTCACCCGGCCCGAATTGATGGCACGCGTATCTTCCCCGAAGGAGGATTCGGTCGAGGCGCCTTCTGAGACGGCTCAGGCGGCCGCTGACGCTGACGCTATTTTCGGGGATGGGGTTATGTTGACAGCGGGTTCTCCGCCCCATTCCAATGGTGGCGTCAATGGGCTCGCCCTAAATCTGGAACAAACACATCTCGCTAGCCCGGCTGCCTCAGTCACGCCAAATAGCAAGCCTCCGCCCGTTCCCAAGGGGTCATCGCGCCCATCCAGACCTCTCCCAACCGGACCTGAGCATGACCGCCGACTGTTACAGCTTGAGACACTCGAGTTGGAGCGGGTTGCGTTGTCGATCCCGGTGGCAGTGCATGCTCTCGACTGGAGTAAGCTGACCACGTTGACGATCCTTCGCTGCGAGAATCACGAGAAGCTCTGGCGGGCCCTGCGGCGCCAGTTCTCCCCGTCACAATCCCGGTCGAAGAGTGGAGACAGTCCAGAATACACCCTGAGGCTAAAGCACATCCATACGGACGCTGTATCGCCTTACCTGCTGCTGTTCATCAAAGATACATTAGCGCCAAACACCCTGGAGACGCTATTTCTGCACGAGGCGCCGATGTACGAGTCGATCGTCAATATTGACGCAATCTACAAGAACGCAATTCGTAATCACCACCTGAGTCTGCAAAAGATCCTGGTCGACAGCGCACAACGATCCCCTGGGGGCGCGGAGATCACTAGCGTGCGCTGGTACAAATGGATGTTCACGCGACAGATGATCACCTTTATGAGCAGCGGCCGGATGCCGCGGCTGAAGGAGCTCTCGATCGCCCTCCATGCCAAAGATTGGGTAAGGCTGATCCTCCCATAGGAAGCGCATGGTACTAACTGAACCACCACTAGCACTACTTCATCCAGAGGCTCCCATACATGCCGCAGCTGCGCGCACTGCACATCCCGCATATCGCCCGCCACGTGCACCGAGACCCCAAGGAACTGGCCATGCTCATCCTCGACATCGTCACCATCCGGCCAGAGATCGGACTGACCTACGTAGGCCTGCAGAGTAAATGCTACGAGATCCTGGAGAGCAAGGACGGCGACGCAGGGGGCGAGTACTACGACACGGACGACAGCCACAGCGAAGGCTTCGTGCCCGGCGGCGAGGACTGGGCCGGCTCGGAGACTAACGACGACGACGAGGCCGACGACGACGGCGCCGCCAGCGCCATCCATTCGCTGTCCGACGTGTCCTCGGACGACCGCGGCTCCTCCGACGGCGAGGACTCCGAGCTGGATTACAACCGCCCGCGCGTCTCGTTCCGCCTGCGCGAGATCCTGTTCTACGATGACAAGGTCGCCATTTTCAAGGCTCGTCACGGCGTATTGTGAATGAATTCTCGGGAAGCGGAGCTTGCCGCGCAGGCGGGCGGCCGTCGGTCGCGCTTGATTTAGTGTTGTGTTGTGTTAAGATACCACCTAGCGATATTTCTCTTTCTTTTCTTTTCATCGTTAAATAATGATTAGCTATGGTTTCATAATGACCATTTCTGCACAGTACTTGGAATCACTTAAAAACACACTTGTAAAACACGTACCTCAATCCGAAGTACACCAGCGTATAGAGTATCCGGGGGACAACTCCCGGACCCCCCTTTCTTTCAGCTTCCTGACCACCTCAATCCTTCGACTGGGAGCATAAGTGTTTCCGGGGGAGAACCCCCGGACCCCCCTTCTTTTCAGCTTCCCAGCAACCTCCATCCAAGCCCGAGGACATATATCGAGCCCCACTATGCAGACATAGCTGACTAAGCGCACATTAAAGATTTCACGTGACAAGGCGGTAAGCAGCTCAGCCTCTGAGCGCGATCTCGACATCACGGCAGGAAAGCAACAGCCCGAACTGGAAGTCGAATTGGCCTCGCAGTCTGCTCTTCCCTCATCCCTCATCCCCTTCTCCCCGATAAACAGAGACCAGAACAGACCAGACCATCAAAATGAAGCTCGTCCGGTACGCTTGCCCACACATCGTGTAACCTGATCCGACTAGTGCTAACAGAAAGAAAAGCTTCCTAATGAAATGCGCCAACGAATCGGTGACGATCGAGCTGAAGAACGGTACGTTTTTCTTCCCCTCTTGGTTGGAGCAGCAGCAGCAGCCCCATAGGGGAAGCGATGTGCCAGCACACTCAACGCACCAGCTATTTCCGCCTTGCCTTCCCCAATCCCCCTCCCTCCCCCAATGTCTACGGAATCACTAACGTTTCCCCCGCTGCGTAGGAACAATCCTCCACGGAACCATCACCTCCGTCTCCCCCCAGATGAACACCAGTCTCCGCACCGTCAAAATGACCCCCAAGGGCCGCGACCCCATCTCCCTCGACACCATCAACATCCGCGGCTCCACCATCCGCTATTACATCCTGCCGGACAGCTTGCCGCTCGATACGCTGCTCATCGATGATACCCCCAAGCCGAAGAATAAGGCGCGGAAGGAGGCGGATCGTGGCGCGCGTGGCGGGCGCGGGCCGAGAGGCGGTAGAGGGCGCGGGCGTGGTCGGGGGCGTGGTCGGGGTTTTTAAAAAGCTTGCTTTCTTTCTTTCGTGAAGGATAAGGGTTGGGGGTTGCTAGTGCTTTCGGCTTAGGATTGAGTGACTGGGTGAGCGTGGGATAGGTGGCTGACGGGAGGTACCTAGTCGGGGATAGGGATCAACAACCGCATTTTATTCTATTGTGGCTGAGTGTTGGTTGGGTTGGGTTGGGTTGTTTTTATGTACGGTCTGTGGATTGGGCCGTTTTTTGTGTCTGCTTGCTTTTAATATTGTTCAGAGTTAAATCATGGATATGGAGTTTCTTCTTACTATCTATCTATCTAGCTTTGTCTCTTTGGGTTGTCTTAGGTGTAGTTTATTGTTGGGGAGTGGCCGTAGATAAGTTCTCTACTGTTGATACAAGATAACAAGTAGTGGTCATAACTCATTACTATTCTATTCTATTCTATTCTACTCTATCTATCCCCTCCTACCCAATCCCCTTTATATACACTACACCAAAAACACCCCAGCTCAAAGATCCCTCCAAATTCTAACAATAACCAACCGCTCCCACCCAGCCTTCACCCCACTCGACCCCGCGATCTCCGCGCACCACTTCCCCTTCCCTTGTCCTTCCTCTGTATCCCCCAAACCCTCCTCCCCCTCAGAAAACCCCGAAGTCCTAATCCGCTCCACAACCTTTTGTGGTTGATTCTGCGCACAAAGCAACACATACGCCACCCCGCGCTCGCTCAGCACCCGCGGCAGATCCCGCAGCAGCAGCTCCGTGATCTCCATCCCGTCCTTCCCGCCTGCGTATGTGAGCGAGAGGAGGTAGGATTCTCTTTCGAAGTCTCTTCCTTTTCCTTTCACCTTTTCGGAGGTATTGGGGTGGGGGTCGGGAAAGTCAGCGGGTGTAGGGGCGCGTGGCACGGATTCTGTGGGTACGTAGGGTGGGTTGAAGAGGAGGAGGTCCACTGTTTTTTCCCGGAGGGGTGTTGCGAGGGAGGTGTGGAGGGATGTTAGGTGCGTTGATCTTGGGATTGTGGTTTCTGGGGTCGGGGGGGTGGTGGTTGATTCTGGAGTTGTATTTGGGTGTGCTGGCGGCTGCTGCGCATCGATGGCCTTCCGCACTGTTTCACAGGTCGCGAGGCAGGCGGCGCGGTTGAGGTCCGTGGATAGCGAGAGGATGTCGGCGCGGCCGAGCAGCGTGGGCGCGTTGCCGGCTACGAAGGCCAACACCACGCCTGAGCCGGACCCTACCTCTAGAATCAGCGGGCTGGGCCCCGTGCGGAAGTGCTGCGTTAGCCAGGCGGTTTCGCTGGCCGAGGAGAGCGTGTCCAGGAATAGGTAGCTGTCTTCGGCGGGTTCGTAGATCGTGTCGAAGGAGACGTGCGAGGTGCATGGTGTTGGGAGCATTGTAGTGGTTGGTTGTCCCGGGGTGGAGGGGAGGGAGAGGGATGAGGAGGATTGTGGTTCGTGGTGTAGGTTTCTTGAGATTGAAATGTAGCTGATGATGTACAGGTCTGTCTGTACTGTACTTCGTAGGATCGGGAATTTGATAGCACCCACACCGCCAGCTGATTGGTCGCCGGGCTCCTCCCCGCCTTAGATTACCGCGGCAGTACTCACTCTCAGGCTCACTTCCCTCCCTCGGCTTCAAGCTGCACTGCGCACTTCCATCCGGGGGAAATACTCTCACACATTGCCTAACGACATCAAGCACCATGAGCTTCGCCCTCCGTCCCACGGCGCGCCTCCTGGCTACGCCCGCGTCCATCGGCTCCAAGTCCAGCCTCACCGAGGCGCTCGCCCTCCTGCCGCCGATCCCGCTCTACCGCCGCATTCTCCGCGTGCACCGCAAGAAGCTGGAGCCGGAGATGCGGCTGCTGGGGGACTCGTATGTGAAGAGCGAGTTCCGCGCGCACCGGAGCGTGGAGAACCCGCTGCACATTGTACGTTCTCTTCCTATCCGTAGTATCCGTGCGCCGATGGCACTGGTTGTGCGGTACGCTAACGGAGCTCGTAGATCGGCTTCTTGACGGAGTGGCAACTGTATGTGCAGAAGCTGGAGGGCGATGCCTGGATCGGGGAGAAGCTGGATAAGAGCAAGTTGGATAAGATGAGTGGTATGCTTTCTTTGTGATTCTTTTAGGAGTCGTGGGCTAACGAGCGTAGATCAGCAGATTGGCCAGCTGTATGAGCTGATGCAGGCTATCAAGATCCAGGAGGGGGAGGGCGAGGGTGACGGTGAGAAGCAATAGATTTGAGTTGTAAAAGGTCTTGTTCTGTGTTGTATGATAGCTAAGAATCAGTATGTCCGGTCGAGAGCTGTATGTTATGTATATAGAGCCATGGAATGTTGAAACGCAGCACCTAGATTGCGGTAGGCCAGGAAGTTGAAAGAAAGGGGGTTCCGGGGGAGAACCCCCGGAAACACGTACATCCTAGCCCAGGGTTGAGGTGCCAGGAAGCTGAAAGAAAAGGGGGGTCCGGGGGTTCTCCCCCGGGACGCTTATGTCCCTGTTGAACATTGGATGGGTTGGGTTGGATGCGAGGCTGCCTTATCTTCCGTATGCGTATGTGCAGTAGATACAATATGTGTAAGCCAGCTGCGGGGTAAGTAAGCGTGAGCCTTGCGGGCATTTATGCAGCAGGCCGTCAGACTGGAGCCTACTCTAACCCATCCATCATCCCTTGTACGAGCTGGTCGAAGCTAACGACAGTCCCAAATCCAACAGCAACAGCAACAGCAGAAAGGATGGCTACTCCGTCCAACTTCAAATGTCCATGCTGCAACAAGTCCCGCTTCAAAACAGCTAAGGCACTGGGCGACCACCAAAAGGCACTGGATCACTATCCTGTCGCGTGTCCGACCTGCCACAAGAGGTTCTGCGATAAGCAAGCCGTGCAGCAACACGAACAAGTGCATCTACGAACGACATCCAAGAAAACCGGTGCTCCCACGTCTATACAAGGGGATACACCCGTGAAACAACCCACAACCACTACCTCAAGCCCCAAGCAAAGCAAGCAGCAACCGAGTTCATCTTCACCCCCCAACGCACCGACTACCAAACCACCCCCGCCGACCATACCGAAGACAAAACACACCCCCGAAACCCTGCACCCGCTCGAACAAGACCTGCTAGTCAAATACCTGCTCTCACGCTGCCACCCCGTCACCCGGCTCCAAGCGCAGAACTACCCAGTTCCATCCTCGACACCACCCGACTACCACTCCACCTCTGAAGCGAACCCCGCACACCCCCGCCGAAGAGCCGTCGTCCTGACCATTGAAACCAACGCCCACAAGGAACCCGGAGCTGAATCCCTCACCCACCTAACCGCAACAGACTTCCTAACCAACGAGGCACTCCTCCACCTCGTCGTTGGATCCGAGGGGGTAGAGAAGGAGGGTGTGGCGGGGGGCAATAGCAACATGACCTGTGGGAGCACCAACACCAGCAACATTCCCTGGGTCGGTACCAGGACAAGCGTGGACGACTACCGCGCAGCGCGGGATTCACTCTGGGAGGTCATCGACGCGGATACCGTGCTTGTGGGACACGGGTTACATCGTGGACTGCATGCTTTGCGGATGGTACATGGGCGGGTGGTGGATGCGGGGATCTTGACGGCTGAGGCGGTGGGTATGGGGAGGTCGACTGTGCCGCTTCGGAGGGTGTGGGGGGTGGAGGAGCTGTGTGTGGAGGTTTTGGGGTGGGATTGGGAGATGTGGAGGGGTGAAGCCGGGAAGGAAGAGCCGCAAGGCAAGAAAGCGGAGCGGAGGGAAATGGGGACGTGTGCTGGGTGGGAGGGGTGTGTCGGGGTGAGGGAGCTTGTGGTGTTTTGTTTGAGGAATCCGGAGAGGCTGCGCTCATGGGCTGAGAGAAAGGCTGAACAGGATATCCCGGGGGGAGAGAATGCTGATACTCTGGGCGAGATGGGAAAGGACGACAGCACGGAGAGCAAGAACGATACCGAAAAGGAAAAGCGAAAGAAAAACAAGAAGGACAAGAAGGACAAGAAGGACAAGAAGAACAAGAAACACAAGAACAAGAAGAACAAGAAGAACAAGACGAAGAAGAGCAAGGTGGAGAAGCAAGAAGCACAGCCAATAACTCTCCCGAATGCGTCCCCTCCACAAGAGCAGGAGACTAGCCCGATGCAGGCTGAGACAGCTCCAGAGCTGCACGAGCAAGACGAGGAAGACGAAGACTCCGACGAAGGGCTGGTGATAGTGCAGTGGCAGGATCTAGAGTAGCATACTAACCACTAAATATCCAATCTACATCGGCATCCCGTGCCGACCCGGCCCCACCACTGCCAAGAACCTGTCTCAAATTTTTGCTGTTTATCTTATCGCCTCCGGGTACACGTACCCGAGTGTCCTCCCCTCTCCCCGCGCCCTAAAACCGCCTCCTCCCCGCTGCGCTGTCTACTTATTCCCCCTCAACCCGTTGTACATACATACATTCCACAATAAAACCCCTCGAAAGATTACCCAAAGAAAAGAAAAATGCCCGCCCTCCTCGAAGACCCAACAACCATCCTCCCGGCACCCCCCGCTGCGAAAGCCGCCGCGAAGCAGCTCCACCCACGGCGCGCGGTGCTGAAGGACTCCACGGCGGTGACATTATACCCGATCACCAACGGGCCGTTCGGCGTACCGGCCTCGTTAATCGAATACCTGCACCGCGAGTTCAGCGATGAGATCGTGCGCGGCAGCACCTACCCGATGGAAGAGCCGATGTCGCTGGACGTGTACCGGGGGTACTGGTTCGGGACGTTCGCTGTTGTTGCGCTGGTTGATGAGGATGAGTTCCCTGAGGGACTTGTTGAGGGACGGGATTGGGAGAGGGTGTGTTTGGGGACGTTTTATGTTAAGCCTAATTATCCTGGTATGTATCCCTTCTTTTCTTATTTTTTTTTTTTTTTTTTTTTTTTTCGCAGGGTTGAGCTATGTATGCTAACATCTTTGGGACTTGCGACAGGCCGCTGCTCGCATGTTTGTAACGCGGGGTTCTTTACGACGCCGGCGGCGAGGGGCCGCGGGGTCGGTATGGTGATGGGGCAGACGTATTTGGCTGTTGCGCCTGTTTTGGTTAGTTTTTTTCCCTTTCAGGGGGGGGGTTGGGTTTGTGGTGGTGGGTGAGGGTTAACGCGGTGCAGGGCTACAAGTACTCGGTGTTCAACCTCGTGTTCGCGAACAACGTCGCTTCGATCAAGATCTGGGAGAAGCTCGGGTTCCAGGTTATCGGGCGGGTGCCGCGCGCGGCGCGACTGGCGAACAGTGCTGAGTTGGTGGATGCGTTGATCATTGGGCGGGATTTGGTATAACTCTCCGAGGTCTCTGGTATGAGGTTGAGGTGGCCAGGGAGTTGAAAGCAAGGGGGATCCGGGAGTTCTCCCCCGAGAACACCTACATCCTGGCTCAGGGTTGAGGTGCCAGGAAGCTGAAAGAAAAGGGGGGCCCGGGGGTTCTCCCCCGGGACGCTTATGCCCCAGTCTAAGGATTGAGGTTGCTGGGAAGCTGAAAACAAAGGGGGGTCCGGGGGTTCTCCCCCGGGACGCCTTTATTCTGTATTTGCATGAGCCGAGGTTGGGAGTCACCGGAGAAAGAAGAACACCTGTAAATATTTTTCCGTTTTCATGACTTGGCCCAGTTTCCTAGACTAGACTAGACTAGATTCGAATATTACGCTTCGGAACTTCGACATAATAATGAATAAATGAATGCCATACACCGCTAAAAATGCGCGAGGGGGATATCAATCTGCAAAGAAAGACACGCAAAATCTGCTATATCACACACTCCCACACGTAAAAAAAAATAATAATCCCGAACCGCAATACTCCCATTTAAATTACATTGGGTGAAATAACAGAATAAATCCCGGAAACGCTGGGTCGCGACTAGCCCCGCCAGGGAGGTCGCTCCCCGAGCTTGCTGCGCGTGCCAGGCGCATTGTCCTTGCCGGACCGGCCTTTGGGCAATGGAATCAAGCTGATGCGACGGTGGCTCGAGTGGCCGAGCGAGGTCTCGGGCCGTGGCGTCGGCGGCGCCTTGGTTGGACTCGCCAGGCCGCGGCTGTGGTCTTGGGACACACTGCGGCTGAATGAGAGGCCCGCGAAGCTCTGCCGGCTGCGGGGCGCACTGGCCAATCCTTCGGGCCGGCGCAGCTTGCTGTACGGCGGAGGGTCCAGGATGGACCGATTGGGCGTGGGGGATACCATTCGCGCGGGGCTGCGCGACGCCAGACGGCTCGACACCCGGCTCGCCGACCGCGCGCTCATCGGCGCCGGTGAGACCGACATGTCACGACGGTACGGGGTCATGGGCAGTGTCGAAGAAGGGCGTGAGTTACGGCCCGTGGCAGAAGTCTTGCGGTACGGTGTATTGAGCGAAGTCGACTTGTAAGGGTCCAGATCGTTGAGGTTGGTACTGTTGGTCCACCGCGGCCGGTTAGCCAAAGCCGGGGGCAGGGGCGGCGGACGCGGTAGTGGCTTTCGCGCCGCAGGCGTAGGCGTCGCGGCCACTTGCTTAGTGGGCGAGGTCACGCCATGTGCTGCCTTCGGGATCGCCGCTTTCTTTGCCGTCAGGTTGGATGTAACCTGTGGCAACCCAGAATAGCGCCGCACCTTCGACATCGTCGTGCGTGCTACCGAGCTCACGGAGCTGCAACGGCGGCTGGAGTTGTTGACAGGTGTGGTGGATCGTTTCAACGCGGTTGCCGGAGTCATCACTACCGACGAAGCCGGGGAGCTGCCGGGCGTGTCGGCGACACTCCCGGTCAGCGGGCTGTCCATAGTGAGGATGCTGGAGATTGAGTCGCGAAGATGTTGCGATCGTGTGAAGCTGATGTCCTCCAGTGATGCGTCCATCACACGGATACTCGCCTTCAGAGCATCGACTCGCGATGTCATGTCTGACAGAAGTCGCATGATCTCTCCGTTCAGCGTTAGACGCTCATTCACACCCTTTTGGATGATTGACACCACCCGCTCAATGGCGGCGACATAATGCTGCTTCTTGGCGTCGTAGCTTTCCACCCGCTTGGTAAACTGCCCCGGGTTATGGATCTGAGCGCTAATCTCGATGGCCTCCTGAAGCTTTCCAATACTTCGCTCGACCGATTCGAACATCTTCTGCGCCTGGCTGCCCGCGTTGCGAAATACGAGAATCCATCGGTCTTCGTCCAGCTCCTTCCGCAAGTCCTCTGCGTCTGACTCCAGGTCCTTGTAGGCCATCTCGAGCTGGTTGCGCCGGTCCTCAATTTCCTGGCAGGCGCTGGGAAAGATTCGCTCTGCCCGCGACTGGAACATGGAGAGTCGCATGGGAAGGAAATCTAGCGATGCTCGTAGCGGTTGAATCCTCGCAAACAGGGCAATCAAGTTGGAGTTGTTGGAGTCGTCCTGTGGGGTCTGGATGATAGGAGTATCTAAAGTGGGCGGGGCTGTGAGGAGAGGGTCCAGACTGAACCGCTTGCTCGTCGACAGGCGCCCACCGGCCGGTGTCTCCTCCACAATGGTCTCTAGCTCATTGATGTCCAGCCCTGTGGCACTCGAATCCTGTTCACCCGCCAGGGTCCAGTGTCGTTTCTCTTCCATCTCGAAGACAAGCCGACGAAGGTTCTCAATCTCCTCTCCGACTTCACCCAAGACAGTCCCCCAAAGCTCCTCCCATTCCATCGCCAACTCCACCTGTTCTTTGACGCCTCGAAGTCGATTCTTGATCTGTGACCAGCTCTGGATGATGACGTCCATCTGATCGACAACAACATTCAAACTGTCGGTGGTGACGTTCTCGATATCATCACGTAGCTGCACGTCCTCAATAGCTTTGACATAGACGTTGATTAAATTCTCGAACCGCATGATTGCTCCGTCAACCCCGTCCAGGCCTTCTCGTCCACCGGCAGCGGCCCATTCGACGTCATCCTCCGCATCCAGTCCGCTCAACACGCCCGACGCTTTTTTAATCCATACTTGAATCTGTTCTGCAGCCCCCGTGAGTGCTCTTACTGCTGCAGGTGCGGTCGATATCGAGGCAATGTTGGCTTCGAGATGGGACGGTTGGGGGAGAGAGATGGAGGTAAGTTGTGACAGTTGATTGCTGAAAGAGGCTCTGGAGAATGAGTAAATGGATTCGGACCGTTGCAGTCCTAAGGGATTGAAGTAGGATTGCGAGTTCGTGGACGAGATGGACAGGTGACTGGGTGAGTCCTTGGGTGGTGGAGGAGGGGGAACTGATTCATTGTCACTGGTACTCTTGACGTATTTTTCAAACTCGGCCGGGTCTGTAGGCGGCATTCCGTTCACTGAACCCGGACGGAGTGGTAGTCGGGATGATCTGACGGCAGCCATGTCGGATGCTAACTCGTCGTACGCTAGCCTTCGCTGTTCCTCTGCTTCCTCTTTTGAAACCGCTTGTGTCGCGTCCTCTTCTATCGGTAAGATTGCGTCAGGATCCCAGTCCACAGGCGACGGATCCACGTCCGGTTGGAGAACTAATGTTGAGGCCTCCTGTTCTAGTGTTTGCCCCGAAGATTCCCCTTCTTCTTCTTCTGCGAGTAGTTCTTCCGGAAGCACTGGGTCGGGGACTTCTAAGCAGCCCGAATCCGACTGCTGCTGCTGCTGCTGCTGCTGTTGTTGTTGTGGCCGTCCGAACTGTGGTTTCCTCTCCCTATGGATGCGGTGCAGACCATTCCACGTGCGGCCCTTTTTCTGGATCCTTATCGATAAGTCCTGGTGCAAGCTGTCCAACTCCTTAATTTGTTCTTCGGGGATCCGACCGACAGCTCCCACGCGGGACGGGCTGTTTGTTTTGCTATTGCTGCCGTCCAGAAGCTTGACGCGGGCAGCGAGGCCGGGAGATAATCGACGGAGGATGGAAGGGCGAATGAGGGTCTTGTCGGCGCTGGCGTCGAATGTGTCGTCAGGGTCGTCTTCGTGCGTACTGTTGCTTCCAAGGCTGCGGAGACTGCGCAGAGAGGATTTGGATTTGATTCGTCGCGCAAAGGAATCATCTGCAGCGGAGACGGACACAGCAGGAGGAGGAGGGGGAGGGGGAGAAAAGAACTGCGACGTGGATGCGTTGAGCCCGGAATCCGGGGGGTCGGCGGTCGCAGTGGTTGCAGCCAACCCGGTGAACATTGCACGCATGGATGGGAAAATCCACGAGGGCGACCGCGGTTCGAATGTTGTTTTTGGGGGGGCTGGGTAGGGGATGCGTGATGTGTGGGTAACAGTTGAAAGATGGGTGGACGTGAAAGATTAACTGACTAACACACTAATGCAGTTGCGCAGTAGAGCAATGATGACGGTGGGCGCAGGAATGTGGTTGATGGGCTGAGGATGCGCCAAGTAAGTTGCCGCTACCGGAAATGTAGTCTGGGAGGTAAAAAGATGTTTATATAGGTAGATCTTCTCTACCGCTTTAGATTAGTCCTTTTATAGAATCATTTAAAAATTGGGAGCAGAGTATGAATTATGATCTTCTTTATCTACTGTATTTCTGAGCCAGCTACTTTAGATAATCTTCTTTGGATATGAAATATAGACCCTTGTTCCCTTATACTGGGATAATAACTATACCCTTAAATTCTCCATCTAGTGTCGTTGTCATATATCTTTAAATCAGCTTTCTTTGTGCTCCCGACGAGACGGGCTTGGTTAGGCTCATTAGCTCTTTAGCTAGTCTAGTAAGGTAGACTACCTAGGAGTAGACTGCTCGTACTTCCTTCAAGGTTAGTTAGTACAAGTATGCTTGCTGGCCTTGTCGGTGAGTCTTGCCCCCTGATCCGGTTTCAGAACAGGCCTAGGTTGAAATGCGTCGGGCTCCAACCGGTTGCTCAACTTTCAACAGAAACCAAACCGGAAACTTTCGGAATCATGATAGGTGTGAAAGTAATCTTGGGCAGCAGGAGTAGTAGGAGGCAGGTGGTGAATGATGAAGTGTAAGTGAGAAGAAAGTCGACCCCAAGTAAATGAGTTGTCCGTTATTGTTGGCCTCAGGCTCTCTCTGGCATTGCCCGACCAGCCCGGCTGATCCTCCGCCCCAGGGGCCGATTATCCTTTCGCTGCTCTCTTGGGCCCTGAAAAGAACAACAGAAAAACACAACAGGGATTTTGACCCCTCGGTTTAGTGTTTGCGATCCATCCATGGAACGCGCCTGAGCGACCCAGTCCTTCACATGACGTTACTCCGACCACAATAATGTATATAGGAGTACTTGCAAGATTCGATCTTTACAAGACAAAATATTATATAGATGAGAATAACCAAAGTAAAGTATAATCTGGAACAGAATTAGGCCCCTCTTCTGAACAAGGATGCCGGCGGCCTGTCCGACATTCACCTGGAAGACGAGGCGTAGCGTAGCCATAGTCGCAATGAAGGGAGAGAGTCGCCCCTCCAAAGGAACAGGCAAGATATTTAAAACACAAATATTTCCAACCTGACTGAGCTCAGACAAGCAAGGGGTATCAATGTGGTCAGAGCGGACAGCAAAAAATCAACACGCAAGAACGAACCCACCGACCGTCCCGTCGGTCTTCCTCCTTTCTTCACTTAACCCTTCCCTCCTTCCCCCTTCCCACCCTCTATTCCTACTCAAGGACCGAAATCGGTCAATTGACAGACATCATCCTAGATCCTCCTTTTTACAAAGGGCGGATCACCAGATCGTCACTGGGAAGACTGGCAGCGGAAGCTCGCCGCTCCCGCCAATCCCGCACCAGTTCTTCGCGGACTACCTTACACCAGGACAGCAGAGCTGCATCAAACTGCTTCCACGCCTCGGCGCTGTTGTTCTGTACCACTCCCATCACGTCGATCTCAAGCTTGGTTTCCCATCGTAGCTCGGCCGCCTTGATCCAGAACCGCAGGTTCTCGGCCATGCGATATGGCTTCCCAACATCCTGATGGTAAGTCTTGATGTCGAAGAACGGCCGCTTGGAGTTCTTGATCGCGAAATTATGGGCCCGCACCAGGTCTCGACCGTCGCGCAGACGTTCCAGCATGGCAGGCGGCGGAGAGTTATCCTCCGGAGCGGTCCATGTGGGCAGCTGCGCGTCGGCGCCGATCAGGCTACGCAGGAACAACGTCTCTCGCTCCCGCTCCTTGCCTGCCCACTCCCCTTCCGTCCAGATCCAGGCCGCCCGCTCTTTGGCTTCAAATGATTCCAGCTGGGCTTCTCGGGCCAGCATGTCGCGCAAGTTGCCCATCCAGTCCACAATGGCGGATCGCTCGTCGTCGCGAAGCCCCTCGGCGAAATTCCGAGAGGCCCAGCGTTTCATCACCTCGAGCACACTGAAGAGCTCCTGTCGGATCTCGCGCTTGTCCTTGATCGAGGCCAGTCGTTCGGGACGTTCATGTGCGGTGTAGTAGATCTTCGCAGCTCGAATCGCCAGGGTGACAGCATCCAAGACACGCATGCCCTGGATTTCTTGCCAAGTTTGAGGGATTGCCTCCGGGGGAGGCTGTTCTGGCGAGTCATCTCCGCTATCGGCGGGTTCGTTGGAAGAAAAACTAATTCGGGGCGGAATCATGTCCGCGGGCGCTTCCTTCTGGGTGTCGATGGAATGGATCGCTCGATCGGCCTTTTCCATCGCGTCCATCAAGTCTTTCCGGAGTGCCTTCAGTTTCGGTGGGGATGGGATGTGGTGCGTCTTGATGCTGTACGTGCTCACGGTAGGCGGAAGCATTTCCTCGACGTCCTCCTCGATCTCCTCTCCTTCATCCTCCAACCCGGAATCGCGGGGATCAATGCTTTCTTCCTCCGTAGGGCTGGCTGTCAACTCGTCGATGAATCGAGCATTGGGGGTTAGCAGCAACCGAGGAACTTCCTCTGGGTTCTTTTTCTTTTTCTTATATGCACGGGCCTGGCCACCCTTCCCATCCAGCAAGCCTGTCCGAGCAAAGTAGTATTGCAGATGCGCAATGCTACCCAGGCTCATCACACTCTCCCGATTCCTGGCCGACTCTGCGAACTCGGCTCCCTGAGTCCGTATGTAGCCCCGTCGCTTGGATGAGGTCGAGATCGATGACCTCGCATCGGCGGAAGTCGCAGACGAGGCCGAGAGCGAGGAGAGGGACGAAAAGGTACGGCCCGGCGACGGACAGGAGGAGATGGCCGGGGTCGCTGGGACCGACGGAGAGGGCGAGCCGGCGCGGGCAGGAGGGGTAATGGATTCGGGGTCGATAGAGTCATCCATGGTTGCGCACGTTATCCTTGTTGGCTCGTTCACTGGGAAAGGTTGCACGTCTGCAGAAGATAGATCGCAATGGGTACGGCGCGTTTGAGGGGAAACAGATCTGGTATGAGACGGATATAAACAGCAAAGGACAGGTGTACGTCGGGTAAGGGAAATGATGGAAATGACGCGGACGATCGAAAATTGGGAACCAAGCCTAGGTTTGAGACGCGAATGAGTGAGTAATTGATTAGCAGAGATGGCAAATCGATCGTCGGGGCAAGATTGAATTTGGGAAGTTCGAAAGGGGGGGCGTTTTTTTCCCACTAAAAGGGGAAGCGGGTCGATAATTAGATAGCCCAGGGTGATTAACACGTCTCTGCATTGATAATGCACCACCCGGTATTTATAGAAGTGTCATTTCGTCTTGTGCATCCATCTTTTCGGGATTCTGGGCAAGCGAGCCCCTGAGGTCATTTCTATCCGGACACCCGGGACGGTGGCCTCAGAACTACCCCATGATGCGGACAAACGAGTGGAGATTGTTTGTAGTTACTAGAGACTCTCCAGGCTCTCTCTGACTGTCTCCTATTTAGTGGTGGAAGGCAATAGACGGACGGCCATTCTCTGGATGAGTGACTGCCACTATGCCTATTCAGGACTAGCGTCCCCGTGCCTGAAAGCCCCGCATCCAGACTTTTGAGTCGCGTTTGACGCGAACCCCTTACGGTTCACTCTCACTGCACGTCCAAGGTACAACTACAAGATAAGCCTCGGTTGAACTCCTGGTTCTGATCAAAGCCATAAGATTCATCGTCATCATCATGAGGTTATTAACATTGGATATGTTGAGATGTGAGGGGAGGTCAAACTATTTACAACATGATAGTACAGTACAGTGCCCACTGGCCCGCTGCTTATCCCAAACCATGCTCCCGGCAGAGAGCAACCAGCACCGTCCACCATGTATCTAAACATGAAACAACACTCCTCCAGGGAATAATTAGCCCGTGGTGATGAAGAACCCCGGTCCAGCCGAGTGCAGCTAAATTGTGAACCAAGGATGCAAAACAAGTCTTTCTTTCCTTAAACCACCTCCTCGCGCTCCCATCCAACGGCTTTCAGGTTGTCAATGCCCTTATCGGGATGGGGCTTGGATGGATCCTTGTACTTGGCCGCGTACGGATTCGGATCTGTCTCGTGGTTCAGGTTCCCCAGGGTGTGGTTGACCTCGCGATGCTTGGCTTCGTCAGCACGCACATAGAGCAACAGGTCCCGCATTGTCCGCTGTCCCTCCGGCATCTTCCAGTATTGCACCGCGATCTCGGGCGCCTCCAGCTTTTCCCAGTGAGGCAGCTTGCCGTTCTCGATATCTTTGATCGCGCGCGTATACGTGATCACCGCCTCCTCCTCGAGGTAGCCCACGAACCGGTGGCAGATGCGGGGCGACATGAGGTAAGCCAGGAAAAAGCCGTTGAAGAAGACTCCCTGGGCGCCGAGGACCATCAGGCGCATGAACCAGCCCGGCTCGGCCACTTTGAGGAAGGTCAGAAGGTGCATCCGCTCGTTGTATGCTTCTTCCAGCAACGTTTCGATCCTATGCCCAACGCATCAGTTATTTGTCAAGATATGGTCCGTGGGAAGGACAGGAAAGAAGAACTTACCATCCGTTATCTCGCTTCATGCGCCGCAAGCTTCTCAGGTGTCGCAACATCCCCCCAACCATGCCGGGGACACCAGCCACACTCTCCAAGAAGACGAACCGTCTCAACCACGCCTGCTCCGTCATCTGGAATTTGGCATCGTGTTCCTTGCCCGGCGGCGGGTGGCGGTAGCCCGTCACCAGGTCCATGCCCCATCGCAGGACGCGCACGGTTCCAAGTGCGATCCAATCTGCCCAAAGCTTTGCATCGCGGTGAGCCACTGTGATCTGCTTCATCTGCTCCTCCGTGTACCTGGGCCAGTCAGCATCCTGGTCAGTCGACAAGGTGAGATGTGATGGGCTGCACTTACACTGGATGGACCCAGGCAGTCTCCACTTCTTTGACATGAGGAGCCTTCAGAGGCGGGAAGAACTCCTTGATCTGTTGTTTCTGTGTCGTGGAAATGAATCGCTTGGTGTGTGTTTGCGGATGGTAGTTGATTCCCAGGGTCGAACTACCGCACCGGAGACCAGTCATGGCAACGACACTTGGATTGCTTCGCATGGTCAAGCGAAGGCTTGCCTTCGGAATGGCTACCCTGAGGGGGGCCGTAGCTGTCAGAGAATTCATTGTAGTGTGCGATCAATGGTAAGTGGTGATCGTAGTTGTGTGTTGATAGTTGTATGGAAAGGTGTTCAAGTGATATTGAGTCTTGATAGACAAGTATGTGATGAGAGTGATTTGATCTGAATATTTACTATCACAAAAAGCTGGGACCCCTTGACCGGTGCCTATTTATATGACATTTTCAAACCTAAAAAGCACCAAAAAAAAATTCACTGTACCTGACACTGAACCACGTAACTATGACTCCCCGGAGCCACTGTACTGTACTGTACCTGGATTGAAACCGTTGATCGGCAGAAATCGGAGTGGCGCCCCGGAATCCTAGTACGCAGCGGAAGACGGACGGAGGGGCCACCCTGCCAAAGTCACGCGGGTCGAAAAAAAGGACAAAAGAGGAATCACATTCAATGCGCAGGTTTGTAATGGACTCAAACCTGCCCAGCCACCCCCATCCCCGTGAAAAGAGCCTTGTATGCGATATGATCTTATACGAGGAGACCCGTAGAAACGGCTTCTCTGCGAAATCCTGCAGGAATACTTTCCTCGCCGCTCGGTTATTGTTATCCGAAGGAGGATTGACTTTGTCTCTACATTGTCAGGCTACTCGCTACTGCTGTTGAGGTGTACCAGCGTGAGGAATGTCCCTATGGAAATTTCATGCGCAGGTACTGTCCAGCGAAGATCGTACAAGTATTTCGAATATAGATTGACTGTCTTGATATACTATTGCTTCCTAGGGACTAGCGCGAACAGATCCCCGAGTGCCGGTCTCCGATAGTGGCAGACTGCCGGGGTTTCTGCCTGCACCAGTGCAAGCCTGCAACTACTAAGTATAAACTCGCCGCCCCTCAGTGGTCGGTGGAGACCCCTGGAATCAACCATGATTTGAACGGTTGGGTGAAAAAGGTCTAGAATGTTACATCCAAGTTACAGCCGATTCACCCCTGCGATGCCTGCCTATCCAACCTGATATCCTTGTCGTTAAAGGAGAAACAAAGAGCTGTTGTGCCCTGAACATCATAAACCAGGTATTAAGCCATGGCAATACGAAGTAAAAGCCACCACGCAACGCCCCTTCTTCTTCCTTTATGAAACAGCCACCTGCCATGAGAAACCTTCTTTGTCGGCACGAGTAAACTCGTATATGCCACAGGATTACGAAGAAAGAGCCCTTACAAACCCGGTGAGAGAGACAGGCATCGGCCAGATGACCTCAAGGCCAGAAAAGCCCCCGGCGGGGACAGGGAAAGTCGTGGTCGGCGTCCACCGGAGGGCGAGATCCCTCGCTCACTCGGCTCCGACGGATTGTCTGGACTTGGAACGGGCTCTGGTGCGGGTTTGGGTCGGCGATCCGTTAATCATTCCTGCTTCGGTGAACCCCAGGGAACCCCGGGATCGATCGCCCCTGGTAGCTAAGCTTTTGGTGTGTTTGCCACTGACGAGGTTCGGCAAACAATCTTACAGTACTCATACACCGACAGCATACGGATTGCTTTGCTGCTTGCTCAGGATTACTGTGTACGGGGATATGTACGGAGCCGCGTACCAAAAATTATAGAACAACACTAAATTCTACGGTGTATTGCGATTACTTATACATGTATAATATTATGAATCTAGTGCATTAAAGGCGGGCAAGTATATCAAGCCAATAAAATTAAGCCAAGAATTATAAATATGCACTGAAGCTGCATAATCAACAGCTTATGTAATAAAACTATAACTATCCCTGCGCTCCATAAGAATATGATCTATATCATTACCATTCAAGTTTATTATTTACACATAATGTTACTAGTGAGGTTCCATAACTTTTGGTACACGGCTCCGTAGAAACGTGTACTGTTTACGCAAGTCGAAGGATTTGCGCAATGATGATACATGCTTTCGTTGTGCTGACCTGACGGGGATTGAATCCTGGACGTTATTCGCCCCAGCCCTGTCGGGTTAGGCCGGGATTCCGTCTGAGTCATAACATGCCGATCTTAACTCGGGCTTGGATCGGGATTTGTTGGCATAACCTACTCTCGTACCCCGAAGTACAACGTCATGTTGGATCCTTTTGTTTTGCGCAAAGTTTGTCTCGATAGATCATTGGACGCATGTGTAGCTGCGGAGTGATGGAGAGCTCTATGCTCGGGTGAATGAGCCGGTCCGGCACGTGAGACTGCTCTGCTTGGGGATAGGCTCCAGTACTATTCTTCTAGACTAGCAGATTTTGTTCAACAAAACAATGTCAAGCAGTGAAAGTGAAAACAAAGACAAGGCAAGGCGCGTCCGTATCTTCTTCTCAATGTTCATTGGCAGTCACTGCCAGAAGATCTAGTGTTGTTTTCTCAATTCGCCGGTAAGTCCAGACATACCATCACACCGTACGCACCCCCAATGCTTCAACTGCATCACTCAATATTGGCAAACCCGGATTCGGATGTCCTGTAGCATGAGAAGCCCTCTTCACCGTCCTTAGCGGCAATCTCTTTCTGCTCGACCTTGACCACATGTGCTAGACGAGGTCCCTTGTTGATGTCTTTGAGAAGCTTCTGCAGAGATTCCTCGTTTCCTTGAGCCTCTCCTTCAACCTGCAAGCATTTAGTGATGGGAACATACATCTTAACCATGCGCGGCTCGAAAGCACAGCAGGGGTGTAAAGAATATCATGCTAGCATTAGATGGATACGAACCCTTCCGCAGTGCGTGTTCTTAACCCATCCTCTCAAGTCATACTCGGTAGCTCGTTTCTGTGTGAAGTCCCTGAAGTTATGAATAGAATATCAGCCAGTTGTTCACGTGTTTGTCTTGCGCTGGAGGCTGAGTCGAGTAGTGGCGTACCGAAATCCCACTCCTACAGGATACGCATTATTAGCTTAAACTTTATGAATTTACATCGTGGATATTGTAGCAAGTCTGCATCATCCTGGTACTGCAAAAGTGCTTACCTTGCACGGTTCCAGAAACCTTGAATGCGATCTATCATACTCAGTGATTGAAGCTTAGATCTGAAGTGCGATGACGTAGTCTGGATAGAGCAGAGTCGACAGCTCTAGGCCAGACGAACTGGGGGACACTTACACGCTGAGATGTCATCTTGAGAGACGTGTAGGCTCTTTTTCCAAGCATGTAAGTCGTGATAATCAGGGCAATGATGTGTTGTATGTGTCTCGCACCATCAACTACTAGGTTAGTAGTCTGTCTGCTCGTTTAGATGCTTAGTCATATACGGGTACAACGATGCCGCTTTCCTAATTCGGCAAACCTTTCTGATCGCACGGCGGGGGATTTCGATGTTTCTACTTCAAGCAACTGTGCAGCCAACCACCAATCGGCATAGTTCTTTTGTGCTCATGATTCCATCTTCTAGATACAAGGGAGACAGCGCTTCTCATACACCTATAAGCTGGGTACACCAACATTCCGGACAGTTTCTAAAAGTCGCCGTGACGGTGATATACTGCAGTTGATATGCTAATCAGCCAGCGGATTGGACCAGCTCCGCTCCGCCCCTGAACCAAAAATGGATTCGGGCGGTGATCTCCCCCAGAGTTCCTCCTGTTGACTCTCCGCACTCTGTCCAGTGTCCACCACCTTTCTCTACCCACTCTGTTCGCTCTGGGGGGTCCGTCACTCTCGCGAAATGCTGGCGTCAAAATGACGCTCTCGCTTCTCGCCTGGTTCAGGCGTTTATACTCCCTTGACACACTCGACACTCGTTTCACGGCCTCCGCGATCACTCCAGCCAAACTCGCTGCGGCTGACGCGCGACCCTCCGCCAAAGATGCCCGCTCTGCTGCCATTGCCCGCAATGCCTCGCCCTCGAAATGGAACACCTTCGAATTCTATATCTACTATGTCATCTTCTTGACTGTTGTGCCATTGATGTTCACCACTGTCATTGGTGTATCGCAAGGTTGGTTTGCTCTCCTGAGCATGAAAACAAATACTGACTGTTCCCGCAGAGAGCCATCCCACTTATGCAACATACTCTCATTTACTCGAGGACGGTTGGATACCCGGTCGCAAAGTCGTATGTCATGAACTCTCAGATGTCTACAATTCGAAGCTAATGTTGCTCGAATGCCTAGGATAACTCCGACTCGCAATATTCTGGTTTCCGAGAAAACGTTCCCTACCTCCTCATTCTCTTAGTCGGCCATCCATTGCTTCGCCGTGTCTATAATCGATATGTAGGGGGAGAAAGCCCCGACCTGGCTTTTGTAAAAGCATCCCCGGCCGTTGCAGCTGGGGAGGCCCGCCTCAAACAGCGGGTCAACTTCGATTACTACTTCGCTTTTGTTTTCATCGTGGCCCTCCATGGAGTGTCTGCTCTGAAGGTGCTCGCTATCCTATATATCAACTACCGAATTTGCAAATCACTTCCCCGAGACTATATTCCCGCAGCGACTTGGACATTCAACATCATGACTCTGTTCGCCAATGAGCTCTGCGCCGGCTATCCGCTCGAACGACTAGCTACTCTCCTGGTACCTGCTTTCGATGCTGCCAAACAAGTGCCCGAACTGGTGCTCTGGGCTCGTTCTCTCGACGAATTTGGGGGTATAATTCCCCGGTGGGAAATTCTGTTCAATATCACCGTCCTCCGTCTGATCAGCTTCAATATGGACTACTACTGGAGCCTTGACTATCCCGCCTCCAGTCCCATTGAAGTAAGTCTATAATTCCCCTTTTAAGGAACTACCTCTGACCGCCATAAGAAGAAGCAACTCGATCCGGCTGCCCTCTCGGAAAGGGACAGAGTCAGTATCCCGGCCGAGCTGGCTGCATTCAACGGCCGTTGCTATATCGCCTATGTGCTTTACGCACCGCTTTACCTGACCGGACCCATCTTGACTTTCAACGATTATATCTCCCAGCAGAGATATGCTCCGCCGTCTCTCACCAGCACAAGAACAACCCTCTATGGAGTCCGCTTCTTCCTCACGTTACTCGCTATGGAGCTGATACTCCATTTTATCTATGCCGTCGCCATCTCCAATGCCTCTCCGGATTGGTCCCTGTACACGGCAGGCCAGCTCAGCATGCTCGCCTATTTCAACCTGCACATCATCTGGCTCAAACTCCTCATCCCATGGCGCTTCTTCCGCTTCTGGGCTTTAGTAGACGGCATCGATCCGCCAGAGAACATGATCCGCTGCGTGTCCAACAACTACTCCCCCATGGCCTTCTGGCGCGCATGGCACCGCTCTTTCAACCGCTGGATCGTGCGCTACCTCTACGTCCCTCTCGGCGGCGGCAGCAGTGGCCGCGGAAGCGGCAACTCCTCGTCTGGGATGTATGCCAAGGGCCGGAAGATCTTCAACACGCTCATTGTATTCACTTTTGTCGCTCTCTGGCACGACATCAACCTGCGTCTGCTCATGTGGGGCTGGCTCATCACGCTGTTCGTGCTGCCTGAGGTCATCGGCTCCCTGCTCTTCCCCGCCAGTCGCTGGCGCTCACGTCCCACCGCCTACCGGGTGATCACCGGCATCGGGGCCGTGGGCAACGTCCTGATGATGATGATTGCTAACCTGGTCGGCTTTGCCTTGGGGCTAGACGGACTCAAGGGCCTTATAGCGTCGATCCTGGGGTCGTGGGCCGGTATCGTGTATATTGTTTTGGCGTGCTGTGCGCTGTTCGTGGGAATCCAGGTGATGTTCGAGATCCGAGAGGAGGAAGCGCGCGCGGGGATCAACTTGAAATGTTAAACGTATCGCACTTAGTACTATCTATCTACTCACAATGCGAACTCAATCCCAAAGCGGTTTTTGGATGGTTTCAGTCCTCCTTAAATAAGCAGTATACATATAAACAAACTTGGTATCACTTAATATAACATATAACAGTACAAACCCGACAAGCGGCAGACCAAAGTCATCCCCTCCACCCCATAAACGAAAACCCCTATCAAAAGAACGCCCCACACCTCGAATCCTCATGCACCTTATAACACGCCAACCCACACGTCCTCGCATGACAATTCTTACACCGGATCTTGCCCCAATACCCACACATGCAGCAGAAATGGCGCTTCGTGGCCCGACTCGCGATGGGCGATCCCGCGCGCGACGCGTTATACGTGAGCGGCGGCTCAGCCAGCAGCGCCTGCATGATCCGCTCCGAGGGCGCGGTAGGCAGATACGTGCGGAGTAAGGGGTTGGTGTCGTGTTCTGAACGGATGAGGGTTGTTGTATTTGTTTCTTGTTCTTGTTCTTCTTCTTGTTCTTGTTCTTCTTCTTCTTCTTCTTCTTCTTCTTCCTCCTTCGGGGAAGGGGTTTGTTCGGGGGCTGTTGTTGAGGCGGGCTGTGCTTGTGCTTGAGGCGGTACGGACGATTGTTTTCGTGACCGGGACGTGTCCTTTGATGTGAGGGGTGTGGAGCTTCGGCGGAGCGGCGTGGGCGTTGAGGTCGCGGTGGATTTTGTGATCTTGTGGATGCTGCCTCTATGCCCCGCTGCTGATGATGTTCCTCCCCCGGTCGTAGCGCCGGCTGCCGCTGCTGCGGAGGAGGAGGAAGAGGTTGCGTTTGTGGGGGTTGCGGTGGCTTGTTGCGCGCGAGCGGCTTCTTCGTCGTCTAGGTAGTTCCGGAAGGTTTTTTGGGATTGCAGGATCCGGCGCACGTTCGAGGTTACTTTTGTTCGGGTGCCTGATTTTTTGTTTCTTTCAGTGAGTTGCTCGGTTTTGTTCTAGGGTGTATAAAGATTTGGACTGGGGGGAAAGAGTTCTGTCTGGTTGTTTGCGTGCTCTCGTTTGCTCCGAGTCTGGAGTTCACAGAGATCGCACCAAGAGGAAAGGGGGAAGGAAGGTCCTACCTCGTGGCGCAGCAGGTTCCTTCTGCCGCACCGGAACCTGAATCTGCACATCGCGATGGTTCTCCCGGTCCAGCTCGGCCAGATGGCGGATGATGGCGTTGGTTTGTCTGGACGACAGGTCTGTTCGGCCGGGGTCCCGGATGCCGCGTTTGCGGCCGATGGTGGGCGTGATGGCTGCTTTGGCTGGATCGAAGCCCCGATCGGGCACGTAGGTCCATCCCGGGGTGGCGTGGGTCGTGGACCCTGGGAGGAGTTCGACGTGGTACATTTTTTTCTTTTCCCTGTTTTGATAGGAGATAGGGTGAAGGTGCAGTGCTGCGCAGGCGCGATTATCGATCACCGCGCAAGAGAAATCGCGATAAGAGAGAGCGAGGGTGAAGGCGGTAGCGCTTGTTTGCTGTGTTTGCATTGCATGATGACGCCAACAGTCTGTCTCGCCTCCCGAAGTGCACGCGCGCGTTGTCGAAGTAGATGCATGCCTTTGTCTTTGATGACTGGTCATTTGATTGATATTTAGAGTGCTTTTTTGTCTGAACATGTACTTGAATGCGTACGTTTCAATATACTTTCGTACATATGAGATACAGTCCTGGTTCGACTGGTTTTACGATGCTCATCCCCACAGAACCTGCATTCAAACAGTGGACCAAAATGATATGCTAGACCCGTACGTAGCGAGGAACTCCTGCGGAAACAAATAAAGGCAAACAAACCCGGAATAGAGATGAAAACATTGACACAAAGAGAAAAGGAAGATGATATGCAACTCAGATCATTTCTTCTTCAACTGGTCGACCTTGGTTTCTAGCTCGCCGATGTAAGTCTGCAGCTTCTGGGTAGCGATTTGAAGAGCCTAGCAGCCCGCATTAGCGGAAAGAGTTTTTCAGTGGGCAGCAAGACAGAAGCACGTACGTAGATGTCTTCAGTCAGCATCTCATTGGAGATTCGGTATTCGGCCAAGATATAGTAGTAGACGGCGACACCGGCTGCAACCGAGCCAGTCAGGAAACCGAAGATTCTGTTCACCAAGAGAGATTGTTAGTCAAACCGGGAGATGGAGGGTCAGTTTGAAGAGTAAAGTTAGTGTAGGAATGTCAGTACCCTCCACGGAATGCGCCCACGGGCTTCTTAGCGGGCAGAGTGGTGGCCGCCTCCTTCATCAAGGGTGAGGCCGCGAAGGTCCGCGTCGGGATGAAGACCGGCTTGGTTGCGCCGGAGCGCACGGCAGGCGACAACACCCTTCGAGCAGCACTCATGTTCATAAGGTAGAAGAAAATCTGGGAGATTGATCAGTAAGAATCATGAGAGTGTTAGCCACAGCTACAGGAGTAGTTGTCTGAGATCTTACCTGGTGAAATCAAGGAGTAGAGCAGTAGAAGTAGATGTTTGGGTGGTGCGGAGGAAGAGCTTGGGTGGAGAGTGTGACGTTGTTGTTGGCCAGCCAGTTGGGCCGAGGATGTTACTACTTAAAATCAAAAGTACCACCCAATAGACGACTGCATTATTATTCCCACCTCAAATTCAACTGCCGATTGCCAATGTTCCTGTCATACTCTGCTTATTTATTTTCCCGCTCCTCCAGAATATTCTATCATAGAATTCATGCTATTGATCCACTATGCTTAATTGATACTTTGCGCCTACGAAACCATGCGGCCCGACGCCCTGACGCCTGAAATCAACGCTGGAAAATGCCGCTTCTATCCCATGATACATGATTGATTGACTTATGCGTGTCCATTGTAGTCACATCAGTTCAAATCATCGCAGACAAGCAGAAAAGTGAATTATGCACGCGCAGCACGCGGAGTAAGCTAGGAGCCTTAGTTGGCCATGGTACTTTCATTGAAGATGTCCGCCAACAGGTCGTTCAAGCATGCGTCCAACCGTGGTTGGCCCATGCTATAGGTGCTTTCAAATGCATGAATGCTGAGCTGGTCGAAAAACGGCCGAAGTACCCGATCAACAATCTCATCTTTGGCCGTTTCGCGGATCCAGTCTGCGGCAAGGCTCGGTTGTTTCACCCCATGACTGATGTTGGCCGTTTCCCCAGCACCATCGGCCGATGTAGGCCCTCGCATACCCAAGCTCTGGGAGACCTCATCCGCGAGTGCCATCGGCTCGAAGCGCTCCGGTGGGTAGATGGCGTCTATGGTGTCGGTCACATAAAGCCACTCGAGAAGTTGAAAATCATCCGGTGCCAGCACAAGTAGCGTATCCAACAGTTTGCATGCTTGCAGCAAGACGTATGGATTGTAGACTTCTTGTTGCGGCCCTAGCGGCACGGCGGCTATGGCCTCCTGTAGTTCAGCATTGATGAGCGGCCAGAATGTGGAGAGTGCCGTCGCAGAGCTTTTGAGCGCAAGGGCACGCAGGACCATGAAGATCTCAGCCCTCGTCGTTGAAGATGGAGAAGAGGTACTAGTCGCCCCAAGGAGGTCTTCCAGCTTCTGCAGAAGGGCGGGTAGCTCGCCAATATAATAATCATCGTTGGCAGACAAAATTATGAGACTGATACGACGCAGGTTCAATTGTGCTTTGCGATCAGCTTCTAGCCGAGCAGCAGATGCCCCAACACCGAACATGATACCTGCTGTACTAGGTGGCGGAAGGCGAGACAGCAGCTCAGACAAGCGATCTTTGTCTGCGAGCACCCATTGTCGCAGTAAACTCAGCCATCCGTCGCGGACCAAGTCCATCTGCATGCCAAAAAATCTTGGATCATTGAATGCATCGGCTATGTCTTTTTTCCAGATCTTAGCAGCAGACGGAACTCTAGCTATGTGCTGGAACAAAGTCATAAAATTCTGGTTGAGATTGTTCGGAAAGAGTCGCGAGCGAAAGAGAGGCCCAACCACATTCGTAGAGATACCAGATACTGCAGACGTGATCCGATCAGAATCACCGAGCGTGGTTGTGAATGCAGACATAGACGCCGCGAGAATACTAAGCATATCGTCAGGTCCAATTTGTGGCGAAGGCGAACTGTCATAGTCGATAGAACCCCGGCTGAGGGAAGATTCTTGTGCGAGACCCATTGGCTTGCTCGTCCAAATCGCTGTAAGAAGGCGCAGTAGTACGTCCTACTTCCCGTCAGTAAAGCCCTAGAAAGTGAGTCGCAATGTCCTCTGTCTTTACATACCCCTAGTTCTTTCCTCATGCGTCGATCTTCACCGAAGCTGGTATGTTCCAGTTTTGCGCCAAGGATTGCTGCAAACTCGACCAAGCGTGGAAGGATCTGCCGGTGTGGAAATGGATTGCTTAATACATCGCGAAGGAATGTTGTGCAGTCTGCCCAGATCTCATTAAGCACATCATCATCGAGTGACCTGGCGTATGCTACCAAGAAGCCCGCCAACTCAGACTCAGTAAGGCTCGCCGTCAATGTAGACTTGCGGCTCGGCTCTAACGCTGCGGGATTAGTTCTTGTGTAAATAGAGTTGAACACAGCTGGGATAGCGATCTTTGGTCTAGATCCGTCTAGAGTGTGGAGCAAACTCATAATCAATGACGAGGTCTCGTTATCAGACTTCGTCCACATCTCGACAGCTGTCTCGAGGCATTCGAGTGCCTCTGCATTGAACAAATGCTCAAGAATGCGGCGCGATCTGTTTCTCATGCGGAGAGATGTGTACTGAAACGAGGCTATTGACTCTGCGTCCTGAGGCAGTGTACACCGCTCTACCGCACCCCAAGACCATATGGTAAAGCATAGTCTCACGGTATCTTGGAAGCAGAGCAGAACAGTAAGACGATTGTTCGCTGCCGCCGGGCGAGTATGATTTGATTCGGACGAGAAGACCCCTGACACCATGTTACCGAAGAATCCATGGGTCTGGTCAGGACTCTTAACAGCAGGAACATTGGCTTCCTCCACTAATAGTCGCTCGTGAGCAGTGGCGATGCAGGTCTCAAGCGCGCTGAGGAGAGCAATGGTGGCATACTCGGATCGGTCATCAGGCCATCCTTCCGTACGCTTGAAGGCAAGTTGAAGGCTCGCATAACAAAGTTGGATTTCTTTACAGAGCGATTCGACAAGCATCAATAGTATCTGGAAGATTGACCCAGCGTACAATGGTAGGACTTCGCAAAGAAGCACGGTCCACTTGTCCACGATTCCCCTCGAGCTTTTAGACCCAATTCCTTTCAGAAGGCATTCGAGAAGTTGTCGGGGAGGTTGAGGGAGGGCAGGGAATGCAGGCGCCTTTTCTGGTTTATCGCTTGTGAAAGAGAGAATCGAAGGGCTTGTCAAGCGCTCACGGGAGCTTGTTCGGTTGTGCTTTGGCCTTGGGGGAGGGGGTGGCAGGTACGCTTGGGCAAACCGCACTTTCAACGCTGCCAGAAGAGTGTCTATGAGGTCTCCTTGGATAGACTCGTTTGCGCCATGATCGAGGGCGCGAGAGAGCCTATCAACCAAGAACGAATCAATTCCAGAATCGATCACCTCTTCAGCCCCCGGACCCAGAAGGACCTGACGCATGACTAGTAGTGACGTTTGTTGTAGTCTGATTGTCTCCAAGTCATGAGCAGCTGCCGTGGTCTGCTCGCCGATCACCTTTAGACTGGCTTGAAAGATGATGGAATGGAGGCTTTGAAGTCCAGCGTTATCTAAAATATTGTGAGAGTCAAACTTTGGAAGACAAATCAGTCGACCGACCTTCAGATGCATGTGCATCTTTACGCTTGTCCGATTGAGAGAGCGTTTGGGTAAGAAGAGTGACCCAGCCATTATGGGAAAGCGTAGAGACGACGTTGGATATGGTGCGAAGCAGATAATCACACTCCTTGTAGTCATCCGGTGACACAGCCTGATCATCTTTCTCCGTTTCACCATAACTGGACCCGTGAAAGAGGCGGTTAAGACGTGACACTAATATACGGAAGACCCTGTGACTGATAAGCATTTCTTGACCGCACAGTTTACCCTCTGCGCCCCCGAAAAAATTGCTAAAAGAGCTCGGAGGGTATTTGTCGCCTTGGCTGGCTATTCAGGGAGCATTTGACTTACTTATGCATGGATGACAGGTCTTGGAGCCATCGTTGGACAACCTGAGAATTCTCATTCGAGTGCTGAGAGAGCAAGTCTAGAACAATGAAAAGCGGACGCTCAAGCATCGAAGCTTGATACACTTTTCCTGACTCAGGGGAGTTATACAAGCGCTTTGGAGGAAGTTCGTAGTTGCCTTGATGACTGTGGTTCCACAGGACGAAATATCTTCCAATTTGCTCTCCTGTCAACCCTTCAAAAGAAACTGCAGACGACGATCCAACCATAAAAGACGTTATGGCTGCTTCGACTAGGTGGTCCGACCAAGAGACAGCGTGCAACTGCCACAGACAACGGACCGCCTCGACATGAAATTTCGGGCTCATTGGGGAGAGAAACTGCCATAGCTGACCCACAAGTGCGGGGATGAGGTCCGACACATCTTCATAGCTAATATAGTATCCGGCAGTATGAATGATGTATAGATTCGTTACTGCTGATGCAATCGATGAGATAGTCGAAAAGCACGCGGTGGATTTTTCGACTTGGTCGACGCGGACCCGATCGGATAGCGCGAGATATAAGCGCCTATCGCGCAATATACGTGTTCGAGGAAGTTTCTTCAATAAAATGATGAGGAGATTGATCCGATCGTGCAATCGCGTGGCGTCCTTTCGCTCACCAAGGGCGTTTATGGCCTGTTCGTAGGCATTCCGAATGATGAGCTCGCCCAGCTGTTTTGGGGCAAAGGGAACGGGTTGTGGGTCTAAGCTATTCTTGCTTCGCTCGTAGAAAGTATGGATTATGTTCAGGATGTCCGATCCAGCCATATCAGAACTGGTTCTTTCTCCTGCTTTGGGAGAATCGGACTTCTTTATGAATGACCTCTCTATGAGGAAACCCGTCAGAGAATCCATGACTTTTGATAGCCCGATCGAGACGAACTGCAACTGCTCCGCGGTTGCTGCGGAGTGGCTCAATGAAGACAACTCCCTCATTTTGACGATGGTGGACAGTGTCAGCAGGGGAATATGAACCGCGATCATGTCTTCTTCACGAACGTTGAAGTTTTCTAGTATGAAGTGAGCAAGCTCCAGGTTGCTTGTTATTTTTTCGAGATCAGAGTTAAGGTCCTGTGTTTGCCAGTCGATTAGACGGAGGAGTTCTGAGAAGATAACACCACTTTCGACGCCGTCGAAAAATGAGCTGGCACTGCGAAAAACCTCCTCGAATTGACTCTTAGAAGCTTTCTGTCCAAATGCTTGCACGCTTCGGATGATTGGTAGGAAGATCTCCGGTATAATGTATCCGCCGACTTCCCATCTATCCAGCAACGAAAGCGAGATCCGGAATGGCTTCGTCTTTTCTGATGGGATGGTTGTATCATGCTCAATCATTCGCAAGAGACCTTTGACTAGTGGGGTCAACCCAAACTTGCTAAAGTACTCCGATGGCGAGAGCTCCTTGTTGTCTTCAACGGATTGAATCGTGCCTTCTGATATAGAATTGCGGGCTTCGAATGACGGTCGCTCGTTGGAAGATTCAGGTCCGAGGAGCCAAGCCCACAGTCTTCGGTTCAGACTCATGTCACGCCTGGCGACGACCCCCACAGCCGCTGCTATTAGTCGCTCGAGATCATCCCCCGTAGTCCTTGACTGCAAGATTGGCGAGCTGAGTGGCAGATGAGTGACTAACAAATCCAGGAAATTCCGCTGAACGAGTACCTGCTCGTCGGCGAGACCGGTCGCAAAACAGCGTATGAGCAACCCGGGTTCAGGCACGATAACTGATTCTGCTGCAACTAGCACAGCTTTACTGACACCCACAGGCTCAATCGACTCGCCTTTAGAAGGCCGGCGGTCCGTATTGCCCAATTTAGGAAGATAGCGACTCAAGTAGGCGAGAACACCAGCCCGTCGGCTGGGACTTGTGATCGAGGCTAGAAAGATGCATTGCCAGAAATAATGTCCTCCGGAGCTAGCAGAATCCCCAGATTTGTGCGTCTCCATAGCGCCAGCGATATCGCGGAATTTGTTGACCAGTCGCATTGTAGGTTCGAAGTCATCGCTGGTCTCTTCTTCTAGCCCTGGTAGCAGAGCCAGTATGATGGCCTTCAAGGCCGGACGAATCGCCCAGGGCTCTAGGTTGCATATGTGGGTCTCCACCAGTGTCAGGAACAGGGGTCGGACCGTGAGGGATGCGAACGTTAATGTGGGCGCAATGCCAGGCATATACAATGGTAAGTCATGAGATAGACCCTCCGGCTAGTGGACAATGCCTTCAATCAGCAAACATCGCGCAGAGCCTGTGGGTGGACCGAACGAACCTTGATCAGAGCGAATATATACGAGTACACTTCCAGCGCTTTCTGGTGAACACCCGACGGTAAGGAAGGGTTGAGACATTGTGCAAGCCGTTTGGAAACGAGCGCTTTATGGGGAACGATGTGGATGTCCGCAGGGTGGGATTGCAGTGCCTATGAGCGAACCGTCAACATCACATGCTGAGTTTCTCATCTCGAGAGATGTACTTTCAGCAGGCGGCTCAAGAAGGAGATGTAATCCGCCCATTCCTGCAAAGCGGTATCGAATAGCGATAGGGCTCGCTCGACGGTGGACGCATAACGGCGGTAGTTCTTGTCTTTTCTAAGGGGCTCTAAGATACTCCATCTCTGTTAGTCCCGCCTACTATACTTGTAGCACCAGTAAAGGGAGAAAAGTGAGGATATCACCGACCGTCCTTCCCCCGTAGTCGGGAGCGCGTAAGAGAGCTTTCGGAGCTTGCGGGGGAGTGCGACCTCGGAAACGAGCTGGGATCAAGGCTCATTGTGCGAATGTCGGGTATTTGATGATGTCCTGGGCAGGTATATGGCGATCGCAGTCCGTCATGATTTGTTTTCAAGGCATCAAGGAAGCATGTGGGACTTGGTTGGGATCATTGAATCGGTTTCGAAGCCAGGCGGACATGTTTCCGTTTATCTGGCGTCGGTCGCCCGCCTTTCGGAAGCTCCGCCGGGTCGATCCCGTGCTCCACGTTAAATCGTCCCAGACTCCAAGCTTGAACTGCAAAGCAAGGCACGTTCGTCACTACCTGCGATTTATTCCCACCGGCCGGCCTCGTCATCCAAGTTGGGGACTGCTGCCACTACCACAATGTGCAATCTTACTCTTAGCGCATGTGTAGTGAACCAACTCAGCATAGCGACATAACAGATTATTCTTCTACGTTGGACATACACGTTTCCCATCCCAGTGCACGGACGCACATCCCCAAGTCCACGCAGCCTTCGATGCGCCGGAGCTGACCAGCATGGATTCGACGGCCAACGGTCCAGCGCAGAACGCAACCGATGCTGGAACTGACACCTCCGAGAGTTTGCCGCCGTCGTTGCCTCGACAGCCCAACAGTTGCTCAGATCGCGAATCCGATCCAACACCGGAAGAGCGACCCCCGCCCCTACCCCCGCGCCCCAATACATTGCGCCTCCTGGATGAAGGAGGTGCCTCGCTACGCACTGCTCGTCCTGGCGCACCCACAACCCTTCAGTCCAGGGCCACAACAGCCGTCTCCTTGACGGATATTGGCTGTCACGATGCCGGAAAAGAAAATCACGTTGTGCGCGAAGCCTCCGAGACGCTGAGGGCCAAGGCAAGTCTTAACCACTTGACTAGCTCGAGGGGGAGTGAGACTGGGGACACTGCAAGTATCAGGAGCTCGGTACCTCAAGGAGACCTCGGTGATGTCGAGAATGTCTTTGGTGATTTTGTCGCAACGGATACTGGCCCCATTCGCAAGCATAGCACGGGGCTTCTACAGTTTCCCGAGTTCCGAGCTGACGACGTGGAGGATGACTTCGCAAGCGAGTTTGAGCCCGTAGGGGATGTGGACGAGGAGGGAGAGCACGAAGGTGTGTTATCCGTTTCTATACGGCGTTTATGGGGCAGTGCTGATGATCTTTTCCAGAACAAGTCCTTGAGCGATGGAAAGCGAAACGAAAACACTACCTTATTCTTTCGGCTGCTGGCAAGCCGATATGGACGCGACATGGGGACGGGGGCCTAATATCCACGTATATCGGTGTTATCCAGACGATCATCTCATTCTATGAAGGTTCCAAGGACCCTCTAAGGAGCTTTTCCGCGGGAGATACCAAATTCGTGATCGTCACGAAGGGCCCACTGTATCTTGTAGCAATCAGTCGACTGCTGGAGAGTGACACGCAGCTCAAACTCCAGTTGGAAGCCTTGTACATGCAAATTCTGTCTACACTCACCCTGCCATCTTTGACTCATCTTTTCTCTGTCCGTCCTTCGACCGATCTAAAGCGACCGCTCCAAGGATCAGAGACTCTTCTGTCCACCTTAGCCGACAGCTTTACCAAAGGATCGCCATCCACCCTACTCTCAGCTCTGGAGTGCTTGAAAATCCGCAAGTCTCACCGTCAAGCCATCAACAACACTCTTCTGAAAACAAAAGTCAGCAGCCTGCTCTACGGCTTGGTGGTTGCGGGCGGTCGACTTGTCAATGTTGTCCGACCCAAAAAGCATTCCCTGCACCCCGGGGACCTGCAACTGCTGTTCAACATGATCTTCGAGGCTGAGGCTGTCAAGGCCGGTGGCGGTGAAAGCTGGATTCCCGTCTGTCTTCCCGGCTTCAACAGCAGCGGATATCTGTACATGTATGTCAGCTTTCTTGACCTCCGAGGTGAGGGCAACACAGCCGACGACACGACCACCAAGGAAGAATCGGTCGCCATCGTCTTGATCAGTGCCAACAAGGAAAGTTTCTTCGAGCTGCAAGACATGCGCAACGCGTTCGTCGAGGTATTTAAATACAATGCACCCTTCCACAGATTTTACATCACTAACCCAAAGACCTTACCCCACAGCAAATGGAGAAAAACGGCAGCATTAAGATCATCAAAGAAGCAGTGGACAGAGGCCGTCCCAACACGACGGACATTGTCCCGGGGACCGTCCTGCATCACTTCCTGTACAAGTCGCGGGCAAACGTCCAGTTCACAATGTCATCCTACAACCATGAATTCTCCACCATATCGCGACGTCGAAGGTAGGGAACTTGGTTCACATCAAATCGGGGCAAGAAAGAGCATTAACCCGGAAAAATTCGCAGATTGATGTCAACCTACAACAACCTCCACGCCAGTATCCATGCCAAACACACCCACGTAAAAGTTCACCACTGCGTATCTCAGTCATCCAGCTCTTTCGCCTGGGTGACCCCGATGTTCGAGCTCTATTGCGTGGCGGGCGCGAATGCAAACCGCAATGCTCTGGCTCAGAGCGCGAGCAAGATCATCGAGTGGGTGCGGCAAGAGGAAGAACGACTCTTCATCATTGGCGGTGCAGTATGTTTTCTCTCAACTGTGCCCAATGAATTGGACTGATTCCATCCGCTAACTCGATCTTGTTCAGGTTTTCTGAACGACTTATTCACCATCAACTGCTGCAGTGTCTGAGTACACCCACTCTATTGGGAATCATCTTCCCAGGTGTGAAAATGTTGAGTGGGTTTTTCCTGAATGATCTTCTACACATTCACACCATCTAGTCTTCGCCTGTTGTGCTTGAGTCGACAGTGCGGGGAAGTTTGTCTGGGGCACCAATCTCAGTTAGAACCATCCATTTCGTGGAGGACGGACGGTCTCTCTTTCTATACTTTTCCCCATTCGACGGTAGTCACCATGAAGGCATCTTACACAACCTACTTCGAGGTCAGAGGCGGAACACATCATAGAGTACGAGCAATACCCTCTCGCATATAGACCATGTATACGAAATCTACTATGACAAAGAATATGAAAGCCACCAGAAAGTTACTTCAGAACCATCTCTCAATTCACGAATACGCCTGCTATCGTGGAGGAGAGCCCAGCAATAGAGCCCTAGATAACTATAATCCACTAGCCTTTCTCCAACCCAGCCTAGTCAATGGTATCCTCCCGCATAGCAAACAGCTGCTGGAACACCTCATCCGACTTCGCGCGGATCGCATTGTGGTACATGGTATTCGTGATGAACTGCTTGATGCCCTTGATCTTGGCGGCCGTGTTCTGCGCGTGGTCGAAGTGCACGTACATGTCATCGAGGTACGTAGCCGCGTAGACGGGGACCTCGTTCCGCGCCAGCTGGGCTTCGTCGTAGAGCTGCGGCCAGTCGTTGGTCGACGCGAGGATGTCGGCTGCCTCTTTGATCTGTTTGAGCTCCGTGTACGAGTCGAACATGTCCTTGTAGACCTGTTTCCACCGGGTTTAGTTGGTAGGTCCTTTGACTGATAAGGTTTGAGTGCTTACCATTTCGCCGGTGAAGAGGATCTCGGGCAGAGTCGTGTCGATGTGGAAGTTTGTGTTGGAAGCACGGTATCTGTCTGCGGACCAGTTGGATGCTTGTCTACAATGAAGTGAGGGTGCGTTAGTCAATGGGCCGGGATTCAGGCGTTGTTGAAGCCGTTCTCACCCCTGGCAGTAGATAGCCTCGTGGAGAATGGCATAGATGACGTTGTTGTCCATGCCGCCGTGACTGTCGATCGAGGTCAGGGTCGGGTGGGTGAGGAAGCCGAGCACGTCCAGGTCGCTCCAGGCGCGCAGTACAAGATCTATCTTGTTGTTAGTTTGAGGCGTTGCTGGTTGAGGTGGGGAGTGGCTTCTCTACCGTGTATGCTGTCAAGACCACCTGCGAATCAAGCTGTTAGAATAGAGATGGTAGTGGTTGATCTGGGTGTGTCTTACCGTGCATTCCGAAGGCAATACCCAATTGCTGGAAACGTTCGGGGCTGAGCTTGCCGGAAGGCAGCGCAACCTCGTTGTCTTTCAGATACTGAACGATTTGCTTGACCCGGTCGACATCTTCGGGGAACTTGGCATAGTACGCCTTGTTTCTCTCAAGGACCTTTTCTTCTTGGGGTTAGCGGTTTTCTGGTCATTCTGAGGGAGGGATTCGTGTACCGTATGTGCGTGCATAGACAGGGTCCGGGTCGCTGACGAGAGGAGGCAGTCCACCGCAGATGAAAGCCTCAGACAGACCTTCCGGACTTTGACGCACGGCATATCGTTAGCATGTATCCATGCTGTTCGGGCTACCGCCCAGGGCTTTTAACTTACAACATGGAAAGGTAGGATGTAATGCAGAAGCCTCCGAAGCTCTGGCCAATGACACTCCACTTGCGCTTGTCTTCGGGAAAGTCTGTCGTGAGACAGCGACGGACGGCCTCACAGTCACGGACGATGTTGTCGGCACGGAAGTGCTTCAGGTATTCCGCCTGCTTGACTGCATTGCCCTGTCGTGCAAGTGTGCTCGCCGTGATGGTCGAGCTGAGGCCAGTTCCACGCTGGTCCAGAAACAGAACCTATGTGCATGATTAGCATGCATGTTTCAGGGATAAGTGTACAAAAGAATGAGTACTTGGTAGCCCTTATCAAGAACGGTACTTATCCAGCCGATTTCCTGGGGCGGACGACATCCGAACCCCGGGCCACCCTGCAAGTAGACCAACCATGGGAGCTGCTTGTCGTCATTGTTGCCGGTATTAGGCTCGACAGGGGTAACTAGACGCCGAACGCTCCGAGCAAAAAGTCTCAAAGTACCCTCATTAGGCTTGGTGTAATTGAGAGGAACGTCAAAGAACAGCTCGGCCACGCGTAGCCTCCCTGAAGAAGCAGTAGCCCCCACTTGTCAGCACTCCTTTGGTGGAGATATACAAGGGAAACACGCACCTGGGACGTTGTGGAACTTCCGATCAATCAGCTTAGCCGCCATCGATCTTGACTTGCTGAGTATACCTTGAATCCACAAGGGGTGATAGTTCAATATCACGCAAAACGTGGTATAAGTAGAGGGGGCAGAGAGTCTGGCGGTGGTTTAGTGAGCCGGTATCAGGAATACGATGGATGGAGTGCGGGTGCGGTATCAACCGACGGCGCTAAGCTTCACACTTCTCTCTTCTATCTCTCCCTCTTCTCTCCACCATCCGATCTCCATTTTCGCCCCAGTTGAATGAATGACGATTCTTGTACTTACTTTCTGGCAAGAGCACTGAAGCGTGAATGTCAATGCTTTAACATTAATTGAGTCAATTGTTCTCTAAATAGCGAAATTACTCGGAGCTCACTCAAAGCCCGGTTGTCTCAACATAGCAAGTATAGCCGAGTCTCCAAATCCCGCTTTAGTGTCGAGGATATATATCCGCTACGATCGTTAATCAACTCTGCATCATACAATCACTACATCTTGACGAGCTGCGAGCATTACAAACCAGACTTCCGCACTACCCAATTGATTCATTAGCCATGGATCTTGAAGATGTTCAGAGAACTGCGCAAGAGCAGGGCCGTCTACAGCAAGACTTGTGGAAGATGACTCAAACGTGGGAGCCTGGCGTCCTCCCTAATGCTGCTGCTCTTGCCCGGGCCAGGGAGTCCCTTCCGAAGACTCTCAGCGACGAGGGAATGGGATTCGACCAGACCACTCAACATGTTCTGGACGAATTAGTCCCTGCCTTCAACCGGAGCAGCATAAGCCCCAATTACTACGGCTTCGTCACTGGCGGCATCACTCCTGCCGCGCTTTTCGCAGACAACATTGTCTCCGCCTATGACCAAAACGTACAAGTCCACATTACGGAGCACTCAATTGCAACAGATGTTGAATATTCCGCCTTGGGTCTGCTGGCCGATCTTCTCCGGTTGGATAGACGCCTTTGGCACAATGGGACGTTCACCACCGGAGCCACAGCAAGCAATGTCCAGGGGCTGGCGTGCGGAAGAGAATACGTCCTACGGACCGCCGCTGAGAAGAAGGGTGTTTCCATCAAGAGCGTTGGGGAGTCTGGCTTGTTCGAGGTCATGCAAGCGGCAGGTCTCTCAGGGATCCAGGTTCTCTCGACGTTACCTCATTCCTCGGTGGGAAAGGCTGCTGGCATCCTCGGGATCGGACGTACGAACGTCAAGAATACCTGCCGAAATGATGACCCCCTTCGGTTTGACCTAGAGAAACTTGAGACGGAGTTGGCCTCCAACAAAGCTAGCATCGTCGCTGTATCCTGCGGGGAAGTCAACACCGGTCATTTTGCCACATCCAGCTTGGATGAGATGAGGAAGCTTCGCGTGCTCTGCGACAAATACGGCGCCTGGCTTCATGTTGATGGCGCCTTCGGCATCTTCGGTCGTATCCTTGAGCCAACGGCTGAATTCGCGTCTATCACTCGAGGCTGCGAAGGCATGGAGTTGGCAGACTCAATTGCATGTGACGCGCACAAGCTGCTCAACGTGCCGTATGACTGTGGATTTGTCCTTTGCCGTCACCCCGAGGAGGCCATGAATGTGTTCCAGAATGCAAATGCAGCGTATCTGACCAGTGGCCAGAATGGGGAAACTTCGATACCATCCCCGTTGAACAACGGAATGGAGAACTCGAGACGTTTCAGGGCATTGCCAGTCTACGCCTCGCTTGTGGCGTATGGGAGAAACGGATTCAGGGACATGCTCCAGAAGCAGATCCGTCTTGCCAGGATGATTGCCGGTTGGCTATATGATCATCCAGCGTACAACATCCTGCCAGCAGCTGGCAGTAAGGATGCGCTACTGGACCAAACGTACATAGTCGTGCTTTTCAGTGCAAAGGATGACACTCTGAACCAGAGTCTAGCAAAGAGAATCAACGACACTTTGAAGATGTTTGTCTCGGGCACCTCATGGGATGGGAGACCAGCTTGCAGAATTGCTATCTCGAATTGGCGGGCGGAGGAAGAGCGGGACTTTGCGCTGGTGACGGATGTACTTCAGAGCGTGGCTGATGGGAGCACCTAGGAATACTCTCTTAGTGGTCGGCACTGTCTACTGGGAATCATACACTGTTATAATAAGAATTCTTTGTCATTCTATTTCATGTGCGCGTTGATCAATGAGCGCATCTCCCGTTTCTCCTCGTGTCTATACTGAAACCATTTCCATGATAATGATAGCTGAATACCGTCTCTATTCGATAATGATATGCTCAAACGAATAGCTGGTTGATATAAATCACTACGAATATGTTATTAGAACAACCCATGTTCGGAATTTTCTGACAAGGCTGCCTGAAAAAATCAACAAGGCCGAATGAATGATCCTCCTTTTTCGGATCTCTATCTTCCTTCCTACTTCTTCTTCTGGGATCATGCGCTTATTAGTCAATAGAGTCCTATCGCATATCCATCCCATGCAATGTATCCCAAATTATCGCTGTAAAGGAACTGGTGATCTACACTACGCGTATAACTACAGTTGCCGTCGAGCTGCGAAGAACTCTACAACGAAGCCACTCAGAAGTGATGTACAGGCAAGCGTAGGCGAAAATAGAGGTATGGAGCTAATCTCCATCTTTCTACTCAACATCTCGGAGGAAGACCTGAGCGCTTGAGTAGCTTCCTTGAAATCTGGCACAAAAAATGTTGGTTATAAGAAAGCTATCACGATGGCTTCAGCTAGTTTCTTTGTATGCAATGTTTAAGATCAGGTGCAGAAGATCACTACCGGTGCTACGCACAAACAAAATGAATATAATACAGGTGTTTTTCACTACTCTTTCCATGTTAGATGTGGATTGGGTTAGTGACGGGGAAGCATATTTTGCTTGAAAATGGTTAAATATAATTACCCTGCTGATCTTCCTGTAGAAACTCTTCTTTTAGACAAGAACAAACATGGACAAGGTAACGAAACCTTTCGAAAACAATCTTGTCCTTGCTTTGCTGAGCTATGTGGCGGTCGAAAACGGCATGCCGTACGGATTTCTGGTCAAATTGCCCGCTGACAAGAACGAGTTATGCCAAAGAGGAAGAGCATTGAACCAGAGGGTTCATCACATTTTCAAAAATGCCCTGTTCGGACGTCAAAGCCTACAGAAGCCCAGATCACTGAGCTAAGGAGTAACTTTGAGGTAACGTCAGTGAATCGAAGACGCCGTGCTCGGTGCTTCCATTGCGGTGTCAGTAACATACCTGCTAAATGGAACCGACTGCTGGGGCATATTCCCAGTTGTCCAGACTTATGGGGCAAGTACAGCAAACCGGCCTCGGGAGTTACAGACGAGGAGTGGTCCATCGTGTGTCAGCTGAAGGAGATCCTGCCAGTTTGGATGCCATTCTGGGCAGAGATTTACCTGCATTATGATACCACGAAGGAATATGAGGGCGGCCTCATCCTCCGCATATGCCATCATTGTGGCCAGGAGGTGAAGCACAGCTTTCTGCTCCACCTGATCGTCTGCCCTGGGCCGGGACTCGACGATACTTGGTTCAAATTGGGCAAGTTTACCTGTGCTGACTGCAACGAAGAGGTTTGGAACTCTAATCTACAAGTGCACCAGCACCAATGCCGCAAGCTTCGGATACGCTGCGGTCGCTGTGGGGCTAAGATCCCTCGAGACATGACCCAGGAGCATCTTAAGGTGTGTACCAGAGCCGTGAAATGCCCCCGTTGCGATGCAAGAATGAGGCGCGAAGAGCTGCGAGAACACATTTCAAGCTGCTGTTCGATCAATTGCCCATATTGCAAGAGAAGCTTTGCCTCATTCTCGGGTTGGAGAAACCATCAGGCAGCCTGTGCGTCACTTAAATGCTCCATATGCAGGAGACACTTTATTTCTCTCTTGGAGAGGGATGAGCACCTATGCTCCGGGCCAACAACAGCCGGCAATCGCAGACATCTGCCACGGTCACCCAGTGGCGGCAACTTCAATTGGCGAAGCGCGAGAGTCCATTTCAAGCGAAGCCCTGAGATTGATCGCGTGATGAAGTTGTGGTCGAGCAAGCCGAAGAACGTCGGCGTCCTAGACGTCGAGTATTCCCCGCTGTTGCTGCCACGGTTTGGGCACCTGGGCGTATTTGAGCTCGCTCTGGCTAATGCTGATGAGGATTGGATCATCCCCTGTACCAAAATTGATCACGGGATGTCCGTCCGCAAGCTTGCAGACCACATTCTTTCTCTCGCCGTTGATATACGAAGCGAAGCCTATTATATGGCTTTAAGCATGCTGAAAACTCACTATGGTGAGGGAGATTGGTCTGAGCGGACCTCAGGCCATACATGGGCTGAGATCGCACAAATGCTTGAGTGTTATACCGAGAAGCATGGCAGGCTTGGGAAACTGTTGGACTGGAGTTCGACGAACAAGGACTACCTTTGCCTGAAATATGGTTTAGAGTCCGTGGGCCGGGCAGACTTACTCCCACCTGAGCCTGATCGTTCTGAGTGTCCCTTGTCGTGGTGGTCAAGTGTGAGAAGGTCCCTCAAGCTTGATGCTAACAGTGCGTCTCTGAGGTTGGGAAAACTGTTTCGAAGATTATACCCTGAAGATGTCATGCTCGCTAGCGACTGGCACAATGCCGGCAGCGATGTGAGCATGACTCTTCGAATCATCAGATTCTTCTTTGATCAAATTCAAGGAAGGATAGAAAGAGGCACCCTGCACGAGTACTGGCCTGGCAATGAAGTCCATGGGGACCTTGGTGAGGAGTCCGGTTGGTATACTGATTGAGAATCAGATTTAGAGGGATAAGTACGTTGCTAAGGAAGAAACGACCAGTATCTGTAGCCTGGGGAAAGGACTAGGGCTGTTCCTGTGCAGTACATACTTCAAACTGGAACATCGGAAGCGGTGCCCTTGCAGCAAAGTCACCTGACCCGCTTATCTATCTAATCAGCCACCCGATAACTAGCATCAGTATCGAAAAAAATTCAGTAGCTATCCAGACACAAGAGAAGCGCCAGCGCTCATCCTTTTGGTTCTCATATTTACTCTATCTATTTTTCTTCACGTAATAGCATCACAATACACAACCTTCGATTTTCAGAAAAACTTCACTTCCCGCCCAATTCTCCAACACGGTACTCAAATCCCCCGAGACCCAGCCCCGCCATCCGCCGCAAAGGCCCGCATCGCAAACAACAACCACACTCAACTCAACAACTCAATCCTAACCTCCAACCCTCTCGCTCACGCAACAAATTCTCTATCACACTCCTCCTCCCCCTAATCGCATCGATACCAAAAAAAAAAACCTCTCCATCAAAATGACGACCCCCACCGACCCCACACCGAGCACGACCGCTCCGAACGGAACCAACTACCTGGACCTAGGCATCACACTCGCGCTGAACGACTGGCCAGCGCTGACACTGGCAGTGCAATCGAACTGGGGCGGGCCGACGTCAGCAGACAAGCGCGACTGGCTGTGCGGGGCGATCTCGGAGATGCTGGCGGAGCGGCCGGAGACGGACGCGTACGACCTAGAGGATGTGCTGGTGCAGGTGATGACGGACGAGTTCGACGTGGACGTGGACGACGAGAGCGCGGCGACAGTCGCGGACCAGATCATGGAGATGAAGGGGCAGACGGAGCGCGGCGAGTACGGGCCCATCCAGGCGCTGTGGGAGGCGTATCAGCGGAAGGGCGGGGCCCAGCAGGCTGTGGCCGGCATTCAGCGGGGTGTGGCGGAGGGGGATAGTGATGATGACGAGGAGGATGATGACGATGAAGATGGTATGGATGTCGATATGGATGATGCTGCCGTCCCGGCGTTGGTGCATGCCGCACCGAGGGAGAAGCCGGAGCCTGAAGTGGATGAGGATGGGTTTACGACGGTCGTGTCTAAGAAGCGTCGGTGATTTGAGCCCTTCAAGGTTATGATTCTCTGTTTCTTCTTCTTCTTCTTCTATGAGCTGTATGTATTCCGATTCCCCTTGATATAGATAGATAAATACACTGCCATGGTTACTTCACAAGACCCTTTTAGTCTGATGTATGTATTGCGATACTGGGTCGCGGGCAATTCTTGTAGTCGCTTTTATATCGAGCAGGCAGCAAATAATGAAATAGGGATCACGAAAAGGAAAAATAACATTCATCATCATCAGCCAACGTTATAGATTTGTCGTTGTCGAGCCAGTTCCCACCCATGCCACCCGATATTCTAACCAACCCGATGGATCATCGCTGTTGGCCGCGGAAAAATAGATTGGGAGATAGGAAATGCCAAAAGACCATGTGTTCGCGCATTTACTCGGCAACAACCTCGTCATTCTCGATGAGCTTGGTGATCATACCAATAGCAATGGTTTGTCCCTGGGCGAATACATTAGCGTGTTTACCATGCCAGTATGCTTAAAAGAGCTGCTCACCTGATCACGCAAAGTGAATCTACCCATCTGCTCGGAGTACGAGAAGGGCTCAACACAAACTTGACCGGCAGTGCTGGTGACTTCGATCCGTGCAATAACGGTCATCTTTGAAACAATTAGTAAAAGTAACCAAGAGTGTTATCAAACTTGAAAACTTACTCCCTTGTTGGCGAAAGGAGGGGGGCGCTTCGATCTGCGGCCGGTACCAGGCTCAAGCTACATCAAAAGTTAACAAGCCGCGCGGTGCGGTGTGCGTATCCAATCCAAACTTACCTTGTGCAAAAGCGCAGCAACAGTAACTTCCTCCACAGCCGAGTGCACGTGCATAACACAGTTGAAACCGGCAGAGAGGATGCTCTTCATTTCCAGGATCTTAATCTTGGCTTCGAAGGCAGAGACACAGTGAACCAGACGTCTAGGGGAGCATAGAACGAAGCCAGGAAGAAGATCCTCTTCTTCGACACCCCGAAGGCGCATTCTTACTTGGTCACCGCAGCTTCCAGTCGCAATTTCGTCTTCCGAGAGTTAGCCTTGTGGCCAGCCGTATATTTTTAGGAGCTATGGTATTACCTTCGGTTTCTCCGTACAAAGCGGCAACCTCAACCTTGGTCTTGCTTGGCATAACAATGAGGTTTTGCTGCTTCTTAACGATTCCGCTATCGATCTTGCCTTCAACCATAGTTCCTAGTGTGTGTTAGCGCAGTTGCTGTTGGAATGCCTAGTGGTTCTCTCACCCATATCGCGGTACTTCGCGCTGAGAGCCATCATGAAAGGTGCGTTCAGCTTTCTAGGGGGCAGTTCCATCTTGCTGAGGTATTCCAGCAACGATGGTCCATCGTACCAAGGGCACACTTCTTTCGGCACCTACGGAGAGTTAGCATGTTAATTCTTTGATATAGATGACTTGTACTCACCCGATCCTTAAGGTTAACCAATGTCTGCGCGCTGATCGGCATGAATGTCAAGTCTGGATTTGAATGTTAAAATTAGTGCAACATATCTTGCTAGCGGGAAATCATGTTCTATACCTTCACTCTTATATCCCAATCCCATAAGGTATTTGCCAACCTTGACAGTACATCTGTTATTAATTAGCACGAAATCATGACGAGAATGGCAGGATACTTAGGAGGGTAACGCACTCCTTGAACCGAGCTTGGCTCCACTCGACGGTAGGGTCATCCATCTTGTTGACGGCAATGACTAGCTTTCTAACTCCGGTGTTTCTCGCAAGCAGAGCGTGCTCTCTCGTTTGACCACCCTTCTCGAAACCCGTCTCATACTCACCCTTACGTGCAGAGATAACCAAGCAACCCACGTCGGCTTGGGTGGCTCCGCCAATCATGTGGTGCACATAGGCCTATCATTCAATTAGCTTCATTGGGATTGATGATTTGTGCAACCGGAGTTTTGGAGAAATTGGAGTAATAGGAGGAAATGAAGACAAAGAGAGACAGGAGACTTTGGAACATTTCGGGGGCCTCTGGATAGGGAATATGATGGCCAAATAACATACCTTGTGACCAGGGGCGTCCAGGATGGAGAAATGTCTCTCAACACCATCCTCGCGGTTGAGTTGGAAATGAGCACGACCGACTTCCACAGTCTATGTTTCATTATTAGCCACTATTGAGTTCAGTCCGAAAGCGTAGTGATACATACCTTGCCCTCTGTATAGAAAGGTAGGCGGTTAGTCTGGAGACGGATTATCTAATAATTCAACTGGCGGGGAGTAACAGGGTGGGGATCATACTCTGCTTTTGTTAGCCAATCCGTTGACGTAGGCGGGCAAAAGACAAAACTTACAGCGCGCTCCTCAGGGTTGAGATCCAAGGCCCAGGAAAGGTACCAAGTCTCACGACCGGCTTCCTTGGCATCTCTCTTGTACTTCTCCAAAGTACGCTCATCAACCATGCCAGTGGATACCAGAATCGCACCACCAAGCGTGGATTTACCCGCATCAACGTGTCCGATGAACACAACGTTGACATGCTCCTTCTTCTCAAGCTCGCCGTAAAGTTCGTTCAAGGTGGCCTCGTCGACATCGGCCTTTTGCTCCTGGGCGACGACATCGGCGGCGCGGGCAGCCTTAGCAATCTCGGCGCGGGTCGGGCTGGCCCTTCCCGGGCTTGAGCGGCCGGAGGCGGGCGCAGGGGAAGACTTGCCGCTAGCAGCAGCCTTGGCCTCCGCTTTCTTTTCCGTCTTATCAATGGCCTTGGAAGCCGTCACCTTAGCGGCAGCGTCGGCGGCAGCAGTGCCCTTGGTATCGCCGGGGGTGGTCGTACCCGAAGTCGCGGAAGATGTAGGGGTACCGATGCTCAGAACCTTGGTCTTGGGAGCGTTAGGGGAGTCACTGGCGCCGCCAATCGAAAGGACCTTAGCTTTCGGAGCAGCATCGCCGCCGATGCTCAGGACCTTGGGGGCAGCGGGCTTGGACTCGGCAGCGGGCCTGGGCTGTTGCTGGGTCTGCTGGGGCTGCTGCTGCTGCTGCTGCTGCTGCTGCTGTTGATAGCCACCGTACTGCTGCTGGTTGTAGTATTGGTTGTGACCGGGCTGCTGAGCATAGGCTCCGTATTGAGCGCCGTACTGGCCGTAGGGCTGCTGCTGGGGGTATCCGTACTGTTGCTGGTTGTACTGAGGATATCCGTACGACTGCTGACCGGGCACAAAAGCTGCAGCGCCGGGCGTGAAAGAAGCCGCGCCAGGGGTGAAGCTCGAGCCCTGATAGCTGAATTGTTGAGGGCGACGGTTGTTGTTCAAGTTCACGTTTTCCGTCTGCTGAGAGAGCTCATCTTCCCAGGAATCGGGAGCCTGGTTGGCCATGATGTAGGAACGCTGGAGAAACTGCAGCAAAGTAGAGCAAACAACTCACAGGACGTCCCAGGAAGTCAGGTGAAAGGTCTGGAAGACGGGAATGAGGGGTGCGAGACAAGATGAAAGGCCGAATGAGGGGCGTTTTTTCTCCAGAGCCCGATTGATTTTGCGCGGGCTGACTCAGCTACGCCTTTCTTCTTCTCTTCCCCGCCTTCCCGCGTGTGTTGCGTTTGCCGCGTCAAAGTGGGATGTTTTGCATTGTTTGTTGCGTTTTATGACTGACACTGAATGATGGATGCTGAAAGCGGACTGCGAGCTCGTAGCTGGTGACCAAGAAGAAGAAAAGAATAAGTCCATATTCCACATATGGTGTCCTGGTCGCCAAACCAAAACAAATACTCTACCGCAGAACAACACAGGGCCGCCGCCAACGGGCCAGTTGCATACAGCAGCTATCGCCGATCTACACCACTCTGCAGCTGCCATACATCTAAGGCAAAATGGACGCTTTCTTGACAAGAGTGAGCTCATATGGCAGATCATCTTCCTGGCGCACTGTCTAGAAACTGACTTCCCTCATAGCTCACCCAGCAGGCAATGAATTATGCCATTCGGTATGAATCGATTCTTCGCCTGGTCTTGTTTGGCAGCTCACTGAGTGAACGTATAGCTCGGGAATCGCCATAACAGCCAAATACGCCATCCGTCAATCATCGCGGCTGCTCAAAGTCTGTTACCTTCTGTTAATCTGTTCGCTAGATACTCCAGACAGGTTTCGTGACTGACGTAGTCTTAGAATGTCGATAACTGCGAGGAGAAAGACGAGCTGCTCACGCTGCAGCACCGCTTAGAAAGCAAGATCCAGGTATATTCCACTCGCTCCAAGACCCTCACGCGGGAAACATGATGCTGAAGACAGATCCCAGGTCATCTCTCCTGCCATCGACATGATCGAGCTTATGTGAGTTTCTACATAGCCAAGAGCAATATGAAGAAAGCTCTAACTTCCCACACCAGCGCTGCAAGAGGAAACACGTCGCTAGAGTCAGCAGTCTTCCTCACCAAGTCTCTACGATGGGACATACAAGCTCTAGGGCAACGACTAGCAAAAGCTGCGACCTCGGAAGAGCTGTACGCGAGAGGAGCCAACCCGAATCGCGATCGCTCGAAGCAGCAGAGAGAAATCCAACATATCATCCGGGACATCAAGAAGTTACTTGTCCGGATCGAAGATGCGGTACCACTGATGAATCTAGCCATCACGACGTCGGGCGCCAAGCTGTCGACCAACCTACCATCGACCGTATCTCCCTCGCGTCTGCTGCAAGCGAGCACGTTCCTGACAGCTGGCGACACCCAGTATTCCATGTCACCGTCGCACGCGGTGCAGATCGGGCCTACGTTCACGCTATCAATGTACATGCTCTTTGCAAGCCACCTACGGCCGCATGACGAGGACGGCGTACGCGAGGCGACTTGGAAAGAGGTCATGCACAAGGCTCGACTGAAAGTGCGCCGCGTACCCATGGACCTGGCGACGAACCCACAACACCAACACATGCGAAACATACGCCTCCCCGGGGACGCGCGAGTAGACGAATTCGCTTACCAGGTGCTCATAGTCGAGGACCTAGACGACGGACGAGTGCACACCTTCGACGAAGACGAAGCGCAGCCCGAGAACTTCGAAGGAGTCAGCACGGCAGGGCTGCGCGAGATCCTCCCCATCCACCAAATCTCCAAGATCTTCTACGCGGACACCGGCAAGATCCTGAACATCAGCACGGATGGAGAAACGAACAACCCAGTCCTCCTGCTCAAACGGGACATCAACGCCATCCCGCCGCGCCGCATGCTGGAGCGCGACGAGTCGGAGCTGGGCAACGTGTCCTTCGCATACGACAGCCAGGACGACGACGAGCCCGACGAGCCCGACGAACTGCAAGCGCAACTCGACGCGCAACTCAACCATTCACGCAGTGGTGACGGCGACGGCAACGACGACCCCAAGCCCAGCTTCCACGAAGACTCGATCGCGCCGCAATGGCGACTACCCAAGGACCTAGACCCAGAATGGATCGCATTCGAAGTGTACAACGAAGAAGAGTCGTCCGACTCTGAAACCTCCGACGCCGAAGCAGAAGACGCAAGCACGTCCGAAGCAATGGGCAAACTGTCCCTCAACCCTACGCACAATTCTCCGATCCCGACCTCCCCATCCCCATCCATCAGACGATCCAGACGCTCGCCGCGCGCAACCGCAACCGCAACCGCAACCGTCTCCAACCCGCACTTCAACAACATCCGCACCTCGCTCTCCCTGCTGGAGACGCTCCTCCGGCTGACCTCGCTCCAGCAATTCCAACAGCAATCGCACCTCTCCATCAGCGACGAGCTGCTCAACTTCTTCCTGGAGGAGTCCTCGACGACCGGCGCCGGCGGCGACGAGCAGCACCGCCAGCGGCTGCGCGCCGACGCCCGCCGCCGCGTCGGCTGGGACCCCTACGACGAGAGCCCCGTCAAGCGCCGCGGCGAGGACTACCAGTACGCCTGGGCTGGTCCCGACGACTTCGCCCGCGGCACCACCCCGCTGCGCTACGGCCGCGGCGACGAGTCCGAGTACCCTTTCTCCCCCAGCGACCGCGTCCGCGGCTACCATCTTCGCTCCCGCGAGGCCACGCCCGAGACGCCCCTGTCGGCTGCTAGCGGGGGGATGCGGCGGCATGGTGGGCTGCGCGGTGGTGCCTCGTCGCTGAATGTCGAGGAGAGATCGTCCCGCAGAGGGTCGCCGCTGTCGAGACGGTCCACTCCCGTGCCCAGTGTCGAGGAGCCCGAGGGTCGTTCGCCCGTCTGATTGATGAATTGGCGAAGACTTTCGGATATGTTTATTGTTGTCGAACCGTATGTACATGATAGCATAATCTAGATGATCTAAAGTAATGATCTACGAAGCTTTGAACAAGATAGAAAGAACGACTGTCCTGCCTCTACGGCCGGTTACCTATCCGTGATGTATACAAGGATGAAGTTCGTAGATAGATAGACTGTCTGGTACCTATCAAGGAGCAGAGCCAAGATCCCTATTGGTGTATTACTCTTAACAACAGGCAGATCAAGGCATGAGAAAACGAGCTCAGACGCATGTCACCAAGACAGGGGCGGTAAGCACGTGATTAAAATTGGAAGGAAGATTTGATATCAACGGAATTCTAACGCCGTAAAGAAGCTGGAATTGAAGGGACAACCGTGACTCCTTGCAAAAAGACTAGTAAGTGTGGAAGGGATTTCGAATCCTTCAGACCAGCCAGCGGTCGGGTGTGATCGGTTTGAGATGGGGGAGGTACTTGAGAAGCGCTTCATTCCTGGGGATGCAAGTCCACAGGAACGAGCGGGGGAAGGCCAAGACCATTGATATTACGTGGGAAAAAGACATTTACTCCCAGTCGTCATCACTGTCGTCGTCTTTGGGCTTCTCCTTGGGGCTTGCGGGGGTGCGGCTGGTGGCTCCGCTGACGAGGTCGTAGCTGGATTCGCTGTCGGGCTGGGATTGTTGGTCGTTGGAGCGGCGGGGTTCGGTTGGGTTGGCGGGCTTTGCGGTAGCAGCAACGGTCGTAACAGTTGTAGCAACGGGGGCGACAGGAGTGGCGGTCTGAGTGGTAGTGGTTGGGGCGGCCGCGGCGTTTGACTTGACTTGAGGTGTGGATGGGGAGTCAGTTTCCTCGTCGGAGTCATCGTCCCACTTCACTTCCTCGTCATCGACGGTTGCACCTATAGTCGAGCATTAGTAAGAGTGGTTCTATGAAAAGAAGCCGACCACAAGTCCAAGAATGTCGGAGCCAGCGAGGTTTTAGCCCAAGGCACAGAAAGTATGAACAAAATGACGTACCCTGCAAAAGTTCCTTGCGCTTCTGCTCCTCAGTCTCAATAACCAGACGAAGGAAGTAGTATCTGCACCAGAAGGTAGCGTAGTCCACCTGCTCCGGGACAAGCTTCTCCATCGCCGAGCGCAGCTCAGGGTACTTCTCGAGATCGGCGGCGATCGCATCGGTCTTCTCAGCGATCTTGAACTCCTGCTTGAACGCAGGCCAGAGCTCGCTAACCGGATCATTGGTGAAGCTATCCAGGGTAGAATGGATAACGTGTAGCTGGGCCTCGAAGCGCGTGGCGTGAATGACCCGCTTCCCCTCCGCATCCTTGCTCTCAAACAGAAGCTTATCGCCAGACGACTCGCTGCTGGGAGGCACAATGCTGACCGCATCGCGCAGCTTCTGGCCGATGTTCATGCCAAAGCGTAAGATCGCCTCGTCGGCAGCCTCCTCCGCCTTCTCGATCTCTTTCAGCCGGCGAGCCGCCTCGGCCTTGAAGCGGGAAAGGAACCCCTCCCCGGGGTTGGAAGCCGACGCAGCAGCCCCGGGGTCAAGGCCCTTCTCGCCCTGTGCTGGTGGTGTCGCATCCACCTCTACCTTGGAGGTAGTACCGGTCGGCGTGGGGGCCTCGTCCTTGCTGGTGCTGGCGTCGGTGCCGGTGGCCCCTGAGCTGAACGCCGTGCTCAGGGAGAGACCCCGCGTGCGCCCGACGATGCTGCTCCTCAGGTCGGAAAAGCCCTTGGCGGCCTCTTCGCTCGCGGCAGCATATTCCTGACGGGCCCCTTCGTAGTAGCTCTCGCCCTGCTTGCGGACGTTATCCCATAGTCCACCTAAGCGTGCACCCCAGGGGCTGGCGGAAAAGGCGCGGAATGTTTCTTGGAGCTCGGCGTTGAGGTCGACGTTCGAGTGCTCCGTCTTAGTGGGTTCGTTCTGGTCGGCTTCTTTCTTCGAGGAGTCGTTGGAGGAGTAGATCTCCTCCTGAATATGATCGTACGCTACATCCATCTCTGTCAGTTGGAGATAATGAGCGGGTTGGAGTTGGGAGATCAAATGACGGAGCGGAGCTGCGGTGGGGGTCAGTCAGTCAATCGGCGGTTCCGTTCCCGGGGTTACAACGGCCCGACCGCCCCCACGTCTACACACAATGCGATAAGAAGAGGCATGAAGGCAGTGTTTGATGTATTAAATTTGCTCGTCATTCATATATTCATAGCATTATATATAATATCTCTGTCTTGGAATTGCATTCGTCAAGAGTTACGATCCCTGCTGTGAGCTGTAAGGCTCACCAATACTGTCCTGGCTGTCCAGTAAAAACATCGGCATGGGAATGCTTTCCATCACGCTTGATGTAAGTAGGTCACTCTTCCTGAATATACCCCGAGGGCCTGAATCATCTTGACCCTGGGACCGAGTTCGATGCCTGTCTGCTGGCTGAGATGACTCGACCTGCACTATATCACGGGAAGCAAGACGCTGGGCAGGTGTCCGAAAGCTGGCCCTTCCGCCATCGTCCTGTCGGACAATGGGCGAAGATTCTGGAACAATCTCTGTGGATTTGTGCGGATCATGATCCAGCCCGTTGGTATCAGATGCATTACTCATGCGTTTGGGCGTTCTGGAAGATGACTCTGTCAATGACATAGTAGCAATGCTTTCATCGTTGAGGTCGTCCGGGAAGAGTTCCGCTAGTCTTTGAGTATTTAGGTTTGGCACTGGTCCGAGAGGAAATTGAGTCGCTGGCTGTATCCTCTGGTAGTATATTGATGCATCCGAAGTAGGGTTGTCATCCAGAAGCGGCTGCTCTAACTCCTCTTCCATCTCAGGAGCAGTGACCGGAGGAAGAGCTTGGGAACTCTCTTCCGAGGCATCCTCATGCTCGAGATTGACTGCACCGGGATCATAATGCGGTACTCTTCTTTTTCGAAGTGTCTCCATGGGATTCGGCAAATCAGTTTCCAGATCGCCGTAGTCTGTGTCCGTATCTGTCTCCGCATCTGTCTCATATACCACAGTTCTCTGCGTAGTTGGGACATGTTCACTAATTGCATGCGGCTCATCATGCTTTTCCGACTTCAAGTGTTCAGATAACTGCGCAATCCCTGTTCCCTCACATACAGTATTGCACGGTAACGGAGAGTCTGGAACCACGGTAGAGGGAAGGGTTTCATTAGAATCTGGAATTTCACGCATCGGACTCTGAGATGCTTCCCCCTTGATCCGTCGTAGAAAAGGGGACTCCTGCTTGATACACCGACCTGGAATGTCGTCCGCATCGTGCTTTTGCGGAGTACGTGTGGCGGTACGGAATTGTGACGATGTGATGACTGCGAGACTCGAGCTTTGAGGAGACTGGGATGACGGTATCTCACGCTCCCGCTTTGCTCGGGGGGTCACAGATCCCGGGTCCAAGGGCTCCTCGGTGTCCAGCTTAACCTTTGTATCAGCCGTCATGCTCAGTTTCCGTTTCTTGCCACCGCTTGAGGCCTCTTGATCAGAGAAGTGGTCAGGTTGCAAGGCGAAAGTATCAGAAACGTGCCGATTTGCCTGCTTCCTATCGCTCTTTTTCGGAGTGGTATAAGTATATTCCAACTTCACCTCATCGTCTGGCTCTATCTTCAGATAGCGTCGCACATAGTCCATCTGCGTCAGAGTCTTGTTCCCCTTTTTCGCATCCTTGTCCAGCTTGTGGCTCTTGACGCCAGTGCCAATTTTCCTGCGCTTCGGCTTCGTGTCGACTTCGCGCTGGCGAGGAGTCTTGAATTGCTTGCTCGATGCATCGCTCGGATTTTGTTCGAACCTGACGCCACGGGCTCGACGAGACTGGCGGCCAGAGGGTAGCCGGAGATCGCCATCGTTGTTGGAATCGTCATCGAGGTCTATCACTTCTCGGCCATTCCGCTGACCCGGCTGCGGCTGCTTTCCATCGAGATACTGAAGGCTTTCGTCCGATCGAGATGGCTGTGGTGTGGGCGTCACAAAGTCGATCTGTGTAAGAGTGGTCTGGTCTAGTGTGCTAGGTAAAGGTTTTCTCTTATACAACCTTTCAGAAAGCGAGGAAGACGATGAGAGGTCACATTTGAGCTGCCCATTTGCTGCGTTTGCTGTTGTTGAAAGGCGTGCGCCTGAAGTGGGCTTGTCCGGCGTTTGGAAGGATGAGCTGTGACTGGCAGAAACAGTGTTCTCCCCTTGTTTCATCGCAAATGGGAACGGTAAGAACTGTTTGGAGGTTCACAGTGAGCCATAGGAGAGGATGCGACTGAGATTAACTGGACTAGGCAGTCGATAGTGGGTGACGCCTGGTTAAGATGAATGACTGAAAGCCCTGTCCAGGTACGTCGGCGGGTTGCTAAATTGATTTCCCGTTTGAGGCAAATCGCGTCAACGCGTCGGACCCGTCCTTGGGGTGTGTGGTCTGTGCGCCCGCTAATGCCGAGGCGTTCAATTCATCCTCCTTCATAGCTCCTGCTCAATGATGAATCGATTCCATTCTGACTCGTCATCAAATCTGTACTTTATTCTGAAAGTCATTCGTCTCTGTATCTCAAATCGTGACTATTATGCAAAGAGACAAACCCTGAAACGGTTTCCCTTCTGGGAGCTTGGTTAATCTTCCTGGTGGTGTCTGCTTTCAATGTATAAAGGCGAGTCTGGGGAACGCTCGAAACAGGCCCAAGGATTTCCAAGTATAAACCAAGGATCAGCCAGTATCAGATGCCTGGAGCATACTTCCATTGACCTCAATTGACCAGATATTCGATGTAACAATGCAGTTCCAGTACGATGTATGAGTAAGCCTTATCTGACGTTGCGTCAGAGATACGTTAATCAAACTATAATGATCGATCCCAGACTATCGAGAAGACTTAAGTGAGGGAGTCCGACCACGCTGGTCGACAAACTTTAGTCATAGCTCAAACCTAGCACTCTAATTTCCTACTACCAACTGTAGTGAAAGATCTAGACCTGTGGAATCTCTACTTTAGCGACAATGCTGTCGGGATCCTTGAAGGTCAAGACGACTGTCCCGTGGACGCGGTTATTCTACCCCGGCCGCCGATGCATGGCGCACGTCGCCGATATCACAGACATACCAACTGTAAGTGAAGCAAAGGGCGGAGCCCTTCTTCACTTACCATTGCTGACAGTATGTTATGCCTTTAGGAAGACGACAAGCCATTCAACGTCCCCATCCCGGAAGAAAGCTATGAGACCTACAACCTCGAACCACCCCCACTTACTCTGGAAACGACGAAAGGACAGCTTAAGCAATTATACCATGACTTGTTCATGATAAGGTCAGACCCCCTTCGCTTCTACACAATCTATCCATAACCAGTTCTGGGCCTGTTTAACATGTCCCCCGCAGGCGCATGGAACTGGCAGCCGACAAATTGTATAAAGAGGGGAAGGTCCGTGGCTTCTGTCATTTATCCATTGGCCAGGAAGCAGTTGCAGTAGGGGTTGAACATGGAATCTCCAGAGACGACAAGCTCATTACAGCGTACCGCTCCCACGGAACCACCCTGATGCGTGGCGCTACCGTCAAGTCTATCCTTGGCGAACTCTTAGGACGTCAAGATGGCATCTCCCACGGAAGAGGGGGCTCTATCCACATGTTTCGGAAAAACTTCTTTGGGGGAAATGGTATTGTAGGATCGCATGTTCCAGTTGGGGCAGGAATTGCGTTTGCTCAGCAGTATAACAACAATGACAGTGTGACGGTTGACATCTTCGGCGACGGAGCGGCGAATCAGGGACAAGTCCATGAGGCCTATAACATGGCTAAATTATGGAACTTGCCTATCATTTTCTGCTGCGAGAGTAAGTTACCCCTTAAATTGCTTCCTATAGCAAACCCCGATGCGGACGTGGTGCTGAAAGCCTTCCTCTCAGACAACAGGTATGGCATGGGCACCTCCGCGGAAAGGTCATCCGCAATGACCGAGTACTATAAGCGCGGCCAGTACATCCCCGGCCTGCGCATCGACGGAATGAATGTCCTAGCTGTTCTCGCTGCGATGCGACACGGGAAATCATTCGTCCACGCCGGCAACGGACCGCTGCTGTTCGAATTCCAGACATACAGATATGCCGGGCATTCGGTGTCTGATCCAGGCACAACATATCGGTCCCGAGAGGAGATTCAAAGCGAGCGCGATCATGACCCCATCGCCGTTCTCAAAGATAAATTGATTGCCTGGAGCGTCGTCTCGGAAGAGGAAGCGAAGGCGATGGAGAAGGAAGTTCGCAGCAAGGTCGACCGCGAGGCGGAAGAGGCCAATCATATGCCTATCCCGGAGCCAAGGTTGGACGTGCTGTTCCAAGATATCTATGTCCCTGGAAGCGAACCGCCGCAACAGCGGGGCAGAACCGTCGACGAGACATGCTACTAGAGTAGTCGAAGCCACTGAAGGATGGATTACGGAAAGCGGGTGTCTCCTCATAGTGAATTCATAACATGTGATTTCTCCCCGCAAGTAGGATATATCAGAGCGCAGGAATCCTCCCACGTTTGTAGATACTAGCAAAACACACCAACCTAGTTTCCAAATCCCAGACAATCAGCTAGTACTACGATCCAAGCATCGCCGAAAATGGTTTTCCACAACCCACCCATGGCTACCCCGGAGTACTGCACTGCAGACTTCTCACTTATCCCTGTACGTCCAGTCTACACCCTTAAGAAATCTCGAGACTGGCCCTCGACACTCCAGATCTATACACTCCAAAAAAGCATACCAGTAACTGACAACTTGAACGGGAAACAGATTGGTTCAAAAGACGTATCCTTCTCCAAACAAGTCGCCGATATCCAGCGTCTGATCCAGAACACCGGCCTCAAGTCCCAGATGCACGCCACTGGCACCACCGTGGGTGAGTAATACTCCCTCCCTTCAATCATGCATTAATCCTTCGCCAAGCATAGAAAACAGAGCTAATTATCAATGCCCGCTGGTAGAAGGAACATGGGACCAGGTTGCGCAGACCATCGGATGCGCTCATACCTTGGTGCACAACGAAGGGGTGGGCAGGATCCAAACGGATATCCGCATTGCTACGAGGTATGTGTGACTCCACTACCGATGGAATGGACCTATCGTCTTCGAGTAAGAAAAGGTTTGAGTGTTGATGTCTGGCGTGTGCAGGACCGATAAGGTGCAGCCGATGGAGGAGAGTATCTCGTCGGTGCAGAGAGTTTTGTCTACTTAACTGTGATGTTGATGGGGTCTGGGATTCGAAAAGTTGATGGATTCGATCGACGATGGGCAGGTGACTTTTATAGCGTTTCAAGATGATGTAGTACCTTAGTAGTTTTGGTAATGACATGATTTTGTTTGGTGTTGTGATTGGACAAATTTGATGATCGTATGTTATTGTAGTTGCGTTGTGTGAAGTTGTTGCTACAGAGCTGGAAACCTAGATATCCCTCTGGCAAGACATTGACCAAGATATCTCTCTCACAAACTTGATCTAGGATCAATAAGCAGACGTCGACCAGCTATGCAGTTAGCCACTAGCATCTTGTCAATCAGTCATACTATTAGTCAAGTAGGCTAAAGCTCTGTTACCTTGCCATAGAAAATATATCACAATATGATATGATGATAAGCTCATAGAATGGTGGCACAAATGATTAGAGTAAGACAAACGTCGTGGAAAATCCTGCTTCATAACAAAAGTACAAACTGCGGTAGATTGCAAGCCAGACTACCCTAACAGGTCACATTGTGCCATTGCCCAGACCTGAATATAACTATAATGTCTCATGATCAATCCTAGCAGCCCAAACAAGAGCGACCGCAAAAGAGCCACATCCCCACACCTCCGCACAAAATCCGCCGGCGATCTGCACCAAGTATTCGACGTCACAATAGACAAGAAGGTCGCAGGCGCTACTACCATGTGGCATTGGAAATGTTTCAAGAGGCTGCAGCTAATATATTCCGGAGGTGATCAGCCAATCGACCCCGTGGTCTGGACGTGGAGGGGTGGCGACGGGGATGAAGAAAGCGATGTAGTTGATTGCCCTTTCGAGTCACTTACAGGAGAGATACAAGGGCTGCAGCTCGGTTGCAGGTTAGCTCGGTGGCATAGTAGGGGAAATGGTCTAAATGAAGAAATGAACTGTGTCCTTGCTCGGGTTGAGTCGGGATAGGTTTTGTCCTCCGGAATGTTTATTGACATGGGATGAGGGACTCAGAGAGTACAAGTCGCGTCTGATGTAGGGGTTAGTGTCCTTCACTCTTGTGATCGTTCAATCAGCGTTGATCGACCTCGGGACACTCTGGCATTGTTGAATGTCGTGGGAACGTGGAAAGCATGAACCCTTGTTTCAGGTGAAGCGGGCGTCGCATGCGCAGTATAGGAGAAAGTAGCTATATCTTGCTTTCCAGATCAGTAGGTGAATGGCAACTGACTGAGAGGGAATCTTCTAGCGAGCAAGGCTGTGAGAAAAGTTATGATAAGATCCCACTACGAAAGGCGCAAAGAATCATGTGAGTTGCCTGCTATTTTACAGCAAGTCTTCCAGAGGAGACATGATTGCAATAGCCGGATCCAAGGTAGTAGATACGGCAACGGTGTGAGGGAGGGTTGGAAAGTGACTCCATATGATTTCAGTGACATAAACGGTATTGCGTGGTTACAGTACGTCAAACGTACATGGTTTATCAAACATCCCCTACCGATAGGTAAACAGCTACACAAAAAGAAAAGAAACCATCCTCAGGGCTCTGTGAAGGCCCGGCATTATGGTAGACACCGATCACCTGGCCGGTCTAGCAGGCATCCCTTCTCGGGAGATTTAGGCAACCCTGGTCTCAGTGGAAGCCTAAATAGATGTCTCTGCCTCGGTGCCTGTTAACTGCACCCATCCCTGCAAATACACGCATACACAGCAGATACACGCTTATTTCTTTGTTTGTCAGCAGTATCACCCCGACCGGTTATGCCTGACATGGGCAAACAGGGCCCTTTCGTGCGGAGGGAAAGTGATGAGGTAGGACAGCAGCATGGGGGCTCACATGATTCGTGCGAAGATGCTTCAGTGCACCACGAATATGAATTTGGAAGCACTAAGGAGTTGACTCTTGGCATACTGCTCTTTGTTCCCCCCTCCCATTGTTCTTATGAGGCTCGACAATCTTCCCCAATCAGGACAGAAGTGCGTAAACCTCCCCGACGGCAGCCACTATTTGTCGGGTCTTTCGCAGACGGGACTCCGTACATGTTCTCAGCACATTCGAATGAAATTGGTTGCTTATCTTGGAATTTTCGCATTGGCGTTCCCTCGTGTAGAACACTTCAAGACGCCTCCACCGAATCCTCAAGGGTGCAGAGTCAATTGGTACTCTCACCAACCGAAATGTCTACTGCCAGATGGACTTCCAAACGGCCTCCGTGCAGGAATAAGACATGCTGAGTGATGCTGACGGAGCTGGGGCCTGGAGACCTAGATGGATATTAGTCGGCGAAGCGTCGGAAATGAGGCAAGATGGAGCTACAAACCGAGTCAATCTACCCTTGGTAGGGAAAGAGGATCTCTTCGAGCGGCTTTTCCCCAACGGAGAGGAAGTCTATAGGCTGGAACAGCGGTTGTGAACATGGGGTGCTGGTGGAAGATCATCTAAATTTTCCCTTAGTGTCCCATTTTTATCTGGAACCGGCCCCATTCCCCCTCTGCTCGAATAGCATCGGGCAGGAACAACGAGCCGAGCTCTATCTAACCATACTTAGACCCACGCGCTATCACCTCTCACTCGGGCCTTGGGGCAATTATAGGGATGGCGGAGAAGTTCATTGGCGAAGACAGGCCAAGAGGCAGGGATCTGGGGGCCGTTGCAGTGACTTTTCCTTCTCTGATGGCTATGCTCATCATGGTGCAGTAGCTCCAGCCACCTGCTATACTGTTCTAAGCCTTAGTGAGGGCAGTGGTAACCTTTTTACGGCGGAAAGTTGGCGAACTGAAGGCTGTCTGGGAAGCATTCAAATCCCGAAGGTCTCTCATACAGGAGATTATGGCCATGCTCCTTTCCTCACTTCATTTTGCTCCTGTCTTAGTGCTTTGCTAAAACCCCCTCTCTCTTTCCATTGTGCCCTTCTCTGCCTACCAACGACACATATATCCTTCCGGTTCCGTTTCATTGTCATATCGCTTCTGTGGCCAGCCTGTGCGCAAGCAGTATATATGCCATACTGGAAGCTGACTTAGCATGCCTTATAGGGATTAGACATGAAATAAATAGAAGCCCCTCGAAGCAAGGTGACATCTGGTCTCCGTGATTCATGGTTCTCGATTTAACTTCGCCTAAGCTCGCTCCGATGGGGTCGCCGACTAGATTGCCTTCACAGGACTGGTGTTGACAGTTGTCACTTACGTGACCCCACCATCCAAATACGAGTCAATGCACATGAATTAGACAGTTTTCCGAAAAGCAGGGCAGAGTAATGTGTTAAACACGCTAGGAAATTCTAGAATTGACAGTCTCGGCCGGTTTCCTCCTGCTCCTCATTGAGCACAACCAAAATGAGGCATTCACCATGAACCATTATCTACTAGCTTAGAGCTGGCATGTAATATAATGTCTGTCCCCCGCTTATTTGCAGCTTGATGATGATGATGATGATCGGAGAGGGACACTCTCCGAATCGGGAAGTACCTACCTAGGGCCGGGCCCAGGATCGCGGTAGTCATCCTGACCCGGTTCCAATAGACCACCCACAAACTCCCGGAGCTTAGATACTCGCACTAAACAGCATCAAGTGTCTGAGCATTGCGTAGGGTTGTTGGGGTCCGGACAGAATAAATACATAAATGACGTTTCCCTCACATACTCCTCCTTTTGATAAACCACCATCATGGCCAATTGTGCCATACTAGTCTCAGAGGCACACTGACGCTAGACTGTAGAAAAGGCAGCAAATCATGGATTCTGATTTGCAGATCGGCAAAATCATGGTCTAGACTAGATCTTGGTATCGAAAAATGCTTGACCAGCCATAGCGATGCTGTGGTAACGAGGGACGAAAAGTCCGAAGGTTGTACTTCGTGGTTCGTCTGCTCGGATCCGGAAGCGGAAATAGATCGACCTCGATGATCCACCACTCTTTTACAGTGACTCAAGTAAATCAGCTATGCTACAAGCTCTCTCTTGGCAGCAACAAGGTCATGAATGGGATGGGAATGCACAACGGCCATCGTATCATCAGCAGGCTAACCAGAATTCCCCAAGATTCATGGTCAACAGCAACAGCCTCCCCAAAACCCAAGACGTCAACGTGGACTGCAACAAGTGACCTGGGGTCTTTCTGCATTGTGATTACCGTACTAAGCGTTTCCTTGTATGCATGATTACATACCTTAATGTTTTCCTCTCATCCGCTCTCTTCTCTGTCGGCTGTCCGAAAAACTGGATCGCCGCCCCGCAGATGCAAACTGCATGCGGTGGAAATGCACCGTGTCCGCCTTGAACATCGTCGAAGAATCCGGAAAGAAAGACCAAGATGGAAGTAACTCAAATTACATGCGACTGTCATACGATAGGGGCTTTCATCACTAATTTAGGCATGAAAGCCGGCCGAGACAAGCCCGGTAGTATCTGGTCACGTACAAGTACAACCACGGGTTTACCAAAGGATCGATCCAAAGGATACTCCGTACAGTGTCACGTCTCCCAGATTGTACATACACGTGCGTATTCTATTCTGTCAATTCTTGCTACTTTGCAGTCGGTTGTGCCGAGCGCCAGAGCATCGACAAGCAGGTCCCATGGGAACCGGTCAAGGGCAAGGGCAAACGACGATTAGCTTTCGCTTCCAGATGCGGGAGCTTCCCGGCATAACCGCAAGTGGAGTTTGACCATTGGATTTGAAATAGTGGAGGCATCCAACACGGAGCTGTCGAGGCCACTCGAAGGACGCGATGCTTGCAATTCCACCGGAGTGGGTGGGTCAATCCAGGATCCGACAGACTGGATGCGGCGGTAATCCCGTGCTTCCTATCCATTTCGGCCACCGTACTGTAAGAGGGAGGGAGTGTCGTCGGAAAGCTCATATTCAAGATCAAAATTTCCCATGGAGACCTTTGGGAAGGGGAGCCGAAGAGATTTGCGGACACGGGAGCGTAGGTCGCAAGGCTAGTCGCTTCATTCTTTTGCTCTCGCTTTCGTCCTTGACGGGCCTAAGCCTGTAGTCAAACGTTTCTCATCTATTAAACTTTGATCGCGTCTCTGGAAAGAGAAAAAAAATACGCAGAGGCGTCTTACGAGGAATCATGCAGACTGCATGCGCAACAATCCAACAGGTTAGGAAACAGTACCACCCCCCTCTCGACTCAGCCCAGTCGGATCATGTGGGAGCCATTCATGGATGGGACTTTCCAGCCGTGTGGCACCAACAGCCATTGGATCCCAGGTCCTTTTTTCTGAAGATCACTCACAAACTTACCTCCCTGTCCCCTCGATCCTCCCACAAAGTTCAAACAGCTGAGTATCTCCCCTTGGAGTGAGTACCTGGTGCTACCGTTATTATGATCTCGTGTGGGAATTGTCATTTAGTGTTGTGCTAAGACCACGAACCATAACCAATTGCTCAAATGAATCAAGTCTGTGTTATGCTTAAGTATATCTTCCAAGATGCGCTGCTGGATCGGATTCTAGCTGGACGGTGGATTAGCCCCCCTAATCTCTTTCCTTGTTCTGATTAGCGACTCTAATCTATCATGTACCGACCCCTCCTCCAGTAGCAGGTAACATTACCACTCATACCTATTGCAAGACGCACCCGACAGCATGGGACGCCCGTGCTTTTTTAGTTCGATGTCTCTTACCGGCTACCTAGTGCTTGAGTCCCGATGCGTAGCGCAATAAAAATAAGAATTGGTGATAAGACATGCCACATATGAGGTATGCCAGGCAAGAAAAGAAAAGATTAACGAAATCTAGAGCAGATGGGGGATTCGATAGGTATGAACTATTTCTTTCGAGCATCCCCTTCTCTTTACCCCTCTTTGCTACTACTGGTACTAAGTAATTCGCACACTCCCTAGCAATTGTCCGCGCAAACTCTACCATGGCATGATCCTGGTATTAGGCGACGTCGGGTCCGAGCCAAGGGTACGATGAGGTCTATATCGGTTCCAAAGATCAGGGGTCCCCTGCAACGAGCTTGGGTCTTTGGGATTGTTCTTAGCAACCTCGGTCTGTTATGATCTCTCAAGGCAGGGGAGTTTTTCACCCCCTCTTTCTTTCTCCCGAGACTCAATGTCTTTCCTGGGATCCACTCTCTATCACTCTGTCTTGCTTCAGACTGAGCGGAGAAATAGCTTTTTTATTGTTTTATTGTTTTCTTTTCCCTTCAAGGTTGTGTTTTGTTGCCCCCCACCTTATCCCATGATTACATAAAGGGTGAGAAGGGGGATTTCCGGACGAGTAGACAATTAGACTTGCCGAGTGCGGACGAAAGTACGTATGTCTGTCGTACCTCTCGCCTCACAAGGTAGCTTTGACGGAGCACGGAGTACTAAATTAGGTTAGGATTTTGAGGGGGGATTTATGGATTTTTGAACAAAATAAGAAAATCAAGGTTGGCAAGTCTTAATGGGGCTTTGATTGCATCCGTCTGGGATTATTGCTGGGCTTGATTTTCCCGCCGCCCGAACCGCCCACTTGGTTCGCAGCGCCGCAGCGGTACTGTAATAACGCCCCGTCTTCCGGGGACTTCCAGAGCACTGGTTTGTCAAGCAAGTCATTCCGGCAGAGAAGATATTAACCTTCTGCTAGAAGCAGTGTGTATATTCACTGAGGTTTAATATTATCGATATTATTATTCTCTCTTTTTCTCCCTCCCTCCCCAATCAAAAAAAGTCTCCATCCCATCAGCATTCAGCAACTATCCTGTCAAATTAAGTTAAACATTGGAAGATGAATCCTTCCCCTCCTCTTCTGCTAAAGTCAAACTTAATCCAGCCTGCCGGGACAGTTCAGGATCCAGGAGAAGAGGAAAACACTGCCGATGTCTCTCCTCAGTTTCGCTACCTACAATAGGGGAGAAGGCTGTGGCTACCACCTAGTACCCAGTCAACCTAAATTAGAGTAACTTAAATACTGCCCAGTAGTTCTCTAGATCTGGTCAAGGTCCCTAGATCCCAACTTCCAATTCCAAGCCCCCATATCGGTACAACAACGGACAATTCGTAATCCCTCCCTCGCCGTCCTTCACCATATCGGTGCCCATTTTCTTTCTGTAATAGACTTTCCGGGTAGACACTGGAGTGGAAGACGTGATCTTCATTACTCCTCATCTTGATCTTATATCACTTGGAACCATTTATCGAGCCCGAGGCTTGAGTGCTACTACTATCGCTCTACTACGTCTACTACTATTGAGTCCACCCCCACTCGAGACGTGGCGCAAAAAAGCCTTGTTACCTGAGTCTGCCAGTACCATGGCCGGTGCGAGATCGGCTGTAAGCATCTCCTCCCTCAATCTCTAAGAGGGAAAGCCCTAACTACCTCGTTTTACTGTTGCTGTTGTTGTCCTTATTGTTGCTGTTCGCCTTGACACACCACCTGCTTTTCGTCAAATCGCCACCTGCACTTAGCCCGCCCCCAATCGACACCATTTGAAATTCACTAACAAACAATGGCACAGGGATTGAATCATGAGGAGTAAGTCCCACCTTACTCTATAACACCCCATGGCAGCTGGGCTGGAATTGTCAAATCCGGCTCTACTTCTGGTCTTATACTGGTATTGACTATGGCAGCGAGACGCAGTCATTGACGGCAAGCGTAACGGACTATCCGATGGAACATGGAAGACGGTACCACAAATATCATGAAGGCTGTACGTTCGCAGATGAGCCAGCTTCATTCGACGCGGATACCGTCTAACGACATCTCCCAGCATACTTGTACCCGAACGATGAGCAGGAACTGGATCGCATGGATATGCAACACCACATGATCAAGCTAGTCAACCACGGGCGCTTGTTCCTTGCTCCTGTCCGACGCCCTAAACGGATCCTCGACATTGGGACCGGGTCTGGGATATGGCCTATCGAGATGGGTAAGAAGCTTCCCTACAGCTCCCCTGCTTACCTGTCACCCAGTCACTCACTGTTGCCATCTTTCTTTTTTCCGTCGGTTAGCGTCCGAATTTCCAGAGGCCGAGATCACAGGAACCGACCTTTCCCCTGTTCAACCGATTGAAGTTCCTGAGAATGTCCACTTCCTCGTCGATGATGCCACGGAGGAGGACTGGCTGTGGGACCCGAATCACTTCGACTTCATCCACATGGGGCATCTGATCGGGTCTCTACCGTCGTACAAGGACCTGTTGAAGAAAGTACACAAGCACCTCAAGCCGGGTGGGTACGTGGAATGCCACGAGTTCGACTCCAGACCGAAGTGCGACGACGGTACCATGCCTCCTGAAGACCCCGACAAGTTCAGCGATTACGCCCTCCAAGATCTAATGGATCTGCACCAACGCTCCGGCCAAGTCTCAGATCCGCCCCGACAGTTCCGAGTGGCCCATCGTCTCGCGCGCTGGATGAGAGAAATCGGCTTCGAAGACGTGCAGGAACATCGCTCGATGGTGCCCGTGAATCCCTGGTCCTCTGATCCGCATCTACGGAAGATCGGTGCCTGGAGCGAGACAAACCTGTTGGAGGCTGTCGCGGGATGGTCCTACAAGCCCCTCGGCCTGCTCGGGTGGTCGAAGCCAGAGATTGAGGTCTTCCTCGTCGATGTTCGGAAGAGCATTCAAAATCGCAACGTCCATGCCTACTTCGAATTCTATACCGTGACAGGCCGGAAACCACTCACTGGATGAGCCGTTTTGTCTGCTTCTTTCGACTCGCCTTTATGAGCTTGTACTTGCTCGCACAAGTAATTTCTCGTCACATATTTCTTTTCTTTCTTTGCTTTTTTTTTCAGTTGCTTGTATTGGCTAGCGTTGGGCTAGTGTTGGCATAAGATACCATCTGGGCAGGGTGTCCGGTGCATTGGGAGGCGTGTTTGGTCGATCACTTCTTGAACAGATGCAGACATCTGGTTGTCATGCATTCATCTACAAAAAGGGCATTGCTCAGTGTCATACATCACAAAAAACAAAACTGTGCCCATGGTAGAAGTCTATGCTTGGGTGGTTCAACCTAAGTAGTCTCGATGTGAACGATCCATACCTGACCAACTTGCTTTGAAGCAGACGCATGACAACTGCATACCCTGGTCAAGATCCTGTAAGAGCCCAAGCAACAGAATTCTCCCCATGGGAGAAAACAAAGCGTACCAACTTCGGGTTGAGTCCTGCTCGTTCAACTCCATAAGTAAATAACTAAAGGGCGAATGCAATGACTAAGAACCAACGAATGAGGGCGCAAGAATCGGTGCTTACTCATCCGCCGAGCTTCAATCTCCGGCCCTCCTCCGAACGGTGCTCTCATCACTATCAAATCCCGCGCGCCCGAGATCTGAAATTATCAGCAGGAAAGGGTCAAGCAAGATCTCTCCTTCGCACATGTCGATTGCCTCATGTCTCTCGGCAGACATGCGTACAGGCATGCTGTGCAGCCAGCCTCAGCGGGTCTAGTTGACCACGTCTGGATCAGCGATGACCTGCTGGCGTCGGCGTTCCAACGCTTCGTCAAGACCCAACGACGCCATGCAAGCCGCGTCCCCGGCCCATTGGAGGCCAGACGACGGCTTGCGAGGAGGAAAAACTGCGCAATGGCTGCGATGCCCAGCGCTATGCCCCCGGATGCGATCGCTGGCTTGTTCGGGCGCGATGGACGACAGCATCTGAACTGGCAAAACGACCACCACGTGCAAATGTTTCCGTTTTCCTCACCGAATGATAGCGCACAGCCGTCTGAGTCTGGTAAGGAAGGATGATTGCTGGGTTTTGGTGTGGCCATGTTCAGTCTCTAACTTAGTGACCAGGTTCATCATACCCATACCCACCGAGGCCTCCGATTCCTCCTATGTCTGCCGAAAATGAAACAGTCGATCCCAGCGGATTCGTCGACTTGGCCGACTCGCCGGTGCCTCCTCTTCCTCCTTTTCTACCACGCGACGACGGCGAGATCGGCTCGAGTGGATTCGTCGATTTGTCGAGCTCATCGGAACCTACTCCTCCGCCTGATACAGCGATGGATGACACAAGCGGCTTTATTGATCTGGCTAGCTCATCGGACCCTTACGCCCCGCAAAACACAGATATGAATGACCCAAGCGGATTTGTTGATCTGGCAAACTCATTGAAACCACCTCCTTCCCCGCGCGATACAGATACGAATCAAACAAGCAGATTTGTTGATCTGGCTAGCAGTTTAGAGCCTCTATCTTCACGCAGTACCGAAACAGTTAATCCGGACAAACCTGTTAACCGGGCTAATGCCTTAAAGCCTCATTCATCGCGCAAGAAAAAGAGGACTTTAGACCGGAGTGAACCCATCAACTTGGCCAGCTCCCCAGAGGCTTCATCTTTGCCGCTTGATACAGGTATAACAAACCCGGGCGGATTTGTCGATCTGGCTAGATCATCGGAACCTTCGCGTTTTCCGCCCGAAAATGAAACAGTCAACCCGGAAGGTCTATTTGTCGATCTCGCCAGCTATTCAGAAGCTTCGTCTGAGCCGAGTGAGACTGAGGTAAATGATCAGAGTGGATTTGTCGAATTGACTAGTACGTCAAGGCCTGCAGACAAACCCAAAACACTTCCATTCGAAGACATACTCAGGGAGAGTTTGGAGAGTTGCGCAACACTCGAAGCTGCTAGCGACGTGGTACGTGACATGGACATCAATCTTCGCCATGAGCCCGTCTACAGTCGTCTCATTTTCGATCATTTTCGCTCGCGCTGGTTGCTGGGCAAAACAAGCGTCCATATGTTGGCATCATTCCTCGACGAGCCAATGCTTAATACGCCGGGAGCTGGGAATTTTGCGGCTGCGACGGAGCACGTCATACGGCCCGCGATAGACTCGCAGGAGCGCGCCGTTATATTCGCAAGCATCTTACGGGCTCTTCGTCTTGGCACAATAATTCCGACTGAATTTACGGAGGTGATCAAACTCCTGCAAAATCTCCCAGACGGGATCACCAAGACGGACGAACTTACGGAGGCTGATGGATTCGCTGAGACGGGCGAGGCCACGGACACCGAAAGTCTCCGTACTGGTCCAAGCAGCGTATCCAGTGCGTATGAGAGAATCTGCAATGTTCTCGATCAATCCGACGACGGTAAATACACCAATATAACCGAGGATACTGCCAACACGTGGCTAAAGATTTTATGGGAACGCAATGTACTTGCCGAGTTGAGGCTGGCAAGCAGGATTCTGATTGGAATACGGCATTTGGATGTTGTTTCTTGTTCTTGGATACCGCGGTTTATAACGCGTTGGCTTGCCCTTTCCGACGAGCTCCGGAGTGAATTCGATCCTTTCTTCGCGCCTCGCCTCCTTGACAATTTGCATCCAGATCCAGCTTGTGCATCTATCATTTCTGTTACAGAGTTTCTAGTGTTGGCTCGAAAGCACCAGTTACTCATGCTTTGGCACGAATGTTTGGCGCACGTCCACGCGGTCGAAGATATTCCTAGGTCAGGGATCTGGGTTGACGTCCGATCGCAAATCCCAGCAACTGCAAGCCACTCCGGGTTGACAGTGCAACAGCGGTTTGTCCTACGCCTTTGGGCTTTCCGTGCCATGAATATGAGCCACGCAGCTGGTCCGATCTGGAAGAGAAAACCCTACGCGAAGGGGCCACTGTCCGATAGAAGAGGTGTACCGCCAATCGATAAATGGGGAGCGCGGATCCTCAGTCTTTATCAAGCTTCTCGCACGAATTATGGAAAGAAGGAACTCTTGAGCAGTTTGCTAGAAGATGCGCGTGAGCTGAATCTGCCCGCGAATGGGTTTACGATCATGGCTATTGCATTCCAGTCTAAAAATGGTGTCAATAGAAGTGTTAGGGAGGCTTTGGAAAGTCTAGAAGCATCGACAGCCTCGTTCAAAGATCTGTTCCGAGATCCTGAGACTCGGCTGCCTGTCCTTCGGCGGTTTGGCCCCGAAATCGCAAACTTCGTTCGGGAAATGGATGTCACATCACCGGCTTTCATGGAGCGCGCTCTGAACCTCGCTAGAACGGGGAAGCGGTCCGAAATCCGACTCTTGGTGCGGATTCTCGAGTGGCACATACCGCTCAAGATTGCCCTGGCGAGTTCGTGGAAACCTTTGCCTGACCCTTCCCGAATGGCGCTTGTGGTTTACAAGCCCACGGAGGCTAAAGGCAAGCCAACTCCCGACCCCCATGCCGCGCTCGAGATGATCAATACTCTGGCAACTGCTTTGTCCTGCTCAAAGGAACTTACCCCGCGCCAATCATACCGACTGATTTATTGGATCTATGGGTACCTCATGAGGCATCAGGCACCCGTGAAGCCGGTCATTGTTCGTGCTATGTATCACGCTGGCGTTGTGCGAGCTCGACGTGAAATGCGCGGTATGTACTGTCGTACGCAGTACAATTATATCATGGGCAAGGTTCAGCAGGTTGAGTCGCCGGAGGTTGTGCGAGCGTTGAGCAATCCCAACTTCGTGTGGAGAGGGTAGCGAGATGATTTAGAGCTTTTCCCCTTAATGGATATGCAATTTATTATACCCCTGGTTGTACCTATATACCATGGCAGACCACGGTCTCCAGGCTCTTTAGACAGTAGTATCAGTTAAACATCATCAAATGGCTTACTGAAACAACTAAAGCTTTCATTGATCCATCTGAAACTTTATTCGTGCGCGACTTGGGTACAGAATGGAAAGACATGAATTCTGCCGATACTATAAAGGGATTACATAGTCGCCTCTAAACGACACCCGCCCATGTTCTCCTCCTACATGTCCACCTCCATCAAGTTGGGGTCCCCGGAGGCCTCCTCGACGGTGACGTACTTCCGCATGTCCTCCTTGCTGATGATCTTCTGGTTGAGGTAGGCGGTCGTGCCCTTGGGGAAGCGGTAGTTGCGCTCCTTCTGGCCGCGCTCGTTGGGCCTGAGGTAGTTGCGCAGCAGCTGAGTGGGCTTGTCGTTCTCGATGACGCACACGTCGACGTTGCTACCAGACCCGAGATCGTTGAAGATACCGGCCTTGATGGCCTCGGCGCACAGCGCCACCGCCTCCTCGCGGTTCAGCTGCGCCTTCCACATCGACTCGAACACCGACATCGCGGCCAGCGAGCCGGAGCCCATGGTCACGTACGGCAATTTGTCTGTCGAACCGTGCGCGTGCACTGTGTAAAGTCCCGGCCCCTGTGTGAAACTCCCGTTAGTCGGCGCAATCGGCGTCGAAGGTGGTGTGTGTCTGTGTGTGTACATACCGAAACGTCGGTTCCCGCCACTACGAGGTAAGCTCCTATGTGCCCTTGATGGCGGAACAACCATTGCTTAAGCATGGTCATGCAGGTGATAACTCGCGGAGGACGGCCAGTGGAGAGAGCGTGAAGCTCGACGTTCGAGCTGATGAGCGCGGTCGTGAATTCCGTGTCGGCCGCAGTACCGGCACCGGCACACCAGATCTTCGGGGAGATGTAGTGTAGCTTCTCGCAGTTCTGATAGGAAAGACTGGCTGTTAGCGTATGTCTTTGGAAAGGATTGGGGGGTGAGCTTCGATCTTTCGTACCTTATCCGCAACAATCGGTCCGCTGGTCGCTCTGGTATCTGCCGCAATCTGTTTTTGCGGGAAATTGGAATTAGCTTCGAAATCGAAAGATGATAGATATAAGACCAGAACGTACCACAACTCCATTGTCGAATATACAACCAACGATCGTGGTACCTGTGCTGGTGGCCTTGGGGAGTGGCACGCCCTTGGCGTGCAGAGCCGCGTTACGGTTGTAGTTGGTGAAGTCGAAGCCTGCCATGGTGACGGCGGAGTGATCGGTGTGTGAGTAGTGAAAGGGGAAATCAAACAGAGCACGCGGGCCAAATTATCGGAAAGTTCGAGGTGATAGCGGAGGTGATGGGAGGTAAGTGGTGGTGTATCAAATGGAGGTGAGGTTGCTTAAGCTTCACTGCTTGCTGGCTGCTGATGGGTCGGACGGAGCTGGGAGTGACGAAGCTCCGGGCGCCTGATCTGGCTCGCCTCAGGCAGAAAGGCGGTGTGGCGCGCTTTCGGTCTGGCTCTCCAACCCTTGCAATCCCGCCGCTGTTTTTGTCTTTGGGAGATTGGAAACAGCACCCTTAACGTCTTGTCTGGTCTTGTTGTTTTCCACGCGGCGCTTCCTTGTGCTTCGCCAGTGTTGTCACTTACCTGTGTTCCCGGCTTGGGACTTCGAGGGCCCTGACTTCCACTTCTGTGTTCCCTTTTCCTCGCCGAGGGAAGGTGGCTACGATTTTCGCGCGCACTTGGAAGCTCTTCACTTGGAGTCCTCCACTCCGGCGCCGCTCCTTCTTCTCTTTACACCTCTCACTTCACGTTTTCCTCATGAACTCAAGAGAAGCTCACTAGGTGATCATTCAAGCTCACTTTCGATTGAGTACGGGTAAAACAGAATGGCTTTCAACTTTGGAGCATCGAACCCCGCCGGGGGTAATGCTCCTCCCGAGCTAGGCCCAGATCTTCCAGACGTCTGTGCTGAGGTAGGCCTCACTGTTCTAGCTTTCACATTTACAGGTATTTGTCTAACTTCTTGTATGATGGAGTAGGATGTCGGTTTCAAAGGTGTCGATGGCGACTCCAATGTTCGAATTCTGCCCTCCCCATGGCCCGAAGACGCTCTACCTGCTCCGACATGTTCTCTTCTCGCTGTCGCGCCGACCAAAGGCATAGTCGTTGCTGCTGGACCCAACGCCCTAGCCATCGCCTCCTCCGACTCGATCAGAACCGCCATATCCGCGCCCACCGAGGGCAAGGTCAAGACGAAACCGTTCCAGCCGCAAGCGACCATTCCCCTCCCTGCGCGTCCTACACACGTCACTTTTGCCTCGAACGATACAGCTCTAGTTCTGGCCACAGAGAACGGCGCACAGCTGTCGGTGTTTGAAAGCGCAAGCTTATTATCAGGGAACGCACAACCAGTGCTGTCGATCCCGACAAACGGAACCACCTTTCGCACCATTGCCGCCAACCCCGCGGAGGCTCTTTCCTCCTTTGTTGCGCTCGTGACGACGGGCGGTGATCTCCTGATAGCGGACTTGAAGGCAGGAAACTTGGTCTCAGGTCCCAATGGCCAAGTGCTCAAAAGTGGAGTTAGCTCTGTTTGCTGGAGTAACAAAGGAAAACAGCTTGTGGCCGGTCTTGCAGATGGCACTGGCTACCAAATGACTCCGGATGGCACGCAGAAGGATGTAATCCCGCGCCCTCCGGATCTTGAAGGCGATTGTCATGGTAAGTGTTTACCTTGGAACGTCGTTTGTCAATGCCCGCCTAATAGTGTGCAGTTTCCTCCGTTGCTTGGTTGGAGAATGATATCTTCCTCATGATCTACACGCCGAACGTGATGGAAGATGACATGGGCCAGACCCCTTCTTCGTCATACTATATTATAACGCGACGGAAACAGGCACCTTTCTTGATCCAGAAACTACCCGAATTGTGCATGCCCTTTGGATACAAGCGCGTCCCTGCCTATCAGTTTATTGCTCGCCTGCGGGACTACAAACCTCATTTGAGAGATACCCTCATTGTGTCGTCCACGGCGGCTACTGATGTGGGCTTGATCACCAGGGCAGATCAACCATTGGCGAAGGATGACAATGCAAAGAACACCACAGGACTTTTCGTCACTACGGAAGTCACAGACGATACAAAAAGAGCAAGTGTCCCACTGACGGACTCTTTGAACGAAACAACAGCTATTGGCCTGGGGCTTGATCTCTCCAGCAAGGAGAACGTCGTTGCTCCAATTGCAGGCGAAGACATTGTTGAGAGCTCAACTCCGCTGCCAATGATGTTACTGCTCAACAACGAGGGTATTCTTTGCACTTGGTGGTTTTTGTACTCGGAAGCTATTCGACAGAAGGTCCTCTATCAAGGCATGGCGTCTGCTGATCAGTCACAAGCTCCTGCTCAGCAAACGCCGCAAGCACCCCAGGCTCAAGCTTCACCATTCGGTCAATCAGGTTTTGTTGCCTCAACAATTGCATGTAGCCCATCTGCTCAAGGCCCTTGGCAACAACATTCCTTCGGTGCATCATCTTTAGGTGCGTCATCCTTTGGGTCCCCGTCGCAGACGGGCAATAGCAAGCCTCAGTTTGGTCAATCCGGCTTCGCCGCGCTGGGAACTTCCAACAAGACTCAATTTGGCCAATCTGGTTTTGCCGCACTGGGTACTGCCAACAAGCCTCAATTTGGCCAGTCTGGCTTCGCTGCGTTGGGCGGAGGGGCTTCGACCTTCGGACAGCCTTCTACTCCTGGCAAAGGAGCCGGGTCTCTTCCGTTTGCCCAGTCAAGCACTGGCACTGGAGGTGGCTTCGGAGCTTTCGCTAACTCAGGTGGTACAGGAGGATTCGGTAGTCTCGCGTCAAAACCGCTAGGCGTATCCCCATTTGCGCAAATGTCGACTGAAAGCTCATTCGCCAAGATGTCAGGTACTTCGATCTTTGGGCAATCCAGCACGGAAACTGCCTTTTCTTCCCAGAAGACCGGGCAGACGACGGGAACATTCGGGCTGGGTAGTGGTCCTTTTGTGGTTGGATCCTCTTTCAAGGGCGATGGTAGTGCTGCAAATGATCTTCCGAAGCCCGATAAACCATCGGGGCTATTCTCCTTTAGTGAATCAATGGATGATATGGTGTCTTCCAGCAATAAGACCAGCCCACCAACGGAGGACATGGATGATATGGAAGACGAGAGCGCTACTCCTCAACAGAAGCCTGAGCCTAAGGCCACCGTGCCGTCGTTGTTCGGCGCACCGTCAACAGCTACAACATCTGCGCCTAAATCGATCTTTGGCTCTCAAGCGCCGGTCTCGAATCCCTTTGGTCAGCAGGCCAGCAAGCCCGCGTTCTCGTTGTTCGGTAATAATACGACACCTGCCAAGTCGCCGTTGGCTTCCTTTTCTACACCCGCAGACATCGCTACACCATCGAAAGAGCAGCCGGAAGACGATTCCCGTACCCCGGGTGGCACACCTCAAGCCCCCCTACCTCCAGACCCGACCAGCAAGGCACCATATGGGCCCGGCGATACATCTGCCTCATCGAACGTCTCTAGAGGCTCAGTCGATGACATGCCTTTACCGCCGGACTTCACCACTAGCAAGCCTGCTGCTAAAGAAACCGCAAGCGAACTACCCCTACCCCCAGACTTCACGACATCTGACAAAGGAAAGAAAACGGAAGATGAAGAAGAGGCAGTACCTGAAGAGGCTCCATTGCCTCCGGACTTTAGCGTTCCGAAGGCGCACAAAGAATCCGAGGAAGTCGCACCAGTCCCAGATGAGTCGGATGCGGAAGAATCTGAAGGGGAGGACGACGCTTTCGAAGAAGGAGAGAGCGAGGAAGGTGAAGAGTCAGACTTTGCGGACAGTGGGGAGGATATCACACAAGACATCAGCCAATCGGGATCCAATGAGCCAAGCCCCAAGGCATTCCCTCAAGGTGCTTTCAAGCCCGGCGCAAAGCTCACAGGTGGTTTATTCTCCCCAGCTTCCAAGCCTGCCTCGGCACCAGCACAGCCTCCACGGTCATTGTTCGGTGACATTGGTAATCCAAAATTCCCTGCACTGCACCAGAACCGAGAGCATCCAAGATCACCTAGTCCAGTACGAGGAGCTGCGCCAAAGACTCTTTTCAAGTTGGACGGAAAGAAATCTCTCAGCGCCCCTCAGAGTCCAGGTAGTGCTCTCACTGCCAGGAAAGCCTCTCTTACTGAACACCAAAGACGTGAGAGTCAGCTGAAGCCTAAGCCCTCTAGAAAGGAGCAATCGCAACAGGACCTCCGCGCAAGGCAGTTGGAGGAGGAGGCACAGGCTCTTTCTGATGATGATGAGGATGAGAGACTCCGTGCAGACCTTGCACTGCCTTTGGAACCTGTTCCGACCCTCGATCCTTTCTTGCCTCACCAAGACTATGCTGGTGAAACCAGTAAGCCTGGTATCCCTGGTCAGATCGAACGGCTGTATCGGGACATCAACTCCATGGTCGACACCTTGGGCATCAACGTCCGTTCATTGTCATCCTTCCTTCTGTACCAGCAGGCGTCGAAAGACCCACATTGGATTGAGACGCTGAAGGAAGACAATGCCACCGACATACTCGACAAGGAGCTGGTTCTGTCCGAAATCGAGAAATTCGACGACGCTGTGGTCATGCTTGCTGCCTCTCTGGAACAGCAGCGTGTCCAGGGCGTGGAGGAAAAGCTTGAGAGCTGTCGGGAGCTTCTGAGCAAGGATATCATTACCCTTCGGGGTCAGTGTGCCAGCATCCGCAAGACGATTGATGCCCACACTGACACGGCCGTGATGCATTACGCACCTCTTTCCGCAGAGCATGCCAATCTGCAACAAGACCTGCGGACGGCGTCTACTGAGATCCAGGCTAAGTTGGCCGACCTCGAGTCTGCAGTGACGCTTCTGCGCGCCAAGATCGCCGACGTTCCCCAGACGGGTGGCTCTCGCCTAATGACGAAACGTCCCACCGTCGAGGCTGTCACGACTACCATTCACAAAATGATGGAGATGGCTGAAAGCAAGCGTAGCGATGTCGATGTTCTAGAGGCTCAGCTCAAGAGATTAGGAATTGACACGACTGCGCCGGCAGCGAGCCGGGAAGGGTCTCCGTTCGCGACGCCGAAGAAGAATCTAGGACGGTTCCCCACCACCCCGGGATCTCGGGGCTCGGTTGACGGGCCTTATCATACTCCAGATTCCGCTAGCCGAGCCCTCACCTTCCGATCCAGCATCAACGGGTCGGCTAGGGCTAGTCGGCTTCGCAACGTGGAGGGCGCGAAGGAGCTGGTCAGCCCGGAGGAAACTGCACAATGGAAGGCCAAGGTGCAACGCAAACAGCACATTGTGGAAAGTTTGAGGAGCGCCATTGGGGCGAAGAAGTCTCGAGTTCGGTCGGTAAATGATTTGTAAAACTACTTGTCTTTGTTGTTCTTGAGACAATCTTGTTTACTGATGGCTACTGGATATGAATCATGTTGAGAAAACAGCGGATCTTTTCTGGCGTGGTTTTCTCTTCCTTTTATTTTTCTGTTTAAGCAATTGACATTCGGTAGCATCCGATCTGTCTGTCTCCTGTATATATTCATTGTACTGTTTGTGCGTGCTTGTACGAAGAAATTTGTCAAACCAGGGCATTCGATTTATTTCCATGAACGAGGATAATCTGACCATGTCGGAGTGCTGCGGATAGAAATTCGTGGTGGTTCTATCATTGTCTGATAGTGGGGATGGTGTGATGGTACCTGAGACATGAGGCACCAACAAAATACTTAGTATTATTCTACCACTGACATCATTCCCGTGTGACATCAACAAGCCGGTCGACAACACGCTACAGTAGCCATATAGTCTCCCAACCCCGTGTCACCGCGAAGTCGTTTACACAAAAGCACGTGCAAACAAGTAACGAGACCACTCGCGCGACGACAATGTCAGCCGAACAACAAACCGTCACCGAACTCATCTACTTCCACGTCAAGGAGTCTGTCAGGCCCGAGGACCCCGCCCACAGCGACGAGGGCGCCGCCCTGCTCCAGGTCTTCCAAAACACCAAGTACCAGGCCGGATACAAGGGGTCATCATGGGGGCGGGCAGTAGAAGATGAGAGCCTGATTGTGTGGGCGATTGGTGAGTTTTAGTTTATTTTTCTTTCCTTTTCCTTGGTGATCTTGTGGAGCGATGGGTGTATAGCATCTCGGCTTGCCAATGCTCCTCCCCCCCCCCACCCCCTCCCTCCTTATTAATCTACCTCAACCAACTTCAACCCAATCCACCCATCCCTAGATAACCAGTACTTACTAACCAAAAAAAATAATAAAAAAAGACTGGGCAGACGCCCACGCAGGCGCAAACCCAAACACAACGCTAACGCCCTTCCTACCCCCCGATACCCAAACGATCACCACCGTATTCGGGACCCTCACGCCCAGCCCGCTCACCTCCACAGCCACCTTCACCAAGAACCCAGTCACAGAGCTCTTTGCGCCGGCGTTCCCGACCTCCCTTTCGCCGGAGGAAGTGACGCAGGTGCACGACGACCTGATCGGTTTGCGCGCGGCGATGACGGAGGGTTTACCGGAGGGGCAGCGGGCGCTGTCGTTCAGCATGGGTCAGGTCGAGCGGCCGGGGACGATGACGCACGAGCAGAGCGAGACGGGCGAGGCGTTTGTGGTGGTTGTTGCGGCGGGGTGGGAGAGTGTCGAGGCGCATAAGGCGGGGAAGGAGACGGAGGGGTTCCAGGCGGCCATTCAGAGGGTTAGGGGCCGGATGTTGGCGCCTGTGCAGGGGTTGGCGTTGAGGCATGTCGCTTTCAAAGGGGTGGAGTGAGTTGTTTTCTCGGTATTGGGGATATGCGGGGGTGGATGTTTCGATCAAGGGTGGTGGTGATAGGTGGTATGGGGCTAGGGGTGTGTTTTGTTTGTGTTCAGGCAGGGTGCAATACAAGGAATAAGAAATTGCGCTTTTTTAGTTTCCACAATAAGTACAATACAACTGCAGCCACCGTGGTAGGTTTGAGAAGATAGAAGATCCCGAAAAGCAAGGAAAGTGTTAGACCCCATTAATGTGAAAATGACTAGAAACACGGACAGACGTTTTGTGGTGTAAGGTCAGAAAGTAGAAAAGGAAAAGAAGAGAAAAAGCCCCAATGTGTCCCTTGAAAGAATAAAAATGCACGAAAAAAGATAAAAAAAGCAGCCGTATCATACTCTTCAGATACGATGCTTTTCGCTTTCTATGATATCATGAGTTCGTTAGTGGCTTGATCGGACGGAACTTGCAGCGAGGAAAAATACTAACCGAGTCGGGAGTAGAGCATATACAAAGCCATCTGGTTGCATTCCTGGGTACCAGTGATAGTCACCAGGCGCTCGTTGCTGTTCTCCTGCGGCTCGTTGATCTTGATCACACTGCCACTCAGGTGTCGGATCTCGTTGATCTTGGCTCCACCCTTTCCGATTATCGCGCCGACCATGTCGTTGGGGATGTAGATCTGTTGAGTCAGTGGCTGACCAGGCATGGCACCGCCGACAGGGGCCGCCGGAGCAGCGCCGCCACCAGCACGTGGCTGCGCAGCCTGGGGTCCGCCGTAGGGAACAGGCTGGTGCGGGCCGGCTCCGGAGTACGGGGTGTGGGGAGTAGCGCCGTAGGGCATGTTGGGTTGGGCGACAGGACTGGCTGCGGCTTGACCGTGGAGGTAGGGGACGCCATAGCTGCCGGCCGCGCCCCGGTTTGGGTGAGGGTGGTGACGCTTGAACGTGTCGGGGTGGCCATACTGTCCACCGGCAGGCTGAGGAACATAGGGGACAACCTGCATCCCGCCAGGCACAGCTCCAGCAGGTCCACCACTGCGAGTGGCGTAGGCCGAGGCTGCCGGTCCGCCGAAGCGTTCAGTGAGCTGCTCGACCAGGGTCACGGCAACATAATAGGTAGCGATGTGCACAGCGTCCGCGACGCCAAGGATTACAAGGGACCGTTCAGTCGACAAGGGGAGGCAAGCATCCGAAGCGTTGAGGCGCGCACCCGAAGCCTCCTGGATCTCGCGGATACGGCTACCACCCTTGCCAATGATCGAGCCAATGAGGATATGAGGGATTAGCAAACGCAAGGGGTACGTCTTGGACTGGGCTGTAGAAGGGGCATCAAGGGGCTCGTTGTTCAAGGTACGGATGATCAGACCGAAAGCCTAGCGTCGAGTTAGTATATCTGAGTCCAATCCGCAAGAATCACACCTGGTGAAATGTCCACCAACCTTAGCAGCAGCATCCTGGGGGCCGCTGACGGTCAAGATACGCTCGACTGCCCCCCGGGAGTAATCGCTGACAGTGCACTTGGCTCCGGACAGACGACGGATTTGGGATACATTCTCACCACCCTTACCGATGACGGTCGCAGCCTCCTGGCTGGAGATTACAGCACGAATGTGAATCCAGCTAGACTCGTCCTGAGGGCGCTGCTCAGACTGGGCGGCAGCCGACTCGCCGTGAGAGGCGGTCGACTGAATAGGTTGGGTCTCAGAGGAAGCTCCCTTAGCATTAGGAGCGTCAGGGACCACGGTATCACCTTGACCATCAGCGTTGGCGCTGGCAGCCCCTGCAGCGTCCGTCTTCACCTCGGTATACGCCTCGGAATCCTCGCCCTTTACTACTTTGTCCAAAGCCGGACGCTTGGCCTCTGGCTGATCATTGGGACCCGACGGCGAGGAAGGGTCTTCCAAGGGACGCTTGGTCGATTGCAACGCGGACGGAGAGGCAGACATGATTTTGTATGCCAAAGCTTTCGCAGTCTTGCTTGCTTCACTTACACAAAAAGTCGAAGTGTCAAGGATAGCTCTTGTTTGTTTTTTTCTTTTGTCTTCTGCTTTATGAGATCGACTATGTACACCAGGAGTTCCCAATAAAACTTGCTGGTGCTGGCGATCGGGTGAAGAGGGAATCTGGTGCTTGGAATGATTGGGATGACTGGTGTAATCGTGTGCACAGGGCGGGAAAGTGAGGTTGGAAAGGAGAGTCGACGGAGGAAAGTGTGGGAGGATGCTGGGTTGTCACGGGCCTTGGATTGGAGCAAGAAGCTTCACCAGAGCGAGATAGTGGCAAGGTAGAGGAATGAAGGAAAAGTAACCAATCGAATCGGGCACGATGGAACGAAGCAAGAGGTGTTGGTGCTGGACGGTGACGAGGTGTGTTCAGGGTCCAGGCGAGCTTAGATGCTGGAGATGGACAACGGTGGGGGAGGGAAAGGGAAGAAATGGAAGCAAGAATTAAGCCTGAAACAATTCCCAAAGTCCCAATTTCTCCTTGTTTTCCTGCGAGAAAATGCGATTTGTTCAAATGCGCAGGCTGTATGTACGTACAGCACGTCGGTTACCCAATGGCCTGCGGGGGAGTCTAGCACAGGAGGGTGAACGAAGGCGGATGAGTAGATGAAGTAGTCGAAAGCAGCCGATCGAACTTCACAGCTGTCGTGAAGACGGGGATGCCAAAGAGAGGTGATAAGGGGGAGTCGATGGAGAGCAACAGGGGATGCGATGTCGCGGTGAAGAGATGAAGTTGCGGGAGTTGGTGAGGCGAGCTGTTGGCACGAGACGCGCTAATCCACTTCCGGTCAAGCCGGTCACCTTCCGGTCTCACGTGTTCGGGCATCGACAACCATTGCTATGCCATTGTATATCAAGTCTGTTGACAGGTCATAATATTTCGGGCGAGCGCGCCAGACCAGAATTTCATCAATCTCCATTGAGTCTTACTCTGGCGCGTGCAAAGAATCTTGAAAGATCCTTAGCCTACGCGGTCGCCATTGCTGATAACAACCGCAATGGACATCCCACAGGACCGCGTCGATAAAATCCAGCGCTTTGCAGAAAAGCGCCAACAAACAGAGGAAAACTATGCGAAGCAGCCGCTGAGTTCAGCTAGCATTGAGGCCTACAATAGAAGACTGGACGAAACCTTACGAGAGCTTCAAGACCAAGTCAGGCGGCAAGAAGATGAACTGCGCAGGGTGCGTATCGTCACTAATACAACCAACCAGACATTAGCTGACACGCGGCCCAGCTACGCGAGATCAACTCCATTGATTTGTCCAAGATTGGTACCAACACCTGGTCTCGAGTATCACAGGTGCGCAGGGCCCAGAAAGCGTATGATTCTCTGCTGAAGTCCGAGACGGAATTCCCGCCGCTTGGTTCTCCGCTACCGTCTTTACTTGCGCTTGAGGAGACATCCCGCCTGGTCAAGGAGACCAAAGTCGCCGCCACGTTGACGGGCGAAAACCTCTCCGCCGCCCGTCAACGGCTGAAGACAGAAGAAGCCAACTTGCGCGACGCGCAAGCCATCAGAGATGGGTTACAGCGTCGGATCCAAAGCGTAACGAGTCAGAATGCCCAAAAGGAGAAGAAGGCAACCTCCCAGTTAGCAAGGGAACTCATTGAGAAGAAGCAACGGGAAAATGACAGGCTCGATCAGGCAACGGAGGATACGAAAACCAATTTGTACGAATTCATTGATCGATCTCTTGCATCAATGCTTGCTGCGGAAGCCCTCGGGGGGCCAACTGTGGGCGATGCGTTGAATGTACCTGACGCTACTTTGGAGTTGGGCTACACTAGCCATGGCAAGCCCAAGAAGCCGAAGGTACAGACGGAAACAACTGACACAGACACCAGTCAACGTCGGATCGATCAGATCCTGCCTCGACAGAACGAGCAAGGAAGGTCCTCCAACCGGAGAGAGGCGGCGGCTCTTGAGATGCGCAATCTCCTTGATGCTTTACTGGAGGCAAGCCCCTCGTATGTGGATGTTCGAGAGTCTGCCGCATCCAGATTTTTAGTAAGAGCGAAAGTGGCTCAATTTCACCCACGCGACGCCAGAAGATTGCGATTGATTGACTTTGGACGCACCCTATAGACTTTCTGCATTTGTCCAGTCCCAGTGGCGGTCGCATTGTTCCGCAGGTTCTATATAGTACTATAATCGAAGGACCATATGCGCCTATTACACTGACCATGTTAATGCTCACGAGGCTCCCAAAAGTAACGCCTATACATGCACTAATCGCAATTGAACAACAATTACACCACCGCTCATATATCATAAAGCTGTCATCAGTCGCTAAATCCCAGATGTACGCGGAAAAAAGATCTCAGATAGGCATCATCCCAATACGGCTCGGTGCTTGCTTCGGCTTGGAAGGTTTTCGAGCAGAAGAAGAGCGGTTTTCGGCACGATCACTGGACTTCTTCCGAGTCGCCGCCGTTCTCGTTTTGGCTTTCGCTCCTGTATTATAGCGACGTGGACGCTTGCTTGGTTGGCGTTTTCGTGGTTTGCCTTTGCCAGACCCTTCGCCACCATTTCGAGATTCTTCAGGAGAATGGCCGCTTTGCTGTGTTGAGAAGAACTTGCTAGAAACGACGCTCTCGTCCATATCGAAGTTAGACGCATGGTCTGCGAAGAATCCACCGTCGCTGAACTCATCCTCATCATCACTGCTATTGAGGTAGATAACATTGTGATGATTCGGGTCGGGCACAACACCATCCGCATCATCACGTTCCTTTTTCAACTCATCATATCGGCGCTGTGTATCCCTGACAAGTTTCAACAATTGAGGGCCGTAGCGAATGACTTTGTCCGGGTCAATTCCTGGGATTGCGGCAAGTTCTGCGAGGTCTAGGCATTGGTCAGCTCTGGTCTTCATTGTAATGCCGATAATCTTTACCTTTGGGAAAGACGATGACCATCTCACGCAAGATAGTATCAGTGAATGGTTGGTTGCGTAAACCTTTCTGAAGAACCAACTAGAGAATCTGTCAGTGGCTGTCATAGTTTTGCCCTACAGGGATGCCATGGGTCTCACATCTTGGCAATAATTTTTCGCGTAGACCATGAAATCTTCCGCAACTGCCTTGTGAAGAGGGTCAAGCCGATCAAACCGACGATCTTGAGTGATTGGTGGGCCGGGAGTGCGCTTCTTATCCGGGCGCGACCTGCCAGCAACACGAATTTTCTCGAACCCATCACTGTCACTGTCATCGTCGGTGGTGTCATCGCCGGGCCCTTGATATTGGAAACGGGCGAGTCGGCGCTGATTAGCTGCCTGTACAGGTGATGAGACATTCGTAGATTGAGGTGCGTTCTCCTTGCTCGCACCAGCTCTAGACCCTCGTGTAGATCGTCCACCCTTCGCACTCGGTGAGACTCGCACATCAAGCTTCAGTTTAACTCGACCATTCTCGTAATCAGTCGCACGCGACCCCAGCTTGATGTACTGGATAACAAATTTGCTACCATTGATCACATTGTCCTCTTTCAAAGCTCCCTCTCTGAGCAGGGTGTGGAACAACCGTTCAGCTTCGCCCACCGCTACGCCCTTTCCATCTCCATAGCCAGGGGCCTTGCGGTGTTGCGGCGACCTAAACTTCTTCACGGTTCCTCTGAACATGTTCTCGCAATAAGACATGGTAACTTTGTCTCCTAACTCCTGGAAGTAACGAACGAGTTTTATCACAGAAGCGGCGTGGTGGGAAAAATCATGAAGTTCAGTAACAGAGTCGGACTTGCAGTTGTCGCAAGAAGCGTTGCAATCCTGTCGACGAAACTTTTCGTTAAAATAGCCGAGGATTTGCACACGTCTGCAGTCGGTCTGGTTCTCGCAATACTGTACGACCATGCGTAACATAAGGCGTTGTCTGTCCTTCTGTTGCTTGTTTCCATCGCTATTCTCGATCATGCGGAAGAGACTCGTAGTATCTTTGTAGGTATAGAACAAGTAGCAACCAGACCGCTTGCCATCCCGGCCGGCCCGTCCAGTTTCCTGATAGTAGCCTTCCAAGCTCTTCGGAATGCTATGATGTATCACAAAGCGTACATCAGGTTTATCGATACCCATCCCAAAAGCGATGGTGGCAACAATGACGTGCGTCCTTCCAGCTTGCCAGGCTTGTTGGACCTCAGCGCGATCTTCGGTACTCATGCCAGCGTGATAATGAGCGGCTTTGATTCCAAAGTCTTTGCGAAGCTTTTCAGCGACAGTTTCACATGTAGTGCGCGCAAGACAATATACGATCCCTGACTTGTGGCGGTATGAAGTGTTTATGATATCAGCCATGCTGGACAGGAGCTCAGATCCCTTTTGCTTATTCCGCACCTCATAGGACAAGTTCGGTCTGTTGAAGCTCTGGATCAATACTTCGCATCCATCCATTTGCAAGTTGTGGATAACGTCGAGTTTGACATTTTCAGTTGCTGTGGCTGTCAACGCCATCATCGGAACTCCGGGGAGTCGAGTTCTGAGTTCGCCAAGTTCTTTATAATCAGGACGAAAGTCATGTCCCCATTGACTGACACAGTGGGCCTCGTCGATGACGATACGTGCAAGCCTGCGATTTTTCCTGAGCTGCTCTAGACTGCGAACAATGGCTTGGCTTTTGTTGACCATCTCAGGAGTGATGTAAAGCAGCTCAATTTCGCTCTCGGGCCTCAAGTCAGACAGGACGCCTAGTACCCACTGGCGCTCGTCTTTCTTCGTTTCGCCATTCAGGACATATGCCTTTATGCCAAGTTTCTTGAGATGTGAAACTTGGTCTTGCATCAGACTCAGAAGCGGTGATATCACGATGGTGACGCCTCTTGTCGTTCCGCTCGAAACCACAGAAGGTAGTTGATAACACAGAGACTTGCCGCCTCCCGTGGGCATTAATACGAACACATCTTTGCCACTAAGTGTAGCATCGATTGCCTCGAGCTGATTGAGACGAAACCCTTGAAGCCCGAAGCGATCCCTCAACGCAGCTTTCACATCTTTCGACCATGCATGCTGTGTCCAGAGGGTGTTCTGGCTTTGTTGCTTCTGCGACGCCGGAAGACGCGGAGTATTCCCTGAGGTTTCAGCAAAGACCTTGCGATTCTGGAGCTCGAATCGTTCGCGGGAATGTGCAGGGCGATCTTCGAAATATTCCGCAGCTTCTAGCATGTCCTCGTCGTCCAGATCAAACTCATCCATGATCTCTGTGGCAACGGTTGGAGATCCCATCGTTCTCGTGAACGCATCTTCGTCGGTCAACATTGCCGAATCGTCGTAATCAAAGATTCCGCGTCTCGATGTTTCGTTAATAGGCTTGGGCGGGGGATTAGACACACGTGTGGAGATGTCGGAACGCGCGCCGTTGTAGTCTATTGTCGATCGCGATGATGGTTTCAAAACTGATTCCCCAGGGGCTTTCGTGATACTGGTTTGAACATGATCTATTGAAGACGTGGCAAGAGGTGAATGCGAGAATGAAGTTGACTGTTCGAGACCAATTCTAGAAGTACCATCGTGCAGCGAGTCAAGAAACGATAGAATGTCAGTCCGTTTCAGCGTACGCTGCATATCAGCTTCTATTCTCTCTAGTTGGGCGGTCAATTGCCGGCTTTCTGCAAGTTCTGGCATCGCGTGCGGATCACCACCTAGGGAAATGGCCTTCATCAGCGTCTTTTTCAAGGACTGCCTCTTTGTGTCACATGAAAAGTAGGCAGCCCTGTTCTGTTTCAAGACCCCAACAGCCTCAATCTTTTCGGTAAGGGATTTGTTCTCGACAATCAATTCCGGTGCCGGTTCTCCCTTCATTGCTCGCTCATACACAACCTCGGAGTTCTTAGTGAGGGTATCTTTAAATGTCGAAATCAGCCCTTCGATTGAAGCTGCAGAGGAAGACAGAAACCTTGCTACATCTTTGTCAAGGGTCACAGATGGTGATGAATCCGCAGTTGCGGGTATGTGCGACGGGTGTTGCGAGCTGGCAAAGTTCCGTGAGGTGGAAGGAACAACTTCTGTTTTACCAGATGAGGAGTTGGCATATATTGGTTTCCGAGCAATACGCTCAGGGGAGTTGGTGTCCGGAGCGTCAACTTTTGGCAATATCGGATACAGGGACTCGTCGGGGTCCGGACCAATATTATCCTTAGCTTCCCAGTCGTCGAATAGCGCGTCGTCACCATCTTCATCGGAGTCAGCAATGACTTGACTCAAGGTTCGAGAAGGCGTGCTTTCAGAACGATCCATCGCATGCTGTGACAATCGCTTAGGTGGGGAAGGTGATGAAGCAGGCTGAAGATGTTCCGCAGTTCGAGCAACCTTCAATGGTGAGCGCGCTTTAGGGGCAGCCGACTTCCTCGGCGAGAGAAGATCCGACATATAATCATCACTTTTTCGCTTCTTCCCACGCTTCTCGGGAGAGCTTCCCCGAGCTGCAGCCTTTTCACTCCATAGCTGCTTGGGCTCACTGAAGCCGTCAGCGGTGCTTGACGAAAAGGCAATTGGGTCGACATCCCCAGTCAAGTCAATCGTATCCACATCGAAGTCGGAGATTGGCGATTGAAGTTCGAACTTTTGTTTCGAGCTGAAAGGCGTCACGGATGTCTTTTTCGGACTGCGGACTGAGGAGGGAGGGACACTCTGTGATGCTATGGAGCGTAAGTAGCCCGGAAGTGTGGTAAGCAGTGGGCAAATTATTGAGCATACCTTTGATTGACTTGGGCGCAGCGTCAAGCTCTGGAGCCAGTGCCTCTGCAGCTCGGCCATGCTTTGACGAGTTTGGAGTTCTCTTGAGAGGCTGCTGAGAGAGGCAGAGCATCCGCGGTTTGCGCCCAGACCCCGGAGTAAGTGCTAGGCGTGCCATTTCTTCCGAATCGGAGTCTATCTCCACATCATCGCTAAAACTGTTTATGCCTGCCGCACCACGAGTAGGTTGCGAGTCACCTATTGCTAATGGGCCATCTGTCTGGGTAGTTGAGGTAGGCAATGTCGCGACTGCGGAGACGGGGAGAGCGCTCCGGGTACTAGCGGTGTTGTTTTGATACTCGTGCTCGGACGAAACCAGAGAGGGGTAGAGTGCAGGACCTTGCTGCAACAGCCATTTGAGATGAGCTGTCAGGTTGTTTTTAGTCATAGGGCCGTGCTCTTTCTCGCATGATTCTCTCAGTGGTCGTGAACATAACAATCGCGATGGGGGGTTCTGGCGCCAAGATCAAAAACCATTGATATGGAACCACAGCATTGAGACGGGCAATATTCCGACGCGTCTCCGCGCGTCGTCACGTGGGCGGTGACAGACACCGCTGAGGCATCGGTATTTGACTGGTACGCATCTGGTAATTCCAGCACATATGTCAATAATGTGTGCTCGTCTCTCTCCAACCTGGCCCAATCAAGCTGCCCTTGAACCAAGGGTCTTGTATTTCAAAGAACTTAGTACTTTACTCTTATATACCCCACTACCTCAGGGACTATGAAGCATACGAAATCCAAGAATATGTACAAGTTACACGTCTCCAAGGAGCCATGTAAAGCTATTACTAGTCCTGGTAACATGAAGAGGGGCCCGCCAATGGATCAACGATCTTTTTTTTCTTGGGCCCGAGGAAGCCCCGCGCTATAGAAGAAAGATTGACCCCAAGCCACTATCGATAAGGAAGAAGATTTTAGTGGGTGTCATTATCGGCCACCTTGGACCAAGCAAGACCGAGGACAAGGTTCACCTCCAACACAATCTAGTCGGGGCCAGTTAGAATCAGCATCATGGGCAAGAAGAACAAGAAGTCTGCCGAGCACAAGGAGCGGGTAGCAGCGAAACAGTCGAAAAAGGCTGACAAGAAAGAAAAGAGAGGCAAGGGCAAGGGTAAGGATGCAGACAGTGATGCTGAAGATGCCGACTTGGATGCCATCCTTGCCCAGTATGCAGAGGAGCAAGCCAGATTCCTGAAGGTCACGGAGGTCGTCAGTGATCCTCCTACTCCGCGCTCGTCCGCTACCGTACTGGCTTCCCCGTCGAACCAGAACGAGCTTCTGGTCTTCGGCGGAGAGTATTTCGATGGCAATCTGGCTACCTTCTTCAACAACCTTTTCGTTTACAACATCAATCGGGGGGAGTGGAAAGAGATCAACAGTCCCAATAGTCCTCTGCCTCGGAGTGGACATGCATGGTGCCGTGGCGGCAACACTGGAGGTGTCTACTTATTTGGAGGTAAGCGATCTTGGTAGTTCAAAGCGGGCTCAGTGGATTAATCTCTCGTCTCCAGGAGAATTCTCCTCTCCAAAGCAGGGTACTTTCTATCACTACAATGATTTCTGGCACCTTGATCCTTCCACCAGAGAGTGGACCCGTCTGGAAATCAAGGGCAAGGGCCCTCCGGCTAGAAGTGGCCACCGGATGACTTACTACAAGGTTAGTGACATCCAAGGTATCGTCAAGGTGTCAGACGCTTACATTCATGAAGAACTACATCATCTTGTTTGGAGGATTCCAAGATACCTCGCAGCAGACCAAATACCTTCAGGACCTGTGGATCTACGATTGCTCAAATTACACTTGGTTCAGTCCCAATCTTTCAGTGGCTTCGCAGAAACCTGATCCCCGTTCATCTTTCTCTTTCCTGCCACACGACACAGGTGCCGTTCTTTATGGCGGCTATTCCCGGGTCAAAGTCAGCGCTGGCAACAGTGGAAAACCCGTGAAGAGTGGCCCTCAACGGATGACGATGAAGCCTATGGTTCATCAGGATACTTGGTTCCTCCGAATCACACCTCCTCCTGCTGATGCTCCGGCTTCTACGCTCCCGACAGTACGCTGGGAGCGAAGGAAGAAGCCAGCTAACTCACCCAACCCGCCTCGTGCTGGTGCCACCATGGCCTACCACAAGGGGCGTGGCATCATGTTCGGCGGTGTCCATGATGTCGAACTGAGCGAGGAGGGAATTGACAGCGAGTTCTTCGACACCATGTTTGCCTGGAATACTGACCGTAATCGTTTCTTCCCCCTTTCTCTGAGGCGGCCCCGGGCGCAAGGCAAGAAACAGGTAGCGAACCAGTTCAAGTCCCGGGACCGTAGCAAGGCTACGGAAGAGGAACTTCTGCAGAATTTGAAAGCCCTGGAAGCCAAGGGCGGCGTTCGGGATTTGGACGACGATGACGAATTGCAGTTGACATCCAAGGCCGACGAAGAGCCAGCCCAGCCAGAGAAACCCTCTGTGGTGCGATTCGAGATGCCCCATCAACGATTCAATGCGCAGTTGGCGGTGCAAGACGACACTCTTTTCATCTTTGGTGGAACCTTTGAGAAGGGCGACCGGGAATTCACGTTCAACGATCTGTACTCAATTGACCTGGTCAAGCTCGATGGAGTGAAGGAGATTTACTATAACGAACCTGACAATTGGCATCTGCTCAACGAAGCGGAGAGCGATGACGAGATGGATGAAGATGAGGAGGACGACCTTGATGAAGAGGATGAAGGAGATGAAGACGCGATGTCCCTCGACACTGCCTCTCCTGCGCCGACTGAAGCTACCGTTCCATCGGTGACTAAAGAACTGGAACAATTGGAGGTGGAAGAGCAGGAGTCGGAGCCATCAGTTCAGGACAGCAGACCCCTTCCTCGTCCCTTCGAGAGCTTGCGTGAATTCTTCAGCCGGACGTCGGAAGAATGGCAGAAGATCCTGATGGATACCTTGAAAGAGAAAGGCATGGCATTGGACAAAAACATCAAAGAACTTCGCAAAGATGCGTTCAACATGGCAGAGGAGAAATGGTGGGATAGCAGAGAAGAGATCATGGCTCTGGAAGACGAGCAAGAGGAGGCTGGTATTGGTGAGGTGGTCAGCATTGCTGATAGAGCAGACAATGCCGGCGGCGCTGGCAGACGCAGGTAATCTTGGTTGAAAAGCTTATTAGAATACTCAAAACATCGATGTTCTTCAATGCAACTTTATGATTTTTCGGAGCTCGTTTTGGCTTCCTCAAGTTTGAGTGATGTATGCATTCTTGACAGCGGACTGCCTCCGATATAAGCTCTGGCAGGATACACTTATGTCCATTGAGAGCTCTAATCGCCGTGCCATCTCCGTGATCGAGGGCAATGGTTGAGGTTGTTAAGTCCGTGGCTGGAGCGTCATGACCAGCTGGTTACCCAATTGGGAATAGCGTCGGAGTTGCAGATGATGTCGCTGACTGTTTGTATGTTTATATGTTTGTATTTCCCGCCCCGCCTGTCGGAGGATCAATCATCTTCAGCTCCCATATTCAAGCATTAGTTTGACGCTGACTTATGTCTGATACTTGATGCTTTTTTTCTTCTCACTTTGGTATGCTCTGTCAATGGACTATGGTAATAATAACTACGCTTGTTCTCGACGGCTTTCCTTTACAGCTACGGCATCAACTTCATCATGATCGTTTTGCGCCTAACTTTCATACATGCTACTTCTGCAAATCATCCTTGCATTGCTGCTATAATTCGACATCATATTGGTCTCAGTCATTTTGAATAATATTGATCAGTTTTTTAAAGTATGTTATCAAATGGAATTTCCGTCCCCGAAGAAAAGTGAGACCCAGAAAGGGCTGCGCTGCCCTGTTCCAGAAGCCTGGGATCAGGAACCGGCATCATTTCTGATGTATTCTGTTCTGAAAGCCAATCAAGAACCGGCATAAGTCCTGATGCGCCCTGTCCCAGGTGGCTTGGATCAGGAACCGGTGGATCAGGAACCGGCATCGTTCCTGGAGCGACATCGTCAACAGCTCGCCTCGGGCACATGCGCACATGGTTTTCCCAAGCAACTGGGAAGATCTTGGCCCTATTACAAGCGTTACAGTAAAGATAGACACAGTTTTGACTGTCGTTCAAGCTCCGTCAGCGGCACAGAAGCCGCGCAAGCATTGCAATAACCGAAAGTACCCTCAACCCGCTTCGAACATGTGCAGACATGGCTTTCCCAAGCACCCGTATGGATCTTGGCCGTCTTGTATGCGTCACAGTAAAGAAAGATACGTTCCCGACGGTGTTGCTCAAGCTCCGTCAGCGGCACAGAAGTCGCGCAAGCATTGCAACGACCGAGCGTAGGCTCATACCCCTCAGGCTTAGCGACTAAAGCTCGGAGTCTTTGCTTGCTTTTGTTCTTTTTAGAGGATCCGCACGTTCGTAAATGCGATTTCAGTTCAGCGGAGGGGAGTCGGTAGCGGTGGCAAAAGTAGCATCGGAAAAAGGCACACTCGCGGCGGTGCTGCATTTCTTCTGTCCGCGGGAAGATTGGTCTGCACCCCGGGCACATCCAATGCGTGTCCGCCGCGTCCAGATATCGCTTCAAGAATTTCTGCGCACGCGTGGTGTTGAGGTGTTCTGCGTCCATCTCGCGGTACTTGGCTCGCGTGCTCGGGTAGCGTTGGATATGCTGCACGAGCTCGGTCCTGCTCCCCTTGACATTGTCTTTGCCACATGCGAGGCATCTATGGCACTTCACTGGCTGCGTTGGCTCGACAATGTGGAAGTTGCTCCGGAGCTCGGTTTTTTGAGCCTTGGTCCACGTCACCACTTCCAAGGAAGCTCTCGGATCCGCTGAGTTCTCCGCTGCAATACGCTTCTCTGCGTTCGCGGAGCAGCATTTCACGTGCCGTCTGATGCAACTCGCGTGGTCAGCTACGATATCTCCACAGACAAGACACTTTAGTTGTCGCGAATAGCACTGGAGTCCAGCGCCGCCGATTATCTGAAAGTTCTTGCGAAGGTCAGGATTGTACCTTCCACGGGACTTGGCGGCACACTCTGCGGTGGATGGATCTTCAGACATCGCTTTCGCTTCTTGCTAGTGCGTCAACTTGAGACGTTGTCGTGTAAGCTTGATATAACACGAAGCCTAAACGCAAGACTCTGTCAAGTGTCATGGCTAAAGTGAGAACGATAATAGAAGGAGTAACCAGGTATTTATAACGACAGAAATCCATGTCTGATGCTTTCACTTCACTTTCCCCATTAAAGGATATCTCCGGGTGATGAACCGATCATGGCAGAGTTCGTGAAGATCAGCTGCAAGAGGCTAACCCCCACAACAGTCATTAACCTGAGTCTGCTTCTCATTCAGCTGTCGACGTGGTGAAGATCGACTGTAATCCTTTCAAGATACACGAAATATGTTATGGCAGAAATCTTTCTGAAATAGGTTTCGAAAGGGAGATTATCGCTACCCGGCAGTGATCTATTTGTCTTGGTCACTTCTTAGTCGTTCAGCGGAGTCCGCTTTGTTGCTATCAAGAGCTATTCCATGATGATATCAGTAGTGAGAGAATATTATCGCTTCATATCTCGATTTTCTCCTGCACCTGCTTCCTCTTCAAGTGATCGATTACCGGCTGCCTGTTGGCTTCATTGATAATATCCTTCAGTGACTGTCGAGAAAACAAGACAGTATTGTTAAAATATATCTGAGAAAATCTCTTGCGGTTCTGCCAACAATCACTAACAAGAAAGGTATTTCCTACGAGCAATGATTCAGAGGATTTGGTGTAGTTCTGATGGCCTAAGTCTGCTTGGGTTCATATCATGTGTTTGTAATGCCGTGATAACTCGTCGTACGTGCTATTCTATGTATTCTGGAGCTCTACCTATACCCTTTTTTAGCTGTTGGTGGAAGTCAGAGTAGTAAATGGCTAGTTGGGAAGATACGTATTGTTTGATTGATACATCTGTACATTGCATGGTTTATCTAAGGTCTTTGCATTTTCAAGTTAAAGATGCTAGGAAGTGTTGAGAGAGCTGCGCCCTCCTGGCCGGATTGTACTGTAGATAATCAGCCAGAGTCAGGATTCATTCTTCGGAAATCATATTTGTTTTCCCAAAGCATATTGGTACCTTTAAGGGTTCAATGAGTGTTCAATGATCTTATAGCAGTATTGAACATTGGCGGCGGTCCTCATGAGACACAGATATCATGATCTGAAGCACTATAACCATTTAGCGAGTTGTGCCAAAAAGCCATCGACAGGAAAGATCGTACGCAGATGGTCGTCCTTCAACTTGTTCAAGTGGTCCACCTCGTCTCCCTCGCCTGAAGTGTCCACCTCGCTTAAGCTACTCAGGTCGCTCAGGTCGCTTAGCTCGAGGCCACGCTGCTCCTCCCCTGACACCTGCTCCTTGTGGTCAGAGTTTGTCAACAGATGACCTTGACCGCGGCGGGCTCGACATTTCTGGGCATGATCGCCTTGTCGACCTGCAGGGATTCGTGGTTGATGGCATAATCGACAACGCACGAAAGCACACCGTTTGAGATGTAGGTTGCGGTATGTCCATGTGCAATAATCCAAGCATCTATAGCATCTCCACATCAAGCAGGATTTCTTGTGCTCCTTGAACTCACTGGGAGTGAACCCGCGTCGGCCGCAATAAGTACAGCGGCGGCAGATCTTTTTGCAGTCCTTCATATGCGGCTCGAACGAGGCCATGCCCACCTCTGTGCCACAACCATAGCAAGTGAGCTTTCCAGGGGTGGCGTCAGGGCACTCGAGGTCGCGCCATGGGCATTGGCGCCGGTGCGCAGGCAGCTCCGAGTGGAGGATCGTCTCCTTGCAGCCGATGTTGTCGCAGGACCGACTGGCACCCAGCTTATACCAAGTATCTTCCAGGCCGGGACCGGGGCACATGATGAGGTGTCGTTCGAGGACGATTTTGCGTTGCGATCGAATCATCAGATCCCATGGTAGCTGCAGTTTCTCACCGCAGAGACGGCACATGGTGCGCTGCGCTGCTATTTCGCCGCCCGGAACCTCCTCGTCCTCGTCGTCCTCCTCAACGCCTCCCTCGATCCGGAAATACCCACGGGTCCGCTCAATGCGAGGCCGCTCAGCCACCGAGTGGGAAAAATGCTTCTCGACATACTCCCGCACGAAGGGTCGGTCCACTTCACCAGCAGCCCGCGGCTGGCGGCACCGAGCGAGCAATGCCGGGCATTGCCGGATGTGTCCTAAGAGGCCGGTTCTTGCCCAGTCAGCAAGCAGATGACCGCAGTCCGGACACTGGGGGACTTCGTCTTCGATGAGATAAAGGCTGCGCAGCTCCGCTAGTTGGGCTTGCGTCCAGCGGTCCACCCAGCGAGTCTCGTGCTTGTTCCTACTGCAGTTATCCTTCATATGCCGGTTCAGTTGTGACACGTTGTTTTTCATGTTGCCACCGCAAATGAGGCAACAAACCTTTGCTCCTGTGCTGCTAAGGATCTGGAAACGATGCCGAGCCTCTTCCTTGCACTGGACTTCTCCTGTAGGGCTCACTCTTGGCAGTTTTCGTTTCGGCTGAACGGGCTTTTGTTTTTTAGGCATGGCTACTGGATCTGTTCGCGAGAGTGGCTGCTTGGGGTTCAGAGATCTCCAGATAAGCGACAAGATTGGAACTGAACATGCGTTCTGATGATAGCTTGTGTTTCGTGGTGAGAGGATTACCCAAAGGAGCGTCGGGGTTGGAAGATTGAGTCTGATATATGTCTCGCTCCGGCTACTGAGAAGGCAAGTCCCTGGCAATCTTTTGACTCTCAATTCGACTTGAAGAGAAACTCCTGAAATAATACCGGGGTTTTTATTCACCATCACACGCCTTTCGTCAAGAATAAAAAAGGTTAGTTCTCTAGGAGCTTTTTACAACTACAGACTGAGATCAACGATATATATCTCGGAGGTCGTTTCGATTGTGATTGAGCTTAGCATACTACATCCCAAGCCTGCTGCGAGGCTATTCTGGATCTCCAACGGCCGTCTTAGCCATCCAACACATACGAGCCGCAGTAGACTACTTCATCCTGTCCATCTTATACCCTTACATAGGTCGTACAAGTTCAAAATCGTCTATTTTTTCCGAAAAATATCTTCAATAAAATCACGGAGTACAGTACATACACCATACCCCTAGATCTACAGCTAACCACCTACTCACCCAGCGACGAGCCCTCATCCACCTCAGTTCCAGGTGCCTGTGCCTGCACCTGTACCTGCACCTGCACCCGCTGCCGCTGCCGCGAAGAAGACCTAACACCAACACCACCCCGACAAAACCTCAGATGCCTCCTCATCAACTCGGGCCTCCCGCCCATAACAGCGCGACAAGCGCGACAACGCGCCTGCCGCGAATTCCTCTTCAGCCCCATGGCAAAATGCTCAAGAAGCCCCCGCTCGTCCTCCTCCCAATTCCCAACCCTCGCAGGACAGCACTTATTATGGCCGCGCAACGTGTGCACCAAGTCCTGGACGGCCGACCCGCAAGAGCGACAGGTCGCACGGCGTTCGTTCGGTTTCCCGGTCCCGGATATCTCGAAACCTTTGCGGACAGTCGCGGGGTCTTCGCACCACGGAGCCCGGGTTTGGGTGGGATAAGGGGTGTAAGCGTAGCTACTGCTGCTGGGGCTGGGGCTGGTGCTGGGGCTGGTGCTGGTGCTGGTGGCATGTAACTTGCGTTGGGGGTGGGGTAGAAGAGCGTCGTCGTCCGCTTCTTCTTCTGTCTTCGTCACTTCAGCCGGCTTATCCACTACCATCTCGTCTTCAATCTGCTTCAATAATTGCTGTTCCTGCTCTTCTAGTAATGCGATAGCGCCTACGGCGGCGGCGACTAGCCCTCTTACGCCGGATTCTCGGCCAGGGCAGTAGCGGAGATGGTCGCGCAGGAGCGGAAGCGGAAGGGTATCGGCATCGTTCTGCGTGGCGAAGCAGGTCACTGTCACCAGGCAGGCGCGGCATTCGTACTCCAGCTGACGACGGCCTGGGGGCCCCTCGACGCTGCGGGCCTCGTAATACTCGTCTTCCCAGGTCTTCCGGTTGGTTTCGGAGAGCGGTTCGGACATTTTGTCTGTCTGTTTGTAACGCTGTGACTGTGTTTAGTTGTCTGCGTGAGATAGAGAGGCGGAGAGAGAGCAAAAGGTGTCAGTGCCGCTTTGGGTATCATAGTGACTTGGGTATTTGCTGGGATTCCGAGTGCTCTTATATATCTTGTAACTGAGGGGAGTTGTCAGTTGGTATTCATTGTTGGGGAGATGAGTTTTTTTATGGGGTTAGCGACTACAGAAAAGGAACAAGGGTATGTCTTTGAGAAAGAAGGAGATTATCGGGAAGAGGACGAGAGGTAGCCGCTGGACGCTTTCTTGTGAAAGGGAGGTCATATCCCTATATCCCAGCCGTCGGCAGGTCGGGTCGTTCGTGGTCGCAATAGTTTATGTCAATAAAGGATTGACTGGCCGAGGCCGAATTCGCTGAGGAACACTGTACCACACACGTTGTGCTCGATATGAAAGTAAGACAATGAATTATATACAGATACCCCGGGATGTTTGAAGCAAATCTAGCAGGAGAGAGAAGCAAGCACCAAACGCCCGCATCTTCACACCCACCGGCCGCAACATGGTATAATGAACTAGTTAAACACGCAATGAGGCAAGAAAAAGAAAAGGAATCAGAGAACGTAGCTCAGAAGTGCCTGAGCCTTGACTACCGTGGCAATGTGCCACGGTAAGGTACCCTGCTGCACCGCTCGAGTGCCCCGAGCCCGAGCCAGACTGGCAAGATCTCGGTACATGCTTAGGATATCTCGGAGGAGGGCGTCGTAGGAAGTCGACGGACGCCGCGTGTAGATGACGTTAGCGCCCATGGTAAATACCCCGTCTCCGTCGGTGGAGCCTCGCCTGCGGAGGAGATATCCGCTGGCCAGCGCGGGCCGATACTCAGTTTGATGCATAGAGCTGTTGAGCCGGTGCGACAGGACGACGCCCCACGTCTCGTCGCATATGTCCATGAGGAGGGATTCGGACTCGATTTCAGGATTGGTTTCTGCTGTCGGGGTGGGCGCGTTGAGAGGCGCATTAGCTCCGCTGGGAGGGGTGGGCGCCGTGCTGATTTGGTCGGGTGACGAAATGCTAGGATTCGGCGTAGCGATCGGCGAGGTTGATGCGAGGGGGTTGACGGCGCTCATTGTCAAGGGCAAGAAAGGTGGCTCGAGTGTAAGATCGGGCGTAGTGCTGACACTCAGGATCGTCAAATCCAGATTTGTTGATCGGGACTTATTGTACTGCTCTGTAAAGTTTGTCCAGGCTGGGAACCGTCAGTAACCATGCGAAACAGCTTGCAGTGGCACACTCACAGTCAATTTCCTCCTGATCTATAGGATCCGTGTTGGCGACAACAACCCGCCAGCGCGCCTGAGTCCTGTCCATGATGTCCTTCGTTGCCCCCCAGATTTCACCGCGTACTTCCGCAACACTTCGGACTGCTGACGAGTTGCGGAAGCGGAGACAATAGGACATGGTCCGCTGCAGGGCCCCCGTGTTGTCGGACCAGGCCACACTTAGCCATCTTTGGTCTTGACTTCTGGAGCACGCAATGTGGAGACATTTTCCTTCTTGCAGTGGAGAGGTCTTCTCGGATGAAAGTTTGAAGTTGATTGTCTTGGGAAGAGGTTCCGCAAGAAGCATCGGAGGTGCGCCGTTGACTAGGCTAGAATCAGGCGACTTGGGTGGGCACCGGCTGTAGACTTCAAGAGCCAGGTTCAAGTAGTCGGCTTGAGGAGGCACAACTAACGATTCGTTCGACATGAGAAAGTCAAGGGGAACAATCTGCAGTACAAGTTCATTTAGTTGCCGTGCCTGTTGCCGGTCAGCATCGGCCACATAATTCTGAAACAGACTCCAGAAGGCCGAGCAGATATCGACCAATGCTGCAGCGTGGGTAAAAGGGTTGACGATATAGACAAGGAGATTGTTATCCTTGCCGGGCGGATCCTTCAACAAAGCAGCTCCTGCACCTAGTCAGCGCCGACCTTTTTAAAAAAAATGAAGAGTTGACGTACCTAATTCTTCGCATATTGTCTTCAAGGATTGCATGATAGATGAATAGCGTTTATGTGCCAGACCAATGTCCCACGAGCCCAAGCCACGGTTGAAAAGGTTCGATCCATCCCCTCGATCGTGAACCCCCAGATTGCAGCCTGAGTATACTAAGCCAAGGCGATCTAGAAAGGTATCGGCAGCTTCTGCGGCGGTATGAGGGTGGATGCAATAAGCGAGTATGTCTTTCTGGCCGTGAGCCGGTCCTAATCCAAATGTCTCCCAGAAAGGGATCGCTGGTGGTAGTGTTTCTAGGAAATCTTTGCCTCGACAGACGCGTAGGTGTGGTGGACTGAGACGAGAAATGGTGCCTTTGCCTGTTTCCCTCCGCTGAGTAGGTTGTCGCGCCTGGGCACTGCCAGGGGCAGGAGAAAGTGCTAAATTATCCTGCAACGAGACAAAGCTATTCAGGTCGAGCCTTTCGATACCGCCCATAAACGATTGGTCGTCAACGTTCTGGGGAGAATGAGCGTCATTTTCACAGGCGGAAAGACCAATAGTACCACCATCGTACTTGTGATCCAGAGAAGATTGCGTCACTTGATCAACCAGAATCTGGGCAATTTGAATTTGCAATTCTTTCTGAAGAAGGACGGGGAAGGTTTGGTTCTGAGAAATCGAGAAGTTGCCGGCCAAGGACCAGTCGGAGAAAGTTGAAAGGAAATTGCCCAAGAAGACGGAATCCTCGGGACGTGGATTTGCTGCGTCTTGCTGCACGTTCAAGGAAGCATTTTCTGGAGACAAAGCCAACGATTTTGTGGAGTTCGAACGACTGCGTTTTCTTTTGCGCGTAGAGTACGTTGTCGGTGACGTATCGCTGTCCGACCCAGATCCTTCGCTGTCAGTACTTGCAGCGTCGCTCATCTCCGTGCCTGTAACTAGTTGCAGCATTTCCTCACCCGCAAGACTGTCGCGATCGTCGGACAGTGTGGCACCCGCACTTTTCTTCGACTTTGTACTGCGGCGAAGAAGGCCGATGGTTGGAATATCACTCTTTGTGGTGGCCGTGACGTTCGCGGAGGTATCTTTTCCGCGCATTGTAAACCAGAACTTTCCTTCAGTGCTGTATTTGTGATCCCAACCGGAAACCCCTTGCCTGAAGTGAATAGGTCGGTAATGCGCCGGCATCTGTCCGTTCTGGAGAGGTTGACTTTCGGTTTGCGGCTCGGGAAAGAGAAATTTCTTGACCTCGACAGGGCTCAATGGCGGGCTTATCGTGCCGACATTGTCTGCATGAGGCGATGATGGAGGGGTGTTCTTTTCATCCACGGGCTGTTCAGTCTGATCTTCAGCTGTCACATCCATTTTGTCTGCGTCGGGTATAAAATTCTGCGCCTCAATCATCTCTTGCACCAATTCAGGGAAGCCCTGCTCAACCGGCGTAGGCTGTACACCAAGGGGCTCTGCCTCAACAAAGTCCGGCATATCGTGAAGAGCACCTGTATGGCCCTCTTCATCCATACGATCAAAGCTTGGGTCATCAAAGAAGCTAAAGTCCGCATCTGTGATCCCTTTGGCTCCAAAATCCCTCTCGTTCATATCCCCAAATAGATCATCGTCATCGTTGGTATCGTACAGTCCAGACCCAACGGCAAGCCCTGCCGAAGGGCCAAACCCTATCGTCACATCCAGTCCAGCGCGGTCCTTACTGTGGGGTTGGCCAAAAGACATCTGTCTGGTCTGTTGAGGAAGGGTGGAATTGTTGTAGAAGTCCTCGGAAAATGCATCTGAGGAGACGGTGATAGGATTGAGTCCGGCTGTCGTGGCCCCGTCTGGCGGGGTCGGGTATACAAGACTTGCAGGTTGGATGTCTGGGTACTGTGAAGCCCGCGAAAGGCTTTCTAACCCTTCCGGCAACCCCATCGTATCGGGGGTGGGCGCATCTTGGTCTTTGGTCTCGGATTCCGGAGCAACGGATGGAGGTTTAGGGCTCGTTTCGTTAGGGCTGGGGTTCTCTAATACGTGCCACTTTTCTGCAAAGTCTAGAGGGTCATCGACAACAGCACAGACGCTTTCCATTTCACCATAGGAGTCTGAAGATGCTGATTTTGTCCTTCTGAAGCAGTAGATAGCTGGCCAAAGAATGCGCTTGAGAGGAAGCGTTGATAAGCCTCCATCGTTCGGCCGCCATGTTTCCCCAGCCAGTCTAGAGTAGAATGGTTCCCAAACTTCAACCTCCACCCATGAGTCTTCGTCGATCCCACTGATTGGAAGACCAAAATTGGCAAGCCAACCCAGTACATTGACCATCCACTGTTTGCGGTTCGCCGGGTCCGACCAATCAGCTCCCACGCCTCCTGCGCCGAACGGATAAGGCGATGAAGCCACCTTCAGACCTGGATTTGTCGTCACTAGTCTGGCGATTGACCCGCTGGGTGATAGCCACAGATCCGTACCCGTTGGAATGTCGAGGACCTCTGAAGAGTCGTCTTCGGGGTTGCAAAGTCTCATAAGACCCGGTTGTGACACGGTTTGCAACGCTACAGTCAGCTTTCCAGCCGCTATCAGTTGAAGCTGAAGCGTAGTCAGCGATGGGGCGAAAGCTAAGCTTTCATTGCTGAAGCCGATGGTCTCATCAAGATCTTTGCCATCGAGAGTGAGAAGGGTGCGTGACCCGAGTGGAACTGCGCTCGTCTGCTGTATTAACTGCAGGCTTAACGTTCCCATAAGTGCCGAGATAAATGATGCGTAGATTGTGGCGAATGGTGTAGGCGCATTCGGTCTTTGCGACCCGGCTGCACCTGCCGCATTTTGAGGCTCTGCCGAGAGATTCTTGACCAAATCTGACGAGGACACACTGCCAGAAGAGGAGACTGCACGATGAGATCAGCGCTTGCTTCCAGCACCTGAATTACACTTGCGCCGCGAAAGATGACGTACCTTTCAACGTAGTAGAGCCGACGAGCAGTCTACCGGATTCATCTTTGCCCTGACTTGCAGACACTGGGGCTAGAGACTCAAATCCCGGAGTAGGAGAAAAGGTCCATAGACAAAGCCGTCGAGGATAGCTTGAAACGAGACAATCGAGGCTTCTTAGGCGAAGCTCCAGATCTTTGAGACGGCTGAGATGTTTCAAAATGGTATAGCCATTTGCGGAAGGCTCGCCAGGAGTATTTGTAATACCAGGCTCTTCGGTATATATTCTCCAGTAAATGTGCGAGAATCCGTCCTGGAGTAGTGTTTTAGAAGGATCGTGTGAGGACACGTGCGGGCTGCGATAGACTTACAATGACGCGTATGTTTGTGACGGACCCGCCTGGAAAGTCCATGGTTTAATTAAAAAGCCCCTTGAAAATGCTGGCAGGTCTTCTAGCTAGCCAGGAACGCTTCTACCAGCGAAAGAAAATTCATTTCCAGGAGCGCATCCCCAGGTAATCATATCTCAGCGCGACAACATGGGAACTTTTGGCAGTCAGTAAATAGATCAGCTTCCTGAAGCCATCGCTTTTTGGGGGGAAGGGGATTTAAGGGTTCGCGATCAAAGTAGTACCAGAGAGAGGGATGAAGACGTAGGTATATATAGGATAAGGGGGTGTAAGTGGTCAAGAAACAAGAGCCATCAGGCAGCAGAAGAAGATACAAGAAGTAAGGAGAGCGGGAACTGGGAATTGATAATGGATGAATGGGGATGGATGGATGGATGGATGGATACGATATCAGCATTCCCGAAGAGGCGAAATGGCCGCTGATTTTCCCCAGAAGTTCCGATGGGGCCTGAGGACTCTAACTATCACTCCAACCAACCTCACAACTTAACACACCGGAGGTTGCTTCGGCCCGCCCTAACCAATCACGCGGAACTACGGCTGACTGCCTTTCGCAACATCACGTGCCATCCCTCCAGCTATCGATAATCCCCGGCAACTTTTTTTGCCCGAAAAATTATTCCCTTATCGACACGGACTGGCGCTGGCTGTTTTGCGACTCCCCCTCGCTCTCTTTTCGCCATGAAGCTCTCCAATCAGTCGGAGGTCCCCGTCTACAGTAAGCCTGCCAGTGTATGGTTCTGCGGATGAATGAATGAGAGACTGACAAATGCGCAGCGATCTCCGGTTCCAATACTGCTCGCGAGGTACAAACATCATATCACTCACAACACGACGATTGGTACTGACGGTATTTGACTACAGCTCCCAGAATGGCTTGCGAGAAGAAGAAAGCGCAGTTTGAAGAATGATCCGGAATGGGCAAACCGAGTAGAACTCTTGCAGGTATGAACTCGAATAATGCTTGTGTTTCATTCTTATCGGCTTCTAATCTCTTTACCAGGACTTTGGGTTTGAGGAAGCCAGTCGTTGCATTCGGGTCAGCGAAGATGGAGACTGGGTCATGAGCACAGGTACGCGCTTGCGCAGGAACTGACTGGTCATAGTTAGACCCACTAACCGGTATTTCTGCAGGAACATACAAGCCACAGATGCATGTACACTCTTTGCAAGCTCTGTCTTTGAGTTGTGAGTATCTCGAGGGCGCCCGCGTTCAACTACCCGCTTAACTGACTGCTTCGATAGACGCGCGCCACACGGATGTCGAAAACACCACCTTCCTCCTACTCTCCTCGGACTACTCCAAGTCTCTCCACCTCCAGTCCGACCGTTCCCTCGAATTCCACACCCCCTCGGGAATGCACCACAAGACGAGATTGCCCCGATATGGACGTGACCTGGTATACGATAGACAATCGACCGAAGCGTTGGTGCCTTCGGTCGGTGTCAACAGCGACGGGATGGGAGAAGTGTTCCGATTGAACCTTGAAATGGGCAGATACATGCGGAGTTTCGAAATCGATGTGGGCGGCGATGACTTTACTTCTGCGGGTGGAGGTACGCTACAGGGTGGAATCAATACGGGCGCCGTCAACGTGGGAGCCATCGCCGAGGAGAGCCACAACCTTCTGGCATTCGGCGCGAGCAATGGCAATGTCGAGTTCTTCGACCCTAGGATGAGAAGCAGAATCGGCACTCTGCTATCGCCCACACAACCTCGTCCAGACGAAAGCAGAAATGAAATCACAGCCCTGGAGTTTCACAGATCTGGATTGACGCTTGCTACTGGTTCTTCGAACGGTCTCATTCATCTTTATGATCTACGGATGTCATCTCCCTACTTGAAGAAGGATCAGGGCTATGGGTTCCCAATCCACACGCTCAAGTTTCTGCAGCCGTCAACTGCCAGCCGCGAACAGACCCTGGAACCAAAGATTCTCTCCGCCGATAAGAAGATCATCAAGCTCTGGGATCCGCGGGATGGAAGCGCATGGACGTCGGTTGAGCCTGCAGTCGACATCAACTCGGTCGCCTGGTGCAAAGATAGTGGAATGATATTGACGGCTAATGAAGGCCGCCAGCAGCATGCGTTCCATATTCCCCAGCTTGGGGCAGCACCTAGATGGTGTTCTTTCCTTGACTCGCTTGTTGAAGAGATGGCCGAGGATCCTAACGACCCCAACGCATTCAACCCCAGTCAGGCGGGCTCTGTTTACGACAACTACAAGTTCCTCACGGTTCCTCAACTTCGCACTCTCAATTTGGAACATCTCATCGGTCGAACCAGCCTTCTACGGCCGTACATGCACGGTTATTTTGTGGCGCAGCAGCTGTACGAAGAGGCCAGGCTCATCACCAACCCTTACATGTGGGAAGAAGAGCGTGCCAAGCGTGTTAAGGAGAAGATCGAAAAGGAGCGCGAGAGCCGCATCCGTGGCAAGAAGAAGGCCGCCGTCAAGGTCAACAAGAAGCTTGCCGACAAGCTGCTCAGCATCGAGGAGAAGAACGAGCGCAAGCGGGCGCAGCGCGTCCTCAAGAAGGGTGGCGATGACGACATGGTTGACGCTCCCGCACCTGCCACCGAGGAACCCGGCAAAAACATCATGGGCGATTCTCGTTTCGCCAAACTCTTCGAGGACGAGGACTTCGCCATCGATGAGACATCGCGTGAATTCCAGCTTCTCAACCCCAGCACTGTGCCCGAGGCTCCCAAGCGTACCAAGGAAAGAGGCCTCACAGCTGTCGAGCAGGAGATGGTCGACGACGTCCCCGGCTCCAGCTCCGACGGCTCTGACTCCGAGAGTGAAGGCGAGCGATACACTAAGCCAGCCGCCTCCAACAAGATCTCCACCGCCTCCTACCGACGCAACAAACAGGGCCGCAACCAGCAACAACCCCGCATGGAGATCTCTTCATCCGCGAACGTCAGCTCGACCCGTGACCGTTCCTTCGGCTCGCGCGCCCAGAACATGCGCACCAAGGAGAAACCCTCGCGCCGGGGCGGTGTCGTTGGGGAGCGCGAAGTCACCTTCACGCCTGGCGCTGGCAAGCAAGCCAACTCCCAGAGGAGCTTCAACCGACCGGAGCAATCCACATCGCACAGCTTCCGGGCCAAGGAGCGCCGCAGCGCCTCCGGTAACACCTTCCGCAAGATGTAAAACCATCTGCCCAAATCAGTCGAGCCTTCCAGGCTCAGCCCGATCGGCCGGTTATCCATTGCTGCTACTGCTACTACCGCTGTTGCTAGCGGTAGGTAGTCTGTCGTGCCATGTACCGAGCCAAGCCTTGCCGCAGCAGCAGCCACAGCCCGGCCGCGCCCACAAAGTAGTAGCCTTGTCGTCATCGTTCGGACAAAGCTGCTGACCCCTCTTATCGTTCAGCTGCTTGCCCCTACGCACGAGGAGGGCGAGGCACCTGGCGCACGTCACATGATAACATACGCCATATACTCTTATCACATCATTTCACCTACCTACCTTCCATATACCCGAATGAGGACCTCTACCCCTCCTCCGATCTCATGCCCCGCTCACCTCCATCAAGAGCTTCCCCTCCAGCACCAACACATGTCACAAGGTCCAACCAAGCCCGGGCAAATCCTATCCCTGTTTTTCCTACGCCAGACACGAGGCTAACTACCTTTGCTGACATAGGATCGCCTCATGAGTCACTAGTCACTTCCTAGTCCGATGAGTCAATCCATCACAGAACCCAACCATGTATTGTACAGTATCTAAAAAAGAGAATACTGAAGTAAAGGAGAAGGCGACGGCGCATTCATGTATCTATCCATCGTTGTTTTATCTACCTCTTTCAGCCGAGGCCCCGGAAAAGTTCTAGAATCATACCCCAGCGGTTTAATGCATGATTGGAATTACTTAGTAACCTTGCAAGAAAGTCTCGTTTTCAGTAGGTCCGTATTGGTGCTTTTTACTCGTTCAACCCGGAGAATAGTATCTACAGCCCAAAAAGGCGGAGCATTCAAAGAGATGAGAAGTTTTGAGTTCCAATGCTTATTCTGGTAACTACTCCACCCACTGAGTGCAGTCCATCTCTAAGCTTCCGTAAACTAATGTCGTGACCAATAAACTCATTCCAAGAATGTAAACCATCAAAAAAAATCAAGCATTAATCAAGCCGTTACGCCCGCATGAAAACGAATTGAGGAAGACAAACTGGGAGAACTTCGGAAGTAGACAAAGATAGAACATGGAATCATATCAGAAGGGACAGATCAATGCCCGCAATACGTTATTTGTATGTCGCTTGGTAGAAGATGTGTAAGAGAACAGAAAGGAAAAAATCCAAGGAAAAAACAAAAACGCTATTCCCACGCCGGAATGCAAGAGAAAAACTGTATAACAAACACATGCATTAGAACCCAAGAAACAAGAATATCGGGACATCGAGTCAACCTTATTCGCCGGCCCCAAACGAACATTGCGGAAATTGCTTGGAGATCCAGTCTATAAACTAGCCAGTCCGCCGCCGTGAGGTAAAAATGGTAGGTTATGCGCACCCAAAAGACATAAGACAACAAATATGTGAATAATGTGAGAGAATAGAAGGGCTAGAAGGTAGAAAGGTATGTAAAGATGCTTGGGGAGAAAGAGGCCAAAGACACCAGCGGTGCATGAAGCACCGAGGAATATAAGTCGAAGTTAGAGGGTTCATATGAGAGGAGATGGCTTTCACGGCCAGACATGGAAGCCAGAAAGCCCGCCGCCTCGCCTGCCGCCGCCTCGTCTCGATCCACTGGAGTTTCCAGTGGGATCAGGGCCATGATGGCCCTGTCTGCCTTCTTCGAAGCTCCGCCGAGAGGCCCCGAAATCACTCATGGCAAAAAGCAAGGGTTCATCCTCTTCAATTTGCGATTGTGGAGGATTGCTGCGGCCGGTACTAGGTCGTTGACCCTCGGTAGTTGAGGTACCGCTGTTGCTCCCACTAGCGTTACCATCACGATCGTGGTCGCGTTCAGTGAGATACGAAGGAACAGTCGTGCCACGTGCAAGGCTGCCTGAGCCGGAGCTCAGAGACTGAGGGCCGGAGAGGCCTCGTCCGCGAGAAAGGCTGAAGCGCGGCTGATACACGCGATTACTTGACGTGACTGCTGACGGGCCTGACGCGGCTGCACCTCGCTGCGTACCCAAAGTGCGTATTGCAGTGCTCGGTGCCAAAGACGGATCTCCATTCCCGGACGGGTCTTGCGGTATTCTCTGCGGTTGATTCGAACTGCCCTTCCCGCTTTCGTAGTCATGCTGGCGTTGTATGGCACTAAGGCTATTGTTGGATCTATCCTCAGCCCCAAGACTTATACTGCGGAGATTGAAGGGGAAAATTTCCTCGTCATCCGTTGTGACTGTCCGCCGACGATGAGCAGCAGAACTTGGCCGGCGGTAAGAGGGAGGGAACAGCGACGTAGGCGACGTGGGAATATCAATTGCGTTTACGGCCGACGGGTTAACCAACGTCGTCCCTTCACTAGAGTTTTCATCAAGTGGTGAGCTGCGATCGACATGCGAATCCCGTCGATCGTTGTTGCCAGGGTCATTATAGTCAACAATGCTGTGCGAGCTCAAGCGCGAGGGTATGGCTGGGGTGTGGGGGGTGTGGGGGGAAATAGGCTTTCCTGGTGAAGAAGCCGTCGAGATTGAGGTACCAGCCACCATTGGCGGCACACTGTGCAATTGCCTGCTTGAGGAATTGGACGAGCGTTGAAGTATTAAAGAAGACGTGATAGATTCCGACAGAGCAGCATTGGAATCTCTCATAAGCTGATAGCGGGTCAATGCAGCAGATGCAGCCCGTCCTTGGTCTTCATGAGCAGGTGATTTCGAGTTACTCAGCAGGTCCTTTTTCTGGTCTACGAGCTTCAGAAACTCCATAATGTTCTCATCATCCCCGTGAATTGAGTCTGCACTTGTTCCTGTCGCTCCTGTCGCTTCCGCAATTATGCCAGAACCAGGTTGAGCGGTAGATGAGGTAGCACTAGCTTTCCCGCTGGAGGTTTCGTCGTCGGGTTTAGTGATTGTACCGACAGAAGGCCTTCCACGGCGGTGAGAGAACGCGCTACTGTATCTTGCAATTGTGTTGGGTCGTGGTGATGCAGAGTTTGGAGGAACAACGGTTTGTTCCGAAGGGCCGGGCAACGACTTTCGGGTAGACGTTGCCATAGAGGGTGAAGGCATGGTTTTGGATTCAGACATGGGCATACGGGGGGTCACTGTCGAACGGGGAGAAGCCCCAAGCGGAGTATCGACAAGAGATGGAGAGGCTGACAAGGGAGGGGCTTTGAATGGCTGGAACGAGATTGAAGGCCGCCTAAAAACGCCAGGACTACCTTCATTGGCGAGAACAGCAGCACGGCCCATAGGGCTTGCTTTGTTTGTAGAAAGTGGTTTTCGAGAAGATGAAGCGGGTGGTGATGGAGACGAGGCACCAGACTGCTGTGCAGCACGTAGGGCTGAGATAGGACTTGCACTGGTGGTAGGCCCAACATGATGGAAGGTTGAGAGGCTTCCATATGCTCGACCAAAGTCTGCATTTTCGACAGTCCGTTTCTCGAGGGGGACCGACCCTACCTCCGGATTGGTCGCTTTAATATGCGAATCTCGACTTGGAAGGGAGGGGCGGAAACCTTCATCATCGGCACCCATGAAACGCGAACTAAGAAGGGCTTCGGAATCATCTACACGAAATTCGCAGCTCGTTCGATAAGTGACCTCGACAGAGAATGGACCAGCGGGAGAATCCGTCACACCGAAGCTGTACGTGTCGACGACTTTGCCGCTGCTTTCAAACAGAGGCGTCGTCAGACGATCTGGCTTCGAAGTCATGGCATCGGGATTCTCAGCCAAAATACGGTACTTGATCCGCAAAGCTGGGTGTGTCCGAAGCCTCCCATTGCGTCTTGCGAACTTCCAAACAGGCAGGAACTTAGAGTAGGTGAACAAAGACCTGAACAGGACGATGCTCTTTTTGTAGACCGTAGGCAGAATAGAACCAAGATCCGTCGGTAGTCTATCAGACATATCTCCGAGTTCCACCTTCCACCGCTCCAGAATCACATCGTCAGGCCCTGCAGGGCGAGGTGCGGCAGATTGCCCTTCTGGAGACGAAGACAGAGACTCCAAGACATCAAACCGTTTTCCATGCTCATCCAAGGCAACGAGGCTTTGATTGTTGGTGAGGCCTTTAGTGTCTAGGTATGTCTCGATGATTAGCGGCGGAGGCCGGTTCTCGGTTGCATCACATGTCCTCCAGATTCGTAGTTGTTCTCGGAGCACGTCGGTATCTTCTAATTCAACGTTGAACTGCAAATTGTGTCAGTAATGACCAGCATGTTCACTTCTGGGTTGGGCGATCCGGGGAGTTGGGACAGATGCCCGAGCGGAGGGCGGTCGGGGAGGATCCAGAGCAAAACGTACCCAGCGGTTGACCCGAGGAGTATCGGAGCCTTTGTTGAGGGATGGGGGGAGTTCGACGCGGGCATGAAGTATTATCAGAGCGGCTTTGGTATGGTAGTTCTAGAGCACAAAATGTATCAGCAAAAAGCACTTTAGGGCAGTGAGGCGAAGCCAAGCATGTGAGAGGAAGCCCTACTGATATGATCTGATTGAGTTTTGCTATCGCTTCTTTAGATGGCCGGCGAGTCTGGCTCTGCTCTGGGGACTCAGCGCCCGTCTCAATCCCCAGTCCTCTGCTTGATGTCCTAGGATCGAATGCTGGGGAGGTTGGACGTGGATCTTGCTCCCGATTGTCTTCTGAGCGGCTCGACCTGGTTGCAACGGGCGCAGGGGGCGCCGGCGATCGAGGATGTTGGTGCATGATGTTTTGTGATAGGGTTGCGAATGATATAGAGGGTGTCCAGCTGAATATAGACACAGAATCCAAAGAGACCGTGGAATGAACCGGGCTAATTCAAGGAAATGATGAGGTACCAGTTGCGCTGCGGATAGCCATGCTAACGAACCAAACAACCAAAAAGATGTTGTATAAGACAGCGAACAACAACGAGAGAGTAGGGGGAAGTTTTAGGCGCTGAACAATAGGCACGGGCGAGAAGATGCGAGAGAGAGGGCTGGGTTCATGGTTTGGGTGTGCTCAGGCAACAAGATGTTAAAGAGCATTCGCAGCATGAGGCCTAGACAACCTTGGGAGCTTCTCCGCATTAACGACCGACTTAGGCGGAGAAAGGGAGGGGGAATGTGCACAGCGTCCTCACGTCGAGGGGAAAAGCGTTCAAGATTCCATACTGCTGCAAATGCACACAAGCTCGAGTTTGATGGTGCAGGCTAGGGGCCAAAGAGTTGGGAAGGATGAAACGTCAGAGACAGAAGAAGAAGAAGAGAAGAAGTAGCAGCAGCAGATAGAGAGGAGGACGGAAGAGACGAGGGAAGCGGATGAGCGACAAGAGGGCGAATTAATCTACTACCGTTGAGGTCGTTGTCGTACCGTACGGAAACCGGGGGGTCTGTGACGCACACCCGGTGACTTGATGGTCAAGTGCAAGCGGTCAGTCAGGCTGATGACGGATGCCACCACAGCCTTCTGAAGAGGCTCTGAAAGGGAATCAGCAAGGGAGAGGAGTTTCCTACTCAAGTACTATATAAAAAATTTGTCCTAGCGAGTCTCTTGCACCAGCGTACTGCAACTAAACGCTTCCCTGCCCTGCGCGATAAGCTGGTAAGTTGCAAGGCGGTCAAGCAGTGTGACGGTACGGTACGCGTCAGGTACAGTCTCAGCCATTGATCGATCAACTCCATGGAGCCGTCATGGACGGTAATCGGCACTGATAAGGAATTGGAATCCTCCTCATGACTTCATGGGTCAATAGGACAATCGGTCTCGTAGTTTTCTGACCACCGCCATGATAATGGTTTCCACTTCAGTATCAGGTGGCTGTGCCTCTCCATTGGATACTTTTTACCACTTCGTTTCCTTCGATATCTATCGAAATTACTCATATATGATTAACTAGCTTGTACATGTAGGTAGGCATTTTATCACGGAACAAGGTCAATGGAAAGAGACAGAGCCTAATGCCGAATCGGGCTAGCCGAGTATTGCTTGCGTTTGGGGCGATCAATCAACTTGCATGATAATCACCGCCCATGCCAACATGCTCTCTTTCTATTCTGAGCTGGAGCTGCTTGCGACAATCACTCAGTCGCTGGTGCTCTTACTCATGCATACCTACATGTACGAGTACCTCTCTACCAGAGATCTCCACCTCCGCGTCCACCCCCATTCAAACCCTGGTTGACGGCGAATTTCTTCCAACCAAATGTGCCACCTGCGATATGGAGTGGAATGGAGCTCCGATGTTCCATGTTGGAGCACCCGTCAGCATGGACCACCTCCACCTTCCCCCAAGTTCCTGGGACTGGCTGCCTCATCTGCAACCGCCTGCTGGTTAGGTGGAGAGCAGATGCTAGTTGCCCGGCCCACAAGGCACAGTACCTTAGAGATACCTTAGGGGTGAAGTTTCAGGAGCTTCTTCCCAGCAATTAGAGCCAATCCTAGGCCTTACACTGTACAACACACTACCGGCATGATGCACCGGAACTGCGAGCTTTGCAGCAAAGGCGGCTGGCTAAGGCCTCTTAGACAACCTAGGCCCTTGAATGATGACCCCGGATTGGAGGGAAAGCTAGCTGTTCATGATTGTACTCAGGACTAGTAGATATATATGGATCTCACCTCCGACCAGGAGTCAGTTGCTCTACGTCGACCGAACCAGAAGGTCGATAGCTCGCTCAGTCGACACATCGACACACGACCACCGACAGTTGGACCGGTTTGTTTGGGGCCAGTTGGTGATGCAGCTGTGATATGCACGAAATGTGAAGTTGGCCGACTCCGTGCTTCGTACCTTTGTCCTGTTTTTCTTCTCGCTTGCGGTGCGTAGTCGAACATCCGCGGGCGTTATGGCGGCTTCCACACCACCAACCCACATCCCGGTGCTGAGCTGATCACATCTGCATTGAGCACGTAGCATACCACTGCAGGTGTTTGAAGTATGATAAAGCAGGTATATCCGAGGGAGGTACTCGTGACTTCCTGATTGACATTGACAAGATTGCAAGCCCCTTTGGGACGATTGTTTGACCTTTCATTTGACTATGTAATGTAGAATAATACTAAGTAAGTTAAGTCAACTAGTTACTGTTCGCTGAATCAGCCATGCGTTCTAGTTATGGCATGATTTTCTCCACCTTTTGGCAGAACTGGCATTTATATAAGTATTCTAGGCAGAAGACAAACCCTCTTATCAAGCTAGACAAAGAATTTTGAATTCATCGGAGACCGCATACTGTGTGTGAACTACAAGTCTCAGCTGAGGCTTGACCATCACCAGCCACAGCAGGGCAATTCTTTGTTCTCAGCCTCACTGTCTTTAGTTCTACTAATTAGCAAAGTTAGCAGCAACCTAAACTCTGCAGACTGCAACTCCAGATGCCCCTTCTTCTCATGGACCGGACGGGGGTTGGTTACTATACATTCTCGAAGCGACGAGACGAGGTCATGCAGAACGGGTCACACCCTCGATGACCTCTGCAACGAAGAGCGAGAAGGACCAAAAAGCCCACGATAACCCATCCGGAATATCATATCGGGTTCGAAGATGCGTCATATTCGAATGCTACTATGTGAGACTAGCAACCGGGTCGAGATTACTTGCCCCTGCTGATCATGGTGCTTGCCCCATACTGTGGTGAACATGCTCCTAGAACCTCGAGTCAGATAACCCCGCGATACGGGAGACAACTGTCCCAACCGAGGATATCCGGCCGTTTGGACACGGAACACACTGGAAAGGAAGTTTGAGAATGAGCTTCAAGCCAGGCTACAGCCTAGAGAGCCGCCTTAGAGAATGAGTGCGAAAAGAGGGAGAAAAGAAGCAGGTTCGTCGTTGGCCTCTCGTCCGGGGGCATGGAGGGGTGCTCGACCCCCGATTGGCCACCACCCGGACGGTCTTATCCACGGGTCGAAAGCCATCAATCATTCATGATTTATTACTTGAGTGGTGCACTGTCAAATCCCCATTCTTCCCCTCCCTCTCCCACTTGATCTCAATTCCTCCCCTTGATACTATCTACAATCTCCTTCCTCGTATCCCCAACACGGTCGCGTACCAGTCCCAAAGCCCATTCGACGTGTCGTGCCTTCTTCCTCTCCGTTCCCGCCTCCAGCGGTCGAGTCCTAGCCTTATCGTCTACAGTTAGCTATCCATCGCCACCACACATTCTCGCGCTCGCGACACGTTCGCTTCCGCCGGGCCTGCAACCGCACCCACTCGTCGTTCTTTCGACTTCATCTCCTGTCGCACTTGCATACTCGATCTGAAACGCCCGAAAATTAATCCGAACATTAGTTGACGGCCTGTCGACTTCTTTTCCTATCCCGTTGGAATACTCTTGTCGCCCGCAGTCTTTTTGCCAGTGCGCCCGCCAACCCTTCGCGGTTACGGCGACGTTCTGGTCCTGCGCTGATAAGAGTTTCTGACACATATCTTTTGGGCACATGAGTAGCAAGCTTTGGGGGTTCTTTCTCTACGATGACGTTGAAAGCTTTCAGCGATTCCTGGCAACTGCCACTGGTACAACGGGAAATGGAAGCAGCTTGAAGGCCGGGAGCCCTGGGTTAGGACTGGCATCTTCTCCTGGGATCTCGACTAGAAGCAAGAAGCTGAGTGGAACATCTCCTGGGGGTTCGAGTTTGGAACGTGGTCCCAATTCGCGTCCGGGAAAGACGTTGTCTAAGGAGGAGCTGAATGTGCGAGACAAATACGGTCGGACACTTCTACACCATGTGGCGTCTTCAACGAAGCCCACGGCGATCGACTTCGCTGTTGCTCTACTCCAAGTTCCTTTCTTGGACATCTACGCGCAAGACTGGGAGAGCGGTTGGACGGCTTTGCATCGAGCACTATATGCGGGAAACGCCACAATCGCACAGGCTCTGATGACACGGGATATGCGCGACGCCACGGACTTCAGCAAAGCAGGTAACTCCGGACTCCCAGTCGGAAGTTTGATTCGGATCAAGGACCGAGAAGGGTACAGCCCGTTTGATGTGTACGCCGCTACAATAGCGTCTCGAGACATCAAGCAGAGCTTCGATTCAGCTGTAGAGGCGGAACACACCGATAATGTCTCTGAACCGTCGTTGGGCGACGAAGATCCTGATCACGACAGCCGTTTTGGCAGGAGTGTTTTGAAGCCACGAACAAATTTATTTGGTGATGAGGTCTATACCTTCGGCAGCAATAAGAACCTCAACCTTGGAGTAGGGGATCAGGATGACCGCCAGTTTCCAGAGAGGACGATCCTCAAGAGGCCAGGCCATCTCTTGGAGCGACTTTTCCGTGAATTTCAAGAACAGCGTCTGGAGGCTAGTAAGGCTGACGTTCAACAAGAGTCGATCGATGCGAATTCGAACGATCTGCCAGCAATCGTGAAGAGCAAGCCCATCAAGATTCAGGACGTTGTCATGTCTAAGCTTCATACCGCTATTCTTACCACCGATCCTGAATCAAACCTCTTCTTGTGTGGCTTTGGCCCCGGTGGGCGTTTGGGCACCGGGGATGAAACAACACGATTCACTTTCGTCTGCATCGAGGGCGGAGGCCTTGCGAATAAGAAGATTGTCTCCGTTGCCCTAGGACAAGACCACACGCTTGCAATCACCGAGAACGGCGAGATTTTCAGCTGGGGAAGTAACAAGTATGGTCAATTAGGGTACAGCTTGCCAAGGTCAAACAATCAGGATGATGTGCCTCTCCAGAAACAGCCTCGACAAATCTTTAATCCTTTTAAGAAAGAGGGCATAATCGGAGCGGCCGCATCGGGAATCCACTCCGTTGTATTCAGCAATTCCGGTCTTTATACTTTCGGTAAAAATGAAGGACAACTCGGCCTGATCGACTCCGATGCTCGATCGCTTGAGATGCAGACCACCCCTCGACGCGTGGGAGCATCTTTGTTCAGCGCACCCATACAGAGCGTGTCTGCCATCGATCAGGCAACATCTGTTCTCCTGCAGAACCATGAGGTTTGGGTGTTTTCCCAGTATGGTTACTCGAAACTCTTATTTCCGCTAGATGTCAGCTCGAGGTTTATCAAGGATAGTTTCATGGCCACTAGATATGGTTCCTCCGTCAACCAAGTTGTTAAAGTCAAGTCTGCCGGGAATACCATCTGCGCCCTATCGAGTTTTGGAGAAGTGTATACGGTGCAGGTTAACAAGACAGAGGTCCCCTCGACGTCAACATCGACCACAAATCCATTCAAACCTCGGAACTCGATGTCAGAACCATCAAGGATTTGGTCTGTGAAAAAAGCCCATATGGCTGCGAAGGATTTTGATGTCGGACAGGATGGGTCGGTCATTATCTGTACCGTATCTGGCTCTGCCTGGAGCAAAGAGAAGCGCAGGAAGTCAAAGGGGCCAGCCAAGGACTACAAGTTTGCTCGGATACCTGGACTCTCTCGAGTTGTGGGTGTATGCAGCAATGCTTATGGGGCCTTTGCAGCTGTACAGCGCGATTGTGAAGTGACTCAAGAACAAATTACCGTCTCGCAGCCTTCATTATGGGCGGACTATCTTCCATTATCTCCATTTGGCTCATTCGGTAACACGATGAGCTCGGAGGATATGGTAACAGATGATCACCGGGACTCAAACCCAAACCTTGCTATCAAGAGGGCAGTATTGGGATCGTCAGATCTCGAGCCTTACTTCGAGCCATCGCGGTTCCAAATATTCCCTGGGGTTGTCTGGATTAGGACCACATCATCGGACATACGGCTTCCTGTACACGAATTCATCTTGACAGGGCGGAGTTCAGTTCTCAGAGAAGTCATTCACACTTTCAGAGATACAGGTCGCGCTTCTCCATCCGACATCTTTACTATTGAAAAGGACGGAGAAGGACATATGGAACTGACATTTCAGTCCTGTGATATCCTCACCATCTTGAATGTGGCATTCTTCATGTACACGGATGAAATACTAGATGTTTGGCATCAGGCTAGACAGTCTTCGGAGAAGGCCTCCCGATACCGCCAGGTTCGCACTGAAGTGATGCGTCTCGCCACTCATCTGAACCTCCCAACTCTAGAACGAGCTGCGAGGCTCATGATTGAACCCACAAAGGCCCTTCGGCACGATATGGAGCTTGCGATTCATGATCCTGCTTTCTTCGATAGTGGAGATGTTATAATTGACTTGAAAGGCGGAGAGGTGAAGGCTCATAGCCATGTCCTGTGCCAGAGATGCCCCTTTTTCAACGCATTGTTCTTCGGTCGCTCAGGTGGTAGATGGCTTTTGTCGCGTCGTGTCCAAGCAGATGCAACCATTCATATTGACCTCAAGCACATTGACCAACATGTGTTTGACTTTGTACTTCGGTACCTATATGCCGACACTGAAGAGGAGCTTTTCGACAATGTCAGATCAAAAGATCTGGACGAGTTTATCGACTTGATCATTGATGTTGCATTTGTTGCAAATGAGTTGATGATCGACAGACTGGCCCAAATCTGCCAGCAAATGCTCGGGAAGTTTGGTGAGTCCCATGCACGAATGCACTGCTCTTAGCGAGGTACTGATGAAAGGCAATTAGTGCACACACGCAATGTTTGTCACTTGCTGAACGCGGTTGCGCCATGCTCGGTGAAGGAATTCAAAGATGCGGCTCTGGAATATATCTGCTTGAATCTCGAGGATCTGCTAGCAAACAGGTGAGCCTCCGTTCCGCACGGATCCTTCATATAGCCGAAATGTATCCTTACACCCCGATAGGTTATTGGCAGATCTCGACGAATCTCTACTCGATGCCCTTGATACTGTCTGCCGCGACAACCAGATGACTTACCTACCTGTGTCAAGAGGGCGAAACTCGGAAGAATACATCTTCGAGAAGTACCCAGAGCTTGCATCTGCTATAGAAAGTGACAAGAGGCGGAAAATCGACTTCATGAGGCTACGACCGCACCTGAATCGCATTGACAGCTCCGAAGGAAAGCCTCGTGCAACAACAAATGAGAAGCCGTCCTTGACCCCTTCGGTTTCTAAAGTCAAACCCAGCCCAGCCAGAGAAGGGCCTTTATCTGCTTCTCGTAGTCCGCTGTTGAAGTCCAGACAGTCGACTACTGATCTGATGTTCCAGATGGACGACGAGTTTTCATTGTCCCCGGCCGATATCGGGAAAGGCAAGGCAGCCGTTCGTGACGCCAAGCAGATTGCTACAGCCGAGACGCCGCTATCCATCGACTCGCCAGCTCTTCGAGCTAGCCCATATGATGGAGGCTCTCTTGGAGATCCAAGCTTTCTTGATGCTCAGATGGCTTCCCCATTAGATCCAACTCTTTCGGAATCACCATCCGAGTCCCGCGCCGCAGCACGCCAGAGGAAACAAGAGCAGTTCTCTTCGCCTCCAATCTCGAGCACCCAAATTCCATGGAGCTCATCCGCGATATCTACATCGAAGAAGAACCTGAAGGATATCATGAGTGAGACTTCGGGCAACCGTGTGTCGAATATCAGCCTGGGCATGTCTGCTCGTCGAGAAAGCACGAGTAGTCTTGCGCCGAAGATGTCACAGAAGGAGCGCAAGAAGATCCAGCAGCAGCAGATGCAAGATATGCTCGCGGCTCAGCAGAAGGCAAAGGAAGCGCCGCAAAACCCATGGAAGATGCCGACACCCAGTAAACCTGCACCTCCAGCTAGTGGGCAAGACAGTCCAGATGCAGAGTCCGCCAAACCGTCTCCCAAGCCATCCATGACCCTTCGACAAACTGTCGCTGGAACACCACCGGCAAGCCGGACGAAACCTAGTTCTGTCCCGATGCAAACTCCAGGCCGCAGTGGACCCGTCAATGTCCAAAATCCTCCTCGACCTCAAGCTTCGACATCCGTCACATCAACCCCCGCATCGTCCAATCCCGTAGCCAACGCTCAACCTGCTATTCAATCCATCCGCCACATCCCACGGCCCGAACCATACCAAACGAGCTTCCACTCACCGTCTTCTACCTCCCTCTCACTGGCTACCATCCTCCTGCAGCAACAGACAGAAAAGGATGAGATCCGTGAAGCAGCGACTGCAAAACACAACCTTGAAGACATTCAACTCGAACAAGAGTTCCAAGCGTGGTGGGATAAAGAGAGTAGACGCGTGCAAGGCCTCCCAGACCCTGACACGACCCCCTCGGCCGACAAAGAAGAGAAGGCAAACAAGTCGCGGTCAAACCGGGGCCGAGGCAAAGGCAAAGCGCAGGGGCAAGGCCAACAGCCACTGCCGCCGCCGCCGCAGCAGCAGCAGCAACAACAGCAGCTTCCGCAGAGGAAGAAGCGCGCGAAAGGCGGCGCTGGCCTATCCGACGCATCTACCTCATCACAGCAACCCACTCCGCGGAACGAATTCACAACCCCCGCACAGAAAGCTCCTCACCCGACGCCCCGTCGTGACAACCAACCTCGGACAGTTCCGAACGGAAACCACGTCGATGCAGCAGCAGGATCTAATGGCGGCGGAAGCTCACGACGTGGAGGAGGTGGTGGAGGCAGAGGTGGTTTCCGTGGACGAGGCAAGCCTCGCGAGAAGACGGCAGCATGACCGGTCGACTTCGCCTCAGAACTCTAGCTGTCTTGCTATCTCTCTCCACCCCTCAAATCCCTCACATACATCACACACATATCTACTTGTATCATCCCACGGGGATGATAACTTTTCCCCGAACATGTCATCATATATGTTTTCTACATAGATTTCCTTTGGGTTTTACGCAAAGCAATAATAACGATCTAGACTACATACCCGAAGATTTGTATTGCTATGATTTAAATTTTCTCCCTTCTTCTATACTCGATGCAATTGTTCGAGACTGGGATACGGATGGGAACCTGAATCTACTATAGTACAAGTAGTCGAGATAATGGCAAGCCGTATTTCATGATCAAATGCAAATCTACACAAACATGCGATATCTATGTTGGCCTCCAGTGATTGTAGCGACGCCTACAATACCGTAAACTTCATTTCATGCCTTGAAGACAATTGAACATATTTAGAAATACCCTACCCATTTCTCATCCAATAAAAGCCGGTAGATATACGAAAGAAGGGAGTACCAGATACGGAATTACAAAGTAGGTGCAGTGATCGATTACGAAGTCGAGACATAGCTAGCTCCCGCTGAATCCAGGAACTGTAGTTGCACTTGAAGCCAAGAAAAAAATCAAGAAGAGAAAAAGAAGCACAGGGAATCACTGAGTGAAGTGAAGTAGAATGAAATAGCGCGCGATAGGAACAATTACGGGGAATCAACCAAGAGGCATTCTGGGGAACCCAAATGCGTGCATAAGACATAAGAAGAATCATAATCACAATAACCAAAGCAAAGGAAAGACCAAATCTTTAGGAGTAAAAATTGATTTGGATCATCAGGTTCAAAATTAATAAGTATGGAAGATAAGTATGGAAAGGGGGGTGACGACCTCAGAGCTAGGCTAATGGAACGACTCAGAACAACATGATAGAACCAGAAGCAGCAAGCAATTCATAGGTCAACTGAAAAGATAAAACAGAATTGTTGGAACGCTAACAGAAAGATGTAACCCACGTAACACCTTACAACATAAGGACAAGTAGCAAATGGGGAACTATGGTAGACCGGTGGAAAAAAAAAGGGGGGGGGTTGTACTGTACATGTAAGATCTCTTTTGGTCATCTCTCTATCAGCCGGCTGTAGCTACTTCGCGACTTTCCCATATGCGACGCATCATGAGCTCAGTTTCGTGAGGGTGGCGTAGATTATCCGCTCCTGGGACTCTCTCGGTCGTAGCAGGATCGGGGTGGGCGGGTTCGTCAGATGTGGAGAGGATGCGGTGAGAGGGATGTTGAGATTTGCTGCCAGATGCGGTCGGATCCGTAGACTCACTCACAAGGTCGTCGGGTTCTTGCAGGTAGGTCTGAGAAGCGGAGGTGTGCATATCCCCTTGCTTTCTTCCAATTAATTGTCTAGGTTCTGGGCTAGCGCTGCCCTGGCTGCTTTCCTGGCGTTTGCTGTCGCGAAGGTGAGTTAGGGCCGGCGCAGATTTAATGGGTTTGCCGAGCGATGACGGTCGGTCTAAACTCGAGCTCGCGCCTCGCGAATCATTGAGAATAGCAGTTAAGCGCCTGAAACTGTCGCCAGTGGGAGATTGGAATCGGCGCACGACGGTCAGTTCCAAAGTTGTCTTTTCGTATGCTTTCCGAACGTGCTTGGCTTCGCTATCGTGTGCAGTTCCGCTGGCTCGAGCAGACCCGTTGACGAGTCCCCGGCCCGGCTCGAAAGCATTCGCACCCGGTCGAGTGTGAGGTGCGGCGAAACTCGGGTCCACGACGGAGGGAGGGGTTACGGTGGACACGCCGTCAGGCGGAGATGTGTTCAATGCTGCAGTCCGCTGTAACCAGAGCTTCTGCTGTGTGCGAGAATGGGGCTCTGCGCCTGGGGGCCTCGAAGGCGGCGATGTTCGTGTTTTTCTCGCACTACTAGCGCGATTTGGAGATGGTGGAGTCTGAGGATGATAATGTGGGAGGAAAGAAGATGGGGTGTTTGGATCCGAATCCGTGCGGGAATAAGAGTTCGTTGCGGGTTTGTTGCTGATGATGAACTTTGAGACGCCGCCTTCGATGGATGAGGAAGTGGCATGGGCAGGCGTGTTTGCTAATGTGGTAATAGAGGAGGACATGGGCCGTCGAGTACCGTCATGGCCGGATGCTAAGTTGGTGAGAGATGCATTGCGAGAAGACTGATCCATCACGGTCGGCTTGACGGTCGCGGAAATGGAAGACATGGCGGGGGGTGCTCTAGCCGAGATGGAGGGACTCAGGATTCGTGATGCGATGACGCCGTTCTCACTAGGACGCACGATCTCAACGGGTGTCTCGTCAGAATCGGACGGGCGCTTCGGTGGGTTTTCGTCGCCGTTGTCGTTGTCCTCGTCTTCGTCCGAATCGTGGTGTTCACCGAAACTCTTGCTCGTCGACTCAGGCAAGCTGGTGGCTCGAGCGAACTGCGGGTAAGAGCGCTTGACGAAGGTAAGGGGGTCGACCAGAACAGCAGGATTCTCCACACTCTCTTTGGATTGTGCCACCGAGCTGCGTCGCGTACTTTCAGGCGACTGCGTAGTATCTTCCCAATCAGCGTCGTCGTCGGAATCCGCCAACTCGAATCCGACCGTTTTCTTCTTCCCGGAGCTCGTATGCGGACGATCGGTGACCAGGGCCTTCTTTCCGAGGACGACGGACGTGTCGCGTCGGAGGGCAGGACTAGAATTGTTCTTCTTCATTGATCCTTCTGTGCGGTGTGATTCTTCCTCCAATCCATCCCAACGTACGTGATGCCCACGCGGGCTGGCGGCAGGAGTCGCAGGGGCGGACTTCTTGCGTTGATGCACGCGAGCGGAAGCTTCGGGGCCGATTTGATGGCTGGAGAGGTGTCTTTGTAGCTTGTGCAGATTTTTGCCGAAAGAGGGGTTGCGGTGATGGTTGCGATGGCCCCCGCCGACCAGATGGGGACGATGGGGCCTTGAGGGGGCTTTCTGGGTGGTGTTGGAAGATTGGGACTGAGACAGCTCGCCTTGGTTGGAAGGGGTGCGCGTGACGACGGCGTGAGAGGAAACAGCACGACGGCCCAGTCCGGGGCGCTTGACGGGGGAAGAAGTATTGGAAGTCGGCATGGCGGCCGTGGCAGAAGAGGAGAAGGTACGTAGTTGGTACTTTGTGTTTTAAAGAGGCGTTTAAGGCTTAAGCAAGGCAGGGAGGGTGGCCCCGATCGGGTGACGAGCAGCAGCCGGGAAGTTTCCCCGATTCAACGGCGATTGGAGGAGGCATCCACCAGGTGATACAGCAGATTGTATGTATCCGACTGGGCGGGTCGAAGGGTAGAAGTACTGTCTTTTGTCCAAGCAGTACTGGCGATTTGTTTGTTGCTTTTTGGAGGGGGGGATGATGTGAGGCAGGGAAAGAAGGAGAGACAAATCGGTGATGGTCCAGATTCCCGCCGATTGCGGGGGAGACACAATGACGCAGAGAAGAGACCTGCTACACCACACTCGTGGGAGGGACTGGCCAGTTTGGGGAAAGAGAGACAAAAGAATGAAAAGAAACCAACAGAGAGGAGAGGTAAGATAATGACCAAAGTAACAGCGACTTTGGAGGGATTGAGAAGAGAGGAGAGTTGAGGGGGAGTTGTTGAGGGAAGGAAGAGAGCGGGAGGGGAGAAGATGAAGAGGAGGAAAAAGAAGAAGGAATCCCGAAAGGGGAGAGAAGAAGGAATGGAAGCCTGGAGGAAAGAAGAAGGGAAAGAAAGAAAGACAGAGAATCACTGCTGCTAAATTTACATTTTTCCCATAGTTTCCACCAGAAATTAAAAAGAGTCCAGACCAGAAACCAGGCCGGATTGGGTTGGCCTCGCCCTGAAGATAACGAAAGCATCGCCACTCACTCACTCACTCACGCACTCACTCCCCTATATTAACTATTATAGATACTATCCAACCAAGTCCAATCCTCCTCAACTACAATTGCGCGTCCTGCCGGGGTCAAGGGACAAGAATGAATATTGCATCAATTTCGGGGCCTGCAGTAGTAACCAATCCATCTGGTATCATTGTGCCAAAAGCCTACATAAAAAGTAAAACACCAATAGAACAACTCTCCTCCTTCCTTGCCCCAAAGCGCAACTTGACCGCTCCTATCCCGCACTGACCACTAACCAGCCCACTCTACAGTTCGATCAAACTTTCCTCGACGGGTGGCCGTGAGGGCGTTGTTTGTTGGTATGATGGATGAGCCCCGGACACCCCACCGGAAGGATATTCTCCTCCGGTTGGATGAGGATGTGTTGGTACTCCTGGCGGATAACCAGTGAAAGGAGGACCGTGGGGAGGAGGAGGAGGCTGCTGTTGACTATAGAACGATGAACTCGACGGGTCCGTGGGCTGCTGCTGCAGTGCCGGTTGACCGCCAGGTTGCATCGAATTAGGATCCGGAAAGAAGTGCGAGTAAGCGGGGGCCGACACTGGGTCAGCCGGGGGTGATTGATCCGGGGCGCTCGGGGCGCTCGGGGCCGACGGTTGATAATGAGAGTCATGTCGCATCACAGGCGATTGCTGATAAGGTGCGTCCGGCTCCCCATGCCGCGGTTGCTGGTATAGGTTCGGGTCCTGTTCGGGATGCGGTGGAGGTGCATAAAATTGCGTGGGTGGCGCAAAGGCCGAAGGGTTGCCGGGAGGTGCCGCATTGGCACCAGCCATCTGAGGTGATGCCACCGCATGGGGGTTTCCATTCCACGGCGCGTTAGGCGACATAGTTTGAGAGGGCTGTGGGTAGAGGCTTGGGCTCATCGTTCTGGTGCGCTCTCTGTCTGAGGGAAGCTGCGAGTAAGGTGTGCCGGAGGACTGGGGGGGTTCGGCAATATTGGGGTTTCCATAATAATAGTTCTCGGTGCCTGCTTTCGCCTCCATCGCGGGGGCCGGCATCGAGGGGTAAATATTGGGGTATGGTGACCCGCCGGGGATCGCTCCATAACCCAAATTATGCTGAGCGTAGGCGCTGGAGAGACGCTCCTCCAGCATGCGGTCATAGTAGCGAACGACCGTCGATAACTTGGCATGAAGATCTAGGAGCGTATCTAAGAGCCTTATTAGCTGCCACGGCACATCTTCCAATAGAAATGCACAAAATACATACCGTGCTTGCTCATTGTTTCACCATAGCTTCGTGCCAACTTCGGCCGAAGCGCTCCAATGCTCTCATACAGCTCCTGAATCTGCGGCTCGCGTAGAATAGTGCCCGGGGGCTGGTGCTGCAGTCGGTCAACGAGAGCAGCGAAGAGATGAATATTCTCTACTTCCACTGGGCTAAGTTCGTAGGGGTTCTTGGGAACTGGCGCCGCTCCTGAGCTCGAATGAGCCGGGACATCCACGACAGGTGTGTTTTTCAGGGCGGCTGCGTGCTTCTGCTTGTGTTGTTCCATGTCCCGCAAAGATGCTTCGATGGCAGCCTTCAAGTCCGCATCTTCCTCGTCCTCTATACTGGGTTGACTGACGGGTTTAGGTGGCTCCCGAACAATCTTATTTTGTGGAGCATAACCGCCCGAGCCTTTATTTTGAGCCTCCTCCAAACTCATTTGCAAAGCACGACGTAAATCGTCATCAAACCCGCTCTCCGCCCGGCCTCCACGAGGCTCCATGACGCTGGACTTGGTGATGGAGTTGTTCTTAAATGCAGATCTATCGGAAATTGCAGCGGATGAGAATGCCTTCGAAGTCAATTTGGCGTAGCATCCGTCGTCCACTCGAACAGGTTGTAGGATCCCTATATGAGGCAGTGGAAGGGTCTTGCTGGAGCACTGCGCATCGAAAACGTTACCGCAGTTGCGACAATGATGTTTGCGGTTCATGAAACTGAAGGCTGTGCGACAGCGCATGCAGACATCGGAGTCAATCCATTCAGGGGGCTTGGCCAAGTTCAATCATGTCAGTTCTAGGCGTGCCATAACAATCACAGTACCAAGACCAACTTACCGCACTGCTCTCCAACATGCTTCCGCTAATCTGAGTCTTGGGTGGAAAGTGGAACCCCTCATCCTGAAGCCTCCGGTAGGTTTCGCCAACATAGCTCAGGTCCATACGACCTTGAGCTGCCATAGCCCAATCTTGTATCAGTTCCAGCATCTTTCCCTTCACTTCATCATTCAGTGGGACACCCTCTGTCTTGAGGAGGGAGACGAGGTTATCCATAAATTCCCGAGATGCGATCTCCGCTAGAAAGTGGGTACCGCCATTTTTTACACACGTGTCCGTCAGCTACAATGCATTACACCGTCAGTTCAAGGCCAGACTCGGGGGCGGGGATGGGTGATGGAGAGGAAGGAAGCTCGTCTTGCGGCTTACCTTCAACGTCGCCAGTTGAATGTTTGGATTCTTGTTCTCCAGTCGTCGCTTCAACGATCTCATCGCCTCCTTTGGTTGAACACTCTTTGATCTGATCAAATCGGAGATCTCGAGGTTGAGGGCGATGTCTTCCCTGCAGGCGGGTTAGGGTCTGTGTGGAACGTGATCGATTACAGTTTCTAAGAATCAGCATATCAAGGATAATAGAAGTGACTTACAAAGAAGACGCGGTCGCCTTCTCAACCTGCTCATCGAGCGACGAAGTTGACGAGAACCACCCCGCCATGTTTTGATAGTGCGCAATTGACGATCGGCCGGCGACGGCGACGGAATTACCAAATGGCTATGACGTTGGGCAGCAGCAGCAGCAGCGGGAAGTGGGCAGTGGATAGATCTTGAGGTAGTAGTCGGGAGATTCTAAGGCGCAAGATGAGAGGAGACCGATAAGGAGACGGCGATCAAGGCAGCAATAGAGACATGACAAGCTCCAGGCAGATCCGATCCATCGATGAATGTCGGGGGGAGTGTAAGTAAGGTAACCACCTAACCTTAGGAGGTACCTTGAGACAAAGCATGTGGCGGGCCCCATTGGCGGTGGGCGGTGAGTCAGCCGGATGTCAGGCCCCAGGCAAACAATAGCAAGCAATAACATGTGGCGTCATAGGCTGTTGGGCGGTGAAGCGGGCAATATTCCTCCAATTCAGTTACCGATTCATACACAGGCATACAATTACATCCATCCATCCACCATCCACATCCTGCAATTTGTCTGCCTTTCACCTTTTGACCACTTCGTTGGTCTCGTCTCGTCCTATTCTTTTACCCCGTCTGAATTGTGTCTCTCCTCCGCTGCGCATCCCTTCTCTTTCCTCCCACCCTGTTCTTTCATGACCGCGTTCATTATTCCATCCTTTGCGTGTTGCGTTATCTAGTGGGACACCCCCTCCGCTTTGCTTCCGCTCCGAGCCACTTTCGAACGACTGCCGATTTCCTCCCCGCTTCACCTCCGACGTCTTCCAGGGTCATGTGCTGAAGCTTGCCTTCTCCTGATCGTCGTTTCGTATCATGTCCTCAGATGCAGCGGCTTTCCCCTCTCCGCCCGATTTCGCATTGTGGGATAATGCCAGTCGTCCTCGATCCGTCGGGGCTATGCCGGCGAGCGGGCGGCCAGTCGGACTGGCACCGCATCAGATCGGCAACAACCAGAGCTCTCCGGCAAGCCAACCGCCGATTTTCCCCAACATAAAGGACCTGCAGGATGAAGCAGCAGCTTTGGATGTCAATGAGAATACGTCGGTATGTTTCGGGGTCTAGGTGCAGCGCTTGCCACGGTGGTCTCGTGAGTGATACTGATTGGAGTTACGATAGCTTAGTGTCCTGCTTGAAAGAGCGCAAGTGGCCATTAACCAAGCCCGGGAGCTTTCCGACAGCGACCAACTCGACCGAGCCTATGTGCAATACCTTCGTGCCTCCGAGATCACCATCAACATTATTCCGCACCATCCTGACTACCGCGTGACCGCCAGCCAAAGACCGGCATGGTTGAAGAGGTTTGCCGACTTGATGATGGTAGGTCGCTACCTATTGGCATGATGTCTATTTTTATGTATAAGTTGACAGGCCTGGGACTAATGCACCGTGGTAGGCTGTGCGCACGAAACAAGGCACGATGGATGACATCAAACAACAGATTGTGGAGAACAACCTGATGACGAACATACAACCAGTGGGATCATCACAGTCACACCCGACAAGGCCCAAGTCCGAGATCTTGGGTACTTTTCCCCTGAGCGATTCGGCGCAGATGCCGGCTTCTTCACACCACCAAACAGACCTTGAGCTACAGGCAAAGAGGCACCGATTTTCAAGTCCTCCAACAGATGCACTCGCACAAAGATTCGCAAAGTTAAAGATGTCACCACCTGATAGTACCACGTTAGGGCCCGCACCAAACGGTACAAATAGCATTCTACAAGCAGCACCGCAAGATCTCTCGGCTCAGCCGGCGGCTCAAGCGCCGCCACAGACCTCGGCTCTGAGTTCTCCGACACGACGTCCATTAGGACCTCGAGGTCCTCGTAACATGGGTTCCCCTCACGGTGTTCCTACGCTGCCCCCGAAGGTCCCCCTCAACACATCCCTTCCACGAGCACCGGATCCAGCGTACAGCCCGATTTGGTCTGTACCATCTCAGGGACCCTCCAATCCGCCACGGACGTCGACAGAAAGCTCTCGACCAGTCAACCCACGGTATTCTCAGCTCGCAAACTCACCTCACGGAAGCCCGAGCCGGGATGGGTTTGATGACAACCCCTACCGATCAAGGACACCAAACGGGGTTCACCAAGCGAAGGAGATACGAAGCAGCAGTGCTGATCTTCCGCATAGCACTACGATCACTCCGACCGATTTGATCAATTATCTCCGTAAATATAACATTTTGTTAATCGATGTGCGGTCGCGGGATCAGTATGATACTGGACATATCTATGCTTCTTCCATTATCTGTGTTGAGCCGGTAGTGTTGAAGGAGAACGTATCAGCGGAAGAGTTAGAGGAGCGTCTTGTGGTGTCGCCAGAGTACGAGCAAGCCTTGTTTGAGCGACGGAACGAATTTGACATGGTCGTGTACTATGACCAGAAAACGGCCTCGACCAGTTATCTTGCGGGCTCCCCCGTTGGTACCTCGGCACCCCATCTACGAGCGCTCTATGATACGCTTTACGAGTTCAATGCCTACAAACCTCTCAAGGACGGCCGTCCTCCAGCATTACTTCTTGGGGGTCTCGATGCATGGATCGAACTCATAGGCCAACAATCGCTTGTCACTTCTTCTACCGCTGCTGTGATGGGCTCCTTGCAGGCGAAGCGCCCACTTCGAAGACCTGGGCGACCGCTCGGTAGAGTTCCTACGATGGTCAGTGCTAATTCTAGCTTGGAGGTCAGGAAACGGCGACTGCGTGAATACAAGCCACTAAACCCTCAAGAACTCACCGAGTGGATGGAAAAGTCGAAGACGGAGGAGATCGACGCCAGTACCTATATTGAAGAAGATGAGGAGGCTCTGGCAGAGGAGCCGGCTGAAGAGGAGGAGGTCCCTGCTTCACCTTTTGTTCAGAACTATGAAGACTTCTTGCGCCGCTTCCCCGAACCAGGCGCGATACAGCAATCCATGGTGGCGCCGCACATTCGACCGGCGGGTACTTCTGCACCGAACTATGCCGCTCCTGTGCCTGTCGCTCCCTCGCGACCACCTCCTGCAGTTCCACGGCCCAGCTATAGTGGCGTATCGGACGGCCGGCATATCCAACCTACCCTGGAACGGCAGAGCTCCGCCACGAAGACGGCACTCTACACCCCTCTATCCATGCTGAGCCGACTCAAACTTCCTCGAACCGGGCTGACTAACTTCGGCGTAACTTGCTATATGAACTCAACGCTTCAGTGCCTAAGCGCAACCTTGCTGCTGAGCAAGTTTTTCATAGATAATCGATTTAGGTACTACGTCCAGAAGAATTGGAAGGGATCCCAGGGCGTCATGCCAGGACTCTTTGCGAACCTGATCCGGTCATTGTGGAAGAATGATGTTGAAGTAATCATGCCGACCTCGTTCCGAAACTTCTGCGGGCGGCTAAACCAGGAGTGGGCGATCGACCGTCAGCAAGATGCCAAGGAATTCTTCGATTTTGTCGTGGATTGCCTGCACGAGGACCTCAATATCAATTGGCAACGTAACCAGCTTCGGCCTCTGACATTTGAAGAAGAGATGCAACGAGAGCGGATGCCTGTTCCCAAGGTTTCCAAGATCGAGTGGGATCGGTATTGTCATCGCGAGGAGTCCTTTATCTCATCCCTCTTCGCCGGCCAACATGCGAGTCGACTGCGCTGCACGACATGCAAGCGGACCTCTACCACGTATGAGGCCTTCTATAGTATCAGCGTTGAGATTCCTCCGTCGGGAACGGGCGACATCTACCAGTGTCTCCGCAGTTACTGTCAGGAGGAAATGTTGAGCGGCGACGAGGTGTGGAAATGTCCGTACTGCAAGTGCGAGCGGGTTGCGACCAAGCAAATCATCATCACGCGTGCACCCCAGATCCTGGTGATCCACTTCAAGCGGTTCTCGGCCTCGAAGACGCAGAGTGCGCGGAAGATTCATACCCCGATCGAGTTCCCGCTGCATGGGTTGCGGATGGACGATTTCGTGTTCTCGCAGCCGACTCCGACCCCTCTTCCGAACGGTCATTCGGCGGTTGCACCCTCGGGGACGACGATCGCGACAGCGCCTCCCTTCACGTATGACGCATACGGGGTACTGCGACACATTGGGTCTTCGATGGGTAGCGGGCATTATATCTCTCTGGTGCGAGATGCGCAGCGGCAATGCTGGCGCAAGTTCGATGACGAGCGGGTGACGGACTTCAACCCGCGGGACCTGCGACCGAAGGAGCGGTTGCAGAACGAGCAAGCTTACATTGTATTCTACGAGCGAGTGCCTGCGAAATGAGGGGCGTGGAGGAGCAATTTTGCATCTGCATTTTCTGATTCCAGCCGAGCGGATTTGTTTCTTTTTTTAATTTCTTTTCTTGGTCTTCTGTTACTGTGCCAGTCTGTGATCGACACCAAACCACCGATGCTCGATTGGCACGGTATATTTGCCATTCTACCCTTATTTACCGCATGTTTCCTTTCTTTTCTTTTCATTGCTTTTTTACCGAACAGTTTCTGGCGAAGACACGACTGCATGATGACGGACGGGATTGATGAATTGCAAGCATGTAACGAACTATACCTTTGGTTTTATTCTGTGGTCTTGTTTCTTGTGATATTAGTTTGATAGCACTTCGATTCCTAGATCTGCTTTCCAGCCTGGATGCATGGATGTTAAATAGCGGCGCGATGTTTTCAACGGGAAGTGAATGCATGACGACAACCAAGTCTTACTAGAATAAGCAAACGCAATCGGTAGTATTGGTTAGACTAGGTAGTCCCCTAACCCCGACGGACTCAAGAGACCCTTATTGTAGTACAGGGCAGTACATCTGACTCAAAGCTCAGAGTAGACGGACCCAGGAGTCCGTCGCACTAAAATCCTCGAGGCCGCCAGAGACTGGACCTATTCCCTACCTACAGTCCAAAACAGTGGACTCCAAAGCCATGGACGACCATAGAAGCTTCCATGCACGGAAGGGCAGATTTGATGAAAGAAGAAGGGAATTCCGCGCTTGTTCCGGGGCGGGCAGTGAATCCCGATGGGGCTTCCCGAGCGAGCGGGTAACGCTGCCAACTGGCCAACTGGGCGATCTTCCCCGAGGTTATCGCGGGCGGGGGGGATCTGAGGTCGGGAGTTGAGTTGGCTGGCAGTAGTATTGTGGATAAGATAGGCATTGCTCTGCCTCTTGGCTGGGTTGTTATCCTTGCTATAGCGATCGAGAAATACCATGCATTAATGGTGTGTTAAGCTTATGTTTATGTATACTTGTAGTCTATGATGGCGGCTGGATACATTCTCCCCATCGAGGACGGACTGGCTAGGCTGTCAGATAAGGTGGTGGAGAATCATCTCCGAAACAATGTTAATGTTCACTTGGAATCTGTATCGCGGTATTGTATTAGGTCTCAGGCTATTGCTTGCGGTTCCCATACCCTGATTCCTTGAGATCTAGTCTTCGGTGACTATGTAGCTGTACAGTAACAGGCTTCGTGACTGCAACCTCCTCACGTACTGTACTTTCTGTTCCAATTCTTTTCCCTTTTTTTTCTCTCTTTTGGCAGCCCGCAGCAGCACAGGCAAAGCTTGCCTGATTAGGTTTAGTGCCGTATATATACCTGACTAAGACGGGAATAAGCGTGCTGTGATTGGCGCAGATGAAACAATCCCTATCAGGCCACTTTTCCAGATTGCCCAATCGGGAAGGTGTTGGGATTGCCAGTCCAAAGGCACAGAATGACAAGAAGACACTCTTCACAAGCAAGAAGTCCAGGGGAAATTTATCCAGGTTTGCGGTGAAGCTCGGCTATTGCCTGCCTCACAGGTCCAGTCCGGATCTTCACCACGGGAATGAATGAGTTCCGCGGTGGAGTGGCGAGGAAAAGGAAGAGGACACAGACAGAGTGAGCGGCTGCCTAAGGAATCCACCGGCGCCATTTGATCGACTCCGAACGGACTGATTGATTATTATTATTATTCTGGACTATCTCTCTCTCTCTCTCTCTCTCTCTCTCTCTCTCTTCCCTTCCTTCTCCTCTTCTTTCTCCGCTTCTTCTTCCTCTTCACTCTTTCTTTTCCTCCCTTCGTGCCGCATCGTCTGCTTCTTGCCTGTTCGCGTCTTCTGTCTATCCTCTTTTCTGGTGAGTTCTTCTCCTTGCTTGCTTGCTTGCTTGCTTGCTTGCTTGCTTGCTTGCTCCTTTTACCCTCTGGATATACCCTCTCTCTGTATCTCCCAGTATTTGAGAGCAGCAACCCCGGGAAAAGCATCAAGAGTGATACACAAGCACCCGTTCCACCAGACCGGGAGTTTCTGTCTCCAGCCCAGCGCATCGCTCATGTTGCGCCACTTTCCACGCACTTGCATCCAATTCCCAGTCCAGTCCCAGTCCAGCTTATCAGTCTCTGACTCCGTCCGCCCCTCAATTCCCACCTATCTATCCCTCTGCCTCTGCATTATCGCAAACCTCCCCTAAGAAAAAGCAAAAGCAAAAGAAATAAACCAACTAACCTCCCTCATTAATCCAACCCAGTCCTCCCTCAAAAAACAAAACAATCAACCAAAATGTCCGAGACCAAGGAATTCACCCTCGCCGAAGTGACCGGCCACAACACCAAGAAAGACCTGTACATGGTGATCCACGACAAGGTCTACGACTGCTCGTCATTCGTCGATGAGCACCCGTACGCATTTCCCTCCCCATAAACCCCCTCGCCCACAGGCCCACACCCCCCCCAACTAACCCACCTCAAACAAACAGCGGAGGCGAAGAAGTCCTTCTGGACGTCGCAGGCCAAGACGGTACCGAAGCCTTCGAGGACGTTGGCCACAGCGACGAGGCCCGCGAGATTCTGGACGGGTTGTTTGTCGGAAACGTGAAGCGCATGGTTCGTCCTCCTTAAAAAAAACCCCCCAACCTAACCCCATCACCCAGCCCCATCAAACCCGCAACCCAAACCACACCCCATGCTAATAACTCTCCACTCAAAAATAGCCCGGTGACCCCGCCCCCCGCGCACAATCCAAGCCCGCCGCCTCCGCCTCCTCCGGTGACGCCGCCGGCATGGGCGTCGGTCTGTACGCGTTCCTGGCCGTCGGTGGTTTGATCGCCTACGGCGCGTACCAATATCTGCAGAAGGCGTCGCTGTCTGCTGAGACGCAGTAGTCTTTCGCTTTCGTGCGGCTTTTTGTTAATGCTTGGTTCATGTCATGTCTTTTTTATTTTTTTGTTCTGGCTCGAAATCCATACCGTATATCCTTAATTCGGAGAAGATGATTCTTACCTTACTGGGTTCACTTCTGGTTGTTTCTTTGCGTTAGATGGTTGATTTTGTGTCTGAGGTTGGGGTTGTGGTTCTTGGATTTCTTGAGGAGAGGGAAGAGGTATCTTTGGTGAGTTTGGTAGTGTTAGTTTGAGGATATGGGGGCAGGAGAGGGAAGACAAGAGGGTGGTTGATCGATATCCATACTGATCTCAAGAGCTCTGTGCAATTTCATATACTTTCTCTTCTATCCGAGTGAGCAATTGTGCGAGCGGAGAGAGGATATTCTACTGGATTAGAACAAGTACGAGTGGGTTGGTATACAGTATACGAGCGACTTAAAACGGTGAGTAGAGTAAGATAGAGTAGATAGGGCTAGTTAGCTCATGCATAACTCATGGCAGATAACAAATCCAACCGCTGCCAAAAATGCTCAAAGGATCTCTGATCGTAACAGTCTTCTTCTTCTTCTTCTTCTTCTTCTTTTATAAACATAACAACACAAATATAGAACTGTAAGATAAAGTGTAATAGTGAGGTAGGTAGGAGGGTGTACGTAGTGGTAAATGATAGAGGGATCAATAAGAGTGGGCGGGCGTGCAAATTATTTCCAAATCCTTCCTTCCTTCCTAACTTCTTGCTTGACTTCACCTCTTCTCCAGGGTCTACCGGGAGTTACCGCTGGTTCCGGCGCGGACGGCCTCCAGGATCATGTCCTTGGCTTCTTCCAGACCTTCCTTGCTGCCCTTGATCTCGATCGCCTCGCCCTTGGCTTGGCCCTTGGGCACGTTGATCCGGCATCCCGTTTGCTTGCGGATCGCGTTGATCTGGCTGCCGCCCTGGCCGACGACGAATCGGTAGGTCTTGGGGTCCGGCAGGATCAGGTAGCCCGTGGCCGACTGCTGCGAGCCATTGGCGATCGCCTTCTCCAGGGCCGCCTTAGCCTTGGCGACGTTGTCGCTGGTACCGGCCAGCACCCAAGGGATGGTAGCAGGCTCGGAGGGGTCGGCGGGCGCGGGGCTGTTGTCGACGATCTTCCACGAGTGGACCTCAGCGGCGTCGCTGGGCTCATCCGTGATAAGGGGCAGCGACGAGGATCCGTTGACCTCGCCGCGAGAGTCCTCCGAGACAGGCTTGGGAGGCACCTGCTGGCCAGCGTGGTCGACGGTGACCCGGTAATCGTTGCGGAGGCGACGGAAGAACGAGCCGTTATCGGCAATCACATGGTGCAGGTGGCGGGGGACTTCGACCGTCTCGCCCTGCTGGTCCTTGAGCATGCCGCTAATGTGCTCCTTCGCATCGGCGACAGCCTGGCTGGGACCCTTGAGCTTGATCTCGGTACGGCCAGAACCCTGCTTGGGGATGTCCAAAGTGATGTTGAACTTCGATTCGATGTTGCGTCTGGTATCACCACCACGGCCGATGAGGAGACGGTGTTGGATGGTGGGAACATCAAGGGTCTCGGTCACCTGATCCGCACGCTCCTGGACGAACTCCTCGATAGCAGCAACGATCTTGTCGACAACCTGTCCGTTTCCTTCCAGCTTGATGGTCGATTCAGTGCTCTCGGGGCGGGGGAACTTGACAAGCCGAGAAGCACTGCCATCGGTAGGACCGCCAGCGTCAGCGACAATCTTACGGATGTTCGCACCTGTCCACTGATTAGCAATTTGAGTCAGTTGGTATTGGACGAAAGAGCTTACCGCCACTGCCGATGAGGGACTTGTGGTACTTCTTGTCCACGTCGATAGTCTTGGTGACGATGGAATCGAATTCGCCGGACCGTTGAAGCAAGATCTTCTTGGCCTCTTCGACCTGCTGCTTGGTACCACGGATCTTGATCTGCACGCGGCCCGACTCATCCGGAGCGTCGTTGACGCCAGGAACATCAATCTGGGCACCAGTGTCGGCACGGAGCTTGTCCATCTCACGACCGCGCTGGCCGATCAGCGAGGGGATCTGGGCCTGAGCCACAGACACAGTCGCAGTGTGGGAATGATCGACGACCCATTGCAGCAGGCTCAGGATCTCATCCCGTGCCGAGTCAGCACCCTTGCTGGGACCCTTGATAATGACCTCGTCCGCAGCCTGCTGAGACCGGTTGGGGCGAGAACCACCCGCTTCGCTGGAAGTCTCCTGGTCTTCACTGGCAGCTCTGGGGAACTGGACACGAACGGCGTAGCGGTCCTGGAGTCTGTTGACCTGGCTCCCCTTCTGACCAATCAACTCACGGTGGTACTGAGCGGGGACCTTGAGAGTGTGAGTGGTCTCATCTTCCAATTTCTTCCCGAGGTTGATGATCCGGGTCTTGGCAGCATCAGCCTTAGCCTTGGGGCCCTTGACCTCAACCTTGCCGTTCTCGACCTTGATGTCCACATCGAACTCCTCACGAAGCTTATTGATGTTCTCGCCCTTCTTGCCAATGAGGAAGTTGGCGAACTTCTGGGGGAAGTCAAAGGTCGTAGTGTACCCTCTCTCAAGGTCATCCTTCTCCTGCTCTACAACGAATTCCTGGATCTTGGAGATCAGGTCTTCCACAAGGCGGGAGGGACCACGAAGGGCTACCTCGGCCTCGTTCCGGTTCTGTCCTTCACCAACGATAGCGCGGACGGGGATCTCATCCTCGCCCTTGTTCTGCTGTTCACGGGCAATAAACTTCCGAACTTTATCCTGGTACTTGCTGGGAACGCTAATACACTTCGCCACGACTTCCTTCTGGTCACCAAGAGTGCTCAGGAGATAGTCCTGGGCTTCCTGGAGGACCTTCTCAAAGGTGGCCACTTCTGCAGGAGAAGGCCTTTGTCTCGGGATCTCGAATTGGCCAGCGTTAGCCGAGGGGCCCTCGTAAACCATGAACACGTCCGAGCTATCAATATCCTCAGGCACCAAAAGGTGGACACCATAATCGTTTTGCAGCTTGGGGATAGTGCGGGACTCCAAGTACGGGTGGTAATAAGGGTCAACATTAACGGCACGGATTCTGGTCGGAGGGTGTGCCTGAACGAGATTCATGATATCAGAGCGTGCACGGATGGTGTTCTTTCCGTCCCGAGAGTAAACCTCCCAGGTGACCGGACCGTCGGAACTGGGCGGCAGCGCAATGCGAGCGTCATAGAGGCTCTCCAACTCCTTGATAATCTGGCGCTGTCTGAGGTAGCGAGTGAGGGCACGGGCATGGGCATGAGGTCCAGCAGGAGCGTTGGGGTGTTGGCGAGAGAGGTCAATGCTGGCCATTTGCATGCTCGTCGCGAGATCCATGGCCCGGTTGATACCATTCTCGATGCAGTCGACAGGTCCAGTGATGGTAAGAAACTCGCTGTCATCGGAATCAGGAGGCAGAACGATGGCACAGCCAGTATCGGCAAGGAAATCGTGTAGAGCATCAGCATTTTCACCGAGGATGAATTGGTGCTGGCCGCGGTTGATGGCGAGTTGGCGCAAGGTCAGCTGGCGCTGAAGATCGGCGGCAAGACGCTCAATCTCGGCGCGAGCTTCCTGGGCCGCAATGCGCTCACCAGCGATGTGAATGTGTCTTTCCGGAGCAGGAACAAATTGAACATGGCCAGGGTCAGCCTCCTGAGGAGGAGGCTGGCTCTGCCATGTGTCGTACCGCGGCACATGCACTTGTGCCTTTGTGCGCTCCTCAATTTCCTTGAGCTGCGCGTTGTGAGCACCTGCAATGAAGGGGAAGAACTCCGGGGGAATGGTTTTCAGTCGCAAGCTCATGTTGGAAGCTCTCTCCCGAACAATGGCCTCGATTTCGCGACGAGCCATCTCCGCGGCAACGGCATCACCCTCAATCAACACGTCAATGGTATCATCGTCATCGAAGTCATCTCCGGGAGCAGACTCCTCAGCACGGGGAACCTGGACACGCGCTCCTGTCCGTTGCTGAATGTCTTGAACGACAGCGCCTTGACGGCCAATAATGTGAGGGCGAGCGGACGTGGGGATAGGGACACGGACGGATTGCTGGAAGGACATGTCAGCTTCCTATGTCCTGAATGAGCGCCAAAAACAACATACCTTAGATCCGACCTGCTGTGCGACTTCTTTGAGCGCCTGTCTGACAGCATCCGCGGAACCTTTACCCTCGAAGATAATCGAGCCTCCCGGTCCACCGCGCATGTCGACATTGGCTTTGGAACGTCGAGAAATGTCGCGCAAAATGTCGCGCAGGGGCTTCTTCAGCTGGCCGCGGGGAAGCATCTGGGATGGTGCCAGCCGAAGCTGTTCCATGTGCTTTCCGGGCAGACTCATGATCCTCGGGACATCAGAAGCTAGTTTGGAGCTGGTGTCAGCGACGCTGATTCGATGTTTGCCGGTGCTGAACAACGTGCACATACCTGCTTGCACGCCACTGGCGCCATTGGCGACAGCAGCAGCGGAAGGACCCCGAGCGCCCCAAGCGGAGACGGCGGGGGTCTTGGGCTTCGGTCCACTTCCGAGAGCGGGGAACAATTCCTCGGACTGCACATCGAAGGCGGGAGCTTTCTTTGGAGCAGCCTTGGGAACAGAGGGAGTGGGAGCCTGGGAGGACGCAGCGGAGTCGGAAGCCTCGACCACCGAGGACGGAGGAGGGTGCTTGAGATCTTCCTCATCCGGGACATCCTCCACGGTCACCTTGTGCGCCTCATCGCGAGCGTGCTGCTCTTCCAACATAGCAGCCCGGGACTTGGTGCCACCATTGAGATCGACCGTGACTGCTTCGGAGGCCATTGTAGCAGGGACAAACCAGGACGGGACGAATTGATCTGGGAACGGTAATTATGCGATTGGACGAAAAAGGATATCGACGGGCACTGGCAGGCAGCGAGATTAGAAATGTGGGAAGGAGCCAATTGAGAGAAAGGCGCGGTATACCAGCTAAATGCAAATGTCTGTGTAATTATAATTGGTAGTCGAGTACCGAAGGCCGAAAGGACTGATTGTGTTGACAGCACCAATTCCTAAAAGCAAGAGCCAAAAAGGAGCAGCTGAGAGGCGAACAAAGTCAATTGCTATCTGTTGAGGCTAAAGGCTGCAGAAATGATGAAGAAAGTCAAGATCGCAGGCGCTATTGCATCCCAGGATTTAGAAATGAGGGAGGAGGAAGAAGGAATTCCGAAGAAAAAGTGGGAAGGCGGAAGAAGAGTAGAGATGAGAGTGGGGGGAAGGGAGGTGGGTGAGAGAAGAAAAGAGAGGTGAATGAGAGGGAGGAGAGAAAGGGTCAACGAATTGACACAATCACGCAAGAGAGATTTAAAGATGTGAGGTGAGGAGGGGAGGTGGAGAGGATGAGGTGAAAGAGACCAAAAAGAAAAGGAAGTGGTGGTTGTTTGGTTTGGAAGTTGGCCCGGCGGGAAGAGGACAGAAGGACAGACTGGAAGCCGGGGAGAGCAACCTCATTATTCCTGTTTGGGCGATGGTCTGGAAGTTCCACCGCCCAGAGCCGCTTTTCTGCTTTCTTCAATCCTTCTTCCTTTCTGTCGATTCAATGCATGGAGAAAATGACTTGAATTGAACTTCACCCCAATTGAACCTGACTACCTGACTATTGCACATAGCTGACAGTTCAGCAGCAGTTGAGTTGAATTGCACAGTCTCATTGGCTCGAAATGTCCTGCATTGTGCTCATTCTGGGGAACCTGGTGACGTTCCAATCTCCAGCCAGCAGGCTTACCTCAGCTCTTCTCCTCCCGTCTACAGCAGCCTGCTATCCACGAGGGTCATATTGACAGTCAGCTTCGACTCTTATGCCGGACGATGCAGGGAATATGGGCTCCGCCTTGAAAGAATTGACCGACAGCAGGCTGACATATTCACTCTGGCCTAGGCCCGATCGCCGACGTTGTGGTAGTCAGCAGTACCCAAGAAAACCCAAGAAGTCTTAGCTCTCAAAGCTTCTTGTCAAAAACCGAAGCTATTCTGGAGTAAAGAGGCGATGACCATCTGCATCGATCAAGAAACACTTCAAACTAGGTCGTGCACTGTGACATCTTATGTGCTGACTTCGAAGGCGGCGAACAACCGTTTCATATATGAGTAGCGGCAATTTCTTCCACCGCGTTGAACTGTAGTTATTAATGACCACTGCCGACTCAGCTCTTCTGGATCCTGATGCAGACAGACTAGCGACACTGCTTGTCCGATGTTTTTTGCCAAGATCATTCTCACTTCCGTGGATAAACCCTGATGCTACTCCTCTTTATCGCGGGATGTCCGATAGGCCCTGTCCACTTACACTAGGGAGTAGTGGCTGAGAATCGCCACCCCAAGGGTCGCTGCGGGAAAGTCTGCCAAGACAAGCTTATCATAAGGTTACAATGTCTTGTCTCTTCCCCCTCGTTCCCTCCGCCGCGAAGGATCTTGGTGTCAACCCACTGCACCATACTTTCTAACTGTATATTTGCCGAAGAAAGAGAGGCCAGATAGCAAAACCTGAGCGAGTCTGAAGACAAAGACCTCAAGGCTCAACCACGATGCCGAAATCTTCCCGCCCCACTGCTGCAGAGAGAGACACATGGGCCGATGTGGACCGCAACCTTAACCCAGACAGGCAGACAGTCTCAGCCTCTACAATTCGATTTTTTCGTCTTGTTTGACAGCCGGGATTGTGCAGTGACTGTAGGGCTCTCTCTAAATCAGACAAGAATGGCAGCTTCCCACGTGCCGCCGACTCAAAATCCATGGCTGGTGGACTGGGGAAGTGAGACACAAAATCTGCGTATCGCCCAAGAATATCATAAGATCGGCGGTTCTGCTGGTTTGAGGCTAGGCTGGGGGGCAATTACTATCGCCAGCTGATAAGAAAAACCTTGTCCCACAAATAACATTCCATTGTTTCTCGAAGGCAAAAGATAAAGCGTGCCTGAGACTAGCCGAGTGCCCCAAACGGTCCCATAACTCGGCTAGCGGCGCGTGCTGTTGCGCGCTTTGAGGCCATCGACAGGTTTCTCTTATTAATTTTTCGGAATAACCCGTGCTACAAATAGATAATGCCCTGAACCTTTTCTGGGGAAGAAAAAAAAAGTTTCTTTCTTCTCTCCTCTTGCTGCAGCCAACAAGTCTTTCCCCAAGCAAAGACAGCAGCAAGAAGCCTCCAAACATGGAGTACCCCAGTCTTGAAGAGGGTCACAAGCTCGAACCGAAGCTGACCACAGCTGAGGTGGAGGAGCAGGCCCTGGTGAAGCCCGCGGGTTTCTTCCCCAAAGTTCTCTACTATGAGGCTCTGCTGGATAAGAAGCTGGGCATTGAATCCAACAGTATCGAGCGTGTCACGCCGGAGAAGAAGCAGCCTCCCAACACCTTGGCCATGGCCTTGATTTGGGCCTCCGCGACTATGAACCTCAGTTGTTTCAGTTCGGGTTTCTTGGGATGGCAGTTTGGCCTTAGCTTGGGACAGGTCATCCCCATCATCATCTGCGCGACACTTCTGGGCGGGGCAATCACGGTTCGCATACCATCCTCTTCATTTGCGTCAATTTGATTGACTGCATATCAAGAGTGCTTACGTCTTTCTCCATTAGGGCTGGTGTGCTACCTTGGGTCCGGGTACTGGCCTCCGTCAAGTCGCCATCTCTAGATTTTCTCTAGGGTTCTACCCATCGTCCATCATCGCCGCGCTGAACGTGGTTGAACAGCTGGGCTGGTCATCCGTCAGTTGTATTACCGCCGGCCAGGCCCTCGTCGCGGTCTCAGACGGACGTATCTCGATTGTCGTCGGAGTCGTCATTGTCGCCTGCCTCAGTCTGGCCATCGTCTTCTTTGGGCTCAAAGTGGTGATGAGCCTCGAGCAGTGGATGTGGTTGATCGCCTTCATCGTCTTCATGATTGTCTATGGACAGTCGGGCAGTCATGCCAATCTCGCTCAACCGGCTACAGTATCCGGACTCACCAAGTCCGGCGAAGTCTTGAGTTTGATCAGCGTGATTTACGGATCCAGTGCCTCCTGGTCCTCCATCGTCTCCGACTTCTACGTCCACTATCCGGTTAATACCTCCCGAGTCAAGGTCTTCTTCTTCACGGCCTTGGGAATCTCGCTGCCCACCTGCATCGGATTGTTGCTGGGCGCATGCATTGCCTCGTCTCTGGGCACAAACCCCGAGTGGGCTGAGGCATATGACAACGGCATCGGCTACATCTTGCAGGAAATCATCCATCCCAAGAAGTTCGCCAAATTCTGCCTGGTCCTCCTAGTGCTGTCTAACGGTAGGTTCCCTCTACTATCAATCTCTCTTGCACAACCAACATACTAATTCCGGACCAGTCGGTATGAACTGTATCAACATCTACGCCGCCTCCATTTCGGCGCAATTGTTCGCCCCGCCGTTCCGAAAGATCCCTCGCATCCTCTGGACCGTGGTTGTCTTCGCGTGCATCATCGCCATCGGCATCGCCGGTCGCGACCACCTGCTGACCGTTCTGGACAACTTCCTTTCCCTGCTGGGCTACTGGAACACCTCGTTCTTCGTCATCCTGTTCTGCGAACACTACCTCTTCCGCGGCGGCAACCTGGCCAACTACGATCTCGACGCCTGGGACACGCCCTCCAAGATGCCCATCGGTCTGGCCGGTCTGACCTCCTTCCTCTGCGGTGCCGCCGGCTGGATCGTCGGCATGGACGAGACCTACTACGTCGGCGCCTTGGCGCGGATGATCGGCGACGGCGGCGGTGATATCGCCAACGAACTGGCGCTGGTCTTCACCTCCATCTCTTTCATCCCGCTGAGATGGCTCGAACTGAAATATGTCGGGCGGTGAAGCTACGGTTTTTGGCAGTGTTGTTTTGTTGTTCATATGCATCGCAGTGATTTCATTTGCGGGAGACGTCCTTTTTCCATGTCTATAGTATCCATAACGAAGAAATAATGCCCGAGATAACGTCGGAACGGCTTAATAGGAATCTACACTATGATATTCTACTCCCATTGTTACCTGGTAACCTCTTCGATTTGTACATGTACTTAACCCGCGATCTCACTCGCGACTCACATCGACGAACTGGATATCCGCAAGATAGCGATGTTCTACCCATAGTCGAGCATATATCACGCGACAGCGCTACTCATCTCCAACCATGTTTCCCGCAGGTACAGTACACCTTACAGCAAACCTTGCCCCTCACTTACGGATAGATAACCTTCCATGCCCATGCACCCTGCACCCGAGGTGGCAACTCAGCCCGAAGCTTGAATCTACATCATTTGACGCACGAACTGTCGCCAAGTCCGATGTCTACAGTACTTAGTACATAAGACGAGCAGTCAGTCGTAAGAGGCGGAAGCAGCTCACCATCCGACAGTGTCAATCACGACATCATCGCACGACGATCCTGATCTCCGTCTTGATGTGCGCGCCCGTTGCGTTGAGGATGTACCGGGCCGAGCCCGAGCTTATCCACTCGGGTTGTAGATCGAGGGCTTCTGGCAGGTTGGCTGGAGGGGTCGGGGTGAGTACGTTTATTGTGTCGGTATCGACGCCATTATCGTTGCAACTGCGTCGGTGGTGTTGTTTGTTTGATTGCTGGCGTAGAGGGTGATTGGGCCTGGGAGAAAGTACAGAGCATGATTATGTAGAAGAGCTGGGGGCACCGCCATCAGTGCATTCAACACCCGACATAGCGATCAAAGTCCGGCCGTCGAGGGTAGAAAATACGTACAGTACACCTCTCCGGCCATGACACAACACCACCCTAACTAGCTGACTAGCTAACTGAGGCAGTCAAGCCAACACCACCTATCAGTCGGGTGACAACGCAAAGCTCTAGAACAGGCAAGCCGAGATTCCTTCAAGTTCTAGACCCCCCACTCCCCAAACCCAAGACAGCAGAAGAGTGCCACAGGAACAAGCAGTGATACCTGAAGTCAGGACCGTGGTGGTCGAATTGGAACATCAACCATTGAAGCTTTCCTGGGTCAATGCGTCTGTGCCGACTGCCAGTGAGTGTTCCTCCTGAATTTATACTTTCCACCGTAGGTCGATTGTGAAATGTCATGGTGTCGTTGGCGGATACCTGCCTACCTATCCTGCTTGCTGCTGGATTCTGTTTTTGTACGGGGAAGTGGGGAGTACTTTGTTGCTGGGATTCGACCTCGCTGAATGGGGAGGTTGCCTATCTACTTACTGTTCTTAGGTCGGGGAGTAGTTTTATCGCTAGATCTCGATCCCGCAGCAAGGTTGTCGACATACTATAATGTGACACTTCATTCAATCAATAATCTGCCAGACATGCGCAGCTTTATTGGACGGACATAAGGACATAAGTCTTTTCACTACGGCCACAGATTCAAGGGGCAAGTAGGGCAGGGCATACGAAGTCTAAAAGTACGGGAGGATCAGAAGACTGCCCGTTTGACAGAGCGCCCTCCCCTCCCCTCCACCGTGTCGAGATCTCAGACAAGCCCACACCATCATCATCAGCATCAACCACCCGATCGCAAGAGCCGATACGATCACACACACACCCTCACCGGCTCGGAAAACCAGAGGCTGCTATCCAAGAAACCTCCAGCGGTTAGACGTCATTTCTGCAGAAAAGGGAAAGAAAAAAGGAACGAACGGGATTTGCCGGTCCCCGTCCGCCCCGACCAGAGTTTAATGAGACTGGTCCAGTCGACCAGAGATGAAATCAGCCAAGTTTCACATACACTGCAGTCCCGCCGTGATATATCGAAATGACATGAGAAGGAGCTGGCGGTGTCTGATTTCTTGAGCACTGTTATTTAACTACGCCCTTGCAATTGAGGCTTTTGTTAAGATCGCCGTCCAATGTGTTTTAGAAGAACCCGGCGTGGGACTATGGCTTCTAGCCTTCTGTTCTTCCGCCGCCTCTGAGTACTTCTTCCGCAAGGGTCCTCGGGGGTTACTTGTAGGTTGATGATCGCTCATATATGATCTGCCTCGTCTGTATCCTCTCTTTTCCCTTGGGTTCATTAAAGGGGCAATAGCCCGGAAACAGATGTGTGACTCTTGTCTGATTTACAGTAAGTCCTTTTTTTTTGGTTTTGCAGATGCAGGGGTTCTGGACTGTCTGGAGGGGTTTTGGGTTGTATGATCGAGGCGGCTGCCTTCTCATTGATGTACCGTATGTTCAGTACAGTACCTGCAGGAATTCATCATATCGGGGGGGGGTATGATCATTGTACTCTCGGTCTCCTCTGGTTTGAATGTCCTATACATGATAGATTCTGGTACTCGACTTCAGGGCGATGACGGAATGGTCGGCTGCCTCCAAATCCATGATCAAGAAAATGATGTTATGCCACTGGCCAGCTACAAGCCGACTGCTGGGAATAATAAGGGAGGGCGTCCCAGTCGAAGGAAAATGTATCCACTGCGGCATGGAACAATAATAATAATAATAGATTGGTGTTGGGCACAGAATTTGGTTGGACTGGAAAGTGCCCCGCCTGTCTAGCGTGGCCACTAACCGTTCCATCTTTCAGCATCATCGATAGACTATAATCGCCCTGGTTATTATTATCAATCATCCTCCTCCTGCAAACCTTCCACACTCTATCACCGAAGTCCGGGGCAGCTCAGACATTATTAATATAAGGCAGGCAGGTAATATCCTACGGCGATGATGCTAATTTGCTGCCGTCCAAGTGTCACAGAGCTGTCTGGTCCATGAATCGTAAATGGACGCCATACCTACCCTCCTGGTCCAGAGTGACGGGGAAGGTGTGGAGTTGCACCAGAGAAAAGGGAAGAGCATCAATCAATCAGTTCGCGCTCCACACGTCGACCTGCAACCGGGGTCGAAAGGACGTGTCTAGAATTTTTCTCGTTGCCCGTTCGGATGCTTCAGTATATCTGAGTCTGAGACAGATGATGTTGCCTTGTGGTTGGGGACTAAAGTACCATCCTGTTTAGTACATACACAGTACTACCTACTGAGAACCCTTTTTGCGAGAGTGAAGACACTTGATAACTACTGTACATACCTACCTAGTAGTAGTAGAAAGATACTCTTCCCAGCACTGGAGGGGTTGGTTGGTTGGTTGGACAAAGGACAACAAAAGCCGGCCAGTTTGTCCTTCCCAACACGATGAGGATTGGGATGTTGACCGCCCGATAGTAGAGTAGTTCTCAATACAATCCGTTGTGGTAAGAATAAAATACACCCTCCTCCGTCTGGGCTTGGATTCAAGAGAACGACGACGGGGCCGTTTTAGCACTCGCTTCAATAATCGATCGCTTGCTGTCTCTCTCCACTCTTTCCCCCTCCTCTTTCCCTCGCTCTCTCTCTTTCTCGCGAGTCTCGACACTAAGTCCCTCATGCCCGGCCCCCTCCCCTCCCCCAACCCCCTTCTGTCTCCCACCGTCATCGCTGGTCGTTCTCTGTGACTGACTTATTACTCACTGTTATGTTATACCTTTTTTGGTGCTGCAGATCTGTGTGCTGAGCTGTCGGTTATCTGCAGTGATCCTGCATTCAACGGAATCAAATCCATCTCTCACTTTTTTTTTTGGTGATCTATTTCGCCTAGTTCTGTTACCATACCAAACCTTTTTTCTGTTTCCTTCTGGTCTCTGCACTGTCTTATCCCTTCTATTCTTCTTTACCCGTTACCAGCAGACGGATAGACAGACACGACAGGTCAGTCAAATCACCACCAAGTCAGTCACCGCCTAATGCTCTCCACGTGCTAACTACTGGTTGACGGTAGCCCGCGGCAGCTTCTTTCGCGCCCTCCCTTGCGTCTGTCCAAGTATTCTGGATCCCTCTCACATTTCCGATTCCTCCGTTGCTCCATCAGAGCTGTCTTCCCACACCCCCCTCCTCCTCTCCCCCCGTTGGGGCTATCGATCTGACCGTGCAGCATTGCACCCACCCCTCCCCTCCCCGCCAGCGGTCCCCATTCGACACCTATCATCGAAAGAAGGTGACGGTACAGTAGGGACAAGCACAGTGCGCACCGCACCGCCTCACTCAGTGGCTTCCCCTCTCCCTCCAATCAAACCTCAATCTTGGTCGCTCAACCCTGCTGCGACCACTCGCTCAAACTGTCACTCCACCTTCCCCCTCTACCCCCTAAACCGCACGTCATGAATCACGATAGTTTCTCTTCCCTAAAATTTCGACGGTCGTCAAGCAAGCTTCAGAAAGACCCCCCGAGCTTCACCTCCCGCATCCTGAAGAGTCAACAGAGCAATACCTCTCTCAAACGACACCCCTCAGCCCCCGTCTACCCTCGCTCCGCTGCTAGTGGAGGCCGAGAGCACACTCGCACGAGATCTAACGCATACGGCTCATCGTCATCCTCCCTCGATCAGAATAGCGGCAATCCGTCTCCGGCACACTCTGGCAACGAGTCGGGATATTTTCCGAATAACAACAACAACAACAACAATTCTTCGTCCAAATACCGTCCTCCCCCCGCCGGTCGCTTCTCGCTTAGTGAGCAAAGCTCAGATGAACTAATTGGCACCCCGATCGATACTCGGGGCATGCTCAGCTCTTTGAAAGAGAATTCGACTGAGCCCGGTCCCGTTCCCGAGAAGCCCCCGACCCTGCGGTCTGCCACAAGCCCTGAAACTCGAGGATTGAGACAGTCTGCCAGCCTCGCTACCTTACAGAGCCGGATGGAGACGTTTGTGCACAGGGCGACCGACAATGACCGCTCGGCTAATCCGAAGCGTCTTTCCGATGAGGGTAACACAACGACCAGGCCATTCGCGGGCAGAAGCAAGAAGAGCAGTTTCTCAAGCTTCGTCAATAGTATGTTAGGTTCTCCACGAGGCATCAAGATCTCCGCTCCAGAGAATCCAGTCCACGTCACTCATGTCGGCTACGATAACCAAACCGGCCAATTTACAGGCCTTCCGAAAGAATGGCAACGGTTACTGCAGGAGAGTGGCATCTCCAAGAAGGAGCAGGAAGAACACCCACAGACCATGGTTGATATTATGAGGTTCTACGAGAAGAATGCCCGTGGTGATGATGAGGTTTGGCACAAATTCGATCATGCATACCCGCAACACCCGTCAGCCGCCAGTCCGGCCTCCGGCCCCGGATCCTACGGCCCTGGATCGCAAAGAGTGTCTCCTCCAACAAGTCCCCGATTCCCTCAGAACCATGAAGGTAGCTTTGAGAATCCCCGGGCGCCACCTCCGATTCCTCGCGGTGCTCCTGCAGCGGCCCAAGCCATGTCACCATCGGCGGGTGGCTTTGTTCCCAACCGGGCCCCGCCAAAGCCCCCAAGCGCAGGCACCATCACTCCTGCTCGCCCCGCCCCTCAGCCTCCTACTACAACCACATACGCCGCAGCACCAGTGCGTGCAGCCCAGGATGCCTATGCTCAGGCATACGCCACGCCCCCGATCCCGGAGACGGAGCCTCTGCCCAAGGAACAGCACCCGTTGAGTCGATCCAACTCTAAGGCCAACGGTACGCCCGTGCCCTGGACGGCACCGTCTCCGGCACAGTATCAGCAACAACAGGAACAGGCTATGGCTGCAGCCCAGCAGGCGATCGTCAACAAACAACTTGAGCGCAGCCGCAGCCAGCGTCAGCAGCAAGCCGCTCGTGCGGAACAGAAGCAACCTTCGCAGCAAGCACCTCCCCAACATATTACACCCGTGGAAGAGACATCTGCTTCGATGCAGCATGCCCGCGCTGCTCCAGCTGCGGCTGCGGCTGCCGCCGCCACCGCTCCCGCCGCTCGTCCGCGGCAACGGGCCCGCCAGAGTAACGCCATGGATGTTAGACAACGACTACTTGCTATTTGCACACCCGGTGACCCGACCAAACTGTACCACCATCTCAACAAGATTGGCCAGGGAGCGTCGGGCGGCGTTTTCACTGCTTATGAAAATAATTCTAATAGTTGTGTCGCCATCAAGCAGATGAACCTGGACTTGCAACCTAAGAAGGACCTCATCATCAACGAAATTCTGGTCATGAAGGACAGCAAGCATAGGAATATCGTCAATTTTCTGGACAGCTATCTGCATGGTCTTGATCTCTGGGTCGTGATGGAATATATGGAGGGTGGTAGTTTAACAGACGTGGTCACTTTCAACATCATGAGCGAGGGGCAGATTGCTGCTGTTTGCAGAGAGGTAACTTATACAGCTAGTCCAAACTCCGATTGTTCGGAACGCTGACATTTGGTAGACTCTGAGTGGTTTGCAGCATCTGCACTCGAAAGGTGTCATCCATCGTGACATCAAGTCGGACAACATTCTCCTGTCCTTGGATGGCAACATCAAATTGAGTGAGTAATTTCTCTGATCCGCGCACTCTCGCAAACAAGTGGTCTAACTTCTACTAGCCGATTTCGGTTTCTGTGCCCAGATCAATGATTCGCATAATAAGCGAAACACTATGGTTGGTACGCCCTACTGGATGGCACCAGAAGTCGTCACCCGAAAGGAGTATGGTCGCAAGGTCGACATCTGGAGTTTGGGAATCATGGCAATCGAGATGATTGAGGGCGAGCCCCCTTATCTGACCGAGTCCCCTCTGCGAGCGCTGTACTTGATCGCAACCAACGGCACGCCCACAATCAAGGACGAACATAACCTGTCTCCTGTTTTCCGGGACTTCCTGCACCTCGCGCTCAAGGTGGACCCTGAGAAGAGAGCGTCAGCCCATGATCTGCTCAAGGTATGTCAACTGTTCTTGTCTCCCAGCCCTCGCTCTTACTGACTGGTCCTAGCATCCGTTCATGTCTCTCTGCGCTCCTCTCTCGCATCTGTCGCCGCTTGTCAAGGCTGCACGAGCCAACAGAGCGCAAGAAAAGGCTCAAAAGGGGGGCGCCTAGGTACCGTCACTTCTAACTGTTACTATATACGTCGATATCTTCTGTCTTCTCTCTCTCAGATACCCATGACTCCCGATGTTTTCATATTTGCTGGACATGTTATGCTGGCATCGCATAATGACCAATGTCTTGTTCATCCTTTGACTGTTTCTTCCCGCGGATCTCCCATTTGATTTTGATTGTCTAGATGGCGATGGATTCTTGTTATGATGACCTTTGTTTATTCTATCTTGCGGTGCTTATGGGGCTGGAGGTCTGGAGCTTTCACCGCCTGAACACATGCACAGTGTATCTCGACGATATGGCTGGTCTTTTCCAGGTCAGTCTCTGAATTGGTGGAAGATTCTCTGTAATTTTCTGTTTGTTCTTCCGGCATTTGTCCTCGTGCTCCCTATTAGTGAACTTTTGCCGGGTTGCTTCTTCCCTTCTACCGCGGTTGAAGTTGAACAAAGTCGCTGTTCCATATTTTGATTGAGGGATCTGTACTTGAAGCGCCTCTCAGTACTCATTCTGTTGTGAATTACGATTAACCCTCTGTTACTCTTGGGCTTTCCTTGTGTTCTGCCCCGACCCTGTGATGATTTATGAGGCATTTTCTGGCATCTCTTCATGACAAAAGAACAAAAGCATGATCTTGATTCTTCTTGTTTGCATTTGTGCCTCAGTTCAAAGAGCAACTGTCTTTACTGCTGCTTCGGTCAGACTTCAAGCTTCAAGCGATACTCCTCTAAACAACCTCTCTACCACTTTTTGACGCCTTGCTATTCACTTTGCCCTATACTTGTGGCGAGAGATGAAACTCTCCTTGACGAGTGATGGGCTTTCATTCATAATAGAGTGATTTTTGCCACAGGTGGACTCATCATTGTATACATTGTGTAGCCATAAACAACAATATCGTCATCGGGAGAAGTTCAATGTGGTTTCGCACTAGCCCTGATTAGGCCTGGACAAGCTTACTCGGGCGCGGTGTAGCCAGTCAGGGTGGGTGGTGTTGCTCTCCGCCTGCGCGATCCATCGTCACCTGCTGAGCATCCATCAGGTTGCAGCCTTTCTCTCACTTTAGACCCCTCCGTTTCTCGTCTACTCAACTCTTCTCGTCTGTCTCTTTTTGAAAGTGCGGAAATACCCCCTACACCTCTTGACGACTGCCATCGCCTCATCTTGACCTCCCTAACTGAAACAACGACGCCTCCGTTCCTCCACCATCGAGGCTGTACCTCCCCGCAATTGGGTACCTTCTTCCGAGTCGGACACCGGGGGTCTTGCAGCGAGCCAAGCCACCCGAGCGAAACTCCGAGTTGTTTCTTTGACGCATTTGCTACACCTAAGCCAGTATACTTCAATCTTCTAAGTGGCGCAAACGCTACGTCTATATCCTGTGAATACTCCTCAAACGGCGCATCACCGCCACCTTTACCACGACATCTATCTGATTGCCGCATCTCGGTGCTCTGAGGCACAATCCCAGTCATGTTTCGCGCACAGCAGAACGCCTTCGACGACGCAGTCGGTAAGATCATCCTGGCTCTTGCCCGCCAGTCATCCTCACCAACGGACCAAGTACCCATACCCGTGATTATCCAGTGTCGCTGACGTATACCACTTCGGGAAACAGCCAAGGCGACCGACGAAAACCTGACTGCCGAGAACTGGGAATATATCTTGGTATGCAATTCTGCCGAATAACCTGTGGTTGCCGTCTGTTTTACAGGAAGGAAGCTGACATTTTGCTTCCAGGATGTCTGTGATAAAGTCGCTGCGGAGGAGTCCGGGTATGCGGCGCCCCCTTTCAAGTTTATGTTATCTCGACGAGGTATGGGGGCTAATGAGGAGGCTTGATTCTTTAGAGCGAAAGATGCTGTGGCCGCTTTGATTAAGAGACTGGCGCATAGGAATGCCAATGTGCAGCTATATACTTTGGAGGTCTGCGGTCCCGATGCGTCTATTTATTTGCGATGGTTTGCTTTGGAGGTATATTACTGACACTCTGCCCTCCGTATCGACTAGTTGGCAAATGCATTGGCGCAGAACTGTGGACCGAAGATACACCGAGAACTTGCGTCCAGAAGCTTCACGGATGCGCTTCTGCGTCTAGCAGGTGATCGTGTGGGTATCTCTTCCTACTGTGGCGTCTCGACAGCTACTGATTGATACCTATGCTCGGCAGAACACACATCAACAGGTTAAAGCCAAGATCCTGGAACGCATGCAAGAATGGACGGAGATGTTTGCTAGTAACCCGGATTTCGGTATCATGGAGCAGGCGTACATGAAGCTGAAGACGCAGAGTAAGTAATAGACCTAAATCACTGGCGCGGGTACTCTGAGACTGATGTGTTACGCTCTAGATCCCAACTTGCAACCTCCATCAAAACCGGGCAAAAGGGAGATCACCGATGCAGACCGCCAGAAAGAAGAGGAGGAGCTACAGATGGCGCTGGCGCTTTCGATAAGAGAAAAGCCTTCCGCGGTCCCTCAGGCCCAGCCACAAGCCAGCAGCTCCAATGCCGCAGCGCCAGTTAGCGAATCACCGGTAGCCGCAGCATCACAGCCCGTTCCTTCCGGTACCTCCGCGGCTACGGTCTCCCGGGTGAGAGCATTGTTCGATTTCCAGCCGTCGGAGCCTGGGGAATTGCAGTTCCGCAAGGGAGATGTCATTGCTGTTCTGGAATCCGTTTACAAGGATTGGTGGAAGGGCTCCCTGCGGGGCCAGACGGGTATCTTCCCTCTCAACTATGTCGAGAAGCTACCCGATCCTACGGTTGAGGAGCTGCAGCGCGAAGCTCAGATGGAGGGCGAGGTGTTCGGGCAGATCAAGAATGTTGAGAAGCTCCTGACGCTTCTCAGCACTCGCAGTTCCGAGCTCAATGTGCAGGACAATGAGGAAATCACCACTCTGTATCACTCGACCTTGGCTATCCGGCCGAAGTTGATCGAACTCATCGGCAAATACTCGCAGAAGAAGGGTATGTTCGTTTGTGAATCTGCATAGGACTTATACTCACTGTCTGCCTTGCAGATGAATTCACGCAGCTGAATGAAAAGTTCATCAAAGCCCGCAGAGACTACGAGTCTCTCCTGGAGGCGTCCATGTCCCACCCTGCACAACCCCAGTATGGACGACCGGCTCAACCTCCTTACGGGTACCCGGCTCCCGTAGGATATCCTCAGGCCCCGCCGGCACAGGCTGATCCTCAACGATACTTCAGTCCTCGTCCTCAAGGTTCGCTATGATTTTGCATTTCTTGCGACAAAAATGCCTTCTAACACATGGATAGAAGCTCAGCCCGCCCAGTCCACTCCCACCCCTTACTATGGTGCAGAACAAGCTCACGCGTACCCTCCTCCTACGTCGCAATCACCCGACCCGCGTGACACACCTCCCGCTGGTGCACCGTACCAGCAACAGCAACGCCAGCCCTCAACCGAGTCTTACCAGCCCACTTACCACCGCCCCGAGTCTACGTACGACAATCCTCAAGAATTAGGCACTTCTGTTTACGACTCTCCTGTCGAACAGCGACCTCATTATCCCGGACAATTTCCACCTCCCGCTTCCGCGCAGCCACATTTCCCGCCCCAGCAGCAGCAGCAGCCAGAATACCCGCCATCGTCTTACCCCCCTGAAGACGCCAACCGACCACCAGCTGGTGCCAACGCCGCCCACCAAGCACAACCTCCGTACCCCACCCATCAGCCAGCTCCGATGCACCAGCCTCCCCAAGTCCCGGGAACAGCATCCACACCAACACCCTACCCTTCATCGACCCCCGGTGGCGCCTCTTACCAAGCGTACAATCCCTCGCAAACCGACGTGTCCAACCCTGCTTCATACTATCGGTGAAATTTTATTTTGTTGAATCGACGATGGACAGTGGTAATGAAGGCATTGAAGGCATCTTACCTCCTTCCTGGTATTCGCTTGTTGATCAGGCCGTTCTCGGGTAGTTGGGAGACTTCTTGTTTCCAGTAGTATGAGCTTTAGCAAGAGTGTCGAGCTTTTCCTTTTCATACCACTTGTGTTCTCCATAGCGTTCTTTTCTTCTCTGTTATTCTAATCTGATTTTCTTCTTGTTTCTCATTATCTTGGCTGGTTCGTAGCAGGGGTGGTGGCGAGAGATGTTTGGTAGCATGGCACTAGTGAAGGGTTGTTACTGCTTTTTGTGTGTCTGGGCACGGGCTCCCTTCTGTCCTTCTCATCTACCTTAGCTGTTGCATCAACAATACTTCATCTCCGTCATCATTCCTTACATACTCGGAACCACTATCTGGAAGACAGGCCCAAGAGAATACAACTTATCAAAACCTGCAAGTTGGGATTCAAAATCAATTTATCAGCTTCGATGATTCCGCGACACGGCAGCCGGTATGGTAGTATATAAGATAGGAAGCGAATTCACCATCAGTACAAGCATTGATCAATATTCCGGACCAGCCCCATGATTGGCCTGAGGCTGCCGTATTGCTTGTCAGAAATGTTCCTTTTACCTTCATCTTGATGCTAGGTCAATCGATCATTCGACGGGGCAACCTATTCTATGTGGCTAATTTGGTGTTTCGGGATTTGAATCCGGGGATATCATAATAGATATGCGTATACTTGATAGCTGGGATATGGGCTTCATTACAAAGATTTGTCCAAACGACTATCATTGATGTCTATTGATGTTGCACTTCACAGTTGCTTGGCCTTCTCTTCTCATATCGCTGCCAATAATGCCATCAGTGCTGCCTACAATGGTTGCTTATAGCAGGCAGCTGGTATTTATTAATCTCTCCGTCTATTTTAGTACCAGATTGGGCTCAAGTCCCTGAATCAATGCTATTGAGGCGTTGATGTAATAATTATGATTCAATCCATTGTTCTCTGTAGTTATACCACTCGAGTGTGGATTATATATCCGTGGCCCGGAGACGCCGTAATGATTTCAACATAAAACCCGGAGATATCATTCACAGGTACCACGCATATTCAATCTTGCAGAAAGAGTGGACTTTGACTCATTTTGTTCGATGTGAGTCACGGATGAGCTATGGATGATGCTGGTGTCTGGACACTTGGTGGACTGGTTCTTCATGCCTCCAGTCCGTTGTCCCGCTTCTGCCTCGCTCACGTGACGATGTGCTGGTCTCTCACCCTCCATTGCCGTCCTCAATAACCTCGTCAAATCCCCTCCATCCCAGAGACACTTCGTCTCTCGAGTGGCTATTGAACGAGAGGGTCCGCGATTTGCCTTACTGACTCGACGCGACATATCTTTCCCGCGACCTGCACAACGAGACCCAAACCCCAATCTCCCAAACCCCAATCACACCAAGCTCTATCCCCGCACTCGCGCTTTCGCCGAACGATGCACCTTGTCTCCGGTTCCCAGATGGACAGACCCACCAACTGCTGCTGAACAACCTCCCCCGACCCTCCCCAGAACATCTCGACGCTGTCAATAAGCCCGGGTATCTGCCCGGGTGCCATGTCAAGCCATGGAAGCCGATTGGGATGAATTGTCGCGCATACCCGTGCCCCCTCCAAGCCCGCACGGGTTGCCGACGATCGCGACCACAATCGCCTTTGACGATGTGATGGAACTTTTGTGGGCCGGAAATGAATATGTATGTCCCTGTTTCTGACTTGATGATGCCGAGGTAATCATACTGATAATGAGATTCTTTCCATCAGGGCCGAATTACCTCCTTCTATGGTCCCGAAATGCAGAGGTATACCTCTGTCCGGGCACACCCCGTGTCCGAAGGCGCGGTGCGACAGATTCTCTTCCATGACCGAGGCGTATTATCGATATCCTCAAAGAGTGCGCACATGATCACCCGCCGCGGTCTGACGCAGTGGCACATCGCCCACGAAGAAATGACCGACCTCCGCTGCATGAGTTTCACGGCCCAGACGAACCGGATCATAGTGGCAGGATGCCAGAAAGTGATGTTCACCATCGATATCGACAAAGGCATCATCGTGGACAAGCTGCCGACGGATTACAATTACACCATAATGAAGAAGAGCCGGTACCTCTGCGCGGCCACGGACACCGGGTCGGTCAATGCGTTGAGTCTGAATGACTTTAGTGTCGTGAAGTCGTGGAAAGCGCACGGCACGGCGGTCAATGATATGGATGCCCGCAATGATCTGCTGGTCACCTGTGGCTTCTCCGTCAGACACCTTGGCGCCCCGATCGTGGATCCGCTGGCCAATGTCTATGACCTGAAAACACTCTCCCCGTTACCTCCCATCCCCTTCCACGCGGGTGCTGCCTATGTGCGCATGCACCCTAAGCTGCATACGACGAGTTTTGTGGCCTCGCAGACGGGTCAGCTTCAGGTGGTCGACTTGATGAATCCCAATGCGATCAATCTGCGTCAGGCGAATGTTACGTTCATGTTGGGTATTGATCTCTCGCCTTCTGGGGAAGCACTTGCCATCAATGATGCGGAATGCTTCCTTCATCTGTGGGGCTCCCCTGCAAAGATCCACTTCAATGAATTGAGCAAGGAGGCCGAATTTGCCGATGTCACCCCGCGGCCACCTCCCCTCGACTGGTCTCCGGAAACCCCGCTGAATATGATCGGTATGCCCTATTACCACGACCGCCTGTTTTCGGCATGGCCGAGCCATCTGGTCTTCGAGGTCGGTAGTCCTCCGGCCCCTATTGATCAGGCTCTGCTTGCCTACCTGCGTCCGGCTGAAATCGGTCATTATGCGGCCAATCCGAAGAAAACGCGGCGATACCAGGTGGAGAATACCCGCGCATTATCTACTACCGACACTGCTTTGATTGCTCCCAAGTTCTTGAGTGAGAAGGCCAGGGAGCAGAGTAACAAAGTCAAACCAGATGGTTCGATCGGTGACGCGACTGAGGCGTTGGCTGGTGCAAAGCTCAATGGCGAGTCTGAGGATGATCCGCTCTTGAAATACAGTAATGTCGAAATCAAGTATAGTCGATTCGGTGTCGATGATTTTGACTTCCGGTATGTCATCTGGTAACACTTGTGACATTGATCTCTTAAGACTAACTAACGGTACTCAGATTCTACAACCAGACGACCTTCTCCGGTCTTGAAACACACATTGCGAATTCCTTCACTAACGCCCTCCTTCAACTCTTCAAGTTCATCCCCATGATTCGAAACGTTGCTCTCCACCACGCTGCCAGTTCGTGTATATTTGAAAGCTGTCTACTGTGCGAGATGGGCTATCTGTTTGATATGCTCGAGAAAGCCAACGGTCAAAATTGCCAGGCGACGAACCTTCTCAAGACCTTCAGTAGCTCTCGCGAGGCTTCCAGTTTGGGCTTGTTCGAAGAGAATCTGACGACTAAGTCACTTTCTACAGCCATACAAGCAGTCAATCGATTCTTCCTCACGCAAATCTCTCATGACCACCGCATGATCCTACCCAGCTCGGACGAATTGGATCTGCGACTCAATACTGTCGCGTCTGAGGCCATACGATGCATGTTCTGCCAGAATGAGATCGTCAGGCCAGGCAATACCCTAGTCAATGAGCTGGTGTATCCCGCCATCGACCTCAAGCAACTCCGTCGAAATCCTGCCTTCCGCTTCTCCAACATATTGCGCGCAAGCATAGAACGAGAAACACAAAACCGGGGATGGTGTAACTACTGTCGACGGTATCAACAAGTCAATATTCGCAAGACTATACACCGCATGCCATCGGTTCTTATGCTCAATGCCGCACTCAGCAACCCCATTTGCCGCCGACTGTGGGCGATCCCTGGCTGGCTGCCTGAAGAAATGGGAATTGCGGTCGACAATGGCCAGATCCTGTGTTTTGAAGGCGACGAGCTCAAGCTGCGACTTCAGTCCAAGATGGCTGGGCTTGTGGTTTATGAATTGGTGGGGCTGGTTTGCGAAATCGATGTCCCTGAGCACCAGAAGGCGCATCTGGTCTCTTTTATTAACGTATCTATATCCTCGCGCGAGCCAGAAGCGAAGAACAAGTGGCACTTGTTCAACGACTTCCTGGTGACGGAGGTTGATAAGGATGAAGCTCTCCGGTTCAACCAGCCGTGGAAAATACCATGTGTCCTGGCTTACCAGGTCAAAGATGGACGCCATTCTATGGACGACTCCTGGAAGAAATCGCTCGATACCACCCTTCTGTTTCGTGACTGGTCTATGAAGTAAGTTGCTCCTGGGTGTTGACTAGCCCTTCGTCTAGTTCTGACATCTTTTACTAGTGCCGGCCAGGCTGTGGAATCGCGCGTCACACTCACCGAGGAGGAAAAGCCCACTCCTGGCACGCCTGTTGCTCTGGACACTGAGTTCGTCGATCTTGAGAAGGCGGAAATCGACGTGAAAGCGGACGGCTCTCAAGAGATGGTGCGACCGAGCAAGAGTGGACTTGCTCGAGTGTCTGTTCTCCGAGGCTCAGGACTTCGCGAGGGTGTTCCGTTCATCGACGATTACATCACCATCAAAGAACCAATTGTGGACTACGTCACCCAGTACTCTGGCATCAAACCGGGTGATCTGGACCCCAGAACGAGCCAACACAATCTCGTCCCACTGAAAGTGGCATATAAGAAGCTCTGGTTGCTTCTCAACTTGGGCTGTGTGTTTGTTGGACACGGCCTTGCCTCCGATTTCCGGAAGGTGAATATCCAGGTCCCCAAGAACCAGACGGTGGACACGCAGTATCTTTTCTTCCATCCCGGAAAGAACCGGCGGTTGAGTCTACGGTATCTCGCGTGGGCTGTGTTCAAGGAATTCATCCAGGAAGAGCCCACGGATAACAATCAAGGACACGACTCGATCGAGGATGCGCGGATGGCGTTGCGCCTCTGGAAGAAGTTCAAGGAATATGAAGACGCGGGAGTGGTCTCCCAGATCCTGGAGGAGATCTTCCGCGAAGGATCCAAGCTGGGATTCAGGCCACCTCCGCGGAACGGCACGACCACCGTCCTTTCTCGCCCCGGTACGGCGGTCACAATGCAGAATGGCAGCGGCCGCAACACTCCCAGCACGCCGGACGTCGTCGGGGTCCCCGCCGGCAGTGCGCCTGCAACCCCCCGGCAAGCGTTTCGACGCTCGATCGCTCTGACCCCAAGTAACGGCAGCTTTGCTAGCCCTGCTGCCAGCGACATTTTTGGGGCAAGCCCGTTGAAGTAAACAGTCGTTGACTTTCGGCTTGGTGACCAGGCTGTGACGGTTTTGCTTTTGGTCACGCCTTTAGTTACCTATATACCATGATCGCTTATAGAAGCGACCCCTAGCTTACCATTGTCCCAGTTGGCTATGGCGGACCATTGTTTGTGATGCATCGCTTGTTAATCAGAAATAGAAACTTTACTTAGATTCACCCTTTCCGTCAGGACAATGGTTGTAGAGATATGGCTTCTTCACTGGACTGCGTAGTGACCAATATCTCCCCGGTGACTGGAAGAACTGGCTGGGTGGGGAATGACGTGGTGCGGGAGGATCTCAATTCAGCGCAGCTCGGCTTTCACCTTAGAACCACTCTCTCCTACCAATCTCCCTGGTTTGCTCACTCTTCTCTCGGTCTCATCAACCAGCAATTTGTCGAGAGCATCTAGGGCTTTCACAAGAATACATCACTCATAGAATACTCACCCGGTTAGATTCCGTTTCCTCGCATCCGTTCCTCGTTAGATCCGCCTCGTCAGCAACAGCGAAAACCCCTCCTCCTTCCGCAAGCTGCCCCGCGAACACAACTAAACCACCCACCATGTCGCGCCATCGCGTCAAGGCCGTGAGCTACGATGAAGACGAGTACGATGATGGCTACTACTCCCCGGACCCGGAAGAACAAGAGTTCCTCGAGCAGTGTACGGTGGAGGTGCTGAACCAGCTGCGTGCGGGGGATCCCTCGGTGACGGCGACCCGCGGTGAAGTCCAGGATGCACTGTACCACTATTACAACGATATCGAGAAGTCTGTGAATTACCTCCGAGGTACGTGTGCTTACGGTTCGGTTGCATGAACCTCGTCGTTCTGAATTGGTACCATGCTTGCAGGAGCCCCGCACTAACCGCCTTACTTCACTCTAGGCAAGAAGGTTAAGGAACTTCAGAAGAAGCAGGCTGTCGCCGCTGCGGCTCCTAAGGCGAAGGGGACTTCAGGTAAGCACCATTGGATATTCACGTCCCTTTTTGCTCTGCTCTGTTTTTGTTCTTGTGGTGGTTGGGCTCGGGCTACCTAGCTGTGTTTCTGGCTTGGTTATCTACCTGTCTTCTTGGAATGTGAGTACGTGTGTCCATCTTTCTTGTGTGTGCGACTGGTTCAAACTGACATCTTTCTTTCTGCGCCACAAAGCTCTGGGATTGTTATTCTAACAGGCTTCTTCAGTGCCGGCATACCCCGCTCCTCCTCTCATGTCACCGCCTCCGGCTGCACATTTCTCGGCGGCGGACTTCTTTCGTGACGCCCCGTGGTTGAATATCCCGACACACCGTAAGGGGGAGATTCTCGTCGAGCCGCTGTACCCTCGACTGGGTCTTTTGGGCGGTGCGCCGGACGGTGCGGGCGGAGGCAAGATGTCGAAATTGGCTGCCTTGGCTGCTGCGCGCAGGAAGAAGGAGGGTGATAAGGCTGCTACGACCCCGCCTGTGGCTGCAGAAATACCTGATGCTGAGAAAGTACCTCAACCGGCTCCCAGTGAGTCGAAAGGTGCACCCTTGTCACTGCGCGAGAGGCTAGCTGCTAGTGGAAAGCCGCAGAAGTCGACAGCAGAGGGCTTGCAATCACTGCGTTCCCTCGGCAAGGGATCTCGTCAGGGTAATTCTTCGTCGGTTAAGAAGACAACTCCGGAGCCGAAGCCACAAGCAAGCCCCAAGGAGGAGGAGGCTACGCCTGCGACGTCAGGGCCGGAGACACCGGTGGCCAGTGAAGAGGCGGAGCAAGCTGCTGTGAACATCCGTGCACCGCCGTCGACATTTGCCAACGCCATCGTTGGGGATTCCGCGCGGCCGAAGATGACCGAGCCCAGCCACTTATCCGCCAACACTCTTGACTTGATCAGAATCTACGGACAGGATCTTGCTGAACCTTTTGACTTTGCAGGCCCAAGCCCCGACGATGTCGTCATCAACGCACAGAGCTCTGCTAAAGGTTTGGCTATTCGGCGCAAAGTATAGGATCTCTCCCCTAATGGACGTGCAGGCTTCAAATCGAAACAGCCTGCTTCCAAGTCGGCAGGTGACAAGAAATCGCAGGCTGACCTGGCGGGAGGAATGAATAATCTCAGCGTCGAGGAGAAGGTGAACGTCAAGAGCAAGAATTTAGACGTTCTGTCTGAGTATAATAAAGCGAAACGGAAGAGGGCGATGAATTTTGCGGTAATCGGTGGGGTTTATTGGTCTAATCCCTCGTCGTTGGTATTTTCGCTAATGGCAGGACAGGTCATGTTGATGCGGGAAAGAGTACATTGATGGGTCGGTTGCTTGCTGATCTGAAGGCTATCGATCAACGCACTCTGGACAAGTACAAGCGGGAGGCGGAGAAGATCGGAAAAGGGTCGTTTGCTCTGGCTTGGGTCCTGGACCAAGGTGCCGAGGAGAGAGCTAGAGGCGTCACCATTGACATCGCCACCAATAAGTTCGAGACGGAGAAGACGGTGTTTACAATTGTCGACGCTCCTGGTCATCGGGATTTTGTGCCTAACATGATCGCTGGAGCCAGTCAAGCTGACTTTGCCGTCCTTGTTATCGACTCCAGTATCGGCAACTTCGAGTCTGGCTTGAAGGGACAGACGAAGGAGCATGCCTTGTTGGTGCGGAGTATGGGCGTGCAGAGGATCATCGTGGCTGTGAACAAGATGGATTCTGTTCAATGGGATAAGGAGCGCTTCGACGAGATTGAGCAGCAGGTATCGTCTTTCCTGACGACTGCCGGCTTCCAGCCCAAGAACATCAACTTTGTGCCTTGCTCGGGTATCAGCGGTGACAATGTCACTCGGCGCAGTGAAGATCCGAATGTCTCATGGTACCACGGTCGTACTCTGGTTGACGAGCTGGAGGCCACCGAACCTTACTCCCACGCGGTCGACAAGCCGCTTCGGATGACCATTGGGGACGTGTTCCGTGGCAGTGTTCAGAATCCATTGTCGATATCTGGCCGCATCGATGCTGGCAGCTTACAGGTGGGCGACCAGATCTTGACCATGCCCAGCAGTGAGACGGCCACCATCCGGAGCCTGGAGGTAGACGGAGAACCTAGTGACTGGGCTGTGGCGGGTCAGAACGTCGTCCTGAACCTAGCCAACATTGATCCCATCCACCTTCGGTCCGGCGACGTGATCTGCCGGGCATCGGCGCCCATCGCCAACGTCACGTCATTCACATGCAAGGTGCTGGCTTTCGACCACCTGTTGCCTAGCATGGTGGATATTCACCGTGGTCGCCTACATGTCCCCGGACGGATCAGTCGGCTCGTTGCCACCTTGGACAAACAGTCTGGCACGATCATCAAGAAGAAGCCTAAGATTGTGGCACCGGGCACAGTGGCGCGGATTGTTGTCGAGATGGATCAAGCGGTGCCTCTAGAAGCGCCTACGCGGATTGTTCTGCGAGCCGGAGGCGAAACGGTGGCTGCTGGCTTGTTGGAGTAGATGGATTTAGACGATTACGCATGATTATAGATGCTGCGGCATTTACTGCATAAACAATGAATGCACTTTACTGTTCTATTGCTTTCGATTGGACTCAAGGGGCAACGTTGGCTGGCGTACTATGATAGCCTGTCCATGTTGCCAGTCTGGCCTGATGTACAGTACTGGTCTCGAAGAAGCTATTGCTGCCATGTCTGTAGTAGCACCTTCTAGACTAACAAACAGGACCCTGTCATGTCTGACAAACACCCTAAAACTGGCCTTGAACGTTTTGAACAGAGTGGCAGAAAGCAAGGGAAGTAAGTAAGTCTCCTGAGTGGGGGAGGGGGCAGAGTCTCCACTATCTTTCAAGGCTCAGACCCTGGTGGCTTATTTCTGACTCAATGTTGAAGGAGCCCGGAATTGAGAAGAGTGAAGAAAAGACGGAGTAGGCATAGTGGACAGCCACCCGACCCCACGAATATCTTCAGGGGACAGTTGTCAACTTCCAAGTTGTCCGTGTCTTTCTTGTTAAGGTAGGCGCAAGAATGGAGTAAAATGACCAGCTGGCCAGATCGGGAAAAGGTCCTGATTGCAAATGGACCAAACCTCGGGAAGGCGGAGTCGGCGGACTAAGCGAAACTCCCCGCCAGCAAATCGGAAGGGAGATTCTAGCAACTTCGACGAACCGCCTGGAAAATTGGGCCGGCAGAATGAACGGGGCGGTCAGGATTATGCTGAGTCAGTCGGTGCCCTGAACGGGGTGTCCACCAATCAGAGGCTGAGAAGTAACCTTAAATGCAATACCCGCGAAAAGGCCAGCATGGCCGCTGCGCTTTCTTTGCCGCCGCCATCCCATACAAGAAGAATATGAAAGCTGGCTGAAGCTCCTCCCCTCGGACATCCTTTCTTTCTTTCTTTCCTCCCTCGTCGCTTTCTTTTTCACCAACCTCCCTCCCACCCCCCCCTCTCTCCTCTTCTCCCTATTCACGCTCTTTCTTTTCTTTTCCTCAACGCGTGACAGGTACACACTGTTGACGAAAGGACTGAACATATCGTGCTACCGTGTCCTGTGGTGAAAAGGACCTTAGCTACTACTCGCACATATTCCCCGACCATGGCGCGCATCTCCGCTCGCCAGGGTGCGGCCAAGCCCTTCACTGCTTGGACCACCGTCTTCTACCTGCTCCTTGTTTTCATTGCGCCTCTGGCTCTCCTCGGAACCGCACACGCTCAGGATGACTCCTCTGTACAAGACAACTACGGCACTGTTATCGGTATTGATTTGGGAACCACCTACTCGTGAGTTGCTTCTGGATGTTTTGGTCTGAAATGAGACGCGACGTGTAACTAACAGGACGGTCACAGTTGTGTTGGTGTGATGCAGAACGGAAAGGTTGAAATCCTCGTCAACGACCAAGGAAACCGTATCACTCCCTCCTACGTTGCCTTCACCGATGAGGAACGTCTCGTCGGTGACGCCGCTAAGAACCAATACGCCGCTAACCCCCGCCGCACTGTCTTCGATATCAAGTGAGTTTTCCTGGCTGGCTGGTGCTGTGAATGTTCGGTTTGCTAACATTCTTCAGGCGTCTGATTGGTCGCAAGTTCGATGATACCGATGTTCAGAAGGACGCCAAGAACTTCCCCTACAAGGTTGTCAACAAGGATGGCAAGCCTGTCGTCAAGGTCGAGGTCAACCAGACCCCCAAGACCTTGACTCCTGAGGAGGTTTCCGCCATGGTTCTCGGCAAGATGAAGGAGATCGCCGAGGGTTACCTTGGAAAGAAGGTTACCCACGCCGTTGTCACCGTTCCCGCCTACTTCAACGACGCCCAGAGACAGGCCACCAAGGATGCCGGTACCATTGCCGGTCTCAACGTCCTCCGTGTTGTCAACGAGCCCACCGCCGCCGCTATCGCCTACGGTCTGGACAAGACCGATGGTGAGCGCCAGGTCATCGTCTACGACCTTGGTGGTGGTACTTTCGATGTCTCTCTGCTGTCGATCGATGACGGTGTTTTCGAGGTCTTGGCTACCGCTGGTGACACCCACCTTGGTGGTGAGGATTTCGACCACCGCGTCATGGACTACTTCGTCAAGCAGTACGACCGCAAGCACTCTACCGATGTCAAGAAGGACCTCAAGGCCATGGGTAAGCTCAAGCGTGAGGTTGAGAAGGCCAAGCGTACTCTCTCTTCCCAGATGTCTACCCGCATCGAAATCGAGGCCTTCCACAACGGCGAGGACTTCTCCGAGACCTTGACCCGCGCCAAGTTCGAGGAGCTGAACATGGATCTGTTCAAGAAGACCCTGAAGCCTGTCGAGCAGGTTCTCAAGGACGCCAAGGTCAAGAAGTCCGAGGTTGACGACATTGTCCTGGTTGGTGGTTCCACCCGTATCCCCAAGGTCCAGGCCCTCCTGGAGGAGTTCTTCGGTGGCAAGAAGGCCAGCAAGGGTATCAACCCCGATGAGGCCGTCGCTTTCGGTGCTGCCGTTCAGGGTGGTGTTCTGTCCGGTGAGGAGGGTACTGGCGGTGTCGTTCTGATGGACGTCAACCCCCTTACCCTGGGTATTGAGACCACCGGTGGAGTTATGACCAAGCTCATTCCCCGCAACACCGTCATCCCCACCCGCAAGTCCCAGATCTTCTCTACCGCCGCTGATAACCAGCCCACCGTTCTCATCCAAGTTTGTAAGTTGTTCCGTGCCGTTGCCATGTTGATCAGTCCGATACTAACTGGGTTTCAGACGAGGGTGAGCGTTCTTTGACCAAGGACAACAACCTGCTCGGCAAGTTCGAGCTTACCAGCATTCCTCCGGCTCCCCGTGGTGTTCCTCAGATTGAGGTCTCCTTCGACCTGGATGCCAACGGTATCCTGAAGGTCAGCGCCAGCGACAAGGGCACCGGCAAGGCCGAGTCCATTACGATCACCAATGACAAGGGCCGTCTCTCCCAGGAGGAGATCGAGCGCATGGTGGCCGAGGCCGAGCAGTTCGCCGATGAGGACAAGGCCATCAAGGCGAAGATTGAGGCCCGCAACGGACTGGAGAACTATGCCTTCAGCCTGAAGAACCAGGTCAACGACGAGAACGGACTGGGTGGCCAGATCGACGAGGACGACAAGCAGACCATTCTGGATGCCGTCAAGGAGGTGACCGACTGGCTGGAGGACAACGCGGCCACTGCTACCACCGAGGACTTCGAGGAGCAGAAGGAGCAGCTGTCCAACGTGGCCTACCCCATCACCAGCAAGCTGTATGGCTCTGCCCCGGCTGATGAGGATGATGAGTCGTATGGCCATGACGAATTGTAAAATTACTTTATTCTTAGAGGGACTCAAGGAGTTTGCATTGCTTGACTTGATTATGTGAAAGACCAACTTTTGGTTTGTTTTTAAGTTTTAAATATGATACCTATATCTTAGTCAGGATTCAATCTTTCTCCAGCAGACTTCCGGCTGTAATTGTAGTGCAAATGCTTTGCCACAGATTCTATTCGCTTGTCTGATACGTAATTTCTGTCCTGATAGACTCGTTCCTGTAGTCTGGCTTGAGCTGATGTGTTTTCATCTGTTGGTTGGTAGATACAATCTACAGTTCAGATACGAAGAGTGACATATGATCAAATATAGGTAGAGTGTTTTACAAAAGCGAGACAGGAACCGGAAGGCTTGTGATATAGTGCTCTTCTTCCTTACATTTGGACCTGGTTGCTTCTCAGTGGATTCGCTTATAGAAATGGACTACTGCTATGCAGCCAATCTCCAGCTGGAATTTCCTTCTTTCTGCTCTTTCTTCTTCCTGCAGTTGTTGGCTGCCACATAACTATATTCGACGAAAATGCTTCATAACGGATCAACACGAGATCTCGAACTCGATGGTACATTTACAAGGGGTATCTAGTGCAGGTTACCCCCTAGAATGGTTGTTCTATCTAGGGCGCTATTTTGATATTCATGATCTAGTCTGTGCGTCTGCTGCAAGATCCTCGTATCTATAGCGCCAAATGTTTCTCATTGGATGCCCCGCCGGGCATAATTCAGGGTTAATTTTCGATGCAGCTTCAGACGCAGTGGTGATTTAGACTGTATCTGACTCTAGTAAGGACCTTATTGCTTGTTTTGAGATCGAGAATGGGACACGGTCTGGGCTATATAGGCTACTGGTGAGGATTCAGATAGGGTGGGTGGTAGGGTCATCTAAGCTCACGGTCATAGGCTATCAGAAGTATAGGCTATCAGAACCATATATCTAGTAGGCTATAAGAAACATCGGCTATCAGGGTCATTAGGATCAGAACTATACAGGCTATCACAAGCATATAGACTATATAACCATAAAGGCTATATATTATACAGTACTTACCCACCCATTCAACCTTACTGCACCACCTCCACTTAACAATAAACTTTCTCTTTCTCGCTAGGCCCACTTCCTCCCATCATGCGATCCCCATTCTTTCCCCAAACCACTTCGTCAACGTATCAGGGGCCTCGCGTTTATCCTCCCATCCACATCTGCCGACGTCGCAGAGGATGCAGCAGCGTTTGCTGAGGGCTTCCGCCTTGAATGTTTCCAAGGTTAGTGTCAGGTCTATTGTGGATTGATGTTGATATGTGGGAATGGGATGGTGTAGTTGTGTGTTATGGGTGGTTTATTAGATCGCTTGCAGGCACAGGCACAGGTGCAGCGAGGGCGGGGAGTACCGCTGGGGAGAGGAGGGCGGGGACGTTGAAGAAGAGCATTGTTTTATTTTTGAGCTTCCTTTGATTGTGTGAGGGAGTATAAAAATAGAGTTTTGCTTATTGTGAGAGTATGAAGATAGACTCCTGGTTGATTGCGAGAGAGTACCAAAGACTGAGAATGAGAATTCCAGCTGGTCTTCTTCCCTGCCTTTCTATGCCTTGAGATTGATGTACAGTAGACTACGTAGATACACCCCAACGGCCATGGACGCTGCTTGGCATGTCTCACTCATGATGGGGTTTGTATATCTGTTTCCACTAATAATGGTCCAGATAGAGATTACATGTTGATCCGATAAGATAATCCTGTTGTCTTCAATCAAGAATGTAGGGCATTTTCGGGCTGATTGAGACGGACGGCGGTCTTTGCAGATGTGACAAGGGTGGATCTTTGCTCAACGGAGGGTCTGAGTTTCGAGTTGACAGGTCAAGTCTGTTGATGGGGCATCTATCTTAGGGTCTTTGTCTTGGCTACCTTAGTACCCCTCAGCTAAGAAGACTCACTCCCACCCCCCTGAAGAATAAACTCCCTCACCACATCAACAATAACCTGGTGATCATCCTCCTGCTTCAACCCACTAACAACAATGACACCCACAACGCCATCCACACCGCGCACCCGCACAGGGAACCCGCCACCATGAATCGCATAATCATCCGCCACGGCCCCGCCGCAACTCGACCGCAGCGCATACTTCTTCACGAACGCCGCCTCCACGCCCGCCTTCTCGCTGTCGCTCAGCGCCGCCAGCAGCTTATTCCGCATCAGCCAGCTGCTCACCCCCCACCGCAGCACGGTGTTCCGCTTGCGCCGCACCCACACCTCGTTGTCCGGGATCGTGCCGGGCTCGGTCGCGCATTGGAACACCACGTGCGGCGGGACCGGTTGGTGGTCTACTGTCGGCAGCGGCGCCGTCGTCAGCGTGATGGAGATCAGGGCCGGTTTGCGTGAGGTCGGCGGTAGCGTGAGGATGCGGTTGCGCAGCGCGAGACCCAGGTTGAAGGCTGTTGTGCTTGAGAAGGTTGGGAAGATTAGGGCGGGGGAGGTTTCGTGCGCGGTTAGGGTCATGGGCTTTTTGACTTGGGGTTAGTTTTGGTTTGCTGGGGAGGGTCTGGGCGGGATTGGGGACGTACGTCGGTGCTGACCGGGCTGAGGGGTTTGTCTTCCATTTTGGTGGTGACGGTATTTATAGATTGTAGGTTGGTGGGGAAGACCTTTTGCGGTTCTTAGCTGAACTAAGGAATAAAAGCAACCGAAGCAGATCTAGGGGTTATATAGTCAAGACTCAGATCGAGGAACGATGGCGGTGAAAAGTGAAGCGGTGGTCGGGGAAGGTCCAGGAGAAAAAGTGGACCAGGGCCCGATGACGTCGGATTTGGGGGAGTTCGGGGGTTCCGCGGTTCGGGGTTCGCGGTTGTGGATTCGGTGGATTGAATTGGAGTGAGGATATTGTCAAAGGAATAAAGCAGTTGTGTAGAAATGCGTGGGGAGGAGAGAGCAGGTGCTCAGTGTCTTGACTTCTGCATTGCTCCGCTTCCCCTCCTTCCTCTTCCCCTCTTTCTCTCTTCCTCCCTCTTCACCTCTCCAATAACTCCACCCATGCGGCACCTTGTTAAAAAAGCCTGTGATGAATGCATCGCCCGAAAAGTCAGATGTACCGGGACATCTCCTTGCGATACCTGTCGACAGAGCCCCAGGCAGGTCAAATGCACCTACCTGAAACCCGTGCAGAGGAGAGGTCCCAAGGTGCGGCGGTTCACTGCTCAAGCGCGAACATCGACCATCTTCCCCACTCAATTAGTCGTACCAGACCCCATTCCACCAAACAATGTTGCTCGAGAGCACTGTATTGTGGACACATCAATCTCCTTGGTAGCTCTCGCATATGTTGTCCGGCTGTACCAGCAATCATCGTACAGCGTCTGGCCGGTGATCAACACAACTTCTCTCTTACAGAAGCTTGACTCGGTCCCCCATGTCGACACGCTCTGTCTAGCCATGGCGCTCTCTGCAGCAACGATGGCTCAGTTGCAGCTTCCACCATTGAGCATCAACCACGCAGGCGTCAATCACGCAGTAGATTGCACCACCATGGCAGCAGAATGCATGAGACTCCGGGCGAGCTCGTATCGAGAACATCTCGACCTGCGAAGCATCCTCGTCTCATTCTTCCTGCACGTCTACCACGCCAAGACCAACCGACGCAACTCGGCCATGATGTTCATACAAGAAGCAATCTCAGGAGCCAGGCTACTGGGACTGGATGCGGGTGGGATGGATGAGCAAGCTATAGCCTGTGATGCCGATGTCATCGCCAACAAAGAGGTGGTGTTTCTGCTGCTCTGGATCTCGGAGAGGTAAGACGCGGCGTGGCTGACCACAAGCTGCTCCCACTAACTTTCGCAGAGGCTATGCTATGCACTTGGGCTTGCAGCCGTCCTATACAAGTCCCATTGTTTTGCCAGACACACTCTCAAATTCTAATGCAGAGGTGAAGGGTCTACTTGATTTGGGCCGGCTTTTTGCAACTTTCGACAAGGTTTCTGCCGGTGATAGAAATGCCAATGCCCGGGAGTCGGCGGGATACTTGGCAGAGACGGAGGCAGCATTGTCAGCCCTACCTCTCAACTATTCCTCGGCACGTATGGCAGACTACTGTATCACGAAAGAGTGGATGCGCACAATCATCTGGCAGAAAGCACTGTCCCAACGATTACTCTCATCAGTTTCACAGATCGACCTCTTGACTTTCCGCTTTCCGGCCGTTGTCGGCCGGGCCCTGTTATGCTCGTTGCAGGGGTTCACTGAGACGGACTTGCTTCCTCTGGGACGTGACCAGGTAAGACTTGATCAATTGCATGGCTCAGAATCAGGCTGAGAACGGTCCAGCTGTTGAAGTGCTTCGAGGTCACCAACTCACTAGCAGATATCATTCTATTCACCATGCCGGCTTCCAGACACTCAACCTTGCAATGGCGGCCGCAGGACTTTCTGCATGCTCTGTACCAGAAACTATTGCCATTCCTCCAACATGACCCTATGTTGAAGTCATTGCTCCGAGCAAAGACTGCCGAAGCTTTAGTCAATGCCCCTGCGCTGTTGTTGGGCCTCGGTTGTGACAATAGTACACTCACAGAAGAGGTTCCTAGTCACTCTATAGATTCTGAGGATGCCGCCTTGGCTTATGAAATGGCTTAAGCTGGTCTTCTGAGGCTGGATGACTCTCCAAGTCTACCGTTGAAAAGGTATGTTTGCGCTGCTACTTCCATTTGGTCATTCTGATCGGTCACTCTGATATCTGAAGCACAATTCTCCCCGCTATATCCCCCTTCTCCATCTCCTCATACACTTGAGGCAATTCCCTGAACGGCCGGACCTTGATCTCTGGTTTCACCACCCCGCGACGGACTAGGTCCACCGCCTCCATACATTCTTTCAACGATCCAACCAAATTTCCAGTAATCCGAAGTCCTTTGATCACGATAGTGCAAATTGGTGTTTGCAAGGTTGGACGTCCCGGAGGGATTCCCACGCAGCTCAGGGCCCCTCCGACACGTAACATCTCGCATGCATGAGCGAAAGCTTTAGCGCTGCCAGCGGTGACAACGGCAGCGTGTGCACCCAAGCCAGTAATCTCATGGACGCGCTGGACAGGATCCGCTGTGGTGAAATCAATAAATTCGACGGCCCCCAGATTGAGGACAAAGTCCCGCTTGTCACCGGCATCGACACCGATGACAAGGGCTCCTTGTGCCTTGGCGTATTGAACTTACCAGTCAGCATTGTGTGGTGGTGGTTTGTATGCCACTTACCTGCTAAATGGCCGAGGCCTCCTCCAGCTCCAACAACGACTAGCCAATTGCCCGCTCGGATATTGGCATTGAGAACCGCCTGCGTCCAGTCAGCTGTGACATACTTGTAGCGAGTGAGATGAGGTACCTTGTAGGCCGTCACACCCGCGCACAGAACAGGTCCAATGACTCTGGGATCAACATCATCCGGTAGAATCGTGAGATAATCAGCATCCAGGGCTATATACTGCTGGAAGCTGCCATCCTCATGGTGGAGATGGTTGGTGCTCTTGATGCAATACTGTTCGGTCCCTGCCAGACAGTATTCGCATCTCCTGCAGATACGACTCGAGAATCGTATACCCACCAACCCTCCGACCTTGAGGTCCGATCCGCACCCTGGGCCTAGTGCCAGTATCCGCCCGACGCCTTCATGGCCTCCGATATGGGGTAACTTGATCTTCGTGATCGGTGTGCCCTCAGCCGAGGCAGCAGTGCCGTTTTTGGTGTGGAGATCTGCCATGGCAACATGTCAATATGCTTTGGTCAAAACAAGTAGTGTACTGACCGCTTTGGCAAACACCGGTATAGATAACTTTGGCCAAAACTTCATTTTGGCCAGGTTTAGGCACGGGGTAGTCCTCGCGGAACTCGACACTGCCGCCGAGTTCACTGACAAGAGCTACTGTCTGGGATCGCGGAACGCTTTCTAGAGTCATTGCTCCTGGTTGACGAGCCTTCGTACAGTATGATTTGGGAGGGTTTCGGTCGACGGATTGTCTCGACGTTGGTGGTTTAAGTAGACACTATCGGCTGTCAAACTGAGCTTGGATCTATTTCGAATTCTGACGGCACCCGATTGTTCGATTTTTCCGATTGGTTGTCTTTGTATACTTCGAGAAGTACATTTGGTATTTCTCCGAGGGGCCCAAGCCTCGCATCAGGCAGGATGCTGAGAAAGAGGTCCAAGCCACGAGTGTCTTCCATGCCTTCTCCGCATAACATGCAGATGACGTGCATTCTTGCATAAGAACTTTGGTACATCTCTCGTAACAACCATGGATTGCCCTGTTTAGCGTATGCACCATGCAGGAATTCTCCGAGATAAATCTTCTCAATTCTTAATCCAGATCAGAGGGCTATCCGGGGGAGAACCCCCGGACCCCCTTTTCTTTCAGCTTCCCGGTAAACTACCCTTTGACCCAAGAATATAATTCTATCTGGGAGAACCCTTTGTTCCGGTACGTGCATTACAATAGTGGTTGCATTTCAGGTTTTGAGATCTGCCATGGCGTTTCCGGCCCACACGATCATGCTTCTCAAACTAGGGTTGCAAAGATGAGCATACTAGTGGGCTTGTTTGACTTTGAAAGTCAATGAAACGACATGGTCTCAAAACAAACCAAGAGAAGTTGACAAGGTAGAAAGAGCCGAGCAGTTATCAGAGTCCTTCTCCAGAACCCAATAGAACCATTGGTTTCTTCACACAACTCGTCCTGAATGAGGAGTAGGGTCTGCTTCGCACAAGTGCTGGTCAGTGACACTTCTCACAACGGAGTTATCCATCGTTTCAGTCTGCAAAAAGGAGCATTCAGTCAATCAATTGGGCATTATCAACAATGTACCGTGGCATAAGCAACTTTTCCAATTCGAGACCTGTCATGGCGAGTATAAAGACTAAATTAGCACCTATACTCCTGCCTGGCTCATAAACGCCATATTGACTGCTGCGTGCCCGCGGCTCTTCACGATGGACGCTGATGAGCATGAGACCGCTAACCTCGATAACATCCCAGTGGAGTTGTTCTGGCATGTGGCCGAGTATCTCGAGAAGGAAGACCTGCGCAGCCTACGGTTCGTGTCAAAGGACCTAAGCGAGAAAGCATTCCGGCCTTTCACAGGTTGCCAACTGCGCACTCTAAATATTATGTTTACTTTGTATGGCCATTATCGAGTGCATCAAGTGGCTACGGATGATGCCTACATAGAGTACAGAACAGTCCCTAGGCGCCTCATCATACACCCGCCCCTGGACAGTACGATAGAGCTCAGTCAGTCGGAAGCAGCGCTTCAATGCTTGGGCCAGGGCCTGAAAAACTCGCTGACGAATTGCAGGGAGATAGTGCTCTACCATGTCCGACGCCGAAGTATGAGTGTGGGACCTTTCCGAGTCGCGATCGAAAGCGAGATGAAGCACAACGAACAGAACCTGCACAAACTGTGCTGCGTGCTCGCCGAGAGCAGGATCGAAGTCCGATACCTGAACCTCTTCCTTCCGTTGGTCGTCGAACCGGAATTGCAATTCATCTACCTCAACTTGGAAGTCAACTGCAAGCCCTTACCCGATGGCATCTTCACCGTCTGGGGCCAACTCCGGCAGCTCCACGTCCACGAGCCAGAGGACAACAAGGCCTTCCGTTACGTGCGGAATCTGGTGCCCGTCATCCTGGCGAATGCGCCCAGGCTCGAAGAGTACCGGTTAAGCGGCTCGAAGGATCGTTCCGTAAGTTACACTCCGCCCCTGTTCTATGGGCAGGTCTGGGAAGGGTCTCCGTGGCCGTCGCCGCCGCCGCTCAAGAGCCTGGAGTTCAACGATCCGTGGATCAACCTTCAGGATATGCTCGCCTTTCTCCAGTGGGTCGGCAACACCCTGGAGCATGTCCGGTTCTATCATGCCCGCTGCATCAGGTCTGACTTCAAGTGGTCGGACATTTTACAATTCATGAAGGAAGGCTGCCCGATGCTGAAGTATGTCTCGTTGGACTCGGTGCACCGTGACTGGCTGGGGGGCGTGGAGCCCATTCGCTGGCAGGGCAGTGCCGAGTGTGAGGGACCGCACGATCGCGAGCGAATGTTGGAGGGGTTGGACCGGATGATCGTGGCAACTCTGGCGCGCATGATTTAGTTGTTGCAGCTGAGGTGTAGTGGAGGTGGATTCCACCGAGACACAATGGGAGTCCTCTCGTCTAGATGCCAGTTGCCTCTAGGTTTATTGTATCAGAATTGGGGCTCGATTTCGAAGATCCACTCAATTCATAGCTTTTATCTCAATGTTAATTCTCATGTCAAATGACCTCATCGTAGCACATTTCGATCTCATGATTCCAAAATAGGACAGACACTCTCAGTTGCACTCATGATACATACATACTCAATCTCAAACCAGATATCAATCAAATGAAACAAAGAACAATCTCCCGACCCAACCTCATTTCCCCAACCCAACCCCCCTCTCCCCTCCCAAACACAGGAATAATATAAAGAAATTAAACACAAACCCCCAACCCCAACCCAACCTCCGAACTCACAACCCGAACCTGACTGCCCCTAGGCGGAACCCCATCCTCCCAAACAATCGTCTCCGCCGCCCCATTCCCAGTACCATTATTCCCATTCCCAGTGCCATTATTCCCCCCATTAACAAAAATGGGCCCCAACCGCACCCTCCACCCAGCAAACGGATCCCCAAACACATCGGACAAATCAAACCACACCTGGCCCGCGTCCTCGAGATAGTTATACGCGAAGATCGTCTGCGCCGCTCCCGTGTACAGCCCGTGCGCCACCGTCGTCAGCTTCAGGCTGATGCCCCCCGTCACCGGGTCGTGGCGGTAGGGTTCGGTGTAGTTTTGGTGGGGGGGGAGGGTTATTTCGGCTGGTGATGGGGTTGAGGATACTGGTGTTAGGTAGATTGCGAAGGGGCATTTGTTGGTTATTGTTGCTGTTGCTGCTGTTTTTTGGGAATGATTCGTGGGGTTGGGGGTGAGGGGGGTTGCGGTTGTCAAGGGGAGGAGGAGGGTTAGGGTTATGGGGAGGAGGGGGATGTGCATTATTTTCGGTTGATTTTGTTTATTTGAGGAAAGATTTGAGGGGGTTGGTATGGTATGGTATATCTGAGAGTCTCTGTGTGGTTTTATTGGGGATGGGTTTGAATTGTTAGGTGATAATGGTGGTGCTGAGCTGTGTTGGGATGGACTGGAATGCTTGGAGAGAGGGTTTATATGTCTTTTGAGACGGGATTGTGCTGGTGGAATATGCCTGAGGGTATACAGCTCATAAGGTGCTGTGCGTTCATGGTATGGGTCTGGGTAACGCGGTTGCGTAGTGCAAGGCACTGGTACTGTACTTCTACCCACGTCGATCTGTACGATGAGGTAGGTGTCTGTACTGTACCAGTGCTTGTGCTACTATGTGTTATACACACTTGATAATAAAGGGTGGTACCGTGCGCGGATGATCTGAGTCCCAGGATGTCTCACCTTCTCTGTCGATGACGGTATGTGGCGATGTAAGCAAAGGGACTTGAGAGTAGATGTCATGGGTGTAACGATATGCTTCTACTGGTCAAACATCTATGAAGTTGATGTAACGGGTATCACGACATACAGCTTCGCCACGAGAATGAACCCACTCCTACACAGGCCACCCTCTTTCATAGGAAACTCTACAATCGCCTACTCGAATATCCACGCGAAGCATCTCTCATGTACATACTGCACCCTCCTCAGAACCAGGCAACGCCCACCTAACCATCCACTTCGAGCGAAGCACCTCATCTACAGAAAGACGCTCTTCAGGCCGATAAACCAGCATCCCGCGCATCAAATCCAGAAACGCAGCCCTCTCGTCCTGGGCAATAGCACTCCCACCCCGCCGCCGCCACTTCTGCACCGTGACTTCGAACCACTCCTCCAGCGGAGGCCACTTATCCTCCCGGTAAGACTCAGTCGGCTGCCCCTGTGCGCTAACAAAAAACCTATCCCGCGCCGCCCACCGCAACCACCATTCCGGCGGCATCGGTCCGAGAACATCGACATGTTGCGCCACGATCTCATCCGCCGGGATGTACTCATTGCTGAAGACGGGTTTCATGCCCCATGATCTCCCAGAGCGCGGTCGCCAGACTCCAGATATCCGATCGATCGGTCAGCGGTGCGTCTGGTTCGAATCTGCATTCTGGAGCCCGGGAGCCGGGGGAGGGGGCGTGCGGCTGTTCTTCCCCAAGCGGACTTCCGCGGGGTGCAAGGCCTCGCCGAAGTCACTGAGGAGGAGGTGCGCCGTGGATGGGGTGAGCGGGTCGAGAAATTGGCCTAGTACCAGTGGTTGGACTGCTTGCGCGGGGATGTTTGGCGGGAGGGCGTTGCTGTTTGTGTTGATGGGCGTTACGGGGATTGTCTGGGGGCGGCCGTAGCCGTATTTCTCGTATAATTGTTCTACCGGGAGGTCATCGATGCTTGACGGCAGGGCGAGCAGGATGTTGTTGAGATGGATATCTTTTTTTTTCAAAATGAGCCGAACCCAGCCGCGGGCCATCTATAAAGAAACACACGCAGAGTGCAAAGGTGCGAACGAACCTCCATGGACATAGCCCTGTGAATGCACATACGCCACCGCCTGAACAAGGCGATATGATATCTATCGCTCGAGCAACATCCAAGGGCAACAGCGAGAAAGCAACCTTCCGCAGGTTGCAGGCAGCCAGCGTCACCGTGTAGCAGATATGGGTGCCATTGGGGCCTCGCACCTCGAACTCATCCAGGAGGTCAGGAATCGAACGACGCCCCGGGTGTCCGGGTGAGGGTGGCTTGGATAGAGCTCGGAGAACCCGGGCCTCGCGCAGCACTGACGATGCCGTGTTGACCTTTAGAGCGACGTAGCGGTTGCGCGGCGTGTCGCGCGCGAGCCACACGGTCGAATACGCCCCGTGGCCGAGCTTGTCTGCGATGTAATATCGGCCGTCGTGCAGTGTGTCGCCGACTGTTATGGGATGATAGCCTCCTGGCTCGTAGTGCTCGAGTGCCTCTACGTCCTGGATCCAGTTGTATTCGATTTGAGGCTTTGAGGTTGTCGTTGTTGTGGATATTAGTCGCGCGGGAGAACGGGATCGCAGCCTCAAGGTATGTCGCTGGGACGGTGAGAGTGATAGTCGGGGTCGCGGTGGGGGCGGGGCAGTGGTGTGAGGAAAGGGAGAGAACGAGTCACTACCTTCGTGTAGTTGGGCATTGTGGACAGTGATCTAGATGCATGTCGAAGCGCCAGGATGGAGATAGAGTGGGGTCAGCTCTGAAGGGAGGGGAAGGGATAGCCTGCGGAATGCGGACGGTCTACAGGCAGGTAGTTATACCAGGAGGCTGAAAGAAAGGGGGGTCCGGGGGTTCTCCCCCGGAGACGTTTATGTTTCTGTTTAGAATGTAGGTATACCAGGAAGCTGAAAGAAAGGGGGGTCTGGGGGTTCTCCCCCAGTTCTCCGCTTTTGCATGCGCGCGTTTTGCTTGTTATAACCACACAGCTTCTACTGGTGAGAAATACGATTATCAAACTGTAATCTACTTATTGTATGCTTACATCTGATTGACGAATATTGTTATCTTGGACAGTGGTTTCATTAGTTGTATACTAGGACTATTAGATATACTTAGTGTCAACCAATACATACGGAAAGCTACAGGGTCAAAGAGTTCATTAGATAGCAAGATCTAGAAGCAAGAATAAGCCCAAGAAAAGCCACCGGGAGTAGTCTAGTAAATTGATGTAGCCAGTCAAAGCCGTGATCTGTACAAGGTGTACGGTTAAGTATATACAAGAAACCCATGCATCTGCACTCCAGGTGCTACACGGCAAGTGCCACCGCTAACTATACATACGTCACGGCAGACATCCCCAGAGGAATGTTACCCTGTCGCGCCACCACACGCAGATAACTGGTCCTCAACCCATTCAGTTGTACCGACGTCTCAAAGCCCTCCCGCTGGACACTCTTCACGAACGTCTCCTCCCCGTCCGTTGCCACCGAGTAGATCGCCCAGTTGTCATACTCTGTGGCCCCGTTCCAGCTCATATGCACCATCGCCGTATCGTCCGTCGTGCGGATCGCCACCAGCGCCGGCGGCCAGAACGGCGTCGCCTTCCACTGGCACTTGAACCCGCGGTACGAAGCCACCGCGTTGTCCTCGCCAAACTGCGCCGTCATGACCTCGCGGCCATGCGCATCGTACTCCTTGATCCGCGCGATCGATCCATACCCCAACACCACATGCCCCGTCTCCGGGCTGAGCAGCTGGTAACTGCCCTGGCTGACGCTGTGGACCACATCTTTGGAGTCGGACAGTGTGCGCAGGGTCGACACCTTGTGGTTGACCAGATCGACGTAGAAGTTCAGGCCGGTCGTCGCCGCCACCGTCTCCGTCGGCGTGTTGGCGTTGTTGAACAGACTCAGGACCATGCCCTCCTGCGTCTGGTTATAGACGCGAATGTCATGTTGCCACGAAAAGACCGCATTGTCGTCGATCTCGAAATTGCCGGTGTTCTTCTCACCCTGGAAACCATTGTCAGACCTGCACCACCACAAAAAGGCACCAGATGACCAAAACAACTTACACTGAGTCGCCACATCACCGAGCCATTGTTGTGAATATAGAACCCAGACCAGTAGTGACGCAACGAGATGATGTACCCATCATCCATGAGCTCAACGGAGTTGATATGATACGCATCCCACGGCTTTTCCTGCGTTCCGTACTCAGCCCCCAGCCCTTGCTTGGAGGTCTCCAAGGGGATTTCCGTTAGGTGGTCCAGCGCACTCCACGAATAGACAATCTCATTGGTGGCGATGTCGATCTCGAAGAACATGCCGTCGAGCATGTAGTCGTCGGGACCGCCGCCGATGGCCGACAGGTCGTGCTGCGTGACGTTGTAGGCGGTCACCAGCAGGGTATTGCGATCGGTGATATGGCTCTCGTGGAGATCGATGTACGAGTCGAGCGGTTCGCCGTAGGGCGACACGAACGCACCCCCCAGGGTCACCGTGTAGATCTCTCGGTAGGTGTTGTCGAGGATGTGCACCGTGCCGTACCCGAAGCCCAGGTCTGTCATGTTGCCCGCCCAGAAGGTGATGACGTCCTCGTTGAACAGCCGCTGCACCCGGAAGTTGGCCGTCACCTCCTGCGGGCCCTCGTACACCAGCTGGCCCGCCTCGTCGTAGATCAGCGCCGCCGTGCCCAGCTCCTGGTTGCCCCGCGGCCCAATGAAGATGTATCCCGGGTCTGTCTGGCCCGACTTGGTGACCTTGAGTTGAGGGGGGAGAAACGGGCCTGTGCGGAAGGCGGCATAGGGGAAGTTGTCGGCGGCTGTGGGGGTTGCGTGAAGCAGTAGCAGCAGCAGCGCACTGCAGGCGAGGAATAGTTGGTGAAACATGCTCGGAGGGGAAGTGAAGTCGTGCATGACGGGCGTGATCAATCTATCATAAACAGAACGTGGTATATAGTTCTAGCGTAGGCATTCGGGGGTAAAGGAGCGCGTCCCCGGATACTAGGCGGAGGAAGGGAGGGCGACTTCCTGAAGATGAGGAAGTGAACAACGACAAGGGTCAGCTGTAAAGAAGACAGCGACGTTCAGACAGGGAAAAAATCATAATAAGAAGCGGAGAGGGGAAAGTGAAGCAGGGCGCAATTAAAGACGAGACGTAGGCGAGAGAGGATCCGTGACAGAAGCCGTAAGGATGGGGACTGAGGATTGCATTGAGTGGGCACAATTTCCCCTTCACTGGGCAATTCGTCTAACCTTCCTGGGCGGTGATGCTTTTTGCCTGTTCGGGCAGGCGGAGAGCCGCTCCAGCCCCCTTGATTGGTGGCTGATTGATAGCGGACGCGCAATGGATTGTCCACTTCGTCGCCCTTTTCTCCATTTCAGCCAAATGAGGCTGATCTTCCCTGCGCCTGGACTCTAGATTGTCAGAGTGATGGCTCAGTCACGCCTGCATGCTCTTCCCAGCTGACGCACTACGTGTTTAGGATTTGCTTCGGTGAAAGAAATCGCCGCATGTATGGGAAAACAATTGATTTGACGTGAATAGAACCTCACTCCTGTACCACCTGGCAGACTGGCAGAGTCCTACAATAACTTAATCCTCAATAGGACAATGAGGCTGCTGTATGTCTTGGATGTCAGAACCTTATTCTGTCGATGTCTCAGTCTTCATTAATCAAAACATGGCGTATCTGTTCCTCCACTGAATCTCCACAACCGGGACAGCCTTACTGAATTCCTTATAACGCCCTCAAAATCATCGGAATACTCCACACATACTCTATGGGTGGCTCAGATCCATACCATGCTTTCTTCTAAATGATCGAGAGCTGTCTGCGCCATGGTCTCCGCTCGACGATAAAGCATGCCTTTGGCCGGCAGTGGAACATGCGATCGCCTCCAGCTACAGGAAACGAGCACTTTGCACCCCATAGAAGGGTCATCGATGTTGTTTGACGCATCAGCGCCCGGCTGCAATCCTTCTCCTGCTGCTGCGCTGTGTCCCAGTTCTATATATCCACCTAAGTTCATATCCTTCCCTCTTTCCCTCAACCACTGCACCGCCCGGTGCAAGTCCAGACCCAGCCTGACATCCCACGACACTGAATCCTCATTTGCAATACGCCACCATAGACTCGATCGATGTCTCACTACAGGCAAGCAAGAATCAATCTTCTCCTCAGCCCTACAGGCCCGTACAGAATAGGCAGCGAAAGACGATCCCTGCCCCGTCTACCCTTGGAAACAAGTAAATGTAACATGGCTTTTTGGAGCCTGCTTCATCCTGCTGTGGAGATGGACGCCTGCTGAAACTAGTTCAACATATTATCCGTTTGCCTGTGAGAAAAACCGAAGTTCTTTGTCGGAACTGTCGGGGATTATAAGCTGGACCTCGAGTCAATGATAGGATACTGATTGAATACAGTCTATTTCGAGAGAAGCAATATGTATCTGTTTATCGGCATCGGAAGCAAGCTTTTGTTTTCGTGATCATCTCTAAACCTGTCTGCATCACCAGCATCAAGTTCTCTATCTATACTAGCCCTGCGCTCCGGCTTGTTCAGTAAGCCAAAAGTGACACTAAACCAAATCACAAGCAGATTCCTAAGGGTGGACTTCCGCAATCAAGTTCAGGAAAATTAATTAATCTATGAGTTCACATCTATCATGATATATACATCCAAGAATCACCCATCAAAAAGTAGTCCCTAACATATACACAAAAGAAAACATCAATCAAGCCTTGCACATACGGCCCGACTCCGACACCGTCCAGTAATCACTACCCACACCCTTGAGGACGTAGAACAGGTGGTCCGGATCATACTTGTTCTTGATCTGAGACAGCTTGGCGTAGTTGGAGCCGAAGAAGGTCTCCTGCCAGTTCAGCTGGTTGAAGTCGGCCTCGTTCTGGTAGGCGCCGGCGCCGGGGGTGGCGGCCTCGAGCTGGGGCACAACCTGGTGGGTCATCTTGTACTGCTCCTCGAGCATCTGCTCCCACGGGGCGGTCTCGTTCCAACCGGCTCCAATTTGCATGGTCACGGCAGCCTTGCGCCACTCGGGGAAGATAGCGTTGGCCACGTCGTTGGAGCTGGTCACGTTCAAGCCAACGCCGACGGCGATGATGCCCTGGCCGGTGATGTTGCGGAGGGCGGACACCAAGGGCTTCACGTCGGTGTCCAGAACGGAACGGGGGATCAGGCGGCCACCGTAGTTGAAGGTGCCGACATCCAGGTTGCCGTAGGGAAGAGGACCCATGTACTTCTCGTAGTGGTCGTAATACGAAGTGTACTCCGTGTAGGAGACAGAATAGGTGATGCCAAGGTCGGTCAGGGCAGAGAGGAAGGGGGCAAGGATGGTCTTGACCTCGGTGGTGGTCTTGTTGAAAGCAGTAAGAGGGTTGATCAGGAAGATGCTGCTAGTCATCTCATAGATGACCGTGGTGCCAGCGTCGATCATGGCAGGCAACAGCTCGTGGAAGCGAGCGACAGCCTCGAAGAAAACCTCCGTCGTGACGTTGGCGGCGGTGAACTGGAGACCGGCGCCGGAAATAGTGGCATCAGGGTAGGCCTTCACGGTGACGGACAGAACGACACCATAGTTACCGGCACCACCACCGCTGAGAGCCCAGTAGAGGTCGGTGTTGCTGGTGCGGGAGGCCGTGATGACCTCACCGGCAGCGGTAACCACCTCGAAAGACAGCGACTGATCGGCTCCCAGGCCGAACGAGGTGCTGAGGGCGGAGTGACCACCACCCTGGAGGTAACCACCAGCCAGACCGACGGTGGGGCACTCACCACCGACCACGACGTGGCCGTTGGCGTGGACGGCCTCAAGAACCTGGAAACCCATCACACCGCTACCCAGCTTGTAGGCAGGGCCGCTGTAGGTGGAATCAGACCAGTCGACGTACTCGATGTTGTTTAGGTGGTGAGTCCAGATGGACAGAGCACCGGCACCGGTGGAACGACCAAGGTAGCTAAGCCTGCTGTTAGCCGTGCATCATGTCGTCTAGATGTACAGAGAAACTCACTCATGGCCAGTGTTACGGATCACGAGACGGATGTTGTTGGACTTGGCGAAGTTGATGGCGGCAACAACCTCCTCGCTAGACGAGACGTCGACTGCGTAGCTCACGTAGTTGCCAAGCAAGCAGGGCTTGGACTCCGCGGTGAACGGGTCGCAGCTCTGGTTGGCAAAGTAGGTTTGCATGACGGAGCTCGAGGTGTCCATGCTGAACAACGAATCCCATTAGTAATCTGAATGTGGCAAGGGGCGCCCATAAAATCAGGGGAGGGTGTAGATAAGCTTACTGGGTCTGCGGGTGGTACCAGTTGCTTTGCAGATCCTTGCACGCGGCGGCATCATAGTTGGGGGCATGGCAAGGAGTACCAACGGGAACAGTAGCAACCAAGCGACCGTTCACCGTGCTATTCAGCGCATCCCAGCTGGAGGTCGAGGGCCAGCAGCTATCACCGGGCAGGCAGTGGCAATCACCGGAGTTGGTGGCGGAGACCGTAGAGGTGAGAGCTGCAGTGGCAGCTGCCAAAGCCCACGAAGCCTTCATTGTGTAGAGAAAGAGTGGGAGATTTGAGAGAGAATTGTCTGGGAGGCAAAACGAAGTCTGGTATGGGAGAAGTCGTACTTTATACTCCCCGTTCGTGAGGACGAAGCGGATAGAGCGTATCGCGATCCATCAAATGGGCTGGACTGTGAAGCAGGCCATATCGGAGATTTACCCAAAGGGCGTTTAGTTCAAGGGGGACGGACAGTGGGGAGGATCCGTGGTGCGATGCAGCCGTTAGATTAATGACCAGGCAGCGACAGAGCAGGAGAAGAGATTTAGACTAAGTTAGTCAAACCATTTGGAACCAAGAGTGGGAGGTGGTTAGTAAACCAGGTTGGAGTCTAGAGTAAACTAAGAGTACTACAGTAGGTAAGGACCAGAACTCGGCAATCCAGGAAGTTGGACCAATCATTCCAGAAATGACACTAAGCCTAAGCTGGAGTAGATCGGGATGACTAAGTGGTGCCACAATCGGTGCGGTGGAGAATCCAGGAAGGTTGCATCCACAAATTCTTCTCCATCTCTCTCTCTGCCTTCCGAGTCATTCTCTCACTGACCTCTTTCACACTTCCAAGGAGCCATTGGTTGCAGAATCCACTCTCCGATGCCTCCGCTGCCTTCCAAGACCTGCCATTGGTAACTTGACACATTTGGCTTTACACCAGCCCACCTGAAGCCAGACTGGCTGAGTATCATTGGTGGTTGCCGGCTAGGGCTCGTCTTCCACATCCGGCTGGCCCGCGGGCTTGACTTTGATCCAGTTTGATCCGTTTCAATCCGAAAGCCCTTGAATATCGGTTACGGCACCCGCATTGGGCAAGGCACCTGTCTCATGCTAGACCACGGCCACCAGCTTCTCAGCGCCAGGACCTTCTCAGCACGTTCAGGGGACACAGGACTCGTGGAAAATCATGCCCATAATAGCCCTACTATTGATATGCTCCCATCTGGGCCACGTACTCACGGACCTCGGACTGACGAGCGAAAAACCCAAGTGAAAAATAAAAGAGGAGTCACCGAGGTGTCTGCCTGCGTGCTGCCACCTTACTCGACTTCGACCCACCTCCTCGTACCCTTCCAGACTTCTACGTGGACCCAGCATTCGACGCTGTCGCTGTCGTCTGAGCGCTTGGGGCAAGGGATCATCCAGACTGGAGGCCGACATTGCAGATCGAACACATCGACTAAGAGACTTAGAGTACAGTTAGTAGACAACGGCGCCCTAAAGATAGACTAGAACGCCGTCATTTGCGCATGGTCTCTGGCCTCAATGCCATGTGGTACTGATGATCGTTCCTGCAGGGGGGGAGGTTAAAGTTCTCATTCCCTCGTGGCGACGGTTTCCACAAGCGTCACGCTAACCCAGAAGCCCAGAGCCGATACTATCGAAATAACCGAAGCTGGCCTGCCCAGTGACCGGACCAAGCAGCCGATTGGGGAAGCGATCGTATCGCTGGGCTGGGCTTGCAGCTGCCATGCCTGAGTTACATTGGCTGCATCGGAGGAATTGAACTCTGAAATTGGAGGAAGAACGTAAAATTCGATCTTGGTGCTCGCCAATGTGCGCCACGGTTCTCGGGCAGTGCCTGTCCCAAACTATCTTAATCTCTGCCATGCCCAATGGCTGCTGCTGGCTGCTGCCACTGCAAGTGCTTCTGTTGCTTGCTGCTTGCTTGACTCGCCAAGTAATCATTTGACACTCGACAGGGCCACAAACCGTATTTCCCCTAGATCCGGAAGCTTAACGAACGGCAACCGAACCTAGATATATCTACCTGGGACCTGCCACTGGAACAATGAAATTTGCCAGGATGTGCTCTCCGTCAAGATGAGTTCCGACAGTTCTTCGAATACCGGCCCGTCCCTGATGAGTGGCCTCTGGGCGGCTGTCGGCATCACCACTTTCATCCTCATTCTCCGCATCGTTGCTAAGATCAAGATTCGGCATTTTCGCATTGACGATGTGCTGATGATTGCGGCGCTGGTATGTCCTTCTCCTTGCCGCATTCGCCTCTCTATTATTTTACCTCTAACGCCATGTCCGTCTCGGTGTAGATTCTGACCCTCTCTTCCATGGGACTTTTGACCCATTCCGTGCAGCATGGCTTCGGCAAAGACCTCGAGACCCTGGACAGACCTGATCTGGAAGCTGTGTTGAAAGACATCGCCATTCAAGTACCACTCGTTACCTTCAGCACCGGCATGGCCCGCTCCTCGTTCGTCCTCTATTTGCTGGGGATTCTCGGTGGGAAAAAACCATACCAGATTGCGTTATGGACAGCCATGATGCTGCAGCTTGTCTGCAATATCATTGCTGCCGTTCTACCGCTCAGCATTTGTCGCAATGTCAAAGCGTTATGGATTCCTGGGACTAAGACAACCTGCGGCAATACTGTCGCGGTGATCCATTTTGCTTATTTCCAGTCTTGTATGTACCTGATCCTCTGCACATTATCGTCGGAGTCGGGGCTGATGAATCTAGCGATCAACACCGTGACCGATCTATTCCTGGCAGTCTTCCCCACGGTGATTTTCTGGAACCTGAATTTGAAGCTCCGCATCAAGCTCAGTTTGATTGTCTTACTGAGTTTGGGTATTGTGTAAGTTGGGACTCTATCGTTTGATCGGCTCGCGCTAATACTGCACCAATAGGGCTATGATCGCGTCCATCATCAAGACCACCAAGCTCGACCAAGTCCCTAGTGTGACCAATGTTGGCGCGTCGGGAGGAGTGGAACTAATTCGCTGGGGTTACACCGAGAACTTGATCATCATCATGACCTCGTCTATCCCTTGTATCCGACCACTCTTGATATCCTCTGTGAGGAAATTTTCCAGCAATGCGAAGTCTCGCTCCTACGAGCTCACTGGGCCCCTTAGCGGCAATAAAGGCAATACGAGAAATGGCACTTCACAATCACGGAATCTGGAACGGAGGGATGATGATGCCGACAGTGTCGAGCAGATCCTGCGCGATGCCTACCAGCAGAATTCGGCGATGGAGGCCGGCCATGGTATTACAAAACAAGTCGAAATCTCAGTGATGTCCGACGATTCGTCTTTCCGGCGATAACCAGATCTACTTTGGAGCGACCATTCACTCTTTTGGAATATTTTTCTTTGTCCTTCCTTTATTTCTTTGGATCATGTCTTCCCTCTCCTGCACATGTGGGACATATAGAGTACTATATTGATGACGACGGGTGCGACTGTCATGGTCGGCAGTCAATGACTATACTTAATGGATTTAGATTTACAGCTGGGATACATCAATACACCTAAGGCATCAACGTTTCGGTGGTTGTTTGCCGTTCGTCGACCCTCAAAATTGAGCTGGTGATGGCAGCGGGATTGGCTGAAAGCCACCCCCCACAGGGCCATTTCCCAAGACAGGTGACATGCACCCGATGCCCTGAAAAAGTAGATGTCTCAGGGATGAACCGTGGTTCGGCCAGCGGTCTATTTGAGCGTGGAACCGTGGAGGGAGATAGGATGGAAGGGCGTGCGATCAACGGCACAGCGGCGTAGCGGCCCCTCCACCCGACCTGGTTAAACTTTTTACACGGTGGCCACTGCGTCAACATCCCCAAACCCGACACCGGCCCATGCCTGCCTGTTTGGTGTTGTGTGTCCGTCACTGCTACGGCGGACTCGACCACGTCCTGAATTTGGGGTTTGCGGAGGATGGGCCCTTTCTTGTCTCCTGTGCCTTGTTTATCTGCGTGATCGGCCTTTCTGGGTTTAATGGGAGCTGAGTCCGGCGATCTCAAGTCCCCGCAGGGCTAGAAGCAATCATAGAAAAGTAAAATTAAAAATGAAAAACAAAACAGTGATCGAGGTTATCGAGATTGAGTTTGCGCCAAGTGGTAAAGGGAAAAGGCATCCGCCTCACAGTTTTCTGTCCGGTGAATCGAAGCGTCTCTGGAAATGGACGGAAGCAAAGAAGCGTCCTGAGTCGAAATTCAACCAGAGAAGCACCTACCCGACTCTTCTGATCGGCTGGATACGACGAGATAAGACTGGGAACCCATGTGGTTGTGACGATCTCCGGGGAGCACAGCACACTCCAAGCCGCCGTTCTCGCTCCACGGTTTCTTCAATTTTGGGTTCCGGACCACATTCTTAATCTGTTCTGGTTCGCACGCGTGATCGATGGCGAAGAGATGAATCGAAGTTGGATTTGTTTTTGTTTCGGATGTTAGGTCATTCGCGCGCATATCAGTCCTCCGGGTCGGAATTCCCGGCCATCTCGAAAACGAGTCATGATGGATTCTGAACCGAGAGCCATTGTTCAGGGTGTATTGTTTATTTGGTGGCCCGGGTTCAGTTTCTCTTTTCACTTCGGTCGTATTGTTCCTGAACTCTGGCATCCAGTCGGCGAGCGATTGAGTAATAGTTATGTCTTGTGCTGCCAGAGCTACTAGGCCATCAATAGTAGTGCAGTGATCGCTCTAAGGTCCTGCGCTGTGTTGAACTGTTCCTGTTTGGCTCACCCTTTGCTCTTGTCGACAACGTCGGCGTCGTGTTGGTCTTAGGATCTTGCGGCCTAGACCCCAATGATGCTATTCTCAGCGGTGGAGCCCGGACTATACTCTTATGCCGTCGGACAAACTTGGTGCGCTTCACGTTGGTGCCTCTCGTGCTGCAGGAAATAAATTAATAATAAGCTTGGCTAGACTCATATTCTGTTCCCTCGGAGGGTAGAATATTGGACTAGCTTGTCTCTGCTGGATACCGACTGACGGCCTTGAACTAGTCTGGATGGGCTTCGGGTCCGAGTGAGACTCCGAGGAAGTTCGTTCCTTACCCCTGAGCCGAGGCAATGCGGCATTGTGTCTTATGCCTCAGGCATGAAAGTTTGTCATGTGAATTAACTCGTCGTTTTCGGAAAGAGGGGGTGCCAATAGATAGAGGAGTGTTCTTTTATGGTTACTCCTACCTCTGCGCAGTGATCGTTCCTCGTCCTGAACTTATACTTGTCCTGGTACTGTACATGATAATCACTCTGTTATATTACTTTTCTGTTCCTGGGTTGCAGTGAAGCTTCAATCAGGCCACCAGACATCGGCTTATGCATACTACTACTAGTAAGTTACTCATAGTACTACATCAGATTATATCCACTTCAGCTGACTCCAGCCTTCAGCCCCAATCCCACCAATGATATGCATCTCCCATGTCGATCCCTTCATCTTGTTTGCGGGGGTATCGATCGCGATCATGGATCTTTTCTGATACCAGCAACCCGGGCCAAATATGTGTACTATGATAGCTAGACTCTGGCTTGGAAGTTTCGTGAGCGAGAAACCCAACCTCAAATGCCATCAGCCACAATTCGTCACCATCTCACCACCCACCGACACATCTTGCCAAGACGCTTCATTGCAACCATCAAGATGGCAATCACGTCATCGACCCCCAGATCTTGCCCATCTAGAACCAACCGCCAGCCTAGAGTCGAGCGCATCAAGACTTCGTTATCTACAGTACTAGCTGGCAGCTTTCACACTAGAGCTGCGTCTCTATGACTTAAGAGCGGGGAACACAGCAGACAATTTCTGGTCAGACAGGTCGCACACAGGGGCTTTCCCGCACTGACGCCGCATGGGCTGTTATCCTGATTGCACAACCGACAGGGAGCATTTGGGAGCAACTCAATTCTAAATGGACGGATCTTCAACCTGACATCTTTGCCCAAGCTAGCTCTGGCGCGAGGAACGCGCAAGCGGTAATCACGTAGTGACAGGGATATAGAGATTCCTACTAGCTCCTCTGCCGCTCCAGCGGGTTAAATATCACTGCTGTTCTTGCGCTGTTTGCTTGCCATCTTTGTCTCAGATCTCCTTTGACAGCGCGCTATTCTCTGGCCGGTGATTAAGCTATCACTATGGGTCGAAAGCTTGGTCTCTTCCGGGCTATCTGCCTGGTGTCAGCCAGTTGCATGGGCTCATTTGCCTTCGCCTTTGACACCGGCGTCATCAGTGGGTGATACCATGCGCAATATCGCTACCATGTTCTCAAATGCTTATATGATTCCTTCATCAGGCGGCGTTCTCACATTGTCCTCATTTCAGAGGGATTTCAGATACACTGCGGCTGAGAAGACCTCGGTCAACTCCAACGCCGTCTCTATCCTGCAAGCAGGCGCCTTCTTCGGTTGCTTTTTCACGACTCCCATCGCTAAATACCTCGGTCGGCGACTTGGACTCATTGTAAGCTCGCTAGTATTTACTGTGGGAACCATTCTGCAGGTCGTCAACTCCCACACGCTGGGTACCTTTTATACTGGTCGAGTGATTGCGGGTTTTGGGATCGGAGCTGCCACGGTGTTGATTCCAGTCTATGCGGCAGAGATGTCTCCTAAAGAGTTCCGGGGTCGGCTTGGTGCCTGTTTCCAGCTTTTCTTTACATTAGGAGTGATGATCGCGTATTGGGTGACATATGCCGTATCCAAGGACCAGCCGTCTGCGACAAAACAATGGCAGATCGCGCTGGGCCTGCAACTGCTGCCTTCCTCGGTGCTTCTGGTTGGGATGCTAGCTGTCAAGGAGAGTGCGCGATGGCTTGCGTCTAAAGGAAGGATCAACCAAGCGCGCGAATCGCTGAAATGGGTCCGCGGGGGCGAGGAGACTGAAGAGCTTCAGAAAGAGTTCGACGAGATCCTTGCCGGAATTGCCGAGGAGGCCCGCATTAAGGAAGGCTTTACGTTCCGCGAACTGCTCATCCCAGCCAACCGATACCGCTTGTTCATCGCCTTCACCATTCAGCTCGCCGCTCAACTGACAGGCAACACGTCTCTGGCGTACTACGCCACGCAGATCTTCTCAGCGGTGGGCGCCGGCAACTCCAGCAAGCTCGTAACCGGCTTCTTTGGGCTTGTCAAAGTGGTCGGCGTGTGTGTCTTTCAGCTCTTCGTCCTCGACCGCGTCGGCCGACGCTGGCCGTTCATGGTCGGCGCCGCAGCCATGGGTTCGTTCATGCTCATCATCGCCTGTGTGCTGGCCACCCATCCAACCAATTCCTCGGCGACCCACGCGAGCCCCGCCGGCATCGCCATGATCCTTATGACCTACTGCGAAGCCTTCAGCTACAACATGTCGTGGGGCCCGCTCCCCTGGCTCTACGTCGGGGAAATATTCAGCAGCCGCATGCGTGAGATTGGAGTGACTGTCGGCGCGGCGTCACAGTGGCTGTTCAACTTCATGATGTCGCAGATCACCCCGCATGCGATCGACAATATCGGGTGGCGCATGTTCCTCATGTTTGCGATCTTCAACTACGCGGTGATGATATACGCGTATGTGTTTTTGAAAGAGGTATGTTCCATGCTTTTTCTTGCTGTTGCGGGGTGGGGTTCTCGCGCGTCAGGCTCACCTGCTAATTGAAATTTTCGGGGACTAGACTTCGCAGTACTCGTTGGAGGAAATGCAGAATGTTTTTGGTGGGAATAGCCATACATGTGATAAAATCGTGGAGACGGGTGAGAAGGGTCAGGACGCTGGGGATGTACCTGGGGAAGCTAGTAGGCAGACCCAAAACACTGCGCCCAAGGAGGGATGAGTCGTGTTTACATAGCAATGCGGTGCTGTCAGGTACGCGGTCATGGATCAGCTTACACATGACTTAAGTTATAATGAGGAAGACACTGGCAATCGGAACAATACAAACAAGAAACCAACTGCATAGATCTTATTCACAGTCCTGGCTCAGCGCTTAATGCCCTGGATAAATCATTATAGACCCAATCGATCCCAATCAAGCAGTCTGACTGCCTCAGAAAGTGACAATGTAGAAATTCGGTGACGAAAGCCTTTCCGTCCTCGAGAAATAGGTAATTGGTACCTTACACAGTACACAAACCTGCGGTTAGACTACTTGTCTTCCTCATGCGATACATACTGTACGTTCTGAGCAGCTCCTCGTTCGAGTCTCAATGCATCCGCTCTCCAGTTAGAAGAAAAAACACTCTCTACCCCGGCTACAGGCCAAGTAGAAACAACCAGCCCAGTAAAGACCCAACATGACACCCACTATCCTTCACCTATAATCCCTGTCTGTAAACCACCGGCTCCATTAAGCGTTCCGGGGGAGAACCCCCGGACCCCCCTTTTCTTTCAGCTTCCTGGCCACCTCAATCCTATATAAACTTTGATAAAGTATCCGGGGGAGAACCCCCGGACCCCCCTTCCTTTCAACTTCCTGGAACCTCAATTCTGGTACCAGAAGAGAACCCAGCACCCCTCAACCTAGCCCCAGGGCAGGACTAATGCCCCCCGCTCGCCAAGGCAAATCCCTGCGCAGCACTCACCTCCGCCCGCGCAGACCGGATCGTATCCCCGGCCGCAGGCTGCGGCCCCAAATGGAACGCCGCAGGCTGATTCTTGGCGGTCGCGCACGCCGTCTCATCGCACGCGATGTATTCCTCGCTGCCCGCGTTCTGGATCGTATGGGCGCCGCTGCCACTGCTGCTCTCGACGGGGCGACGATCCAGGTCTCCCACGGCCCGGCGCGGGTGTCGTCCAGGATCAGCACGTGTCCGTTCGGGGGCGCCTTGAGCCAGGGCCCGGAGTTGGTTGTTGAGGTTATTTGGTATTGGGCTGCGTTGACTATGATTACTGTTGTTGTCATTGCTGCGATTAGTAGGGATGTGGTTGGTTTCATTGTTTTGGTTTGGCTTTGGGGATTGGGAGGGGTTGAGTTGTGGAATACTTGGATGGGCTGGTGCTGAAGGGTGGTTATACTGTATTCATGTTCGGTGTTAGGGGTGTTCTTGAATGGGGGTTGAGGCAGGGCTCGCTGGGTGGTGTCTTTCCTATTTGGGGTTGATGAGTCATTGTTCTTCTTTGTTTTAGTTTCCTTACTGTCTGTAGGTCAAGCTTATGGGAGAACCTAATCTGTGGTCTGTGGCTTGAGTATGTGGGTGCTGGGGGGCTGAAAGGAGGGGGGTTCCGGGGGTTCTCCCCGGGGACGCTTATCTCTGGTTATAGGGTTGAGGTGCCAGGAAGCTGAAAGAAAAGGGGGGTCCGGGGGTTCTCCCCCGGGACGTTATAATAGTACCTGTGATTGGGATGACTTCTCCGTGTAGGCTGCATGGAACAGCAACTTGATTATTACAGCTGGATCTGTGGATGGGTTGTCAGTGCAGTGTCGAAGACCCACTCCTGTATGTGCACAAGCTTATTTATTAGTGACCAATAGGATATGCGGATTAAGTCCCGCATTCTATTTCCAGAACATGGCCCGGTGCGCCGGGTGGGGTTGGACCGTTCCCTCGGGTCTTGTTTCTCTCCGAGTGCAAGGTGCTGGCAAGTGTCGAAGGTAAATTTATCTGTCTGCACTTTCGCGTACAAAATTGCATGAAGTTTCCTAATTAACCCTAAGTCCGCTTTGTCGCTTTTGTATCTATTGGCTCATAATGGGTATACTAATGACGTTCATAGTAGTCGACCATCATACACTATTATACTCTTGTCTTGACAGTCCGATTCAACATTTGCTGATGGTATATTCTTCTTTGTTAAAATGGTTGATTAGCAGTTCGATAATAAGCTGGGGAATAAATTGCAGCAGAGCGCTTGTACTAGTACAAAGTAAGCTCCGGGATGCGTGATTAGGACGGTGCCACCGGCTGGTGGCATTGGGGAATGGACGGTAGGCGTGCGAGTCGACCTACTCATCTTGTTGTTCCGGATGTAGCCCTCTCTTAAATACAAAAGGAGCTCACCAGAGGGCTGAAAGGGTTTGTTGTTAATTAATCTAGTCGATAGGGTCTGGAACCCACTAAATCTGGTTCAATCCTGAATAGTGTGGGGAGATTGAGAGGGTGGGTCTCGTTCTCGTACGCATAACCTTTTACGGAGAATTGTTTCTGTTTTGAGAAATCTACCTAATTGAAAACAACTGAGTTGCTCATTTGATTCAGAGGGGGGACCATGGTCAGCCACAATGCAGCAAGAAGACCGCGTTTTCATTCGGTCGCACATATTTGCCATGCCTGCTTGGGTCGGTCGTACTTCGTACAGGGGACCAACCTGAGCGTGCGAGGTGGTTATGGTCCTCTGGATTCAGACGTTTGCTTGGCTGGCTACTAATTCCGTCAATCTGGTTCCACCTCCGATGTCTTTGAAAACAGTTGCAGAGCATTAGGGAGCATCGTGCATTATAAGTAAAGGCCGACTTCCTTGCCGCACAGTTGACAACCCTGCCTTCCACTCCACCAGTACAATTCGAAGCACGATTGCCCTCATTCAAATACCAGCAACAGAACAAAAGCTCATTGCAATGGGATACCAATATTACCACTACAACCCTTCCCCGAGCGCCGCAATCCCGTTCGCAGCCCTCTTCGGGTTGACAGCCGTCGTTCACATATGGCAAACCGTCCGCGCCCGAACATGGTATCTAATCCCCTTCATCATCGGAAGTATATGTATGTTCTCTGCTCATTCATACCAAGCGAACCATTCCAGAAAACACGCTGACAAAGTATCCATCCCTCCACAGTTGAAGCGACCGGCTACCTCTGCCGATACATCAGCGCGACCGAAACGCCCGACTGGACGATGAAGCCCTACGTGGGCCAGCAACTGCTCATCCTCCTGGGGCCATCGCTCTTCGCCGCCTCGATCTACATGTTATTGGGACGGATTATCCGCGTGCTGAACGCCGGCTCCATCTCCCCAATCCGGCCGACATGGCTCACCAAGATCTTCGTCACCGGCGACGTGATTTCCTTCCTACTCCAAAGCGGAGGTATGTACATACGCCCCCTTCTCTCCATCCTGTCGATTGATCGCAACATATCTTCAAACTCAATCAGCGCGGAAAACTAAAGAATAAACAAAAAAGGGGGCGGAATGCAAGCCAGCGCCAAAGACGCCAACCAAGCCCAGCTGGGCGAACACATGATCCTGGGCGGCCTCTTCGTGCAGATCCTCTTCTTCGGCATTTTTATGATCGTCTCGGTGATTTTCCACCGGCGGATGCTGAAAACGCCCCTACACCACGTGGGCTCGGCGCCGGTCCCCTGGAATAAATACCTGAAGGTTCTCTATGTTGTTAGTTTGCTCATCTTGATCCGGTCGCTGTACCGCGTGGCGGAGTATATTCAGGGGAAGAGCGGGTTTCTGCAGAGCAAGGAGATTTTTATTTATCTGCTAGATGCGGCGTTGATGTTGACGTGCTGCGCCATCTTCAATGTCTGGCATCCGAGTGATGTCGTCTCCGGGAGACAGGCCCTGTATAAACAGCCTGAGGATCTGGAGATGTTGAATGGTGGGTATCGGTAGACGTTTTAGGGATAGAAACGAGGCGGTTTTCAGGGGATATGTAATGATGGCTGGAAGATCTCTGTACATATTTGATATCAGGAGATAGTGTATCGAGAAAGAGCTGGCTTGAATGTGCTCAATGCAGACTAAGACCACAGTGCGAGAGGAGCGAGTAAGTATAGGGCGAGGGCTCGGCTGCCAGACTGCTATGTATATATATTTCGGCAAGATAATTCTCGCCAGCGATCCCACGAATCGACTGCTGGATATGAGGTAGCTCAAGAGGGATTCACGAGTCGAAAGAGATCTCTCGGAGCCGACTAGCCACAACCCTACACCTAAGCCCTTTTACGCAATCAAGAATAAAAGAAATGGACCCAATGCACTCCATGTGCTAGAGGTAACCGCGCGACAATTGTAGCTTTGAACATAACCCAGCGAGCTTTCGCTGAATGATTCTTCGCCAACTTTTCTTTCGATTAGGAAAGATATAACAAGAAGATGGGTCGCAGTGTATTTGGTCATGAGTGGCATGTGCTAGCTTGTAAGCGTGCTTAATCCCCCACTGCTTCTCAGTCGGTGATCCTTCGGGGTATCTCACTTAGTAGGGAGGGCATGAAGGCCATACCCCCCAATTTCCTCAATTGAATTAGACTCTTCGCTAGAGACAACCTTGATAGGCTCACACCGGAGTATTGTGATTGACACGATCGGGCCGGGCCGTGTCTTTCTGTGCTCCTAGGAGAACCACAGCGATGCAAGTGGCGAGCAGATGCTATGGGCACTTCGCTATCCAGTCCCTTGCAGTAAGACTATCGTATATAACAAAGCTTCGACTTCGGGACTTTGTCTAGGGATATAATCCTCTGGAAGACGATCCAGCACAGACTGGAGCATGTCTAGATCTAGATATCCGGACTATCGGTTGAAGCATAGCCCAGTCTATATAGCTCCAACAGTATGAAACAGAACAAGAAGATATACCGAAAAATTCAGGCCTTCCAACATCAGACCTCATACTAGCCCGCAAGAGTCTGCTAAAACAAAAGGGAAACGTAGTACCAGAGAATAACGACAAACGCCAGACCGAAAAACACACGACATATCAAGCCAGACAGAAGAGGCCCCTTTTCTTCGTGGAGATCGGGAAACTTTACATCCAGTTTGTTGGTAGTCGGAGGCAGGGATATATGCGGGGACATGGGCGTTATCTCAGACGAGGTGCCAAAAAACAGAGGTCGACCCGAAGCACAGAAAATGACAAATCCATCGGCAGTGCAGTGGAAATCTCTTATATCTTTTGGCTGATACTCTTTTGGCAGCCGAAGAACCCGCTTATCTCTCCATGAAACCCACCAGTTCCAGTTGTGACCAAGGGAATAGTCAATGTGAGGACGACTGGATTGCGATTTGAGAAGATCGAGCTTTCCCTGTGCATCCAACGTCTCGAGCCACTGAGATTCTCTCACATTCCAGACCAATACTTTCGGAGGCCAGGCACCTTCTTTGAACATGAAAAGATAGTCACCATTCAATGAAAAAGCGACCGAGGCAGTCATGTACCAAGAGTATAGATCATCTTCGAATGGGTGGATGTGAGCCAGTAAAACACCTTTCTGGTTCCAGATCCGGACTCTGAAAAATTGCAGATCATATTGGGCGTGACGACGGGGCAGTTGTACAAGGGCAAAGTTGCCACCAGCAGAAGTCTCGATGGAGCATAAAGAACCATCATACTCGTCAGGTGCGTCGAGGGTGGTGAGGCATGAGCCATGGCAATCCCATATCTTGAACGTGCGATCCCTCGAAAAAGATAAAAGTTTTCCATCAGCAAAGAATGCAAGCCTGTGAATCCTGTCTTCGTGTCCAGTTAGATGTTGAGGAACGTCCCCGCTGGGGTTCAAAACTAAGATTAAGTTATTCTTTGATGCTGCAGCGGCAATGCGGCCATCATGACAGAATGCAACACTGTGAGTTTCCCATGAATCATCATTTTCCAAGGTCCTTATGCAAGTACCGTCTTGATTCCAAACTTTGATGGCGTCCCTCGACCTCGATATCAATTGCCCCGAGGGAGACATGCTCGTACAGCCGTAATAGTAAGTTCTATCATGGCGGTCAAATACCTGGGTCTGTCCACTTGGGTCCCATATCTTCACATCTCCTTCCAAACCAACCGAAATAATCTGATCGTTGTGAGAGACAGCCAAAAACATGATTGAACTTGTATGACATTGAAGAGTTTTAAGAAGCATTCCGCCGGCTTCCCATATCTTAATAGAGTGATCTCCCCTCGAACTGGAGACAAGGCTTTTGTTTGACAGAAACGCGACCGAGTACACTTCGCTTGAATGCCCTTGAAGAGCTTGGAGACAAATGCCACTCTTGGAGCTCCACGTCTGAATGTATCCATTCGCGAGTCCAACCGCGAGTATCTCGCCATCGAATGAGTAGGTGACCGAGCTAACCATATCAGAATGTTCTAAAGTCATTGCACAGCTTTGCAACTCAGGATTCCAGATTCTGACTGTTTGGTCACAGGACCCAGAGGCAACCATGCCACGGGGAGATAGTGCAATGGAGGTAATCCGGTCCGAATGTCCGTAAAAAGTGCTGAGAAGCTCGTCGCGCGGATCTCTTATCTTGACGACAGATTCTCCGTACAATGCATACACGATTCTGCCATCAGGAAAAAGAGCAAGGGCCTCGAGTAGCTCAGTTTCATGCCTAGAGGTATGGACACACGTACCACTAATGCTGTCCCATCTCTGAAAAGTACCTTTTGAGGAGGCGGACACCAATGACCCATCCGATGAAATTGCAACATGGGTAATATCCTGCTCAGAAAATAATGTCTTCAGTTGCCGGCCACTATCTGCCTCGAATATTATGATGGATCCAATATGTATGACTCCTGCAGCTCTTACGCCATTACATGCCAGAGAACCATGAAATCCAAGTGTGCCCATATAAGAGGTATGAATGCAGGCGTCCCAACTATCCCCAGTTGTCGGGGCTTGCGTGATCCAGCTCGGCTCTTCATGCCTGAAGAGCTTCCGAGTGAGGCTGTGGCGGGGAGCAAAAACGAGGGCAGAAAAATAGATTTGTAACGGACATTCTTGAATCAGGATTTGGTTGAACATAATGAATCGATGGAAGTCCCGTGCAAGTTGCAGGATCTCAGTTCTAGAGACAGGTGATCGGTAGAAAGGTCGGAGAAAACGTGGCTTAAGATTAGGGGTGTGCCTCTGCAATGCCATTCTAGGATAAGCTGAGCACTAAAAGCAGCAATAGATACTGTACTTACCGAGAGCAACCCAACAAGCTTCCTGACGGCCACCAAGGCAACAGGAGAACTTTGCATCAGACTCAAAGCCTCAAGCCAGTGTAGAAAATGGAGCCTCAGAAAGCTATGAATAGCGCCATCATCACATAGACCGACTTGTTCATGTCCAATCTCTATTTTCTCCAGGTGATCGACCCAGAATGTACATGAATAACGAAGAGAACTCAACGGGTCTGGAATGGGTGTCTTGACATCTTCGATCTGAATTCCGGGGTCATTCAACTCATATATATCCCTTCGTAAGGCAGCCATGTTCTTGACAGATTGTGAGACAATGAAGCCGTTCCCTGCAGAATGTCCATCTGGGAAAATCTTCGACAAGATATGCGATGTGGCTTTCTTCTCAGGTGTGGAGCTAAGCATAGCAGGGTCTTGAACAAGGTAATCTTTAGCAGACTGATGTATGAACGATACCATATGTTCATCTTCTTTCACGACGAATAAGCCACACTGTCTGACAACTCGTTCAGGATAAGCCATGGAATCAATCCCAGCAAGTGCCTCCAACTCTGATAGATTCAGAGGACGGAATGCGGTGACCATTGTCAAGAACATCCGCTTGTAGACGTCGAAATTATCAGACTGGTCTTCCTCCACATTCTTCAGCATCAGTGTGTAAATGCCAGGCAGGCCTGCGGGCATACACTGCAGACGCGAGAGAAGCTGGTTGGCATGTTCACATTTCCGAAGCTGCTTGATAACCAAAGCTACCCACAAAAAGGTCCCATTGGCTTTATCGTGGAGCTCAATTGAAAGGCGTTCTAGAATGCCTCGTAGTTCCCCCTCTCGGAAACGTGATTTGTCTGCATTCCCAAATCTTCTCACATGCACATTCCTCAATTCAGAGACTTTCTTATCAATGTAAGCGTGGATAGCCCGAGAGACGGAACTGGCATTCACTTCGAGGGATACTCGGGAGTTAGGTGTCAAGTCACCTAATCGTTCGCAGATAGAGTTCTCGTTTCGGCTCGACAGAACCCACTTCACTTTGGCATTGGTCGATGTTTCCAGAACAACATCAAGAAGTAGCGGCAAGTCCGATTTGCACTCATCAAGTGCGTCGACGATTAGGTAGGTTCTTGTAAAGTCCTTGTCTTGCAGCATGGCGGAGAAGACCTTTTTAAGAGTGTGGAAAGCGCGCGGGCCCTCGAAAATCTCCCGGCCTGCATCCTCAAAGTCTTTCTTAAGATGTTCAATAAGTGAGCTTTTCTGGCATATCAGCATCCAAATGAGGCCCCGGAGAACAGACGTGGCTGTGTTGAGTCGGTTGTCCGTTCCACGACAGAAGAAGTATGAGAGATTCGGCTCATCGAGGTGCGTCTTTAGCTGCTCCCTGAGGTCCTGCACGATCCCCATGAGCAGCATGGTCTTCCCTTTCCCAGCATCTCCATTAATCCAGAGAATTCTCTTTGCGTTGTCGAGATGCCAGTCCATGAGCTCTTTGTACTGCTCCGTCTCAAGCACCCACTGGTAGCACTCGAGGAGCAATGTGTCCTTCTGCTGCTGGAGTGACTCCGCCTCCGCCTCCATGTTTGCCACGTAGCACGCTCTCTTGATTTCACTTTCCTTCTCAGATAGCTTAATGTCAACAAGCTTCCCGGTATATGAAGCTCCTTGTCTGATACCAAACATATCCATAGCGGCTTGTACAGATTTCTCATTCTTATCGATATCTTCTAGGCTTCCCGCCCAGTTATTTACCTTGAAGAGGTTTCTCGCCAAGATGGAAGCGCTATGGCGATTCCTGACGCAGATAGTCTTGACCATGTATTCCAGAAGAGTCTGGTAGAGTTTCAGGATTTTCTCAGCCAGTTCGCTTCGAAGACCAGCAAGTTTCTCATCGATTCTCGAGTCCTGCTGACGAACGAGAATTGCAAGATTGGAGTACCACTTCATCCTGAATATCACGTCCGCGATGCCATCTTGACTTGCTTTTGCCTCGTTCAGAGGATTTAGCAAGAGCTATTGAACATATTAGCTCACTGAGAGGCAAGATATGAAACCAAGATTTTTAGGGAAACTGTCAAGCTTACTTCAAGGGCAAAGCATAGGCCACTCCAAATCAAGGCACCAATGGGCACAGAATTCAGGCTCAGATCAATTGCGGACTTGAGAGATAGAACTATATTGATAGCCGTGCCCATCTTTCCCCTGGCCCCAGCATGCTTCTCCATTTTGCTCAAAGTACCCTGCAGAAGGCGATCCATCTGTGACCGCCTACGGTCTCGATCTTGGCTAATGACATCCTTACCAGAAGAGCTCCCTGTGTCCGGGAAGCCCCCCAGTTGCACCGAGAGTATTTGCTCATAGTGTTCAAGCAACTCAGGCTGATCGGATTTCAGTCGATCGTAAGCATAATCCCAGTATTGCGAGGGAGGAATATCGATGGCGGCAATCGAATGGTCCGAGGCCACCTTGACGCTCTGTGCTACAGATGACGATAGATCGATCGAAGAAGCAGGACTTGACACAGGAGGATGTGTCAAAGTATGCGTCCTCCCAGTGGCAATTGGCTCACTACTGACTGAGACTGAGCTGGCATCATCATCCGTCCGTGACCTCGATTTGCCGGAAGTTCGAAAACGGTTCAGAAGATCGCGTCGCCTCTGTCTCTCAGGCATCTTGAGTCAGATGGCTGAAAGATGAAGCGATAGAGACTCTTCCCTTGTGTTGAAAAGGTTCGGGGATGGAATGGGATGGTCAGGCTGAAGCGCCAGCCACGCGCCGTGCCGATCGCGCGTCGGCAAATGGTTGAACTGGTTGGTGCCTACCGTATGCCTGAGATAGCCCACCAATCACTGAATGGACCACACATGTCGGCTGAAAGGCTGAGGGACTGGTAAAGCTGAATGCTGTGGGTCAATAATCTATGTCTGCGAAGATTCCCCCATCACGACTGTACTGCACATTTTCATGAGATTGATTAGCATAACAGATTCATTTATAGTCAACCATAGACTTCGTGGCTTCTGTGCGGCCCGCGGTGGAGTTGAACCAGCGGGATGACCGCACTGACCATTTGTCTATGTATAAGCACCTCTTAGGTTGGCTTGTATTCTCGGTATCAGGAAGTATTAATCAGTACAAGAAAAGAGTCTGAGAAAGAAGAATCCGGTAAGTGAGATCAAAGAACCTTGGAGGGGTAAGACATTGGTTAAGAGAAGAAGAGAAGACTGAGCTGCCTTTTCGCTATTGTCTCCGCTTCCGCCACCGCCTGCAAGCATTACTCGCGTACAGTACAGGAAGGTACATCCAGGAGCCCTGGCCCCGCCAAAGCGATTACTCCCTCTTCATAGAAAGATCGTGTAGATCTGAGTCTTATTAGTTCTCTTATAATTTGGAAGGTAAAGGAGTAGTACGTTGTTCAAGAAGCTATGCATAGGAGCCTAAGGTGTTATTCCATTCTATCTTGTTTACGATTCTTTGCACTTCCCAAGTGACAAGAGAACAAATGATAAAGGAGTAGTACTGGACTGACGATAACTGTGCTATCGTCAGCGGAGCGGTCTATTCCTCTCAACCCTACCATTCAGTCTCACTCTACTTCAACCACAATGCCTTCCTCCAGGCCACCACCACCCCCTCCCCCTCCACAACCATCCAGGCTCACCAGCAACACCAACAACAACACCAATACCAACAACCGCGCACCCCCTCCCACCGTCTCACCGGCCCCAAACACCCCCCACTACATCCTCTCCCTCCTAATCTACAACGGCCACCCCTTCAAAGACCACTGGGCTTTCTTCCTGCAGCCTCATCCCACCACCGCCTCGTCCCGCGGCACCAAGATCCACGCCACAGGCGACGTGCTGCACGGGTTCGTGTTCGAGGTGAAGCGGTTCCATGACGTTGAGCGGAGCCCGGATCGACCCGTCAGGCGCGTGGCGTTAGGGTGGATAGAGGCATCGCTTTGTGTTAGGGATAATGAATCCAGCCATGGTGGTTGGGAGGGGGTTGAGGAAGACAGGGATGGGGATGGAGATGGGGTCAAGGAATATACGCCTGCTTGTCGGTTTGAGCGGATAATGTATGGGGTGGAGGTGCCGCGGGGGAGTCTAAATCCTGTTTCTCGGGTTCAGGAGGGGAATGAGAATGATAACAATGGAGGTAGGATGGGGAGGTGGATGATGCAGCATAAGGATTGTCAGACTTGGGTGGTGGAGGTTGCGGAGGTGTTGGTTAGAGAGGGGGTTTTAGTTGAGGGTCGGGAGGGGGAGGTGCTGGCGTTTTTGAGGGGGTGGGTGCAGTGATCCATTTATGATATAGATCTTATAGCTTGGTAAGTGTAGGAATTCATTGACTTGAGTTTCATGTTGCTACTGCAATGTAGGTATCCCTGGTGGTGCTGGAGGGAATTGGGGTAAGCTCTTCCCGGATCTATGATGTACCTCGGCATTTCCTAATTGGGCGACGGGCTGTGGTTTGTGGAAGAGCTAGGGGATATTGGTGACAATGGTGGATGTGCTGCACTCATGTAGTTGGCAAAGAAAACAGACATATGATTTTAGTACTGGAAATGAATGCCTCTTGGTGACATCAGAGCCAGATTGAATTATTGCTGTGCCTGCAATTGGATTTGTTCCATACGTACCTAGGTAGCATGAGTACTCCAACTCGGCTTTCCTGCCGACCGCTTCCCCGCATTTCCGCCTCCACACCGTTCTCCCTCTCTCCTCGGCTTCATTCTTGTCCTCTTTCTTCCTCCACCATTCTCCTTCTTGTCCTTTCATATCGTACTACAGATAATACTTTTCTTCTGCTTCTAAGCTGATTGACTTCAATCCTCGAACAAAATCTGTCACTTTCAATCCTCCAAGATGGTCTCCGCCATCCGCGTCGCCCCGTCGGCCTCCACCCGCGCCCTCAACCTCCTGCGCACCGTCCAATACACTCACCCGCCCTCCTGTCCTTGCCATTCCAATCCTAATCACCACCACCACCACCATCGCACACCCAGTCTAGCCGATCATGTCCGTCGGCACATGGCTACTCCAACCGACCCCTCTCGCCAGAAGGAATATGCCTTTGAGATGGCGGCATCTAGCATCCGCTTCGGCCCGGGAGCCACGAAGGAGGTCGGCATGGACTTCGCCAACATGAAAGCAAAGCGGGTGTGCATAGTCACAGACAGCAATGTCGCTAAGCTGGATGCCATGAAACAAGCCGTCGAGGGTCTGTCCCGGGAAGGGATCGAATTTACTGTCTTCGACAAAGTGCGCGTGGAACCCAAGGATAGCTCGTAAGTGCCTCCACGTGTGTTCCGTTCGTTTCTAACAACGGTACAGAGTCAAGGAAGCGATCGCATTCGCCAAACCTTACAACCCCGATGCGTTTCTCGCCGTTGGTCCGTATTCCGCCCGATTGTCTCTCCCTTGCTAACCTACCTAGGCGGCGGTTCCGTCATCGACACCGCCAAACTGATGAACCTCTACACCGTCTTCCCCGAGGCCGACTTTCTCGACTTCGTCAACGCTCCACTCGGCAAGGGGTTGCCTGTCACCAAGGCCCTCCGGCCTTTGATTGCCGTACCGACGACCGCCGGTACAGGCTCCGAAACGACCGGCACAGCCATTTTCGACCTGGTCTCGAAGAAAGCCAAGACGGGCATCGCGCACCGCAACCTCAAACCGACTCTGGGGATCTGCGATCCGCTCAACACGCGAACCATGCCGTCGGCTGTCCACGCATCATCCGGTCTGGATGTGCTGTGCCATTCCCTCGAGTCATGGACGGCCATCCCGTACAACGAGCGCACCCCTCGCCCCACGAACCCGATCAACCGCCCGGCCTACCAGGGCGCCAACCCGATTTCGGATATCTTCTCGCTGCAAGCCCTCCGCAGCACGGTAAAGTACCTGCCTCGCGCCGTGAAGGACCCGGAAGATTTCGAGGCGCAGTCCCAAATGCTCTTGGCGGCCACGCTGGCGGGCGTAGGATTCGGCAACGCGGGCGTGCACCTGTGCCACGGGATGAGCTACCCCATTTCCAGTCAGAACCCGGGCTACAAGCACGCGGGGTACGATGTCGACTACGCGATTATCCCGCACGGCGTGTCCGTGGCGGTGACCGCGCCGGCGGTGTTCCGGTTCACGGCGGCTTCGAACCCGGACCGGCATCTGGCGGCTGCAGAGGTGTTCGGAGTGGACATCTCGAACGTGAAGCGGGAGAGTGCAGGCGAGGTGCTCGGGGAGGCTCTGACGGACTTTCTAGTCAAGCTGGGCGACCAGCCGCGGGGGTTGAAGGATCTGGGGTTCAAGCGCGGGGATATCGAGTCGTTGGTGGAGGGGACGTTGCCGCAGAAGCGCGTGTTGGACCTGGCGCCTAATTTGAACAGTGAACTGGAGGCGGAGAAGGCCGAGTTGCGGGGACTGTTGGAGGCGTCGATGGAGTATTAGCATGAGTGCACCTTGGAAGTCAATGCATCCCGGGCCGCAGGCCCCTATAGCACCTACCTTAGGTGACTTAGTAGCCATATACTAGCTGCATGCCTAGCATAGGTACCCCAGTCATCCCCGCATTCCATCACGTTGCAGATCATCCGACCAGTTCAGAATATGGGGTTAAATAGTGGCTGTCTGCCCGATTCCTCTTCCTTATTTATTCTCCCCAACCATTAACAATCCGAACCCCAACGCAACGCCAACATGCACCTACCCCTATCCCTCTCCCTTCCGTTCCTCCTCCTCCTCCTCCTCCCCAAAACCCAAGCAACCCACCAAACCCCCCTAGACACCCAACCCAACCCCGAAATGAAAACAGGCAACCCACTGAACTTCCCCAGTGATCCAAAATGGTACGCGGACCCAGAAGCGCACCTCTTCCACCACACAGGCGCCAACAAGACCCAAAACTACTGGATCTACCCGACCTACAGCGCGGCCTACGAATCGCAAACCTTCTTCGACGCCTTCAGCTCCCCCGATCTAGTAACGTGGACGAAGTACCCGCGCATCCTAGACATAACGCGCATTCCATGGTCAACGAACCGCGCGGCATGGGCGCCTTCCGTTGCAAGGCGGCGTGTCCAACCGCTCGCTAGCCAGAGTCCAGCTGCCCGTGCCAACTCTGCCAAGCCCAACCCAAATTCCCAGACCGAAGAAGAGGAAAGGGGAGAAGAATGGAAATACTACATGTACTTCTCAACCGGCGACGGAACAGGCATCGGGGTAGCGCAATCAAGCACGAACACGCCGAGCGGACCGTTCGAGGACGCGCTGGGTGAGCCGCTGGTCAACGGCACGGTGCTGGGCGCGGAGGCGATCGACGCGCAGATCTTCGTGGATAAAGACTCTGACACGGGCGAGGAGACCGGCCGCGTGTGGTTGTATTTCGGGGGTTGGGGCCATGCGGTTGTCGTTGAGGTTGATGCGGATAGTATGGTGGCGTTGAAAGGGGAGTTTGTGGAGATTACGCCGCCGGATTATGTCGAGGGGCCTTGGGTATTTAGACGCGGGGAGGTGTATTATTTTATGTATTCGGTTGGAGGGTGAGTTTCTTTTTTTTTCTCCTCTCTTCTCTTCTCGGGGAAAGGGAGGGGGGGATGTGTGCTAATTTGTGTGCGCAGATGGGGCGATAACTCCTATGGCGTCAGCTATGTCACCGGTTCGTCGCCTACGGGCCCGTTTACTTCCACCCCGACGAAGATCTTGCAGGGTGATGATCGCGTCGGGACTAGTACCGGTCATAATAGTGTGTTGACCGTCGGGGATGAGTATTATATTGTTTATCATCGGCGGTATCTGAATGATACGGAGCGCGATCATCGCGTTGTGTGCATTGATCGTATGGAGTTTGATGCGCTGGGGAATATTCTGCCGGTTAAAATTACGGTGGAGGGGGTTGATGCGCGGCCTTTGTGATGGTCCTGATGTGTCAGAGGCTTATGCTGTGGATAATTGGCTCCGTGGATAGATGCGCATCGGGCTTGAACGGTAGAAAGGCAGTGTATAGCTCAGTCAAATGCTGTAACACTTAAATGCATTCGTATCTCATATGCAGCTATGCAAGGGTATCATTTCAAAACATCGAACTCCGCTTCTTACCCAACTTCGTCTCGTCCGCCGACGACCGTCGTAATCGGAAGAAACTGCTCTTCTTCGGCTGCAAACTTGGTTTCGCCTGTTGCTGTTGCTGCTGTTGCTCCGGCGACAACGAAAAGCGCACCACCGACTGTCGCGGATCCGCCGCCCCGGGGGACTGGATGCGCGGCCGTCCACCCTGGTTCGGATAGGTATGATGCTGTTGAGGGTTCGCCGGCCGCAGCGGGAGACTCGGCGCCGGGGCCGGCGTAGCTGTCGTGCGCGGCGGAAGCGGCACGGCGGCCTGCATGCGCACGCGCTCCTCCTCCTGGCCGTAGATCTGCTGGAGGCGGAGCGTCTCGCGATCGATCTCGGCCTGGCGCTCTGCCTCGCGGCGTCGGCGCGCCTGTTCCTCCTCCTCCAGCAGCATCTGCGTGCGGCGCTCCTCCTCCTGCTTGCGCCAACTCTCAGTGGGGGATGTTTGCGATTGCGCTGGTCTCGACCGCGGCGGAGATTGCCTTATCGGTGATAAAGATGATGGCGACGACGGTGACGAAGAATTTGGGGCCCCGGACGGGATCGCCAGCCCTGAACTACTACCACCAGCTGGTCTCTGCTTCCCAGCATTCCCGCTGCCATTCCCGCCCCCATTGCCAGCACTGGAAACCGCACCACCGCCCACCTTCCCCACCCGAAACACCTCGCGCAAACCCTGCGACGCAAACCAAACATCTCGAATAGTAACAGCAGCCAACAACAACACGACCTCAAGCCCCTTAAAATCCTCCATCTCCACCCGGTACAAATTCGGCTCATAAAGCGTCAACTCCTTCAGCGCCTGGAACATCGCGACAGTGATATCCGGCTCCTTCGTCCTGGCCTTATTAGCCCTATGCTCGGGCAAATGCGTCGTCTTCCCGGACAGAAAACACGTCAGGTCCTTCGACAATTTACTTTCTCGGCGCCAGGCGAATTTAAGGCGCGGGGTGATTTCCGCCGAGGCCGGGTCGGCCTGCGTGCGATCCAGCGTCGAGGCCGACGGTTGCCGGAAGCTGTGTTGGGGCATTTCAAATTCCCAGGCTGCGGGCGAGTTCCAGGTTTTGGGCCGGTAGTGGACGAGTACGGTTTGGTCTGGGTTGTAGAGGTTGATGGTGAAGGTGGTTGGGAGGAGAGGGTCTGGGTCAGGTGCGTGGTCGGCGCCATTGGCGCGGATGGCTTCTGCGGAGAGTGTTGGCGTGGGCCATTGCGGGCGGATGAGGACTTCGCCGTAGAGGATTGAGGGGACGTGGGCGTCGTAGAGCGCTGCTGCGTATAGGTTCTTGTTCGTTGGGGTTGGGTCTGGGTGTCGGAGGGTGTAGGTTGGGTGCGGGTCGTTGCCGTGCTGGTAGAGGTGGATGGTGCTTTGGTGCGGCGTTTGGCGGGAGGGTTTGAGGTAGAATGCTGTTGCGGTCAGTTTTATGTGAATAATGGGTCTGGGAGTTGGAGAGGTCGAGTGTAGGCGTGTGTGTGTACACAAGGGAATGGAAAGATGGTGAAGACGCACTGGGAAGGCTTTCGTCAAGCATGATGGCAGCTACCAAGGTTCAGTGACCACTATCTAATCTCAGCAAAGATGCCAATGGGCAAGATGCCATTGGAGGAGTGTTTATAAGTTCATAAACGTGGTGAGCGGTAAGAGTCTGGATCTTTGTTCCCGGCGATGCCGTAGTCGATGAAGATGAAACGCGACGATCGGGAATTGCTGCCTCAGGCTTGCATGTGCACTGCCCCACCCGCTAAAAATAGCTTTTGTGTTTTATAGGTGTGGAAACCCATTCCTTCCTTCATACTTTCTCCGCTGTACTGTAGAGTGTAAGTACTGTAGATAGGCAGCAAGAATCCTGCCGAAAGGATCGTCTAGAGTGAAGGAAAAAAAAAAGACAAAACGCATCCGATCAGGCTCCGGCAAATAGGCACCATGATTTCTACACCTCCTTCCAGTCATGTTCCTGATTAATCTGCATGCCGATGGACCGTCCCGACCTATCGCTGTCGACAAGCCCGGGCTCAACCTAGAGCGGAGTCGTCGGTATAAGCCTTCTTACTACGTATACCAGGCAGATATGTACTGGCCTACGTAGTAGATATGGGATGGGTACATGGTATATCATGATGAGCGGTGGAGGATCGTGGCTTGGTTTGTTGTTGTTGTGCAGATCACTCAGCATACTGTCAATAGTCCCTCGGGTACTACGGCATAGTGACTAAATATTATCGGATACAGAACAATCACTGCATTCTAGGGCAACGTCATATCAATCAATATTGAAAGCACGCTGCATACTACCCAATAATCACCAGACACTGAAGATCGCGCGCATACTACCTGATCGACACAAAAAAGTTCAAGGATCGCACACATCTCAGTACGCGAGAAGTCACCAGCTGGTATAAGTCAAATCACGCGATTTGAACACGGCACTCAGACCGCGGGCTATGCTCAAGGCACATCGAAATTCTGAAGACTCGTCTTAGCTTCGCCTTGCAGCAAGGCTACTAGACCCCAGCACCGCGTTGAGGTGCGAGTCTATTCGCTGGGGACCTGGCATGTTAGCTTACGTACTGTGGAGGGGCTTACCTGAGTTGGTCGGTTCGTATGATGAGATCGGTCGAAAGGGAGGGTTCAGAGGGCTTGGAGGACGGAGGACGGAGGACGACGTTTGAAGGATGCAGGAAATCCGGGCAAGGTTATAGTTTGTATGGTCTCGACACCAGATATCCTGCTGTGGCGTGGAAGGGCGGAGGAAGAGGACGGCGGAGGAAGGGTTCGGAGTGAGGAGGAAGGAGGACGGAGGATGCAGAGTACCCTGGTGAGGATATAATTTGGTATCGTCTCACCATGGGTACTCTAGCGGTGGCGTTAGATCGACGGAGGGAGGACGGAGGGAGGTAGGGAGGAGGAAGGACGAGGCATGAGAGTATGAAAGCGCGGGTATAGTATAGTATGTAGACGCGCAGCTGGTCTCGACCTTTGATACTCTCGTGCCTCGGGGAAGTAAACAAACTCGGTTCTGCGCGTCAGCTGTGGGGGTCAGCAAGATTAGTTCTTTCCAAAACAAAACAGGGACTGAGTGTGCTAAGGGAATATAATAGAGACGTCTCGAGTCTGATCAAATCAGGCCTCGATATGACATCTCCACGATACACAAATAGGAAATCCGGGGGAAGGGGACGGAATCTGGGGAAAGAGGATGGGGATGGAGAGAGAAGAGAGGATGAGAAAGGAAAACATAGGGAGGGATTGGGATGTAAACAAAGCCAGTCACATTTGAATTCGAAATTGCTCCAGCGTGGGGCATCGTGTGTTACTGTAATCAGAGAGTTAGGGCCAGGGTTGCTCGACTCCTTATGAATTGCCTCACAGACAAAGACATTCATCAACCATCGGCCATCTTTACCCTTGATGGTTCTTTATACTAACAATGCCGTTGTTCAGCCATGATATCCAAAGAGAGCAGATGGACCAGGCAACAAAAGATTCTTTCAAGCTGTATTGTAGTCTTTCATGCATTATCTACTATATCGACGATCTTTGACAAACCTCTCCAAGAGTCAGCCCAACTACACTCCAACCTAAGCACGAACCCCATCTATCTCCTTTCCCTCCGGGACTTTAGCAGCCTCGCGCTCCGCCGTACTCAGCTGCAACCCCTGATTATCCCATCCCTGCGTGCCAATCTTATACAGACGCTTCTGCTGCTCGCGGTCCGGCATCGGACCCTTCTTCCCGCGTCGCTGCCGCGACTCCAGCGTCTCTACCAAAGTCGCATTATCCCCATCAATCTGATATCCCTCGAGGTCATCAGTGTGCACCTCTTCCGAGAATTGATAGGTCCGATACTCCGTGTTGGTCCAGCCAGTTCCTATAACCCAGGTTAACTATGATTCCTTCCTCGGATCCATCCCATCCTCCAAACAACAAGTCATCACCTACCCTGGAACTGACTACTGTCCTCCCAGTCCTCCGTAAAGTAATGCAAGAACCCGCCATGGGTGACCAGCACAATCTCCTGCTCGGGTCGGGCCTTCAACCACCGTCGCGCCGCACGAGCCCGCTCCTTGATCGCCTTGTTGGTGGGTGCGTACCGACCCGACATCTCATTCTGTTCCCCCAAGTTTGTCAATATATACGCGATGGTCAGGCAAGACAAAGCAGGTAGTAAATACCTTCACGTTCCAGCCCTCGTGCACCAGACTCAAGTCCACGGGGAGGTTCTTCTCTTCCATCTCCTTGCGCAAGACGGCCGGGTCACTGCCCGTGTCGCACGCCACATCGCTGGTCTCTTGCGCGTCGGGGAGCGCCACCACCTTCAGGTCCGGGCGGGCCTGGAAGACGGGCTCGAAACTTTGGAGCGCGGTGTAGATGGTGCGGCGGAGAGGGGAGGCTGTCACCAGGTCGATGTGTTGGTGGCGAGTGAAGGTGTCACGGAGGGTGCGGCATTGCTCATTGCCTAGGTCGGTGAGGAGGGGATCGTGGATGACGTGGTTGGCGGTGCAGAGGTTGTGGACGCCCTGCGGGGGGGAGGGGATTTGGTTAGTAAAGGGTTTGCCGGAGCGGAGGATGAGCTGTATGATGAATACACACCTGGGCGTGGCGGACGCAGTGGACGATGGGAGGCATGGTTGGTTTCTATGAATTGTATCTTCAATGTGAAAGAGTCAGCATCAGGATCAGAGCGGCGTGGGGTAGTTAGCGGGGCTGATAGTGAAGATGGATAAGGATGAGGAACCCCCTCTATCAAGGAGGCCGTTCGGGTGAGGTCATCGATAAGTACTGACCTATAATATATAAGGGATGGCTTCTAGAAGTCTATACTGGGTAGAAGTGTGAAGGCGACTCTAACAAGAGAAGAAAACGATTGAAGGAGGAGAGAGAAAGAAGATGGAGTGGAAGAAGACCTGATGGGATGGTGGAATGCCGAGAAAACTGACCCGGAAGTGGCGGCCAGGGGAGTTGGCGAATCACTGTTGCTGCCGCCCGCACACCCTTCAAGGTTCTCACTTCTCCTCATACTTTGTACTTGAACTCTACACTTCACTCTACCATTCTACCAACCCAACTGTGGCGAATTCTTGAACAACAGGAGTTCAATCCATTCCATTTTCTTTCCCATATTAACAATCCCTAGAAAGTCGCCCAAATGTTCACCCAACCATGCCTATGTATGACCCTTACGAATAAGTACCAAGTAGATAAGATAAAATTATACAGCCCAGGGTATGTATGTCCTCTCAAGCAACGCCAAATCCTCGTGCGTTTTCCAACGCTTTGCTCAGCTTCTCCTCTAAAACACTCCTCGATGAATATTCAGGTAGTAGCAGTCGTCCGAAACACGTCAGACTCGTGGGGAGACGCTGCAAGGAATTAGTACGGGACATGTAAATCTGGATCGAGAGGTTGAAACTTACAGCATCCCCAACTCCATTCTTTTGAATCACAAACATGATGCTCGCAATCCCATTGACCGGCACCCGGTCACTAGCCGTCACAAACTCCAGTAACTGTGCCCGTTTCTCGGCGGGATAGCGTCGCACTATATTCCAGAAGTCACGGATCACCCGGTGGCTGGCGCTGAACCCACCCTCATACCGTGCGTGTCGCTCCAGCTCCCGCACATCTATTGTCTGGATCCCTTCCACCACGGTCTTCAATGACTCAGCGGTGAAGATCGACAGTGCGGTCCGGTCCAAGCAGGTGTAAAAACCTTTGGCGAAGGCCTCGAACTGTGGCCGGATGGACTTGTCCGTCAACCAGAAAATGTAATCCTTCACGAACTGTCCGCGGTTCGCATTCGTCACGAGACAGGCTTCCTCTGCCGGCGGAGTCGGAGATTGGACCGGGGGCAGCGGATCGACTGATTTGGTGACATCCCGATACGAACCCGCCGTTTCCGCCGCCATCGACGAGGGGGGGCTCAGATTAACGTGATCCGTGTAATGATGGACCTCCGACCATGGTGGCGAATACCCGAGAGACCGAGTTCCATTTAAGGGTGGTCGAAGAGGCAGGAGTGGAATCGGCCACGGGGCGTCTTTATCAATCTTCTGCATGTCCACAGTCTCGACATTCCCAAACACTTCGTAGCTGAATTCGTAGGTCCGCAGGAATATGTCCCCGACATCACCCTCGTCCCACGTGAGTAGGCCCTCCAACCCCTTGGCCAAATCCGGCCAGCCATCCCGAATATGATCCAGCTGCTTGACCTTGAGCCCGAGCAGCTTTCGGTAAAACGCCGTGGGGAAGTTGATCGGAAGTGTGAGGCCATTGTACACGGCCAGGGACATCAGCAGCCCAAGAAGCTCGAATTTGTAGAGTGGCTCCAACGAGCACGGCTGAAACCACGAGATGCGGGTACGCCCATCCAACGTGAACATGCCGTATGCTGGATCCAGAGCCTCTGCCATCAAGACGCGGAAGAATTCCTGCTGGACTCCGCCGTGATCAAGACCTTCTTCGCCCTCATCCATGCCCATCTGCACTTTCAACGGGCGCATTAGCTCGCGCCTTTCGCGCCGCCAAAGCTGGTTGAGCGCGTCTGTGAGGACGCTGTCACGCCGGACGGTGAGAACGAGGTAAGTGGTCATCGAAGTCTTCATGCGTGCCAGGAGTCCGACATCATCTTGAATGTGAATAGGCCCAAAAGCAGTTTGTGTGACGTGCCTTGTCGTAGTCAACGCCGCTTCGTAGTATTTCGACATGACCGCATAATTCAATGCGCGAAAATAGATCACAAGCGCGGACGGCGGGAAAAGGAACGGATACGACAACAGATGCATTGTTTTGTTATTCGGTAACCTGCCGAGCCATTCCACTGGCATATCCAGCTGCTCCAATCTCTCGGAGAGAAAAGAAGTGTGAAAGTCCTCCGGCGCAAGTCCAAGGCGGTTCCTCTCCTTATACAACTTGGCTAGAATCTGCACAGCGCCACCGGCGGAACTGCTCTTGGGCATTTCGGGATTTCCATCCCATGCCCGCAGCAGCAGTGTCCGGAGCCACTCAGCGATGAACGAAGGTGCCCCTGGCTGGAGCGGCTGCTGCTGGTCGGGGCTATCAGACGACATGGCGTTGTATTCCTCGATGAGATTCCCCACGAGAAGATCCAGGGCGCTATCCTTGCGGTTTTTGGACGTATCTCGGGAGTATATCGGGCGCGCCTTTGAAATCTCATTGAACGCCAGGCGTGCCGTGAGACCCCGCACCAAGCGATCAACGAGTCGTAAAGCAAGCTCATGCTCAAACATGTCGGCGGTCTCGACCATCACTCTTGACCTAGGCACCGAGTGCTTTTGCATCTCCAAGCCAGACGCCACGCCTCCTGCAGCACGCATCTGGAGGATTGCGCGCCACGTAGGTGCATCGATCTTAGGGAGAGCGCTGGCTAGAGCGAACATGGTGACGGTGGCAACGTCGGCAGCATTGGCATCTGTAAGATGCTCCATGCCTACTGAGCTGGATCGACGGATGATAGGTGTAGGCACGGAAGCGGACGTGCTGGAATTGCACGATGAACGACGCGACCGTCTACCTGATATGGAAAGCTCGTGCGGAGGCACGAACAACGATTCCATCGCACTCCATAAACTATGAAATACAAGATCTCGGGGACATATACTGAGAAGTTTAGCAAAGGATGGTTGTAGCTGGCGCAGGTCGAGGTTGCAAGTTGAGTCGCTCTGATCCGACTCGGAAGGGTCAACTGTATCCTTTTGGAACGATTTGAGAATTTGTTTGGTGCTGCCCAAGGCGTAGAACACGCTCTGAGCAATGAAATTGTAAGCCTGACGCTGCCGTGGATTTGCGAACCGCCAATCTGAATCTTCGAAGCTACCGGTAGACTCTATACAAGCCAGCTCTTTGGACCACCGTTCCTTCTCATCCTCGGAGGAGGCTATCATCTGCGCCAATCCGTCTACCACCTCACTGTTGAGATGGCTCACCGATTGAACGGTTGCCGCTGATTGTCTCCGACTAAGGCTCCGACGCCTGGGCCTCCGCTCGGAAGGTGACTGAGCTTGCGAAGGAAGATACTCTTCAACAGACCTTACGGGTTCCAGAAAATCAACAAACTGGACGTTGTTCAAGCATTTGGCCCCGTCCCAAGAGACCCGCCGCTCTTTCTTCTCCTGCACAGGCATGTCAGCGCTGTCGTCGATATCCCCAGTCCTCCCCCGGTGCTTCTGAGGGCGGTGCCTCAGCGCGGGTGGTGAGGGTACATTGAGCATTTCATCATTATTCGCATGAGTATTCGCAGGGATCTTGCGCGCGGGTTTGAGCTCATGGTGGGCTTTTTCATCCAAGCTGGACCGCCCGCTTCGCCGCCATTGATCCATTTCCGTAAGCGTTATTGGCACCGTTAACTCTAACGCGGTATTTTGACTAGTACCAGTAGGGGTATGCGGTGTACCGCCAGAGAGTGCTGCATTTTGAGGTGTACGCTGCCGGCTCAGGCGCGGTCTTGTCCGTTCAGGATGTGACGGCGTTCGCTCGGGCTCGGACTTAGGGGGCTGAGACTCGGGTAGAGAATGGTACGGATCGATATCCGTGTCAAGTGTATTCGGGGAGCGCCGTAGCGGTAGCCACTCTATCATTCTTAACGATAGTGTATCAAAAAGGTTTTGTGTAAACGACTTCGGATCCTTCAATCTCTGGGCTGCGCCGGCTTGATCATTATCCGAAAGTGTCACTTGCTGTTCATGCGGTGGCAGCTCCTGAGGCGTGCCCTGCGCCGCGCTGTTGCCTGACTCAGGCAGCTTTGAACTACCCTGTAACCTTGATGAACCCGGTGGAACATCCTCTGCACCATTGCGATATCTCCTTATCGGGCCGGGCTCCTGTGCGGGCTCGATCGGCGTGCGAATTCGGCGTTTCGGTCGGCGATGCGTTTCGCGTGGATAGAGCTCGTATGGAACGCGAGGTGCGTTGCAACAGAGCCCTGCTTCGGCATTATCGACACTTGCTAAGTAGCAAGCCAACGTCCGGGCGCTCAATTCTGTATAACGACGGTATGGTCCCTCGGTAATTCGTCTCCGACAGCTTGCGCAGGTTGGGGTCTGACAGCCAGGATCTTGGCAGCCGTATAGAAGCTGGTTTTTATATCTTCGAATTCCGTCAGCTGCTGTCAGGTGGTTCAGTGAGTGGGATACCGTTCGGCCTGACTCACCTGCGCACAAGAAGGTTGAATTGGCGCCGTCGCTCATCGCGATACCAGAGCAAGACCTGGGCAGGGTCGGAAACGTCGACTGTATTTAGAACAACAACCTCTGGCGCGTTTGGGGGGAGTTTGGATCGGTGGAAATGAGATCGGTCGGAACCAGCACCACGCGCGGCGTCATATGAGCTCGCGGAAGCTCCGCGGAGCCTCGTCATCTTTACAACCCGAGGAGCATGCCGCGGCTACCCAACAAGAATAGTGGCGAGAGAAGAGCGTTGCTTCTGGACAATGTATTTCCGTAGTTGTATCGCGAAGTATCCTGAGTGGCAAGAGGCCGCAAAGCCAGTGTGGCCGATCTCAAGATTGGGGGTTGTAGGAGGGGAGGCCCGGGGGTATGGGAGATGCACGGAGACAGGCAGATGATGGCCATCACTTTGGCTTGCACTGCTCCCCGGCATGGCCTCAGGCTACTAGTAGTGCCAAGAGCCGCCTCGAAATAGGACGAGCTGAGTCAGTCAGTTGAGTGGCACCAGATACGCTAAGCCTAAATCAGACACAAGCACGTGCCTGGGCGTCATTCGGGCTAAAAGCGGCAAGACGAGGATTTTCAGGCATGCAAAAGTCGGACGGACTATCGGCGTTGATTATCAATACTTTCCGAGGGGGCAAATATCTCAACACCACTTGGTTGTCGCTCACACCACCTTCTTTGTGATAACCACCAGTTCAACTGAATTCTTCTATTCGGCCGCATTTGAAGCTTTGTAGTCTATTTCACTGAGCTGCTGTCTTCAGTTGCTCGCTGCGGTTCCATTGAGTCGAAAAAATATATACCCCGCTTTGATAACGCCCACAACCGCCTAACGACTTTTTTATCCGTCTTCCACGACCTCTCTATTCTTCGTGATACCCATTCTGCTGAGCGCCCTTTTCACACCAACAAAATGGCGACCCTCGATCCTAATGTCCCCGTTTCCTCCCTGCCTTACACCTGCAACACTTGCCTAGTTGCTTTCCGCAGCAGCGATGCGCAGCGGGACCACATGCGCAGAGACTGGCAGTAAGTTTGAACTCATGCTGCGTTCACTTGATCCTCGCGACTGACGCGCAATCCCAGCTTGTATAACATGAAGCGTCGGATTGCATCTCTCCCTCCCGTGGCCCAGGAAACTTTCAACGAGAAAGTCCTTGCCGCCAAAGCAACTACCACTGCCGCCGCCGCCAAGGCCGCCTTCGAAACGACTTGCGTTGCCTGCCAGAAGACCTTCTACAGCGAGAACTCATATCAGAACCATGTCAAGAGCTCAAAGCACAAGGCTCGGGAAGCACGTATGAAGCGGGATCATGCCGACGACGCATCGTCGGTCATGAGCTCCACCTTCTCGCTGGGTGAGCCTATCAACAAGCCCCAGCGTGTCGGAGAGGCAGAGGTTGCCAAAGTGGCCGACACTCTCAAGGAGGCCACTATTCAGGAAGAAAACGAGGAGGCTGAAGATGAAGAGATGTCCGATGATTCTTTCTCGTCGGCTCGTTGCCTGTTCTGCCCTAACCAGGCAGCGGATGTCCAGGAGAACACGGAGCACATGCTGAAAATTCACGGCATGTTTATTCCGGAGAAGGAATACTTGGTTGATCTGGAGGGCCTTCTCCATTACCTCTACCGCAAGATCAACGAGAACAGTGAATGTACCTATTGTCATGTGATCAAGAACAGCCCCGCCGCCATTCGCACCCACATGAAGGACAAGGGTCACTGCATGATTGCTTTCGAGTCCGAGGATGAGCAGATCGAGATCGGACAATACTACGACTTCCGCAGCACCTACTCGGATGATGAGGGCGATTGGGAGTCCACGACTAGCGAGACGCCTGAAGAAGGTGGTGTCAAGATCGAAGGCGAAGACGAGGGCTGGGAGACTGAGACCTCTGCATCATCGATTGATGAAGATGAGATGGACAATCGCAAGAGTGCACCCGTGGTCTACGCTACTGAATACGAACTGCACCTTCCTTCAGGACGAAGCGTCGGTCACCGCTCCCTCGCCAAGTACTATCGCCAGAACCTACACAACTACCCCTCTGCGGATGAGCGTGCGGCCCGGCAGCTCGCCATCGAGAACGGTGAAGCCATGGATGTGGATGAGAAGCCCCGCGGCCGTAACCTCAACCGAGCTCTTATCACTCGTGCCAACGGCGGTACGGGCATGATCGGTGTTTCGGACACCCAGAAGCGCCTGGTGGTGGAAAGCGAGCGCAAGGAACGCACTCGGGCTATCCGACAAGAAATGCGCTACACCGCTCGGGTGAATCGCGCAAGCAACAACCAGAAACACTTCCGCGTATGTCCTCTACTCAACGATATCAGTGCCCACGCTAACACAATGTCTATAGGATCCTCTCCTGCAATAAACTCATGCGCACGTTCTATCTGCATCTCTTGATGAGTACATGACTTGGTTGAGGTTGTCTGGTTTTTCGCTGCCTCTTGGGTTTCTGCGCCATGTTCCGAGCATTTCGTATTGGAGTTGTGGTAGGGTACATATTTGTACATACTTTCGTATGACAAAAGTTTCGAATATATTATCACAGAGATCTATATAACTGATTGGTCGTCTGATTGCTATCCGTCGGCACTCCTGGTCACTCAACCACAAATCAAGTGGCAGGGACTCACCCCGCTCCTCAGCTCGTGAGGATGGTGTATGTGTAACCGAGAACCCGATGAATTCTCCATCCAGCACAGAACCTAGTCAAGATCAGTGTCGGGTTGTGTGGGTCGCAGCCACTGTGAGACTCAGAGACCGAGACGAGCCTGCTGACCTTGCTCAAGATGTGTCATAGAAGAGAAGAGAACAGGAATGAATAATGGGCTTGCGATTTCCACACTATTTTCGCATACGGGCTCGCTAAACTGGTGTCTTCGGTGTAGACTCGGGACTGTAGCGCATAGCTTAGAATGGAATGGGGGCACGTGTCTAGCGAAGCACATTTGCTCGACGATGCTCGGACTGGTATAGATCAGACTGCTTCTAAGTTAGCGTTGCCCGGAGCTGGGGCCTGGACTCTGGAGCAGTGGAGACTGGAGAGACAGGGACTGAGACTAAGTTATGATGAGTGAGCTATAGCCCTAATGAGAAAAGTGGCTCATGCGTCTTGAGTTCGGCCGAGCGTCTCTTTACTCTTTCCGACGCTGGTTCATTGGACGAGATGCACAAGATATCGAGTTCGTTGAATCTTGAAGATCGTAGTCAGGTACAATCTTCGACACCTTAGATGCCGATCAAGGTTCTCGGGAGACTTCCAGAAGGACAGCAGGATTTTAGGTTGGTATCAGCCGACTGCGAGATCAGTATATGAAGTCTCACTTCGTCTTTGACGGCGTTGATTATGGATCCCTCGACTGAGAACTGGTACCCCACACCCAAGAAAGTACAGGGACACGTGCTCTCATACTGTTCTCGGCTAGGTCAATGCCTTCCCAACGAGAAATGAAGCTATTCCGATGCAGGCCAATAATGAGAGGAAGTCACGAGCAGATTTTGCACTTCATTCCCCACACAATCGCATACTATCTCGGATTGACTAAAAGGGGTCACTAAAAAGGCCGCGGGTTCGTATTCATACAACAATACCTATCTGGTTTAGTGAGTCGTCTTATGTGCAGGATGTTATATAGCCAACTCATCTCTGCCTCGCAAACTCGCAATCAGCTGTCAGAGGCACGGGCCAGTCGCTGAGTCAGTTCAGCATCGCTGGCGTTTGATTGGCAAAAAAGGGGGGGGTATAATTTCGTAGCATCTTAACCCGGATCTTTCCTTGAGCATCGGAACCGTAACGAGGTGCGACCGACCGGGAGCGGAGATAACTTTAGATACCTCAGGTATCAAGGTATCAGCTTTTCCGCCGCCTGGCTAGACCTTGAAGGTAAGTAAGGTTAATTACTTTCTTTCTTTCTTTCCAGAATTCAATTCTTCCCGTTAAACAACAATCAACTTCTAACTTCAACTTCAACTTCTTGTTACGTCGGATTTCTCCTGAGGTTTCATAAGTAGAACCCTTTCCCAACCACCCCCCCCCTGAGACCTCTCTGATACTCCTGAACGAGATTCGTAGACCATATTAATAGGAGACGATTCCCTGCCGCCCGCCTCAAGGCTATTTTCCCTATTTCCCGACTGGGGCCGACGTCACTCTATCCACCACGGCACTGACCCGATCGCACGCCGCGCCCTTCTTAGCCCGGCCACTAAGGCAACTTGAACTTTCTCTCTTTCTGCATCCCCTCCCACCTTTCCCCCCCAAATTCATTCCAAAATCGCCTCTGCCGCTTAGCCTTGGGAAATAAATATGTCCCTGCTGTAGCCCTTCGGGCCCCCTCCCCCCCTCCTTTTTCCTTTTTTCTTGAGATTCTTTCCTTCTCATCTGTCCCATCGGTGATGGCGATATCCCCATCCACCCGCATCTTGGCCGCCCGGCCTCTCGTCCTTGGTCTTGCCAAGCTGTTGACTCTCGCCTGTGTGAACCTACCCGTCATCTCCGCCGCTCCCACCTATGTCATTCATTCTGGAGTCGATCCCAAACCCCCCAGTGACCCCAGTCTATGGCTCTATCTCGGAGTCGCTGCTGCTCTGGTCCTGTGTGGCGGTGCATTTGCTGGTCTGACGATAGCTTTGATGGGCCAGGTACCTATTCCTCTCTTTCCTTTTCTAGCCTGACCGTCCCATGGCCATTCGACAACTTCCGAAGAGCTAATCTTTGAGCAACGCACTCGCGCGGGAAATTCTAGGATGAGGTCTATCTACAAGTCATTCAAACCTCCGGTGAGGAGGGCGAACGCAAGAATGCCGCGAGCGTCTTGAAATTATTGCAGCGGGGAAAGCATTGGGTGCTGGTGACCCTCCTGCTCAGCAACGTGATCACCAACGAAACTCTGCCCATTGTGCTCGATCGGTCACTGGGAGGTGGCTGGCCGGCAGTGCTCGGCAGTACAGTCCTGATTGGTACGGGCAAATCCCTCTTCCTTGGCGCGAGAGGCCCTTGCTTATCGTCCGCCTGATGTGTTTAGTGATCTTCGGCGAAATCGTGCCTCAATCCATCTGCGTCCGGTACGGGTTACCTATCGGCGCTTGGATGGCCCCCTGCGTCTTGGCACTTATGTACATCATGTCGCCCGTGGCCTACCCCGTTGCGAAACTGCTCGACAAATTGCTGGGAGAAGACCATGGAACCATTTACAAGAAAGCGGGCCTCAAAACCTTGGTTACGCTGCATAAGACCCTGGGTGAGGCTGGGGAGCAGCTCAACTCGGATGAGGTGACGATCATTAGCGCCGTCCTGGACCTCAAGGACAAATCGGTCGGCAGCATCATGACCCCCATGGAAGACGTCTTCACCATGTCCGCCGATACCATTCTTGATGAGGAAACGATGGACCTTATCCTGTCCCAGGGATATTCCCGCATTCCGATCCATGCGCCCGATAACTCCATGAACTTTGTCGGGATGTTGTTGGTGAAGATGCTCATCACATACGATCCTGAAGACTGCAAACGGGTTAGGGATTTCGCTCTGGCAACCCTTCCCGAGACGCGCCCGGAGACGAGCTGTCTGGATATTGTCAACTTCTTTCAAGAAGGCAAGTCCCATATGGTCCTCGTGTCGGAGTACCCGGGTGAGGATCGCGGCGCCCTGGGTGTGGTTACCCTGGAAGATGTGATTGAGGAATTGATCGGAGAGTATGCAACACACCTCACCCTGAAAGGCGAGCAGAGCTAATAATAGTTTAGGGAGATCATTGATGAATCCGATGTCTTCGTTGATGTCCACAAAGCGATCCGTCGTATGGCCCCAGCCCCCAAGTCCCGAGTCCCGAAAGGCCGGATTGTGGAAGAGCCCCCGATGCTTCCGGCGGAGTCCACTGGGCCGCTGATCGACGTCGAAGGCGAGTCCACCGCAACTCCTACGCCCAACGGTGGCCCGAAAGAGAATCGCCGAAGCTCCGTTGAAGCTCCCTTGCCTCGTTTCCAGTTCCGCAGACCCCACTCAGACAAGAAGTCAGAGTCCACTGATGGCTTGGTGACACAACGCGGTGCAACGGACGAAATTCGCGAGCATTTGAAGCATCTCGGCCCTTCGAATCTTGCCAGTCGGCCTCGCCAGACCAGATACCAGAGTGTGAAGATCAAGCGGAGTGCGTCTCCCTCGCGATCTGGCCATACCGATCTGGAATATAGCCAGAGCGCGGATGGCTTGCTCCGAAGCACGGACCCGGGCTTGCAAGGCGGCATCGGAGCCGGACTAGTGCAAAGCGGAATGGACGCACGAGACGGTGTGTATGCCGTGCGTGCAGGCTACGGCACCTTGAGTCACGGCCGTTCCCTGTCTGACACCGCTCGGATGACCGACGGGCCTGCGCTTTCCATACCGGAAGCAGTCCACGAGGAACAGGATGATAACACCCGCCCCAGCACCCGTAGACAGCAGAGCAACAGCCGTTCGAATAGCCTCCTATCGTCCGACTCCGAGCTCTCCGACCGTCTCCGACCCGGCTGCTACCGACACAAGGGCCCCGCACGCAGTGGTAGCATCACCGAGCAGGTGGTAGACGTCAACGGCATCCGCAAAGTAGTCCTTCACACCACCAGCACCAGCTCCTCCGAGGTTGACACACCTAATGCTAGCGCTCAGCCCCAGTTCCCGGTTCGCCAGAATGGTGATATGGTCAACCTTGGCAACGCCGATGCAAGCGGTTCGAAGAAGAAACGACGTCGCAAGAGACGCGGACACGGCTCCAAGAGTGGTGATTTGCAATCCGAAAATGCGCCTCTTCTCGCGCAAGAATAATTACCCCGCACTGTATGTGCTTGAAGCGGACTCTGCTGGACAGAGCGATGGATGATGCAGTATATCTATTTGACCGGCCTCAGGTGATTTCTGTAAGAATGTTCGGTTGGCAGTATAGATAGCACTCCGGTTTCCAAGGGAAATATGGAGGAAACATATTTTCAATCTGTGAGATAGTGGTTCGAAGTTGATGAAAAAACACTGGGTTAGAGTCGGCCGGTTATTGTAAGAGTGAATGGAATCTACATATCTACATTGTTGACTGTTAAAGGAGAGTGGTGCATGACAAGAACACAGGTACAGCTCAGGTACAAAACTCTGTATGACTACGGAGTAGCCATACAAAGTTATCGGTAGGCTACATCGAGTATTTTTCCACGGCCATTAGCACATACTTGCGTACATATTTACAAAAGTAACAGCATATCATATTGAGTAGCATCATTGGTCTAGTGGTAGAATTCATCGTTGCCATCGATGAGGCCCGTGTTCGATTCACGGATGATGCAATACAATTCATCTTTTTGTTTTTGGGCCTCTCCATCTAGTCTCAATACGTCATCGCTACTCAACATCCGAAACATCATCATGCAAGACATCTATTGCTCCTTCAAGAATATGCTATGTTGTGTGGTCGGCATAGTGACATTGCTCGTTTAAAGTTACTGCCAAGTGCATGCGAACGCCTCCTCGAAAATCTTCTTGAATACGTCAAGTGTCCCACTAGCAGCGATTGCATATATATATCGGTGCAGGCCCAATCGGATGAAGACTCTATAACCGAGTTGAACACAATCATTCCTTCATCAATTGGAAAGCAAACCGCATGTTGTTACTGTGCTAGACAGCGCCACCGTCCAATCCGGAGGTGCGACCGGCAACACGAAGAGCCTGTCGTGTAACCGACCAGGGGATGTCAAACCACAGAAAATTTTTAAGTTGACGCAAGGGGTTTGTTCCTCCCAATCTGACAAGGTTAACCTACTTGTACTGACACTGGGGGTAATATAAAGTTAAGAATCCATGCCCCGGGAATGTGCTGGATACGGGTGCAGTGTCGTCATGCCAGAGACAAAATCAACCTTTAGTGATGGAAATTGGGGTTCTTAGGGGATAAGATCGTTTGCATTGCTCTCGTTCTGATTTGACTGTCTTCGGTCCTGATTGATCGAATTGTGTCGATGCGGTATAGAGGCAAGAGAGCGAGGACTCAAGATCCGTCCATTGGCAGGGTGACCGCCAAGTATACACATAGTGGGGATGGCCTCATGGAAGCCGGCAAGACCGTGGGGAATCGGGGGCGTCAGGGACTCAATTCTCCCGTGCAAAGCAGCCCGAAGTGGTAACTTAGCCAGCACAGGGACCCAGAATAAGATGTTCAGTCTCCACCGCAGGTCATCATCAAGCATAGTAAGAGTAAGTTCCGAGTCGGACTCATCATTTCCACAACTTGGCAGCCTTGGCAGACGAAGCGACCCCAATTATATAGCCTGGAGGGAGCACTTCCGTGATCTCTTCCTTCGGCTGGGGTCAAAACGCACCTTCTGGCAACCCAAATAGCCTTAGGACATTGCCACAGCGCACAATCGCCAATATGGCCGTGTCAGAGGAGCCAATTCCCCTCAGCAACTCGAACCAGGCCAGTCCTCTCGACCTCATGGAAGAGGAGCCGGTGCAGGTCTTTCATGAGACCGAGCGGTGGAATTACCCTAGCTCCAATACCTTCAAGACTATCGCTACCTTCTGGGCTTTCTTTGTTATGGGCATGAATGATGCCGCTTATGGGGTGAGTTTGCGCCGATTTCTATTAGTTTGGAAATATTAGTACATATGTCTTGACTAAATGTGATCGATTGGACTAATTGTTATAGCCTCTAATCCCATATGTAAGCCTCCCACCAGCCTAAACTGTAACATCTACTGAAAAATTGCAGCTTGAATCATATTATCATCTATCGTACACGGTGGTGTCTCTCGTCTTCTTCTCACCGTTAGTCGGCTACACGGCAGCTGCGTTTCTGAACAGCCGCATTCACAGCAGATTTGGTCGCCGGGGTGTGGCCTTATTGTCGCCCAGCTGCCATGTGATTGCATATATCATCAATTGCCTCCACCCTCCTTACCCCGTCCTGGTGGTCTCATTTATCTTTGCAGGGTTCGGAAATGGACTAGGCGACGCCTCGTGGAATGCCTGGATAGGAAATCTGACCAATTCCAACCAGCTTCTGGGACTCCTCCACGGCTTCTACGGTGTCGGGGGTGTGATCAGCCCTTTAATCGCCACGTCGTTGATCACGAAAGCCCATCTCGAATGGTACTACTACTATTATATCCTGGTAAGACGTCCGATCCTCCCGAGTGGACGGTTGAAACTGACCTGTCTCTCTACAGATCCCCTGCGCGGCCACTGAACTGGTCTTCTGTCTCATCACGTTCTGGGATTCCTCGGCAGAGAAGACGCAAGACTCGCAGGCACAAGAGGAGAAGGCAGGACTTCGCGAAGTGCTCTTTTCCAAGTCCTACGCGCGTGTTACCTGGATTTGCGCTATCTTCCTGCTGGGCTATGTCGGGATCGAAGTGGCCCTAGGCGGTTGGATCGTGGATTACATGATACAAGTCCGGCATGGTGCTTCCTTCGCCAGTGGTATGACGGCAACCGGATTCTGGCTCGGAATCACCCTCGGACGCGTGGCGTTGGGATTCGTGACTCCTCTCATTGGCGAGAAGCTGGCAATCATTGTATGTTCTCCGGCTTTATCGCACCCCTTGATCCAGAAATATCCCCTTTGATATCGGGCTTTGCGGGTTCCAGCTCTCCGCCTCTTCGCCTGTTTTATATACCCTCTGCACGATCTTATCCACTGACTCGTGCATCCGACAGGTCTACTCCTGCTGTGCCATCGCCGCTGGCCTCGTCCTTTGGCTGGTCCCGGACTTCTATGCCTCCGCTGTGGCCGTCTCATTGCAGGGCTTCTTCCTGGGCCCGTTTTTCCCTGCTGCGGTCGTGGTCGCGACCAAGCTCCTCCCCCGCCATCTCCACGTCAGCGCCATCGGGTTTGCTGCTGCCTTCGGCGGTGGCGGCGCTGCTATCCTGCCATTCGCGGTGGGTGCCATTGCGCAGGCGCGCGGAGTCAAGGTGCTGCAGCCGTTCATCATCGGGCTCTCGGGCGGAATTCTGTTGCTGTGGTTGGGACTACCCCGGATGCCGAAGAAGAATCAGGCTTGAGGAGGGCGTTCGCGCACGTGTGCTCCACTAGGGAGATTTGACATTGCATATATTCGACTCAGTCAGCTGTTAGATGGGGAAATGGATTATTGGTCTGGTCGTATGGACGGGAAGTGTGATACTGTGGCAGAGCTGCTGAGTGTATATATGTGTATGGACTGGCAATGCTTAGCAATTCAAGAGTCTGGTTTCGAGATATCAATATCGTACTACGGTCTCCTTCCTAAATGCTTTGAGTGTGGATTTCTGGCCTGGTGAAATGTGATTTGCACGCCGCTGGAGAGATTCCTAGATAGCTAATGTATTCTCTAGCTTCCATGTCCAACTTATCACTTTTTGCCAACCACTAGCTCCCACTTAGATGAGAGTGAATGAGTTTCTGAGTGTTACGATTATACATGGACAGCGAGGCAGTCATGTTTCCCTGGGTGATGGATAGGTTGACTTCCCACTACAGGCTGGGGGTCCTATATTCACTCAGTCACTCGCCATGACAACACTCTTGTTCATAACACGCTCTTCATTCACTTACATCCACACTCCCTTGGACTAACATATGAGCCTTCGGCCAGCTCTCCTTTTCCCTCTCTTCTTCTCTCTCTTCCCACCACATCTTCTCTCGCTTCCTCCCACTTCAACCACATCTCAAGTCTTCTTCCTCATCTCAAATCTTCTCTCACAGCTCATATCTGCTCTCCCATTTCAAGTCATCTCTCACATCTCAAGCCATCTCGCATCCATCATCTTCTTTCCCGGCTCACGTCTTCTCTCGCGTCTCAAGTCATATCTCACATCTCACATCTTCTCTCATATCTCGCCTTCCTCACCATCATTCCTCTACCACTCGATTTCTCACAAGCCACAGTGTTTATTCTGCATATCTCAAGCTTTCTAGTGATTTTCTATCCAAGAAGTGGAAGAAAAGACACCATACCACGTGAAACACATTTGACACGTTCCATAGTGGAAAACACACGTCCAGAGACAAAAAAGCTTCAGTAAAGCAAAGGAAAGTTTTGACACTCAGACGTGTGTTAAAGAACTAGCAAATAGCTTCAAAGAAGCACCGAAGACGAGGTTCTCGAAAGTTTTCCAAGAAAGCAACTCATATCACTCGTTCTTTGACTGTGAGTTTGCTTTCTCGTCCACAAACATAACACATCAACTGACTTCATTGCAGAAGGTCGTACTCATATCCTCATCTCGAGCCTACCAAACACGATCCTACACTCCGAACCCTTCGAAAACTCAACCGTCGTTACGAGAAGACACATATCGTAACTCCCAACTGTCGTTACGAAAAGTCATCAAACAAGATGTCGACCTTCGGCGAACAGGTCTTTTTTTACGGGAAGGGCATCGACCCCTTTCTCTCATCCGGCCTCAACATGTTCACCATCTTCGACCTAACAATAGAGAGCACCTTCGTCTTTGCCATCGTGATACTCAGCGCCTATCTCATCGATAACATGGCAGAGCTAGCACCCTGGATTGTCTTTATGACCAAAAAATCCATCTTCTCGCCCGCTCGCACCCTGCTACGCGGCACCCGCTGGGCCCTCACACAGCTTTCCACTCGGGAATCCCGCCAGAACCTCTACCACTGGTGTTACGCGAGCGCCCGCAAACGAGTCCTCAACTTCCGTTCAATCCATCTCCTATCTCTCGCGGCCCTCTGGTTCATCCCCTCCGAGAACCCCATCGTCACGATCGTGATGTTCTGGGTGATGATCCTCGGGGCGAAAGAAATCCACATCTCGGTTCTAGTCCCCTCCTACTATTACCTCACAGGCGTGACCGCAGGACTGAGTCCTACGGGGCTGGAGCAGTACGAAGACTGCCTTGCCTATATCGCACGCAGCGGACTGCCGGTTCGCTGGGGCAGTCGGCAGCACCAGGCGAGCTACCGCTGCACGGGCGTCGGGGCTGGTTTGGAGTTGATTGAGACGCTCAAGGACAATGATCGGAGACTGCCGCCCCTGGAGCACGAGATCCCGCACGTCCATATCGTTGCTGTCATCGCGGGGCTCATTCTGACGATCTATGTCGCCGTGTGGTTCATGTTTACTCTTCCCGGCATGGTGGCCGCTAGTGGTGTGGGTAAGCTGCAGACTGGTGTGAAGGAGCAGCGCGAGTCGCATCTTAGGGACATGCTCAAGGCTAGCGAGGCCGCGAACGAGCAGCTACGTGCGCTTCTGGATATTAAGGATGAGGAGTTCAGGACCATGAAGCTGCGCCTGGAGGAGGATGCTCGTCGCCAGGAAGAGAGTGCCCGTCGGCAGGCGACTTTTATCGATCGTCGAGTTGATAGTGCTGTTCGGCAGGGGCAGAATGACCAGCTCGCCTCTATGGATGCATTGAGGAAGAAGATTGTTGAAGTGGAGAACAAACTCACCACGAAAGAAGCTCAGGCGCATGCCACTGATGATCTCGGTTTGGTGCGAGAGCGACTCATGCAAGACCGTATCAAGCGGCTGGAGACGCAGCTGGCCCGCACTGAGGAACAGACCGCCACCACCGAGACCGGGAAGGAACTCCAGACTGTCAAGAAGAAACTCCGGGCTCGTAACAACGAGATACAAACTCTTACGGCTAAGCTTGTCGCCGCGGAGAATTGTCTGGTCGCCGCAGAGGAAAATAGTCGCCGTGGTGACCTTGAACACGAATCCCTCAAAGGGGAACTTCAGCTGCGCACCGATAAGTTGTCGGCCATAGAGGAGCGTCTGGCCGCCGCTGAGCTTCACCAGAAGGGCGAAGCGGAACGCGAACACATCATCATCACCCAGGATCAGAAGATCCAGACACTCCGAGATGAACTTTCGGCTCGTACCAACGAGCTGCAGACTTCTACTCAGAAGCTTAGCACCGTCGAAGCACGCTTGAACACCGCGGAGGACACTGCCCAGCAGGCTAAAACTGAAATGCAGAAGATTAGCAATCAGGCCCAAGCCCAGGAGCTACAGAAACTCAGGGACGCGCTACGCACTCGCACTCACGAACTAGAGACTTGTACCGAGAAGCTCAACACCGCCGAGGCAAGCTTCAGCGCCGCAAGCGAAACTACTCAACAGGCTGTGGCTAACGTCCAGAAATCTCACCAACAGGAGTTGAGCTCACTCAAGGAAGCGCTCCGAGAACGTGCCACTGAAATTCAGGCGTACACCGACAGCCTTGCCGACGTCCAGGCGCGCCTCGCCACCGCTGAGGAATTAAATCGACAGGCGTCAATCGAACAACGGGACACTCGTAACCAGGACCAAGAAAAGGAGCTGCAGTCGGCCAAGGCCGCGTTGCAAGCACGCAATAGCGAAGTCCAGGCGTATGCCGACAGACTGGCCGAGGTTGAGGCACGCCTGGCTACGGCCAACGATCACAATCTCCAGAGCGAAACCGAACATCGAAACCTCCTCGCGCAGAATCGGGAACTCCACGCTCAAAGCCAAAAGCTACACTCGCAGAACCAGGACCTTCAGGCCCAGCACCAGCAGATTGCTGCGGAGTATGAGGCTTTACGCATTTCACATGAAGCAGCCCTCCACCAGCCCAACCTGCCACTCGAAACCATGCGACTAGAACGCGACGCTGCGATCGAGAAGTGCAACGCCCTTGACGAAGAGCTGATGAAGGCTTTGCTGGTAGCAGACTTGCTGAAGGCTGACGAGCAACTAGACCTAAAAGAATGCCAGCAGGCGCTGGAGGAGGAGCGGCGCAGCGCAGCAAACTCTCTCCAATCGATGCAGGAGCTCAAAGTCGCGTGCGACATGACCATCGCACAGGAGCGTTCCGAAGCGGAACAAGCACGCACCAAGGCTTTTCTCATTGAGGATAAGATGAGAGACATCCAAGATCAGCTCAAGGAGGTCAAGGAGGAGAACCGTACCCTCCAGGTCAAGGTCTCGATGGCAATGGGGGATGCGCAAGGCAGCCACGAGCGCGCTGAAAAGGCAAAAAGGATCAACAAGATCCTAGAAGCCCGCCTCTCGCAGTGGGAAGACAAGGCAAGAGACGAACAGAGTTTCGTCAAACGGCAAACGGCAGACGTGGGGTCCGTCACCACCGCCCTCCAACAATGCCAGGTCAAGGTCTCCGAGCAGCAAACGCGCATCCAAGAGCTCACCGAAAAGCTCGAGAAAGCCAAGACAGAGAGGCCCATCGGCGAGGTGGAGCAGAAGCTCCGTGACGACTTCTCGATGATGAAGTCGATGTTGGACCGGGAGAAGAGGGCGCACATGGAGGACCAGATCCGTCTGTGCAAGGAGAAAAACGACCTGGAGGAGGAGGTCCGCAAGCTGCGCATCAGCATATCGAATGCGCGGACGGAGCGTCATGCTCCCATGCGCAAGGCGGCGGCTCCTTCTCCGGGTCGTTTTTCTCCTTGCGAGATGGATGAGTGCGCTGATTGAGGGGGAGGAGGAGGAGAGGAGGGGGAGTGGGTGGGGGGAGTTCGTGCCGGGTGTTGTGTGTGTTTGAGTATCTTGGAGAAGTAGGGCGTTGGTGGTGTTTTGTTTTTTGCTTGTCTTTGTTTCGATGCGATTTGAATTGCCTGTGTTGCTTGTGTTCATCTCTGTCTTGTGAAATGTTTTCATTTTTGCTGACGCCCCCGAATGGACGGGTAACTTCAGCGGTCGAGAATGTTGGACATCTTGTTGCTGACCTTGGATTATGGCGATGGCGTTGCGCAGTCAGCTCAGTTGATCAGTCAGTCAGGTCTTACATTCTCCTTGTTTACTGGCATGCTTGTTGGGGCAGCTTATCGTTTAAGCCGATCGATCAGAGTTTCAAGATCCAGACCGGCCTCCAACCCAACCTTCACCCTTCTGAATTGCAGTCGGTGAACACATTGATGCATGTCAACATCTCGTGGCAGATAACAATCAGATTGTGAATGAACACTGGTATTCTGAAACCGCCAAGCAGCGCAATGAACCAGTTGTGCGGTGCAAGGGGCCGTGCTGTAGATGTTCAGTGGATCAGGGGTTCGGGGGATAACGGCGCCCGTTCATTTCCTGCACGCGGTAGATAGTCTTGATAGTCTCCTCTGCTCCGTGTCTCCATCAACTGGGCTGATCCACCCAAGGGACCAATGCTCAATAGCGCATGGCAAGCGCCCTCCATGTTTCACCTTTTTGCCGGCCACCCTCTTTCAGTCATTTTAGGGCGCCCATTCTTGATGGCTTTGCTCCACATTCCTTCTACGAGTACACTCTCCTCCCCTCCTGATGCGATTCTTGTCCGACCCCCCTCCTCTCGCTTCGGTGTGAATTGCGCTTGGGCAGTCCTAGCTTATTGTTTCTTTCTTTTCTTCCTGCCGTCCGCTCACTGATTTTTTACTCCCTTCTTTTCTCTCCCTCTCGCCGTCTTCATTAGATTTGTCCTGTGGTGTCTGTGGTGACTCCGGTGAGAGATCACATCGATCGCACGCGCCCTACACTCCTTCCCCTATCTTGGCACGTTGACGCTGACAGCTGCCCGTCGCACGTTCTTGTTTCAGCGCCATTTCCTCTTGGAGCCGCGCTTCAATGGCTCAGGTACGATTTGTCCATGTCGATTAACACTTCCACCAATTGTCCAGCGGCTATGCGCTGTTGACGCGACTTGCCGCCGGCCATTGTATCTTCGTCTCGTCCCCGTCGCTCGTTTGCTTGTCGGCGCATACAAAACCATTTGCAAAACCCTGTCTAGATTCCTTCTAATCGTTCTTCCGTCGCCTGCGTTGCGACTGTGACTTTGCCCGGCTGGTCCGACGAAGTCTAAATACACTCTCTCTTATCGGCAATCCCGACTTCCTCTTCAAATCATACGATGTTCTGTTCCGGAGACCGCGAGAAAGGGCCCGTGGCCTTGGAGGAACAATGGGACTATATCGTATGTCGCAGGTGGAATATTGCGTACATGTTGGAACCAACCACTGGATACTGACCGTCTACCAGAATCTGAGTGACTTCAAGTCCGAATCTTGCTGGTCTGGTTTCTCGTACTTCCTGATCTATGTGTTCCTGTTGGTATCGGTGGCCGTTTATGGTGTAGACACCTTTACGGCTGTCAATCTGCTGGCTTTCTCGCGATGGGCCGGCTCAATTGAGCCTGCTATCCCTTTCAAAATCTCGCGCTGGATCTTCGCCGTCTGTATCATAGTGTCTCTCGCTCTTTTGATCTACCGGTGGATGCGTGCTATTCGGGCGATGCGCTCGGGGAGTATCGCGCACAGCTATCTGGATTCGCTCGCGGTGCGCATTCAGAGTATTCGGATGGGACAGAATGGGCGTGGGTGGCGGCGCTTCTTGGTCTTTGCCGAATTGACTAAAAGTAGAAAGGGCGCGGAGTATGTGGCGCTCTTTGCTTACTTCTCCTTTGAATGTGAGTCGGATTCTTCTACCTTCTAAGTTGATGAGCTAACTGTGCTGTAGCGTGGATGAGCACCATCTTTGCTGATGGTCCGCGACAAGTCGTCAACGCCATTACACTCTACTCGGTGATGCAGATGGATTTGCTTCCCGGTGGAGAAAACACGGCCAGTAGCGATGGATCCACCGCTTCTCAGCTTTTCAATAATATCAAACTTCTGGCGGAAAATAACACTCGACAGGCTTTGGTGCTGGTTGGCATGATATTCACTCTGGTCATTTGGGTTCTGTCAATGATCAAACTTCTGCTGGCGGTGGTGCTCTACTTGCTATTCCTCTGGCATCATATTCCCTCGGAGGATGGTTCGTTGAAGAGGTACTGCAAACGCAAGATCAACTCGCGACTGACCAAGATCGTCCGGAAGAAGGTCAACAAGGCACTGGCCAAAGGCGTGGCTCTACAGGATCGGAAGCCTACAACCCCCAATATGGGGATTGATAGGAAGCCCACTTTGCCGGCAGTCGGAATGAACGATGATGATAAGACGCCAGTAGTCACAACCATCTCGCGGAGTACGACACAGACCACTTTGCCGGCCTACTCATCTCGCCCAGGCACAGCCGGTCCCGATCGCAAACCTACTCTTCCGGATCTATCGACATTTGACGAAAAGCTCCCAGCTCTTAGCCGGACGGTGACCCAGTCGAGTTTTTCAGACGCTGCTTCTATGTCTGGCAGCACTGCTGCGTCCACATACAGCCCCCTAGACCGACATGGCGCGTCTGCGCCTCCAGTGCCGCCTCTCCCTACCCAAGGTCCGGCTCCAATGCCGCTTTCTCAAACTCCGAGACCACGCCAAAACTTCAACCCAGCCCCCTCAGTGCCAGGGTATGGAAACCCAACGGACCCGCGTAGCCAACCCCCTATATCGCGATTGACTCGTATGCCTGCTCCTGAACAGGCTCAAGCAATGCCTCGATCTCAAACTCCCATGTCGCGTCAGAACTTCACTCCGCCGGCTCACGCACCAGGATATAGGGTCATGGATCGAGCATCACCTGCTCCGCCTATGCCACGCATCCAGACCCCTATGTCTCGCTCGAACTACACCCCAGCGCCAGCCTCTGCCATGCGCGATCAGAGTCATATGCCGTATGCAGCTGGGCCACAGGATTCTGGTGATGGCTATAACCCGTTCGAGAATCATGATGCATATTACCCACAGTCAAGCGTGCCTCTCCGTCCTTACAGCCCGGCGAATGGACCGAACGCACGGTCTTTGACATCTGGAGCGATTCGTTCTCCTGTCGAGGACATGTCTACTAGGACTTTCTTCCCCCCTATGCAGCCAACTGGCGCTCCATATCCTGTGGCCGATCATGAGTATTATGACCCGTCGTTCGCTCCGGCTGGTCTAAGCGACACTCGACCTCCCCCGCCTGCTACCACTGCGGGTAGCTGGGAGACGAGAACGATGTCTCCGGTAGGCGCACATATGAACACTTATACTGCGTTCAGCCCGGATCCAGGGAACCTGCCAATGCCGTTTACGGACACTAATGCCTCTGGACATGATGTGTACAACGGCGGATATGTCCAGCATCGAGACCACGTGGCTGTGGGTAGCATTGCTGCCACTGACGCGCATCAGACGGCACACGCTCTCCATGATAACTACGTCGCTTTCAGCCCGGCTGCTAATACTGGCTCGCCGATTGGTGAGCAGCGCGACTACCACGAACATCATCATTACGCTGCTGAACACCACGACGGGCCCCACCTAGATCACATGGGCAGATCTTCTCCGATTGCCTCGCATGTGGTCTCGCAAAGTCTTGGAGACGGCATTGCCTTCGATCCATCGGCCACCGACCCGCATAGAGACTCAGACCATGTACATCTTCCAAATGAGAACAGCCACGAGTACGAGCACGAGCAAGGTCACGAGCATATCTACGACCACTACACTGGACAATCGCCCGTCGACCCAGCACACCCTACAGCCATGAGAACCGTTTCTCCTGTCAGCTCGCGCAGCCATGAAGGCTACACTGCATTCAATCCTTTTGATGAAGCACATGCTGCCATTTCAAAGGGCGAACACGAGGCCCAACGCTCCGATACAGCCCCGCCGCGTCTAGCGCAGGATATGCCAGAGACGACTTCAGCGAATGCAAATGGCTATGTGGCTTTCTCCCCGGTGACCCACGCCGCGTCATCAACCGCTGAGTCGTTTACACCGGCGGCAGCGCATGCATTATCTTCTCCAACGACCCAGACATTTGCTCCAGCCACAACGCACGCCGTCTCTTCGCCAACAGCACAGGCATTCGCCCCAACCACAATGCACGCCCTATCCTCCCCTACAGCTACGTATGCTCCAGCAGCACACGCGCAGACTTCCCCCACAGTACCCGCCTATTCCTCCACTCCATACCCCGCAACCCAGCAAAACCAACCACCCCCAGACCGAGCCTATCCCCCATCGGTACAGCCATACCGCCCCTACCAACACCAACACCAACACCAACACCAACAACACTTCTAGTCTTCCATTGATACCTATTCTATACCCTCCATTCTTCACTTTTTCTGGATCCTTAAAACGCCGATCCCCTCTTCTTCGGAATGCACAGTCCTCCTACCGCATCCTTCCCTTCCCTTCCCTTCTTCCGAGATTCACTCACTACAGTCGACGAATTCATGATGAATCATGGACCGATCTACTGTGATTTATGTGTTCGATGATAGTTATACCTACCTAAATTACACTTTATTCTCTGCATGAGCTAGTTCATTCTAGCTCTGCTTGTTGAATACTTTCCTGACTACAAATCAATACCCATTTTATGTTTCTCAGTGGATCAAAGACATTGATCGATCTTCAGACGTATGCCATGAAGTGCGTTGGAGCAAGATATCTAACTCTAGCTGGCGCAATCATTAGAATTGAGATGCTACGCAAAAGTTCATCCTTCAGTAAGAGTAAAATCATAGAATAGTCACGAACCAACCCCTTCCGAATCCGAATAGATTCTACAGCTAGTACTCTGCCTGATCTCTTATCCGACACTCAATCCAAACAAAATCCTCACGATAACCAACTTCCCACCCCGCTCCTTCCTCCAAAGCAAGCTTAACTTATCCCAACCCCCCTCCTACTCCCCCCTTCCCCCCTTTTGAAACTCAACCCCACCTACCGCCAACTCGCCGCAACAGTAGCTGTAGCCCCCGCACACGCTGTCGCCGCAACCGTATACGCACGGTTGGGATCACTCTCCCACGTAACGGTACTGCCATCACTCCCGACCTTATAGAACTTATACTCGAAGCTCGTGCCGACGGGCACGCTGACGGTAGCGTACCACTGCGGATGCGAGGAGGAGTATTTATCTGCGCTGAGCTTGACGCCGGCCGAGGTAGCCCAGTTACCGAGTGCGGCGATCGAGCCCGTGAGGTAGATTTCCTCGCCGTAGGTTGTTGTCACGAGCTCGATGAAGGTTATGGATAGGGTGGTGGTGGTTGCTGTGCAGGGTGTTGATGTTGTTGTCTTTGTGGCTGTGGTGGTTGTGGAGGAGGAGGAGCCGCCGCTTCCGCCGCAGAGGGTGCTTTTGTTGATGGATGACGCGGGGAGGTAGACGCGCGGTAGGCCTGCGGACATCGGGACGGCGATTGAGCCGCTCGATGAGACGGTGACTGTCTTGCAGCTGTACGCTTCGATCAGGGTTGTGCCGGCTGCGTAGCCTGTCCCTGAAAGCGTGAGCGTGTAGTCGTTGCTGCTGCTGCCGCGGTTTGAGAGGATCGTGATCACTTGCTTGTTGTCGCTGCCTTTGCGCATCGCGAGGGTGTTGCTGTCTGTGTAGAAGGGGTTGTTCTGCGGGGAGTCAGTGAGTGAGTGGGTTGGGAGGGTGGAGTACGGCTCGTACCTTGTACGTGATGTAGTTGTTGTCGAGCGAGATGGCTAACTTGCGGATCGCGTTCGTCGTCGCGATCCATTTGTACAGCTCTGCACTCGTCGAGTAGCCTGATAGCCACGTCGCTTCGCGGTTGTAGGGCACTTTTGATCCGGAGTAGTGCTGTTCTTCGCCTGCGTAGACGATGGGGATCCCGTCGGACAGGAATAGGAAGGAGAGCACGTTCTTGGCTTGCGAGTAATCGCTCGTGTAGCTAATTTATCGTTTAGCGATGAAACCAGAGAGGTCCGGCATGGGTACTCACTAGGCGAAGCGTGCGTTGTCGTGGTTCTCGATGAAGTTGCCGAGGAGCGTGGGATCGGAGCAGTCGCTGGCAACTGAGTTGATCATGTTGTAGAGATCGCTGATGCTGCCGCTGCTGGACCTGAACGCGTAGAGCAATTGGAAGTAGCTGGTTGTTTGGTTAATGGCTGTCGTTCTTTAGATGCCTTGCAGAGCTCAACACTCACATCGGGTAGTTCAGAACACCGTCCAGATACCCCTGGTACGGACACGCTGTGGCAGGGTTCCCGTTGAAGATCTCGCCAACGCTGTAGACACCTGCGGCGCTCACGTATCCTGTGAAGAAATCCGGCTCGACTTCCAGAGCACTGTCGATGCGGAGACCGTCGACTGCGCAGTCCGGGTCAGTCACAAATCCTACCAGGGTTCAAGGGAAAGGAGGCTGGTACTTGAGTAGTTGGCGACTAGGTCCTTGACCCAGTCGTACCAGATCGTCCGGACTGCTGTCTCGGTCGTGTACAAATCAGGAAGTGAGACAATCGTATCGCCCTCCCAGCAGGTTCGGACCATGTTGAGATCATTCCAGTCGGTGATCAGACAGTAGGGGTGGAAGTACGACGAGGAGTCAAACGCATCGAAGACACTATAATCCACGGTATTACCCGCGCCGGCGTATCCCTATGTCCCGGTCAGTTGAGTGTGCGCGCCTGAGCGTGAGAGACCTACCATATGGTTTGGAACCACGTCCACCATCAGGTACATGCCGCGTGCATGCAAGGCAGCAGACAAGGCTTTCAGGTCATCTGCTGTGCCAAAGTTCGAGTTCAGCGAGTAGCTGCACGAACGGTCAATTGTGGTACTCAAGGCGTGGCCACGGCGCGCTCACATTTTCTGCTGCCAGTACCCATGATAGGACTCGCCATCCGCAGTCGAGGCTGACAACTGTTCGGTGACGGGTGAGATCCAGATAGCCGTGAAGCCCATGCCTTGGATGTAATCCAACTGCGCAATTAGCTCAGACTTCCTTGTCAGAACCGTGGACGAAGCCTACGTGATTGATGATCCCCTGCCATGTTCCACCACAGTAAACCTGACGAGATTAGAGAGATGCTCGTGATCATAGCCATATGCCTTGAACATACCTGATCCCCTGTATTGCAAGTCGCAGTTGTCGAGTTGTCAGTTCTGCCGAACCGATCCGTCAGAAGGAAGTAGATGGATTGCGTCCGCCATTCCGCTGCTGACAGTCCGAGGACAAAATCGCCAAAGATAGACAGAGAGAGAAGAATCTGAAGCGCCGTGAATCTCATCTTCGCAGGCAAGTGCAGTTTAGGAGACTTAAGGGGCTCGGAGACTGCCACTGCATTTTGGTATTCGGCATTTGCATCTTATATGTCATTTCCAGCACCCCAAAGCAGTTTAGGCCGCGGCGTCAGGGTAGTCAACTGCCAGACGCATGACCAGGTGATAGTTTGTAGTCTGCGTCTTTTTTCCCCCTTGACCTGCTGTTGTCCTGCATCATTGCATGACAGGAACGGCTTTATGAGTGTGAGTTGATTGGCGCAGACTCCGATCGGGCAGGATTTCTGCAGCTGAAGCAAGAATCGGCCAATCAAGTACATCCCCGAAATGGCCTCAAGCCCGATCATGCAGGTGTGGAGAACAATAAGATTGGCTGCAGAACGCCCGTCTCCGTCCGTCAAAGAATCCCTTGTCTGAAGAAGAAGGAAAAGCCGGGGTCGTGCAGCGAATGGGGGGACATTGAGTGCGGAGTGCGGGAGAAAGGAAATGAAAGGCTGCAGGAAAGAAGGAAAGGAAGGGGTCTGAGCGTCGGCATGGCGGGAGGGCGGGAGAAGCCTAATTTATTAAACATTTATGAAACCTCAGCCAACGATGCACGCCACAATCAAGCCACCCCGCAGTCTTTTTCCTTGGTGAGATCCTCTCTCTGAGAGTTCAGCGTGATGCTGGCCACTCGTACATCTACTTTGTTGTTTCGGGCATAACTAGAACATTTTAACTCATTCTAGCTCCATAAATCACAGGCCCACTGCAGTCATTTACCTAGCTGGCCTGGTTGAAGACCTTATGTTTTTGTAAATGTTGAAGAGTTTCTTCCATTCGCAACTGATGCTTTCGCACACTCCAGCCCAGCAAGGACCCGAACAATGAGAGAGCGAGAGAAAACCCTGGAAGAGAGATGGTCAGTATGTGACAAATAGAGATGTCCCTTGAATGACCTTACAGTATGTGTACCGAAGTCCAGCCACGTAACCGTGAACCACAATATCATGGACGTGTCCACTGAGCTCATTGATATAGCTTGTATCAGACAGAGCTCGTTCGATTATCTGCAGGCATCGAGTCAGCGTATGTGAAAGACAGACAGAAAAGAAATGCCGAGTGATCAACATACCCGCCTTGCTCCAGGGCCAGTCAAGTTCTGCTCGAGCTGGCGCTTAAATACGGTTCCCAGAACACTGTTCGTGACAGTCACACCAGCGGTCATCGAAAAGTTGAAGAGCAGGAAATAACCTCCGGTAGCCATAGCGATCTCCTGGGGTAGTAGGAAAGCGGTCATGCTGACAAAGGCCGCAGCCGACGCGAAGCCGGTTCCCATGCCTCCTGGAATGATGTACAACGACTCCCAGAAGCCCGTGTGGCCATTCCAGCGGAGAAAGAGTAGTAGATAAGTGACCGATGCGACAAGCCCAGCCACGATCAAGAAGACTTTGAACTGGCCCGTTCGTCGAATGAAGGCACCAGCAATCAAACCGCCTAGCGTATTTCCAATCACTGCAGGAACAAGATGTCCACCCGCGACTGTGGCAGATGCGCGTGACGTGATCTGGAAGTATAAGGGGACCGAGAACATCATGCCAACCTGTGCTGTAATCTGCAAAGACCCAATCAGGTAACTAAGAGTCACGTTGGTCCGGCGCAAGATGCGTAGGTCGAAAATCGGTTCTGGGGCCACATAGAGCTCGATAACGACAAATGAAATAAATGCAGACATGCTGAGTGTAGCAAGAAAGGCAGTTGTAAGCGAAGCCCAAGCGAAGGCCTTTCCAGCTTGATCAAGAATGAGGGTGGTTGTGATTACTCCAACAGCGAGAAAGAATGTTCCAATGAAGTCGACCCTGCGAATGTCCTTGTTGGTCGCGGGAGCTGTGAGCTTGAGCTTCCAAATGGCGAGTAAAGCAGCCATCGCAGATAGCGGCCCTTGAAGGAGAAAGGACCTGTCGAATAATTCAGTTAGAGGATATTGTAGAAGACTATGGATGAATACTCACCACCGCCATCCAACGGTATCCGTCAACCAGCCACCGATAGGACCACCTGCGCTCCGGCCCAGAGTCATAGCAATATTGATATACGCACGCCAATGAGCCACGTCTCGTCGAGGAACAATATCTGGATGTATTCAGCAAATAGTATCAACCGCAAAGACTGCCCATCCTACCTGTGATGATGATTACACCCATCGCCATTGTCCCAGCACCGCCGATGCCACTGATGGCACGCCCCAGAATCACCAGGAACATGCTTGAGCCGATTCCACTGATGCACCTTTAGTCAGAGCGAGTTCATCGAACCCGAACGAGGATTTTCGCGGCACCCACCTGATCACGCATCCGAGGCCGAAGAAGAAGTATGCCCAGAGCAAGAGTGGTTTGCGACCATAGATATCACTCAGCTTGCCATACTGCCAGCCCATACTGTCAGTACACTATTCCATCCGGTATATTTCCCATGTGAGCTCACCATTGGTTGTGCCGCGCACAAACCGAGAGTGAAAGCCGTGGCCAGCCAGCTGGCTTCGCGCAGCCGATCGAATTCAGACGAAATCTTTCCGGTTGTAGCCATAACGAGGGTGGTATCTGCATTGGAGATGAATTCACCTGTTTCCTCGTTAGCTTCGCTGTAGGAATTGGCAGAGGTATCCCTTCTTACCGAGAAGTAGCACGGCGATGATAGTCTTAACGCTAGCCAGTGCCTGCACCTTGTTATTTTCGTGGGACTCTGCTGGACTAACTAGGGGACGTTCTTCATCCGTATCATGGCTGCTCCGAGCATCACTCGTTGGTCCTTTGGAGATACTTTGGTAATTCGATGCATTCGCGACAGATGTATCCAGAGCGGCTGGATTCAGAGGGGTTGTCTCATCGACATCCACCTCCGTCCTCAGTGTGTCTGAGCTCGCTGACGAGATCGTCATTATTGCCAATGCCGTACAGGTAGTGCTGTTCCAGTGAATCTATTACGTTGACACTGAACCAAGAGTCCCTTATGTTGAGTCGCTTCACTAGTGAAGAGATAGAAGGAGAAGAGGGAATGACCGCTCTTGTAGGTCACAAATCCTCTGAGCCAACAGAGGGATGCGACGCGCCTGTGTGAAATGCCATGCAGGGCTACATGATAGAATCTCGCCTATCGCGAAATGTCCAATCTCCTTTGGAAGTTGGGTGACAGTATTGGCTGGCCGTCATTAACTATCCGGAAGAGCCGATGACACCATCGTGGGAGGGGGCACAATTCACTGGTTTCTTCCCCACATGGCCATGCCCTGGGTGGGAGAAATCTTGACCGCAGCCTTCTCATGGTAGATAGCTGCAAATAACAGAGCAGAATGGGGGAGGGAGAAGGTGATTGTGGTGGAGGAGCACGCCATGCTTGCCGGCGATGGCGAGGGAACTAGCGTCGCTCCCATCTCCTGCTCAGGGACTGTCAAGAACCTATCCCTCGGCTATTTGGGTAGAAGCTGAGATAAGCGGATATTGACAGCTGGGTTCGCTTATTGTTGATTCTTTTACTAGAGGATTCAAAAAATGGCTCTCTTGTTGAGAGAGTCGAGGCATGTTGAGATGAATCGAGTTGATGTGCTGTAGTACTGGTTATCTAGTATGTGAAGCGAGCATCCGCAGTTGATGCCCCTTTTGACAAAACAAACATTCTCGAACTCATCCAATTGAAACTAGCATGACTGGAAAGGGAGAATCTCTAGCGACTGACAAGGTATTAACTGACATTGAGACGGATTGACCACCAGCAACATTGAAAATGAAGACATCCAAAACATCCAAATTGTGGAGAAAAAGACCCTGCTTAGTCACTGCCCTCAATGACAGCCGTCTGCTTGACCTTGACCGCTTTGTTGACCGCTTGACGATTATCCCCGGGCTTTCGCTCGGCCTCGCCCAGTCCAGTCTTTCATTCAGCGAACGAGTTGACTCGCTTGATTGCCCCGTACAACAGTCGCAACGATAGCCTGCTTTGCAGGCTGAAACGGCAGTTGACCTTCGGCTTTATCCGCCCCGCAATGAAGTTGATTCCTCCTTAGAGAACGGTTGACGGATTGCATTGCGTACGGAGCGCTGCCGCTGACATCGTGTCCTTGCCTTCCTCGATCGCACCCCTTGGGTTTCCTCAATGCTCCGCACCGAAGACGACGCAGCTCTACCGGCCAGCGCAGTATCTACACGCTATGACTCGCCAGGGACGATAGCGAATATGGACGGAATGCGTGACAGTCATAACGAACGAAGACGGGACTCAGCTAGCGGCGCGACAGGCTCATCACAACCGGACTGGATGCCAGCAACACCTCCGAGCCCTGAAGCAGACGGTGCAGTGGCTGTTAGAAGTCAGAACCCAAAATCTCCGAGAAATCAGCAATTCACAGTCTCAAGCGGCGCGAACCTCCGGAAGGACACTGATGGCCGGCCCGTGATGGGCTCCGACGTGCAATGCGGACAAACGACGGCGCCGGACGCTACAGTGACTCGCGCCAACCAGATTGATTCTAGGGTCGAATTGCGGCCAGATGGAGTCGGTGACGACTCTGGACACGATGACAACGGGTTACCCAGCCAACACACCCCCTACGCCGACCGGAAAAGCGGTCAGTCCTCGATCGCATCGGATCAAGTGCTTGGAATGGTATTTGAGCACTCGGAGGAGGCTCCTCAGACCCCAGGCCGTCGTACGACTTCGAGAACATCCCTGGTGGATGTTTTCGAGGGCTCTGAAGTGGCATCTGCGCTCACCGAGTGGTCGCGAGACACATCGCCTACTAGGAACCACGACAAGGACCCAGAGCGCGTGCTGAAACTATCCCCTGCCAAGATGCAGGAACTTACATCTTCACCGCAGTCCATCCCGTATCGCGCAGCGCCACCGGAGCAATTAGAACGCGGACGACGTGCAGTGTCGGACGGCGCGCATGGAATGGCTTCGCACCTCGAATCGCAAGAGCCCACGCTACCGTCTGTGGAAGAAATAAAATTGACCTCCGACAATCTACCTAAGCTCCGCCTGCCCAAGGACCTTTCTATCGATACCTCGGCTGTATCGACTGGTAGAACACCTGCGTCATCCTCCTCGCGTAGTCGTCCCCAGACCTCACGGGCCGTGTCAACACCTAGCTCGCGGCGACAGACCTTGCCGGCGACGAACGATCGGCTGGCCCAGACATGGGCATCCCGAACCAAACAAGAACGCCTTTCGATCACGCGGGAATCGGACTCGAAACATCTTGAACCATCTCCACAGATGAAAGAACAGGCATTGCCCTCGCCAATGCCGCCGAATATACCTCTACCTCCTTTGTCCGTTCCCACTTACCTCCAGTTAGAGCTGGCATCAGGTCGGCCATCACCGCTGTATATTCACCGCTCACCGATGAACGACTTTCCTTACGAATCCTCTCGAGTCAAGCTTGAACGACTTATGAACTTTCTAATGCTGCCGCCAGCGGTAGAGCAGGTGCTCTGGTTTGGCATCCTGGCATGTCTTGATGCGTGGCTGCATTCATTCACCATTCTCCCGCTACGGTTTCTGAAGGCTTTGTATATACTTATCGAGTCATGGATTCTAAATTTGGGTCAGGAATTCCGGTATGTGTCAGAGTTTGTGATCAAAGGTGTGGGCCGTATGTGGCGGAGACGCAACAGGACAGTATCAATTGACGAGCCACCGCGTGGCTCCGATGTGGGACGCTCGAACAAGGGCGAGACAGGCTCCGCTGAACGAGATCCGCGTGGTAAGGCAGCGGAGCCTCGCAAGAGACACCGGTCGCATGGACACCGACTTCAGCATCGCCGACAGAAGAGCATCCCATCAGCTCTGATGCCTGATGACAAGGCCGACATCCTCAAGGGATTGCTCATGATTGCCACCTGCTGCGTCTTGATGCGCTTTGATGCGAGCCGAATGTACCATTGGATTCGAGGCCAGGCAGCCATAAAGTTGTACGTGATCTACAACGTGCTTGAGGTCAGCGATCGACTTTTTGGTGCCATCGGCCAGGACGTGCTTGAGTGTCTCTTCTCGCGTGAAGCGCTTGAGCGACGACCCGACGGCCGCAGTAAGGTCTTCCGGCCATTTGGACTCTTCCTCCTGGCGCTGGCCTATACGGTCATTCATGCCACAGCGCTGTTCTACCAGGTTATGACGCTGAACGTCGCTGTGAACTCCTACTCGAACGCACTAATTACGCTGTTACTCTCGAACCAATTTGTCGAGATCAAGTCCACGGTCTTCAAGAAGTTTGAGAAGGAGAACCTCTTCCAACTTACGTGCGCCGACGTGGTGGAACGATTTCAACTCTGGCTCATGCTGACAATCATTGCATCGCGCAACATTGTTGAGACTGGAGCATTCAACATCTTCAGCGGGCTGGGATCCAGCTTCACCTCAACCAGCACCAACAGCACTCCACTGTCTACTCCGCCTCGAACCTCCTCCTCCATCCTCCCTCAGGCCTTCACGATCGTCCCATCCTCCATTGTCGCCTCCTTCAGCCAAGCCAACTCGTACCTCCCGACCCTGGCGCAAGTCCTAGGTCCCTTCCTCGTCGTCTTAGGCTCGGAGATGCTCGTCGACTGGCTCAAACACGCGTACATCAACAAATTCAACAACACCCGGCCGGCCATCTACGGGCGCTTCCTGGACATCTTAGCCAAAGACTACTACACAAACGCGTTCGCGGACCAGAACCTGACCCGACGACTCGGCCTGCCCGTTATCCCGCTCTCCTGCCTCTTCTTCCGCGTCAGCGTCCAGACCTATAAGATGTTCATCGCAGCTCTACTGCCCCAGCAGCCCTCCTCCTCCACGGCAGTGGAATCCACCTCCCTCTCGGCCATCCACAGCCAATACGTGCCCGCCCCAATGCCCTCCCCCCCGCCGCTCACCTTCCAAAACTTCATCCCGACCTCAACCGCTTACGCCGGCGCCTGGTTCCGACAAATGCTCGCCAACACAATGCCAACCCCAGCGTCCTCGGTCTACATCTTCACGATCGTCCTCATCCTAACCGGCTACGTCGTCCTCCTGATCCTCAAGCTCCTCCTCGGCATGCTCCTCCTCGCGCTCGCCCGCTCCCGGTACAAGGCCATGAAACTGCGCGAAGCCGAGCAATCCCAGCCCGCACCCACATCCACATCCACCGGAGCACCAACAGGCCCAGCGCCCGTCTCCGCAACCACAACAAACGACCCCGCCCCCGCCCCCGCCCCCGCCCCCGCAGCCGCGCCGCAACCCCGCCCTCGCGAATTCGCAGTCGAGGGCAGCCGCCGCGTCGGCGGGTGGGGCGTCGTGGAGGTGAACGACGACCACCGGCGCTGGATCTATGCCGATGACCCGGAGGGTCTCCGGAGACTGAAAGCGAAGGAGGAGAAGGACGGGAAGGCCGGGGGGAAAGAAGAGGTGCACTTGGATCACGTGCGGCGGTATGAGATGGTGGCGAAGCGGATTTGGTGATTTCTTTTTGGGGGTTCCGTATATTGAGCATGTTTATTATCGTATTTGATGTGCAGATGCATGGTGATGTGCTTTGTCTAGATGGATAGTATTATCGCACATATTCTGAAGGAGGTGTACTGGAAAAGTGGGATGGAGCATGTGCATTTAATCACTGTGTATCGGGTCCACCCTACAAATGCATAAAGGCACGAATCCACTATTCGGGATATGTATAATGCAAGTCTATAAACAGATCTAGGTCCATTCACCACCGCGCAGCAGCAAAGCCATCGAATTCCCAATTCGAACGTAGGCACGCCCTTCCACCGATGAAGTCGAGTAAAAAAGCAAATCAAGTTGAGTTGAGCCGCTAAGCTGAAATCTGACATCATTATTAAGCCCGAGAATCCGGACGAGGAAGCGGAATAAAACGACAAGAGAGTTGAGGATGAGGATGTGGTTGAGGTTGAGGTTGAATCATTAAGGCCGTTGAGGACATGAACAGAAACGAGGTTGAATCATTACGGTCGTTGAAGACGTGAGTTGAATGGTCATCGTCAATGGGTTGAAGGATGGCTTCATTCACCTTGCATCGCGAGGGATAGAGGTGAGAGCCTTGATTCAAGGCTGGTAGATTACAGGCGGTGGCGGACTTCTGAGACGGCGTTGCTGTGTAATTCTGGTTCCGAGTTTGTTGTGTTAGTTGCTTTGTCCTTGCAGTGGTGGGGATGAATCAAGGGGGGGGGCCGGGGAAGGGGTAAAGAAGAGTAAGAGGAAAAAGGAAACGGCCTACCGTTCCACACATCCAGCGCCGCTTGCTCGGCGTCCCAACCCCAGAGACGTCTCTGAGTCTCACGATCGGTCCAACGATCGGGGGTGGCACCGCCCGTCAACGAGGCGCGGAATTGTTCGTCGCGCGCGATCTGCTCGGGTCCATCGGGAAAGTGAAGCGTCGTGCGGTTGTCCGAGCCGGACTGTTGGACGGTCTCGGCGCGGGATTTACGGGATTGCTCGTAGGCTGCGAGAGCGGTGGGAATGGCGGCGCGAGAGGGGATCGTGGAGAGGAGCACGCCTAGTGCGGCGGCGTCTTCGACGGCTTGGGCGGCGCCTTGGGCGATGTAGGGTCTATAAGTATGGATATTGATTAGTGTGATCGGGGGGATGAGGGTTGCGGTTGAGGTAGGGTGGTTTACAGCATAGGATGGCAGGCGTCGCCGATTAGAGCCACACGGCCCCGGATCCAGGTCTTGAGCGGAGCATGCAAGCAGAGTTTCCATTCAAGGACCTCGTCGTCTGGGACTAGGTCGATGAGCTTCGTCACGCGACTGTCCCAGCCTCGGTAGTTGTCGATCATCGCCTGCTTGGAGCCCTTGGTCGTCCATGACTCTTCGATGCCGTGGCTGTCTGGGTGAAGCAGTACGACGTTGTAGAGCTCATGGTTGCGTACGGGGTACGCGATGATGTGCCGGTTGGGACCCAGCCAGCGCGTGGCTTGCGGCTCATCGATGAGGGCCTTCAGCTCAGGGTCATTTTCCAGCGCGCTGCGCGGAAGCATGATCCGGTAGGCTGCATCACCTGTCGGAATGGCCTTGCAGGAGTAGTCGTTGAGGAGCTGACCTCGAATGCCAGATTTGATGCCGTCCGCAGCAATCACCAAATCGCCCTTGACGATGGTCCCGTCGGCGAGCGTCACGGCTGCCTGGTCGAATTGGACGTCGGTGACAGTAGAGTTGACGCGCAGTTCCACATTTGACAGCGCCAGCGCTTGGTCAATGAGTGCGTTGTGGAGATCAGCGCGGTGGATAACCACCTGTTGACCGTAAGTCTTGTTGACGGGCATCGTGCCCAGCAAAGAGCCGTCTTGCCACCGCCGGACGTGGATGTGCTCAAGAGCGACGTCCTTGGCATGGATGGACGGAGAGATGCCCCAGCCTAGCAGAATGAGTTAGTTTCAAGCAATAGGAGCGTCAGAGGCCAGTGCTCACGGTCGAATAATCGGAGCATGTTAGGGGAGACTTGGATGCCCGCTCCAACCTCCATAAGCTGTTTTGCAATGGATCAATATCGCCGACAATTCGAATGGGTGCGAATAGAGGCTTGCGTACCTTAGGCGCCGATTCGAGGATAGTGACATGGTGACCCCGTAGACCCAGAGTTAGGGCTGCAGCCATGCCCCCAATGCCTACATCTGTCAGCGATAATGCGTTCTTTCGACATGAAGAACTAAAATTGGCGTACCCGCTCTATAATAATATGTCAGTGGCAATTCCAATATGACGCTGGATGAGGAAATCCCTACCCAACAATGATCACCTCAAGGGGTGTCCTGGCCTGAGGCAGAGCCATGATGGTCTATGATACTGATACAGGGGAAGAAAAGAGAAGGAAGTCAAGGGGAGAAAAAACAAGCGAAAGTAAAGAGGATTTCAATTAGAGGAAAATTTGCGCTGGCCGGACGCGCCGATATAGGAGCCAAAATTGGTACAGTACAAAATCTGGGGCAAGGAATTGGTTTGCCACAGGGTAGAGTCAGAATGGGGGAATTGTTGCGGTTGATATAAGAATACGTTCATGGCAAACAGCTCCTCCCCCGAACGGCCAGGAGGTCCGAACCTGCTCCGACCTCGATAGGCTGGGGAAACACGGCCGAGAGCGGAAATATACGAAGCTGGGTCAAACACGATGATTATTTTGTGAGATCTCTGTCTGGCTGGGGGAGGTCGGGATTGGCGGCAGGACGCGACATCCCCCAGGGCGAACATTCTCCACCTGACAAAACCTGCCATTCACCTTCGAATGGAGATGGGGAACCAACATTTGGTATTCCCCATTTCTGACCGGAGGGGGCGGAGATAGGGAGGGAGAGAGACAGCCTCACGGGAAAAAGGGGGGTGGGTGTAATCATCCGGCTTCATGTTTTCCAAGCCACTTCAGTGAGGAGGCCATACATCGAGAGGGGAGAGATGAGGGGAAGAGGCGTATGTGGAAGCGTGATCAATCTGCATGATCAGGTATCAAGTGGCATCCTCATCCTGGTTAAAGAGGAGAGCAAACGAGATAGACTATCTAATTATCTACTGTGGAAGTTGCAGCAAGAAGTGAGCCTAACTCAGGAAATGACCGTTTTCCGGGGAACACTACTGTAAGGTAAGTTAGTGACCAGTTAGTGACTCGTTAGTGGTTGGTTTGGTCCCCAGTCGAACAGGCGAGCTCGACTATCAGAGCCAATCATACTCGCGTGCTTAGCTGACTCAGCTTGTCCGGCTCTTCCACTTTTTCGTATCTGCCGAACGCCCCGGCATTGATTTCTCCCTTCGATTGCCGACCAGCAACTCTTCCTGAGTCTTTCTCTCTTCCTCTTTCTATCGCTTCCGTGAGATTCAATCCCATGGTCAGATACGCTTGCCCAGAGACGCTTTCCCAATCTATTCTCCTGACAACTCATGGAGACCATCCCCTCAAACATACGATAAAACCCCGAACCTTGCACCCATCCATACGTCCTACTTACCCCCATGTCTCCAGGAATCCATTGACTCTAGCCCGTGAATCTCCACCCATTCGCGCATGTTGAGCCACCGCCATTTTTGAGGATTGCAATTAGCTCCTGCCCGAATCTGCAACAGATCTGGGATGCTTCGGTAAGACAAGATCTAAGAAAAGCCGAAATCCAGGCCGTTGCACACTGCGCAACCCTTGCGGAACTATGACTTCCTCCTAGCAACTTCCAGCCCGCCGCGTGCAGTAGGCACCGCCCATAAACCAGCCATTTCCAGTAAACTAACCGGCTGAAAGTATTGGTTCGACACGGCAAGTCTGATCGGATATATTGCGCATTGGAGCTTGGACTGCAGCTGGCTGCTGTCGTGCTTGCCGTCGGCTTGACAGTCAGGTATCTGTCAGCCACCACACATCCGGAGAGGTGAGATCAAAGACTGCGGGAGACTCGCGGAGCAGACAAAGGCTCGAGCACCGCACCTCGAGCCTTGATCTTCTCTATGACGTTGCATGCCGATTATCCGTTTAGACTTCATGTGGCTCTATTGCTACTGCTGCTGCTGCTGCTGCTGCTGCAACAACCGATGTCCGACATGCTATCTCGGCATCCTAGCGCAATGCCGGAAAGACCGACATAAGAATAGCGGGCGCCGTTCGGGAACAATCGCTACGAAAGGTGACCTTGTATCAATTGCACGGAAGAACGTCGTAGTCATCGGAACCCGTTTAAAGCAATGCAGGAAAGTTGATCATGCTTGTGTATCTCTTTCCTAAACGGTGTCCAAGAGTTGAATGACCGTCAATTCGTACTACCCCAGGCACAAGCCCCAGAAGTCATCCATTTGCGCAATTGGCCATCTACCTTGCCTCCACCGCGTAGCATACAACTATGCAGTCCATCAACTATATACTCCATCAACCTGTAAGGTGTCGTCAACTTCATCTTCTCATAGTGGCAGCAAGCTCTGTAATCGCACTGCTAAATCGAGCTTTGCACACGGTGGTAGTAAAGAGGACTTAAGACACATTTGAACTTCGAGACAGGCAGGAGGTTTGATGTTCTTCCATGTGAGGCGAGGGAAGTATACAATTGTACTTACAATAAATGCGCTAGTCCGAATATGAACTAGTCCAGGACCATCCAGGGCGGGAAAGGGAAGGCCAAATCCATTAGATTGAGACGGCAATGAACACTGCAAGCACGGCAAGCATTCATTCAGGAATTAATCAAGCTTGTTCACAAGACTCTCAAATCTCGGCTTTTGATCTCTCTCGTTATTGGTGCCTCTGAGGGGCTCTTTCTGGATATCTACTGATACACTCTATCAAGTTCCATCGTCTGCTCGCCGTCCAAGCTGCTATCAAAAATGTTTTCACGCCTTTGTCCACCGCCAAGAGTGGCGGCGATGGCCAAACAAGGCCCGAGATTCATGCCACCACGCAGATCTGTTTTTGTGGAAAAAGACAAGATCAACCCTACGATAGCTTGGGAGTCTTACAGTGCGAGTCCTGACAGTCAAAGCCGCTCCGAAAACCCAATCATTGTTCTTCATGGATTCCTCGGTTGTAGAGAGGAAATGCGGCCTATAAGCGAGTATGCTTTACTCTCTCCTGGTCAACAAGACCGTGACGGCTTCGGCATCAGTACCATGTCACGAGATCCTCTTTAACCTCACTCAAGGATTCTAGCCCGGGAACTGAAGAGAGATGTGTATTTGCTGGTAAGCGTGCTACTCTCCCGCTCCGTGGCAGGCAGTTGACGACCGGAATCAGGATCTTCGCAACCATGGCGCATCCGGCACCAAATGGAGACACGATTACCTCCAACTGGCGTTAGATGTCCAAGGCTTCACCCGAGATCATGAACTTGAGAATGTAACTCTAGTCGGCACGCAGATGTACGCTTAGCAGATGCAATCTCCACTCCTCAATCCCTCGGAGAGGGCTCTCAGCACCTGCTGCGATCACTAACGACCAGTTCTACCAGGGGCGCCAAGACAGCCATGACGCTAGCACTTTACAATCAAGACATTGTCAGCAATATTGTCGCCATCGACAGCAGCCCCGCCTGGAAAGAACTCCCAACCTGCTACACGCGATGGCTTGACGCCTACAAGCAAGTGCTCAAAATGCGCCTCGAGAAAATCTCCTGGGCGGCCAGAGTCATGTTTTATTGGGACTCGGTGAGTTACTTCTCTTTCTTCCAGGCTTCTGCCTGCTCGCATGAAAGATATATACTCCAAGGCCTGCTTTTCTGATCTATGTTTCGAACACAGGAGAAAGAATTGAGGACCTTCCTCAAGCGCAACCTGGAACTGAAGCCGGATCACCCGTTTGTGCGGCCCCGCATCCCGCAGAATATCCTGTGGCAGGCCCGTGATGCCATGGCGGAGTTTCCGTTCAAGCCGCACGAGTTGAACAAGTTCCACGGTCCGGCTTTGTTCCTGCGCTCGCGCAATAGCTACTATATTCCCGGGAGTGAGGGGGAGGACGCCATCAGCCAGTTCTTCCCTACTTCGCATATCAAAGATTTGGACTACGAGGGCATCCATATGGCTACGACGGCGCCTGAGCAGGTCGCGCAGGGTAAGCTCCTTTCTTTGCTGTTGATGCTTGAAAACACATAAGATGAAAATCTGGGCCCTATTCCGCTGACATATGACCCTACAGCGGCGGTCGAATTCCTGCGTAATCCTTTGGAATACCTCGTCGAAAATCAACAGGTGCAGCCAGTGGGAGGCAAGGACTTGGCGTGGCAAGTGTGAAGGCAGGCGTGTAACTTGAGAATATGTGAGCCATCACTTTTGGCCATATTGTTGCGTGGCCCAGGACTCTAGAAGGAGAGTCCAGACACGAGACGTCTATAAGGAGTAAGGGCGTGAAAGCATACCCGAGAGCTAAACGGCTCCCATGGCGCCTTAGGAGGATCATAATGACTGGCAATGTCGGGAAAAACATAACTCTCTTATATCTGTACCGTACAGAATAGAAGCGGGACTTGAAAGGAGAGTATGCTGAGCATTAACACCAAACTATCTACTTCAATGAACAAGGCCGACAATCAGTAAGACGTAATTAAGTCTACTTCACCCGGCCCTAGCCATCAATTTCAATTCTAGACCTTGAATTCTCATGCTCCACACTGTCCGCTATGAACACCGTCACGCACCCAATTCACCAACATGAAGTGCATCGTGAGCGAATGCCGATTAAGCAACATCAAAATCTGCATAAACAATACTTGCAGCTATCTGTATATTATCATAACCACCACTCTACTTCCTTCGCATCTCGTGCATACCCTCATCTACCCGAATTTTTTACGGTGTTGCTGGACCTTGCCGAGACCTGCCTACTTACCTACCCGTTTATTCTGCCAGGTTCTTTCAGAGGCTGGCTGGGCTGTGTAACCTGCCGCGCCCCGTAGACGGGCGGGCGGATAAGCTTTGGCCGAGCCAGCGGGTCGCGGCTTTAGTGCTTGGCTTGGGAGACCCACTGGGTTCGTTGTGCACGTGCTGGGGCCAGGTGGAGGGGGAGCTGAGGGGAATATATTTACTATCTAGTTGCTGTGGGCTATGGTTCTGATTGAATCATCTTGGAGTAGTGGGTGATGTGTTGCTTGGTTTATGTAGTGTCTGGTGGTTTGGGTTGTCTAGGCTCTCTGTGGTTGTAGGTGTTTTGCTTAGGTGGGTGGGTGGTGAGCGGGGACATGAAGATAATGTCTTGGGAAACTGTGGGGCATTATGTTCGTTTGTGGGCTGTGATATACGTGAGGTATGAGTCAGATTTCTTCTCAGTTGAATGTGTGGAGGATTGACGGTTGGTGGCTGGAAGTATGGCAGTCACGGCACTGTGCTCTATTGAGCTCATGTGGTTTTCATACTAGCTTAAGATATCCCAAGCTATGTAAAGGGTGTATGTAGATACTTTGACATCCTCTTGAACCTCCATCTATTCTGGGTCAGCGATCTTCAGAATGGCCTTTCCGTGGTTACCACCGCGAAGCATCGACACCAAAGCTTCGGGCCCGTTCTCAATGCCAGTAGCGATGTGCTCCTTCGTCTTGATACTGCCGTCAAGTAGCCACTGTGACACATTTAGTAACAGCTTCTGTTCTCATTGATCTCAGATTGCTTACCGCAGACACCCGCTCATTCCTCTCCTTAGCATACTTTGGGCCCATGTTTTCGTCCCCGACAATGAACCCCTGCATCCTGATTCGCTTGCCGACCACGTTCATTATATTCTTCACTCCAAACTTTTCCTCGGGCTTCAGGTTGTATTGTGACACCATGCCGCAGGCGACTGCAGAATATGTTAGCGAGCGGACTTTTGACAGGAAAGGACAGCCATACTGATCCTGCCGAAAGGGTTCAGAGCATCAAGAGCCGCTTCCAGATGCTCTCCACCAACATTCTCATAGTAGATATCAATCCCGTTGGGCGCCAGCCGAGCCAGTGCGTCGCTAGGCTTTTCTTTCTTGTAGTTGAACCCGGCGTCGAAGCCCAACTCCTCGGTGATGAAGCGCAGTTTGTCATCGTCGCCAACACTGCCAATTACATGCAGTCCCTCGTGCTTGGCCAGCTGGCCGACCACCTGTCCCACGCACCAGCAGCCGAGGAAATGAAGATTGTCTCGCCATTCTTGGGCTGTCCGATCTCGTACAAACTGGAATACGCGGTCAACCCCGTCATTCCAAGGATGCCGACGTAATGGGACAACGACAGTCCGGGGACCACATCAATCTTCGCCGTCTGGCGCCAGGCCAATTGCTCCTTGGTGACAACGCTGTACTCCTCAATCTTGAGAATGGTATAGATGATATCCCCCTTCTTGTACTCTGGATTCTCCGACCGGATCACTTGCCCAATGCTGTAGGCGGTGATCGGCTCCCCAACCGTATAAGGAGGGCTGTAGCTCTTGATGCTGGGATCGCGCATGCGACCGCGCATGTAGGGATCCAGACTGGCGTAGAGGTTCTTGGTGAGAACGCTGTCCGGTGGCAGCTGCTGGTCGAGGTCTATCTCGCGTTGCTCGACGGTGAGATCGGTCCCTGGGATGGGCGCGCCATCGGGGACTTTGCTGAAAATGACGGCTCTGTTGGGTTGAGGCATTGTGGAGAGTCGCTTGCTTGACAGGTGTCAGGTTTGAATGTTGAACGTGGTGGGGAGGGTCGCTCGACCCTTATAAATCAAGATAGTAGCGGGAGGGGTAGATCGATGACGATAGCGGGACATTACACCAACCTCGGCTGGTTGGTAATGTGGCCTGATTGAAAATTCACCGCCTCAATCTTGTTGTGTTACTTATTGCTTCGCGGCTCAAGCATTTAGCCGCCCTGATTCTATAGCTTTTGGGACTGTTTTGCGTGTTGATAAGTTGGGTAATGATGATTTGACCGATGAGCGAGGAACATGATTCCGACCCGCTAACTGGATCGAGAGGTGACGTTCGTGTTCTATAAGTCTTTTGGTCCGGCTCACAAAGCTGAAGTATTGAAAATCAAAACTGCGCTCATCTGGCACAAGTGGGCATAGTCTCTTGTTCATCGTCGACGCAACGTGATGAGGCATCTGGCGGCTGAAAGTAACTGGTGTCAACCACGTACCGACCCGATGTGTAACAGCAGCTCAGAGGCGAAGGCATGACTGGGCGTTCGGGTGAGACCGGAGCATGCAATTGACTCAATTGTGATTGATACAATTGAGTGCATCCATGTTCAACAGAGAATCCGAGAGGGGTTTGGGAAGAGAAGTTCAAGACCGCAAGATGAGGATGAGTGGGCAGCTGATTGAATTTGTGCCTCAGGCTCCCAATGTTGAATCCTTCCCGATTCGGTAAGCTGTGCGGGGCCCACCCCCACGTGGAGCTTCCACCAATGGCAATGCAGAGCGTCAGAGTTATCGCCGAAACCCGATGAGGTCACCGCCCGGCCAGAACTGCTCCCGACGAACCGAAAGCGACAGAAATGGATTTGTCTGGTGGCTGTGGGAAATCCTTATGATCCACTGCCCCTTGAAACTGCGAAAGCAAAGCAGAGATCAGGCCCCCTTTCATAACTGTGCACTTCTCGGCTTGAGTCCACCCAATCATCTCCGAAATGATCTCGTGCGACGGGTTGTCCCTCCGTCCATGCGCCAGTATATACATAGCCGTGCTGATCATGATGATACTCATATCTGACACTCGTCAAACAACTCAGCGCTATCAGTTGGCCTTGACAACGTCGCATCTTCCCTATAAATTAAGGCTTTGTTTTCTGTACTAGCATACCTTACCCGCTTCTGAACAGAATCATCCACTTTAGCATCCGATACAGAATGGCTGGCATACCATGGACCCCGATCTATATAGCCTTCGCAGCATACGCCTACTTCAGAGCCACGTGGTCGACATTCTTCTACCTTTCGGCCTTAGCCACCATCTGTAGAGTCTTCTACCGAGTCTTCCTTTACCCAGAGTTTCTGACGCCTCTCAAGAATATTCCTAGCCCGTCTGTGAGTTTTCCGGGCCTGCCATGGCGTATTTTCAACCAGTTTGAACATATTCTCACGTCTCCCTCTTTCAGGGCCGGTCATGGTTTCGGGGCAATAGTAGCAGCTTGATTTTGAAGCATGACTGGAAGCGACTGGCTCAATGGCTCGAAGAGATACCGAATGACGGACTAATCCGCTACTACATGACCGGCAATTTGGAGCGGTTGATCGTGACCAACCCCAAGGCGTTGAGTGAAATCCTGGTCACGAAAGTGTACGACTTTGAGAAACCCCCTCTGGTTAGAGAATCACTGGGACGCCTGACCGGGCAGAAGGGGGTGCTTTTGGTCGAAGGTGCCGAGCACAAGGTATTTGGCACAAGCAGAAATCATTAGACCCCTGAAGGCTGACTCTATGGTTTAGCATCAACGAAAGAATCTTATGCCAGCCTTCTCCTACCGTCATATCAAGAACCTGTATCCGACTTTCTGGTCGAAGAGTATAGAGATGGTACGATGCATAGAGGACGACCTGCGGAGTCGTGAGGATCCCTCTGACAATGTCATTCGTGTGGCAACCTGGTCAAGTCGAGCCACTCTCGACATCATCGGTCTTGCCGGAATGAACCGCGATTTCAACTCCCTCCGCGACCCTACCAATGAACTGGCAAGACAATATGGTAGAATCAACGGTACGCCGCCTTCAAAGCTGGAGTTGGGTCTTTTCCTCCTTGGGCTTGTGATGGGCGTGCCAACATGGGTGCACAAGCTGCCCCTGGAGAGAAATAAGTTCATCAGAGAAGGCGCCGATTACATCCGCGCCGTCGCACTGCAGATGGTCCGCGAAGCGAAGGAATCAAGGAACAACCAACAGACTGGCAAGACTAAGGATGGAGTCGACATTATCTCCGTCGCACTCGAGAGCGACAGTTTCACCGATGACGAGCTTGTCGACCAAATGATGACTTTCCTCGCAGCCGGACACGAGACCACCTCGACCGCCCTGCAATGGTGCATCTACGCCCTCTGCAAATACCCCGACGTGCAGACCCGTCTGCGGGAAGAGATCCGCGCGAACCTACCCTCCATCTCAGTCGAGAATCCCGAATCCGTCTCAACCGAGACCTTGGATGCTCTACCATATTTGCACGCCGTCTGCAACGAGGTCTTCCGCTTCCATCCCTCCGCGCCGGCCACCATCCGCGTGGCGAACCGCGATACATCTCTGGTCGGCCAATCGCTCCCGAAGGGCACGCTTCTCTTCCTGTTTCCCGCCATCATCAACCACAGCAAGGAGCTTTGGGGCCCGGATGCCGATAAATTCAACCCTGAGCGCTGGCTCGGACCCGGAATGGCCAACACCGGCGGTGCCACTAGCAACTACGCCTTCTTGACGTTCCTGCACGGGCCTCGGAGCTGTATTGGGCAGGGCTTCGCCAAGTCCGAGCTGGCGTGTATGCTTGCTGCCTTTGTTGGCCGGTTCCAGTTTGAGTTGGAGGACCCCGATGCAGAGCTGGAGCTCCGCGAGGGCGCCACTGTAAGCCCGCGGGACGGGGTGTGTGTCAAGTTGACGACGCTGGAGGGGTGGTAGATGATTTATGCTGTTAAGCTTCTTGTGTTCTTTTCTGTGATGACATGCTACTTCGAAAAATTCGCTGTTTATATATAAGTTAAATTTTTGGTAATAAGACTCGGGTTTTTATATACAGGAATGATAATGCTGTGTGCTAGGTGAACGAGTATATTTGCCTGGTCAGCGGTTCATGCTGCCAGGCGCCCTGATGACATATACAATGTTGGAGATATATCAAGAGGCTGAGGTCGTAGCAGGTGATTGTTTGTGAGTTTATAAGTCTTCTATGCATAATTGGCGCTTTCTGAAGAAGCGGGAGACCTAAGGTTGACGATGAATTGTCACACTGTGAGGAAGAGGAGCTGCGGCGGACGCCTTATATCTCACGAGCACGAGCCAGCTGTGAGCCCACGGCGAGGTAGCAATAGCCCATGTGGCGGTTCAAGTCACTTGCGCACTTCTCCATCTAGCCTGGGAACTCCGGCCGAACGGCCTAGTTTTGGTCATCGCCTACCAAACATTACCCACAAAGGTCATGCTCTGGTATTGTTGCGCGTGCTGATTGACCGACAGGATCACGAACGAGGCTGACCAAGGCTCATCTGCCGCACATTCAAATTGATCCTCTTCCCCGACATCCACCCCTTCCACGTCTCGTACTGCGCGGCACCTGCATTCCCCGCCATACTAGGCCAGTCAGCCAGCCACGCAGGACACGAGTCCGGCAGGATCTTCGGCACGGCATGCCAAGCAAACCGGGATGTGCCATCCATATACACCGCATCGCCAGAACGGAGTCTGATAATCTCGCACCCCGCCCCATCGTCATGGCTAATCAGAAACAGCCCGTCACACCCGAAGCTGATGCTGATCAAGCCGGCATCGCACTCCTCACTAACATCCCGGTGCGCGCTGAGCGTGTCGCCCGGCGAATACACGTTCAGGATAGCCGCCTGCGCCTCGGTCTCCGGGAACATGGTGTGCAGTAGCTTCGCGATGTCCGGCGGGAACTCCGGCGGCCGTTCCGCCGGATACACCTTGGCCGTCCAGTCGTACTGGCCGCCCAGGGTCACCCAGCGAAGCCTTTTCGTGAGCACGCTTTGCACGGTCAGCGGCTTGTGCACGTTTGCGTCCTTCGGGTGGATTACTCGCGCCGGGTCGTCGACGAAGAAGGACGGCGGCGTTGGCGGCGGTTCTTGCGTGCGACGGGAATCTACGACGCTGGAATCGGTCATCCCCTTGCTGGGATACGTCATCTCGTAGTGTAGGTGGAGGTTGGTTTGGTGGCGGGGGTTGCTCAGGTCTCGGTGGAAGAGGCGCGATAGTAGTTCTATTTGTACGGCCGGTGGGAGCAGGGAGGGGATTATTTGGAGACCTACTGTGCTCGTTAGGAGACAAGATTGTTCGTTTTGTGTTCTACAGTGTGGCTTGTTCTTTTCTCGCTCTTGCCCTCTCTCTGTCTTGCAGAGATGAGAGGAAAAGCCAAAAAAAGGAAGCGCTAGATGGTGGTGTATAATGCTGACCAGTCACGGAACGATGAGAGAAGACAGGGATATCTTTCGCATTCATCAACCCCTCCGCTTCCTTGCTTGTCCCCAGAAACTCATCGAATACAGGCTGGAGATCCTTGCCGGAGATCCAGTGCGTGAGGGAAACATCCTCCGGGAGCCGATTTGCATCTAAGGCCTGGACATCAAGAATGCTAGAATCCGAGTTTATGTCTGTAAGTGTGGATTTCTGGTATTGCTTGTAACGCTGCTTGACGGCCTCTGGGGGCCGCTCATGGGCGTTTAAGTCTTTGATTTGTGCCATTGATTTGTTCCGGAACCCTGCTGTGACTGGAATTGGTCTCTCTTGACTGGCAGATAGATCACTGCGCTAGAAAGTTTAGTCTTTTTCCCTATTCGATCTGCGAGCCCGCGCTATTGCATGGCTGGCTGCTGTGACGGTTCAGATCGCCGCCCGGAAATGCATCAAGTGGTCGATCCAGGAATGGCTCGAAAATGAAAGCGAACCAAAGTCGCGTAGAGAACAAGGTTGTTGTTCTCCCAAGGAATCTGGGTTTTTCTGAAGCAAAAAAGAACAAAGAGCCAAGGCAAAAAAGGCCAGGACCACTCCCGGTCAGCTGCTAACGCGCTCACCGCCTTGAGCCACGCGCGGGTTTGTTGGGTTTGTTTGTGTACGGCCGTTGTTGACCGCCTTGGCTTCCCACCACCAGGGATGAATGAAAAGACGACAGTTCAATCATTGATTTCATTCCTCGCTACTCAAGACAGGTAAGTTTCCAGGTAAGTAAAGTAGGTCGACAAACAAAGTGGCTATTCAACCCAAAAACCTCCCTGCCTCCGAATTGGCTCCTTTCTTCGCTTCCCCCTAGCCGTGCACCTCGAGTCTCCTCCCTCCTCGCAGCTGCTTGACGCCAACCATTGTTTTCTCTTTCTTCCCTCCCCCGGCAACAGGAAGCCCGTCGCCGTGCAGTGCAACTCCTGTTTTCCTGTACCCCGCGTGTCGGTGGGCTTGACCACAGCTTGACTGCGTCTGTTATCGGCTTGGGATTATCGTTAGAAAAAAAAACCATTGTGTGGGGAAAACAGATTTCCTGAGGGTCAACCACTGTCAACATGGAGAACTATCAGAAGATCGAGAAAATCGGAGAGGGTACGCTTCTAAGTTGATTCCAATCAGACACCGTCTTCCTTTCCTACCTCTAAGAAGCACACACCTTTTAAACAAAAGTCTAATCCAAAGTCGTCCAACGCAGGAACCTACGGTGTCGTCTACAAAGCCCGTGAGCTCACTCATCCCAACCGAATTGTCGCCCTGAAGAAGATCCGATTAGAAGCCGAGGATGAAGGTGTTCCCAGCACCGCTATCCGGGAGATCTCTCTGCTGAAGGAGATGAACGACCCCAACATCGTCCGGCTGTTCAACATCGTGCACGCTGACGGCCACAAACTCTATCTCGTCTTCGAGTTCCTCGACCTTGACCTGAAGAAATACATGGAGGCTCTTCCTGTGAGCGAGGGTGGACGGGGAAAGGCCCTGCCGGAAGGTTCTGCGCTGAGCAAGAACATGGGACTGGGCGATGCGATGATCAAGAAGTTCATGGCTCAGCTGGTGGAGGGCATTCGCTACTGCCACAGCCACCGTATCTTGCACCGTGATCTGAAGCCTCAGAACCTGTTGATTGACCGCGACGGAAACCTGAAGCTGGCCGATTTTGGTTTGGCTAGGGCGTTTGGTGTCCCATTGAGAACCTACACACATGAGGTAGGGACTCTCTCCCTTCTTTTCTTCATTGTTTCACTTTGAAGTCTAATCTTTTCAGGTTGTTACTTTGTGGTACCGTTCCCCTGAAATTCTCCTGGGTGGACGCCAATACTCGACTGGTGTTGATATGTGGTCCTGCGGTGCCATTTTTGCGGAGATGTGCACGCGTAAGCCGTTGTTCCCTGGTGACTCGGAGATCGATGAGATCTTCAAGATTTTCCGGTATGCCAACTCTCTTAACAAAGGAATGATGACGTAGTTCAGAAACTGACCTCTACACCCAATAGCCTTCTCGGTACCCCCGACGAGGCCGCCTGGCCCGGAGTCACCTCTTTTCCGGACTTTAAAGCCACGTTCCCGAAGTGGAAGCGTGATGAAAGCCGTGCTCTGGTCGCTGGACTCGAGGAGGACGGATTGGACCTCCTCGATGCCCTCCTCGAATACGATCCTGCCCGGCGTATCTCCGCCAAGCAGGCCTGCATGCACCCCTACTTCGCCAATGGCAGCTCATACTACTCCGGTCGCACTCGGTCAACAAGAAACGGTTTCCACTAGGCCAACCCTGCTACACGTTACCCCCGATCATGTTTTAACGCATGGATGCATGCGGATCAACCGTGGCAGGTGCAACGGCGCAGGGGCATGGACAGCAAGCGGTCCCTGCACTCACCCCCAAGGCCAAGTCCACTCCGCGTCGCTGCTACATCCCGCTCTTTCTTAACATTTCTCATCGTTTTCTGCTTCTGTTTCATGGCGTTGTTTGCGGAGTGATCTGGCAGGAACGAGAATAGGTTACTGGATATCGCAAGGAGTATTTTGACTAACGCGTACATACCCATAAATGAGTAAATGGAGAAGAAGAAAGGACCTCATTCTATAGCAGCAGTGGCAATGAACAAAGTTTTGCTTTTTTTACATATTCGAAATCATCATGCCCCAGGAACTGTTAGAGATAGAATTGCTCCTTATGAGGCCGATGCGGGACGAGTTCTTCTCTCTTTTCTCATCGGTCCGCCCTTTCCCCCTCTTCCATACCATGCCACTTTGCTTCTCTCCCCCAATATGAACCACATTGGCTTCGATGTGCCAAAGTCTGAACCTCGTCTGTGTCGTATACGGTGTTGTCCGAAGAAATATACATGTTGCTTCAGATCTCTTGCATGGATGTGACGGTGTGCTTACGCTGTGCAGCTGATTTACAGATCGTGGCTTGCCAGTAACTACGGGATGTACCCTCAAGGTACTCTCGCTGATGACGCGAATCGCAGTCAAAAGGAGCCAAAAGCAGGGAAAGAGCGGTCAAAATCCCAGTCAAAATAGCGGGATTCAGCCGCACAAGGCTGAGTGCAAGCCAGTCTATATTGCTCCTCGTATCAGTCAATTAATTGAGGAGGCTCAGCCAGAATGCCAACCTCTCTTCCCTGTCAATCCAATCGGAGTCATTTCAGCTGGCTTTGTCCGGATTCCAGCTCACGATGAAAACATCTTGCATTCTCCCTAGTCAATACTACTAGGACAACCCGGCAGCTCCGAAAGGATCAGCGCTTGGAAGCGATGCCCCTCGACTGGCCTCCGCGACGCAGCCATAACACACCACTTATGCACGGTACCCGGACTAATGCCCGTTTCTGTCATTACCACAACCTGGACATCGGGCCATCACGAGCTGAAACTCCTCTCCCTCCGTCAGCATCTTATGCTTAACGTCCCCACGTTTTGCATATTGGCGTGTCACTTCAGAAAGGAGTTTCGAAACCCTCCCGTGCTGACGGGCCAAAATGAAAGTGACACGATCGGCGGCTCTGCTGTTGAGTTCATCCTCGGGCTTATCAGTGGCCATTAATTTTAGAATGACCGGTCCGCGTGGCTCGACAATACGAGCGCTTGGTAAGCGCTCAGACCTGGGCTTGAACCATTCAACCGGCTCTCTTCCCTGCCATGCGAAGGAAGGTTCCAATCATGCTTGGCCTGCCTTATGCATTTCCAGCCTCAGGCTGTGTGGGGAACATTTTAGATTCGAATTGATATGAGCGAGGACGTTCAGCTTGCTTTGTGTCCATATGGGCGTTTATAAGGGGCTCAGAGGTCCCAGATTCCTGGATTTGTTTCATCTTCAACAACATTGGTGATCCGTCCATTGGGTTCTGTTCGCTCTCGTGATCTTGTTATATTGATACTTCACCACGACAATGGATTGTGAGGACCATACCGATATGGCATATACTCCTCCGCTTTCGTCGCGCTCCGGTAGCAGGATGCGGATGAAATCCAGTCAACCGCCCCAGGAAACAGTCAAGCAGTTCTGGGATGACTTCAACTCCAAATATCCTGGATTAGTCAATACCGTGTTACCGGACAATCCGTATGCGCGCACGAAGGCTGCGAGGACACCCAAGGGGGTGATCCAAGCTCAGGTGGCGGGGAAATCGTACGAACAGGCACGGAAGGAGTGCCAACGTGCCGTTGATCGAATTGCTAGCGAATGCGAACGGTTGAACCAGAAATACTCGGATCCGCATTTCGACATCGCATCCGATCTCAAGTGCGGGAGAAGGAACTACCTCGACGGGCTGATGGAGAAGAACCTGGAGATGCGGCCGAGGGGTGTGAAAAGAGTTACCGTGAGTTTGACTGACTGCAGAAGACAAACTATAAGCTGGGCAATTGGCCGATGCTGATATTCTGATGGTCATTAGGAAATCTTCGAGAAGCCGCAATTCTACGTCAATGGACCTACGGCCTCTGATGTGCGCCAAGGTCGCGACGGTGACTGTTGGTTGATGGCTGCGTTGTGTACAATGGGAAATAAGCAGGGGTTGATTGAAAATGTCTGTGTTGCTCGGAACGAGAAGGTGGGCGTTTATGGTTTTGTTTTCTACAGAGGTGAGGCAACCCGACTCCACAGAGTTGATACAAAGCTAACATAGTGAAGACGGCGACTGGCAACAGTGCATTGTGGACGATAAGTTGTACCTTCGTGCAGCCGACTACGACGAATCTGTGGATGAGCGACCGATCTGGGATGACATTGCAAGAAAAGACACCGAAGAAGAGTATCGCAAAGCGTGGCAGACGGGCTCTCGCGCTTTGTATTTCGCTCAGTGCGTTGATGAGAACGAGACATGGCTGCCCTTGCTCGAGAAAGCCTACGCCAAAGCTCACGGTGACTATTCTGCGATTGAGGGTGGATTTGTGGGGTAAGACACATGTGATGAGTTGACGTACAATAGCTAATATCTGCACTACAGCGAGGCTCTCGAGGATCTGACGGGCGGAGTCACCTCTGACATACTTGCCAGTAACATCCTAGACAAAGACAGATTCTGGAACGAGGAGCTTATGAAGGTCAACAAGGAGTTCCTCTTCGGTTGTGGCTGTGGCCTATTCTCCAACTGGCTGGACCCGGGTTATCGAGGGCCACCAAGAGACAGGAAGGGTATTTCGGAAAACCACTCTTACTCCATCATGGATGCGCGAGAGATTGAGGGACATCGCTTGCTGCGGCTGAGGTAAGTGTCTGAATTCTTTTATTTATGTATAACGCTAATGAATTAGAAACCCATGGGGCAAGAAAGAATGGACCGGTGCTTGGAGCGACGGCTCTGAACAGTGGACACCGGAGTGGATGGCAAAGCTGGGGCATAAATTTGGCAACGACGGGGTGAGTCTCCTAATCCTCCTGTTGGTTACTATATAGCATGTTAGTAATGTGCCTCTTGCAGTTCTTCTGGATCTCCTATGAAGACTTCCTCAAAAAATACCAGCATTTTGACCGAACTCGCCTGTTCAACGACGACTGGACGGTCACCCAGCAATGGACGACCTTAAATGTCCCCTGGTCCGCTGACTATCACAGCACCAAGTTCGTGCTCAATGTAAGCCAAGCTGGACCAGTTGTTATTGTTCTCTCGCAGGTAAGCTTTGATGGCTCTCCTTTGCCTAACTTCCTCAAAAACGGTTATTGACGTGACTCTCAGCTGGACGACCGTTACTACAAAGGATTAGCCGGTGAATACGACTTCGTCCTCAAGTTCCGCCTGCAAAAGGAAGGCGAAGACGACTATTTCGTGCGCAGTCATAGCAGCGATCTCATGTATCGGGCCGTGAATGTCGAAGTTGACCTCGAACCCGGCCGCTATCATGTACTCATGAAGGTCACGGCCTACCGAGACAACGAGAAAATGCCCACCGAAGACGTCGTGCGGAGCCTCGCACCCACCCGACGGGAAAAGCTCGTCCAGATTGGCCTGTCGTACGATCTCGCCCATGCGAAGGGCATAGTCCCCGAGACGGAGGGCGAGAAACGCGCGCGCGAGGAGCGAGAAGAGCGCCAACGGGCTGCAGAACGGAGAAAGCTCCGCGAGGAGACCAAAAAGCGACTTCAGAAGGAGTGGATCCGCGACCGGAAACGCGAAGCCCGGCGCCATCGTCGCGAGGAACGGCTTGCCGAAGAGGCTGCTCGGACCTGCCGCAAGGGATCGGAGGCTGCGGAGCATACTCCCAACGGTCATGTCGATTATGTCTCCGCGGCGGGGGAGAAACCTGCCGAAAATGGCTCGATCCCCACGATTCAGGTCAGCAGCTCACATGTCAACGGTCACGACCACCCAAGGGGCCGGGTGTCCCTGTCTATCCGCGATAAACGGTCGCCAGTCCATACACCCCATCCCGACCAGAAGTATCTGGAAGGGTTCGAGTTCGATTCCGATCTCGACATGCCTCCCGAAGAACCACCGACGGAGCCGAAGACGCCCGTTCGCACCATGTCGTACGGAAGTGAGGTGGACGCCAATGGGGACCCGTGGAATGCCGTCTGCGTGGTGGGATTACGCGTGTACTCGAAGGATTCCGACCTGTCGCTTGAGGTTCTGCGTCCTGTGCCGGAGGATGAAACGGAGGCTTGCCTCGACATGGATGATCCGGCTGTAAGTGCGACGTCGGAGAAACAGCCTCGGATTCTGTCTGGCCTTTAGCGGAGCTACTCGGTGCAAAATAGGGGAATAATCTTTTTTTCTGGTCATTTCTTTAATGTGTTCTCACTAGACAGTTCATTTATCCTTTGGTCAGTCTGGTGTGTGTGCTATAGCGGCATAACGCTCAGGACGGCCCTCTATCTATGATCCAAGGACGATTCCTTCATGCAGGCATCTCCTAAATGGCACTTAATATCACAAAAAGATAGGCCACCGCATACATATGTACAACGCCACATGATATCGATTTCAAGATATTGCCCCTTTGAAAAGATCAAGAAAAACATACCCAATAAGACAAAGAAATCCTATCCAAAAGCCCCTAAATAAAAATAACCTAAAGACTAATAAATCCACGGCAATGATCACACCCTCTCCCACGCCTGACCTCCCATCGCGACCAGCCGATTAAACAACTGATCCCTGGCCCTCATGCCAGTAACATGATACGTCTGCCCTTCTTCAGGCCCGGAAATCACCAACCCGTCCACGGACTCCTTGCTCCCCGCAGCCAACTCGACAATCAACTTCCCCTTCCACCCGAGCCCTTCCGTCTTCCGGAGCCCGTGGATCTTCGAGATCGGGATCTGGAACAGCACCGTGCCCTTCTTTTGGTGGTCGAGTCTGCGGTCCTCGAGGGTGGCGGAGTGGAGGGTGCTGAAGTAGAGGGTTGGGATTGGTTGCTCTTCTTTCTCTTTTCCTTCGTGTGGGGTAGGGGTATCGTTTGCTTGTGGGAGGTTTTGTGTTGGCGACGGCGTGGAAGCAGAAGCATAATCGATGACCAATGTGCCTCGCTTGCGCTCGAATTTCGCGTCGAAGGTGTCCGGCCCTGAGGTCTCCCATTCCCAGTTGCGGCGGTGCATGGTCAGGAGGAGGCGTCTGGTGCCGTGGGTGGCGCCGGCGATGGCCATGGCTTGGTTGAAGACGGAATGGCCCTTTGTTGCGAGGGTGATGGTTGTGCGGATAATGCGAAGGAGTCGAGGGAGGAATCTCTTGCGTCTGGAGCTAGGGAGTTCGGAGGTAGGGGTGGTTGTGGATGTGGTCGCGGTGGTTGTGGTGGTTAGGCTGGCCGTGCTGGCTGCTGCGGCTGCGGTGGCTGTAATTTTGAGTTTGTTCTTGTAGGTGATCCAGGATGGCATTCCGTTGTTGGATTGGGACTGTAGGGAGGAAGGTGGGGTGGGGAGCGGAGTGTGATTGGTTTCGCAGAGCCGGAGCAGGGTGAGGGTTAGCTGGGCGTTGGTGGGGATGTTCTTTAGGAGCGTTCTGGATGGTGTGTGAAATTAGTATTTGATGTGATGATTAGGGTAGGAATTTGTGTAGTACGTACTGTCGTGGGTCGAGGAACTTTTTCCAGTCTGGAATCTTCTCGCTCAGGTAGTCCATCGATAATTGGAGGATAGGACCCCCAAAGAAGACGAAGCCGAGCGTGAAGCTGTTGGCTTTGACGATGAAGTCATTCGATATGAAGCGTGTGATTAGGCAGATCAGCATGAGGACGCCTGCTAGCTGGATCTGAGCCGTCACAGAGGTGAAAGGTGGTGTCGGGGAAAGGGCGCTGATTTATCGTCAGCTGAGATGTGCTTGTATGGATAGACAGCAGACCCTACTTGGAGAACATTTCATAGATGTCCGTACCATCACTGATCAGACGCATTGCTTGGCTGGTGGCATTGGCAACCGCCTTCCTCATGGACTTTTTGGTCTCGTCTCCTGTCGCTGCAGCATCAGGGATGGTGTTGATATCTGTGGTCGAGTCCGATGCAAGTGTCTCTTCTAGACTGTCATCAGATTCCTGGCCATGTTTGCTCGCCGCTGCTTTGATAGCGATCTTGGCGATGCTGTTGATGAGACTATTGGCCTCTTGCTCGGCGGTCTCGCCCTTATGCTTGCTGGATGGACCTGTGGTGTCTCGTGCCTCAGTTTCTGTAGACCCGCTGTCTGCGGTAGCAGGACAAGGGAAAAGCAGAGGTCGCACTGAGGGGAATAGAACCAGAGTAGCAAGAAAGAATGATATAACAGGAATGAGGCTTCCCCAAAGCCACGCGAGGAAGTAGGTCTTAATGTCATCAGTAGTGGATAACATGTCCATGGATAGAGTTGATAACATACTGCACAGAAGGCCGAGGTACGACGGGGCTCATTCCACGACCGCAGCCTAACAACGTGAGCATAGAAGGTAGTCAACCCTACTATGACAGAGACATAGAATCTCTCTAGTGTGATCCGCACTTTCTCGGGCGGAAACTGTTCATCTGGAACGGGATTGACATCGAGGTCTTCCGAACGAGATTCGGACGTAGCTTGAACGGCATATATTTGCTTAAACCCAATCAGAAGCGAGTTCATCAGCAAGCCGACCCCAACTCTGCGTAAGCAAGCATACCTTGTTGAACCGTCGTATCAACAGCCACAGATCCTCGTCTGGAACGCCGGGTACAAGGTCATCCTGGTTTGGTTTAGCGGAGGCTTCCGGTTGTACGCCTGCCATGTCCCTGCGACTGCTGGTCTCTCTGCTCCAAGAAATTTAGCTCCACTTGACTGTTCTCGTATATTCCTCTCTCTTTTGCGTATCTCTCGTGATCCGTCTGGCACTGATGTCGATTTCACTTGTGGATGGGTCGAAGTGGTGTAGGCGCGGTGCAGGCAATAATGATAAAGAGACAGGCTATCGGGCGGGGTGGATATCGTTGACATCATTGGCTGAAACAGACGATCAGTACATGCATTAACAGGAACGGAATATAGCAAGGTTGCCTATCACCCTGGTCGAAAGAGGTCCATCTGAGGTCGACGTAAGGAGAGCCAGCTTCTCCTATCTTTGCCACAGAGGCTGTGTTGTAGCATAGCCCCAATTTCTGAATGCTTTCGATGCTGCTCAGCGTCATTGTTGCGGATGCGAGTACATATTGGCAGAATTGAATTTTGGTTATTTAAAACCCCATGAACTTGTAAAGATATATGCAGCCCGTGCATAATCATTTAGTGATCCATTAGATATGGGAATAATAAGATATGATGATTCTTGGAATGGTTTCAAGTTGTTCAACAGATGGAAATCCAGGTGGTTGCCGAATGAGGAAATGACCCAGAACCCCGGCCCAAAAGGGTTTAGCGTCAGTACTCCCCGGACTCAGTGCCTGCGCGCCAAATCAAATCCATTCAAACTCCATTCCGATCATGTTGGAGTCTGCTGGATGGATTCATGATTTCTCAACTCCATCCTCCTTTGGGCTCTTCGTCACATCTGGGTGCTATGCGCCACTTGGTATACTCATTGCCTGGACGTCCCTCGATCCGGAGCCACACCGCTATATCCCGGTGGCGACCTCAGTCTGCCCGTTCATTCTGCAGAAGCGCGCGACTCGCGTCAGTGAAATTTAGCAACTATACCGTCGACATACCGGTAGGAAATAATGGGCACATTAAACTAGAGTAGGCTCGAAATTAAACACTTCTCAAGCGAGAATATCCTCGAAACTGACCTCCGCATAACAGAATCATCCATCCAAGTAGTGTCCCGATCCGGAATGGAGATGTGATCATCCATCTACCACCAGGTCCGCTGTTCACGCAGCCTGAAATCGCTGAAAAACAAGCATCTAAGCCTCCGAAGCAACAGGGCAAGGATGAAGTCTTCCCTTGGGAAATTGAAGATGCCCCCAACACCTCGCTGGAACATGCTTCCTCACCCAGCACTTTCAAAACAATCGTAACTATCAACTACCGACTGGGCCTCTCCCTAAGTCGACCCTCATCAAGCGCATCTCAAGATGCACCCACCAGCACAGGGCCAGAAACGCGTGATCCAGTCTACTACCAGTTTCCGACGCCAATACACGACACCCTGGCCGGGTTCGACTGGATCCAGCAGAACCTGCAACCCCGGCGCGTCGGAGTTACGGGTACGCACATAGGCGGCTCGCTAGCCCTGATGCTTGCTCTTACAGAAGCACAAACCATCCACGCCGTCGCAGCCCTCGAGCCGGTGTGCAACTGGGCCGACCTTGACGACCACTGCATGCCCGACCTGTCCGATATCGATGACACAGGGCTGAGTCTTCCGACAGAAGCCACGACAGCGGCCGTCAAGCCCGGGGCAAAGCGAACCGCAACCACCAGTAATCGCAACCCACCCGCGGCTTCCAGCGATCTGGTCCGCCTTCTCGAAGCCCGAAAATCCTTTTTTACAAGCCCGGAACGGTACTTCGACGCCTTCGCCTCCCCGATGCTCTTCCTCCGTCCCGCCGGCAAAAGCGTTCCCCTCTTATTCCCCGATTATCTGACCGGCCCGGGGTATCCAATCCCCGTCCCTCGACAGAAGTCCGAGCAGGAACTCTTCGAGGAAAACGTCCAGAAATACTTCCCCGGCTTCGCGGACAGCAGCTTGCCGGCATCAATAGCGCGCCCCAAGCCGGCTGAGCTGCTCTTATATCTCGACAAAAAGGCTATCGCCGACGCCAAAAAGGCCGCCAGGGAGGCCGCCAAGTTGGCCGCGATGAAGTGGACGAATCAGGGCACCATCATCCACAGGAAAAAGGTCCTCCGATGGCCGTCGTATGGGCCCGATGACGACGGTGATGAGTCGGCGGACCCGGAGGAATGCCCGCCCGAAGAGGGCCTGCCCCCAGAAATGATTTTCCCAGGAACGACGCTCCCAGAATTCACACCCCCAGACGTGACGCTACCGTGGGTGCGGATCTACACTCGCGGCGACGTGGTCAACCGAATGAAGCCCGAAAAACCTACCCGGATCAGCATCAAAGACAGGCGCGAATTCCTGGCACATAGAATGAGAAAACGCGCAGACTGTATCCTGACTCACCAGGCGGTCGAGATGGTGGATACCATGCGGCGGGCCTGTTTCTGGGGCCGGGAGAAGGCGATCCGCGAGAAGAGAGTCTCATGGGTGGAGGTCAAGGAGTCGGCCTGGCCCGACTCGGCGGAGAGATATGCCGGGAATTGGTTATTGGAGGTGATGAACGGGCCGGAAAAGGACCTACCTGTAAAGAAACCGGATTCACCTTCTACTTAGAAACTCGGATAGCTAAACGAAACGGCGCTTGTATGCCGTTTCAGTCTCGTGGACCTGTACGGTCCGAAAGGAGTCAAATTACTGAGTATACTACCCTTGGTTGCTGAAATACATTCATCGAACTATGCACATGAGAAAGCTTTTTGCGCAAATTGAGTCAAGTAGTCAGGCCGAATCAATGCACACCTAGACTTAGTTCGATCCCGACAGAGACTGTTCGGCAGGCTTGAGGGCCTCGTTCTGGACCACCTCAACCCAGTATCCATCCGGGTCGAGAACGAAGGCCACGTTCCTCATGCGGCCATCAGTAAGACGCTTCTTCCAGTTAACGTTCAAGGACTCCAGGCGTTCACAGGCAGCGTTCAAGTCATCGACCGAGACACCTTTATCCCGATATTAGCAATCACCCGGGTGTTGAGGAAAAATAAGAAAGAAGGAACCGAGGGGCATCACTTACAGATGTGACCGAAACCTTGAGGCTCGGTGTTACCGTCGTGATAGACCTTGCCCTCCTGTTTCTCGGTACCGTAGTTCCAGGTGAGCTCCAGGAGACCCTCCCACTCGGCGACGGGGTTCTTGGCGTCCTTCTTGAGCTCGGGGTTGGAGGCGGGGTAGCCGAGGAAGTAGAGGTTGAAGCCAGCCTCCTTGTTCTCGCTGGTGCGCAGCAGCTTCAGGCCCAGGACGTCCTGGTACCACTTCAGGCTGGCCTCGGCGTCCTTGACGCGGAGCATGGTGTGGTTGAGGCGGTAGCTGGTCGGGTCGGTGGTGGCGCCGACATCCTCGTCGTGGCGGCGGATGATCTCCACCCAGTATCCATCGGGGTCCTTGACGAAGGCGATGTGTCGCATGCGGCCCTCGGTGAGCTTCTTCTGGAACTCGTAGCCGGCATCCTCGAGGCGCTTGCAGGCCTGCTCGATGTTGTCGACGGAGATGGCGATGTGGCCGAAGCCGCGGTGAGGCTCCGTGTTGCCGTTGACCACGCTGTAGTTGGGGTCGTTCTCGGTGCCGTGGTTGTGTGTGAGCTCCAGTACGCCGTTACGGTCTGTGAAGTGCGTCTCGCCCTGCAGCGACTGCGGGCCGTTGTATCCGAGGAAGTAGAGGGAGAACTTGTTCTCGGGAAAATCGAGTTGGTTGAGCTGGTTGAGGCCGAGGAATTTGTAGAACTCCACTGGCGATACGGGGCGGATTAGCCGGAGCTGGTCATCATCGGGAGATGGGTCACCACGCACGGGATTTCTTGGGATCCTTGACACGGATCATAGTGTCTAGTGTTTGCCATGTCGATGGTTAGTCTGCCATTGTGATTGTCCAGTGTCGCACAGGCACTAACGGTGAAGCTTGTACTTGGAAGTATCCGTCGCCATGGTTGCGAGTGATCGACTGGTTCCTGTTTAATCATCCAAGACCGGTTAGGATCAGCTTCAAGTGGGGTGGGGTTACAGCTAAACGGCTTAAGCTCGGAGATAAATGGAGATCGTACCAGGTACGAGGGTAAATTTAGGAATGAGGACCCGGGAGAAAGAAGAGCGGAAGAATGGGAGGGAAAACATGAAGGAGGAGAGAAGGAGGGGTTGAAGAGGGGTTTAGGTAGACACGAACAAGCCTTCAGTTACGTTAAGGTACTAGTGAGGAGAACCCGCGAAAAAATGTGGGGCATCAGTAGTATGACGCCATCCCTCGGTTTCGTTGCTGAGCTTATTAATCCACCACGGAATTTGGGAGGAATTGATAGCTACCTTATTGTGATAGATATAATGTATGTGCCGTAGTACTATGTAGCATAGTCAGCAAAGCAGGGAGCTCCGTAGTATATTCACCCTTGGATATAAGGTTCTAACTCTCGGTAAGTCATCATGCTCAGGAGCTCCCGCACAGTAGCTGACCGTCGTGGCAATGCATAGACAACGAGCCCTTGGCGAGAATGAGAATCGACAAGATTATCAACAAGCCATTCACAGCCCTCACCTCCATGGCCCCTCTGGAGCAGATTCTATGCATCTTGGGACGCACACTGAAATAACGACGGAGATATACAAACATTGAGTGAGGATAAGTGGGAAGTCTGACTATACCATCTGGTATAAATCACATGACGATCCACAAGCTAACTTGTTATTGAGGCCAAACGGCTTCACAATACCGGTAGTGGACTGGCCCAGACATTAGGGTACATGGGTGTGGACTCTTTATCATTGTATAGCAAGTTCATGTCTAATATATGCTTAGGGGCTGTGCAGCTAGCCAGAATAGCCCAGCGCAAGGCGCCAACACCAGTTGCTTTGGCATCCTCACAGATGGGGACCAATTTGAGTTTATCGTCCTTGACGATACCAGAAAGGTATGATATCGCTTAGATATCAAGGCAACCTTGGGATTTCTTGACTAATAAATAGCAGTATTCAAGAATCGTCCGTTGCTGGGTCGGAGAGAAGGAGGAGATATGGGACCTTCTGTGCTGGATGGTGTTTGCGGCGGCGGAGCGTTCCCCGCGGGGTCCGAATATGAGTGAGTGATCAGGTAAACGACCTCTACAATGGTTGGCCTGATCGCCCTCGTATCCGAACCACGGCCGTCGATATATCGTCTGCGGCCAATTTTTATGTTGTGGCTGTTGTTGTTTCTTTGTTTTTATTGTCAATCGGGGTTCAAAACAGCCTTACAATCGCGTCATCATCATGACTCCTACCCAATCCTCCTTGAGGGTGGATTGAACATCATAGATATCAGTATATATCCGCTAGCCGGTGTTGGCTGGTCTTCAGGATCCTTTGCATTAAGTCAGTCAGTATGGTATCAAGAGAAAACTAGACTACGCCTCTTCAATGGACCCCTTCCCCCCATTGAACCCAACCCTTGAACCAGATAAAAAGCGTTCCCGGGGAGGACCCCCCGGACCCTCCTTTCTTTCCGCTTCCCAGAAGGCACCTCAATCTTAGGCTAAGCTGAGTATTAAGTATTCGTAGCTGATTTGTTTGCGCATAGTGGATTCAGCTTGGGAGAAAGCCAAGACGTCGACAAAGTATATATTGGAAGTAGATCGCTGGCAGCGAAAGGCTATAGACTTGGTTAAAATTGTCATCGTAGGTAATTACATCACAGAATAATCACTGCGTGCTGCTGACTGTCCTATCATATAGCGTTTTTCGTAGCAATCAACGTAAATAATGAAGTTGTAAGGTAGATATTGATAGCTACTAAGGCGGTGAGAAAAGGCGGCAAGCTCACTCCCCACGATAGGGGGAATTCTGCCGGCTAAAGTCTGTCTCTGTCGGCCTTCATCCATCGTCCTTCTCCACCTCCACCACTACCACCTCTTCTGTTACCTTTTGATTTCTCTCTTTTAAGTTACTACCAAGCCATTGCTGTGCACAGTCTTCTGCAGCCATATATCTTGGCGTGAACACATCAGATCTATCACAATAAGGTTTGTGGCCTCCGCTCCTCGTTTCCCATTCTCCCGTCTATTTCCGGTTGCCTTGAGGCAATCCTCTAGGATCATCCTTCGCCAGATGATCATTGCATACGCGGCAGAAGTCGGTCTCACTCTTGTTGGCCACCTGAAAAGCCACGCCCCCAAACTTTCTTGCCTTTTCTTTTTTCGCTTCTCGCTTGTCTTTGCCTTGTCTGCTCTGCTGGTTCGTATTCTTGCGTTTGCCTAATATGCTGCCAATGCACTCGGCGCGGTCATTCCTCTCTGAGACATGCGCCCCCAACGACTCACTCCCCCAGGTTCTGGAACGTCATAGAGAACCTACCGGCTGCTTATAACTAGCATGAGATCTAAACTGCGAAGGGAGACTAGGCTTGCTTTGTGTTTGCCTAGTGCCAGCCTGGAGTGAGCCAAAGCGTCCTGTCCCCCTCACATATGGCTTGTACTACCTCCAGAGCCTTGTTCCTGAACATTGAATCTACCTTCCCGAATTGATAGCACCTTGTTCTTGCGTTAAACACCTGATCTATTTCGTCGCAATTCTACCCTAGAGCAATACTGTCACATCACTTCCTTGAAGAACGATGGCTGAATTCAAGCGTTCGGTGCAGCCGGACCATTCTAGTCAGAAACTCAGCGCTGTCGCCGACCTCCCGTATCGTCCATATTGGGAACGAAGTCCCGTCCAATACGCCCAAGATCTCCTCGGCTACTCGGAGGACCCGATCGAATACGACCACGACGATCGCGACTATTGGGATAACTGCTTTTTCTTCCCCGAGGACTGTTCTTGGTCCCCACCGAAAGACTGGACCATCGAAGAGCATAGCATCAGCAGCATCAACACCACCCCGCAAGCCTGCCACGAGCCGCCCGTGGACGTCCAGAACACCATGATTCCCGGTCTCCCAGACATAAAAATGCTAGATGCGGAGGCTCTGAGTGACCTCCTAGAGGACAACCTCGCACCTCCAGAAATCACATCCATAATGTGCGTACATTCACAGCCTCCGCCAGAGACACCTAATAACCAGGCATGTCCACCAGAGTCTTTTCTACCAACGGTGCCATCTTCGCCTACGCCTCAACTCTCTCAAACCGCCAACTCCGCAACCTAAGCGCTACCTACGGCGCAGCCTACACCTGCTACGCAAAGAACGCCTCAACAGGCAATCTCACCGGGGTAAACCCTGCCAGCCATCCGTCGTCATACGTGACCACCCCCTCCGTATCCCTCGGCGACGTGGGATCGATTGTCTTCGAGCTTGACGACTCCGTCGCCGTCGTCACCCCAATAGCCGACAAAGTGCTCCTGGCCGCCATCGGGCCCTCCAAATTGGGCAGCAACCACGCCCAGGATGCGTCTCCCGCCGCCTCAAACGGTCACCCACACGCGACGCCGAACGGCTCCACGCATCACAACCACCAACATCATCACACATCAGGTGCAAACACCCCCGACTCCACCTCCAACAACACCCAAAACGTCCGCACCTACGCGAGCGTCGTATCCTCCAACGCAGGCGGCAGCCGAACTAACGGCGCCGCTGGGGGTGACACTGGCGAGTCGCAGACCGACTCGCAGCTGGAGACGCAATACGAGATCGACCGCAGCAGCGACCTCGCCCGCCTCGCCACGCTGAACCTCTCCGCGTCACCCGCGATTCTCTTGGCCTTGGAGTCCAAATCCGCCGCTCTGGGCCGGTTCCTCAGCCAGAAGTTGGCGGACCTCGAAAGCCCGGAGGACTTCTAATAGTACCGTCAACCATCCAATCCTTCTACCGCACAATCTACGCTTCTCAAACCAACACCCTCCAAAGCCTGAACGCTGACCCCCAAATCCCTCTACCCCCACACTTCGGATCCCATTCCGGTCAGACCTGCTGGCGAAATACCTGTCGACCCAAGCGCACAACCGTCTATCATGTTTCATACTCTTTGAGCGGGTCCACCATATCATCATATCATGCCATTCATCATCTTGTCCTTCTTGCTAATCTCTATCATCCTCGGATACAACCCAAATCTTGCGTGACCCGAGTTCAAGCATCCAAGCATTCATGTTCTCTCCATCGTGATCCTGAAGCGTCGCCCGTCCGTATTCTCTTCACCCAAATCTTCTCTTGTTCCAATACCGCGCAGCCTGTAGATGTATGGAATACATCTTCAACCTAACCTTTCGTCCTTGTCAACAATCCTAGATTAAGTTAAGCAAGTAGTGAGCTAGATACTACGACTACAAAGCCCCCGTTTCCTACCATACGAAGAAGGAGCAGTATACATGCACAATATCAATCTGATCTAATAACGTAATGCAGCTTTCATAGTCCAAACAACTAACTATTTACAAAAACACCAGCACCCAGAGTAAGTTAATCACATTAGAGTCAACAACGTTTCAAACGGCGAATATGGCGTGTGTGAATACGACAAAGGCAAAAGACCCAGTCTTAGCAGCAAGCTTAGGCTAGCGGTCACGGTAAATCAATTTGGGGAATGGGGAGAAATATAGTACTCGAAGATCGCCAAAAGACAAGGGAAATAGATAGGATAAATTAATAAATAACAAGACGATTATGCCACTAACTACAATCATATTCACCGCTGAGATCGAGGACGCACTAAACTCGGCTTGAATCCAACAAGAAGGAATTAAGCAAATAGACGGGTGGCGGCAGGTGAATTCACTTGGAAGAATTTGATATCCTAGACGGTTTTCTCGACAGTGGGCGAGGAGGGGGCTTGCGCTCCAGCTGCGGTGGCAGTTGCGGGGTTGGTGGTGGTGGTGGTGGTGGTCGGCAGAGTGCCGGTGCCGCTGGTGTCGGTGCGGGTGATGCTTGCGGGTGCGGCACCGGCGGGGCCGGCACTGGCGGGTCCAGCACTGGCAGGGGCGGCGCTGGCGGGCGTGACGGGGGTCTGGGCCTGGTTGGCGCCGCCGGCGGAAGCAGCTTCCTTCTCCGCGTAGGCGGGAGGCTGGTTCGTGTCGATGGCGGCGAGGGTGGTTGGCGAGGAAGTGGTGCCGCTGCTGGTGTGCACCGGACCACGGGTGGCGTCCTTGATGGTCGTCCACCACTTCTCGGCCTCGTTCGGGTTGGTGGCCTTGAAGCTCAACTCGGTGTGGGTGTGAAAGGCGTTTCCGACCTTGCCGCCCGACACGTCCTTGCCCTTGACGTTGAACTTGACGCCATCGATGGCACCGATGACACAGTCGGGGAGGTAGAGGGAAAGTTCGGGGTGAGGGTCCCGCCGAAAGTCATCGTTGTCTTTGAATTCGTGGAGGTAGCGGGCAGGAGTCACCACGTAGTAGCCGCTGCTGTAACCCTTGAGCATGGCGCGCGACTTCCGCTCAAGGAGGCCTTCAATGAGGGGCTTGGTGGCACGGTGGTCCTGGTTGGGGAAGGTGATATTGGAGAGAGATCGCGGGGGCGCATCGGGGTTGACGAGTATGTGGTCGTTTCTGGTCATGAAGTTGACCCATTCGAAGTCGGGAGGAACTCGCTGAGCGGAGGAGAGGATATCGCTGTACATGGCGCGGTGACGGTCCAGCTGGTTACTCATGTAAATGGTGAATTGCTCCATGGCCCCCTGAACGGTTTGAAGGACATGAGCCTCGAACTGCTGGAAGTTGTTCTGCACAGCAATAATGTCTTGGCGGTTGTTGTTCTCCTCGATGACCTGCTTGTTCAGGCGATGGACGACACCCCGGCGCAAAATGTAAGGGTCATGGGCGGTGTCAATCTTGTTGCCGTGGGCTGCGTCCAGCGTGGCCGTGTGCTGGGCGAGGAGCTCGATATGCTTCTGCGTGATACCGCGAGCTTTGTCGACAGCCTTGGCGCCCTTCGCAGCTCCGCCTTGGAGCTCCTTGGACTTGGCCTTGATCTCCTTGTGGAGGCGCTCGAGAGTCGGAAGTACGGACCCCTTCAGGTTCTTTTCCGAATCGAGATACAGGTTCACCATTCCCTGCCAGTCTCTTAGTGACCGTCCTCAGTGCGACAAGTTTTCCCTTTCTAAGCAGCATACCTGAGTGTTGGACCTGATGTTCTCGAACCACGAAGCCACTCCGCCCACGCTCTGGGAGAAATGGTGCCCTTCTCGGAGCGGCTCATTGACCGTCTGCGCCATAGTTAGGCCCCAGTCAGCTTCCGAAAAGTACTAAATGCGAGTGAGAGGTAAACGACCCAGCTGCACGCACCTTTAACACTTTTTCGAAATCCTTCGCCTGCGATTTCGAAACCTTGGCAGTCGACGAAACGTAGTCTTCCAGGTAACCACACATGTGCTTCCAAGCCCGAAGACGTTCAAGGAGAAGATTGGTGGTCTAACACGAAAGGAAGAACCGTCAGCAAAACCCATTCTGTCCGAGGAATGCTCAATTGTCCTTATCGCTGCATACCTCATTGCTATCGGAGTCGGGAATGGCCTCATCGTCACTGGCGGAGGTCCGTCGGGTCATGGTGCTCCCGATGGTCGCCGTACGCTCAGGGAGCCTCTGCTCGATGGGACTGCTTGTGGCCGACATTGTCGCTGTGGGGAAATGAACCGGCGAGGGATGTTCTCAGACAGTTGATGCTCGGAGCGATCGAGTCAATCGAGGGCAGAGATGACAGAATAGAAGAAAATTGTCGCTGCAGCTAAGCAGCTGTGGAGGAGCCGGAAGCGCGATCGGGGGCTAGTAATCTAGTCAAGACGGTTGAGCGATTAGGGGCTTGTCTTCGTCCAGTTCCACGCTGAAGCGGAGGTGGTGGGGCTTTGGCAGGACGGGATGAGAACTGCGACTGTCAGGTCACGGTTACGGATACGGAACGCTTTCGGGCTGATGACGACGACAGGTGATAAGCGAAAAGAAAGGGGGGAGGAGGAGCAGAAGATGAGGATTTGGATGACATACGATACAGTCTCTCGCAATGTGTTGGGTTGAATTCGAACAGACAAGAAATGAAAAGGAGGGGTAGCAGGGAAGGTTAAGAGTAGCTTGTCAAGAAAGGGGATCAACCGATGAAGTCACCGCCCATGGCGTCGGTTCGACCCCTCCTTCAATTCACACGGACTTTTCTAGCTCGTAGCTCGTGCCTCTCGATCCGGATTGCCAACTCAGTTTGGGCCATCGGGTAGGAGAGAAGGATGGATGCTCATCGCAGTTAGTACTTGGATCAGCCATCCGGAAGTGGGTGGGATCATTGCATTGACTCCATTGACTCCATCGATCGCAATCATGCAGAACCTCTCATTGATCGGGGACTTTGTTGATTTGAAAGCATTCTAAGCCGACTAATTAGGAATAGTGCAATGAAGATGGATGCCCGCATCCATCAATCATCATCCATCCGGCCCCACCATTCCCAATCGAGCGGGCAAAGACTGCCGCACCGCCACCATCGCCACACCACCTCCAAGTGATATCATTCCAAATGCAGTGGGCTACTCGTGAGTAGAGTACATGACTTGATAGGATAACGGTATTAATAATTAATGTTTGCCATGATGAGAAAGTAAAGTAGTCTCATGGTGTCTTTTGTATACAGATGCATAAATCTTGCGCACTGCTAGTCGTGACCGTAGCTCGTAATGTAATTGTCTTCCGAAGAAGAACCAGAGAAGAGAACAAGATGTGCAAATGTGAAAAGAACGAATAAAAAAAAAACAAACTCCTGGCTTTATCCATAGTGACCCAGTCCTTCTATTGTTTGTAAACGCCGTAATCCATTTTCCTGTCCTTTCCCACCAGTCCAACCATGCAACATGTGCTAACTTGTAGAGTCGAGAGACGGCATGCACGGCTTTAACTTGAATGACATGTGCTGAGGGGTGAAATGCGATGCTTGTAGACGTCCCGCGTCCCGATATATTGGATAATTATGTGCGGTGGTAGTATGTTGTGTGAGAGGTGGGCGGAGCCGGCTACGCCCGGATTTGTGTTGCATGCGTGTCTGTTTCATCGAATGAAAGCGAGTGCAGTAGGTTATTGACGACAGATCTCAGAAGATTACCTGGCGCGGGCTTGAACCATACGTAGTCGTCGATCATCGTCGTCATGATGAGGACGAGAGCCGAGGAAGCCGGTGCGAGTTTGCAGCGAGTCCAAAGAAGGCAGATATGGGGTGCTGCCCCGGCTACGTATGTAAGCTTGCTGAGGGGACTGAGGAGTGGAGGAGACAACGTCCTCGGCGATCACAGCTTGATAATCTGGAAGCCCGGAGTCGCAGGGGCGCACACTGGTACGGACCGCAGTCGAGTAGCTAGGGACACGGCTGAGGGTCTCGACCTCGGCATACTGTGGGTGGTAAGGAGTAGCCATGCCGGAATGGATGGGGTCGTGATCGATGACTTCATCCGAGGGGCGTCGGGAGAGTTCAGGACTGGCAGGGCTGTGGGAAGTCGAGCCCGAACCAGAAGAAGGACCAAAGTAATCGGGAGGAACGCCAAGATGGCGGGTTTCGTTGTCTGAATGATGTTCGTGTTCAGGTGGCGAGGGATGATTGTGTAGGTTGGCACGAAGGCTAGACAACCGGCTGTGTAGAGCGGAGGCAGAGATATCGGTGTTGGTCAAAGCATTCATCGATGCAAGATTTTCAACGGAGATGTTGCGGCTGAGAGCTCCGAAAGGAGTACCAGGGCCACTTCCCGGTCCGGGGGTTCGGTAGCCCGAAGGATCCAATTCGCTGTACAGCTGATCGAACTGGTGCTCGCCATAGAGGGGAGGAGCTTGATGAGCGATTTCACTGATGGCTCTTTGTGCGGACTGAGGGGTTTGATCGACTAGGTTGTTGTTCTCATCGATAGCAAGGTTGGGAGAAATGAAGATAGAGACGGGGAGTGTAGCGCGGAGCTGTGATGAGAATTAGAAAAAGTTCCACGATGAGTGGAAGGAACATTGCGTACCTCGCTGACGTGACCGTCCGGATTGAGGAGCTGAACACGGAATTTGAGCTTATGGCGAATCTTGATGCCCCGAGTGTCTGTGTCCTGCAAGCAGCGAGCCAGGGTCTTTGGCAAGTCCAAGTAGCGCGTGAATTGGTAGCCTTCGGCCATCTCGTCGATGACGGCGAGGCCAGTCTCCTCATCAACCTCGTACTCGTCATTCAAGATCGTGCGGGTGCTCTTGTATGTATTGCGGATCGAATCAGGATCTTCGGGGTTAAGGGTAAGGTCGTGGCTTTCGATAAGTTGGGAGACGATCTGGCCAATTCGGAGTCCCTTGAGCAAAGGGATGAGCTTGAAGTCCACACGAATGCAGGTTCCGAAAACAACAGCCTTGGTTGGGGTGCTGATTGAGTATTCGATCTTGTTCGGCCAAACATTCTCCACAGACTGCGATGGGTAAGGTGTTAGTTGACGGTGCGAAGAATCTTGAGATAAGGATCGCGTACCATCGCGTGGGCAAGTTCGAGAGCGCTGGACTCCAACGTGCGGATGATGCGAAGAGGCCTGCGAACAACAATGTCTTTCATGTACTTGCGCCCGATCTCCGCCTTGAAGCGGTATGTGACATAGGTATCGGTCAGGCCTTCGACACTCTCGGGCATTGAACCCTCGAGGACGAGATCGAACGCATACTCGTAGTTGCCGGCCGGCAGAACCTCGGTTTTGCTTTTACCCGCCTCTTTGAATGACCACGCCTTTTCATAGAAGACCTTCTCTCTCCATGACTTTCTACCGCCGCCAGCAGTGGTGGAAGGCAAATGCCAACTATCATCGGTGGTTAGTACCCGGACGCAGAGGGTTGGCGACAGTCGGGAACAGCACATACCAGACTCGAGAGATGCCGGTGAGGTGGAGTCGGATATGCTTGATAGAGAGGGGTTCAGAGAGACAGAGAACCAGCTTTCCACTTAGATGAGCGCTGGCAGCCTCTTGCTCCCCTCCTCGGAACACAATGTAGTCTTCATCTAAACTGTTGGCGCAAGGGAGGGGCACGTCAGTCAAATCGGAGATGCAGCCGGCATACCGGAACAAGTGCGAGGCAAGTGACTCACCGAATATCGAAGTATTTGGCGTGGCTGGCGCCTCCGGCACCGAAAAAGCTGAGAGCCATGACGTCTTATTCCAACAGCTGCTTATCTGCAGCTGCCAGTAGAGCAAACGTAGGCCAGACAAGAAAGAGATTTATTGTTGTGACTGGGAAAGTGGGATGGCGGAAGGGGGGGGGGGAGGTTCGGTGGGAGGGAGGGGAGGTAGATGTATTATATTAGACTCTGCAAAAGGAGGACCCAGAACAGGAAAATCAAAGTGGGAAAAAAGAGAAAAAAGCCCGCAATAATGCGACGGGGGGGCAGAAAAATCAAATAAGAAAAAGAATAAGAGTGTCCAGATTTGCAGGCAGAATGGGTCAGAACGACGGGTCCCACAGGCCTAAGCAAGGAAATGGTGGTGGTGGAGCCCTTCAAGAGCAGCCGTTTCCGTCACTGGGTCTTATTCCTTTTTTTCCCTTTCGGAGTGCTGCTTGTGAGGCCGGCTGTGGCAAGGCGTGAACAGTAATACACTCCCTTCTAGTCTTAGTGGTAGTATCTGAAGAATGGATGGATCGGTGGTAGGAGGGAAAATTTGGGTTGCAAGGACCGGAGTTGATGCAATCAATTCCAGTTGTTGTAGAGGTGACTAAGCCCGACACTCTTGAATTGCACTGTCAAACTGAAGATAGACCAGGCTGATGAGCAAGGCTTGTCAGTCAACCAGTTACAGATTTAACATGAGGCGACATCCATTGAAGAAGAGAGAAAGAAAGAAGGAAAGAAAGAAAGTGTTGAGTGGATGAGGATTGAAACGCGACAAAGCAAGCAAAAACCATGGGAAAGCGAAGAAAGTGAAGAAGAACGGATAAGAAGGCACGTCGGGTTCAGTTGCATACCGGAACAATACAATTGATTCAGTAGTAGTGTTTACGTTGCAGAGGAATTATTCAAATCTTAAGCCAAGAGATAACAGCCACCAGCAGCAGCAGCAGGATCTGAAGGACTTATTAGTATGATTAGGTTTGACCCTGGGAATTTTTCCGCCGCCTGAATTGATCGGGATTATCACACGGCAGCATTGACCCTTCTTCCTCCCTCGTAAGATCCAACAGCCAGCCCTAGACGGCTGTCTGGTTATCCGGCGGGTGGCTATGGTCTGGGCTGGTTATTCACACGTAATTCAGGTACTAAAAGCCACACCGAAGAGTTACGATAGCGACGATCAGCATGGCGATAGGGATTATTCCAATTTTCTGTTGGAGAATAGAGAAGGGAGAAAGAGAGAGGAGAGAGAGCAAAAGGGTGTGTGCTGGCTTGCATGCCTCGGCATCGTCCTTCCCGCATGATGATACACGATCTAGTCTCCTTGAGGTAAATCACCACCGTCGCATATTCCCGCAGATACTCCTCCGAGTCCTCCCTCCTCCCCGACTTCCCCTTCAAATCCACTCCCCCTCTCTCCTGACAGCAGAACCAGAGATTCTGGTTGTTCTCTGTTACTTGACTTGAATCCATGTGCTCCCACCAATTACCCCTCCAATCCAGGAACATCAAGGCGTACACACGCATGCTCGCACACAAGTCATGCAGTCGCAGGTTGCACCGCAGCAGCTTCTGATCCCACCTGCAGGGAGTATGCAAGAGATCGTGACCAAATCACCCTAGTATTCGTCACTCCTGGTGCCCCACAAGGGATGATCTGCTTATCATGCTATCGGGAAGCCCTGCAACATTCGGTATCATATGTTGTTCGCTTGTTACCAGAATTCCCCCTCCTCCCTCCCGTACGGAATAATTCATGCAGTCCTCCCCGAGCACAACTGCCGAGTGGCATGACATCCAGCCACCGAAGCCATGTAAACCCTCTTGGGGGCCAGGTCTGATTGGGTTGGGGAAGAAACAAGCACCCAGAGCGACCGAAGCTGAAAAGGATAATTCAAACGGAGAAGAACAGCTAGGTGGAAGGGTCCTGGATGACCGTTGTGACAGCAGCCCTTGCAGAGCCCAGGGTGTCAAGGATGAAGCTCGACTTTTTGCAAACCTATGCCTGAAGTGGAGAGCAATGTAACCCATTCTATCGATTGAATCCTTCAGGCAACACCATTAGCGTTCCGGATCACACTCCACCACGGGTATCGTTGACAGTCGAAGTTAGCCACCTGAATCGGTGTGACCGATATAAGACCACCCAATTGCGCTACCAGCCTCAGTCTGTCAAAGGAGGGGCAGATTCGAGCCTTTTGATATTGGCGGGGCATTGGCGTAATTACGCACAATAGGGGGCGATTCGACCGCCAGCGTTACGTTTGCTGTCTACTTCTGAGACAAATAAGGGTGTTCATGGCCAGATGTCAACCCTCAGTTGCTTTTTTGAGGACCGTGGTACGTAGAGCAGGTTCTATTTTCAGAAGCACTCAGTGCAGCTCCAGCCGAAGACGATCTCAGAACTTCATCATCCTCTCCTGCAGCCCTGCGCGTGGGAATGCGAAACACCCACTCACCAGACATGGCTTCAACACACGCTCAACTACAACCCTGTTACAACTGGTAGGCGAATGACCAGGGTCGCATGTATCAGAAACACATGCACAGACTATCGACAGCGGGTAAGGCTCATTCTTCATGTGAGAGCGCGACCGACCGGCTTCTAGAACTGGCATTTCGATCTCCGTGCCTACCTTCGAGTAGTACCCACCATTTCTTACCTAGTTCATCCGACTTGAAGCAGTGGATCCGAGGCAAGCTAAAAACAGTTTGATTATTGATACGTCTATCGGGCGCTCTCGGAGACTGCTCCGGTCAGGGTCGAGCAAAACCGCATCCATTTCGGCGACCGCCCGACATCTACCCGAACTTTGACGGCATCGCATGCTACGAAATGCGGCTGCAAATCCTTCTCGGAAGGGACAGATAGCCAATTGATAACAACGGGATTGTTGACTGCCTCCGGGTGACATTGATAAGTGTGCGCCGTAAGGATGACGCTTTCCCGAAGGATAGTCGTGACCCTTGACGCAAACGATGATGCGATGAGCAAGCAAGCTCGAGATCCTTTAGGCGGATGCTAAGAATATCAACTGGGTAGACAGGAGCTAGGGTCCACTGCTCCGTTGTCAGACAGAGATATGGATTTGCGACACGCAGTGATCGGCCAAATCAGCAAATTTTATCTAGACTAGACTATGACGGATGAGACAAATGTATGCCAACGGCCCAACAAACACGGTGAGTCAAAGAAAAATCCCCGAACCAGATTAACGGAGGAGGAGTGATTTGCAGACCCCATCGAGTGATCACATCATCCGAGCCAGAAAAGTCAATCGGGTGGGCCGGAAGAATTCAACCCAGCGGCCCATCCGCGATTTGTGGCTTGAAGCTTCGGCTGGTTGCAAGCCGCTTTACGACAAACCAAATTGATCCCGATGTGGCTTTAATATCTCGTTCTCGCCCCTGCGCTTCCCTGTAAGTTGTTCGGATGCGAAGGTTTTCCCCAATCGCTGTGTTACTCAGGAAAGACCTTCACCGTTTCCATGGCAGATGGCGCTATCCACCTGTAAGACTTGTTCTGAGAACGTATCGTATTCTTCTGTCTTGCGACCACACAACTCTAGCACGTGCTCGACAGAGGCACGTAAGCTTCTCGCCTGGATAGGGTAAGGATCATTTGAAGACGAAGCGTCCACGCCAGTCTATCGCCACTGACAGGCGAGCGAAAATTTATTGTTCAGTTCCGAATTCAGCCTAGACGAGGCACGGGCCCAGGAATTCAGGAGTAAAGGGTCAGACAAGGCACGGAATGCCGTGCTCCGTCAAAGGCCCAGGGCCTGGTCTAAAGACTTCTTCGGCTTGCCGAGTGCTCTGCTTCCTGTCCGGTGTCTCTATTCGGCATAGACCAGCCATCATATCACTGTCAGCGATAAGGGAAATCCCTGATGAACCAATCGACTTACCATGAGGACCGACCGATGAGATCAGAGTACCAGAAATTGGTTCCTTTAGCGGATCGACGCGGCCAAGCATGCTGCGGCAGGAATATGATAGAGATCAGGAAAGTTGGTCGGCCAGTCAGCCATCCCACTCTCCCCCTGCAGCAGTAGTTACGAGTTAGTGACCAGTTAGTTCGCTCCGAAGATGAAACCGTCCTAGCTATTATTGTGACCGACCGAGGGGCCATTGACAGTCTAGCCAGGCACGCAAGCACGGACGCTTAAGAATTGTGTGTGATTGTTGTTTGTTGTTCCTTTCGGAGTGTCGGGCAGCCAGCTAGTTGGTTGGTTGGTGCCTAAGGAAATCAATTGACCGCAACAAATCATGGGCAGCACGTGGCCCGGCACCTCAGCCGGGTACGGGTTCTTTTCCCCGTTTGAACCCCCATCCATGATCCATCCCCTATCAATTGTCCGATGGTCGCAACCTTCCTGCTCGTTATCAATTTACCCGAAGTACGCGACCTCCCATCCGAGATTCGCTGCAATCCCTGCCGCCGCCACCAACATCGCGATCGGCTCATCCTATGAGCTCACGTGTGACGGCAATGGCGCCATGCCATTTCTTGACTATTGCTTGGGGGAGTGAAGCTTGCCGTGATGCTTTTCCGAAGCGCTCAAGCGCGTAAAGGCAGAGGAGGGCCGGAAAAGACCTTTGCAACCAGGGTCATCATATGGCACATGCAGATCGGGGGGGGGGATCTACGAGTACCCTTCGTCATTCACTCTCACCCACTAGGTCTTATCGTATCATGTCGTCTGAGGTGAACACAGCGATTAGACAATCGCGCAATGCACCCACCGCCACCCCATTTAGTTTTGCGACGAGGTTCTGACTTCAACACCCCAGAGACCGGCATGATCGATCCCCGGAAATAAACATTCGAGGCGGAGAGGACGCCCCAAGCCGGACCATAGATTCCGGCAGAGAGGATGGCATCCGGCCTGGGAAAAGCCCACCACCATCATTGTCACACTCTGTAGCGGACGACGATGACGTACGTACCTTTATCGACGTGATCGGCCACTTACACCCTCGGCTCTTCTTGACAGCCTGGATATCTTTGTCCAAAAAAGCCACCTTGGTGGATAGAACAGCCTGGATCCGACTGCAGTCTTGTCTCCAGGGGCCCTTGACCAACAAGTCGGTCTTCCAACGTAGAACTTACTAATATGTCAAGCAGAACTGCATCACAGAAGCGCAGCGATTGTGACGCAAAAGATGCTGCGTTGAGAATCGCCATCCCACCCAGAAGGAAGAGATCTGGAACGGCTGGGATGCGTCACATCGAGCCTTGTCAGAGGATAATCGAAGTGAAGGGTTCCGTTGCACCCCTACGACCTGCATCCAAAGAAGGTATTCCCGGCGAGGGACCGCGGCACCCAGGCGTCATAGAAGACTACCCCTGCACATTGTGGCGCTGGATGCATACGCCCAATCACCGGCGCGCATAGGGCTACTGACGGGCACGCTGATACAAAAGACCCGGAATGGCTTCCACAAAGGCTTCCATTGGCGAGAACACTGCTGTCGCGCGCAATTCGCTTTTCGTCCCAGTTAAGCTCATCTAGCAACGGTGCTAGGGTCGTCGTACCTCGCGGGACCGACCAATCTAGCCACTCGGTCCGATCACCCTCCACCTGGATTAACTGTGCTCATTTGAGCATGCATGTGCCTGTGCTCCCAGGGCTTGCAAACTACTTTGTATTTTCAGCGCGGCAAGGACTGAAGTGTCACGTCGTCTGAGCGTCCTCCATCACAGATCACATTATCTAAGGCTGGAATCGGATCGATTCGCAGGCAGCTCTCATCACCTGGGACAGATTGATACTGATTGGTGAAGATCGCAAAAGATATCACTCCCAGCCTTTGCAACTGTGTTCGCAGCCCACCCTAGCAGGTTTCCTATCCAAGCCGGACAGACCAATGAGGGAATGGCCGTGTGGGATGTCTACGGACAAACATCTCATTACCTGCAAGCACTTCGTAGAAGGGGCAGTGCTCGCTTAGGTACTTCACTTTTGCGAGTTTTCAGCTCCTTGCTATCCTTCCAAAGGGCCACTTCTAATTACGATGCTGAGGCCAGGCACTTTGTCACTGTAGAAGCTTCGCCATCAACAGGGCACTCATTCATATCAGCCTTGAACACGAAGATCAACCGGTAATGCTGCTTCTCGATCTATGCCCCAGACAGAACCAACCCCTATGCGACGTGGCCTTCAGCAGCAGGAGTATCACCATCTCCGCTCCTAAGCCAAGCCATGACTTTCTACAATCCATCGCAAAAAGAGATCAACAAACGATCGTTTCCCAACACTGAAACCTACCCTCCCAGACACTCGAACCCAAGATAAATGACAAGGAAGCAGGCACCAAAGTAGACATACTTAACAGTAGTTATCGAGAGGTCCTCAGCAAGCACAGACAACGTTAATCTATTCTTCTGAAAGTAACAGAGCCACAAATCTAGGACATCTCGCATACACCGTCGCAACCATGGAATATGTCTAGCAATCTTCCAGATACCATAGCAGCAGCAGCAGCAGCAACAACAACAACAAAGCAAAGCTGTTTACTTATCATAGATCTCAATGCAAAGCTAGGTCACTTGTCTTCATCAAGCAACCCAATTCCTACCACGTAATGGAAACATAACGAGCCTGAATGTTCAGGGTATCAGACATCATGCCATAAGCAAGAAAGTATACATACCCAAGGCAAAACTCTGCTCCCATAAGACGCAAGATCTATCCATCGATACATCCGCCCGAGCCCGCAGACTGGCAAGCTATTGACACATTCGTGATGCCAACAGGCACGCCTGTAAGCAGCAGTAGCAAGCACTGCTATAAGTAGAACACGCACAGCCCAATCACAAACACGGTATAACCACCACCTGAACGAGAACAACAACCAATCAAGTAATCAATGAATCTAATACCGAATACCAACCCTATAAACAACCGCGAAAAAAAAAATATACCATAAGTATGTATCAACACCCAGAAAAGCGAAAAGCAAGAAGTAAAACAAGCCGCTCACCCACAAGCTCACTATACCACACACAAACAACCAATCTAAACCCACACATAAGCATACAAAAAGAAAAAAATTAACCAAGCAAAGACGAAAAAGCCCCTTAATTGGAAACCAGCCAAGTCCGACACTTCCATCATGCAGAAGCAGAAGCATATTACCACGTTATCCCCATCTCTACCTTAAAATAGAATGAAATAAAGATAGCTAGCCAGCTAGCCGCGCGAAAGAAACAAGCACATTCCACCTCTTGAAACCATAAATGCAACCCCCGACATCGTCCAAGGGAAGGGCATGGGCTCAAAAAATCCACCCAAGAATAATCCACAAAAGAATCCCAGCCGTGATCACGATGCCCGCTACCTTCAAGACGGCAACGGTATCGCCCTGCCGCGCCATGCGGGTTAATCTGCTGGCGCTGCCTTTGAGGTTTGTGGAGAGGGAGGAGAAGACTTGACTCTGGCATTTTGGATTTTCGGGTTAGTTATCGCTCAGCAACTGGGATTCTATCGACTGCAATGACATAGGCACAACCGGTGTCCAATCTGCAAAACAACCGCCCCAAAAAAAAGGAAAGAAAAAGAAGAGACTAACCGAATGATCCAACGTCTCCTGATCCCGAGCATTATCATAGATATCAATCGTCACGGATTTCAGCGCAGACACCTTCGAGGAGAGCGAGTTGAGGAGGGCGTTGTTCTGTCTATTGGTACCAGACATCAGATCGTATTAGCATTCAGATCCCCCCAAGAAAAAAGACCACTACAACTGCGGTTTCCCAAGTTGGGTGCATCATGAATCCCGCAAACGTGGCGAAGGACCATCCACAAGGAGGAAGACGTACTGTTCGCGCTCGTAGGCTTCGGTCATTTTGATTTGATTTGGAGTCGGGGGGTTGTGGTTGTGGTTGTGGTATTGCGTTGGCTTTGTTCAGTTGGTTGGGATAGGGGAGGTGGGGATGATGGGATGGTGATTTCCGTAGGTGAACGCTGGAGAGTCGGTGGTATGAGGTCGATTATTATGAATGTATCGGAGGAAATGCGGCGGAGGAAGTGAGGTACGGAGAGATAGATCTCAGGACGGATGACGCTGTGGGGAGACTTGTGGAGAGAGATGGCGCTTGTCACGTGAGTGACACGCCGCGGCCTCGCCCGTTCGGGGCCCGGACATTGTTTCCTACAGCCTGGAGGTGCCTACAATACCTAATGTGGTTATGAAAAGTATACTTACAAAATCTATCCCCAACCAAAATTCAAAACCGCCAATGGCTACTAGCCCCAGTCGGTGCTCAGCTTCTATGATGAAATAAACCGTTAATACAGACAATAAAGAATAGAAATCAAGCAGAACCCCTCTCGCTATGCGAACAACAAATCAAGCCAAGGCAACAGGTCATGCCAGGCACTACCCCATCGACGTGGAATATTCAAAGGTGCACTATATAAAGCTGAGCCACAGCAGCTTTCCGGTGAGTATAGTGGAATATGAAAAACAAAAGTCCTTCGTATCCTTCTTTGCCCGGTGCATATCGCGGGTCCAAAGGGTAGGAGCTAACACCGGCGTACACAGCTTGCAACGGTACCAGAATTGACCCAAGCGGAGCGCTTGGAAAAGCTCCTCATCTTTCCGACCGTAGCGGGACAACCTGTTCGTTCACAATCACCACATATCATCCTCATCATCATCCAACTGCATGTCATCTCCAAACGTTGAATGACCGTGTTGATTATGGCCAGGACCATATGCATTCCCACTTTCATAGCTATCCTTACTTCCACGCGACTGGGACCGGTACTGATCGTGGTGATCGTCACCATATTCATACATCTGAGGATCATCATAGGAACTGTCGGCGTATTGTTGCTCCTGAGCCTACGAGTAGGCAGAAGCGTCAGTAGCTGTCTGCAAATATTCCGGGAGAGGATACTCACTTCTTGATATCGTTGGTACTGTTGGTACTCCTCCTGTTGTCGTTGCTGCTGCCTCTGGGCCGCTGATGTTGCGAGCATCATATGCGGGTGCATCTGTTGCACCTTGGCCAAGTATGAGTACATGAAATTACTCAACAAGACCTGGGAATACAACGCGCGTCGAGGATTTGCAAGCTTGATATGTGCCATCCGGTAGATCGCTCTTTCTTCCAAAATTGAGAATCGAGTCCAGGCGTAATCGATATCTGGCCGCAGTTCCCGAACCGGCGGCTCAGGCGACAAGTTTTGAGAGGAGCTCTTTTTGTGATGGTGCCCGCTATCTCCGTTGCTTTTCTTCCTACCGCCACCAAAGATGGATGAGAATAATCCCGATTCCTTCTCTTTCTTCGATTCGCCGGAAGTCCTTCGTGTGTTGTCCTTGCGCCGTTCATCCTCTAGCTTGGGGTCCAGCCGGTCCATAGCTAGGCTTTCGCGTCCCCTCTGGCTGGTATCGTTCGACGACGGCGGAGAGTGGGATGCATCGTGTGCTTTGTCCGCAGACTTCACTTTGTGCTTCTTCGAATCACTGTCCTTGTCTTTCTTCTTATCTTTATCCTTGTCCTTGTCCTTCTCCTCTGTACCGAGGAGCCAGTGCCAACTCGACTTACGTCCCCCTTCTGAATCCTTCTTGTCCTTCGACTTTTTCGAATCGGATTTCCTTTCTTCCGCCTTGCGTTCTTCGGGCTTGCGGTCTTCCGACACGGTGGGGATAAAAGAGAGACTGTCGGTGCGCATTGAATTGCCGGGGATGGCCTGTGGGTTATTGGCGAACTCGTTGAGAGTGGGTGCAGCATCTGTCGCATGCGTGCGACTAAGGCCGGAGCGTTTGTTAGGAGGGCGCTCGTGAGGTCGATCGGATACTGTAGGCGCTTTGGAGGCCGGGGCCTGCTGAGAACTCGGGCTGGGAGGAGTGGCATTGTTTTCGGGCGGCGGGGTTTCGATTATCTCGGGAATCTTCTGTTCGAGGGGTGGAATGTTCAATGTCGAGCGTCCATTTGAGCTGATCCGCGAATGCCATTGTTGACGTTCAGGTGGAGGGGCGCTGGCCCGGCCGGCTGGATCGGGAAGAACGGAGTCACTTACTGTGGGGGATGGTTCCGAGGCCGAGTCCGACGTGAAACTGGATGCTGTGTCAGGGGCATGCGGTGTCCGTTCGGTAGACTTGGCCAAGGCTTGCGCTCGTGTTACACTCGGTGTCGGATCGGTCGATACCCGTGTCAAACCTATGGCCGCTTGTCCGCCCGTAGGATCATTTCCGTCCGCCGACTTCCCTACTCGCTTGGAGTATGGGGCTTTCTCCCCCTTCCTCAAGCTCCCAGCCTTGCGATATTGAGTTCTTGTTGCGCGTCGAAGGCTGTGGCCCGGAGGGGCAGGAGGAAGTATGGGTATATCTTCGTCGGTCGATAAACCAAGCTTTTGGATGTCACTGAGAATTGACGAAGCACTCGGCGTGCGCGAGTTCGTGTCATCTACCAATGTCTCCAGTTCATGCAGGTTGGGGCCCAACGAGTCCTTTTGCGTCTGCGAACGTTTACGCTCAAGCCGTTCCGCACCATCCGTATAGCCATGGGAGCTGTCAATCTGCCTCGACAGCATAGACCGCTTCCGCCTGAGCCCTCCACCCGTCCCTTCAAGATCCGAACCCAAGGTCGAGAAATCGCCGGATTTCCGTTTGATCATATCGGCCTTACTTTCAAGAAATGATTTGAATTCCTTGGGCGCCAACTCCGGATGTAATCGGGCGGGGACCCAGAATAGGCGGGCCGCATCGTTCTCATCGTCGGAGGGAGATGGCGCGACCGAGGGCACTGAAAAACTCGGCAGGTCGGGATCCCCAGTGGCTGCTACGTCCATCGACATCCGCCGGATGGCGGCCAGGTTGCTCAGCTCTTGTGCCACGGCGGCTGGGTCGGACTCGTAATCAATATCGTTGAGAGGAAAGGAGGTGGTAGCGGTGTCGGTGGAGCCAGGGGAGGCGGTCGAGGCGGGGGACGTTGGGCTGCTCTCCAAAGACTTGGAGCCTTGCGTCCATGTTTGTCCATTCACTTGCCGTTGGTTTATTTCACTCAGATGATTTTTCACTTGTAAAGACTGGGGGGAGGTAGGAGATTCGCAGCCGGCAAGGTTCGGAGGGATGATCGTGATCGCTTCGCTCAGAGGGGAGGAGATATAACTTAGACGCCGAGATTCGCGTTTGTCGTAGTCATCTTCGTACATGTGCCCGATGGCTTCGGTGACATGATGACTTGGATCGCTGATTGACAGTTGAGGGACATGACCTCGCCGCGTCGCGTACCCTCCTCCAGGCTCAGAGGGGCTCGGTGAAGCCTACGCGTAAGGGGAAGGTTGTTAGACGTAATCCCGCAATTGTAAGTAGTTGAAACAAAGGTACACTCAGGTTCCACAACCCACCGGGCAAAGGGCAATGGTACCAGCCACGAACACGAGGGCACAGTTGGGAAAAGGCAAGAAAGTGAAAGGCGGGCACAGAAAGATCCATGTTGAATCTTCAAAGGGCCAAGTTACCAGGACCAGGGGCGGGGAGAAAGACAATAAAGGGAACGTAACGCACCTGCATGGGAGCAAATGATTTGAGGGGGGAGGGGAGCTAGAAGGCGAGCGTCCCGAGGTTGACAAAGGACCAGGAACTTCGCCTGGTGGAGAGGAGGTCAATGTACCACCAAGGTCGCAAGAGTAGACAGGTAGAGGATAGTCATGGAATCATCAGAGCGGGGAAAAGTATGTTCGAGGAAGAGGAGCAACCACCAGGGTGACCACGAGTGAGAAAGGACAATGACGGCTAGGCATCCGGCGACCAACGTCGGGGAGGGGAGAGAGGATAGTAACGGACGATCAATAGAAGATCGGGGGAGAGGAGGGAGAGGGGAGGGAGGAGAAGAGGAGGGAAAGAGAAAATGAGGGCTTGAAGAGGAAGAGGAGGAAGAAGAAGAGGAGGAAGAAGAGGAGGAGGAGGGCCAGCAAAACGAGGCTGAGGAGAGTGGCCGTGGTTGTTGTTTGGTTGGTGGTGAAGAAAAGGATAATAGGGAAAGGATGAGAAAGATGATGGATGGGGAAATTCACAGTGGTAACAGAACAGAACCTTGAAAAGAGTAAGGTAAGTACCACCACTGACTGCAACAGCACCACTTGTACAGTACCTAGGAAGAGTAGTAAGTAGTCGTGGTGGTGGTCCCTGCGAGGAGTAGTTGGTTGGATGCTGGTGCTGGTTCGGTCGGTCTGGCCGCGATGATCGGAGGAACGAAGACAAAATGAACGGTCCAGCGACAAATAAAATCCCGCGAAACAGTTGAGGGTATCCTTTCTTTTCTTTTCCGAGGAAGAGCAGCAATCTAAAATGTATAGAAGAAGGAAGAAAGGTGGGAAAGTCAGGGGAGAATGCCCTCCTGAGTGGGGTGGACGGACTGTATCAGAGAGAGAGGCCCATACAACCGCAGCGTATCTGGAAGATTCGTCTGATGCCCGTATACAAGGGTGGGTTTCCTTTGGAAATTCGGAAATTAGAAAGATACAGTTATATTGTTACCAGGAACACCGTCCGTCAGGTACGATCTCCACGAGGAAGAAGAGAAGACAAAGTTTCTCCAGTAGTATAGTTATGCATCGACGAGCCGGTGGTGGAGGGAGGATTTCCCCATGGATGGATTCCGCCGCAAGGCCGCAGGTGCCGGGGCTGACTCAGCTGAATCTCTCCCCCGTCGTTTCTCCACAGCTGATCGAACATCGATCCATCAACTGGCAGGTCACCACCGTTCGTCCGCTCCAGTTCGTTCGCTTGCTTGCAGTAGGCGAGCAATGATCAACATTACCCCGTGCTGCTAGCAGGTGGGCTGCGATTGACAGTGGTGTGGCACGGTCTGTCCCCCATAGCTGACTTGCTCCCTCACTTCACTTGGTGTTTGTAGACAAAGGCATTGTGGTCAAGAATACATACTCCATAGACTTGGGACTTCCTAGCCCACACACTACCCCTCCAGACTCTAGTCTGGTAATCCTGCAGCACTTGATGCAGCATGAAGAGCCCAAGAGTCATTCCCTGCTTTATCTCTACTTATCTATTCCTCTTTCCCCCCAAAAGGCCAGTAGCCGGAACTAGCACGCTAACTAAGTTTCCCTATCCCCCGCCTTGCCTATGGAGTACCACGCATTCATCGGCTGTCAGCTTAATCAAACCTTCAACCGGAAGAGCTGCAGCTCGCCTTATTTACCGATCTCCTGTCAGCCGTTAGAGGTGGAAATTGGTCCTTGGGCCTAGTGCGCCGGTTTTAAATAATGCTGAGCTTGTCGTAAAGCATCTCATAGCATAGCAGTAAGACTGTCATCGCAACATGCAAAGGGTGGCCGCAAGGCCTCCTAGCCTCGTGAAAGACATCTTAGCCACCACTCGCAGCTGCCCTCTGAAAGAGCCATGCAGTCAGTTTCAGCTCAGAAGTTTGCACACACCCAGAGGTATCTCGTATTGAGCTTCACCGAAAAAGAGAAAGATCCTACTTTCTGTGACAACACACACCAACGAAACGATATTGAGAAGAATGAAAGCTAATTAAATTAAGTGGCAGCACGAGAAGAGAAGAGCCACCGAGTATGAATTGACAGGAATGTTATCCGTTATCCCGTCGGCCGCCCTTCCTTCAGGTAAGGCTTTGCACGTGAGGAGTTGGTCCCATCCGGTGCCCTTGGCTGATGATGGCGAAAGCTCAGGCGGAGGGTCTCAGATGACCTCGCTTCTCAAACAATGGCGACGTTTCAATGTTACAATGCCACAGGGTGGATATCTGTTCCAACCCTCCCTCTACGGAAGAGATCGACTGTGGTGGAGAATGTACGCACTTACAAGTATACATCCAAACCTACTGGATGTCGGCAGGGACATGCCTCCAGAACCTACCCTTGAAGGAGGCTGGTGACGACGATCAGCCACCTCCTGAAGACATCAATTACGCCTGAATCTTTGATTTTCGATAAAGGCGCCCTTGCAAGGGATGCGATCATGTCAATGATACAGCAGCTAGCCCCAATGCATAGGGGGGATGAGACCTATCCAATCAATTCTAACAGTATTCAGGTAAAGATAAGCTATTCTAGCACTTCGAAGCCTGTGGGCTACATATTCAAAGGGGCATCTTATGTATAAACTGGAAGCAGCAGCTGATCATAATCACAAACGGAGTATAGGAAGGAAAGGCCAGTGGAAAACACACAAACACCAACTGAAAATACCTAGATCATTCTTGCCCGTGCAAATCAACCTGCGCTCGCTGGCCACCTCAATGGGAACTCCGGTGCTGATACAAAAATGCCGACTGCGGCTCCCTGGGTTTGCAGAGAGTTGACATGATAGCAAAAGAGAGAATAATCGCCGGTGCAAAACTGAAGGGTGGAAGTGGGACAATTTTCAAGAGAGTAGTGAGAAGAGGAGGGTCTGGATGTCATAAAAATGTCATTTCGCATACGCTAAAGCACGGGAATCATAGTTTCAAGCAGTCTCGACATAATTACTACATATGACAGGTTAGCCTCTACAGATCTCGAATCGGGTGGACGATGATGCTTACCTGGGAAAGATTCCAACTCGGTCGCCAATTCGCCCCGTCCACCAGTCCTCGGCCTTCTCAGTCCGCTTGAGAATGGTGATGATATCACCTTTCTTGAAGCCCAAGTCCCCTTCCTGATCGGCGTCAAAAGTGTACAGTGCGACGGCCTGGTCCTGGCGGAGCGTAGGAGCGGCCCCTGTTCTTTGTCCAAAGATTGGCTTTGGAGCTGTTGGACGGCTGGGTTTGCGGTCGGAGTACACATAATCTTCATCAATAGGGGCGGTGTTGCTACGGCTGCGGTTGTAAGTCTCGTAGGCATCCGGGCGGCTGCTGGTACGGGTCGTGGATGACCGGTTCAACCCTGCCGCAGGTCGGTCATAGATGTCATCGGCCCAAGTGTTCGCACGCCGAGGACGATCCCGGTACTCATAGTCGTCGTTACTGTTCAACCCAGTGCGCTCACGTCGGAGACCTTCGCCGTATGCATCGCCTCGTCGGCCCTCCCACACCACCTCGTCGTGGCTATCATCGTAAACTGGGATGTCGTTATACATGGTATCCCCTTGTCGAGAGTTACCATAGAAAGCGCGGGAGCTCAGGACACTTAGAAGAGGATCAGCGGCTGGGGGAGGCCGGATGGTTCCGCTCAGCAGCTGGCGTGCCGAGACTCGACTGTTGTACATCTTCTCGTTCGCATCCTTGCGCTCCACCAACATACTGCCCTCCAAGCTCACACCAGCGAACAGTCCCTTGGTCTTGGAGTATGAGAACACCGCCGCGACGCCCTTCGTACTGGCAGCACCTGCAGCCTCGGCATTCCGCCCGATCGGTCCAGCAGCAATAGAAACATTACCACCCAACGTCAAGGTTCCCACTTGCGAGAACGTGCGAACAGCGGCGGCGTCATTCAGAATGAACACAAAGTCGGTTAGCTCAAACCCAATCTGTCCTCCGAAACCGGCACCTGCTGTCGCGATGGCTGACGGAGCCGACCAGGAGCCATCTGCGAGACGGGCGACAACGACCCCCGAACCGAAGCGAGCGGAGCCCAGAAAGCCGGCTTTCAGGACCGTGAGAATGGCGAGACCCTGGCGACGGAGCGGTCAGCCTGAGACGAGTGCGCCACGGAATGACCATGATAAAGACATGCTTAGGCCACTTACTTTAGCACCCGCTAGAATTTCAGGAGGAATGACCTTATCAGGTCCAAAAGCTTGTCGTGGGTCAACAAAAGAGGCAAGAATTTTCCCAGCCTTTTTGCATTCGCCTGTTGATCGCAGATTAGTTGACGCTTCATGAAAGGCATTTCGCGAGTAATTGCGGGGAAATTGATTGGAAAGCGGGCGGAGTGATGCGTACTTGACAGAGACGAAGGTAGCGGGTTATGAATTCCGAGAGGCATTTTTGAACAGCTCCAGACCTTGAGGAACTGAGAAGAAGGAAGGGAGGGGAAGAGGAAGGTAAAGGGGGGAGAAAGAGTGAGGAGTCAGGGAGCAGCAAAGAAAGAAAGGTGTTGATAACCGGAGGTTGCTTTTGGTCTTGAGGGAGCGAGCGACCGGAAGTGGAACCCAGATGACGGCTGACATCCACTGCCTTTCGCAAACGATGCACTCAGTAGTAGCAGTTAGTGTAGGTACCGTAGGTTTCCTGGCAACCCAACTTGAGATGACCAAATAACCGCAGCACCAGGCACTTGGCGCACTAGGCTAGAATCGATATCATTGTCGGCCCAATGCTCTGCTGGAAATTGAGCAAATGGTCGCCTGTCCGACCCGACTCAAATTGAATGTCAAGATGCACAGCTCAGGCCTGGGATAACAAGTCTAAGAAGGCGCCTTCCGTTCGTCTCCGTTACGTCCTGTGGCTGAAATTACCTACTGTATGGTCGGCTTCCTGACCATACGACCGCCGTAAATTGCTGCAATCGAGCCATGGAAGCGATTTGAAGTCATTAGATCAGACTTTTACCTAAGGAAGTCGGTAGACGATATGATGCGATAATCGTTTCGCATCCAATTCTTTGCCCGCCTCGAAACAGTTGTATATACCTACAGTGCACACATGCGTTCATGCGGGTCCAGCCGATCGAGACCTGAGGCTGCAAAGGCGGCACAGCCACCGCCGAGGTTCCGCTGATCATCTCCATCAACCCTGGCCGGAACTTGGAAGCTCTCAATTCTCCAACCAGGACTTATCATTGGGTTTCATGGCGACAACCTTAGAAAGCGATGTTATAATCCAAGAAAGGTGTTAGCAACTGCCTTTCCATCTCGCATTCAAATGGCGACAGGTCAGACAAACCGATCACAATTGTCCCTGATCTATGGATCGCTGACCACTCTCCAGTGCGAATCAGCGTCTGTGGAGACGAGGGCACTGGCAAGTCCAGCTTGATCACCTCTCTTGTCAAGGGCGTCTTCGTTACCAACAAAATTCAACCCGTTTTACCCCAAATCACAATCCCTCCCACCATCGGAACCCCCGAAAATGTCACGACGACAACAGTGGTGGACACCTCCGCGCTCCCGCAGGAGCGGAATAACCTGGCGAGAGAAATCAGGAAGTCGAACGTGATTTTGCTTGTGTACTCGGATCACTACAGCTACGAAAGAGTCGCTCTGTTCTGGCTGCCGTATTTCCGGTCCTTGGGAGTTAATGTACCGGTAGTTCTTTGCGCAAACAAGTCGGACCTGGCCGCGGACCATACGGAGACACAAGTCATTGAAGAGGAGATGCTCCCGCTGATGGCGGAGTTCAAGGAGATCGACTCATGTATACGCACCAGTGCCCGCGAGCATCGGAATGTCAATGAGGCTTTCTTCCTCTGCCAGAAAGCCGTCACCCACCCCATCGCACCGCTCTTCGATTCCAAAGAGTCTGCCTTAAAGCCCGCCGCCGTCGCCGCATTACAACGTATATTCTATCTGAGCGACAAGGATCGGGATGGTTATCTCAGCGACAAGGAGATTGAGGACTTTCAGATGCGTTGTTTCGAGAAGCCGTTGAGTGAAGAGGATCTTGTGCATATCAAGGAGACCATTCAGAGGGGACATCCACACTCAGTTACTCCCTCGGGTATCGATTGCCGCGGGTTCATTCATCTGAACAAGATGTACGCCGAGAAGGGTCGCCATGAAACTGTCTGGATCATTCTGCGGGCCTTCCAGTATACAGATAATCTATCCCTGCAGGAGAACTTCCTCCATCCGAGGTTCGAGGTTCCTCCTTACGCCTCAGCTGAGCTGTCCCCAGAAGGGTATCGCTTCTTCGTCAATTTATTTTTATTGTCCGACAAGGATAATGATGGTGGGTTGAATGACGCCGAGCTGGCCTCGTTGTTTGCGCCGACACCGGGGCTGCCTGCCTCGTGGGCAGATGGCTCGTTCCCGTCATCCACCGTTCGGAACGAAGCCGGCCATGTCACCCTCCAGGGCTGGCTTGCACAGTGGAGTATGACCACCTTCACCTCACCCAAAACCACGCTCGAGTACTTAGCCTATTTGGGATTTGAGTCATCCGACCGCAGCAATCCTTCCACAACAGCGGCGCTTAAAGTCACGCGCCCACGAAAGCGGCGACGAAGACCCGGACGCGTGGGGCGCAATGTTGTGCTTGGCCACGTGCTTGGAGCTCCGGGATCCGGCAAATCGGCCCTGTTGGATGCTTTCCTCGCGCGGGGATTTAGCGCCACCTATCATCCCACCATTCAACCCCGGACGGCTGTGAACACAGTTGAACTTCCCGGGGGCAAGCAATGCTATCTGATTCTGGACGAGCTTGGAGAACTCGAGCCTGCGATCTTGGAGAACCAGGTTAAGCTTCTAGATCAGTGCGATGTCATTGTCTACACGTACGACTCCTCCGATCCTGATTCCTTTGCGTATATTCCAGCCCTGCGGGCGAAGTATCCGCACCTGGAAGAGCTTGCGAGTGTGTTTGTTGCGCTTAAGGCAGACTTGGACCGAACCACCCAACGGGCGGAGCACCAACCTCATGAATACACAGCACTATTGAACATGCCTAGTCCACCGCTCCATGTCAGCGCAACATGGAGCTCGATCCAAGAGGTTTTTGTTCACATCGCCGAGGCGGCTATGGAGCCTAGCACGGCCTTCCCTCGAAGTGAGGAAGATGTCGAAGGCAAGTGGATGTCGTGGGGGATCGCATTGGGGGCGGTCGTTTGCGCAGGGGCAGCAGCGGTAATGATCTGGCGGAGAGTCAGTGGTAGCGGGGTCTGAGTGCGCATGTTCTGTCTCGACCCTCTGAATAGCTGTAAACCTAGATACCCTTGACGATTTTGCCTAGCTGCCTGCGACTTTGTATAGTATTGTGCTGAAGGGATGACGCTTCATTATTCCAGGCTTTGCACAAACCCATTCACCTCAATGAAAATATTTCCATGCTAACCCGCCACATAGTTGGTGAAGCTTGCAGAAAGTGAGAGAGAGCGCAGTACTCGTAAACAGTGCCAGCTGAACCCCGCCGTGATCGGCTCGAAGATTTTCCTGCTAGTGACTAGTATTGTAGTTACTATGAGTAGTTAAGTTGGCGGCCGGCCCCACGCGCGAACCTGCCTTTAACCCCGGACGGAAGAATGACCACCGGCTGGCCGTCAGCTCCCCTGCCGGGCTTCCCAACTCTGGCTTCACTTCCACCACCATCCCCCCATTCATTTACCCCATCCTAGACGCGGTCTCAGCCCATTCGTGCCCGGATTTATCCCGCTTCCAAGTCCCCTCACGGCCTCCGCCCGGAATCTACATAAACTTCCAGAAACGTCTGCGATTCCTCAACCTCTCCCTCTCTCCGCTCCGGACACCCCGGCCTTCGGTCTAGCTACTCCTCTGCCACAGAGTGTCGCTTCTCTCCCCTCAGAACCTGCGATACCGGTCACAGGGCGTACCGGTCCTTTCGGCATTCCCTATATATAATTCAGCATCGTAAAGAACCACGTTGAGTGGCACCGCTCTGGGTGCCGCTCGTTGGGGGATTATACTCTGTTGTCCACTCTGAATTGACGATTGCCTGACCAGCCAGCCTATTGCGACATTCACTAATATTTCGCCCCTGTCACACCATACCATTCACAGTGAAACCCCTACATTCATAGATCAATTGGTTCCTGCGAGGTTCCTGTTGCAACCGCAGCCATGTTGTAAGACACTCTCCCACCGGGTTCTGGTTCATTATCCGTTTCCCTTTCCCTTATCTCTCCGCCCTGTGCCGCAGCATCATAGGTCCGGCGCCAAAGTCCCTGGAAATTTCCCAGCGACAGTTCCTTCCCCTTCAGCCCTACACGATTATGACGATTCTGTTGCGTGCTGCCTCTCTGACTGATCCCTCGATCCAGCGTCCTTCCCCCACCCCCACCTCGCTACACCGTCCCTGTCGCCTATGCAGCTGGTGCATCAAACGGCATGGCGGTGCCCGTGGTAGAGACGAACAACATCATCAGCCACCCGGAGGGCGGTTGCTCTCTGCAGGTGGGAGAAGGTGCGTTTGCTCTACCGCACCCTCACAGGCAAGCCATTCAGATTCCACTGACACAAGCCACGGAAATAGGCACCTATCACCTTAAAGACGACCTCCACCTCGCAACCCCTCCTCCTCATCCCTCTGAAGCGCCTGTTGTGAACCCAAACCCTCTCGCGACCGGCGTGACTCCGCCAACGTCGGGCGTGAAACTCTCCTTGGTCCAAGTTAGCAACCAGAGCAAGGCTCCTACATACTCTCTGAATGGTTACGGCACGGCACCATTGTTTGGCGATGGGAATCCTGCTCTGGCCGCCCCGGTGGTGAAGGAAGGGCTCAAGAGGAGGAAACCGAAGAACAACATTGTCAAGAGCAGCTCGTCGTTCGTTTCGCGGGTGATTACCCATGAAGCGCTGACGAAACGCCTGAATGATCGCAACCCAGACGGCTTCTTCGCGTTCGCCAACATCAACCGCGCATATCAATGGCTGGATCTCAGCTCGAAGCAAAAGGAAGAACCGCTGGCGAAGATTCTTTTCACGAAAGCGCACGTACTGAGCCATGACATTAATGAGTTGACGAAGAGTTCATCGCACATCGATATCGTCATGGGTTCGTCGGCCGGGGACATCATATGGTACGAGCCGATTTCGCAAAAATACGCACGCATCAATAAGAACGGGGTCGTCACCAATTCCGCCGTAACTCATATCAAGTGGATCCCGGGATCGGAGAATTTGTTCATGGCCGCTCATGCCAATGGACAGTTGGTGGTTTATGATAAGGAGAAGGAGGATGCGCTTTTCACACCCGAGCTTAGTAGTCCGTCAGCCGAGATGCTGAAATCGTCGGGTCGGCAGCCGCTGCAGATTTTGAAGTCGGTTAACTCTCGAAATCAGAAGACGAACCCTGTATCCCTGTGGAAAGTCGCGAATCAGAAGATCTCGCAATTTGCGTTCTCTCCGGACCGCAGGCACCTGGCTATTGTTCTGGAGGATGGATCCTTGCGGGTAATGGACTACCTGAGAGAAGAGTATGTTGCCATTGACCTAACTACATATGTCTATAGACAGACTGCTAACCCGATCTAGAGTCCTTGACATCTTCCGCAGCTATTACGGCGGACTGATATGCGTGTGCTGGTCTCCAGACGGCAAATACATCGTAACGGGTGGTCAAGATGATCTGGTCACAATCTGGTCCCTGCCAGAGCGTAAGATCGTAGCACGATGTCAAGGCCACAATTCGTGGGTTTCGGCGGTAGCCTTCGACCCATGGCGCTGCGACGAGCGCAACTACAGATTCGGCAGCGTCGGTGATGATTGCCGGCTGTTGCTGTGGGATTTCAGCGTGGGCATGCTGCATCGGCCCAGAGTGGTATGTCGTGGCCTTCCATTAAACCACCCCTCATTCAAGCCGATGCATACTCACACTCTCCAGCACCAAGCGAACGCACGTCAACGAACAAGCATGGTCGTATCCAACACGCAGCTAAGCAACCGACACCGAGCCGACAGCGCGGGCAATCGCGTCCGGTCCGACTCGCAGCAAACAGCCGACACATACAGCAGCTACGACCCGACCGTCCGTCATCCCGTCGAGCCCAGGGCGCGAACGGCTCTCCTCCCGCCGATCATGGTGAGCTTCGAACCCCCCCCCCCCCCCCAACACCCGCTCTTACCTCCCAAACAGCTACTAAAACCCAACCCCCATGATAGTCCAAAATCGTCGGCGAAGACCCGATCTGCTGGCTCGGATTCCAAGAAGACTCGATCATGACCTCCTCCCTCGAAGGTAAATCCGTTCTCAACCCCACCTCCACGCTTCCCAAATGGCATCCACTAACCCAAGCGACCCCCTGACAGGACACATCCGCACCTGGGATCGTCCCCGCGAAGGCATCAACGAGAACTACTACGACCACACCTCATCCCCGGCCATCAGCGCCAGCGTCGCGGGCTCCGGCTCTGCATTGGGTGACTCGGTGATGGGATCGCTTTGAACCAGCGGGGGCATATATCCATAGCCACGTTCGACTTTTTTTCTTGTAAATAATGCATGGTCATACTCCATGAGATATACCCAATGGCACACTATTAAGTACTAGTTCGTTGTTTTGTACTGTATCTGGTTTACTTGGGCAGTGGTTGATAATGCATGGCAATGGAACTGAGCTTGTATATAACGCGAGTTTTACGTATACTCCGCGCGAACTACTTTCCTGTTTCCATTAGGGTAGTTTAAAGCTAACACACTCCTTGGTGGTAGTATAGGGGGGGAATTATTGCCGAAGCATACCGTGCATTATGGAGGACTAAGAGTAGATGCAGTACCATTTGGGGAATCAGAAGGAACGTCAATCACGTTTAAGTATCGACTATCGAGCGGATAATCAAAGATACAACAGCAGTACGGGAAAGAGGGAATGACACGCATTTTCATACATGAAAAGCAAATGGGCTATACTTCGTCAAATCAGTTAAAGCAGATGGGATGATGGGTCGAGGATAGATAATGTACTGTGTTGCGGTCATTTGCATGGGGAATCTGGGTTGGGGGCTTGGACTTGGAAGACGGGCATGGGGGCAAGGGTAGGGAGGAAAGTGCAGAGAAGGGAGTCAGAGGAAGAGGAGGAAAAAGCAAAGGTGAAATCAGCAGAAGGTACTCGAATACTTGGTATGTTGTTAATGATATGCGACTGTAAAAGAAGCGTGAGGTTATGGTGCATAAATGCGATGTAACTTGAGAAACAAGCTGGGAAAGGGCAAGCAAGCAAAAGCAGGTAATTCGTGTACAACTCATACTCGGTCGAGTATGATGGCAGCTGCGTGCTGGAGTGTATATACACCCTTACCCTGGATTAGGATCTAAAGATAGTGGTGATCGGGGTAGGACAGGCGGCGGGTCTGAGCGCGGTTGGGGAGGGTCGAGGAGTCGTTAACCCTTCCCGAATCTGGTGGCGGTTCGGGGTGAAGTTGCGAATTCGATGTTAACGGTGGCTTGTGCCATTGTACAGTACCTGAGGCAGGCTGGACGATGGAAGGTACCGTTGGCGCTTACAGGGCTCCGGCGAAGACGCTCATCACGAGGGCGCTGAGCACCGCGAGCGGACCGCTCAGCGTGATCGCGTTCGAGGCAGCTCCCGCCGAGGCAGTGGCGGAGGCGGCGGTCTTGGTGGCAGTAGTGGCAGATGCTGTGGCTGTTGTTATGGTAACAAACAGATTGATCCAAGGTTAGACAATTCGTTCATCGCGTTTCCTGTCTGTACTCACCCAGTCTCACGGAGGCGGAGGGAATGGTGCTAGATGATGGTGGTGAAGAGGTTTTGTGATAGATGCAGGGGCGTGGCTTGATTTTGGTGCTGGTGTGGGTGCTGGATGATAGTGGTGCATGTGCTGGTGATGAGAGTGGTGGTGATGGTGATGGTGTAGATGATGTAGATGTAGATGGTGATGTGTGTGATTGTGATGGTGATTGTGATTGTGATGGTGATGATGATGATGATAGTGTTAAATTAGAATTATCCTTACCCGTCTCGACTTTGCCAACTTTAGTGACATTGAACTGGTTTGACTGGCTCAAAATGCCAGTGTTCTGGGTGGTGTTGGCGATGGCATTCAATTGATAGCCATCACTATATCCGATAGACTTGGTCAGTCTGGCTGCACCTCCATCTTTGTTGGGGATTTGACCACATACGCAACAGGGATTCCGGTGATCTTGTCCACCTTGTAGGAGCCAGCTGAGACCTTGACATTCTGGGCGATAGGCTTGTTGACAGTCGGCTGGGAGGCCATATTGACCAGGACCAAGGTGACCTCGTCCGGATCAGAACTGCGCAGGCTGTTAGTTTCATGCATGACCGGTCATGCTGGGAAACGTACGAGACCGTGTTCCATTTGAATTCGTAGGACTGGCTGAAGTCAACCTTATCACCGGCCTTAGGCTGAACGATAGTCAGAGCTGGAGACTGGTGTTAATAGGAGTTCTCAAGCTTGCAGAAATGGAGAAGAGGAAGCCCTACCCAGAGCTGAGGCAGCAAAGGCGGCAACGGCGAGAAAGAGGCTCAAGAAACGCATGGTGAAAGTCGTCGGAGGGTATTAAAACTAGAATTGGAGAGTGGGAACTGCACAGCAGGGCAATACAAGAATTGAATGGGAAGCTATACACTGGCTAGGAAAGATTAATAGCATTTGGGAGTTCGGGACATGACAGCTTTATAGCTCTTGTGTGGATTGCGAATAACTACACCGCAACATGGTCATTGGCAAGGATTGTGTGCCTTCGTGACCCCTCTCATCATCCTGTCATCGTCCTGGGCTCTCCTACCGGCTTGACCGATCGGAAGAGATAACAAGGAAACAGCAAGAAGGAAGAAAAAAAAAAAAGTCAATGTCTATTTTGGGTGAGGGTGAACTTGCCGACGGGCTGAAGTTGTTTGTGCGCCCATGCGAGGGGGATCCGCAGCTGATCGGTCTCCGTCCAAAGTCTTCCTATCACTTTCGTCCTTTCCTCCCCGCTTCTCCTTCTCCAGGAGCTCCGAGCATGCAGGAGACGCGTCAAATTGGTGATTCTCGTGTCAGTGTTCCCAGGGTTTTGACAGGAGGTTGATAGGAGATTTCCTGCTTGCAATCCGCGAAGACAGGGAGGTCCCCTTCCCCCGTGTTGGCAGAGCACGCTTTTCTCCTTCCAAGGGAAAATGACGTTTCATTACTTGATAAGGAGGTGGTCCTTCCTCAGAGGGACGGTACGTGTCGCGTTGATTATTGATGCGATGCAGATCTGGGCTAAGGTTTCTCTCAACAACTAGGGCTTCAACGTACAGCAACTGACGCATACATAGCGGCAATATATGCATAATCTTAATAGAACAACACCTTAGCCTGTTCCGACCGGGCTTGGGCTCTTGGTACAAGTTTCTGGTGTAGATGAGACCATCGCTTGCCAAGCCATTATTTGACAGGAAGGAAGCCGGCGTCAATAATTGATTGTCTGAAGAAAGGCCTTCACGTCACATTCACTTCTTGAACGCCCTCGATTAGGTACAGTATAGTACCTTCAGGATACGCAACAAAATCGCCTTCTCATCATTCCAGATACTCACTAGGCAGTCATTTTTCTCTGCTGGGTGCGGATGGCGGTCACCACATATGACGCATCATATCATGCAGTGCTGACTCGACGAGTCATATTGGACCGAAAGACTAAGCTCGCACAAAGTCTACACGCGGTCAACCGTCTGGTTAGCGTTCAATGAGGAAACTTATTGACGCGACTCGACTTCCATAGTGGCCAACAACCTCACACTATCGACAAATTTATCGAACAAAACTGACCGGTAGAGAGATCTGGGCGGAACACTGTTCACTTTCGCTTCGCGATCATGAGAAAGCGCATTTCCTTATGGTATTGTGCATGTCCGCAGCAGCAACAATGTGTCAAAACCAGTATGGGAGCCAACATGCCTTGCAAACGCGACTGATGACTTCCCGTGATACACGGACATTTAAGTAGCTACCGACGTACTCAGAGATCAAACAAGGTCAGCCCGGATATCTTCGTCTACTGCGATTTTTGGCGCATGTTTTACCGACAGGTGCTTCTTGTATCTGCATCTAACCTAAGAATAGATGGCCTTTTGCCCGAGAGTCGCTTCTTGATCGCCACCTGAACATCGTGTTGCTCCGAAGAGATCCTGTCTTGTTCAAGTATAAGTACCCTGGACATAGGTTACGCACGCTGAGGGACGTAATTCCTCGGTACTTTTGAGGCCGGTCTTCCACTGTTTGTCGGACGGACTCGCAGCAAGATCATACCTAATCTCTGGTAGCATTTTCATTTGCATTGCTATTTTTGTTGTCGGGCGCTTCAGTTCATCGCCACTCTACAGTCAATGTACTGTACTTCCATTTCTAAATATAACAGCACTGAATGACATACAGCTACCGGGTTCCTCACTGAATCCAAGCAGATCGAAGCCAGCTTATACCGGTAGCCATCATCATGGAGCTTGTATGATTCAGATGCCCCATACGCCTAGTGGATCAGGCCCACCCGAGTTGATCCGCTTGTGCTGCAGGGTCTTCACCCTTCTCACGAGCGTACCCACGCAGATGGGGCCAAGCAGGGTGCAGATCGAGATCGCCCAGACGACGACCAGATAAGTGTCTGAAGAACCGCCTGTTGAGCCTTGACCAAAAATTCCCTTCGATTCTGCAAGCGACGCAATGAGATAGCCGATCTCCCCTCGGGCCACCATTGCCAGACCCAGTACCGACGGCGGATAGAGAGATTTGGGTTTGGGAGGAAGAGAGCTGGCGGACCTAGTGTGTTCGGGTTGACCTTGATGTATCCCCGCAGCCGAGCTAGTGAGATTCCCTTCAGAAGAATTATTGCCGTTCGATGCTGACGATTTGTTGCTGGAAGACTGATTTGTAGTGACAGTGTCCGAACGCTTCCGGCGTCTTTCCTCTTCTTTTGACTTCGTGTTCTTTGCTTTTGCTGTCTTCGCTTGCGGTGACCGGGCACACCACAGTTTGACGTACGCAAAGAACGTTGTCAATGAACGAGCTAAGCTCGAAACCGGTCCCAAGGAGAACCTGACCAGCCAGGTGCCTGTGACGACCTTGCCGAAGAACATGAGAATCGCGTAGATGACGCCTCTCCAGACTATGTCTCCCTTGAACATTTCCGTGATGGGAACAGCGAATCCAATCGAGGCCTGATCTACATCAGTTGAGTCATTGTACGACAAGACATTGATTTAACTTACGAAGAAAAGAGGAATGAGAATTCTCTTGGCTGGTTCCGCATAGTATCTCTCATACACCAGCGAACCAGTAGGAAACTCTTCAGAAGACAAACCCGTGGAACCAGATTGTGAGACACCAACTTGTGCGGCCTGCTCGGAAGTTGCACCTCGCTGGCTGGATGCGTGGTCCTGGGAAGGGTCTATGGACCTCAATTCGTGCTCATCAGTAGACTCCAAGCGACCGGGATGCTCCGACCCTGAACCCTGCTCCAAAAAGTCGCTTATCCAAGTAGTCGCCACACCCGCCAGGTATGCGGCAAACAAGCTGGATGTCCCTGCATAGGTGGCACCAGCCACCAGCCCAAACAAAAGACACGTATAAGCAAGAAAAGCAAACTGTACCGTCTTCACAGCTCTATGAAACCTGTCCTCATGGGACAAGATCACTTGCAGGATAGGCTTGACACCAAACCGACAAGCAAGTACAACGCCGACGCCAAAGGCAAGTGATACGCAGATAGGTCGGACAACAGTCACCGCACTGAAGGACTCATTCCCACTATCAAGATTCGTGATGATCTGAACCATGACCAAACCCACAACATCGTCGAGCATCGCCGCACTCGTCGTGACCACACCCAGCCGCGTCTTGACCAGGCCCGTAGTGGAGAGGATGGTGAACGTAGTCCCCAGACTGGTCGCGCTGAGCGCCGCCCCCGCCGCAAAGGCTTGCAAGGGGGTCGCCGAGACCAGCTCCAGGAGGATAAAGGAAAGGGCCATGGGGGTGCCGATGCCGGTCAGCGCCACGGCCACCGAGAGGAAGAGGTTCTGCCTAAGCGAAGAAAGCGAGGTCGAGAGACCACCTTCATAGACCAGGAGAATCAAGCCCAGGTACCCGAGCTGTTGGATCACGGTCTCTGCGTCGTCCGGGAGCCATTTTGCGCCGGGCGTGCCCCAAAGGATGCCGACGAAGAGTTGGCCGATAAGCCCGCAGTAGAGCAGTTTGTCCAGGCAGACATTGACGAGGTTGAGGACCAGAAGAAATCCGGATTGACTGAGGATGGTTCCGATGGCTGGTTCCTCGTATGCAAATGCTGTTTCTGTGGAGGGCATGGTGATGACCTTGTTTCACTTGGAATTCTTATAATGGGGTGTGGATGGTTTTGCTATATGTCTGGTAATAATTGTTTGAGCCGATCAGGTTTTGATTTCTTGATGCTAGAAGACTCCATCTATGAGATGCATCTTGACTCTCGTACAGAATTCGGACTTTGAGGGGCTATAATTCTTGACTTGTAATGGATGCTGTTGTGTTGGAGAAGATGATGCCTCAACGAAACACTTTGGAGGACGGCAGGTGACCTCGGCCAAGACTTGGCTGTTCCGCTCGGGCCATCGTTCAGTTCCGCCTTCCGCTTTCCTTCCTCTGATCGCTCACTCTCCACTGCGTCGTGGTAAACGGTTTTGGAATTTACTCGATATATCATCCTTCGTTTCTATTCCAGATCGAAATCTGCACTTAGTGGATGCTAATAGATTTCTATGCATGTTAATTCGCCATCTAGCACTATTATTCTGTAATTTAAAGTCCGCCCTTTACTGGATGGAAATGCTTCGGGGATGAATCTATATTGAATAACCTTGTCCTTTGATTGCCACGTGTACTCCTTGTCATCTAACTATGACATAGGAAAGCCAGACGATAGCGCTTGCATGACTAAACACGAATTAGAATACCTGCTACTTGTCATCGTCGTGCGATCACCGCTAGCTAGTTGATGCTCTGAGGACGAATAGCTTCCGGCGCCTTGACATAGTCAAAATGTCCCGCCACATTCATCATCTGGACGTTTGCGGGGCCTGTAGACTTGGAGGGGAACAAGAAGTTCATGGGAAATCCCAAATCGAAGGGCGCGGCTGCCTCGATATCATCCATGTCCTCCTGGGTCAGGCTCACGCGAAGAGCGTCGATGCTCGACTTCAGATGCTCGACCTTGCGACAACCGATGATAGGGAACACATAAGGGGCTTTCTGGGAGACGTAGGCAAGGGCGACACCGGCCACTGACGTCTCATGCTTTAGGCTAATTCTCTCCAGAACCTCTGAGACCGCGGTGTCAGCCGCGGTGGGCGGGAAAATCATGCGCCGCAGAGAGTTGTGTCCCTCCCCTTCAGAAGCTACACGTTCTTGCCGGGACTTGAAGCTGCCGCTCCCGAGCACGCCCCACGGCGCAAGTCCCATGCCTTCGCTCTGAGCCATGGCAAGGATGTCTCGTTCGAAATCGCGCCGGGAAGCGGACCATCGGCCTTGGTAGACGGAGAACGGGCGTAGGCCGTGGTCCCGAGCATCTAGACAGTAATACGACACGTCAGAGTGGCTCAAGTGTTATGCTGTGACAGTTTGGGATAAAGCGATCGTGCTTACACTGGTTCGCCTTGCTTACAACCCAGGCTGGGGTGTCGCTGACCCCGAGATACAGTACTTTACCGGTGGCAACTAACTGGTTCAAAGACTGCATGATCTCCTCGATAGAAGTAGCAAAATCCCACCAGTGCAGGTAGAGCTGGATATGAGAAGGTGTTGTCAGCCACGCATACGGATCCTGACAGCTCGAAGCAAACTTGATCGAGTCGCTCTTACCACGTCGATGTAAGATGTTCTCAGCTTCTTGAGGCTGGCATTAACTGCAACATGCAAGCTCTTGGTGTTGTTACCCACGAAATTGGCCTGGATTTCGTCCGGCTGATAGGCGCGGTACCCAGTCGAATATTTGGTCGCTAGAACGATCTGATCGCGAACTCCACGATCTTCCAGCCATTCTCCAATCCAGATTTCAGATTCCTCGTTCTGGTAATTGTCGGCACTGATTTGCGGCAACTAATTAGCCGGGAGCGACAAGCTTTGCCTCAAATGCAAGGGTGTACATGCGTGTCAATGAAATTGCCGCCGGCTTGATAGTAGGCGTCGAGGATCTCAAAGACAGACTTCTTGCCGCATTCCCCCATGAAGGATTTCCTAGAATGCCAGCCATCAGCAGGGACCCTCGTCGTTTCAGTGGAGGTATATACCATGCGTCCCCAAAGTTCATAGATCCCAAGCATATTGGGCTCACTTTCACCGAGGCGGCAGGAGCTAAGGGCCGATAACGGCCAAGAAGGCTTTTTGGTGGGGGAGGTACAAAAGACATTTTCTTCGCGAGTGACCTGGTCTGATTATGGCTATGTGTGTGTCTGTTATGTGATGTTGGCTTGCTTGGTAAAAGAAAATAACTTGTCAGAGTTAATCGCCAGCCCTTATATACCCGGGCCATCATTCTGCTGATGCTCATGGACCTCATGGACTTTCAACGCCAATGGAAGGTGGAACTACATCATGAAAGTTCTTGTGAGCCCCCGCGGAGGGCCGAAGCTGCGCAGGAGCGCTGCTCTCTTGCATACTCAAGGCTGATGAGGAGGATTCTCACACAAGTGTACGGGGCTCCGCGGATGGCCGAAGGGCGACATGGAGTCTTTACAGCTCGCAAGGGTGAAATCGCCAAGATACTCAAGAGGTCCCCTGGCCAGACGTCCGAGAGAGATGAGACATGAACGATTGTTCGACCACCCAAGACTTGCCAATGTACGATCCATGGCAATGGCCATTGATCAATGAAAGAGTGGTGGGAGCCTCCAAGGCCCGAGGTCATAGGCGAGAAGTTGAGAGCGGTTAGCGGTGTTCACGGACATTAACTACACTATCTCCGATCTAATCTAATCATTCCGGCTCATCCGGACCCTTCGGCCACCCGCGGACGGCCGAATATTACGTGTCGACCATCACAGCGTGAGTCTCAATGACCTTTGCGGTGATCCCAGTACTAGAGAAGAACGCCATGTACAGTCACAATAGTCCCGTTTTCAATGAGAACGAGCCCACCAGGGCGGTACGATAACCCTAGGAAGCGCCGAGCCCGGTAGACGAGCTCTGTCATCCTTTTGTACCAAAGACAACTGGCTGACCTATTCGTTTTAAATTGTCTATTTTTCAGTGCGATCAGTGCCGGACAAGAAAGGTACGCATGTATCAAACCTACACTAAGCAGGCCTATGCCTATCCTTCCAATTGGCCTCTGCCGTGCTTGGCGTTGGCCCTCTCGATCTGTTCCCACATGTGGTCTATAGTTCGGTTGGCTCATTTGTATCACTCAGATTCGATGCGATAGGAAACATCCTTGCGCCACCTGCCAGGTTGCAAGACGATCTTGTTCATACTCTACAGCGGCCCCAAAGCCTAAAGAGGCGCGTCAAAGGGTACTCATATCATCTCAGTAGTAAGAATCAGCATCCATTATTCTGCCCGAGCCCTCAGTCAGCTTGCGAGCTAAAAAAACTTTGGCGGTAGCGAGAGTAAATTAGACGCCTTCGAGCGTCGGCTTACTGGCATCGAGTGTCTTCTCCAGAAGCTCGTCGATGGACAGAATGGGCATGCGTCGACGCCTCCTTCTACCAACAACCCCGGCTATGTTGACTCGCCCTCTCTGGAACGTAGATCTTCACCCATGCTAAACAAGGAGAAAACCGAGTCAATATATGAAGGCGATACATCTCTAGGCGTGCACGCTGATCTAGCCAAGAGATTTTTCCGGGACACCATCCAAAATCTGACCATCTCTTATGACCTGAGTCCGCAGATGAACCTGGGACTGTCAAGGTTGGAAGAAATCGTGGCAACTCAGAGCCGGTCTCTGACGAATTCCGGCGAGCACTTCCCCGTCCAAGACCTTCCTGTCGATTGTGAGCCTCGCAACCTGCCAATGCCGCCTACCCATGATATATTGCGCATTCTGAGGCAGGCTAAAGCGGGTATGTACAACCATTTGGTTTACTAGAGCCTTCAAAGTCACCTACAGCCCAGAAGATAATTTGTTTGGCCAGATCCCGCGCAGGTCACCTTTAATTTTCTATGCTCGTTCCTCACGATTGACGATTTTATCGGGTACTGCAACAGAATCTGCTTTGCACTCAATGATCCTACACTCGCAGACTACATTATAGTCAATGGTGGGCTATACTACTTGTTTGATGAAAAGTTTCGGCAGCGGAACGATATTTCCAGTGAGGAAAAGTTCCTGAACTATCGGACAATGTGTAAAGCCAACTTTGAGCTGTCCCTTCGTCGGTTGAGCATTTTCATCCCATCGAATAGAGATAATATCACGGCTCTTCTTTTCGGGGTAGGCCATTATGCACAATTTTCAAGTTGGGGATGAGAAATTTCCGTGTCTCTGACAGCACAACAGGTACTTTATGCGGTGGAGGTCTCTAGACCATTATTGGCGTGGAAACTAAACTACACCGCCATTCAAATGTGTCAAACACTGGGCTACCATCGCCTTCCCATGGCGCTAAGCAATCAGCAGGCTGACCTCCATGTTCCTCCTGAGTCGACTCTCTTTTGGTACTCATATGTGCTTGACAAAGGACTTGCCTTGAAGCTGGGCAGGCAGTCTGCCGTTCAGGACTATGATATTATTGTCCCTACGAGGAACAACCTCTCTTCTGCTTCTGATCCATTGCAACAGCTTTCTTTCATAGGGATCCGAGGTGCGCAAGTACAAGGAAAGATACTCGAAACCCTATATAGCCACGCTGCTGTTTCAACAATGAATGATCAAAGGCAGCAACAAGGTCTATCACTGGCTCAAGAGATCCTGTCCCTTACCCAAACCATTGAGAATCTTCTCGGGGGTTGTGCCATAATGCATCAAGCAGACGACCCGCGACCAAAGCTTGAAGACTGGTTAGCGGTAAGCTTACAGGCAGAGCTTGTTTCGCTCCATGCCACGTTATGTCTAGTATATCGTGGTACCCCAGCACTCTCGGGAGCATACAATATGCTTAGCCCTGACTGTCTAGACTCGGCAAGGAATGCTGTCCGAGCACACTTGACGTGCATGCGCCTTCTTGGCTCGAGTCTGTCCGCTCAGGCTTGTTACGTCCTCTGGTGAGTTACATCGGGCTATTCAATTCAAGCGCCGCTAACAGCAACCAGGACACTTCTTTTGACGCCATTCATACCATTCATTGTTCTCTTCTGCAACAGCATTAGTATCGAATGTGCCAACGACCATGACCTGGACCTGCTACGGGAATTCGTCGAATCACTGGAGCTGGTTCAAGGGACATCGGAAGCTATCGAACAGGTTTATAGTTTGGCCCAGGCTCTGTATGAGATTGCGACCTTATACAAGGAGCAAAATAGGCACGATGCGGAAGCGCAGCTCGTACTGCTGGGGTCAGAGTTCGATCGATTTCTCAGCGAGTCTGGGTTTATGCCGTCCTTCTTCCAATCGTCGACAGTATCCAGTGGGGCTGGGATTCTATAGGGAGCTTTGACATCAACCGGTAGAGTTCAAGATATGCGTGCTCACTCAGAGGGGGCTGCTTCCTTTTCGATTGACACCGAGCTTCATCGACTTTCAGTCTTCCTCGTTTCACGTTCTCAACGATACCATTAACACGTTTTGTCCGTTTATGGCTGAACGATATACCTCGCGTACGTCGCATAGCTAGGCCTTTCATTCCTTGGTGAGTCTGTCAGCTGCAATCGGGACTCGTGTGTTGCCTTCAAAAGGAAAGGCTTCAACCGCGTGCTATTCCAGCGCGCGGGCTGGCCTACTTTGATAGGCAGACGTGCGAAAGTCAACTGAAGACGGATCGAATGGTTTAAGTTGTGCGTTCTTGGAAGGCTACGTAGTCCAGGAACCAAGGGATGCCGCAAACACCCAAAATATGTGTGGGATACTACATTCCAACGGCTACTATACGAGCCTAAGGAATCGACGGGAACAGTCTATGATCGGCGCCGGAATTTATATTGGCCAATACTAGGCTTAAAATAGCAAGAGGTATGGACATTGTTGGTGGTCTGCATCAGGGCAAAACAGGGTGACTCTCGTACAACCAAGCTCCTTATCTACTTTCATCTACTTGATTGTTTCCCTGCCTGGGTAGCCGCCGTTGCCCCAGGCCAGAAGGTCCGTTTTCAGCTTTCTTCCTTTGGGGAGCCTGGATGCAGAGACAAAGAAAGATAGATTCTGTGACGTGTCATCTTAGTGCTACTCATGCATTGATAGGGTGCCAGTCGACGTCTTGCTTCCCCAGTGGGGCCACCATATGGCGTCAAATCAACAAGGTTCATTTATCAAGGGACTCATTCAAGGGGGTAAAGATATAAAGTTCCTCGGAGAGAGTGCCATAACAGACCCAAAGTACCCAACTGTCATCGTCTTGAAATATTTAAGATCCGTCCATCCCTTATATTCGCTCGTGTTCGATCACTCGTGCACTACCTGCGATCTTTCCCCATTGGCCTGTTAATTCCGACTCTTGTCTTTCATTTTTGTGGGGATTGGGGTAGTTTACGTTGACAAGCAATCATCATTCTTGGCATATCGAGTGGTACGAGAAATCCGTCGTCGCCATGAAAGTCCAGACGGCGAATCTTATCCTGAGCTTCTGTGGCTCCATCATGGCTTTGCCCCTCCATGATGGGTTTGAAGAACGAGGGTCGGCGGCGGCATCATCGGGCAATGCTGTCCAGTGGTCCAGTCCTTCTGCAGTGTCGTCTGCCTCTGTGCATGTTCCATCAAGCAGTTCTGCGCTGAAATTGCCCAGCCCCGCTCCTAGCTCTGCGGCAAAGGAGTTCGGCACACCCAACTATCATGGTCCAGCAATGGTTCAGGGAGCTGCTGTGAATGGCTTCCCACCAACAACAACCGCCGCAGAGGACACTGCGAGCCCTTCAAGCACATCCGCAAGCGCTTCGACCACCAAACCGGCTACTGCTCCTACTACCGCAGCGTCAGGAGAGTATCCTGGGGTTGGGGGTCAATCTGGATACCAAGCTCCGTCAACGAGCTCCGCCTCTGGCGGTTTCAGCGGCCCGTCTACCCAAACCCAGCCTGCTCCTTACGGACAATCCGCTTCTGGAAGTCAGAGCACGGGCTTTACAACTCCCCCAAGGGCTCCTTTCGAAAGCCAACCGACTCCTCCAGCTGCGGCCGCAGGCACTGGCGCTAACAGCGGTGCGTATCCGGTGAGCCAGCCTACGTCTTACGGTCAATCGTCTCCGTATGGTGCATCTGCCCCGGCCGAGCAAGCCTCCCCCTTTGGGCAGTCGACTCCCTTCGGACAAGCGGCATCTAATGATCAATCGACTCCCTTCGGACAAACTGCGCCTTACGGCCAATCAGCTCAACAATACGGTCAGTCCAGTCCGCAAGCACCGAATACTGGATCTACATCAAGCAGCGGGACTCGTCCGGGTAGCCAAGCGAATTCCCAAGGGTCCACCACCAACAATGGGGCATCCAGCGGGGCGCGTCCCCAGGGACAATCAGCTGCTCAGGGTACAACGACAAACAAAGGAGCATCCAGCGGTTCACGCGCCCAAGGCAACTCGGCCCCAGTGGTCCCATCTACGAACACTGGATTGAATAGGGTACATCCCCGGGGACCACCCAGCTCACAGGACGCCAGCTCGAATGCCGGCCAATCTAGTGATGGTCGTCCTCAGGGTCAGTCCCAATCTGCGAACACTGGGCCGGCCAACGCGCGCCCTCAAGACCAGGCCGCTCATGCCGGCTCTACGGCCAGTAACGAGAGGCCCAGCGGTGAGCGGCCGATGTCCCAGAATCCCAACACGGTGGATTCGAGCGCAGTGTTCCACCAAGGTCAAGCTTCGGACCCTGGTGCGGCGAGTGCCTCGCTGGCCGCATCGTACGGTCTTGACCTTGCTGGACAATTGCTTCCCCCCGGTTACAACCCTGTTGCAGGAGCATCGACTGCCAAGGACGACGACGACGACTATGAGGCGACGCCTGCAGGCTTCGCTGGAGTCAAACCTCCTAAAACCAGTGGATCTTTCGCTCCCCAAGATCAGTCCGTGGCTTCTAGCTATGTGAGCTCGATTCCCAAGGGGCAGGCTGCAGCGACCGGGTACCTTGGAACCGTTCCGCAAAGTCAACCCACCGGCGCGGCATCCGGTAGCTCTACGCCTCAAGGTCAGTCTTCCAGTTACGGAAGCACAACTCCTCAGGGTCAGTCTTCGGGATACGGCAGCACCACTCCTCAAGGTCAATCTTCGGCACCCGGAAACACTATCCCTCAGGGCCAGTCTACAGGATCAGGATACGGCAGCACTGCTCCTCAGGGTCAGTCTTCAGGGTCTGGAAGCACTACTCCCGCGGGGCAATCTTCTGGCTACGATAGCACGACTCCTCAGGGCCAGTCCTCGGGCTCGACTCCCGAGGGCCCGACTTCTGGAACCGGCGCCTCCAACCCTCAAGGCCAATCGAGCAACAACGGATACTCCAGCGGCGTGAGCGTCAACGGCGACCCCGTTTATAACGAGCCTATGGCCGGTCCCGCGTCTGAGGGTCAGAGCACCGGGGGTGCGGACAAGCCCGCCCAAGGACAGTCGAAGGCCTCCTCATCCCCCTCTGACCATGCCGCGAGTTCCGGTCAGCATTCTCAAGCTGCTGCACCGGTATCTGGCGCTGGAAAATCCCAGTCTGGGCAGGGACAGGCTCAGGCTCAGGGACAGGCTCAGGGACAGGGACAGGCTCAGGCTCAGGGACACGCACAAGGACAAGGACAGGGTCAGAGCCAAGCACAAAAAGGACAAGGCCAAGGGCAGACACCGACACAGGGACAGGGCCAGGGCCAGGGACACGCACAAGCCCAAGGACAAGGACAAGGACAAGGACAAGGACAAGGACACTGAGGCGCTGTCGACCAGGTGAACGGAAGAATGTGGATCCCTAATCAATCATTGTAAGCTTTTTTGTATTACCAGTTACTCGCAGCTTAGGCCGGAGGGGTATTGACTATCTAGTTCTCTGTAGAACATAATATGTAATGGGAATTTAATTACCTGCGAATGAGTGATCCAAGCTTGTAGACATACTTTGAAACATTTAGTAAACACGCTACGTCAACAAACAAACCCTCGTACCCGGTTCCTCGTCAGCAAAGAATCCGTTTATGCAAGGGGGAGGAAGAATGACAGTCCCAGGGCAAACAGATTCCGTTCGGATTTAATCGGGGATATAGAAGTGAGTGAATGGGCTTTCTCGGCTGTATGCGTTGAGTCACGGTAGAACGATACTGAGCGTCTAGATACACGGGGGGAGAGTTGTTTGAAAGGTAAGCTCCAGTGTGGTCTTGGAGTAAAGTCACGCCTGGCTGCATTGGTGTTGTTATTTGGACGGTTCTTCGATGTGACCTTACTTTTGGTCATCTTGGCTAGTTTGTCAATGAATGCTGTGGATATTTGGGCTGAGGGCCTTGTTTGGTTGTGTCCGGTAGTATTTCGTTCTAAGTACTGGTGTTTATTGTGGAGATACTATCATCGAACTACCGGTATAGCGGCCAGTTATATATATATATATATATGTGGGCTTACAAGCAGGTTCGGATGAAGATGTGACTGGCTACTCACCGTAACTATATCTTCATCAAATATATATCCACAACTGAAGCACACAACTCGAGTCCCGACCAGTGTCATATTTTTCAAAATTGCTATCCCACCACCAACGACGATAATATATTCTCGAAACCGCAACTTCGACCTCCCAAACAAGATCCAACCAACACCCATCACAACACAACCAACCAAACAAATAAACAAACAAACACCCCCAATCCCTCACCCGCAGATAACATGAACCCTCGCAAAGAAAGAGGCAATTCCCTCCCCTCCCGCCTTGATGCATCAACTCCACACAAAACCCCCCTCCCCCACCCACGCACACTCGCATGATGCAAACATGCATGCACGCGCGTCCACAAGACTCGACTCGACCTCTCTCATCCCCCACCGCAGTACATCCAATCCTCCCCCTATGATCCCCGATCCTTCCATCCACCCACCCACTGATCAAATCGAATCCACCACCAATGCAAAAAATGCAAGGGACATCGACAAGCTTTGCCCGGGTAAGGCTTGTCACGACTTGGCTTTCTCTTTAGGCCCGCCTCCTTTTCCGCTTTGGGATGGGTCAGGGGGTACCATTGCCATTGCCATTGCCATTACCATCACTAATTGTAATTTCGTAGGTGGGATGGGTGTACTGTCCTAATTCTTGTCGTTCTTGAGGAAAATATCATCGGACTTACCATCTGTTTTCCATAGGAGTGAGTGCCGTGGTAGGTACAATGGGGTTGGTGTTAAGGTCAAGTGGGACTCTTAACATCGCTGCTACGGGTCAACGGTAACTGCATGCAGCAGCAGCAGCAGCACGGGAGAATACTCCAGATAATATCCTGGTGTAGTTGTGAGGGTGATGGTGGTGGTGGTGTGAGCATAGCTTTTCACGTATACGGTGTAGTCAGCATTACCCCTGACCTCCTCTCCCTCCTTCGAACACAGACCAGACAATATCCCCAGAAGTCGTACAGACCAGCGAGGTCTGTACGACAACATACAGTACCAACCTCAGAACTCGAGGAAAGAGGAGGACCGGCTAATCGGCAAGGCAGCTGATTGGACAGGGACTGGTGTGTCACGAATTGAAAGGAGAAAGCGAGGGAGGGAGGGAGGGGGGGGGGATGGACGCAGTTGCATACTTACTGCATACTTACTGCATATCCACTCCCATACAGTACAAGTATGTACTGACGTACAGTACACCGCTGGTCTGAGCTTCAAGCTTGAATAGGGGAAGGAGGTGCCTCCTGATGATACTCACCGCTACATTACCTGATACGTCGAACGGACAGGAGGAGCTTGGGGTGACTGCTTTCACAGTACCGATCTGAAAGTATCGACCCATAGCGATAGATGGATTAGTGGGATATTCTGCAATGATCAGCCAGTTCTTCTTGGCTCCTAACAGAAAACAGGTCTATTGTAGACGTGATATCTATGACTAGTATGTACTGTACGCAATGGAATGTAAAGCCACAGACAGACTGGGAAACTGTCGCCGACAGAGTCTATAAACTCAAACACGGAAAAAAAAAAAAAAAAAACCAAAGAGTATATCTTTAAATCAATTAATGCTATAGTTTAGTGTCACTCGCGGACAGGGCTAATCGAACAACAAGAATCAGGCATTTATCATCATCTCTCATCAAGGTCATGAAGACGGGGGTGGTCGTCACTCAGACGGTGTGGAGGTGGTGGTAAGGTGCTGCTAACAGACCACTAGACCTATCGGTATGGATGGGAACCCCTACTGCACCCAGGATTGCACGAAAAAATTGGCTTCCGTGTTATTTTCGTCCATCGAGGCCGTGCTGGGATCGTAGAGCCCCACGGGCCACATGGAATCCGTCGCGGACGTTGTCATGGGCATGCTGGCCGTCGGGGCGGTCATAGGCTTGTATGCTTCCGGAGTCGACATGGGAACGAAGGTCTCTTGCGAGGGAAGAGGCTTCGATTCCATGCCCATGTTCGCCTGGAGCTGATGCTCGAGCGCGGCGGTGGATTCGTTGGCCGACTTCAGGAAGTCATCGATATCGATCGACTCAAGATTGTTGGATGCCAGGAGCTGAGCTTGAGGAAGTCCAATGAACGACGACGCCGAGCTTATCCGATAATGGTCAATGTCCGAGCCTTCGCTCACGCTGGTTAGGTCGTGGAGGTCACTGCCGGTCCGACCCAGGCCGGAGAGCGGGGCAAAGTCGTCCACTTCGGAGATGTCCCCGGACGAAGAAGGAGCCGGGAATCCAGGGCCGATTCCATTGTAGTCGAAGCTGGCGTATGAGGGAGCTTGCGTGCTGGCTGCGGCCGGAACGTCCGAGTAAAGGGGAAAGCTCGACCAATCCACCGGAGGCGCGCTGAATCCAATGGGCATCTCGCTTTCCGGGGAGGTGAAGTAGGCCTCCTTGTATGGATCTTGGAAAGCCATACAATTGACAGGGGACGTGGCTGTGGTTGGGAAGGTAGAATACGACGAGACATCGAGAGGCAAGCCACTGGTCACCAGCTGGTCCAGTGGAGTCTTCGCCATGGGCATGGTGGAGACCGGTCCGGAGACATTGATGTCGCCGGGCTTCTCCAGAGTCTGGGTTGGTGGGAAAAACGACGAGAGGTCGAGTGGGGGGACAGTCGTCGGAACAGCAGCGTTCGGCGGCACAACGGGGGCACTCTCCGGGGACCCATGTTCGGACTTGACCCGGCGATGGAGTCGGTGGGTGGTCAGCTGCTCGGGGGGCTGCTGAGTCGCCAGACTTTCGTTCAACAGGGTCTGCTGGGCCAATGGAAGGTGATCAACCGAGCGGCGAGCCACGTCGGCCGTGGAATGAATCGTGTGGGAACGAGGTATCGTGTAAGGCAGACCACACTTGTGAGCCATATCATTATGCTTGTGAGCCGGTTTGTGGTGACCATCCCGGAAAACGGTGAGCATGCTCTCCGATTTGGTGGACGTCAGCTGGGGCTTCTTGGGCTGATCCAACAAAGCCGAGGCTGGGGGTGGCGGAAGGCCGGTTTCCGGGACGGTATCCAGGTGGGGTTCCTTTTTCAGCGCGCAAGTACAGCGCTGTCCATGAGTGCAGCCACATCTGGGACGGGAGTCCTCTGTAAAATCCATATCAGAAAACAATGAACCAGTCTACCAACACCATCATGCTCACGCTTGAGATCCCGCTTATCAGCAGCATGGGGATCTGTATCATTCTTGTGGCTATTCTTTTTCTTATCACCACACTCGCACTTGGTGTGGGTTGTCCGTGACTTGCGTAGGCCGCGACAGTGAGTACATTGGGAGACTGGGCGGCCTTTTTTGTTAATGTGGGTCAGAGGGCGGTCTGCCGTAGCCAGATTAGCGAATGCGCGCGATGGCGAGGATTGGATTTTTGAGGCGGAGGGACTCCGCATGGACCACCTACCACTGTGGTGACAGCTGCTGACACGGTGACCCCGGACGCAAGCTTCACAAGCCCACTTCTCGCCATCGATAAGCATCGCCGCGGTTACTGGGTGAGGAACATGCGATGATTCGCGACAAGAGGTAATATAGAATCGGGTGTGTAATTGAGAGCGGGGGAAGAGAAGTCTCGCGCCTCTCTTCCTTTTTTGGGTTTATGATATATGATATAAGCCGAACAGGAAGACCTGTCGGGGAAGAAGGAAAAGGGCCGTCAAGGCGAGAATTCGAGGTATAGGTGTGTGGTCCGCCGTGGTGATCGGACCAACAGAAACCAAGGAAAACTCCAACAAAGCAGGGGGGGGGGTATCTCCGGGGAATATCCCAATGTGCCAGACCGAGTCACAGAAACGCCGTTTCACCTGTCAAAGGGGTCGAATCGCAACTTGAGGTTTTCAACGTCGACGCAGACTACCGTGCTTCAATTGCCAATTCGGATTGTGCGCAAAATGTGCGACCCAATGCGAAGGGCAGGCGAATAATCGAGAGGTGAAGTTGTCGTCTTTTCTTTTTCTCTTGCACAGCGCAGCACTCAAGTACTTGAGCAGGCAAATAGGCAGTTGTAATTCGTAAAGAAGACAGTTCCTAATGGAAACAAACATATAACCACAACGGGGGGAGGGGGAAGAAAAGAAGCGGGAAAATCTCAATAAGGGACAAGGAGGAGAGAGAGGATCGAGGGAAGAGGGGGGCCAAAGCCTACGCACCGTTTGGCGCCGGCCGTGAGACAGGACACCAAATACCGGCTGTGGCGGCCAAGATAAAGGGAAAAAAGCGATCGATCTGAAGGCAGAGTTGCAAAAGTAACCCTGTGAAAAGAAGAAGAGAAGAAGAAGGAGAAGAAGAAGAAGGGGGGGAGAACGGAAGAGGGGAAAGCGGGAAGAAGTAGTCAGACCGTGGACAGACAGACAGACTGACTGACTGAGGGGGGGGCTTCGCAGTCGACAGTCCACAGTCCACAGTCCAGAGCGAGAGCGGCGAGTGAAATGACTGGAACAATTCGGCGGCCGCAAGGGGAGTGGCGTCTTTGGTCACTCCCGACTCCCCGATAAAACTAAGAAGTAATGGATGTATTTTTGGTAACAATCTTACCCGGGTCGGAGTTGTATGACCTCGAACTCACTGTAGCTACGGTCGCTACGTTTACTTTGTCCAGATCTTTTCGGGTCAATTGGAACGAGCTGACTATGAAGTCAAGGTTGCAGACGACGATGCTACTGCTGCTCCTACTGCTGCGATGCTAACCATAATATCGCTCGCTTGCGCCTCGCCAACTCTCTCTCGGCAATCTCACAGCAACGGAAAATCTTGATTCTCTGTCGCTCCACCATCCACTCCCCAATTCCATGGGTTTCACTCCATGTGTGTGTGTGTGTGTGTGTTTGTGTTTGACCGTTTGACGAGCCTCGTGCGGGAAAAGTAGGTAGACGCAGGCCACGCACAAACCCAATTATTCAAGCGATTCAAGGTACGCAATCCTGGGATGTCAGCCTTGTGGCTGAACTTCCTCCAGCGCCGGCACCCCCCTGTAACTGTGCTGAGACATAGTTAACAGACAGTGTATAACAGTGGTAAGTGTTCTGTCAAGTCCTAGTTAACCGTTCGTTCGCTTGTCCTGCCCTGTCTTTTCCATCTCGAATCGAATCAGCTCCACGAACATTCGCGATGATCACCCTGGTAGGTCGTGGTACTTGCGTCGTACGTCAACCCAGTCTCTCTTACTGTACATCTCCCGACTCCCCAACGGACATGCCTGTCTCGAACAGAAGAGCTCTTGTCTCTCCGAGGCATGCAATGCAAGTCCATATCCTAACCTACCGATGCTTCTCGCCCTGCAGCTACCACCAGATAGGTAAGAGGTGCCGGGAACGGGGGCACTTACGGGGTTTTACGGTGTCTCCAGAAAGAAAACCAAGCATTTCAAGCTGCAATCGCGATCTCTCAAAACTTGAACAATGTACATACATCGAACACCACACCAATGCAAGGAGAGAATCTTCTCCCCGACACTTTTCAATCCTGCTTGCACCTGGGTTTTCCTTCTCCTTCGTAGGGCCTGTCTCCGCGTCTGTCTCCCTTTGGGATTTGCTCTCCTGCCCTCCCTCCCTCCCTCCCTCCCCCGATCCTGAATTGCTCTTATCTCCATCGGCCAGATCGTGTTTTACCCGCGCTTCACGCCTACACCCTAAACCTCCGCCCCACTGGTACTAGTTGCGCAGCAGATAATGATAAGGCACGGAGGATACCCTCTTCGGGCCTTAGGTCCTAGGTTAGGGCTCGAACGTGCGGGTTGAAGAGGGTTAAGAATAAGAGGGAGAGAGGAGGTGGGGGGAAAAAGATGGAGGGAGACCTCAATTGGTTTTACGGAGGCTTCTTCATGGGGACGAACCAAACTCTGTCGGGTGACCGATGGATCCCGTTACGAAATTCCTGGGGCAGAGACCAACCGGGCCGGTTGACCACATTTACCTTGCGGTGGCCCGTTGGGGTGGGATTCGTTTACCTAGACCGTCAAACCGACCGTTCTATTACGAAAGACAGACAGACATATGAGTTGTAGTGGTCGTGGGTGGTTGACACTGAACCCTGCTGCTGCGACGAACGACGCCCTGACAGTTGTTTCAGTAGGTGATCCAACACGGCTGGCGCCAGCAGACTACTGCACGAGTATACAGCACGGTAGGATCCCTGACTGCGTATTCCGATCCAATGAATCCGTGCGGTCATGCCTGTTGCCTTGGGGGAAGAAGAAAGTGCAGCATCCAGTGGGAATCGGCCAGATCAGTCAAAAAGAACAAAAACGTTTGCCACGCTCACTCCAGTCCAAGTTCTAGAAAGAGGGTTTGAATGTTCCATGCAGTCCGAAAGGGAAATAGAATTTGTCCCGGCCATTGAATTGACAAGCTGCTGAGTGGAATTGGGAACGTGCGGATGGCCAGACACTTGACTGACTTTTTCACCCACGGTTGACTTCGAGATCTGGTACGGGCCTTGACAACAAAGGGCAAGTATTCCGTACCATGTGTGTGTGTGTGTGTGTGTGTGTGCGCTACATGCAGCCTCAAGGCTAACATTATTCAATGAGCCAAGTTGATTTCTCGGTGATTCCGGCCCCTGCAGTGCTACGTCCCTGAATTTGTTTTGATCGAGAATCCTCCTGGCTCCATGATCGTTGTCAGATCCAGTCAGGTAACTAAAGTAAGTAGGCTCAGGCCCTGCGTAAGGCCGGTGTAAAGGAGGTGTATCGGTATTGTATTAGGGCGAACAGTCTCTAGGCAACGCGGACCGCAAACCGCCAAATGATGACCAGCCCAGGCCAGGTCCATGATATCGAGGATCACCACTGCAACAACATAGCATCCTAGGATCGATACTCGATCATCATCAAGCGTGCCTAGCACAGATCCAGGAGAACACTCTCCCCATACTTGTTCATCAGTCACAACCTTACATCATCAACTAGATGTGTGTTCGTCGTCATAATTTTGCGATCCCATCGTCGAAAATCACAAGTTGTTGGGGTCTGCGGGATGGCGTCACAGTTGCTGTTTTGGGGCAATTGCAGCATCGACCTTGACGGTCGGTCATGCGGCGGGGCCTGATCTACACGATGCTGGTGGATTGTCCCTCCACCAATGAAACGGGCTCAGCCTAGGTAGGGGTAAAGTCGGGTCCCTTCGGGCCCCTCGAGGGCGCGCCCTGGCAATGGCCCTACGCTGCTTCGTATGGCCTCAGGCGCTCATCGGGTCAGCCGATAGACAGATAGACAAAATCGTGGTGCTTTGTAGAGGATGTCATCGAAGACTTGAATGGCTTCATATATCCGCAGACAACCCTGGCACACAATCCAACGTTGGCAGGACGGGGGAGTGGAATCGGCTACTGTAAGTGCTAGTGACCCCGGCGCATCTTAATCTCGGCGCTTACTAGCCAACAATAAAAATAGTGAAAGCGAAACGCCAACACCAACAAATGTCACTCACAATGCGATATCGGCCAGCATAAAGCTCCACGGAAGTAGCTCTTTCGAGTCTCGACTACCTTTCGCATTCACGCGCCTGAGCGAAATGTCATTGACTTGGGCTCCTGTTCTGGCCGAACGGAATCGTGGACGCTGTGTCTGTGACTCCACCAGAGGAACTAGTCCATAGTCTGTTATCATGACTACTAGACGATGCCTATCTGGTCTAGGTTGCCTAGGTAATCCCCATTCACCTCTCCCGAGTGGCTTTGCGAAGTGGATCATCAACGCTGTTCAAAACGTGTACCTACATGAGTGCGTTCAAGGCTCTTTGTTTCCGTTCTTCTCGCCTTAAGTATCCTCGGGTAGTTGTCAGATGTGCCTCGCCACAGGTGCTCTCTCTGGAGCGACCCAAGCTCAGCTAAACCCCCGAGTAGTCCAGCGAAATGAACTGTGGTGTATCGGTAGACTAGATCGCTTGTCGGCGATGGGAACCAGTGATATTGAATGCTTGGCTTGAGTTAAGATAGACGGGACTGCTAGGAATCCGCCAATTGTAGTGTCCATAAAGCCATGGCGGGCCATGTTTCAGCCTACTATTGTGCACCGGTCTGCCCCGGCCAACGGACCGTGCCCGCGATGTGGAGGAATGGAGGCTAGGAGGATATTCGAAGCGATAGTGTCTGGCGGTCTGACTTCGTGGTGATAAGTGGTGGTGGTGGCTGCGCGAAAGTCGACGCCCAGTGCCGGTGGCTGTGTTCCCTATTCGAGAAGAACACACGCAGTGAGTCAGTACGAACTCTTCTGAAGGCCTGAGGCATCGATCCAGCCATTTTCGGGTTCTGGATTGTCGCTGCGGGAAAGTGTCCTCTCGGGCGTTTGGCTTTGAGCCTCTCTAGTTACTGAACAAGGCAGGCAACGTTAGAAGGATACTGCTAGAATCGCAGAGGAACAGACCATTGTCTTTCACTGTTGCCTCCTTTTGGAGCTGCACAATTGCATTTCATATTATGTGGCCGGGGCTTGAGTTGCGTGTTATATTTAGTACATGATCGCTGGCATCATATCTATAAGAAGATCGGTAGCTCCATGGCTCATAAGCACAATATTTTCGACTCAGACTTATTATCGAAACGTGGACCACACTTTGCTACTTGACTACAATCCTATTGAGCAGCGGAAGATTCCTCAGGGGCAGATAAGCGCTAGGACCAAACTTCACTCAGAACAGATTATCAAGTTGTCCTTGAGATCTCAGTTCGTCGATCAGTGAGTTGCTAAGCCTGGGAATGATACAGGTAGATCGTCTGATCGTTATTGGGGAAGATCGAACGGATAGCCAAGACCGTCAGGCATGGTTATGTGAGCAAAGTACGACCTGATTTTCATATCCCAAAAAGTATGGTAAACATTTACAGGAGTTGCAAGCCTATGTGTCACAGCGACGAAATAATTGTAAGACGACTAGTTGTGTTGATTGCAAGGTGTGCTGCCACAAAAAAAAGGATACGATGGTTATGATGTAGTGCAGACGTTCACGTGAGCTGAAATCATGCGAAGTCTATTCCTACTTCAATCTGCCCACGGTGAGATGAAATGAATGAGATGAGCTGCATGTAATAAGTGAATTCCAGCTGCTTGCATGCTATCGTACATGTTCAGCATGAGGATGAAGTAGAGCCAGCCATAAGGTCATCGCATAACATGGGCCAGAAGTTGGTGGCGAGGCTCAAACTATCAGACAGAGGCTTCATATCGCTTCACATCGCTTCATATCGGAAACAGTCGAGGCGACGATCTAACGAGCCCATCGACATCCTCAAAGCCGGATGAGGAGAAGTCCCCAGCCATTCAAGCTCAATCCGAAGAATTCTTCGAAGTCCCTCACTCGGAGTCGAAAGAGTTGGTCGATGAGTCTGGGCCGGTGGGAAATAGTATTAATCCGTCGCAGGACGCAGAAACAAAAAGCCGGCCCTCCGCGTCGGCGCGATCATCCCAGTATGAAACTATATCCTCATCAATCCGCCCCGAGTCTGCAGCAGACTCGAATGATAATGTACTCTTGTAAATTGGTCGCGAGATAATGTTCGTCGTGTTCTGCTCGTCGCCGACGGCTTTCGGCGCTAACCCCTTCAAAAATCTCCCCGCCCAGGCAAGTTTAGCCTGTAAAACCTTGCCTGCTGTTCTCGCGTCTTTCCTCCTCCAACTCTCTTCCTCCTGCATCAACCGGAGCATCGCTCCACCACCCACCCTATTATTTTCTCTAAGCTCTCATCTCCTCCAGCCAAGATGAATTCTCGCGAGCATTCTGATATGCCTCCGGCCCACTCCTATCCATCCCCCAACGCGGCGCAGATGAGCCAGGGCGCCATGCAATACTACACCAACCGACAGTTGACTGCCGACGAACTTTTGTCTGCTGAGCTATCGCGCGAAACCTCGGGCCCTGGTCTTGCTGACGGCTCGAGTAACGGTGTCCATCATGGTCAATCAATGGTTCTCGGTTCCTCCAACCCCGGTGGTCCTGACATGGGTCGTCCTGCATCTCCAGATCAGCATCAACAACAGCACATGCTTCAGTTCACCCCGAGCCAGCAAGTTGGCGTCGACCCGAATCACGACTTGAGCTACGGAGACCAGAGCGCGAGAAGGAAAAGGTCTAAGATCTCTCGCGCATGCGATGAATGTCGGCGCAAGAAGGTACCGTCACTCCTCCTTTTGCCTCCCAAACGCGACGCGGTTCGGTTGGACTGACAGTACTCCCTAATAGGTCCGCTGCGATGCGAGCTCCGAGTCCGGTGTCGAAACGTGTTCCAACTGTCGTCGCCTTGGAGTTGTCTGTCAGTTCAGTCGAGTTCCAATGAAACGAGGTCCAAGCAAAGGGTAAGACTGGTCGCGCGCGCGTCGGGCTTTTTACGAAACAGTGTGTCGCTGATGCGGTGTGACAGCTACATCAAGGAATTGGCGGAGCGCTTACACACATTGGAGAGTCAAATGCAGCCTGCTATGGTGCACCCTGATATGCCTTATCAGCCGATGAACGAAGTGTCCTCTCCCCGGGCATACCAGGACTTTTCGCCTCCAATTGACAGCGGTCCCATCGGTCGCAAAAGGACATACTCGATGTTCGACGGGCTCCCGAGTGCCTCGTTTACGCAACCACCGTTTAATGCACGCTCTCAGACTGCTTTTGGTTCGTTCCTTCCAGAATTGTTATGTGGTTTTCTGCTAACTAGATCTAGACGCAGGCGAAAGCTCGACCGACCCCTGCCATCCTTCGGTTGTCAACAACACAGCACCGAAACCTGGAAATCTATTCTGGTCGCCTGGCAATGAAAATGATTTGCCTCAGGCCTTGGACATTCCTGACGTCCCGAAGCAAGCTTTGGATGAAGACATGACTCCTGTGGATGTGGATGAAAGTGCTCTTAACGCGTAAGTACCCTTTCACACGCATCATCAATTGGGGGTCTATCACCCTCGCTACCATGACACGTGCTGACCCGAGTAGTTACTACCAGAGGATACATCCTGTATTCCCGATCTTGCCAAACTCCAGGGAGCGGTGTCTCGAAATCCTTCATCAATGTGGTCGTGAGCTGCAGGAAATTTTCTTGTACAGCCTTTACACCGTGACGCGCACAAACCTGGAGCGTGTCACCGGCACGTTCGAAAGAGTCACTTCTTACATGAACGCACAAGATCTTCTCTTATACTATTTGCGCCAACCAGCCATCACGCGGTCAACTACAGTGAACCTTATTTGGCTACAGAGCGTACTGCTCATGATCATCGACTGTGACTCACGAGGGCCCGACAATATGGTCATGAAAGATTGTGTGCCCAAAAATACTCTCATTCAGACGGCAAATAAGCTTGGTTCAGATTTGGTCAAAGGTCTTAACTTGTGGAAGTCTCAGCGGGTCACGGACCCTGATGCTGACTCTGACGCATCTCTTATCCGACGCAGCTGGGTATCCTTGGCTATAATGACCCGATGGTATGCTATCAGTGTTGCTGATCCAAGTGTTCTCAACACCCTTGATATTCGCAGCCGGGGCGACGAAAGGATTCTAGGCTCAGTTACTGCCAAAGTTTGCTGTATGACCATGCCACTCCCTTCCCCCCATGGTTGACATCATGAGCTGACATTCTTGTTTGAATAGCTTATTCTACTTTTCTCGTTGAATTGGCAAGCCTGGTGACTGAAGAGCAAAATCTTTGTCAGTCGAACAGTGGCCCGGGCCGGCTGGTCGCTAACAGCATGGCTGCCCGTCTTGAGCTTCTTGGGGAGGCCGCAGAGGTCGGAGATTATCGGCGACCATCTGAGAATGCCGAGGATGGCGCCCCCTCCAGCTTCCTCGACAGCCTGCAAAACCAACTATACTGGACCTTGCGACTATTGATCAAACGCCATATCTTTATCTACACCCCCTATGAGATTATCTACGCTGCCGAAGAAGTTGTCAATGAATTGCACCGGGCCAGTTTACAATCCCGTCTCACGTCTCCATTCGACCTGCACAGCCTAGCTTTGGCATCTATGACCCTGCTTGAGGCTACGGTTCTTCCTGAGTATGCCAACGAATGCTGGGAATCTATCAGGAAGGTTGAAGAGGTCCTTGACCACCGCGCCAAGCGGGCCGCAGAATCCGGCGAGTTCGGCGACATCTTCTATACGCCTGGCTGGGATTCGAAAATCCGCACCTTCATCGAATGGCGACGCACGAAAGCGCAGGAGCAACAATTCCAGGACCCAACTTTCAGTGGCGGGGTCAAGAGCGGCTCTGCAGCGCCCCCGGTCATGGGCCCGAATGAACAACGTTCTCTCCAGCATCTCGCTGACCTCGCCGTGGGCGCCGAGGGCCAAGTTGCTGCGGCCGCCAACGCGTCCTCACCACCTCCCGCCATTCCCTCCACTGAAAACCACCTCCCCGCCACTTCACCCAATCTAGCTTCTTCTGGCGCGCAACCCCAGGGTCGCATGGTTGTGGACTTCACGCTTCTCACGAAAGAGGGCTACTTGAATGTTTTCGCTGGCTTGATCTATCATCGGTCTCGGTAAAGGCATTCGTGTATGTGCCGTGTTTGCTGTTCTGTAGGTATATGGGCTCTCTTTTCTTTTCTTTATCTCGGAAGGCTTTACTACTTTTGTCAATATTTTGAGCTGGAATATGTTTCCTTCTCTCGCCCTCATGTTTCCTTCTGCCAACTGGGAGCATTCCCGTTCCCCAACCGTTGGTCTCCTATTAGTTACTCCGTGGGGCAAACACCATGTTGCTACTGCTAGGATAGTGTATTTTTACGTGGAACGTTCGCTACACCACACATTGGAAACCCCTTTTTCCTTTGCTTATTCCTTAATACTTGCTCTCGCATTGTTGATCATGCAGTGTAACCGAATAAGAACAGGTAATTCACCACAATAAGACAGGGGGGAAAAGCATCATTAGCACCTTACATAATTCTTAGAGCCGACACATATCTTGGAATATTGGGATGTCTCTGGAACATCTAGGTGGATACAGAAGAGCAATGAGATATTACTTACCCTACACCGGGCACTTCACGTGCCCCTCTTGCCCAGCCCCAGCTCCATTCGCCGCCATATGCCCTCCACGTCTTCGCAGAGCTTGAGGAACGCGTCGTCTTCCAAATGGCGACATACCCAGGCCTCGACGAGTTGCATGCGCTCCGTTGTGGAGGTCGAGCCGTACGATGCGAGATCCTCGCGAGTCGCGAGGTACGGACTTTCATGGGGTGGGTCGCGTTGCGGTATCTCTGCTGCTGCTGCTGCTGCTGCTGTTTTTGTGATGGAGGGGATATTGTTTTCCATGGTTGGCCCACGGGTGTTGTGTGTCTGGTGCTGCTCGTGAGAAGGATCTGACGCGCTAATGCTCACTGGAACAGTAGTGCGATCTGAATGCCGAGGGACTGGAGTCTTGCTAGCTACAGGGACAGGGTGCGCTTGGGGTGAGTTGGCTGTGGTTACTGGCGATTGGTCTTGTGCTGGTGGGTTCGCGTATCTCAGCACGATAACCCGGGGGGTATCTGTTGGGGTTGAGGTTGAGGGTTTCGATAACAGAGGTTGTGTCTGATTTGAAGTAGGAGGCAAACCAGTTGGTGCAGGATGGAGGGAGGGCACTAGCAGCGGAGACGTGAGCGTCGCATGACTATTCGACTGTGGATCTCCCCTACCTCTGCTTCCCAGGGCCGGCATATCACTTGCCGTGGTTATGGTATGCGCCCTCTTCGCAAGCGGTCTGGCGAACGGTAGTACCCTGACAGGAGGCGGGTCCAGGCTTGGGATCTCATGGGTCAGTGTGGCGGTGGACGGTCTGGACGGGTCACCCTCCGGGCTGGCTTGATCCTGTAGGGCTGGGGGTAGAAGCTGGCCTTCCAGGGGTTGTTTGAGGTTGCCGTTCATAGGCATGTACGAAGCGAGCGTGCGGTTTGTATGCGTGGCACAGTATGGGTGACTGGTGCTTAGCGTGAGCGAAGGTACGGACGTTATTGATGTGCCTTGAGCCTCAGATTAGCCCGCCAGAAGCCATGGAAGATAGGTAGGATCAGCACCTGTTGTGACGCTCGGCGTTGGTGGTAGCGAGGGACATGCGCCCGGTGCATATAACGTATAACCAGTCCCATTTAATGGCACCATGCCATTGGGCAATGTCAAATCGCTCGCCACGGACCTGGGTCTAAAGGACCCTGGATCCCACTGCGAGGACGTGTGCTTGCGGGTAGGAGCGGCATTGGCTTCAGAGAATGGGCAATTTATCTCGCTGAGAATGGCCAGAGCGGCATAGTAGTCCCGTTCAGCCGAGAACTTGATCTGAAATCGTCGGATCTATACGTGAATCAGCATCAGCCACTGGAAAAAGACTGTCTGGATACACTCCTACCATGTTTCCTCGAGGATATTTCACTGCCAGGCAGGGCGGCTTCACGACGACGGCAAAGACGGGCTTTGATGCTTGGGTCGGGCTTGTTTGTGCCGAGATGCTCGCTGCGTCAATAGCGCAAAAGGAGAGATCGAGTTCCTCCTGATTGTAGATTAGCACTTCTTAGCATTTGGCTCGTCAGAGGGTATGGTTGGCGGGATCCTACCATGGTATCCTGGAAGCGAAAGATCCTGAGGATGATGCTCTCAGACATCAGCTTTGCGGATTGGGATCTCTCAAACGTGGCGATAAGGTCATTGTTTCCTATTAGGTGGCTCCAGTTTAATGGACCGCTGTGGGTGAGCGATGTGGTGACATGGGAGAACTTGACTATAGACAAACGAGCAAGAGGAGTGCCTGGGAGCCGCTGAGAAGGGTGATGATGCATGGTATTGATGACTTAGAAATCTTGATAGGCCGAGATTAATAGAAATGCATGGACATGGGATCTGGCAGATTGAGGGTCCAGAAGTATAGTTGAGGAAGACGGTAGTGCAGTGCTTGACAATAGACATGGACAGGTGACTGTGGACATCGCTAGACTCTCGGCAACCACTGTTTCCCAAAGACACTCATTCTCACACTGGTAAAGTAGTACTGGTATGTTAGAGTAGTGTTTTCATATTTGAATGAAGTAGTATAGTCGAGAGACAACATGATTGCCATGGCTTGTGCCTGCTTTGATGCGAAGTAATTAGATATTGAAAGCAGATTCATTGATTTCTAAGACGTTGCTATACTTGAAAAGTGGATACTAACTTATAGATTAAGGGACTTCATGGAAGGACTTCTTTTCTTGTAGGAAAATTGCTACATCTACGGGATAAATCCATATACCTGGTATAATTGTTCCAGGCGAAGTATACATCTTTCTGCCTGAGATATGAGGCCAAAAGTGACTAAGCTAAATTGCAAACACAGCAAACAAAGCCTGGGGAAGCCAACCGGCCCGATAGATGATCCGACCACGCGCCTGAGGCCAGTAGGAGCAGCGCGGACTTTTGCCTGTGGATGGCAGGACGGATCGATCGCAGGTTCAGCTTGTCACTACATTCACACAGCTTTCCCTGGGCCTCAGCGAAGGAATTGATTTTCGGTGTTGAGCTACCCTTTTCGCCATTATTGCCTCATATTGCTTCATATATCGCGCAGCAATAAAACCTACATTATTCACCAAATCGTCCACCGCGAACGTCTTGTATTGTCGTGCCGCCATCGCATCGTCTCCGGCTTCAAGCAGACTGGCTCCGTTAGCTTCGCATCGCGTCCAAGCTTCCAGATCGTCGCCCAAACCGGTTGTCAATTCTAGCAAATCAACCTTGCTAACGGAACCGGAGCGCGTTTGATTCCGCATTGTGAGACTCTTGAGGACTATCGATACGAAAGGAATTAAATTAAGGGCGACCACGAAAGGCACAGAAAGCCGCAAGAGTGCTCAAAGGGCACTGTGTGCTCTCACATTCACTTTGACTCGTGTTCCCAACTGGAGAATCTGCGCCTGGACTGTCGTGGGTAGCTTTATATTATCCCGGGTCACTTGCGCCTATTTGGAGCCACGTTTGAAGCAGTCAAAGCCAGTCAAGACATAAACAAACGGATTGCGAAGTCTCCGGAAGCGTACATCAGAGGGCCCAGGCGTCCTAAAGCAAGCCCGAAATGTCCACGCAAACTCCCCGCACGTCCCTCAGAGGCAAGTATATATTCAATAGACCCCCTCAAGCGACTCATACTGACAATTCACAGAGGGTCTACGGCAGGCCCCCAAAGCTAATCAGCCCTTTATCCCCGATACCACACCCGCCAGACGCTCACACCATCATACAAACCAAGCACCACAGCCCCAGCCCGTACCTTTGGTCTTAAGCCATTCCAACTCGCCCGCACCGAACCCGAATAACGTTCAGCCTTCGACCGAGAATTGGGAAGAAAGGGATCAAAAGGTGCCTATGAACATACGCGCGGTGTCAACGCCGGGCAACAAACCGGGCATGTTTCTCAGCATGCAGGGTAAAACAGCAAAACAACCCGACTTCTATGAACCTTATTTCCCTCTCAGATTCCTGGAGGTTCCAAAGTGTAAGTGCTCCTCCACTGCGACTGTTCTTCGACTTCGGAAACGCGTCAACTTACAAGTTTCCTCAGCGGATCACATTTATAAGCGCGCGCATTATGGATTGCAATCTGGAGTTCCAGATGAAGTAGACTTTGCACTATATCATCTGGTTCAAATTTCTAATCAGCGCTGGGACAAATTCAAATTTGAGGGCTTTCCGTTGCTAGCTGAAACATTGATGGAGAAGGCTCTCGATATCTCGCTTCTCACCACAGGCGTAAAGTGGGAGCTCCAATACGACTTCCGGGAGCCTATGAGCCGCGTAAATGTGCTGAATTCGCTATATGGCACGCGAGACATACTCGAGAGGATCAGCCATATTCCTGTTATATTACCGAAGGACACTCTCGAAACACACGAATTCAATCATCGTCTACGGAACGTCAAAGAAGCGACACTGGTACTTCGAAACATGGTTCTACTCCGGGAAAATGCATTCTATGTGTCGCGTTATGCTAAGGGCCTCCTAAGAGATTTTCTGGTGATCCTGATCAATCTCCCCAGCCAGCCACGTCTCAACGAAATCAGAAATGACGCCTTGGATATTGCCGAGGAGGTAACCAAATTCATGCGAACCGATCCCGAAGATCCACTTTGGATCTCTTTGCTCAACTGTTTGGAATCTCCCGACCGTGCTCATGTTGTGCGAGCGCTGTGGGCTCTCACTCACTTCTCCACTGAACTCGATGAACCCGAGGGAAACCGAGCTATGGAGCGCATGCCCAAACAAACCCTGCAGCAACTATACTTTCACACCCTTCTCGACCTGGACAAAGATATTCTGAGCGGAGCCTTGGACTTCTGGTATCAATACACTCTTTCGCGCGAAAACATTGAGACTATGCTCGATGTCTTCGACTTTCCCAGCGTGTTTGTACCGCGCATGGTCGCTCTGCTGACATACGAGGCCCGACCTACCAAAATGGAAACCGTTCTTCAAGACGAGAAGGTTGCGCCACCGCCATCTGAGATCCCTCGGGTTCCGTCCGAGCTCCTCAAAGATTTGATGGAACTATCCGAGCCCGAACGTAGCTCACGCTGGTTGCGGTGCTGTTTTGTCGAGGATCCGGAATGCGAGATCACACAGATCGCCCTCTGGCAGGCTTATCAAAGCCGATTTGCTGACCCTCGCGTACCGGGAGGTGGTGTTCTTCCTGCCGCCGAGTTCATCAAGAACGTGAGCACAACGTTCACAAACGCTCAAGCACAAGTGATCAACGGCCCTGGCTCATCTACTCGATTCATCATTAAGGGCATCCGCCCCCTCGAGACAGCCTATACCTTCCAGGGCTTCCCTTACTCCTACTGCAAGTGGGCCGATGACTCCAAGCCCTCTAAAACCTGCCAGCGCGCCTACTCTAACCCGACAGATCTCCGCAATCACGTCTTCGCCGACCACATGAAACTCAAGCCCACCGAAACCCCGGGTCACTACAACTTGGACAATGCTGAATCAGCTGTCCACACTTGTCTCTGGGACAACTGCACGCGATTCCGCGGTTCCAGCGCCAGCGCGAACACCGCCGCAGTTGCCGGTCACGTTGCATCCCACCTGCCCGAAGAACGCCCGGCGGATGCAGAAGCCCCCGTCTCCAAGCGCACCGTCCTTCAAGAGCGCATCGTCCGCAAATGGTTCTATCTCAACACACCGGTCAGCGAACGCGGCGAACCCGTAGGGGTGGCGTACAAAGCGGCCCTAGTCCTGCGCAACATCGCGCGCAACCTCCCCAGCGGTGTCGTGCAAAAATACAACGGCCTCCCCTGGAAGAAGGCTGTTTTCCTCAGCCACCGGCCGAAGATTGTGGAAGTATGGGACCGGAATCGGTCTCTACGCAAGGAACTTACGGAACTAATCATGTTGATCGAGAAGGAGGATTATTATTGAGGAGGACAGAAGAAACAAAAAGAAGAGAGAGAGAGAGAGAGAGAGAGAGAGAAAATAGCAGACCTTTTTTTTCCTCATGCCCTTGACACGATGATGAAGTAACCCGATTCTCACAATCTCGAGGCTTCGTTCTCTTTCCTTGCTGTTCTACTATATGGACGATGCTAAATCACCACATTTTTCTTCTTCTTTCGATGTCTTCCTCTGATATCTCTATATTTTTCCTATCTGCTCTCTATTTTCTCTTTTCGTCTTTTGATATTTCGTTTTGTACAAATACCCTGGCTTTTTTCAGTCTCATCCAGTCAATCTTCAATGTTCTCATTTAAAATTAGTCTGTTTGCTTTTCAAGGTGTACCGGCGATACGGATCCTTTCGCCCATCTTCTACATCTCTCTTTTTCTTTCTCTTCAACTTTGATAGCTATTCATACTGTACGTTGCACCAATGGGAAGTGGGCGAGTGAAGAGCACATCTCTTCCACCGTCTGACACGACCACTATCCTACCAGGCGTCTCGGGATTGGAGTGGTGAGGGTAGACTCTCGATTTCCTACGGAGGGGCTTTTCTGACATTGGATGGCGGCTTGCTTGTCTTCTTTTATTTCTTTGGGGGGTGTGTCCGTTCTGCAATATCAACCGTATAGGTATTATCACTGTACGCCTTTTATTTCTTCTTTTCTTTGGGGGTCCTGCCTGCTGCTGCACTTTACGGTGGTCCTGTGGCTTGGTTGTGATCATCTTAGTGATGTATACTATATTTGGATGTGGATGGGAGGATCATTTGGGGCAAGAAATATTAGACACGATCATATTTTGTTCATTTATGTGTGGGGTCTTTATGTGGTGTCGTGGTGAGTTGCTCTAACAAGGGTGATGGTAGGAAGTAAGAAGTATGTACTACGTTGTCTCCGAGGACGTCCTGCAATGTTTGGAAGTAAGGTATGCGAAAGTGGGGATTGGCTATTACTGTTCTATTATTTATTTTGTTTAGTACTTTTATCATCGGAGACTTGGGAGGATGTATATATCCGTGAGGAAGTTCTCGTAATTCATCCAGGCGGTCTCGTTGGCGGAGTCTGCGTAGCCGAGGTCAATGGCGTCCCAGACACTCGGCCAGGAGGCTGCACCCTCTAAGCTCTCCGGGGTGCCCAATGCAGCGACGGCATCAATATGGACCGATTGATCCTGTTGGTGCGGTTGTTGTCTGCTGTCGGTGGATAAGCTCGATGGGTAGGGTAGAGGCGGCTGCGGTTGCGGTGCAGCCTCCGGGTGGTAAAGAGTGGTAGGAGGAGGGATATGCGGTTGAGATATTCGATGCGAGGAGGACGGAGACGATGCAGGGTATGTGTAAGGGGCGGAATCATTGGGGGCAGCGAGCAATTGAGCTCTCCTGGCACGCGCCTGGATCATGATCTTCTCCATTGGCTTCCAGAGCATCCCGCGCTTGGAATCTGCGACGAGTCGACCCAACCGGTCGAAGGTCTGTTCGACCGCGGGCCAGAACCTCTCCATGACGGCTTTGTCTTGGCAGACGCATAGCTCGGCGATAGCCACTGCCAGGCCGTGCCACGGCGGGAAAGCGAACTCGACCCAGAGCCATGTCACGGTCCGAGGATCGTCCCGAAGACAATGGTAATTTTTGAGGATGTTGACGGCAAACTCGAGGAGACGGTCGCCTCGGACATGCGGAGGTGTGAAGCGCGGGGTGCGTTTGAGCGGGCGGATGACGATCAGTTGCATGCAGGCATAGATTCCCTCCGCGACTAAACGAGTAAACCACTGGAAGGGAACTTTGTCCGTTTGCGCGTGGTGGAGTAGTTTAGAGGCTGTGTGTTGGAAGTCGACGACCAGCTGCTGGCGGAGGGCGAGGGTGTTGACAGATGGCTCGGTAAAGTCGGAAAAATTGATGAGTCTTGTGATTATATGGGCCTTGCCTACAATCATAGTGAAAGTCATGTCGGTAAAACCGGGAGAATCGACGGGTGCCTCCTGCATATCGAAGTAGATATCTTCGTCGTTGACGTGAGTCGGAGGATGCGATTGCAGCCAATGCGCCTGCATCATGGGCTCGGTGTCACGGTCCATCGAGGCGAGAATGTCAAGGAAGCCGATGGCTTGCCAAAGACGCTGCCGAAGCTCGCGTTCAAATGGTCGGACTGAGAATGGTGGGTCAGGCAGATGAAGCGACTGGGCTTGTGCAATGCGTAAGGCCATGCTGAGCATTGTCCACATTCGGCGGCTTTGGTCTTGCGAACGGAGTGCCACCTTCAACACGTCAGATTCCACTGCCAACAGCGTACCATAGACTGCGCTTTCAAGGACTTGAAACCTACCAGGAAAAGAACAAAGGCTTGCAAAACCGTCAAGTCGTTCGTAGTAAGGTAATCAGCATGCCCTAAAGCAAGTTCTGCTTCTCTTTGGTATCTCGCGACCAAGGATGCCTTGGATACGCCAAATGCACGGGTGCATTCATCATCTAACAAGCTGCAGGATGCTGCATAGTGCACAGCAGATGCAAGGGCGGTTGGCGCCAAATGTTCCAGTTCATAGTCGAGATAAGGTTTCCCTTCCAAGAGAAACGCACAGAGGGTAGGTCTGTGCAATATCTTGACGACGGGATCTACTCTTTCGAGAAAGACCCGACACAGCTGTTGCCGAGCATAGCTCGAGGTGCCCGATTGTTCTCCAGAGGTTGAGTCGTGCTGACGATGACTTACCGTAGCCAGAAGACGCCGGTACACCTTCAGCTGGCCACCTGCAGACTTGCGGCTCCCTTCTCTTGGACTGCGGTCGTCATTGGAGTGTAATTCTGGCACCTGTTCGGCTGTTCGTCAACCACACGGACAACCAGCTAGTCACGTTGACGACAAGAGTTCATGACCTACGTACCTCGTTAAGAAGGTTGGCCCAGAACGAAGATCCCAGGTAGCTATCTGGCGTTTGCACACCACCGTCCGAGTCTTCCGAGAAGGCGTCATCATCGCTGCGCTTGTCCTTACCCGTCGTAGACCTACTACCATAGGAAGGACCATCCGCAGCAGCAGCCGCATCAGGGACAGCGGCTCGAGTTGAAGAGCCATAGCCACTCCGAGCTAGGTCTCGGATGATACCCTCAAGCTTAGCGACGCGGTCCCTTAGGTTCGCATCCGGGTCGTGGTTGGACCGCTCGGATGCTAATCTTCCCGATCTTCCACGGGGCAGACGCGCGCGCTCGACGGGGACACACCTTGTCCCTAGCCGTTGACAGTTGGTGCAAGGGTTGAGCTTGTCACATTTAACCTTGCGTTGACGACAGGTCTCACAGCTCAAGCGGACCGTGGGCTTAAGGGAGTGTGGCTGCAACGGAGTTCGTCGGGAGTCAAGCTCGGCTTGCCGAGGTTCATGATTCATTGTCGATATGCAAGGTCTTTCTCTCTCCTATAGATGGCTGGTGTTCATTGGTCGGATTCGCTCATCCAGGAAATGAGGAGAATAAGATATTCATTCAATCACGTAATTGAGGCCGTGCCATATAATGTCCACTCCATTATAACTTTATTGAGAATATGCGAAGAACGACAAACGGAGACTTTGCCAAGTAGGATGAATCCTTGGGATGGGAAGAGATGTGGTCGATGCCTCAGGATAGCTTTTTGTCCCGATTAGCTCTAGTGCAGAACCCGTGACTCACCAAGCATGTGATTTCTATAGAATTTAAAGCAAGGGGGTTGTCTAGGAAAATCGGCTTGATTGTGCACGTCCACAATGAACTTATAGACATTTGTGCTGGGGAGAGACGACCTCAGATAGAACTGCTATTTTTTGCGCCGGATTTGAGGACGGTGTTCCCTGATGGAAAAATCATATCTCGCTTCACCCATGATGTATAACGATTCCATACTAAATCACAAGAGATAAAGAGCTATGCCGTACGAATGCCTTGAACGCCACGCTGCATAAGAGGTACAATGGGTAAAATAAAAAAAGAATAACATGGTATAAGTTGTGCAGATGAAGATAAGATCACTGAGAGACGGTCTTCTTCCGGGGAGACTTGACATTCAACACTTGTCTCATCCGACGGAGTTTGGCCCACCATTCGCGGTCGCTGGCCTTCTTGGCTTCTGGATTGCTGTCATCCACCGATATCGTGTCTGTCGAAGGGGCTTCAGATGGAGCGCGACTGGAGACAGAAACAGTCGATCGAATCTGCCGGCGATGTCGCACTTTGAGCGCCTGGCTCAACAACTCCCACCCACACCGAAGATGTTCCGGTTTCTCAGATGCGCGCCCGGTCCCACTCTGCGCCGTTCCATTCACCCAGGGACAGTACTCCATGTGCTCAGTGACCACGTCAAGTGAGTCGTAGAGCGCCAAGTCCCCGTTGGTCTTCGGTTTGTACATCCAAAGACCCAGCCGCCGGAAGCACACGCTGCAGCCCGTCAGACCAGCTGTCCCGTCTGGGACTGAGTCCCAGCCGAAGAAGGCAAGCACAAAAGCAGTCTTATTGATCGACGACTCTCTAGAAGAAGTTATTTGTTCCGAATCCTGGCCGGTCTCGGCATCTTGAGAGGTCTCCTCCGCTGCAACATCGTCTTGCAGCTTCTCTTTACTTTCGAAGTCCGCTGGAAGAGTTTCGATAATCGAGTCGATATCAAACGATTCCGGTGCTTGAATAGTCGAATACTCCGGTAGTTGATCTGCCATTTTGACGAGGTTGAAGTAGCGCGTACGTAGTCCGGTAATTGCCGTATCTGGGTTTGACAATGGCAGTCGATGAATGGTGGCTATAGCGACTCGATTAGTTTGACCAATTGATCGCAGCCAAAAAGCCATTGCACAAGCATACCGTCGCATCCCTTGTTCCTCCATGGACAATTCTCCCCATGTCCTTTAACCATCTGTCCTACGTATTCATCCACCAGCCTGGCACCTAAGTACTCTCGTTAGCCCCGCAACACAGATGCAATAAGGTCTAGTTACGACTTACGGACTTCCTTCCTCTCCTGTACCTTGTCCGCATCGAAACCGTCCAGCTCGTCCAGCTCATCCGGCAACTTCACGACCACCGAGCCACCGCACCCGCCCACGCAAACCACGCGCGCCACGTCGTTACAGATCCAGCCGCGCTTGGCCCATTCCACCTCACTGATTGCTGCCGGTTTCGGCGCCCATCGATCCACGCGCCGGAAGGTTTCCAATCGCTCGAGAAAGCGCTCGCGGTCCCATGGGACGAAGCTGGGGCGCGATGGTGTTGTGGAAGCGGTCGAGGCTCGGGAGCTTGGGCGCGGGGTGCTCAATAGAGAGTTACGGGCGAAAGACAACTCATTGAGGTCCAGGCGGGCTTTCTTGCTCGAATTTTCGAGGGAGGTACGTTCTCGTGCAGCGGTTGGGGTTCCGGGGATGACGGCTGATTTGGAGGCGACGGGTGTTGAGGGGGGCTTCGTCAGGGATTCGAGGACTCGGTGGAACTTGCGCTTCTTAGTTTCCACTGCGTAGGACATTTTTTCCCCGAGCTTGGGGGTGGTGTTAGAGCTGTGGAGATATAAGAATTAATATATAGGTTCGGGGAGTACGAGGAAGCCTCACGAGAGCTTAGAGAGCATCGGAGCTGGTGGCGCTAATCCAGAAATGGCAGTAGTCAGTATCCGAGGCCCATGTCTGCCTTAGGCACTTATCGATAACCGCGCCGCTCGTTGCTGGGGAAAGACCTATTATGGATTCACATCCATCGATCCTATTATTGCAATTTTACAGACAATAATGGTCACGACTAGGGATAGATACCTAAACAAGTCTTATCATGAACTAAATCTCAAATTGATAAGGTATGTAATCTTTGATGATGCCTTCTAAATTGCTGCGTCGAACAGGACCCCAAGGTTCTCTACTGTATGAAGTGGCTCTGCACCTCGCTTAGCAACAACAATAGAACAATACGCCGAGCTCCACCTATGAGGTGTCTTTTCTAGAGAGCCAATAGCAGAAGAGTCCCAGCGAAAGTAAGGCAAGCAACCAGATCATCCTGCGAATGCGAGCCGCTCTTCTAGCCTTCTTTCCCCAAGCATGCCAACCCAGTCCTGGCCGATCAGGACATGACAAAAAAGCGATCGTTTCCGCGTCGGCCATAACATTCGACGCCAAATCGGCAGGCAGGTCCCTAGAGTAAGGTACGATGTATCGGCCAGTGAAGGTCCTCCAAAGACCGTCTCTCGCCTGGGTCCGACAAACTCCTGCTGATGTCTCGCACATCAACTTCATGCGGCCGTATCGAGTCTCTTTGTATCTCTGGAGAAGATCATGGATTTCCGCGTTGGACGGGTTGTATACCCCACGTACATTGATGAGGTCATGCAGCAGCGAGGAAAAGGTAGCAGCGTCTTCGATTGCGCAGTTTGCGCCTTGACCGAAATTAGGTGTCATCTGCAGAGCATTGTCCCCTTAGCTTGACGCCAGAATGATGACGAAAGACAATGGTGATATGAACATACCTTGTGAGCACTATCACCCATGAGAACCATACGATCAAGGAACCACGTCTCAAACAAGCCTTCCTCCAGCGCAGTCATGGAGAACACCTCTCTGTTCTCCCATAAATCTCCCACACAGACGTCCTTGTAGAACCGCACGTTCTTCAACTTTTCGATAAGCTTGGCAGCATCCTTGTCTGAGAATCTTGGGACATCGGGATAGGTGTACTTTTTATCGAGCTTCGTAACGATGAACCAGAAAACCCGGCCATTCTTACCATGTATAGTCAAGACGGACAAGTGATCGAAAAGCCCGTTGATCTGTTCATGGACCTCGAGGCTCGGGATACGTGAGGAAATTCCGAAGACGCACGAATACTGGACCGTCATGCCTGTGACAAATGACTCCATCAGCACGGTCACTCGCCATCAATGGTGTTCAACGTCGGAGACTGAGAGACAAACAAGTTTGTTCACGATTTGAGACCAGCCCCGGCTGCAGCTTTTGTGCGAGTCGCCAAATCTCAGACCGGATTCGACTGTGGACTCCATCCGCACCAACGACTAGACTTCCCTCATATATCGAGCCGTCGGCCGCGGTAACGCGGACACCCAGATCTGTCCTTTGCACTTCAATGATTTTCTTGCTAGTGAGGATGTTCTGTTTGGCATGATATCGTTCGTATAGGATGCGTAGGAACTTCTGTCGGTCTAGGAAGGCAATTGGATAGCCAAATCTGTGAGACTTAACGGACGGTCTGATACAGTCTCGCAACCGATGGAGAATTCAAGCGAAGCAAATACCTTTCATGTAAAGTCTTGGGATACACATTGGTGAAGGTGAGCCCATCAGGATACGTGATATGAGCTGTGTAGGTAGGCTCAATAACCTTCTCGACAGCATTGAAAAGATCTAATTGATCAAGAACACGACCTCCATTTGGCATGATACCTACCGAGGCGCCTAGCTGTGGTGCAATATCATTGCCTTTTTCAAGGACGATGTGCTCGATGTTCGCGCGTTGAAGGCAATGGGCAAGTGTGAGACCCGCAATAGAGCCACCAACTATGATGACCTTGAACTGGGGGTGTGCTGCAGGCATAGTGGACTGATAACGGTAGATAGATATCTTGAGGTGATAAGCTGGTTGTGGGAAGGTTCAGAGGAGGAATTTTGGACCTCCCCAAAGCTAATGAGGCGAGTTACATCTGGTTGGTTGGTGGTTGTGAATGTCACATTCACTGCAGAAGAAAGCCAGACAAACAGTCAGACAGCTTGAGACGGACCTGTCCAGGCGATGGGAGCCTTTGCTCACTAACTGCCAGTCACACAATGTTTTCCACCAACAATATCTGACCCTTCCGAGAGATTGTACCCCGGTACACTGTTTGTGTTTACCGAGGACTGTCTCTGTGATACTTTATTTAGTCCTCCTGTGCACCACCTCAAATGCCATCAACCCGCCTTGGTCTGAGTGCTGAATAGGTTGATTCTACTTCCTACTGAAGCAACAATGCCGGTCTAGAGAGAAATATGCCGCTCTATTCAATATTATTCTCCGAATACATTCGCCTGCCCATCCCATTCGTTATTTCCACACATATCATTTATTTTTCTTGTTTCAGGCCATGCCACTCTAACTCAGTCTGATCCAAGCCTCCTGCAGTGCGGTACAGCACTGATCCTTGGATGACCCTCCTGATGCGCGAGGACAACTCAAGGACCTAGACTTTCTCCGCGGTAAGACAAAGACGGGAAAAATACACTCCTCGTATGCAGCGCCTCCCAACAGCCTGACATCATTCTAGGCTTATCCACCATCATCATCATAGATCGTGATATCTCTATCTTGGCACGGCATTTCGACCTCGTGTTTCAGCTCTCGAGAACAAACCCAAAAGAACTGGACATCTTCAGCTACCTGCGCTTATATTCAGCTTCCAACCGAGATCCCTCCTCCTGCCGTTTGATGAGAAAAAAGCAAAAGCCATAGAGTAACTCGGAGAGAAAAAACATGGCTACAGCCCACAGCATAAGCGGACAATTCAACCAGGCAAAGGAAGCCGGCCAATAAGCATAGCGAATGTACGCAAAACCGATCGTCGAGATAGATCCTAGAAAGCGCGAAAGCCTAGCCCTCTATTGTCAGCACCGCACTCGTGAGGAATAAGACGAATTCCCAGTATCCAAAGTGGGCTATCGATTAACACACCATTTTGTGTACGAGGCGCCACGCGTGCTGGCGCGAGTCAGCAGCAGAAACACATCGCCAACACTGATGAACATCTGACAGACGACCGCTCCCCACGAGTAGGCCAGACCAGGGCCCAGCTGGGCCGCCAGGGCTAGATGTCCACTGAGCCAGAAGAGGGTCATGCCTGCAAAGGTCAGAGCCATGTTATCCTTCACCAGTGGAGATTGGCGCCATTCATTGGGGCCGTTCCTGATGGCCGCATAGATGACCGTCAAATCGAGGAGCAGACCGAGGAAGAAGGCCACGCGCTCGACCACTCCCTTGGCAGGGTACACTAGACAGTATACGATCTCCCATGCAAAATTAACTGTGATTCCGGCGATCGTCATGCCATAGGTCTTTTCTCTGAAGGATGTGTAGGCCACGTTCACATAGTAGATAAGCCAACCGAGGCCCATGCCTGCGATAAACAGGCTGTCGAGCCATCTGAGAGCCTCGTACTCGGCGGGCACATCCGAATGATCAAACCCATCCATTGGAGTGGTCTAGGAGGAGAAAAAGCAATGGTTCTAGTCATGAGCCAATCCGAAATATCCCTACTGGCCGCTTACTTGGGCACTGTTTATATACATTCACGTCAGAGTAGCGTAGAGATCTCGGCCACAGAGTATACTAGCAGAAGGTGAAGAACCACAACCAAAGATACCCACTATGCTACCACCCTTCTACGGCCTCAGGTTCTACACGCAGTACTTTGAATTGTCCCGCCCGGAGTAGGACTGGAATCAGAATCGGCTAACCGTGTGACGCAGGATCGTATTTTGTTCTGCAAGACTCTGCAAGGCAGCCAGGGAAGCTTCGAGTCTCGCAATCATTCTGCCCTGCTGTGCTCTAAGCACATGTACCAATGCCTGACTGGAAATCCAGCTGATGGGTTGGAACCGAGTCAAGGAAGTGGCATCAACGGTAAACCTGAGGAAAACGAGATAGTGTAACTTGTCTCAGCCCTCGACCACTCTTTTGAAGCAGGCAGGAAAGGGAAAGGAAACCGAGGGTGGTTGGCAATCCATCTGCAGCCCCCGTGGACTCCGGTTTAGGCCATGCCATATATATATAGACCAGGAGGATGGTCCGCGTTCTCAATCCACATTTCAAATATACTCCTGCACTGTAACCTGAAGTATTATTGCCTGGTTGCTTATGTCCTAAAACCCTAACAGCCGAAGGGGGAAGAAACACAAGAACAGCGAATCATGGCCGCCATTTCAGAAGTTGCTTCCATGTCTCTGCCATGGATCGCAACTATCGGAATTTTCCCCCTTGTTGTCTACGTACTTCTGGATCGAATGCCTCCGCTGTGGCCGATCTCCAAGAAGGCCTTCTTGATCGGCCAGAAGAGGCCCGAGGCAGTGACCTCGTTCGAATGTCCTTATGCCTATATTCGCCAAATTTATGGCAAATATCACTGGGCACCATTTGTGCAGAAGCTCTCCCCGACGCTTAAGACCGATGATCCAGCGAAGTACAAGATGGTGCTCGAAATCATGGATGCAATTCATTTGTGTCTGATGCTGGTGGATGATGTGTGTAGTCCTTAACACAGTTTCTCTCAGAATTTCCCTTTCTTCCTGTCGCTGGAGCATATTCACTGACAGCACGATAGATTACCGACAACAGCGATTACCGCAAAGGCAAGCCCGCAGCGCACAAGATCTATGGGTCTTCCGAAACCGCCAACCGGGCCTACTACCGAGTGACGCAGATCTTGAACGAGACTGTGCAGCGTTTCCCGCAAATGGCTCCCTTTCTGATGCAGAATCTAGAGGAGATTCTGGCCGGCCAGGATTTGTCTTTGGTGTGGCGTCGAGATGGGTTGAGCATGTTGCCTACAACGCCCGCAGAGCGTGTAGCGGCATATCGGAAGATGGCTTCACTTAAGACAGGGGCCTTGTTTCGAATGCTGGGTCAGCTGGTGAAGGAGGATAAGTCGATGGACGAGACGATGACAACTTTGGCGTATATCTCACCCTGTTGCTACTATCACCCTCTGACATGAATGAAGACACGGCGCTAACTTTATATACTATGTCCGGGACGCAGCTGGTGCTCCCAGTTACAGAACGATTGCAAAAATGTCTACTCTTCGGAATACGCCAAGGCAAAGGGTGCTCTTGCAGAAGACCTGCGCAACCACGAATACTCGTATCCCATCATCCTGGCTCTTGAAGCTCCCGATGGTCACTGGGTGGCCAAAGCATTAGAGACCAGTTCCCCCCGCAATATCAGAAAGGCTCTGGCGGTGATTCAGAGTGAGAGCGTGCGGAATGCGTGTTTTACAGAACTGAAGATGGCCAGCGCGTCTGTGCAAGACTGGTTGTCCATCTGGGGGCGGAACGAGAAGATGAATCTGAAAAGTCAGTAGGCGTCCTATAGAGTGATGATACCTGGTATAGGCCAGTCCCAAAGGGATCGTTGAAATGGTGTGGTTCGCGATACATACAGCGGCGTTTGGCTTCTGAAACTCAGCATTTACGATACATGTCTGTCTCTCTTTCTTTGGACCTTTTCATATTCTGTGCCATGGTTCGGATCTCTTTTTGGCGAGATTTGTTCTGGTAGGCTGGCTCTCTGAATTTAGTCATAAATCTTTCCGAGGGTTCACAGCTCTTGCAACCTGTGGGTGACAATTTCGGCTCAACTCACGCCATGATAATTCTCCGACCCATTTCTATAGTTAGGGATAAGCTGCCTTGTCACCTTCGCAATGCTGGCTTCCGTAAGCTTCGTAACCGTCGTCAGAAATAGCATGTCGGCATACACGACGGATAGATGCAGTCAAAATAACATGATGCAGCAATAGTATGAACCTTGAAGTTTGATTGCCCGAATATTCAGAAGTCACTTTGAAAATCGTCTTTAGGGTGATCCCCCTTCACAGTAACGCCTTTGCATCATTTTCATTCAGTGTTCTGAGTCGGTGTCCCGGTCACATTTGAAACAGGAGGGGTAGTAAACATGCTCCTTTTTTCTTTCTGACCCTGTCCTCGACAAATACTTGCAGCTTGCTATCAGTAATGTTTTCCGGATTTCTGTAGGTGTGGACCCCCTATCCTCGGAGCAACTTGACGGCCATGCATCATGGCTAGCCTCTCACAAAATCCTCCCTTAACCCAATCAGCGGGAGTTCATTGTTGTGTCTTCCCATCGTCTAACGATTGATGCTGTGCGACTTACTTCGCGATTGATGACTGCAAAAGCATGAATAGCCCTGCATCCAAGATACGCGATCCCCCAGGGTCGCTGAACCTATCAGTCAGCATTTGATGGCTGCATGCTCGTATCAATGGCTGTTACATGGTAGTTTCCCTGAGGATCCGGATTACGGCTCACTGTTCATGCTACACAGAAGATGATAACTTCTGATTTGGCACCTTCGCAAGCCAACGAGGAGCGTCGCTCTGGGAACGACATGACTCTGGGCATGGCCACTGTCATATTAGCTCACACCCCGGGTACCCTGCAAGCCAGAAAAATGCAGTTCAGGTCAGCAAGTTCGGATCCTGGACCACCTATTGAGCATAGTGGTATAGGGCCGGGCGGGAAAAAACGATCAGTTATATGTTATGAGAGCATGACCTTTAGCTTTTGCTGCAGTTTGCTTCCTTCATCTGCACGATCATGGAGCCAATTCTAGTTTCAACCTGTATTGCTGCGATCTTCCTGGGGATCGCCACACACCTGGGCCTGTTTATCCATTCAGAATGGGAGGTACACGTCTTTTCTGTGGTTGCCACTCTCTTCGTATCGCCGGTCGCAGTGCTCTGCCTCTTGGCCGGCCTAGGATACTCCCATGCGCTGTGGCTGATGCTGAGCGCCGTCATGAGCTATAACGTAGCTTTATGTTCGTCCATCGCGGTCTACCGATACTTCTTCCACGCATTAAAGCGCTTCCCTGGCCCAAAACTAGCGCGAATTTCGGCGCTCTGGTGCTTCAAGGACGCGGTGATTGATGCCAAATGGCATCTACGCGTGCAGGAGCTCCACCGCCAATATGGGACCTTTGTGCGAATCAGTATGTAATAGTCGGACCACTGCTTTATTTGTTCTTTTGTCCGATGAGCTTACTTGACCTGCGACGTTAGAGCCACGTGAGATATCGATCGATGACCCGTCAGCCATCAAGGCAATCCACGGGGCCGGAACATCGTGCGTCAAGGGTTCGTTCTACGACCTGAACTACCCGAACCATTCCCTGCAGATGTCCCGCGATAAGGCCTTTCATAGCAAGCGAAGGAGGCTTTGGGATCGTGGGTTCAGTCCTCGAGGTGCTTTCTCGCCCCGCACCCCACTGTTGCATGTCTAGCAAATCCTGACCCCTTGACTAGCACTTGCCGGTTATGAGCCGTTCATACTCGATCACTGCAGGGTTCTGGTCGAGCTGATCTCCGCTCGAGCACCACACAAGCAGGAAGTCAATGAATTGATTGCTGGGTTCACCTGGGACTCCATGGGAATCTTGGCGTTCGGTAAATCGTTCAATATGTTGCAGGGCGCTCCACCGCTCAACATCCAAATGATGAAGAATCTTGGTCGAATTGCGAGTGTGCTGCAGTGCGCGAGCTGGATGGCCCAATTGGTCCGGAACGCTCCAATTCTGCGAGTGAAGAACCAGGAGTGGTTGAATTGGTGCAGCGAGCAGTTGGAGAAAAGGAAAAAAGTAAGTGGTTGTCATTCTGAATAGTCGAATGATCTTCGCTGATTGTCCCTAGATGGAACTGAATCATCAGGACCTCTTCAGCTATTTGATTGAAGGAGCCCTTGCCAATAATGAAGGTCAAGTGAAGAGCGAGTCGGACGAAGACCTAGTCTATGACTCCGAGCTCACCATCACTGCAGGTAGCGACACCACTGCTGCGACGGTCAGTGCGATTCTGTATTTGCTGGCGCAGCATCCAGACAAGCTCCAGAAGCTGCAGCAGGAGTTGGACACTTGTGTCCCTGCTGGCGAGAGTTTGTCACATGCTGCGTTAGCAGGTAAGCCATGGCTGGAAAGCTGCATCAATGAGGGTCTACGCATGTACCCCAGCGTGGCGAGCGGTGTCCCACGCGAAACTGGTCCTGAGGGTCTCATGGTAGCCGGAGTCTACATCCCTCCAAGGACGATAGTCTCTACCCCGACTTACACTATCCACCGAGGTTCGAGCCCTGTGCTTTGACTGACCGTAAGAAAGCTAACGACCTACAGACCCACGAAACTTCGTTGACCCGCACAGCTTCGTTCCCGAGCGATGGTCCAGCAAGCCGGAGATGGTACTCTGCAAAGAAGCATTCAAATCCTTCTCCACCGGAAAATACTCTTGCGCGGGGAAGCAGTTTGCGATGATGGAGATGCGACTGGTGGTGGCCACGATTGTCAGGAGCTTCGACATGGAATTTCCCTCAGGAGAGGGACGAGAACCACTGGAGGAAGTAGGCCACGGGGTGCTGGATTGTTTCACGGCGCATATCCCAGATTATCATTTGATCTTCCGGCCCAGGTAGGAGAATCCATACTGAAGTAGGCGCTGTCATGAGTAAGCATTCCAGTAGAATCAAATGTATTTGACTGTGTCCATCACAACCGCTGCGATTGTCCGGATGCGGCCAGGGAGAAACACGGTTGGTGCAAGACTCCAACCAGGGAAACCGTAGCAGCACGAATTCAGGGAGAATACAAGACGGAAGCCCTCGCTCTCAAAATGCCCTTTCAACTCAGACCCGACTTGTTCATGCATCAACTTCTTCCGCCAGGGGTTATTGCGTATCGCCACCATGGCCGACGACGAAGCGACGCGGGAGGGCGGGCGAGGCAGTATCAGTATCTATGATCCGGCCCGGGATCGCTGGGAAGAGAAGGCGGAAGTCGTTCCTCCTCCTTCAACTGCTCCATCTTCTCCATGTCAACGTCCTCCAGCTCTCACTGCAACCCCACAAAAACGATCACCCTCTGCTGCGGTACGTGATTCCACCCCTAGTCCCAGCACTACTGCAGGGACCCTTTTTCGATGGAGTTAAGTAGCGAGTGGCGACGTCGGTCGGAAGCGGTGATTCCCCGACGCTGGCTTTGTTTGTTTGCTGGCTGCGACTGCGGCGAAATCTCTGTCCTCCATCTCTCGCTGAGCAGAAACAAGAGATATAACTCTTCTTCGTGACTGACTGTCATTTTCAAGATTACAAATGAACTTCAACTGAAATCTGCGCCCTCTCTGATACCCACCCCCCTATCCCCAACTCTTCCTCAAAACCTTCCCGATAAACCTGCTCCTCCCAATCCTCCTTCAACCTCGAATCGACGACCCCCAGCCAAACAAAGAACTCCAGCAACCAAAATGGGCGATTACTCGTACTCCGAAACCGTCCGCTCTCCCTCACCCAGCGGCCACGAAGCAAGCCGCGAGAACAATGACACCTACAAGCGCAGACTGCCCGAGGAGGAACCCACCTCGACGGATCAGGGCTATCGGCCAAGCTCCAAACGCAAGCGCGTCGAGGAACGCCACCAAAAACTCCGCAAACGCGGACGCACGCCCCCATCGGCATACTCCCGCCGCGACCGGGACGACAACTCCGCGGCGCCCAACCGCCACGCCCATAACCGATCCCCATCCCCTCCCCTCCCGCCACGATCCCCAACGCCCGAATCACAACCGCGTCAGCGCAAGCGACCTGGCGGCGGCGCCCGCATGGGTCTCGTCGACCGGGAGACCCTCCGACGGCGACAGGAGGAGCGCGAACGTGCGGAGCAGGAGGACGCGATCCGGAACTCGCAGATCCGGGGCGTGACGGACCTTGTTCGCCAGCATTACAATGCCGTGCCACAGCGGGGCCGTGAGTGGCGCAAAACCGAGAGCAAGATCAAGGGCCTGCGCAGCTTCAACAATTGGGTCAAGAGCACGCTCATCCAGAAGTTCTCCCCGGATGAGGAGTTCGTTTCGCGTGCGATCGGGACCAAGGACTGGGCGGACGAGACAGGCCCGCCGCCCATGGAGCAGAGGAAGCTGCTGGTGATTGACCTAGGCTGCGGGAAGGGTGGTGACCTGGGCAAGTGGCAGCTGGCGCCGCAGCCGGTGGATCTGTACGTGGGACTGGACCCGGCTGAGATCTCGGTCGTGCAGGCGCGCGAGCGGTACAACCAGATGCGATTGGGACGAGGAGGGCCTCGCGGCGGTCGCGGTGGTGGCCGGGGCCCGAGTTTCCACGCAGAGTTTGTGCCAAAGGATTGTTTCGGTGAGTGGCTGGGTGATATCGATATTGTACAGCGAGTCGGCATCGATCCCAATGCTGGGCCTGGAGGCTCAGTAATGAGCTCTCGCTGGGGCGGAGGTGGCTTCGACGTGGTCGCGTCGATGTTCGCGATCCATTATGCGTTCGAAAGTGAGGAGAAAGCACGGCAGATGCTGCGCAATGTGGCTGGCTGTCTGAAGAAAGGCGGGCGGTTCCTGGGTGTCTGCCCGAATTCAGACATAATCAGTGCCAAGGTGGCCGAGTGCAATGCTAAGCGCAAGGCACGCGAGGAAGCGGCTGCTTCGAAGAAGGAGGAGGACAATGAACCCGAGGACGGAGAAGTCGAGGAGGACACCAAAGTGGAATGGGGCAACTCGATTTATCGTGTGCGATTCCCCGGGGAGACGCCCGAGGATGGGGTTTTCCGGCCGCCGTTTGGCTGGAGATACAACTACTTCATGCAGGAAGCCGTGGAGGAGGTCCCGGAATATGTGGTGCCATGGGAAGCATTCCGAGCGTACGTTTCTGCCCGCCTCTCGTTTTTATCATCATTGCTAATGGTTGAGAGATAGATTGACCGAGGAGTACAACTTGGAGCTGCAGTACCGCAAGCCGTTTTTGGAGGTCTGGCACGATGAGAAGGACGATGCCGAGTTGGGGCCGCTGAGCGAACGCATGGGTGTGCGCGACCGCAATACCGGGCAACTCAGCATGACCGAGGAGGAGCAGGAGGCAGTCAGTAAGTGTTTGTTGTCTGTATTGAATGATAGATTAAGCTAACGAGGATAGGCTTCTACCACGCTTTCTGCTTCTACAAGGTCTAAACACGAGGTCTGGGTCTGGGATTCGCTTCTTCAGTCACATCTATATTGCTGGCAATACCCTTGTAAATCATAGTAGATCAATGAATCCTTCGTCATTTTTTACTAAGTAAAGATCACCTAAAGTAGACCGAGAGACTGTTTGTTCTCTGTTGACCACGCCATAGTATGTGCTAGACTACGCTCATGGTATAATTACCCAAAGATATCCCCTCACCGCCCCACACACCGCTGAGGCGGCAGAACACCTTCAACCTTGCAACAGAAAATCCAAGATCAGCGAGCAAGCAGCAGACAAACAACCCAGAAAAACATCCTCCGAAAAACTGGTATAAATCCTACCGCCTGGAGATCACATGCTCGGCAGAAACTCGCAACCTCGCAGCGTGCAAATCCGAATTGACAGACAAACAGCAAACAACCAGTCCAGAAAAAGGTATCCGGGAAACTGTTCAATAACCTACCTACCGCCTTGGCCGGCCGGCAGAAAGCTGAGCGGGAAGACCACGGCCGTAACTCGGGTTGGAGAAAGTGGGAGGAGTTTTACCGCTTTATAAGTCATGTGAGTGGCAGAATGGCTGCAACCTCGCGACTGGAAAATGGTGATTACTGCATGAACAGTAGATAAACAGGTGGAGAATGGGTGCTGGGCGACTGTTTGAAATCTTACCGCTTTGTTGAGGACACTGCCGGCAGAATATGTTGCCTGCCGCCTGCTGCTCGGCGGCTGAGCTGCAGATGAGCCACGGGCGAAACTCGGGCTGGGAAAATGGTAGGAATCTTACCGCTTTGCGAGTCACATGGGTGGCAGAATGCTGGCGACCTCGCAAACAGTTCTTGGAGCTCTGGAGCCAGGCAGGCACGTAAACAGGGTTGAAAAGTCAGGCTGTGAAAGTGGTAAGATTGTTACCGCCTTGGGGGGATAGGACCTGCCGGCAGAAAGGCTACCGCTGAGGCAGAACAACCACGGCGGAAATTCGGCCTGGGGAAAGTGGTAGGAAGTTTACCGCATTGAGGCGGCAGAACATCGGCGACCGCACAACAGTTTTTGGAGCTTCAGAGCCAGGCAGGCAAGCAAACACTCTTGTAAAAATCAGGCATCAAAACTGTTAGGATTGCTACCGCTTCCAAAGCACATGACCGGCAGAACTCCAGCAACCTCACAGCAAGAAATCAGGCCGCAGCCGACGAACAGCCAACCAACACTCCCCGAAAACCAGGCATCAAAACTGTTGAAAAAGGCGGTGGGACTTTCTGCCACCCACTCCACCGATAAGCCGATAAACAGATAAACAGATAAGCCGATAAGCCCCCAAGCAAGCCAGCTATAACCAAAATTAGCCTAGCGTAAGCGCGTCGCGTCTCTTTCTTTCATCGCTTAATGCTCGTTCAGCAAGTAGCCAGTTGCAGTGGATATAGTTTCAGTTTCTTTGAGGAGTCCAACAAAGACACGCCGCCGTCCGAAGCGCCGCACTAGAGCAGTACCGGTACCATCGGTACCCCTCGACATCAGTCCGTATCTTCCACGGGGGCCAGACATCTTACAAAACCATCCATCTAACCCTGTAATCCCTCTCCATCTCCAGCTCTATCAGAACTAACCAGCGAGAACCCAGCCAGCCAGCCAGATCATATCAAGCCAACCAAACAAAAACACACCATACAAATCCTCGAGAAAAAAAAAAGAAAATCCAGAAAAAATGCCCCTCCTCCGCCGAAACAACCCGCAACCCTCCACCCCCTCCTCCTCCGCAACAGCAAGCAATATCCCCCAACCACCCCCCTATAACCCCCCAACAATCCACAACCGAAACCCAACCCAACTAACTCTCCACCCAACCTCGCACGCCGCACTGCTCAACCTTCTAAACAGCGCCCCGCTCCGGAACCTAAAGACGCACCTTCAGCACGCGCAGGAGAAGCTTACGGACGCGGCGGGAGAGATCAACGAGCGGTTGACGGATGCGGAGGAGCGGGCACGGCGCAAAAGAGAGCGGAATACCGCTGGCGGAGAGGAAGGCGAGAATAGGGGCGGCGAGGAGGCAGCAGAGGGTGAGGAGGAGGATCTTGTTGCGCTAAGGGAGTCTGTGCGGGCGACGACTGCGAAGTTGGATTTGAAGATGCGGGGGGCGATTGATGCGGAGATGAGGCTTGAGGGGTTGAGTGGGGTTTTGCGGGGGTTGGAGGGGGATGTTAATGTTGTTGATGGGGTACGAACTGGGACTAGGTCGACTAGGAGTAGTCGACGGAATCGGAGGGATGGGGATGGGGATGAGGAGATGGTTGATGTTGAGGGGGAGGATCAGGGAAATGAGGACGAGGGGGAGGAGGACGAGGATGATAGTGGAGCTGTTGGGCCGACGTTGGTGGGTAAGATTGAAGAGAGTATGGCGGCTACGAAGGAGCAGTGGAGTGAGATGTCGCTTACGCAGAAGTATGTTTTATCTTCTTCGTTTCACCAAGATGTCATATCGAGAAAGAGAGGCTAATTTGGCTGAGCAGATACTCCACTAACCCCGCCTACGTCGGTTTCTACCGCATCATCCACGAAGCCAAACACCCGGGCGACGATATCCCCCCGCTTCCGCACGCCTCGACCTGGTTCGCTCATCTTGAAGACAACTCCTCCGACACGAAACCCTCAACATCGGCCAATAGCGCTCGCGGAGCCCCGGCGTCGAGAACAACAACCGCAGCCTCCAGGAGCGCATCCTCCCGCCACACCGAGCATCCCACCGCAGAGGAAGATGATGACGAAGATGTCTCGGACGAAGATGTCGCCATCTCTCGAGAACGCATCTCCTTGAAATGTCCCCTTACCCTCCTCCCCTTTCAAGACCCGGTCACCAGTACCAAGTGTCCGCACAGCTTTGAGCGTGAGGCCATCACCGCTATGATAGCGCAGAGCCGCACCACCGCTCCGGATCCGAGGCAATCTTCTGCGAGTGGGAGTGCAGGCCGACGTGCGCGTCGCGTGCACTGCGTTCAATGTCCGGTGTGTGAGGTTGTCTTGACTGAGTTTGATCTGCGGAGTGATCCTGTTCTTTTACGGAGAGTGAAGAGAGCCGAGGCTGCTCTGCGACGGGAGCAGGAGGAACTCGAGGATGATGAATACGATCATAGCAATGTCGGTGGGCGGAGGAAGAGGGGAAGGAAGAGTGGGATCACGGTGGCCAGTGATGACGAGGACGACGATGCTACCACAGCGCGCGGAGTGGCAACCCAGGAAGATCAAATCCGGATCAAACAAGAACGCGCTGTCTCGGTTGCTGCCAGTGATGTTGTCGATATTGAAGAAGACGAGAATGAAAGTGAGGAGTTTGAAGATAGTGGTCATTGGCAGGGAGGGGACGATGAGGACGAGGAAGAGGAAGAAGAAGAGGAAGAACAGGAGGTAAGAGCAGGAGAGGTCGAACAAGAAGATGAATTCGAAGAAGCAATGCAATTGGCTGATGACTCAGTTCAAGACGAGGTAATTGAAGATCAAGAGCTGGGGGCGCAAACCGAAGAGGAAGTCGAAGGCGAGAACCAGGAGGTAAGAGAGGGAGACGAAGAAGAAGAAGAGTTCGAAGAGTCGATGCAAGTGGCTGATGACACAGTTCAAGATGAAGCATTTGCAAACCAGCAGCAGGAATTCAAGGGTGATGGGGAGGAATTTGAAAAGGAGCAACAGGAGGTAAGAGAGGGAGAGGACGGAGAAGTCGAGAAATGATGCAGGTGGCTGATGATACAGTTCAGAATGCAACAAATGAAGATCAAGGACACGAGGGGGGAATGGAGGAGGCAGTTGATCAGGGGGAAGAGATGCAGGAAGCACAGGGAGTGCAGGGAGGAGAAAGGCAAGAGGATGTGGAGGCAGAGGATGAGGAAATGCAGTATGTCGATGCTGGGCTGGTTGTACAAGAAGAAATCCAAGATGTCCACCAAGAAGAGAAAGAACTAGAGAATCAAAACGTTGACACTGCAATCGAACAAGACAATCAGGGAGAATCAGGGGAAGACGAGAACCACCAAGTTGATGCCGACGCAGTTAATGAAGAAGATTATGCTGTTATCCAACCAGTCGTGCACGAGGGCCAAAAGGCCCAGAAAGAGGAGGAGGAAGTTGACGAAGATGAGGGGGACGAGATTGAATGGTCTCAGGTCGCTGACTCTCAGTTCATTGAACAAGAAGGTCCCCAAGACGAGAGCGTTGGAGAAGAGAATGAGGTTGACGATACTGGGCCAGCGGAGCACGAGGATCAGATGCATGGTGATGAAAAGGCAAAGTACCAAAACGTCGACGCGCGGTCGACGGAGGAGAACAGCCAGGAGACAATTGAGGATGAGAATGAGAGCATGCAGTATGTTCAAAATGAATCGCTAGGGCATGCGCATCAAAACATCCAGCAAGCCAAAGATAGCCAACAAGAGGCCGATGAGCCTATTGAACAAGAAGAGGAAGAGCTAGAGGATGAGGATAGGAAGATGCAGAGCTTGGACAATGCTTCGCCTGAGCACAATGCCCAGAGAGATGAAGAGCAACAAGGAGGCAATGCACCTTTGGAGCAAGAAGTTAGGGATGAGGATGAAAAGATGCAGTACCTTCACTCTGTTCCAGTTGAGCATGAGGCCCAAGGCGATGCAGGGGGAGAAGAAGAAGACAATAGACCCGTGGCGCAAGAAGACGGGAAGAGTATTGAGGAAGAGTTGGGAGAAAGCGAAGAGGGCCAGCACGTTGATGCTAATTCAGTCGGAGAAGAGGATAAAGATGAAGATATGAGTCAGCAAATCGACGATGGACTGAGTGAACAACCAGACATAGAAGAACCAGTGGAGAAAGAAGAACATGCGCCGGCAGGCGATGATATAACAAAAGGCCGAGTGGAAGATGACAATGCGATCCAGCTCGTCGACACAGGTCCCTCCGAGCCAGAAGACCTGGAAGGACCAAAGGAGGGGGACGAAGGTGCGTCCGCAGGTGGTAATATAGTTGAAGAAGCAGAGGATGGTGATGGACAGAGCCAGCATGTGGGTGATGACTTAGTTGAGCAAGGAGAGCAGGATGAGATGGAGGGTGACGAGGAGGATGAAAAGAAGGAAGAAGCAGAAAAGGAAAAGAAGGAGGAAGAGATTCACCACGCCGGTGCTGGCCCAATGGAGCTAGACAATTATGAAAAAGCAGCGCAAAAAAGCGACTCCCAACATGTTGACGCCGAGCCAGGCGAGCAAACAAATCAACAAGATATCAGTGAAGAAGAAAACGAGTCCGCTGTTGATTATGGTGAAGTTGTTCACAACGCAGCAGTTGGTGATACAGTACCTGAAGAAACAGTGCTTGGAGATACATCAGTTGATAATACAGCGCTTGATGATGCAATGGTTAACAATGCAGTGGTGGATGATGCGGTGCACAAAGATACAGCGGGTGATAATATAGTACTCACAGATACTGTGACCGACGATACTGTGATTGAAAATACTGCGATTAAAGATACTGTGATCGAAGATACTGTGGTCAACGATACAGTGACTGAAGATACAGTGATTGGAGACACGGTGATCGAAGATACAGTGATCGATAATACAGGGATGGAAGAAGATGAAGAAAAGCCACCGTTTGTTGACGCCGCACCCATCGAACAAACAGACCAAGGACATGAGGAAAACGGAGAAGGAGAAGGAGAAGAGGATCAGCCCGCCCTCGACGCTGACCTTGCTGGCCATCACGATACGGAGGAAGATAAAGAAGAGACTGTCCTCACGGTGGATGACGGAGTGGATGCAGCAGAGGAAGCAGAAACAATTCCGCCCACCGCCAATGCCGACCCAGTTGAGCAAGTATATCAGGGAAACCGGGAGGATGAGGCTCAAGAAGATACAGTTCAAGAAGAAGAGGGAGAAGATAACCACCAACCTATCGTTGAGACTGGAAATGTTGACTTAGGCAGCCATGACGATGTGGTAGAAGAGGACGATTCCCAGCCCGTCGTCGATGATGCAGTGTATGGTGGGGAGAATGGGGATGAAGAAGAACAGCAGCAAGAAGAAGAAGAAGAAGTCAACACTGTCAATGCCGCAGCCATGGAAGACGAGGTAGAAGAGCAAACTGAGCCTACAAATGGAGAAGGAGAAGCTAAGGTGGAACACGCAGATAATGGCGATGCTTTGGATGACAAAGCGGACGAAGAGGAGGCAGTACCGCAAAGAGTCGATGAAGAAGATACTGCACACAACTTTGACGACTTATTTGAAGAAGCGGAGGATAAAGAGGATGTAAAACCCGAAGAAACTGAGGGGGAGCTGGATGTGGAAGTGGAGGAAGACGGCCCAGAATACCGAAGGATTGACCCGGACTACGTGGACACGGGAGTCGATACAGGATTGGAAGGCGAAGACACTGAAAACTGGGATGAAGGCTTGGAAGATGAAGATACAGAGATTGTATCTGAAAGGGCGGAAAAGGAAGAAATAGAAAACACAGACCAAGGTGTGGTCGGCGAACATACAGTCAGTGGACAGGAAGGATTGCCAGACGAACAACTCGGTTCCATGCAGAATATTGATGTGGCAGGGTACGAAGAAGAGCAAGATCCCATGGATGAGGAAGAGGAAGAGGAAGAGGAAGACCTTGAAGTCGATTACTAGATAGCCTCTGCTTCAATAATGTGATGAATTCATTGACAACTCGTCATCATGCTCTGAAAACCCTCGTGCACGGCTCATTAAGCACGCCATGGGATATATAACTATTATGAAATACAAAATGAATCGATGCATACCCACGAAGAACTCCACCCAGGCTACCCGCCATAGAAAGGAAAAGGGTATTGTCGTATAGCCGATAGCCACCACACATCAGGAGCATCGCATCTGTGCCAGACAGCATGCAACTCCGTGGCCGTCCGATTCGTCAGCCTAATCGGATGGGGTGGGCCGATCGGGCGTAAAGAAATGTAGTGTGTGCAGATCAGACTTGGTCTATCCGGACGCGACCTTGATCAATGCTTTGACCTGGATTGAAAGAAAAATCTTCCGGAATCACACCAAACACTCTACTTAGTTAGGAGGTTGAGATAGTCGGCGACAATCAGTGTAACCATGCTGGTGGATCCGCGGGGTTAGTGACAGCACTACGCGATAAGAAAGTCTTGGGGTGGGGAAACTAACGCATGAGGAGCGATCCGCACAAAGTAGGTGCCGAACCCGCGATAGAAGCGCAACCAGCCTTCCTCCTGCGCGACCTTGCGCGCACAATCCAGCAGACCTCTGTATTGCAGCTTGCCTGTCAAGGGATCCTTCTGCTGCTTCTGCAGACGTGTCTTGATGAAGTCAAACGGCAACGAGAGGAAGCTGGCGAAGAAACCGGCAATCGCCGAGGCGGCAAAGGTCTGACTCTGGGCGGACAGGTTGGTATGGGCCTTCAACTGGGCCTTGGATTCGGCAAAGAAGGTCAATTGACCGACGTTGAGGGCCATCGCGCGCACGACCGTAGGCGAAGCACCGGCCCACAGGGCTGGGACACCTTCCGACTTGGAGATGCGGACAAGCGCGTCGAGAGCCGAACGGTAGTTGGCTCGCGCCTCGGGAGGCTTGAGGCCGTCGGATTGCATGCGGACCAGGGCCAAATCGGCCGGATTGCCAATCATAGCGGCAATCCCACCAGCGGATAAACCGGCCCCAGCCCGTTCGGCGAAGGTGACCTTGCGGTTAGCAGCTTCGGCGCGCTTGTTGAGGACTTTGCTGAAAGTGTCGAAGAAACCCAGGCGAGCCGTAGTGTACACGGCTTGACGAAGCAGTCCAGCTGATAGACCAGTATATAGATCAAGCACCTTACCGGACGCGATGATGTCGCGAGCGACGCCCAAGGCAGAGGGACGCGGCCCAGAGCGCACGCCTTCGCCAGCCAGCTGCAGACGGACTTTGATCATGTCAATGGGCTGGATGACGACGGTGGCGGTCATGCCAGCAAGGCCACCGTTGACAAAGGGAAGCGCCGCCCGAGTGTAAGGGTGATGGAGGAAGTCCATGGCAGGCTGGGGTTCTTTGGTGGCGGCCGCGGCGGTAGTGGCAGTAGCAGTGCTGGTGGTAGAGGCCATGTTGAGGAAGGAAACACGATTCGCACTAGATCTGGTGGTTATTGTCAGAGCATGCACGTCTTGTCTTTTCAATGTCAATCAATGCTTCTGATGACTGGGGCGTGAAAGGAGAGCAACAGGGATTAAATACACGGCGCGATCAACACGAGGGAAAGCGGGGGTAACAAAAGAAGATGGCATCGATGTATGGAGAAGATTGGCCCCAGGCAAGCAAGCATCTGGGCCTGGCCAGGCACTGCATGAGACCCCGACTGTAACCCCAACTGTGACGGGCGGATCTTCCAGGACTGGAATCCCGAAACTACTTACCGTGGATGGGAAGAGGGCGATGCAAGGCCTTGAGTGCAGAAATGAGGGGGCAGAGGAAAGCTAGAGCAAGACGAGGATAAATCTTTTTATTTATAACTTGATGGGGATTTTTCGCGGGGTCAGATGATGGACGAGGATCAGTCGCGGGGAAAGACGGACAGGGAGGAAGAAGCTGTCTGTCCCACGCGGGTTGAGCGGAGAGTTATTGAATTAAATAGTAGGTAAGACTCGGGATAGGTAGGATACTACCTGAATCAGTGCCAGAGAAAGAAAATGAAACCAGGCCGGCAGGCACGATGGGATGTGGTACAGAGTCTCGGTCCAGTGGTAACAAACCATCCTTAACCGGGGTGAGAGAAGAGAACCTGAGCTGGCAGTGGCAGTGTGACAGGTGGGGACTCTCGGTTTGTTGGTGGTAGAAGAATAGTCATCTATTGACACATCTGTTGAAGATGATTTGTATGCATAGTACTGTCTACAGTACAAGCAGCAAAGCGACTACTGCATGAAGCCGCCAGCTGGAAAAAAAATGCGGGGGAGCGTGGCAACTGGTTTGCTTCTTTTGATGTTACAGTCTCTCTGCCTCATATTTTGTACACAATAGAACACAGAGTACAGAGTATACACAGGACGCATCCGACCGGCGAGAATCTTCTCTCTTTCCTACCTCTAATTACCTTCCATGCTGTCATGAACAAGCACATCCTTCTATGGATAGACAGATAGTTGACCAAGTAAGTGGAGCATGAGTATGAGCATTAGCATAGCTTCCTTCCCCACTCCTAAGCCCAACCCGTCCAACCGCCCACTAAACCCGATCCAGCATCGAACGAGAACCCCCCGGAAACCCGGCCAGCTCCGAGGTTAGTTGTTAGTCTTAGTACTGGACCAGTACCGTCTGTCCCTCATGCCAGGGTATGAACATGACATCCAAGCCGATCAATATTCTTCCGCTTCTTCCGCTTCTCCTCTCTGTCTCTCCCTCCCTCCAACCTTAATCTCGCGAAACTATGATGAAATCCCTTCCAACCGATACTGCCGACTCTCGGACTGATAGTTTGAGTTAGTATTGTGGCCCCAACAAACTCGATGCACCCAATCAGTCTAGTCTGAATCTGGGGTTGTACCGGAGAAGATCTCCTCCGGGTGTTTGGCCGGTTACAACAGCACGAATTCTATTGAGAGAGGGGTGGAGGAAGGGTTACTGCGCTTTAGTTGAGGATTGTAGGTAGATGTCTATGCCCTATTGTACATAGTAGTCCATTGTTCCGACTAAAAGCAGCTGTCTTGCTTCCCACTCTATCCCTCTCAGATACTATATATAATATGCTATCACAGAGCACTTGAGTAGTATAGAATGTATAGCACACTCACCGCTCAATCAACCATCCGCATCAAAAAAAAAAAAAAAAAACCTAACCTGCCGGTTCCAAATCCATCCCCTCTCATTCGTATCGATACCCACAATTCCCCCTCACCCCACTATAACTAAACCAGCTAAACCATCCCAGCTCAGCGCAGAGCAACTGAACCCGGATAACCTAGTACCCACCTAGATACCAACTCGGGATCCCGGAGCGGGAGATAAACCATAAACTTATCTCCCGCGCACCGGATCTCGGTAAACCTTTCGGGTGGAGGGGGGAGGAGGCGTAGTCTACTCCAGGCTGTCAATGCAGCGAGGCTAGGAGGACAGTCGTCCGGGGTGCGTGTCAATCGGCGCTCGGGAAATTGATAATACAACGAACATTAAAGCGGTAGGTGCATTGACCCAGGCTATCGACTACCCGCAGTAGATTCTATCTATTGAGCGAGCCAGTGATAAGAATAGGGTTGAATGAACAGCCGATTATCGGTGGATACTAACATACTACCGATCCAGACCTCTGGGTCATGTCAGATGAATTTATCTCCAGGTTTGAATCACTCGGATCAATATTCAGATTAGACAATGGAACTACATTGGGATATGGGAAGTCTTGTTTGACATAAATAGACGCGGACTCATCTATTAGATGCTGCTGCATCTCTCTCTGAACGGTTGTCGACTGTTGAGATGACTGCTCTGAAGAACCTAAACCCCCAATACTTCCGAAGTATACATCATACACGTATTCACATTTCTGTTTTCATAGCCCGAAGCCAAAATACTACCAAAAACAATAACGCCAAGGTATCAATCCAATCAGAAGCATATTCGCCGTCATTGCCTTCCTTCCCTCCCGTCCCTATCACATAACCGAACAGTCCGCCGCATGTGCCGAATCCCTCTGCCTTGCTCCCCTCAGCTTACCGATACTACTTCCTGTTGATGCTGCTTCCGCGGCCGGAACTGAAGGACCGGCCCTCTCTTCTGGCTAATGATGTGATCATACAGTTGGAACTCATGCGGGTTCGACCGCCCCAGCTCCCCGCCGTCTCGACTTCCTGCCCCCAACTCCCCGGCTGCACCCTCCGCCCGGCGGAAGTCATACTGCCAGATCAGGCTCGTCAGAGCCAACTGCAACTCCATCTGCGCCAGGTGGCGCCCCACGCAGGCGCGTGTCCCCTGTGAGAATGGCGTGTAGGCGGCTGCCGTGACGCTCGCCTGCTCGGGATTTTCGTCACCGTCGCTGGCTAGCCACCTCTCTGGGAGAAAGGTATCCGGCCGCGAGAAGTAGTCCGCATTGTGATGAATGCTGTAGATCCCCGTGCCAACGCTGCAGCCCTCGGGAATGACGTGACCGTCGACTACGATGGTGTCGCCCTTCTCGATGCGGCGATAGGGGCACCCGGCTACGGCGGGTGAGATGCGGAGCGTTTCCTTGATGCATGCGTGAAGGTAGGGGCACTCTTGCAGGAGAAGGGGACCGGTGCGGATGGATTCGAGGGTCGGAAACGTCGTACGGATTTCGTGGGCGAGGCGGTTGTAGGCGTGGGGATAGGTCGCCAGATAGAAGAGGTTGGCGCAGAGAGACACAGATGTGGAGTCGGACCCTGTTGAGCGTGTTATCAACAGGTTATCAGATTGAGAGGAGAAACAAGGACGCAACCTACCGGCAACAGCCAACATCGCAGACTCTGAATAGATATCCGCGTCGCTGAATGCAGGAGCCCCTATCCCCGCAGTTATTTTGTCATCCCGCGCGTTCGTCAGTCGACTAAACACATGTCCTGACATGCTCGCCGCATCTGCCATCATTGAATTCACCAGCCGATGATATCGCTTCATCCCGCGCATCTCACCAGGGAACAGCTTCCGATCCAGTCGACCGAGGAACACATATGGCGCATACATCAACAGCGACAGCCGCTTCATCATCCCGGAAATATCGTACACTGTACAACGGTGTTGCTGGCTCTCGAGGAGATTGCACGCTTTACCAAAGACCAACTCCGTGATCACATCAAATGCGAAGTAGCTGCACCAGTCCGACATGACCATCGGCTCCCCCCAAGAGCTGTTCGATTTACTACCAGGCCTAGGTCGGTACAGCGAGTCGCAAAATTTGCGTACATGCACCAGCAACCTCGGTTCAAATTCGCGCATTGCTGTGCTCGAGAATCCGGGACTGATGATCTTGTTCCGTCTGGCGTGTTCCTTCGGGCTCGTGACTGTGAGGAGGTTCTTGGTGCCGAGCTGGATGACGCCGTAGTGAACATCTTTCCGGAGGTCCTTGCCTCGGACATAGATATCTTGTTCGCTTATCAGTACACTGGTGTACACGAATCCTCATGCATGGCGGCAGACTCACCTTTCATCCCACTTGCCGTATTGAAGATCACTAGGTTCGGCGTATACCGGATCACCGGCCCTAGAAAGACTCAGTAAGCACTTCAACAGCCTCGCAAACCATAGGACAATCAATTCAACTCACCATACTTCTGATGGCACCACCATATGTGCAAATGTAAATCGCCCTTCACGGCATGATAAGCTGCGCCGGCTTCGGTGAACTTCCCCAGCCATGGACCAGGATATTTAGCCAACGGATGAAAATAAACCTGATAAACGACATACGCCAGGATCTGCGAAGCCAAGGGTTAGCACTGTCACCACATCGCCAAGCCACACAGTATCTCTAACATCAAGTTCACAAGAGGAGATACCAGAAGGAAAGGACTAATTACCGCAAGAATCACAGCCCCCACTCCCAGAATCCCCCAAGGCAGTGATGCCAGAGAATACGTTGTGTGCATGATCCGTCAATGAATCTGCCTGTATATGCTGAAGCTCAAGCTCTAAGCAACACACTTCCTTCCCATGGCGAGGAAGATCAAAGGAAGTATCGAAATGTTAGCGCGGACTTGGACGTGGATGCGACAGACCACAAGAACGATTGAGGAGATTGCTGTGGCGCGGGGGATCACACGCGGTGATACGCTTTTCACTTGGCCCAGAGAATGTGCGTACGTGTTTGGAGGCTAGGAGGGGTAGGGGTAGCCTTGCCACTGGAGGCGGGAGGGGGGTGTAAAGCAAAGGAGGCATTAGCGATGAAAGAAGTAAGTGCCCTTGAAGCGTGCTCAACGAAGGAAGACCACTGGCCAGTCAGATCTCACGTGGAGGAGATGTAACGCCTGCAAGTAGAGCATCCTTGCTTAAGCACCTCGAAGGAGCCCAGAGCCCAGCAAGGACTATACACGCCAGACAAGGCAGGTAGCACATTTCCGGCACGTATCAGCCTCAAAAGACGGCCGGTATTCATCCCTTGATATGATAACCAGGGAGGAGGCGATCGACAGGGGTGGGTGGATGGAGGCATGTCGCAAGTAAAGCATCCAGCCAGTCAATATGGGTGAGGCATGTCAAGAAGTGAGGTCGCAATAGACTATAGTTCGGGTGATCCATGGCCAAGTTGTGCGCTTGATCAACTAGTAGCCCCAGGGACTAAGATTCGGAGATCCAGCGTGCATGTGCATACTGGAATCGGTTCCTGCGTCCGTTTTGCCCTGCCGTCTGTACCCCGGTGGTTCGCATGGTTCCACCCCCTGTCTTGGAACGAGGGATGCTCGGAGGAAATTGGCTCGGTTGCATCCCGCGTTGACGCGAACTATTTAGCGGCCTCCTTGCGTGGAGAACGGGGATTTGAAAGTACAAGGTACTTCTATGACGAAGCTTAGTATGTACCCTTGTTGCTAGCTTGAGCTCAGCTCAAAATTTTTCATCGTGGATGACATACCGCATGTTGGAGTGGTGTTTCGAGGATGGAAGGGGAATATGTTGACGGAACTTCTGTCAGCGGATGGATGGGTGCCTGAGGCGCTGGAGCTAGTCTCTCTGCTTACCAGGAGCCTAGAGCGTCGCATTCGTCAGCGGCATTTGCTTCAGAGCAATATTGACAATTCAATAGTCCTCGAATCGGAAGTGAATTGGGCTCAGAAATCTGCACCTCATTTCCTGTATCAGTTCGCTGCCGGGGCAAAAAAAGGCATCGGCGTTGTTACTGGCTTAAATGAGATCGAGCGATCAAAACCAAAATTGAAGGATTACAATGGAGGTTACAATGGAGGTTACAATTGGGAACGAACTTGGTTAGAACTGAATATATTTTCTATTGGCCAACAGCCAGTATTGAATAGAACCAAAATCAGAAAAGCCATCGACAGCGGATTTCCCTCCCGCTGATCGACACAAGCCACTTTCAGGTATCTGAGAAAGAAAGATTCATATGACCCATTATTTGAAACACAGCACGCCATGCGATATGATAAACCAAAAGGGAATCAGCGAACAAGAAAAGAAACAATCTACTGAGGCACCGGTCCGGCCGCGATGACCTCCTTGGTAGCTTCATCGGCGTACTTGGCGAAGTTGTCGTTGAAGAGCTTGGCCAGCTTGTTGACCTCATCCTTGAAATTCGTCGTCGCCGTCCAGCTGTTTCTGGGGTTGAGCAGCTCCGAGGGGACACCGGGGCAGGACTTGGGCACGTGCAGGTTGAACACCTCGTAGGTCTCGTACTCGACCTCGTTGAGGGAGCCGTTGTGGATGGCGTCCAGGATGGCACGAGTGTACTTGAGAGGGCAACGCTTGCCACCAGTGGTGGCGCCAGCGCCAACCCAACCGGTGTTGAGCAGCCAGGCGTTGGCCTTGTGCTGCGAGATCTTCTCCGCGAGCATGGTAGCGTAGCGCATGGGGTGCAGAGCAAGGAAGGGCTGAGCGAAGCAGGAAGAGAAGGTGGCCTGGGGCTCAGTCACACCATCCTCAGTACCGGCCATCTTGGAGGTGTAACCCGAGATGAAGTGGAACATGGTCTGCTCGGTGGTGAGCTTAGAGATCGGAGGGAGAACACCACGGGCGTCGCAGGTGAGGAGGATGATGTTGGTGGGGTGCTTCTCAGACAAGCAGGGGATCTTGGCGTTCTCAATGTACTCAATGGGGTAGGCGCTGTAACAAATTAGCACTTCGAAGCGTGTCTTTGAGCGGCAAGGATACTCACCAACGAGTGTTCTCAGTGAGGGTAGAGTCATCGTAGTCGACAACACGGCTGACAGGGTCGAAGACGACGTTCTCGAGAACGGATCCGAAGCGGATGGCGTTGAAAATATCGGGCTCCTTCTCGGCGGAGAGACCAATGCACTTGGCGTAACACTGGTTTGGGTCAGTTGTGACTCTAGAAATACAGACTGGATGACACTTACACCACCCTCGATGTTGAAGACACCACGGTCAGTCCAGCAGTGTTCGTCGTCACCGATCAGAGCACGCTTGGGGTCGGCAGAGAGAGTAGTCTTTCCAGTTCCGGACAGACCGAAGAACACAGTGACATCGCCGTTCTCACCCTCGTTGGCAGAGGAGTGCAGAGTGAGGACGTTGTGCTTAACGGGCATCTCGTAGAAGAGGACAGTGAAAACACCCTTCTTCATCTCACCGGCGTACTCGGTACCCAGGATGACCATCTCCTTCTCGGCAAAGTTGATAGCAACGGAAGTGGCAGAGGTCATACCCTCAGTGAAGCGGTTGGCGGGGAAAGAGCCGGCGTTGTAGATAACATAGTCGGGGTGGAAGTGCTTGAGCTCCTCCTGGGAGGGGCGGATAAGCATGTTGCGCATGAAGAGAGCATGGTAGGCGCGAGCGCAGACGACACGGACGCTGATGCGGTATCTCTCGTCCCAACCGGCGAAACCATCGACAACGTAGATGCGGTTACGGGTGTTGAGGTAGTCGACGGCACGTTCACGGTTAATGCGCCAGACCTGGAAAATGAAAGTCAGTCAAGCTGCAGAGATATGCATGACGTCATCAATGTGACTCGATGCCCCCTCCCCCCCTCCCCCCAAAAAAGGCGACAACACCAGCCCTGGGCAGAAATTGGAAAGCAGTGTCACACAGCGGTCGGAAGGCCGAAAATGCCTCAGAGCACCATGCTTGAGGCATTTCTTTATCTTCCGGGTCTACTGTGTCACAGCGACCATGATCTGCCCTAAAGCTTGGCTTGGTCCCGCAGCCCGCCGGCAAGCAAGGGGGGCAATGCGCGATTATATGCCAGGCAAGAACTTACATCAGGAGTCATGGGCTTGTTGACAGGTCCCCACCAGATCTCGTTCTCTGACGATTCCTCCTTGACGATACGCTTGTCCGAAGGAGAACGGCCAGTCTTGGCCCCGGAGTATGCAGTCAAGGCACCACTGGAAGTGATGGCCGTACCAGTCTCGTAGACCAGAGCATCTTCGTAGAGAGCGGCGACAGCGGGGTTGGCAATCTGCTTCGGTTAGATATATTTAATAGAGAACTAGAGCGCAGGATGTCGTACAATAGCAACGCGGTCATAGTCAATGTGGGCGTGCTCGTGGAGTTCCTCCTCAAGCTCAGTGTGACCCTTGCCTGGCCTAGATAGACAACAGAGTTAGCAATCTGCCCACGACCATTGTCATATGCGACGGCAAGGTCAGATAGGTTCCCTGCCATGTCCCGACAGAGACGGCAGCAAACCATCGCCAGCCCAAAGCCAAGGAAGGAAGGAGAGACATACTGAACACCCCCGGGGTGCAGCGCAGTGCGATTAACCGAAGCAGCAACCATGTTTCTTAGTGAAGTAGAATGATAATTATTATTGCGTTGCTTTGCAACCTGCTGTTGAAAGAAATCTGTGTAGAGAGGACCAGATTCCACGGGGGAAATGGGGGGTATATGAATGTTTCCAACTGGGGCCATGATAGCAGCGAATTCAGGTCGTAACGAGGTTTGGATCTTTGGAGTAATGCGCCTTCTCCACAGTTCCACGGAAGATGTCGGGGCTAAGGACCGGGCTGAAGGCTGAAGCGGTTGTTTGGTTATCGTGGAAAGTCGAAACAGCGACAGAATTACCTCTCGGGGTAGTCCGACTTGTTCCGAGATCTGAGATGTGGGCACGAAGTGGTTCCGGAGGGACTGGGCGGGATGCACCAACTAGAGTGAGGGAATAACAGCAATATCGGAATTAAAAAATGCGAAAATGAGAAATTTCAGGCGTTATCAACCGATAGTGCGTTAATGTCTCAATCTAGACAGGGAGGGAGGGGTGTGGAAAGGGCGGGGGCTGAGTTGATAGCTAAGAAGTTAATGTGACAAGGGCCAGCTCGAGATATCTCGAAGCTCGTTCAAGTCAATTCTGCAAACGAGGTATTTAACCAACCCGGTGCATGTGTTTTCTATTACGAAACCGATAGTAGGTTCTACGAGCTGAAAGCAATTATTCCCAGCGTCTCCCACGGAAGCGTAGAGCCAGTCCATTCTCTCTAAACCACAGAATAATGACATTAACCACAAATTCCGGGGGGGTGGAAAGAGTGGGAGATGCGGAAGTGATGACGTTGAACGAACTCAAGGATAGCCAACCACCCGGCCAGGATTTTAGAGGCGATAAGTTTATTGTGTACAGTGTCCAGGAGGTACAGCAACGACATGGGTAAAAGATGGAAATTGCGGGGGAAGAAGCCCTCCCTTTTTTCTCGGCAAGGCTCTAAGCCTCTAACAGATGGATCACCGCCAGACTAATCCCGACCGGGTATTCAGCAGCCCTCGGCAGTGGACATAGGCCAGTAGGGCTTACGTAACTTTAGACAAGCTGACCGCCCGCCGTGACCCCAAATCGGGCCCCAAATTGGCCCACATTGCAGCGGCCAGACCCAACTACAACAAACCCCACGAATCCCAGGAATCTTTCCGAGTGACGAAATCTCGCGGATGAGAGAATCGGGTCTTGCTCCATGGCTCTAGGCTGTTTCCGGCCAAGTGAGGGTCAGCTGCCTTCCGAAGCCCTTCCCGGTCCGGCCAATGAGACCCGTGCTCTTCTCCGGATTGACAATCCAACGTCACCATCGTGAAATGCGGTGGGCAGAAGATATTGCCGTGCTTTGTTGGTCGTGTTCGGGATGATGGACGTTCTCCCCTCCCTATTTTGGGAACGACACGAGAAATTGAAGGAAGAATCACTAGCCATTCTGAAGAATGAGGCACGAACCACTCGTCATACCGCGTTCATTGTGCGTAAGCGTCTCTTTTGGTCCTTAATTCCCGCATGTTCAGATCACGCAGACCCTACGGAGTACTATTGTGAGGCATTAAAATCGTCGGCCTGCCTACGAAAACAACACGAAACAAAAAAGGACCCGAAACATTTACCCACACACCACACACAGCGCGCACTAAAAGGATCTTCCTCGTCAGAAAAGACAGAACAACGCACATGACAGGTCTATTCAGAAAGTCCTCTCTTCCCGACATTCCACGAGGGGGCGATCCGACGCCGGGGAACTCGATTCTTGACCCCCTGGGGCGCAGCCGGTGGGCAAGGTCACGCCTTCTGTTTCCTCGGATAGCTACCTAGTCTGAAGGGGCCAGACAAAATCCAAAAAAGGACGCATGATGAGTTAGCGGGACGTACATGTAGAACACTTTTCCGGTCCGGGACATGTGCAACAGCACCTGGCAGTAAGTATACCTAACCGACTGGCAATAGTACCTAAGGTATCTATCAATCTATCTACCTACCGTCAAGCATACCCGGGTCTCGGGAGGCAATCCGTATGTACCCCGCATCCGACCAGAAAACACGGGCCAATTCCCCCGGACGTTCTCGTCCTGGCCGCGGGAAGAAAATCACAGGGAAAAAAAAAAAAACTAAACCATTTTTCCCTCCTGGTGGCGTGGGCTTTCCGGGCCGGTTACGTAGTTCAATTTGGAGACTTTCCCAAGACTGGAAGTCATCAACAGAATTGAGGTTGAATGACGGAATACAAACTGGTGTTGTATACAAGCAGTATACCACTGCAGTAGCAGCTAGGTACCCAACAACAACAACAACAACAACAACAACAACAACAACAACACTCCTAATGCATCACCGTCCCTGCATAGCTACCTACTGTAAGTAAGTACCTCAACTAAAAACCCCATCACGCGCGTCAACCGCTCCGATCAATTTAGATTTCATCGTTCCTTTTCTCTCCCGGGTTAAAACCAACCGAATCATCTGCCAAGAGTGCTATAGCATTAAGACTTAGAGAAAAAAAGGTCAGCAGGGGTAGGTCTAGCGTGTGTGAACGAAAGTCCCCTTCCAAGCCAAGAAGCAGAAGAGGCTACTCCCGGAAACAACAATTATCCACGTGCTTTCCAGCTGGATTCTCACCCCCGAGGCAGAACGGTAATCCCCCAGCCTGTAACCGGGATGTGGGGAACAGACCCAATTCAGGGGGTGAGTGGTTTGCCGGTTCCCCTCGGCCGGAAGATTTAGGAAGGTCGACAAGGTTTCAATGTTGCTCGGGTAAGACTGCGTTGTTTACGAATGCCCCTGAGAACAAAGTGGCATGCAGTGCATAATTATCGGGAGGCTAGTTAATCAGAATGAGGGCTTAACCGCATCAGGCTCTGGAGTGTAGCGGTGTGTAGGCGTAGTATGCGCAACTCTCGATAGGGTGTCTTGGACACCTGTTTCGGCTATCTATTCTTTGTGTACGGCCGGTTTCCCGAGAATAGCATGCAAATCCAGCTACGTCGAGGTCGGGTAACAGGAACAATCAGTAGCTGGACATTGAGTCATCCGGGGAGCTCTAGACTTGAGGTTCCGGGTGGAGCCTCTGTTGATTTTGTGGGGATGAGATATATTTTTGGACTCTTGGGAGCGAGCCCTTACTCTCCGGTCGGAGTCTAGATCATCTTGTATGCATTTGATTGTTTACTGCAGTGAATTTGTGATCGCCTGACCTCTGGGTTACAGTTCAATCGCGTGTCAACAGTCGATAGCTTCGCGGGAAACTGGACACGCGACAGTTCCGCTTGCAGATTACTGCCAGGTCATGGCCTGTGCGAGTGATCACGAAGAAGAAGAAAAGTCATCCATTACAGAAAGGGCATGCGGATCCCTTTTCTTAAGCTAGAGAATCCCCTCATACAATTTCGAAGCGCCCTTCATATGACCCTCTTGTTGTAAAATATTGTCTCTCGACATGTATCTGCAAGCACCATTCAAGAAGCACATGTAATACCTGTTTGTCAAACATCTGATCAACGGATTCACAGCTCTTATGGCATATAATCTTCTCGCTATCTTTTAGAAAGCTGCCGCAACCTCCATCACGGTCACAGCTGCAACGTCCAATCACGAATGCTCATCACACTTCGCTTCTTGGAAGCATTGAAGGAGGCTTCCCAGGTAGGCAGCGTCGATAGACCTGGGCAAAGCCCACGCGTATTATCAGAGATGTAAACCATGACCACAAAAATCTAGACACATCATGCCAAGATAGTTAAGTGAGAGATCATTGACGAACAACTCTTATATCAGCAGGCAGATCTGTTCGGTCTGGTCTAATGTCGAGGAGGTGGCTTTTACCAGGCCCTCGACGGAAGTCAGTACAATAGCATTGCGCCCTGATATCGCAGGATATAGAAAATACTTGGTTCTACGACGATAAAGCTCCGTCAGCGGACTGAACTTGGATCGATGTGAAAGATCAGTGAAAATCTGCTGCGGGAGGTCGAGAGAGTATTCTTAACTGAGCTGCGGAATTATTGGGAAGCCATATTCCAGATATTGCAGGTGAAATGCAACCGCGACAAGTATATCTTGAAGTAATCGGAGGGCGCTGTCATCGGTTCACGATTCGCTTATGAGGATATCAAAAGGTAGATGTTGCAGTTTCCCCAGGCAACCGAAGAGGGACTCCCGTTGGACCTGCGTTAGTCTAGAATAAAGTAGGTATCCTCGATAGCTGGAATTGCGTCGTGCGAAGTAAATCAGTAGTGGCTCTCGAACGAAACAAAGTTAAGAGGATATTTGCCCTAGAATGACTCTGATACAAATGCAAGTGCTCGACCTCTAGGTTGCAGGATATCATGCGCCGCATTTTACCATAAGATCTACTTGAAACTAGCCCTTGTCATTAGAGCACAAATATATTTGACGAAACAACCTCTCGAAGGCACCAGTCAGATGTGGTAAATTGCACTACAATTCAGTCTGAACGAAGACCAAACTTTTGACTCAGCTTACTGTATATGACTTCAAGAACTTCGATGGGGAGGATAGTTAGAGACATGATGCTGCTGATGACAAACGACGATAAGGAGGATTGTTTATGGTCATGATCAGCAGCCTGAAGGTGCCTGACAGTTGATCTTATCGTCAGACAACCAATCAAAAGAGCGGTAAAGCGGGGACATAATCACGCGGCGGGGTAAATACTAAATCAACAAGGATGTCTGTGGTATTTTGACCATCACCACCACCACACTGTGTCCAAAAGCTCGCTCTCCGTCTGTTCTTCCTCATCGCAAAGATTGCATTTCCCTCCCACTCAAGGTATTCTACCCCAGTTCCCTCGTATTGTGTGCGGACAAATTCATGACATCTCATACATCTCGTTCCAGCCCCCCACCAAACAAACAGAACCCCTCGCTAAAATGACCGGCCACAACTCTTGTCCTTCCTGCGGCGCTGCCATCGCTGGCGAGACTAAGACCTGCGGTTCCTGCGGAAAGGTGTGTCACCCAGATCGTCTAGTCTTTTCCCGCCTCTTACTCATGCCTATTTTAGACCTGCCCCGTCTAAGTCTGTCCGCCGGTTCCATGGCGTCACAGGATATGCGTCGAGGTCCCACAGATGAAATTTCAGAACCAGAGATGAACGGTCGATAGTGTGGATAGGATATGGACTGTTCTGTCGAGCATGGTACGATGAATGAATAAACGAACAACCCCGCTTCCCTTCTTCTGTCTGCCTCGAGTAGAATATAGTGCCCAGTCAGACAATAGCCCGAGTGGTGACCGTTCCTTCAGCTTGGTGATTGATTAAGGAGATATCCAAAAGCTCAACGCTTTGGTTAAGCGGACTACCCTCATTTAGCCGCGCCATCGTTGCTGGAATTTTTCGCGCTTGGCTATTTTGGCCATCGGTGTCCATATCTGATGGCCGCGAGAAGCGGTTGTTAACGATCATCGAATGCCGCTGACGGTCGACTGAGCAATTGTTTGGGAGGGCTTCGTTATCCGAAAGCAGGACAATTGCTACCGGATGATCACAGATCTTGGGCACATTGAAGAACTTGTAGAGTGCATCAAGCGCAGGCACGGATAGGCCATGAACAACGATGGAGAACAATACCAACCAGTAGACAACTGCATGAATTCTGGTCAGATAGGAAGGAGACCTTGATCAATGTTAATGAATTGCAACTTTACCTGGAACCATAGCGGCCGTAAGACTGTTGATCTCATTGTCACTTTCGCCCGGCGACGGAAAGAGACGCCGAGCATATTCCACATAAGTGATGGCACCCATCCCTGGCAGGTAAGATGAGCTTAGAGATGGTATTTATGGGCCAGACCACATACCGATCGGCCCGAAGTAGCCCAAAAACAGTGCTTCTTTCCAGTCGCTGCATACTTTAGGCATGAACCTGTATCCAGTCACAATGGCTGGAATACGACGGAAGATGAGGATCAAAAAGCCTAGTCCGAATAGGCGCCAGATGGAAATCCCTGTATCCTGTGGTCTATGGAACTGATCCCATGGCATGACCGCCCCAAGATACATGAAGGCTACAACGTTCAGTAAGGTCTCAATCGTTGAGTTGAATGAGTCATGTCGGGCCTGCATCTCAGCCTGGTAAAATCCATTCCAGTTGAGCACACTCCCTGCAACGAAGCATGCAAGTGTCTCATCAGACCCGAAGCAGCCGCAGGTTCCAACAATGAGCATACCTATTGCCACGGGGACAAGAGTAAAGCTTTCATTATCGATCCAACTTCGTTTAGATGCACCTTTGAGCAGCTTCTGGCAGATGAACCCGAGGAAGGCGCCGTAGGAGGCACCTAGGAAGATCATGTATAAGACTCCCTCTACCGCCCAGTGTTTTAATGCAGGGCCAGCACCTCCACCAAAACGCCCTGTGCTCGTAGCTCCGAGTGAATCTGGAATGCCTCGTTCCAAGTCAAAGTCTTCCAAGCTGACGGTATTATCCGGAGTTTCTGCGTAGCGCAGCAGAGAAACCGCAAGGAGCAGAAATGGAAAGCCGAAACCATCATTTGCCCCTGCTTCGGCCGAGATGAATTCTCGGAGTGGTCGACGAACATAGTTATCCGCAAACGGGCCTTTCGCAATGGCCTGAGATAGGACAGGGTCAGTGCAAGTCACGCAAGCGCTAATGATGAGCGCTGATAGCTATATCACGAGTCGGTCAGCCTGTATGCAGGTATCTGAGCCTGAATTATCGGATTCATAGTGAACGTACAAAGGATATGCCCGGAATCGCAAGCAGGATGCATGCGGATGTTGCGAACCATGCTATAGTCAAGACAGGAAGCAGACAGATAGCCAATTCGCTCAGACGTTGCCTGACATATCTTTCCGGCAATTGGTATCCAGCTTTGACTAACTGTATGCCCATCACTAGACGTGTCAGGTCCTGCAATAGTTAGTATACAGCTAGTGGGCGTGGGACGAAGTGGTCTTTACATAGGCGATGTCACTGCGGTAATCGTTATCATCTCCTCCCCACTGAGATATGTTTAGAAGCTTGGCACCAATTGGTCCGAGAGAGATACCAATTAAAAAGGCCGGCACTAGGCGGAAATTAGTATCATCGACACGGATGCTGATCTCGGTCCATACAAGCTTCCCCGAGATAACATCTCTGCTTGATTCTCAGGGAGACATATCCAAAGAGGAGGATATAGAGAGCTTTGCCACTGTCAGCTATTGCGCTTCCGAGGTTGCTTGGGTGGTGCACTTCTTACCAACAACAGAGAGAACGATATTGAAGTTGTTAAGGTCAAGTATCGGGTGCAGCATGTCGCTCGTGTGTTGGAAGCGCTGTAATAGTTCAATCAACGACCGGATGTGTCTGAAAGAAGCTGAGGTTCTTGCCTAGACTCCAGTGTCACCGAGTATGAATTGTTTAGCAACTAGCAGTCTCATGTGCATCGAACAACATATGTTGATGGATGCACGGTAAATCATAATGGGGCCTCATGGGCGGCGAGTAAAACCCAGTGCAAGCAGCTTACACACCACCACAATCAGACCTGCTACCCTTTCTTATCCCTACCAAAGAATCGAGGGGCACCGAGTGTTATCTCAGACGCTCGATTTGAATTGAGTGCGAATGCTGTGGGTCTCTGTGCGCCTCCCTTGCAGGAAGCAATGCAGCTCCAAAGCTTGGTCGCGCTTGGTCGCCATAATCGGCATGTGTTCTCTGGGAGATACGTAGTTGGTCATGCAAGTCGTTATCAGCAAAGATAACAGTACATGCCAGCATAATTATGGATTCTCGGGTTGTTATGGGCATCTACCAAGGACTGCCTGCTGGTGATGGGGCTAGCGGTGTGATGCAAATCAAGGGACGGATGGTAACAGAAAACTGGTTCTTCTCAATTCGACAGGTCGATGCCAAGGCGGCAAGTGGCGTAGGATCTTTTAAATCCCACTGTTTCGTTTGCGATCTTCCTAGATAGAAAGCCCGCGTCGGTAGTGTCACATTTCACTTAGAGCAGGGATCACTGGGTGAGCCAAGGGGTCGATGTAGAATCCATGCTCCGTTGCGTAAGTGTGTCTGCAATGGGAATGACAGTTTGTGTCGAGGACCTGTGCTTCACTTGCTGACGAACAGGCAGCTAGGGAGAGCTTGATGGCGATAACGAGGCTGTCGGTAGGCCTAGCGACAGCACGACTTACTTTCGAGATATTGCTTTGACGTTCAATATATTATCTCTCTTGCTCAATAGCCCTCAGGTATGTTGAGCATAATCTAGAGTCAAGTCTTGACCGACTCTCATCCCTGTTGTTGTCGCAGTATCTGAATTGTGGACTCGGAAAACAAACCTTTCTACCATGTCTGTATGAGGCATCCCAAGAACTTCGGCCAGCTGTCGCTTAGAACCAGACAGCAGTCGGGCGGGTTGCATATCTAGCAACAGGGTTCCAGAAGGCCATCAGTTGAGGATGTTGTGTGTAACTGTGGTCGGTGTCGCTTGGTATTGGTGATAAGAAGATATTTTCCAACTCCAAGTCAGGCAGCGAGGGCTGTAAGTAGCCGCAACTCCGCGTGCACCTTGTGGACTGCAGCCTAGGACCGAAGCGGAAATCTTACCAGTTGGATCCGAAGAGTATGAGCCAAGTAGTATGCACAGGAAGCACATGTCAACAATAACTTGTTGGCTACTTCATCAGACATGCGTCGGATTAGGAAGATGACAGAAAGCTTCATTTGACCGCAGAAAACCAGGGAATATATCTTAGGCTACACTTGTTGAAAAAATAGGTACCTGCATTGCAGGTCAGAAACTCGACTGGGATTCACCTCAATCATGACACCCAGGCCTTCAATATGTTCGAAATTGAACTATAGATTTCCTATCGCTTCGTACCCCTTCCTAGCACGGACCATGGTTAGAGAAGCCTGAAGAAGTTTGGATGCAAGCTCCTCGCCAGCAAGTCATTGCAACTCGGTAAAATCGTGGCATCATCTCCAGGCTGACTTGGTAACCTCTGTGCATGGGAAGACCCAACATCGACCGCCTAAGCAGTCTTCCGCCATTGTGACCAGACACCGATCAAACTGCTGACCATTCCTGCAATACCAACGAGGCCATCGTCGAGTGTAGCGAGGCCAAGGGCAGACACAGGAACAGTCAGGTCGCACAGGTCGGAGACCAGCTGAATACGAGCCGTAGAACGTTCCCTAGCAGACAATGTTAGCATCTTGTTGACATTACGACCGGCCAGTCTCATTGCAAAGCCACATACTTCTCAAGCTTCTTCGCCTCCACGACACCCTCGCCTTCCTTCAAATCAAGAGTCTTCGCCTTCTCCCTTAGCCGGAAGAGGGTGTACAGGCTAGCGACAGCACTGCACACCAATCCGGCCATCCACGACCTATAGGCCGAATCCTGCAGTCTCTTCACGGAAGCAAGTTTGCGAACACCAATCGCGTCCACGACGGTGACGGTATCAAGAGACAGGTATCCGGCATAACCAAGCTGCCGACCGACCGCAAGGTAGCGAAGTACCGGGTCGATGGGGCTCTTGTTGTCGGAAGCGAGCGCGGCAGCCTTCAAGTGTTCAACAAACTTTCCGATTCTGAGAATCTTCCGCGTGGTTCCGAATTGCTTCTTGATGGCATTATAGGGATCGATGGCGGACTGCGGGCGGTTGGTGCGGTACAGGTACCAGGCATAGAAGCGGGAGAAGTATTGAAGTGTACGGAGGATTTTATCGCGACCAACTGTGATAACAACACTGTTAGTACCAAGATGCTTGATGAGCACGCGTGAGTGCGGTGTGACAAGTTGCTCAAAGCAAGAGAGAATGCGAAGGCGAGGTCGGGGTTCGCAGCTCTCCAGGTTCAATCTTCACAGCATAGAGACATGTCCTCTGGGCTGTACAGTGGATGGAGGCCACGTACCAGTTGTTGCAACAAAGCGCAGATAATGCGCCACGGCAGGGTGATAAACTAGGGCGTCTGCGACCATTTCCAAGATGGTGTTTTTGTGCGTTTAGGATGAGAAGACGGGGGTAAATAATGTCGGCCGATAGCGGGAGCTCGGTTCCGGAAGCTGTCAGCCCGTGAAGAGATAAGCAATATCTAGAAGGTGGCGGGGCCAGCTGAATGGTTTCGACCGAGTATGCGCAGGAGAGTGTTACACTTTACAAAGGAAAGGAACAGGACGCAGACCACAAGGTGGACGAGAGAGGGGAGGGAAACTAGGATAAGTTCTGGGGAAGAAGCGATGGGGATGGATGAATGGATGCTGGGGTCGGTAATTGACCGGCGATCGACAGGCGGGAAGGTTCGTCTTGTGCTCTGCCCGCCCACCCAACGAGCCTCGGCTGCTCGGTGCTTTTGATAATGAAGAGTACCCGTCCGTCATGTGTGTGTATGGCTTGGTCACGAGACTTGTCTTCGGCTTCATACTTCCCGCCTCGCTTCACTATTGTGAGACCCCTGCGACTTAACTCGATATGTATTTTTTGGGGTCAATATAGACTCAACCTAAGAAAGCCAGCAAAGCGCCCTAGGCTGTTTGTCTTTGCTTACTCAATTGAAATCAGTCGATAACCAACCCATCATGGATTATATACTACATCGCGGACATGATAGTCATTAGGTGCATATCCATAAATACATAATCATCGAGCTTAGCCAAGTTGTTTCGGTGACCGTACGGCAAACATAAACTTATCACTTCTCGCTTCTGGGCATCGTTCACGCGATATGCCGCTTGGGGTTCGCTCTCGGGTTCTTTTAGAAGCTTAGGTCTGCGTCCGCTGCATTCGTCGCTTGGGCTCGTCATGATAATTGTCGCAAAGGGCGTCAACGGGCTGCAAATATCGTGCAGGCGAAGAAACGAATGGCGCTCACTGGGCAAGGTTCTCTGCTGGATAGTAGTGCACCCAACGTGCACTTTGACAAGTCAGTGCAGGGTCGTAGGTGTAGCTTACTGCTCTTCGTGTCTCTCGTGAGTTCCCATCGAGCTCGTGTCGTATCCGTGAGCCTCGAGGTATGCACGGAACTTGGCATCTTCGTCTGTGATCGTGTCCTAGCCAAAGGAAAGGGAGGTCAGAGTCAGGATACAGGCCAGATACGGCGTATCGCCCCGACGGGACAAAGTTCACATACCTGGCCGATTTGCGGCAAAAGAAAATAGGCTAGTGCGGCGCTGAAGATGCAAAGTGAACTCGAGACGAAAAACGGATCCTGGCCTTTACGAATCGCGTTCGGGGCGTTCTTCTGCACAATCGGAATTACATAGGTACCAACAAAAGCACCAATCTTTCCAAAAGCAGCAGCAATGGCGTAGAATTGACCTCTCACGGCGGTTGCGCTGCTCTTTGCGCAGCATAGACCGATGTTATCACCGGGACCAAATTCTCCAAGACTGGAAAAGATCCTAGAGGGTCGTGTCAGTGGCTGTATACATATGATAGTAGCAAAGTTGCCCTACCCAAAAACCACGACGAACGCTGCGACATTCTTTGGCGTCGAAAGGTATTCATAGCAACCTGACATGATGAATCCGACAATACCCTGGAAAAGTACACCAATGACTAGAGTGTTGCGGGGCCCGATCCAGTCACTGGAGAGACTACCAAGAAATGATCCTGGAATATAGAACGCGTAGGTCAAGGTCGTCCAGCCAAAACTCTTCCAGAGAGGAGCACTATCACCCAAGATAATGGCAATCCAATCGGACGAGTAGATACTGAAGGAGTAGGAGGAGAAATCATACAGGAACCAGATGAGGGAGAGCACAGCCTTGCTGCAGTTAGCAATACACCCTGCAGATCTAGACAAAGCGGTACTAACCAGACGCTTCCAATAGAACCTGCCAGTTATTAGCCAACGTCTAAATGTGGCGTAGGGCGTTTCAAGAGATACTAGCCGAGAAGGCAAGCGGGATAACGTGATGGAGGTAGAACTCACTTGATGATCAGCCATATAGGAAAAGTGTGCATGCGCTCTCGGTCAAATTCTTCGGGTTCCTCAAGCTTCAACCGCAGATACATGAGACTCAGAGGAGGGATGACACCGAGTCCCAACCCAACGCGCCAGACTGCACGTAGGTGATCCTCGGTAAAAATTAGAACCAAGATCATGGAGACCAGAGCAGAAATGACATAAGCGAAGTCAATCTGGAAGTTAGTAAACATAACAAACCATCTGTTTCGATGCCCCTTCTTGAGCTCCCCTGTGTTCTCCGCACAGGCAACAGAGCCGGCAGGGTATTCTCCGCCGATTCCAATCCCCAGGAAGAAACGATAGGCCGTGAGTGCGGCAAATAGACCATAATGGCTGTTATTATAACCGTACGCACCAGCACAGAGAGCAGCAAAGATGAAAAGAATGATTGTGGAAATCATCAAAGACCATTTGCGCGACCAATGGTCACTTGTGTAACCGAATATAAGCATACCAACCACTGTTCCCACAAAAGTGATAGACGAAACATTCTGGCTCGCGGGCGAGTCTGCATACTCCGTTGGATATAGTCTCTTGAGAATGGTGTTGACAGGTCCGATTATCTAGATGCCTCTGGTTAGCATGAACGGTTGGAACATTGTTTTTTGATAAAGAGCAAAGACGCATGACTTGTGGACCACAATTTCACATACCCCATTCAAATATCCATCCGAAAAAAGTCCAGCACCGCAGGCAATGGTGGGCCAACTGCGCTCCCAACGGCTCTTGCCTCGAGGATTAGCATCTAGAGCTACCTCCCGAGCACAGGACGCCGTGTCGCCCGGTGTTTGCACCTCTGCCTCAATGTCCGTCTTCGACACCACGGTTCCTTTATTATAGTCGCCTGGCATCTCGATGTACACGCGAGCAAAACGACCACGTACAGAACGAGTGTTCGAAGTGATGAGGAATCAGCTATACTCGCGCCGTGCAACTATTTGTTGGGGGACAATTGACTGCAAGGAGGGAAAGTGAGCACGTGCAGGTTGTCGACAACTTATTGCCCACGTATGGCACCCCCTCTATGAATTAGTAAGTAAAAAAGGAGGGAGTTTACCAGATTTGAAGACAAATGTGCGAGAAAAAAAAGTTTTTCAGGCGGAGAATAAAAGAAGCCCGTGATGAGGGCACCTGGAGGCAGAAGAAATCCGGATTCCTGTCAGATCCATGCTATTCCAGTACCGCCATTCTACCATCCTTGTAGAACCTTTAGCGAACTGGCAAGGATGTACTCCGAGTGGCCCCTCCCCTCTAGCGGGCCTTAGCGCATCATTACCGCGGGTTAAGCGGTGGAAGAAGAGCCAAGGTGGGGTTGCTCTTCCCCGTCTTCAGCCGCCCAACCGAGCCAGAATGGCAAGCTAGGCTGGTCTGAGCCAGAGAAACGCCTCTCCAGATACTTTTCGTCGAATCCTATCGAATCGCACGTTGCATTCAAGAATTCCGCCGACCCATCATTCTATATAGCCAGGCTTGTGATTGTAGAATCTCATCGGCTCACCTGCCTCAGGTACGACTAGCGTTGGCTCGTCGCGTTTGTTCTTCTGCGAAAGCTTGCCACTTTGTAAGGATATTGGCAAGACCAACCACAGAATGGTGGCTGTTCTAAATCAAAAGTGCAGATAACCTTGAAGCATACAGTGCATAGACTACTTATGTGAGCTCCCTTGATAGATGAGTAGCATTCTAAGCTAGCGGATCACAGTAGTAGGGCCGTAGCATCAAAGGCTTGAATTGCAGAGCCAGGCTAGGAAGTACATCTTTTCGGAACTAATTCCGAGCGCGTCTTAATCCCCGTGTTTCAGACATTAAAGAGCCATTCTTCTACCACTGGCAAGGCATTCGGATACATAAATCCCAAGTCTTGAAGAGGACTGGGCTCTACAATTACGGCACAGCATTGACTGAAAGTCGGGGCCTGGGACCCATGGAGAATGAGATGCATGTCAAGAACAATGGGATCTGCAAGCGAACAATGTTCGTCATGAATAAACACTTCTGCGATGAGCTTTCATGTTAGCCGTCACGATTTGATTCATCATCTTGTGCTTATGCTCCGTGTGCTTGATTATCCAAAGGCATTGCCCGTTCAGCATGGCTTTGTGAACTAGGAAAAAAAAGATAGACCGTCGCTATCATAATAGGCTGATGTAGTTCAAAATGATCATTGGGAAGGATGCTTGTTGAATCTGTCGAGATAATAATTCAGGACATCAACACCATTAGGATGTATCGCCCTGGCAGATGATGGAGAGCGGTGTCGGCACCGGAAGAATACTTTCTCCAGCTGAGCTCGGGTCAGCTACGCTCCATCGGTGATGTATCCGCCTTCGTCCATCATCCTGTCAACAGATTCCGTCGGCCACGAACACATCGACCTCTCCAATCTACCTTATCATCCGCTTACTGCCACTTTATACCATATTTGATCTCTCATCTATACTTCTATCGCCAGTATGGGGTCCGATCCGCAGTACATAAAGTACCCCGATCTCACACTCGCCCAACATGTCTTCAACCTCTCCAACGCAGCATGTCCCCAAACAGTGCGACAGACTTCACTGAAGAAGATCCAAGATGTCATCAAAGAGAACAAAATGGCTCCTTTCTACCGTCACCTTGCTCATCCCATCGAAGGAATTCTGAACCACTCTGGCGAGGGTGTTGCGCAACACTCATCTAAGTCCGCGATCACGTCGAACCTGTTGGCCTCGCGGAAGTCATCTCACAAAATCGACTTCCCCTGGGACGAGTCCCTATACCAGTCCCTGGTCGAAGACAACCGGAAGGAGCTGGAGGGGTTCCAGAAGGAAGAGGACGAGGCGGAAGAAGCAGCCGGTGAGACCGAGGTGCTTGCCGCTCGGGGAAAACGTGCCGAATTCTGGGCACGGGTGGGAGATAAGGTGCGTCTCTGACACTGACGGAGTAGCTATTGCTCTTGATTGAGATGTAATGCTGATGTGCGTCCATGTAGGACAAAGCTATTGAGTCTCACGAAACCCTCCTCGAGAAGACGACGTTCCTCGGTACCAAGATCGATCTGATGCTCGCTATGATTCGGATCGGCCTCTTCTTCGGAGATGCTTTGTCTGTCAAGAAGAACATCGAAAGAGCCAACACTCTCATCGAGAGCGGCGGTGACTGGGACCGCCGGAATCGCTTGAAGGCATACAAGGGTCTACACCTTCTCACCATCCGTTCCTACAACGATGCTGCGCCTCTGCTGCTCGACAGTCTGTCTACATTCACAAGCTATGAATTGTGCAGCTACTCCGCTCTTGTCATATACTCGGTTTTGGCTGGTTCTCTGTCTCTAAAGCGAGTTGACTTCAAAGCTAAGGTTGTGGACGCACCTGAGATCAAGGCTATTCTTGGATCTGGCGAGGATCGTCTGGCTGCCCTGACCGGCGAAACTTCAGCTGGACCCGGCGCTCAAGATGAGGAGATGAAAGATGCTTCTGTTTCACGGGTCACGCCGGGTAACGCTACGACTGTGGTCAATTTGACCGCTCTGGGCGGCGGTTCTGGGGCCCAAGCCGAGGCTGAGACCCCAGTTGACTTCACGCCTCTTGCTCACCTGGTTGACAGTCTGTACACCGGCAACTACCGGTCATTCTTTGTGTCCTTGGCGGCCGTGGAAGATAATTTCCTCACTCAGGATCGCTATCTGTATGAACACCGCGCGTGGTTTGTGCGAGAGATGAGACTGCGTGCATACCAACAACTCCTCCAGAGCTACCGCGTAGTGGGCCTGAACAGCATGGCGAACGACTTCGGCGTGACGGTAGACTTCTTGGATCGGTAAGCATTCCAGCGATTATTCTCGACTACGCAACGCTAATCGGTGATTGTAGTGACCTCGCCAAGTTCATCGCGAGCAACCGCATCGCATGTACTATTGACCGGGTCAACGGCATTATTGAAACGAACCGACCGGATGACAAGAACAAACAGTACGCGGATGTGGTCAAGCACGGTGATGCTCTGATCACGAAGTTGCAGAAGTACGGTCAAGCCGTGCGGTTGAGGGGAAGTGAACGCAGTTAGATGGTAGATATGGCCTGATGTTATCGCCACGTGGTTCATGACTATGTAGATGAGAGGTTCCAGTGATTCATTTATATCCTCTCTTCTTACCGAGTTGACTATTGGTCCATGCTAGAGCCGGAGCAAGCGAGGCTGGTGTATCATAATTTTAATGACATAAGACAACATGACCTCGAACTGGAATAACGATCGGTCAACCTTTTTTGAGGCAGACATAACAGATGCGATGATAGCTATTCAATGTGGCTTCCCCGGTCCACATATGGCTTGTGGTACTGGTGGTACCCACCATGACTGCGTCGGCAGACTTCGAGAACAACCCCATGCGTCGAAGTTCGAACAGGAGCCACACTCAATCAGTCTGCATCCCCGATGGCTGGATCTGAGACACCTCAACGAGATCAGTTTTCGAACAAGCGAATGACAGTCCAACTTGAGAACGTACGATTAAGCCAGGGACGAACAGTAGATCCTTCCTCTGCCCTATACTCTTATCGTCTCGGAGATTTTGCCGACGGTCGGGAAGCTCCGGTGGACGCGAGTGTGGGATGATTCAGTAGTCAATCAATTTCTTGACCAGGGATTCGCTGTCCCTGATGTCAGACCGTGACACTAACGTCGTTCAGCCCCTACGTGCCTGTCCGCACTTTTCAACATCCTCAAAGGCCGAGTGAATCAGAACTTTCTACCCATCCATTGTCACATTTCTGACATTCCTCGTTTCCCTATCTGGTATTCTGATTAGAATTCCACCACCGGGATGGAATCCAAGATAAGGTAGCTGACTCATCGTGATCATGGACTCCGCGACTTTCACCGCCCAGGGGAGTTTCCCGCCATTTTTTTCTTCCTTGAGGTCGTGAATCCCCAAGTTGTTGTTGGAAGGGAATTTTTGAGTGTTTACCGGCAATCAGGAGTCAGTCAGTCAGCGCAGACTGCATCTTCTTCTGGACTCAAGCTCGGCCCTGAGTCTTCCCCGCAGCCCATTACGAGTTTCCCCGAGCATCGGTGGAGCATACACAGTACAATTGGTCGAATTGTGCCGTGAATTGAGATCATATCATGGCCTGGCAACTTAAGCTCGCGTCGCACCTGCGGGCATCTCCGTTGCGATGCTCAGTTTCCCGGCCGAGTGGTGCATGGCTGTCGTGCCATCATCAGCATGCCCCGCGCCATTTCTCCTCGCGGGTAAGCCTAGCCGCGGGAATCCCCAGAGTCTCCCCGGGTGAGTCGACGCTGTGCTTTCCCAGGTTCATTGTTTGCCTTCCAAGTTCCGTTCGGGCCTCCGGTGGTTCGCCCGCAGCCCCTATTATTGGACATGTTCGGCGGTGACTACTGCGCGATATTCCCCTCACACGCACCCTGACAACTGCCTCCCGATCTCTGGGCTTGTCAGTCGCCCACGTCTTGCGCATCCCGTGACATGTATGACTCCGTGGTGCATATGCTCGGGGTGGCTTCCCCAGACACCAATGGATGACTATATCATCCCCGGCGGACGACCCCCTTTTTTTCCTGAATATTGTCCAACTTCCAACCCATCGTTGCTAATCAGGCCCTACCTACATCACAGACTCGACTATGCAGAGCCAAACGACATTGGCCCATACCACCAGACGCACTCTAACCGCGGTTGCCTCCTGTCGTTTGACCTTAGACAACATCAACCCCAACGTCAAGGCTGCCAAATATGCCGTCCGTGGTGAAATTGCTACCAAGGCGGAGGAATACCGTGTGAGACTGGCTCAAGGGGACAAGTCGTTGCCCTTCGACAGCGTCATCTTCGCCAACATCGGTAACCCGCAGCAGCTGGACCAGAAACCCATCAGCTTCTTCCGTCAGGTCCTGAGTCTTCTCGAGAACCCCTTGTTGCTGGAAAACCCGGAATCTCTTCGGACCAACTTTGGCTACCCACAGGACGTCATCGACCGGACCAAGGTGCTCCTTGCGGACGTTCAGAGCGTCGGTGCTTACAGTCACAGTCAGGGTGCACCTGTCATTCGAGACAGTGTGGCCAAGTTCATCGAGCAACGTGACGGGTTCCCGGCTAACCCCCAGGATCTCTTTTTGACCGCCGGTGCTTCATCGGGTGTGAGCACGCTCCTGAACGTCATTTGTGATGGTCCTTCTGCTGGAGTCCTCGTCCCGATTCCTCAGTACCCCCTGTACACGGCCACTCTGTCTCTCCTCGACGCACAGTGTGTCCCCTATCTTTTGGATGAGCACAAGGCTTGGGGCACTGATGTGGACGCCATCAAAGAGAACCTGTCTAAGGCCAAGGCTGCTGGCACTGACGTCCGTGCCATTGTTGTCATCAACCCCGGTAACCCAACCGGCGCTTCTCTCAGTGCTGAAGACATCAAGAGCGTCCTCGAAATCGCAGCTGAAGAGAGATTGGTGGTCATCGCCGATGAGGTATATCAGACGAACGTTTTCTCGGGCGAGTTCATCTCATTCAAGAAGAGACTTCGTCAGCTGCAGCAGGAGGTACCTGGCAAGTACGACAACGTGGAGTTGGCCTCCCTACACAGTGTCTCTAAGGGCATGGTTGGCGAGTGCGGTCACCGCGGTGGCTACTTTGAGCTCGTGGGTTTTGACCCCGAGGTCGCCGCCCAGATTTACAAATATGTCAGCATCATGCTTTGCCCGCCAGTCATCGGCCAGTGTCTGGTTGAATTGATGGTGAACCCTCCTACGGAGGGAGAGCCTAGTTACGAGCTGTACCGAAAGGAATACAACGGCATCAAGGATGGCCTGAGAAGCCGTGCCTTGGCTCTCTACGAAGCCTTCCAGAAGATGGAGGGCGTCGAGTGCCAAGAACCCCAGGTAAGCGCTTGCAAACCAATTCGCAGATTACGACCTCATCTAACTTCTTATTCACAGGGTGCTATGTACCTTTTCCCTACTATCAACCTTCCGGCTAAGGCCATCGAGGCCGCCGCTGCAGAGAACCGGGCTGCAGACGAATTCTACTGCCTGCAACTGCTCGATGCCACTGGTATCTGTGTGGTGCCAGGTTCTGGGTTCGGTCAGAAGGAGAACACTCTACACTTTCGCACGACTTTCTTGGCTCCTGGAACAGACTGGGCTCAGCGGATTGTGAAATTCCATTCTGAATTCATGGCCAAGTACAAATAAGCTGAAAAATACATGCTATAATGATAATTAGACTATATCAGATTTCTCCACTCGGAGTCCTTAAATTGCACATACTGTTTGAAAGACTCCTCTTGCGTTGTTGTCGCTTCCAGCCCCTCAAGCTTGAATTCGTTCATTTCTATTCTGGGACGTGCCTCCTTGACACTCGGCGCGCATCCATGCCTTTGTATTAGTAAAGAACTCGCATCAATCGTGTATGGTCATATTTTCATGCATTTCAAAGCTTTTCCGCGATAACCTCGGCTATTCGCACGTGATTCCCAGTGTACCAAGTAACACAGCATAGCAACGGAGGCGGAAAGACTCATGATGTCAGACTGATTATGTCATCCATCTCCGGGTGCCCCTCAACACACAGTCGGAATCTTTATTTGCTATCTAATCTACTAGGAGATTCTAGATCTGCGCACATGAACAAATGTATCGGTGAAAGAAACTCACGGAAGCCCGTTCGCGTCTGAGCATTGACAAACATGACAGACCAAAGCGATAGCCCTTTACAGGTAAAACCACCGCCGAAACACGCACCCACCTGTTCGCCCCGCGTCCTCACTTGTGATGACGATGTTCGTCGTGCATACAGCTAATGATTGAGTGGTTGTTGTTCAGGAGCTTGAGAAGACATACTGCCCGCCGCTGGACCCAGCTTTGCTTACGGCGATCGCACTGGACTTTGATCTTTCTGATCAAACTCAAATCCAGCAACTCCGCGAGACGCTTGATGCACTCAGGCTGTCCGCTTGGGAGCAGGAGGATCTGCCATTCGACCCCTCGGGAACCAGCGGACAAAGCCCCGAGCACAATGGCGTCGACGCAGAGTGCGAGCGCACGCTATCGCGCAGCGATACGATGCCCTCGCGCGAAACCGACCTGACCAGCTTGACTTCCGGCGTGTCTGGTTTCAACCTCGAGGAGGCTGGCGCTAACGGGCGGAAGAATCATGTCTCTTATATCGTCCGCTCGGACGGAACACTCGCACTCCACGGGGCGACTAACGAGGACAAGATTGATTACCTGGCGGAGATGTTCCGGTCCGCAGACCGCTTTACCATCCAGCACACCTTGCAGAAGTCCCGTGGGGATGTCGATCGTGCTATGGATGAGCTCTTGAACTATGTCTTTTTCAATGAGAAGATTCCCGGTGAGGATGGCCTCACAGTTGCAGTCCCGAAAGGCGTCGACGGATTCCAGGATGCCGACCTGCTCAAAAAGAAGGGCCGCCGGCGCAAGCCCAAGGGAAAGGCTCTTGCACGAGATCAATTCGCCCGCTCATCCAATTGTGTCGAACCCGTTTCGGTGGCTTCGAATATCTGGGCTATCGCGGAGAAGGATGTCAATTTTATCTTCTCGTTGACGTCGGCGGTCCTCCCAAAGGAAAAGATTCGATCGGCCTACCATGCCAATGGGGCTTCGCTACCGGTTACTATCCGGGCTCTCGCGAATGCACACGCTCCCGCGGACAAAGAGTCTATTCAGAACGATGGGCTTATGGCTGCTCAGGTTTCTGAGCTAACACAGCACTTTCCTATGGTTTCGCTGGAAACATCCGCGGGACTACTCAGTATCACCCGGCAGATCCCCTCTGCAGCTAAGGAGCTTGCTGAGGTCATGTTGAAGGCTCCGGAAATGCAACAGCGCCCTGCGTCTGAGATGATTAAAATCACGGCGTTTCCTCCTTCCCTGGACGAAGAGGATGATGAGGCTGAACCCCGCCTCATCGGACCGCGTTATGCTCATAATTTGGAAAATGTGAGAAGTACAGCCAACGTTCATTTCTCTGCAGGAGCTGAGGCATTCTCCAAAGCGTCAACCGCATATAGACGTGGCAAGTCTGATCGGCTGATGGGAGGAGCCGCTGCGTACTATTCTTCTGTCGGTCGTGATCATCTTGAACACGCGAGGCGTAATGCCGCAGCCGCAGCAGACGCTCTCGTCGATCAGCAGTCCACGCCGACTAGGCTCGACCTTCACGGGGTCTCTGTTCAGGATGCGGTCCGTATCAGTCGCGAACGAGTTTATGCTTGGTGGGATTCGCTGGGTGACACTAAACACATGGGGGGCTCAAGTTTCGACAGGACTCAAGGAGGGTTGCATATCGTCACCGGAAAGGGCATACACAGTCATGATAAGACCTCCCGCTTGGGTCCAGCTGTTGGCAAGATGCTGATTCGGGACGGCTGGAAAGTGGAGGTCGGCGAGGGCTCACTCACGGTCGTCGGGGCCATGAGACGACGTTGACAGCTTATCTTCTGGGATTGCTATGTTTTGGGCATTGCGAAGATACCCTGGGGCGTTTTATCTACTGGTGCTTGGATCTGGAGCACGGAAGGCGTTATCGGCGAATTTTCTGGTGTTCGACTTAGAGTCTGGGTTAGAAGGACATATGATCTTGCGGAGGACATAGAACATGTCTAATCTACATGGCAAAAAGCGATTATGTATTTTGCCAACAATCAGCTCCAACATCAATTTTACTAGTGAATGTCTGTCATGTTGACTGATTGATTACTCCACAGAGCTTCCGCACGGATGACGTAAAAGCTGCGGCAAATTGGAGACGGCGGCGAACATTTATCAACGATAGCTTCTTTTCACCTATCTTCTTTACAAATACTTTTCCCAGTCATAAGAGACAGCGAAGCAAACAAAAGACAGCATTGCCCCTGCATCCCCATCGCATCATCCACCACAATCCTGATGCGATTCCAGCGCTTGGCCACCCTCCTCCGCACCAACCTCAACATACCCCTCCTCCGCACCCGGGCTTCTCCCTCCTTTGCGTCTTCTCGATCGCTTCCCCTCCCCATCACTGGAGTCCGACGAACCCTCCAAGCTGCCCCCGCTATCCCCTTCCTCAGCTCTTTCTTCGGAACCAGCAGCAAATCCAACCACAGCGCCAACATGTCCTACCCCGACCAACGCAGCGACGATGCCTGGCGCGCCGTCCTTAGCCCAGGTCAGACCTGATTCTCTCCCTAACCCCACTCCGTTCTAGTTATCTTTTTCCCCCAAACACGGTCAGAAAAATCACTAACAAACAAAATCAACAGAACAATTCCGCATCCTCCGCGAAAAGGGCACCGAACGGCCCGGGACAGGTGAATACGACCAGCACTTCGCGGAGCAGGGCGTCTACACCTGCGCGGGCTGCAACGCGCCGCTCTACAAGGCGACCCACAAGTTCAAGTCCGGGTGCGGGTGGCCCGCATACTTCGATTCCCTGCCGGGGGCTGTGACGAGGCATACGGACAGTTCCTTTGGCATGCAGCGCACGGAGATCGTGTGCAGTAACTGCGGCGGCCATTTGGGGCATGTCTTCAAAGGGGAGGGGTATCCCACGCCGACGGATGAGAGGCATTGTGTTAATAGTGTTAGTTTGAGGTTTGTTGAGGGGGAGGAGGGGAAATAGTTCTTGAAATGGGGGAGTTCAGAGGGGTTGGTGATCTGTTCTGCATTGTTGGGGTCGTGGGGTGGGGTGTTTTTGCTACGATGTCTTTGGTCTGTTATGATGTATAGTGGTGTGTATCATATATTGGGCAGGTAGTTACAGTTGTAGAGTTCTGTATACAGTTCAAGAAAAAAGACAGTGTCCATCTCACCAGGCCAGACTACCCGCTGCTCCGGCTTGACCGCAGTAGTAGGACAGTTCATCGCCCCCAATGTGCTGGCCTGCGGATTTGCAGTAGTATAGCAGGCTTTGATCGTTCTCGAGGGTACAGTCTGGGCATTGGTCCCATTGCTTGCTGCCGGTGTTGCGGTTCTTGTACGATGTGCAGGCCTTTTCCGTGGCGGCTTTGTTGAAGACTTTCTATCGTGTGCATTCCTGGTTAGACGGTGTTGCTTGGAGGTAGGCGTGTTTGACTTACCACATCGTGACCGGGGGAGTCGTAGCAGAGTCCTGTGTAGTGGAGATCGGCCATGGCTCTTGTTGAAATCAGTAAGGGTTGTTTGGAAAGAACTGACGGTACGAACATTCTTACCCAGTAGCCAAGGTAGCCACGATCAGAGTCATGAAATGCTTCATTGTTTCTTTCGAAGTTGGGTCACTTGTATCGAGACGAAGGGGAGTGACGGGGAGATAGAACAGTATATTGAAGCTGATTTCCCTGTGACACCTTGCAACTGGTATAGGATGCCCTCCAATATATGGTCACTCTGGCCGTTGGCACTAATCCATTGGTCCCTCCTATTCATCTCAGTCTTGACTCCTTGCCATGGTCGGCTGCTCCCTTACTCTTCTGCCGATTGCATCACAACCACTAGATAGACCACGCATCTCCGTGGTGAGGCTATTCGCCAAGGGCTTCCTGACTGACGACGACGATGATCACAATATCCAGGAACATAATCCCGTGACAGAAAACGGGGGACTTGATTCTCATCCTGCTCTGTTGATAGATCAAGTCTCACTCTCCCGTTGCCCGACCTGGGGCTAGGTATACATGGATCTGCTGTCTCATCCTGAGCCAAGACGGCCGATCCCTTCGCTGCAACACTGGGGAACAATTTCGCCCGATGCCCCTGGGCTGAGGCAACGGCGGAGAAACAAACTCATCTATTTAGGTTCGCCAGGTGGGCCCGGGAGCGGTTCGTGTGGGATCATACAGTGTCTGATGGTATACTCAATCTATCTTTCGCATCCGACACTCGTCGATCCTTGGTTCCTTCGGCGCTTCTTCGGAGGAAATCGCCGTGCTGATCGTCGCTAACGGCTCCCTGTTGGACTCATGTTGTTTGTATGGTTGACGAAGACAGGGTGGTTCTTGGCTCTATTTACAATTCCAGTGAAGGTCGGCAATAGCCATGAGCTATATGTCGACATGATGCGCGCATGTATAAGTACGGCGACTCTTCATCGCTCAATTTTGCTCTCTCGACAAGAACCACGGATTTCAGTCCTTTCCTAGTTTCTTTTCCTGAACTGGGCTTTAGTACCAACCATGAAGATACTATCACTCTTTCCACTCTTCTCAGCATCACTATGCTTCGCGACAGCCATTCCCGCCCAGCCAGCGCTCTGTGGTCCTGACGAGGCCGTTATTTTCCTCACCAATGGCTCTACCACCACGGTCAAGAAAGCCGACCTAGCCTCGCACCTGCAAGGTCTCACCTTTCTCTCTTCAGAAGCATCCGACAATGCCCTCCCCCAGCTGATCAAAGCCAACGCATCCTCTCCCAACATGGCCAAGCGCGGTTCCAGCGCAGAACTGATCATTCCGCTCCCTGATCAGGACTTCCTCGGCTGGGACGTGGCCATGTCGACCATCGTGCACGCCAACCAAGCCGCCGCCACGGTGGCCATCCAGTCCGGCCAGTCAATCGCCAACAGCATTACCACCGGCGCATCCGCCGACTTCACCCTCGTCAAGGATTTCTTATCCATGTCTACCAGTATCAGCTACCAGGAGACAGCCACCAGCACCGTGACTGGCACGGTCACTATGACTATTCCAGCTAACAAGTGGGGAGCGATCGTGAGTAACCCATTAACCCATCGCAAGAGAGGGTATGTGTTTACCGGCGGACCTGGGGGCGGTCAGTTCGAGTATTACCAGGCGGATTCATTTACTGATGCGAGCTTCAAACTTGAGGGGGGGACTCTGTCTTGGGTTAAGGGGGTTGTCACGACTTGCTTGGGCGATACATATCCATTGGCGAGGTGCGTGGGTGATGGAAGTCTGGAGTGAGTTTACCACAGCTGAGACTCAACAAGAGAGTTTCTCTTGCTTCTGTATGATGTTCTCTGTGTATCTAGTGAACTTGTCGACTTTCCTTCATGGAATGCAAGTAGATTATCGGACTTTCCAAGTAGAGCTTCTGTTCAGTTGATCACTCAGCAGAGTTTTTTTTTTTTATTTTGTCCGATGCATATTGTTTTCTCGCTTTTTCGATTAGCCTGAGACTTCACTGGGCTCTTTCTATATTGTATCAGATAACACCAGAATGAACAATGTGACTCAGAGCTTCAATTTCAAGCGGAGATAGCTATTATTGGTGCTGAGACCATGTGCCAGCGAGCTGTCGAGTAGGCGCTCATTCCATTGACCTTGGTGGAATAGAACAGCAAGTTAGTAAGATAGATTGTCTAATACATGGCCATGGCTTCTTTTCTTGTCCTTTGCAGTGACATGAACACGGAAAACTGATGTTGAAGCGGCGAGCCGCTATAGATCCATGTGTCATGTGATAACGGGCAGATCTAATGCTGATCTGGCACGTGCGGCTAGCCAGCATCGGTTACTCACCGCCTTTGTGCCTCAGGCCAACGGCCCACCGCATCCCGCCACTTGGTGCCGATTGACGTCCCTGATTCAACTCCCCTTTCATCTCCTTTATTGAGTCTTAATATTTCTCCCGGCTTCTTCACTGATATCGCGACCTCCGCTGTGATGTCTCGACGCGCTACGCCGTCTCAGGCTGCTCAGAACCAGCAGATAATCAAGAGCCTGCTGAAACTCGAACAAAATAAGACGTGTGCCGATTGCAAGCGCAACAAGCGTAAGTGATTACCTCCGGAACTTTTGCAATCCCCCGGCGCTTTTCTGTTTCTCCGTGCACCGTTTCAGTCAATGCAGGGCAACTTGGAGGAGACGACAGTATTAACGTATATTCATTCTACAGATCCGCGATGGGCGTCATGGAACCTGGGTATCTTCATCTGCATCCGTTGCTCGGGCATCCACCGGGGCATGGGCACCCATATCAGCCGGGTCAAGTCCGTAGACCTTGATTCTTGGACGGATGAGCAACTTCAGAGTGTTGTGAAATGGGGCAATTCTAGGGCAAACAAGTTCGTGTCTCCGCTATCATCTGGACCACATGGTGTTACAAATGGCTAATTGTCATTGAAAGATATTGGGAGGCCAAGTTGGCGCCCGGTCATGTCCCCTCAGAAGCGTAAGCAAAGACCTTTCCTTCATCGCCCACGGTTGTATCGGTTCTAAATGAACATCACGTCATTAGGAAGATTGAGAACTTCATCAGAACTAAGTACGAGTCCAAGAGATGGGTCATGGACGGCCCAATGCCCGATCCCTCGACCTTGAGTGATGGTGATGATGATGTGGTAGGGGTCCAAGAGCACCCCCTCATATTAGGCCAGTGACTGACTTCGGCGTGTAACAGCCCCTCGCGGTTGTCCAAGAAAAGGCTAAACTCGAGCGCTCTGCATCTCAGCGGGTGGCGGCAGCCAGTCAGCCTGCGGTTCATCATCGACCTCAAGCTTCCGTCGACCTCTTCGGCGACGATATTTCTCCCCCCGCACGTCCCAGTACAACAGAGCCTGCCACCAGAGTGGCTTCCAAGCAGCCCCAATCCGCACCAGCTGCTAAGCCTGCTGCCCGTCCCGGAGATTCGTTGCTGGGACTCGACTTCTTCGGCAGCACTCAACCTGCTCCTACCAGCCGTCCGGCCAGCACTGCATCCACCCCTACTGGTTCAACCGGGATGTCTCGACCTGACCTGAAGCAATCCATCCTCTCTCTTTACTCCAAGCCAACGGCTGCTCCGATGCAACATGAGCGCACATCCTCCTTTGGAGATTTGGCTTCCCCGCCGCCCCAGTCGGCATCATCTTCCAACTTTGGTGGTCTAACTGATGCTTTCAGCGGGCTGAGCATTCCCTCTACCACTTCTCCCCCGCCTACTAAGCCAGCTGAGAAGCCTTCGCCATTCGCCAATCTCACAAACTTCGCCAGCATGAAGTCTACCCCAGCAGCTCCGAAGGTTACTTCACCAACTCTTTCCATCGGTACCGGAGGAGGCGGTAGCCTTTTCGATAGTCTTACTTCTCCTACTTTTCCACCAGCAAAGCCCCAGTCTCGGAATGCATCTTTGTCGTCCCATGGCTTTGATTCGGGATTCACCAGCTTCGCTTCTGCTGCTCCATCCAAGCCTAAGCCCTCGCCGTCTTCATTCTCGAACGACTTGCTCGGCTTCTCGTCTCCCCCTCCTTCGAAGCCTGCTGCATCACCGCCTCCAGTATCGGCCTCCAATCCTCAACAAGAACTGAAATCTGCGTTCAACCTTACACCCGCCCCTGCGCCTGCCCCAGCACCAAAACCGGCTTTCTCGGCCACCACGGCATCTGTTGCGAGCGCCCTTCCCCCATCCAGCATTGACCCGTGGGGAGGCAATGCCTGGAGCACCCCAGCCCCTGCACCGGCAGCATCATCCACAGCTTCAATGATGAAGATCCCTGACACACTCACCGCCAACGATGTTGGTGCTGGCTGGGGAGCGCCGACATCTCCGGCCGCTGTTTCGAAGCCGACTCCAACGGTCGCCGCTGACGAGGACTTTGGCGGCTGGACCAGTGCGGCACCTATCTCCTCGACCACTATTACCTCTAATAGCACTAATTCTTCCAATCCATCCAAACCGGCAGGCGGGTTTGGTGGGGCTGATGATCTGTTCTCTAACGTTTGGGAATAGGCTCTTCGTTTGATTTGCATTCTTCTAATTTACACATAACTGGTTTCTCAATCAACCTTAGACCTGAGCGTCAACCTTGAATGTGATCCTACATTTATCAAAATCTCAGTTCTTTGCCTATTTTCTTGCTTCCCTTTGTGCCCTTTTCTTTTGGCATGTTAGCTAGTCACGATTCGGCATGAATGACGCTCTAGGACTAAAAGTGCTGGTGGGTTTATGTATTCACACAAGGCGTCTTGGCATGTACAAACATAAGAATTAGTGATTTACCGATTCGATCAGTGATTTGATCGCTAGTTGTGTCTAGGTATAAGCACTTCGGCTAGCAGCTACTTATGAACTAGCTTTCCTGCCGGTTGTCACAACAACCTCAAAAGAGATTCCAGGCAAGTCTCAAGGCCTAATCAGTTGGAGAGTCGCATCTGAACAAGAATTATGTCATTTAACCGAACGCATAGGCGTAGTGTCAGCTTGCAACGAACATGACTCCGCCGCTAGTCCAAAACAGCCTAGCCATAAGCAACTAGTCGGCTCAGGATGCGAAGTATATAAGCCAGGCCCCAATTCTTCACACACACTTCTACCCCCAATCCTTTTTGAAACTGGTATTTAAACCCACCAGAGAGCTTACTAGGCTCAATCTCATCATCTCAATGACCTCAACAACCTACCTGATAACCGGAGCGGGTCGAGGTTCGTATCTCACTACGCACCCCCTTCCCCCACGTCAAGAGCTGTGCTTAGCGACCTCACGTACACTGAACCACTAACGCCCATCAAACAACACCCAGGAATCGGCTACGGCCTCACCAAAGCCCTCCTATCCCGCAGCAATTCGACCGTCATCGCCGCCATCCGCGACCCATCCGCCGAACCAGCCCAGACTCTCCGCGCTCTCCCCACCGGCCCAGGCTCACGACTCATCCTCGTCAAGCTCGACGCCGAATCCGACACCGACGCCCACGAGGCCATGCGATACCTCCAGGAAACTGAGAACATTCACCACCTGGACGTCGTGGTCGCCAACGCAGGCTATTACGACGACGACTACCGACTGGAAGACGTACCCATCTCCAAAGTCCAGCGCCACCTGGACGTGAATACCGTCGGCTTAGTCCGTCTCTTCCAGGCGGTGTTCAAGCCGTTGGGGCGAAGCACACAGTCGCCGAAATTCGTGACCATCAGCAGTTTCATGGGCAGTATCGCTGGCCTGACGATGGAGTACTTCCCCGGTGGGGGTTATGGTGCCAGTAAAGCGGCGGCGAATTGGATTACGAGGAAGATTCATGTGGAGAATCAGGGGTTTGTGAGCTTTATGATACATCCGGGGTGAGTTGCATTTGGCTTTTTTGTGCATGGGGAGGCAGGCAGAGGATGCGTTTGGTTGGTGGTTGTTGATTTTGGGTTTGCTTTTCAGGTTCGTCAAGACAGTTATGGGGAATGCAGCTGCTAGGAGTATTGGATTGGATTCGGCGTTTAGTGAGGTTGATGAGTGCGCGGAAGGGATTATCAGGCTGGTAGGTTGTTGCTTCCATCTTTGGGATGTTTGTTGAAGCGCTGTCGCTAACGTGCCATTTGCCTAGATTGATGGTGCGACGAGAGAGTTTGTTGGTGGTCGGTTTGTCACTCTCAAGGGCGATGATATGGCTTTCTGAGATAGAATAGTAGAGGTGGCGACTTGGAAGGAAGCTGGGCTAATTTGGTGGGTAGACATGTGATTGTTTTGTATGTATTGTATTGATTGGAGCAAGAATCTATAGTTTGAAGCCAGGGACAGATAAGGAGATGATTGTATCGATTGGCAGTAGATGTGGAACCCTCGTTAGAACATGAACTATACACGATTCGGCATGGAGTTAGTGCCTGAGGCTCGAGTCTATAGTTGGATCTCCTACCACACCTCCAAGCTGTGCTCCAATCCGTATGCTGCAGTCAGCAGGGAGATGGAATGGCCGTATCCGCTCTTCCCTGAGAATCAACAACCATTATAAGTCGTGAACGTTTCTTCAATATGCACCGTGACCGTACCTGGTATGGCCTGATCGACTCGCGACAAATCCTACCGCTCTGATTGGCTGATTTCTCCGGCCGCTCCCCTCCGCCTTCCGAACATCTTTTGATCGGCCGCAACATCCATCAACATCCATTCAAAGCGAGTCTCAATTGCTCTGCAATATCCGTCACCATGGCATTCTTGGGGCCCTCCGCTCCTTTGCTGCGGAGCTTTGCCCCTCGTCTATCGAATAACCTCTTCAGTTGCCGTCAATGCGCTGTCCGAACCCAAAATTATGTATCCACATCCGCTTTTTCCCGCAAGCAATTCTTGACGCCGCCCAGCGTTCGCAATGCTGTCAACACAATTTCTCTGCGCTTCAGAGCCCAGAGCACCCTTGCTTCTCGTCCTGGATATGCCGCCCGACTCAATTCTAGTGAAGAGGCGAAGAAATCGTTCTTTCCCCCGGTCACCGATAAGAAAGTAGCCTACTGGTTGTTGGCCAGTGCGGCCAGCGTTTTTGGAATCGTCGTATTCGGAGGTCTTACTAGGTTAACGGAATCAGGGTATGAATTGCTGGACTTTATATCAAGTTTCATACTAATTGGTCTTGTGTATAGTTTGAGTATCACAGAATGGCGCCCCGTTACCGGATCCCTTCCCCCCATGAACGCCGAAGACTGGGAGTCTGAATTCTCCAAGTACCGTGCCTCCCCCGAATTCCAACTTCTGAACCCGAACATGACCCTCTCCGAATTCAAGTCGATCTACTACATGGAATGGATTCATCGTCTCTGGGGCCGCTTTGTCGGTTTGTCGTTCGTGCTCCCGGCTGTCTACTTTGTCGCAAGAAAGCAGGTCAGCAAGCCGATGACTCTGCGCCTTGCTGGCATTGCGGGTTTGATTGGCTTCCAAGGATTCCTCGGTTGGTGGATGGTTAAATCCGGACTCAAGGACGACCTTTTCGCTCCAGGCAGCCACCCCCGCGTCAGCCAGTATCGTCTCACCGCGCATCTCGGCGCTGCCTTCGTCTGCTACACTGCTATGCTTTGGAACGGCCTTGCTATCCTGCGCACGCACTTCCTCCTCAATGATCCGCAACTCAGCCTCAAACACCTCAAAAAACTTCGTTCCGCCTATCTGAGGGTCTTCCGCCGCTCCGTCGCCGGGTTGGCTGTGCTGGTCTTCGTCACGGCCATGACCGGTGGCCTTGTCGCCGGTCTGGACGCGGGCCTCATTTATAACGAATTCCCCTACATGGGCAACGGACTTACCCCTCCCAAGAACGAGCTCTTTGACGAACGCTATTCCCGTCGCGAAGACCGCTCCGATCTCTGGTGGCGCAACATGCTGGAGAACCCCTCCTTGGTCCAGCTCGACCACCGCATCCTGGCAATGACCACCTTCACCAGCATCATGGCCCTGTTCGCCTACACTAAGACCCGCAACATGAAGCGCTACCTGCCCTATGCGGCGCGCAGAGGTGTCCACGGTGTCGTGGCTTTCGCCGTCTGCCAAGTCGGACTGGGTATCTCGACCCTGCTCTACCTGGTCCCCACCCCCTTGGCCTCCGCTCACCAGGCGGGAAGTCTTTTCTTGCTCACCTGGGTGCTGGTCCTTGGTAGCCGTGTCTGGCACCCAAGTCGGACGCAAAAGCTGCTCAAGGATGCCGTTGCCTTGTCTAAGAAAGTCCGTCGACCCAAGTCTACCTCGACGTGATATACCCTGTACGATCAAAGGAATCACGGGGGGAAAGCTTTTGACGTAGACAAATTACGTGTTTCTTAGCCCTGCCACAAAATGACTTCGGCTGGCTTTTTCCAGCCTGCTCCTGTATTATACCTACGACGTTTCATCCTCTCTACTTTCCTCAAATTTTTTTGTACAATAAATTCGCATTTTTATGTCATCGTCGCTGATGATACTTCGATAGATCATTTGGTAAAACTGGAAGATGCAGGTAAAAGATTTGCAATAATAGGAAAGAGGACAGAAAGAATAACGGGAGAAGGGTCTTGAAGTATGCAGTCATAACCGTGTTATGAGCCAAATGTCCAGGTCCCGTGATTGAGAAAGCATTAGACAGCGAGCAGTGATACATCTTGGTTAGCCTTGAGCCAGCCACTATGCCTTCCTCCAACCACTTGACCACCCACCCAGGGGCACCGACAACGATCAAAACACAGTCTTGTCTGCATCTTTCAATATTCAGCCTCGGTTCGGACCAGAGTTAGCATAGCCAAGGATGATCAAATTGACTGTCGGGTCTTCGAACCGATAGCTCCTCCAACCCCCGACGCAGACCTCTATTTACAGTCAACCCAGGGAGACTGGGCATGAAAGAACGATGGAAACGCCAAATGTGAGAAAGAGTAGCCAATTGAGGGCCTGGGGTTAATAACGAAAGTATGGGACGGCAAGAAACCATCAATTGTCCAAGCTGCATCCAACTCTGAGCTAAACTGCTGAGGTCTATATGCATCTAGCTAGACCCCCCCTCCCCCATCAATCTGAGAGCCTAGTCGCCCTCTTTCACATCATGGCTTAGCTTGTACTCAGCAACAACTGCGTCAGCAATCGCGCAGGAAGCCTCGTGGTGGCGGGCGTTGTCAGTGAAGCGTAAGTCTATGATATTTCTCGTTAGTTATACCTCCGGCTTATGTTCTATAGCTGCAGTGCGCGCCATACCTTTCCCTTCGCTGGCCAGGGCATGTGTCTTCAGATGGAGAGCGAGTATACCGCTGGCGGCCTCCAGCTCGCGCTCATTGTAGGTCGAAGCTGTCGGTTCGGCGGTTCTGAAATTGGCGGGTGCGCTGGGACTTTCGATGAAGCCGATTGACGGAGTAGTTGAGGCTTTGGTTCCAATTGCAGTCGGATGATAGTTCGCGCATGCGGTCTGCCGGGCTACAGCGGTGCCGGTGCCAATTCCAAGCATCTGACTCTGCATGGCAGACCCGTTACCATGGCGTTGACTGCTCTCCGGTTTTACCTTCTTCTTCGATGTTCTCCAGTTCTTCTTCTTTGGCGTCACCTTCCCAGCGCCACTGCCCAGCAATTCATCTCGCGTGATCGGCCCGATATGCACCTCACCCAGCCAGACGTGCTCTCGCAGATAGCCTTCCTTGACGGTACAACCGTGACAGCACTGCCACGGGCACGCCGTGCACCTGCTCATACCGGATTCATTCCGCCCATTGCACAGCTCGCATCTCGCCGCTCGTGCGGGTTGGTCTACGAATTGGGTCACCGTTTCCCTGCGTGGAAGTGCTGCCAGCGAGTCTCCTGAGCGCATCCTGCCTCTTGGGTCTTTTTCGGCGGGGAATGCATTGTAGGTACTCGCGGTGAGTATGGGGTGTGGTGGAGAAGACTGGCATTCTGTCGCGGTGTTCCTGGTTCGGAGTTCTGCGAGGATGTCGTAGACTTGTCCATGCTGTTCTTCTGCTGCTGCTGCTGCTGCTGCTGCACTACGAAATCTGCCAGGTTGAGAGGATGAGTATACCGGAGGTGGATCGGGGAAAGTAGCGATGTATTCGTCCGCGCGCAAGGCTCGATGATCGCCATTGGGGTTGGTCACGAAGATGACAGGAGTCGCCGGTACGGCCGTCAGCTTTGGGCCAGCTGTTGTTGCGGAAACGGAGGAGTGGCGGGGCGCCTGCAGTAGCAGGGGATGAGTAGGAATTGTTGCAGCTCTAGAGGGGTAGAACGAGCCGTATGGCGGCGGAAGAAGTCGATGGAACCTGGGCTGTCCGGGACGATGGTGGGATGCGGAGGAAGGGTGCGCGCGGGCCTCACTGGGAGTCTGATATGAAGATGTAAGTCACTCGCCCTGGTCGACAAAGGTCGCCGCCTCAGTTGATATGAAGCTCAGCAAAGGAAGAGCATCTACACTTACCGGATGCGATACTGTGCCGGATTGTCTGCGGACCACCGCGTCTGTGGCTGTGGCAGAACGAGCTGGGCCACCACTGCTGCTGCTGCTGCTGCTGCTGCTGCTGAGGATCTGGCGAATCGAAGGCAGACGGTCGATTGGCTCTTCCAGCTCAATGCCCCTGAGGATCTCTGGAAGAGCTGGTAACCGCGGGATCGACTCCCGGTACATGCCGTTTCCTGTGTTTATCTCTGTCAGCTGTATGCATAGCCAGAGGCTTAGAGCATCATGGCTTCTTCAAAAGCCGTTCAATAAAGACGGACAAGGAAAGCTCGCAGCATGTATAAAATCTTCATTCCTTCCACATCAGATTCCGGATTCAACAAAAGCACAGCCCTGATAAGCAGACTCATACGAGAACATCTCAGAAACATGATATTAGTCCGCAACTCAAAGGTAACCTCTCACGCAAGTCTACTCCTCAACATACCCAGCAATTTGGAAAAAGCACATACCCTGGTCAGCCATACTGAGTTCATCCACAGTCTGTGAACACGCTCACGCTCACTATCAAGAAACCACCAAATCTTCCCAGAAAAGCCTTGGATTCTCTCAGGAATTGATCCCAAATGAATATCCTGCACTTCACTGGGAATAAAACCACATCACAATCTCCTGGTTTTCATACAAAAGAGATGAAGATGATTGATTAACAGTTGCTCTCATTCCATAACCAAATTCACCAGGCGACGAGAATCCATGTTAAAACACCCTACCCAGTAAAGAAGACAAGACAAGACTAAAACGAGAAAGAAAAAAAGAAACCGTAGTGAAGCAACACATTACGGTCTCCATAATGCACGACGAATAATACGTACAATCGTAAGACACCGGGTCTTTCTGAACGCACGCACGACAAGACGACAATACAGTTTGTCGTGCACTGGTGGGTGAATGCCAATACTGGAGTCCAATAAACACGCTCGGGCTATAGTTATGGCCTGCGGTCTATGTGATCTTCTATCAAAAGATCTTGTGTAGTATCGTGGAGGTGGAGTAGTATTTGGTACTGTGTTCGCGGACATCATGTTTCTAACATGTCATGTAGACATGGAGAGCCGGTTCCCATGGTTGAAAGGGGATCTGAGGAGTTTTGCTATATCGAAGGGTTGGGGCTTGCTGACTCGAAGATAGATAGAGTCTTTTGGCTATAGTTAGGCATTGCCTTATGAGGATCCGACTATGCGATGGGCTGCTTACGCGATTTAGAGGTTTTCTGGTGACGAGTGCTCTCTGCTTTTGAGTAGAAGACAATAGAAGTTTATGTTGATGTGCCTTAGGCCTATAGTACCACCACACTCAATCCTAGAGGAACACCAGCACAAGGATAAACAATTGTCCAGTCTTTTCACTAATCTGAATCCGAATACGCAAATCCTCTCATCAATAAAGCGAAGACAATTCCTGAGGCATCGAAGGAAGGTGCAACATCCGCCTGACTCCCGCTCGCTCATACTCATACAAACCCACACCATCAGCCCTTATCAGCCCGGACCAGGTTTGTAAACCAGAACCCAAGATTTATACCACTTAGACATAACATAATAAAAAATTCCCACAACAGATAAGCAGGTCAAGATCAGCTTATCGATCGACGCGGCGCGCGATCGAGATACGCCCCCATCCCATGTGGATCGGTCAGTCAATCAGTCGGCTACAACACTTACTGGAGGCGGATAATGCACCTCCAGTGCGCGGGCCGCCTCCCGCCTCCACCAGCGGGCCCGATAAGTTTGGGAAGCGGATGATTCGCGAGTTGAGGTCACGATACTTTTTCGTATCTTTCTTTGACGGGAAACCTATGATGTAGCGATGCATGCTTAGAATGTAAGGAGGGGTGGGTAAGAGTGGTGGATGGCAAGAAGTTTAAAGAGGGAGAGTAAGCCTCCCACCTCCTCCTCAGTTGTATGCTATTGGGATCCTCTTGTTCAACGAAGTATATTTCCATTCTTCTCTGACTCGCTTCCTTCTTATTGCTTCTTTCATTCTCACTCTCAGAGCGCGATACAAAGATGGGCTCAACTGGATCGGGATGGCGAAGACTGAGTGTCGGGATTGTGGGCGGCGGGATCGGAGGGCTTGCTGCTGCTATCTCGCTGCGGCGGGCTGGCCATGAGGTGGTCATCTATGAGCGACATGATTTTGCGGGCGAGGTAGGTGCGTCCATCTCGTGCGCGGCGAACGGCACCCGGTGGTTGCATGAGTGGGGGGTGGATATCCCTAAGGGCGACCCCGTGGTGCTGAAGAAGTTGATCAACCGGGACTGGAAGACGGGAGAGCCGGTCAGTGTCTATGATTTGGACGACTATGAAGAGCGCTGGGGGTATGTCTACAACATGTTCCATCGCCAGTATATGCATGCCATGTTGAGGGATTGCGCACTGCAGGAGGAAGGCCCAGGGACGCCGGTTACCTTGAAGGTGAATCATCAGGTATGTCGAAATCCCCAATGCTCCTGTTGCTCTTCCAAAGATGAAGATGAGGAGCCACGATTACTAATATGTGGTTGTTGCGTCCAGTGCAAGGATATCGATCTCGGGTCGGGTATTATTACCTTTGCCAATGGCGAGACTGCCAGGCACGATCTCATCATTGGAGCGGATGGAATTGGTTCGGTCGTGCGAGGCATCATCGGGCTGCATCCCGAGAAGACCCCTGCGGCGTCCAGCTGCTTGCATGCCAATGTCTTGACAGAGGATGCTGTCCGTCTGGGGCTGGTCGACTACTCTAAGGACAGTGCCTTAGAGTACTGGGGCGGCCAGGAAGGCAAGTGGGATAAGATCGTCTTGTCCCCCTGCAACGGCGGGAAACTGCTGTCCTACTACTGCTTCTTCCCTCGCGAAAAGGGGGACTTCACGACGCACACTTGGGGTGGAGCGGATCGTCCAGTTGAAGAGCTGCTTGCACCTTATCCGGAACTGGATGAACAGGTCCGCTCGCATCTGGCCATCGGCATAGAGATTAGGCCTTGGCGCTTGTGGGTACAGTAAGTCTTGCTCCTGAACCGTGTCTACAACTTCCGTAGCACTGAATCTGTGACTGACATATGGATTACTGCGACTAGTCAGCCATACCCGTACATCACCAGCAACATGGTCTGCCTATTGGGAGACGCAGGACATCCGGTAAGGCGTTTTGCTACACGAATTATTCATGAAATAATACTCATTCAGTATTTGCAGATGATGCCCCATCAAAGCCAAGGTGCCTGCATGGCCATCGAAGACGCCGCAGCCCTCGGAATTATCTTCAGCAAGTCCTACTTCTCCGGTGATGTCGCGGCTGCGCTCTCGATCTACCAGAAAGTGCGACTGCCTCGAGCCACCAGAGTTCAGGCTGCCTCAGCCAAGGCGGCATACAATATCAACGAGCGCATCGGTAAGCAATTGTTGAAAGAGCTCACATTTCCTAATCTGTGACTGACGAAGACCGCCCAGGCTTCTCCAGCAACACCGACATTCCAAAATACAAGGTCGAGGATGAGAAGAAGAAGCTCACGATCGAAGAAATGAATTCGTAAGTGGATCTTTCCGCTCTGAGCATCATTCGCAGGCCCTAACCTCTCAACCAGATACGACATGTACATGGATGTCGAGGAAACTATGGCTCAGGAGTATGGATCTTCGTTCGACAAGAAATACATCCGAGGTCTGCCCGTCGGCCTGAAGCTGTCGAACGGAGTGGTCATCGGAGAATAAGCGTGCTGTCAGATCCATTTGGAACTTCTGTCTCTGTACTTTTTGTCCTTGGCTGCTTTGATACCTCATGCGAGCATTGTACATAGTAAGATTGATGTTTATCCCTTGGACATGCCAGGTCACTGTGATGTATAGTCAATGAAGATGTATGACCAAAATAGTCAGACGACCCCATGACTGAAGCTCGGCCAAAGCATAGATGGATCAGCCGGCTTAAGCGCCGAGTCAAGATGACTCTTTTCGAGTGTCAGGCACAGACGTCCAAATCGATTGGGTATCACACCATGATCGATGGCTCGATCTGGATGCGATCGACCACTGTGCGATAGAGTGCGCAGAGCGAGGATCGGGGGTGAAGCGATACGACGTCGATCGCTGTCATGATGGTTGCCTTAAAATTAGCGATAGTCTATATACCCAACTCCGAGAGTCTGGTTAATCAGGGGGAGAATGGGAATGATTTCCATAGTGGGAATGTTGTAAAGATCCAACCACTGCACCAGGTGACGCTCGCTTGATCAGCCACTGGAGATTATCCATCGGCTGTCTCGCTTCGACTGTTGACAAGGATATGTTCCGTGGTGTTAGGGGGGGGGGCGGGTGGGAAAGGAGATGGGTGTTGTGAGCCTTGTGTGTGTTAGTTAATTCAATTGACTAATGAGTCAGATTGTTAAACATTAAGCATGCCAATACGACGCTGAAGAGGTCTTTTCTCTCCCTCCCTCTCTCTCTCTCTCTCTGTGTCTTTCTCGGGAGAGAATGAGAAGGAAGTCGATAGGAAGGAGTCGGAAGGCCCAAAGCAGCCGACGTTTGCTCAGCTGACCAGCGCCTGAGACTGACGCCTTCCCTCACCGGGTAAGAACACCCAAACGCCATGCATCGCCAGCAGAAGCAATTCTGCCTTCTAGACCCAACTTCGATTACTCTCCCCCACCCATGTCGAATGACGCAGCTGATCGCTGTTCTGTCTCTCGCATGCAGAGATAAATGCATAACTGTAACATGTCAGCCCTTCGCCCTGTCACAGGGAATGCTGTTCTATGAGTCGCAGATTGGGTTCGACACGAGATGACTCCCGGGAAGACACTCGGGGCCAATCTATGCAATCGGCGGCAATCGCAATCAGAAACGAGAAAAAGCAAAGAGTCTGGACCACTTCGTGCTGAGGAAATTCACCGTTGCAGCAGGAATAAGGCATCCACGGGCTTATGTTTTTCTGATCAGCCGACAAAGCTGGAATACCTTACTCCAGAGCAATTGCTCTAAATGGCAGCACAAGCATTATGTACAGTACCTCTTTGACGAGGAGTGACTTCTCCATTCAGACACACTGTGATAACCTTCGAGAATGGTCTGATCTGAGGATCTGAGGGGCACAATTGCAACCGTTGAAAGATCGGAAAGTCGGTCATCTTAGTTGATCTAACCGCCCCAAGCTCAGCCCCATTCATGGCGACGTGAAGTTGCTGATCTACGACATCTCCAACATTCGGGGGTTACTGATTATCCAGCGAAATCCTTCTCAAGTCATCTTGGACCTTAGCCTGAGCGTGTCAATCGAATACTATTCCAATGTTGCTCTACACTTCAACAGCGCGCAATAGCAGTTCTAATGACATGATAGTGCAGAGACAGACTTAACGAGCCCGTAGCAACGAGCATTTATCATGACACTACTGAATGAAGTGCAAAAGACCCAACGTACTCACGTCAGAAATAACCCATCAAAACGAGGCACCCCCCCATGTCGTCCCTTGACTCCTAGCATTCCCATCGTCCGAACACGAGGGTAGTCACCGACGTTCAGAGAGTTCATACCCACCAAGCAACAACAGCAAAATCCCCGATCCCCTCCAATATAGCACACCTGCAATGATGAGATTCACTATGCGCAGTGCCGTACCCTCCCTCACCAGCCAAGCAAGCAACAACCCCAATCGTACCCACACACATCCCCCCAAATTCCACTCTCGAGCTAGGTATATCAATCCGCAACCCAACGTCATCGCGCCCCAAGATAGTAGCAACGAAGCCTAGAGCGGAGCGCCTCGAAAACACAAAACCCCAGCTGCAATGCAGACTCCTGCAGAAGTATCAGCATCGTGCAGCTCGGTAGACGTCTAGAACCCTCAACGACTTTCCTTGCCCGACTGCCCACCCCCTCCCCTCGGTCGAGATAGCTCCGCTCACCTCCATTCTGGCGCGCAACGAACCCTTGGAAAGAGAAGCAGGGTAACTTTGGTGCAACGATGCACACCGAATATGCAAGATAGATGTGCTGCATTCCTGCGTTGCGGCTTGCCTTTCCCGGGACTTCCTATCCTGCAACTGTGCATTACCGGTGGAGAAGCATCGTGCAGCTGGCAGCCGAGGGGGTGTGGGGGGACTGAGAAATGAACGAGGTCTTTTTCAATTTCTGGCTTGGATTAGGGTACTTCGCATTTTCTTACACGAAGAAAGAATATGAGTTTGGATGCGTATAGATAGGAGTGAGCTTTTACTTGTCAAAGCACAACACCAAGAGTGAAGTTGTCCACCGCTGGTTATCATGTGATCTGGGTGCTGCTGCTGCTGCTGCTAGTGCCCGTGACAGACAGACAAGGCTTTAAAACAGCACCTGCACATTCTGTACCCACCTTGTTCGCAGAGAAAGAGATAGGGCGAGATTGAGGCTTTGCATGCTTGTGCCCTCTGTTCTTCCGTCCGTATCTACAGTTTATCTCATGACGATATACCCTAGGAACATGTGAGACGAGAAATAGCCTCTTGCTAGCTAGATTCCAAGTTACCGGAGATTTTTCAAACAACGAAATGCCCACAAGAGCGTTATGGTAAGTCGGTGTCGGTAGTACGTCACTCGCTGATCGATCCCCAGGGTGAGGCTACCTCCGGTTTTTTCATTCAGCCGGTGATAGTATTACCACTGCTGTCAAAGTAACCATTTTTAGCCATCGAAGAGTAAATCAGGGGAAAGTCCAGTCAGTAAGTATAGTCACTAGTGTTGGCTGTGTGCGGCGGCGGTTCACATCACATGGGGAGGTTTCATTGACGTGGCTTCCCTCTGTTCGCGGCTGCCGAATTCGTGATTCCGTCCCGTGGGACGAGAGCCAGAAAACCAAAACAGAACTAACAAAATAAAAAAAAAAAATAAAAAAATAAAAAAAACTCCTGTCCTTCCTCATGACAGCATGAGAATGATTGAAGCAACGAGGCGTTGCCGCCAGATAATCGCCCGTGAGTTTCTTTCTTGATAGGGTTTGTAGACGCAGGTTGACAGGAAAAGAAGAGGAGCTGCCTTACAACAACAGCAACAATGGCGGCGGGAAATTGGGCAACCATTTCGAGGTACACTTGCCTTTTCGCTCTATACCGCTACTTCGGATGTCGTTGGCCTCACCATCACACGACTGCAAGAGGTGACCCTAGCATCTGATGGTGACTTTTTCTATCTTCATTGTTGGAGTCGATGTTGTTCGCCTTGGTCCGTGGCCGTTTGCGCTTACTTTCTGTTACTTTGTTTGTGGTTTCTGGCGTATATACGTGTGTTATTTTGGATCAGCTATACTATCCTGTAAGTATCTCCTGTAATTCCAAATTGTCTATACAAGCCCCGTGTACTCGTATTGTGTACCATCATAAGCAAGACACACAGACCCGAAGTAGAAAAGTACATACGTACATGTGAGCCAGGTACAAGACTCAATACCGGGGAAATCAGCAACTCCAGTCGGGACTCATCGCTGAAACACCTACCTGTATGTACAGAGGTACTCCTTTCGCTCCATGTGAAGAAGCAAAAGACCGAACCAACCATCAACATATCAAACCACCTTATCATCCCTGAAGAGCCCCGAACATGAACTAGATAGACAAAGGAACTCACGTCCACACCCTATTTATCGGACATCTCAATCGAGCCCAGACCCAGACCCAAACCGGCCACAACATAACTTCTTACTGTACTAGGTACCACCCACGATCTATAACATAACCTCCCAAACCAAACGAACAGAACCCAACCAGCCCAGCCCAGCCCAGCCCAATTGCCAACAAACCCGCAACAGTCCCCAGTTTCCCCAGTTCCCCAGAATATCCCACAAGATAAAAATAGATTCATACCAGAGCAGAACACTGAGCCTCTCCATTCGCCTCAACACATTCCCCAATCCAAAACCAGCAACCCGAACAAAACCGATCCGGAGTCATCATCATCATCATCAGCATCATCATACTCCAATTTGCACTTGACGTCCACCCTCCCCTCCCGAACCATAAACCCAATAATCATCCCGGGTTACCCCTTAAAGCTGAAACATCAGCTTTAGCGCTGGGGTTCAGGAACCAGACTCATCCGAGAGCGATCAGCAAAAGAAAGAAAAAAAACTAAACTATCACATGAGCCTTCCCGCTCACCCCTGTCCGTCAGCTTTGTAAAGGTGCTGTCAATATGTCAGAAAAAGAAAAGAGCGGGAAAAAATCTAAATCAGACTAGACTGGGCCTGATCGGATCTTTTAGTTCTGGCAGCGCCTTAATGATTGCAGGGAAGGTCTAGATGTATCTCATGCTGAGTTGATTAAAAAGGATGTAGATAGATCACTTGTGTTGATTTTATGCGGTACCTAGTATAGTTACAAGTTCGAATTGATTGGCTGGTGTGGAAAGTATACAGTTGAAGCCCAGCCCAGGGATCATCGAGTGATGATGAGCGGGATAGGGGGGAGAAAGTTGCATATACGATTTATGACACCGGACAGGCGTCCAGGGCAGTTTCGGAGCTGAGAGCCAATCTCGCATTCTTGTTGATTGGTGATATCATTCTCTTGATATGCTTTCAGGAAGCGATATTCGCTTCCTTATGACCAGTGCATTTAGCGTTTTCTTGGAGGTGGTTGATTAATTTGTGTAAGGCGGGGCGGTGTATCAACCCGAACCGCCGCTTTAGAACTATTATTACAGTGATGATGTTATCATTTTTTGGTAGGCTAGAGGGCTTCTTGTTCTTCTATGTCGCGTCTAAATAGTCTTTCATCAAACTGGAGCGACCTTCGGGATAGATACACCCAACACGCCTTTCCGGTATCAAGGGATGCCCACAACACAGCTCATTCACCAAAGCCTTCTAGAATCCGATATCCCCTAAGACCAAGCATTTAAGAATGCGATCCAGGGACTAGAAAAAAATATCGATCCTGACGCTCGCAAGCACGCCCGTAGCACGAGCGACATTAGACGCCCTTACATGTTCAACCCACACCCACCCACCACCCACCGGGTGACATGCATTGCTGCTAGCGGTGGCCCTTGCACATGAACACTCCGCTCAGCCGAAGCGAACCTCCCTCCCCTCCCCTATTCTGAAATTGGGGGCGGTGGTGGAAGTGGAAGTGAGTTCGAAGTAAGCAGGTACACGACACACATTTTGCCTATGCTTTCTCTATACGAAGGGGGCTCCTGGGAGGGAGGGACAAAGAAGCATTACACTACTGTATATCGAACCTTGAACTCACCCTCTCGAGTCATGACTGACGATCATCAATAGATCTAGACTTAACTGGGCGTTCGGGGGGTGGTGAATGGTCAAGGGGATGGGTTTTCTTTGGCATGCTTCCCGTCCCAGATACCGGGACATGCAAGAGCATGCAGCTCCGATTAGATTTATTGGAATAGCTTCTTTGGGGTTCGTCGTGTTTTTTGTGTCTGCCTGGTTAGTGTTAGTAGTGTGAGCGACCAGTTGCCAGTGAAGACTTAAGTCTTCTACTAAGTTTTGAAAGAACCGAAGACGTAAGCCCAGCAAGCGAGAAAGTTTGTTTGGAAAATACCTGTTTTTGCCCAGGTGTAAATAGACTCGCGTGTGTGGATACTACCATAGTAGCTTGCTCAAGAAGCATCAACATAGTGCCAGCGAGCAGTGAACAACCAGGAAGAGACGCGATGAAAGTGGAAACTCCAAAATCTCTGTTGAATCTGTCTTTTCTAGGGTGTTCTCCCCTGCTTCATTGCGCGATTTTCATCCCCAATGGACATCCTACCCCGAATAGATAGGTAGGGTGGCATCGCCATTCTTGTCATCCCCCAGAAGACAGCCAGACACACGAGTTCGTACCGGACATAGACAGGGACTTTGCTCACCTGTGGGCAAGGCGCACACCACACCGTCGCTATACGTACTACCTACATCGTGCTTTCGCCCGCCCGACCGGTCCCTCGTCCTCAGTCTGGGGTAAGCCCACCTGAACGTGCGGTCTTTCCCCCACTCCACCCTCCGGGCCAGTCCCATGAAGTGAGCAATGTGCACGCTGCAAATGAAACGAATCACAAGGATGAATGGAAATTCCTTGCAGGGCTGCAAGCACTGACTGCACCGGGGTCAGCTTCACGAGACATGAACCTAGGATTATTGCCGGGGGTCTCTGTCCTGGAATGGGGGCAAAAGAGCCGCTGAAATGTCGACAGGGGGATGGTTGCGTCTTTCTTCATCGATCAGAACTGACATAGGGTTTAGGCTATGTTTGATCTTGGTTTGATCGACTCGTAACGGGCTGCAACAGAGGACGGGGGAAAGTTTGGTGGGTTGACGAGGTCATCCTTGATCGAAGACACTACTCCGTACCTACTGCATCGATGATGGTCGATGAATCCAACGAACTGCCCCATCGATCGCCGATCAAGTTCCAAATCCTTGAGCACAACACGAACCCCCTCCATCCATTACCCTTGCATTTCACGGGATGCTACCATCCTGTCTCCAACCCAACTGGGTGCGGCCTGTGGCCCGGGTAGCTTGGTCAGGCTCGGTGCATAATCTAGAAACTGCTAGTCTGGTTCTCGAAAAAAGGCCGAATTCTGAATCTGTCCACATGATGGAGGGAAGAGGAGGAAGTGGAGGGAACGGGGGTGATGAGCATTTCACTACCTGTTCCTGGTAGCCGCCCTGGTTACAGGATGATGATCATCCCCAGGGTTTTGGCTGGTCGGGGAACGCGGGCCGGGGAATATGGAATGTGATCTCTCAGAAGACCCGGTAGGACGGACCAGGGTCGACCGTCCGACAAAAGGCACAGGCTGAGGTGCGAGCAAAAGACAAAAATGCATCGAATCGCTAAGAGAATAGAAGAGAGGGAGAAAGAGCAGTTTGGTAAGTTTGCGTAGTCTAGTAGATAACTAGCTCCAGGGAAGTCAAGGTCTTGGTTTGAAGGGCACTAACTGCTCTTTGTATGTTTCAGCTCGCTTTGTGTTCCTTCCAAACCATGACCCTGGGAAGCTGTTATCCGTGCGCCAACGCAAGCTTTGAAGCTATGTAAGTATAAAGAATCTGGGGCACTGTAAGTGTAGGGGATACGGAGTATGCTCCCAAGAGTTGAATCTGAGCTTCAGGGAGCAGGGGAAGACAAAAATGAATGGACGAGTTGCTCCTACGTGTACACATACCAGCGTTTCGCTTCCATATATCAATCAATCTCAGCGGTTGATCGAATGCCGGAGTCTGCAAAGGAAGAGAAAAAGTACCTTCTAGACCATACTTAGACCGAATTCCCCAGGGCGGAATCAACGGTTGAATGCCAGCTTTACACTACCCACATAGCTTCGATGGGTCCCTGCAAGCGATCCCAGGCGGATTATCGATCGACATAGCGCCGTTGACTGAAAAGAACCCTGTCCTCTCGGGGTATACAGGATCACCCTGGTCTTTGAAACCACCTTTAAAAAGAAAATTCTCGGGACTTGACCCCAGAATTGGCAAAAGAACATGGTACAGCATCAATTGTGGTTGCTAGATCCAAGGTCGCGCAGCGAACTTTGTCGGGTGTCTGTAGCCGGGAAGGGGTACTCCGCACCATAAGGTACAGTTCCTAGTAAGGTTCTCTCCTCGCCTTCCTTTGTTCGCTCGCGGGCCGCATTGATTGATGCATGGTGCCTGTCCTTCCCCCTTGTGTCGCTCGCTTCTGTTGCTGCTTGACATGATGCAGCAGCCTTCTGTAACATTAGCGGGAGTACTAGCAGCTACCATGACAGGCGTCCTCATTAGTAATAGGTATCTCCAGAGCGATACGAGTATATATTGTTGGGGAGCGGCGGGGGCGTATGTAGCAGTGGGGCATCTGCCAATGGCAAAGCTGATGAGGCAAGCTTTCAATACATGCAAATCCAATACGCGGGGGAGACTCTCAATGAATGATGATGAATCAGTAAATTGGTCAGTGGGGGAGATAGGGCGACCCCGAGTTCTGTTGCGCGATCTCCGGATTCAATTACCCCGTACTTTCCTCGGTGGGTTTCTTCTCCAGCCGCCGACCGGTGGCGGCGCGTAACCTAGTAAGAGTTTAGTTAGCTAGCTTAAGCCCATGGTCTCTTAGGTAAGGTAAATGTCGGGCGGTTCGACCCCACATCATGTGACACTCACTCCCGAGCTTGTCTTGTGACTTTTGCGGGAGCTCAGCGGGCTGCTTTGCCACTGTGACTGTTCGATTGACTGACTGATTGACTGACTGGGTGTACCTTTTGCCTCCCAACGTTAAAGGGGCAGGGCCCGCAGGAGAAAAGAACTTCCACCGGAAGTCCCGTGTCGAGTCCAACAGCCCCAAATCTGACGCCACGGTCAGTAGTCAGTAGGAGCGTGATCTCTTCCTTCTCTCCTACCCATCTACCCGTTGGTTCCTCGGCTATTTCTCGTTGGTAACGACGTCAGGTCCGGCTGAATGTGCCCTTTTTTTTTTCGCTCGGGGAATATCCCACCTCCACAAACCTGCTCCTGTCCCGCGTTCCACCTCAGGGCTTGATGGTTTGGAGCGCTATTTGGTCCCTACTACGCCTTACACGACCTCATCGTCCGGTTTGAACAACTGTTATCGAGGTCATCCTGAACATGACGCCCAATTGACGACAGATCGCCCTATCCGAAAGCCTCGTCTTTCAGTTCCCATTATATACTAAGTCCGTAGGATATCATGGGACAGCGGGATGCCTTCCTGATCATCCACCCGGAAGATTTTTTGCCTGACAAAATGCGGAGAGTATGGAGCATCTTCTCGGCATGGGACTGGCTTATCATAAGCTTACCCGGGTCGAAGTATCGTGGATGTACTGTACCCCGTAAAATCCACCTTATCGGCGCTCTCTCCTTGCCCTGCCACACAGGCTGCTTGAGGGGGGCAGAGGTTCAGTCAAGTGGGCTGGGTACAGGGGGCGCAGCTACGTGGCTCTCCCTCCATCGCTATTGTGGAACGATAATCTGCAGGACAGTATGGCAGCTGAGCACTGCACACTTTTTGCCAAAGATCACCATCGCCTGGCAAGCGGTGCCCACTTTTCTTTCCCACTTGAGTTGTAGGCTAAGGTGAAGCGGTCGAGGCATGCAAAGCGAAGGGGCAATAGTAACAATAAGCTCCTGGGGGCCTGGAGATGTTAGCGGTTACCTAATTCTATCTTCCCGGGGCAGTTGCTTGGGGGGACGAGCCTGGAGGGACTTAGCGGGTGGAGGGGGCCTGGAGGGGGCCCGCCGGCGCACTGAACGCATATACGCACCCACGCACTGGAGACACAGCTGAAGAGACCGAATGCCCGTGGTCCCTCTTTCTTCTTGAGCTATGGTCTGCATTCGAGTTGCATACAGTATGCAGGAAAGATGCAGTTTAAGGCCCAATTATTAGGTCGAGAATCTTGCTTTGACACCCGCCGATCGTGCTACTCGACCAAACAATGTCTGAACTGTCAAAGGGGACCATAAATTTGGATGTATATTTCTCGCCGGCCACTGGCACTCGTTGGAGGAGTGGGAAGCCGAATGTGTTGATAGTACACTGTGCTTTTTTACTTTGCTCTTCTTTCACCCCCCTCCACCGCTTGAAGGTTTTACTTGAGTCATTCACCGTAAATCTTTGAGAAGCGAGTAGAGCTTCAATTCCATTCATCCAGCCAATTCCCAACGGAAAAGTCCTTCAGATGCCGACTTTTCAGGGACTATGATTCGATTCAAGGGTCCCGGCAAATGACCAGAAGATTTCAAAACGCCATGCAGATCGGCTCTTTTCATTTTTGCTTTCTCAACGTCTACGACTAAAACCCTCAAGCATTACGGGGGTCAAAATGCGAGGCTAAGATTCCTACAAGCGCCTCATAGGCACACACACACGCTATCGCCCCCCTCCCCCTCTCCGTCGGATTTTACTCGGCTGTTTTCACCCTCCACGGTAAAATAACGGAGGGAGGGGGCACATCATAATAGGTGCTTAGAAGAGCTTCGCAAAGACAAAATAAGCTAAACGAGAACACCTCCGCGTTTAGTTTCTCTCTCGCCTCCCCCTAAAGATGAAACCGAAGGTCACTCCGTAGCTACTGGAGAAAAATCGCCCATGTGAGAATACTCAAGACCTAGAACCTGCCAAATGGACTATCACATGATTGCACAACGTGGGCTGACGGGCTAGGTAGGGGTAGGGATTTACTTGGGTTTAATGTTGTCAGTCAGTTCTTCGTCTTCTTTCGCGCGCTCCGCTCCCTTCCCTCCCTCTCCCCACCTCTCTATCACAAAGGTTGTGTGTGTGTGCGGCGCGGTGATGATTGATTGATGATTGATGATAGTGAATCGGGCGGATCTTCTGCATCCCAGTTCCCCGAACCACTTACCTGGAGATCCGCGACGAAGGATCGTAGCTGTGGCGTTTTAAGTCTGTGACCAGGGTCAAAAAAGAAAACAAATAATCACTCGATTTTTTCGGTGGGGAGAGTTTTGCCCTCCTGGAATTTCTTATCCATCCTTAATGGATTTTTTTTTCAGGACCCCGTGACCTGCAAAAAAAAAAAAAAAAGTAAAGGGGGAAGGAAAAGAAGCCTAAACCAGATGGCCGGGTAATCTAACACCAGATCATCATCATCAATCTATAGAACGCCTGATAGTGTGCTTGCTGTTGATGTCCGTTGGTGCTACACAATCATTCTCCCACCCCCTTCCCTAGGGATTATCCATGTTGGGCTGGCTCTTTCTTATCATCGCCGCCAGAGAAAATGACAACTGGCTCTTATCTTGTGACCTATGTGTGGTTCTTTTGGAGGCCATGGAAGTGGAATGGAAGAAGCCACTGTGATACTCTCGCTGTCATTGACGTATCTAGCTAGCACACATGTGGAACGATATATCTCAGTTAAAAGAATCGCTTGGCTTTGATTCGTTTGGCGATGTGAAGATTGGTCGGTAGTTTGATAAGTGGCCACATGATAACAAGAATATGTACTGTAGTTCAATGCCTGCAGACAGAGAAAGACAGACACACAGAGAGAGGACTAACCCCGGGATTGACACATAACTTGCACGCACACCGCAGAGGGAACAGAACAACCCCAGCCTGAGATAAGGTCAGTGCTATTTAGGTAGGTAAGACGATCAGCCAGATCGGATCCGCGGCACTCTTCCCCGGTATGCGACCTCCGCCCTGGGGGGGTATTTCTGATGCTACATACCATCGGCGAATACTTGCAGAGTGTACGTATTCCGTAGCAGCAAGGACGATCGAGGGGCGCTGGTGCTCAGGCCATCTTCAGCCAGAATGATCGGACTGTATCAGCGTACCTCGATAGATCAGATGGCATGGGCCATGTACGAAAGCGAAATTACGGAAAAGGAATCCAGAGAGCTAGAGCTATGGACGATATGGAACAATGAGAGATCAGGCAGAGATGCCTCGGGATCAGATCGAGGGGCCGACTACGAAACTGCCTACCGATAAATGATATTGGTTCATCTCTGGGGTGGAAAACGTGGCTAGACCCGAATGTCAAGGGTAGCAGGCCCACGGGTCTTTTGGAGACAGGCCAGACAGACAGCATCTATCGATAGTACCCGAAACTAGGTCCGTGGCGAAAGTAGTCGACAGAAGAGTGACAGTCAGCAGACACCAAATGGCCACCGATGAGGCAGGTGAGAGGTGAACTGTCAAATGCCCCTGACGAGGCGAGAGATTAGGCAGTATGTGCCTAGAATTGACAGCGACAGGGGGGAAGAGGAGGGAAGGGGCCTGAAGGGGGACTGAAAGGGACTACAAACAATGATGGAAGTGGCTATATTCATTAGGCCATCAATAGTAGTAGGTGAGTTGACAAGTGCGGAGTGATATCAGCAGTATTCTGTCTGAACCAATCGTTCGGGATCCAGTTTTGAGAGAGAGTCAAGTGACCCGACGGAATTGACGGGGTTGACCTGTATGTAGGTTAGGTAGGTACGTGGTTTTGCGAAAGTATTTCGCTGCCTTAGTCAGCGGGGGAAAGCTGGTCACAGGACAAGGTGATCTTTGTTTGAACGTTTGTCTCGAACATCCCCTGCGCTGTGAGTGCTTTGTTGATTGTGATACGTAATGCAGTCATCTTAAATTGTAGTTATGGGTGGTAGCTGAAGTAACTGTCTAGCAGGAATACCTGCCTCCAGCAACTGGGAAGGTATGTCTGGGGTTTGAGGGGGAAAGTCCTTCTCCATACTTTGTACCTTGTACTGGAACTAAGCGAGAGAGTCAAGCCTCAATCGTTTGCAGAAGACTTGGAGAAGGGGAGAAGGAGAGCAGAAGCCGCATTCACCGGCCTAAGTAACCTTTCTGGACGGTAGAGACTGGATTGAGTATCATTTCCATACCGAGAGAGTAACGAGTTCGTACTTTGTTTTCGGAGCCCCACTCCGGAAACAGACCGGTAAAGTTACCCAGTCATGACAATGTATGGAATACCAGACGCCCTGCGGGGGTACTCCGGAAGTACCACCATTACCATTCCAAGAATGGAAAAATGCAAAAAATAATAAAAAGAATAGAATTTTTGTTTCCTGAATTATTAGAAAAACAATCACACACACACATAGGTTCCGGACCACGGAAATGGAGGGAGAAAGAGACCTCTCTCTCTTACCGCCATCATCTAGTAGTATCTACTTACTTACCTAACTACTACTACCTATTATTTCCTGACCCTCGGTACTGTACTCCCTGGTCGGACTTTTCTTTCCCTTTCCCTGTGTGGCCACCGTCACAACTCCCCATATTTTCCATATTTTATTTTCTCCTTCTCCCCTTGTACCATTACCAGTTCTTACCGAATTACTGTTCCTTTCCACGCCCTCCTCTTCCTCCCCTTCCCCCCCGTCCCAAAATCCCAAGTGTCTCCACCGACCCGTCGTTTAACTATCTTCCCTTTCCTCATTTTTCTCGCCCGCTCCACCGCGTACTAAGTTTCTCCTCCCCCATATTCCTACGCTCGATTTTTTCCCCTTCTCTTTTCCTTCTTTACTCTCACCAACTCCTCCGGTCGACAACTTCAGTACCCTCCCACCTTCGACGTATCCTCCTCTGCACCGGCTCCCACCCCGAACCTTCAACTTCCGCCCCAATTGCTTCGACCCATCGTCGTTGCCGGTCTCTACCTCCCCTCGAATTGACCATACCCGGACGGGAAAGGAATTAGCACACCGGAACGGACTCAGGATCCGACTGTGCACACTGCGCCGTGTCACATCCCACACCACAATCGCTGATATCTTGATCTGCTGCTTCGCGAAACGGCAGCTGAGGCGCCACTACTAGCTCAACCACACAACCTGCAATTTGCATTGCAGTCCTCGGAACCGAGATACTTGATCTCAGCGACACCGTGGAGGATCAGGGAGTTTCAATTCGCTACTCTTCGCGCCGTACGACCACGCTCGGGGGAGACGGCGACCCCGAAAGTCCCTGGAGGGAACAAGGAACAATTGACAACTCACTCAACATTCGAAATTGTGGCGTCGTTAAAATGCCTTCGCGTTTATCAACCCCCGTACTAACGGTGGACACGGCCAAAATCCACAAGGTCGATACCGCCAATGCACAGAGCCTACATGGGATGTGGATGGGTAAGCACTTCGATCTCAATACCAATTCGCTGTGTGATGGCTGACTAGGTCTTCACTCGCCAGTATTCTCGAAATGCGCCGACTACATGGAAGAAGGACGTCGACTTGAGAATCTCAGCTGGAGACTCTGGACCCGCGAGACATTCTGCGTGGAGCCGGAGACTAGCAGCGATACCTCGGTCTTGCCACTCCTCCGCACAGAAACCGCGGATATGCCAGAACTTTCTGCTAGTGTCGAATCTGCCGCCTCTGAGCAGGCCGACAGGATTGAGCAGCACATCAGACGGCCGAAGGTTGATCTCAAACCTGCGGTGGTCCGTGAAGACTCAAGCCCTCTTCTGAGTTTGGCTCGCGGGAAAGAGAAACATATCACATCCGAAGGCTTGGAACGCATGGTACTGAACATCAAGGAGAAGAAGAGCTTGGAGCCTATTCCTCCTCAACCGTTGACCGCTCCCATTCCTCCTGTCGTGGACATCACCTCTCGTCCGTCCACTCCGACTTCTTCCTCCCCTACCGTCTCCACAGTGAAGCGGACGCCCTCCCCGCCATCATATCCTCTCCGCCAACAACAGAACCAATCCACGGAGTCCTGCTCGACTACAGCGCCCGAAGGCAATGAGAGCGACAACAGTGCCGGTGCTGCTGCTTCCGATACTAGTGTTTCGTCTTCCGGCATCATCCCCATGCGCTGTGATTTAATCAAGTCGCCGAGCATCGTCCGTGGCTTCTCTCCTTCGCTTGTATCCTCATCCTACCGGTCGCAGCCCAGATTGGCGCCCGAACCTGGACCAGCCAAGCAGTCAGGACAGCTCAAACCCATGCCTTTCAATAAGAAGAAAGGGGGCATGTTCACACTGGGAGGGTCCTCTGGAGATGACGAGAGCTCATTTGAAGATCGCATCACGATGCGGGGCCCACACCGGAGCTCACTGTCTGACGAATTGAGCAAGCCCACGTCGAGCAATCAGAGTCCGAAGAAGAAGGTGGCCTCGTTCAGGGATGAGAACGGAATCATCAAACCCACTCGAGAACGGCTTGCGGAACATGAAGACGCCATTGAGACGGACGACGAGGTTTCCGAAAGCGCCATCGAGGATGATTCAGACTCCGACTGGGAGGACTCGGTTACGGAAAGTGGCCGGTCGAGTGTTGAAGAGCGCGAGCTGTTCCAGCGGGTCGATTCTCGGCCTAATCTCGTGTCCCGTCGCTCGATGCTGACCATGATGATGCATCAACCCACTAAAATGGGCGCGGCCTCCCGGTCCACCCCGGCCCTTCAACGTTCCCGTCTCACCTCACCCAACGGCCCCTCGATCCCGGCTTCCCCGCCTGACGACGATGGGAACCTTACGATGCGCGGTCCCGACGTGCCTCGTTCCAAGCCGATTGTCATGAAGCCTACCCCTCAAGCGATTGCTCACTCGCCACGCACCACTCGACGCAATATGCTGGCCACGGAACTGACGGAGTCTCTCCGTCGCCACTTGCTGTGGGAACGCCAGCAGAAGAGTGCCACTGCAAATGCGTTCCTGAAGCGACGCCATACCGCTCACGATATGGCAAACCTACAAGAATATCCTGGTCCCAAGGGCGCCCAGAAGGGTCAAGCCGCGGGTCAGAATGCAGGTTCCACAATGAAGTCTACGAGCCACGGCAAAGACAAGACCGGCTCCTGGAATAACTACACCGACTTTGGGCCTTGGGAATACCATGTGAAAGGATGGTAAAGACCTGCCTTGGAGCTATTAATTGCTACCTTTCGATCTTCTATCATCCTTAAGTTTTGTGTCAAGACATATCCTATTATCTGCTGGATATGGTTCATTGGCAGTGATACCCGATCGTCGAACGCCTTCTCGTTTTTCTTTTCACCAACATGTAAAGACCATCGATTGATTATCATCCTTGTGACACGTACCATCACGACTGCATTGCATATTGGCGCACTTCGGAATCATCTGGCTTTGCTCTTCGACCTAATCGTTTCTTTTCTTTTTTTCCGGGTCCATGCTATTATCTTTCCTATCTCTACTTGCATTGTGTGGCTATCTGCTGTCATTATACATGGGCCACCGGTGGGGGGATCAAGCGTCTTTTACACAATTAATCTTGTTGTACAGATGAACTTCTCTTCTACGGCGATGCACAGTCGGCAGAGACACCCTGAAAAAAAGGGTCTCTACTTTTTTTTTTATCTCTTATGATGCTTACTTTGGGTGGAACTGATGGACCATTGGGATTCCTCATCATTTTTGATCCAGGCGGCGGAACCAAAAAAACTGCTTACCCGTTTTTCTGCATATTTTGAAATAGCCCTTGTTGTTTGACTTTTCATGCCTCGCTGATACCAGATACCACATTCCCCGAATTTTCCTTTCTTTCCCGGCCGAACATTGAAGAAGCCGGCCTGCACATGCCATGTACGCTACTTGATACTTTTTTCATTTACCTGTTATGATGTATGGAGAAAGCACCTCAAAACAAAAATAAAAATTATAACAAAGAACCTCAACCCCTTTTCTGCCGAGAAGTAAGACTACGCTGTACGTTTCAGACCGTACAAGAAAGCCATTGTTTGTAGTAGTGTAGGAAGCAAAAGGTGAATATTAGGTAGTTAAGTTCGACGACGACTCACAGGCTCTGCCATCTACTGAAGTTCATAGCCAGCCCCTCCTCCAAGTATAGTAGGAGGAAACACCGGGGCCGGCAGCGCACTGACACGTAACCTACCTAGCCTAGCCAGTCTAGCCAGCGCGCCAGCGAGGCAGTCTGGAGAACTTTAACCAACCACCCCGCCCCTTAGCTAGTTACATAGTAACTTATTGTACCCATCCGACAAGGCCAAGTCCGCTCTCATTGAGGCAGGTTAAGAGAGGACGGAAGCTGAGGGAGGGGGTCTAGCCACGCCTTCCATCTATCACAGCCTAGATCCAACTCCCACCCCCCCCCCCCCCCCCCGGCCCACCCAAAACACCATCATTGTTTTGTTTTGCTTTCTGCCCTGTGCCCACTACCCTCCCTGTCTAGTGTCTGATCCCTAGGGGAAAGAAAAAGGATCTAGAATCTCCGCACTGATCGCTTCACATGCGGGTGGGTGCTTTGTGGTCGGGGTCCTTGTTCTTACGCTTTCTGTTTCGTTGATTTTATGATCGCACTATCTTTGTTTCTTTTAGGAGGGGATATTGTGAGGGAGGGAGGAAGGGGTGACCGGGTTGGTGGGACGGGATGGGATCCATGATGGTGGAGGACAGATGGAGGGTTCCCAGTTGTTGACGAAGGAGAAAGAGATAACCAGGGTCTGCGAATGGGTAAGGAGCTGTAGCGGTTCCGGTTCGTGAAAGAAAGTTTGTCATTCTTTTATTGTGTAGTGGTGGTGTGTGACTCGTTTGGTGTTTCTTTTATTTTGTATAGTATATACTGTTTGTGTTGGACGGGTGGGTGGTTTCCATATATAGTAATGCCTTTTTAGTTGGTCAGAATCTACTACCGTACTGGCGGTTTGGGTAGGGTATTGTTCGATTGTAAAGGTTAAGGTGCTTGGGGAGTAAGCTTGGGGATGTGTCGAGTGCTACGAACCGGAGGCAACTGATGGATGAACTGTCATTGACATAAGGGTATGACGGGTAGACAAGACAGCTTGAAGATGGTGGACGATGTTGAACGCAACCAGCCACATAGACTGCCTGGTTCATCAGGACCGGTCGGGTATCCTATTGAGCTGGGTATCTTTCTTACCGCCTCTCCGGGGGGATAATTATAGTACTCGTAATCGCGCGTGTTATGATACCTAGAGTGCGGAGATATACGTGGTTATGGTGGCGGTGGTGGTGGGCAGAAGAAAGCTTGCTTCGTTTCTTCAATGTCGGGGAGATTCATGAGAATGACTCTTCGTCCGTATCAAGTTCGACGTTACTGAGTTACCGAGTGTACATACTTAGTATTATAGTTCTCGATCGATTCTGGTCGGAATGTCCGCGAGAGTACGGTTTCGGTTTCGAGATGGAAGTCTACCGGATTGTGGTTGTTACTATGTCGGTCGCCGTCCCAGAGTCTTGGGGTATCAGCTGAGGGGGGTGAACCGTGGACCTCTTCGATATCGATTCCTCTTTTTCTCCTTTGCGTCACCGCTGGTTAAGATCAGGGACGCACTGGGTGGGTGGGCTTATTCGGTGTTAGGTTCTTGAATGCGACTGGCATGTGCTTTTCGTTGCTGATGGGGTAGGAGTTGAGTTTTGCGGAGAAAGGCAGATGCCGATCAGATACACCTACTGATCCTGATTCACGGGCTACAAGAAGCTGGATAGGAAAGTCTGTGCTCTGGATTGCATTGAATCATTCGTGTCTCATGTGGATTGCACATGTTCTAGACTGGAGAAATTGCATCTGATATGCAGTGTTGAGCGAGAGAGATAGTCGTCGGCGTGCGTGTTGCATGGGGTATTTTAAGTTTACCAACTACTACTACTGTACAGAGTAAGAGATTGCTTTGGATCAGATCCATTGATCTGCCGAAGCCCACCATCTCCCCCTCTTCCTCTCGACCCCGGTACTTGGGTCTCCCACACTAACTACTTGATCAGTCAGGATCTTCATAACTTCATAACTTCATAGTGACTTAAGCGGGGGATCTAAATTTGATGTCCGCGTGCGCACTGACATCTTGGTTGCTTCAGCTCCCATGACGTAACCGGCCTGTCAGGATCTTGTTGACATCGATTATTAATCGTGTCTTTAACTGCTGCAACCAATTCTACCCGGATCGCTGTCTTCCGTTTTCTTGTCTTGATCGCTGCTTGTCTTGATTGATGTCTCTGGTCTGTGACTTTCTCTGATTGCAGCCAGCCTGTAAGTTAAGTCGATCGATCCACTCAACTTCCCATTCCCCTCTCCGAGACTTCCCTTTAGAAGCAATCGAACAATGGAAAAAAAAAAAAAAACAAAAAAACAAAAAACAGAAGCAAAAAAGACAAAGACAAAGCAAAAAAAAAAAAGGCACAAAAAGTAGAACCTCGAATCAAAAGCCCGAGAAAGCCTTCAGAGCCCCCACATTAACCACCAGCTGAGATTCTGGATGCATTCCTGAAGTTCCCGAGGACTCTGCAACCAATTGATGGGCGAAAGGGCACGAGGGGAGCAGTCCGACTCTGCCCGAAAACGTGGGGCAGCGATCGTGCTTGCGGCTGGTTGGTGAAATCTTCTCTCCCTCCCATCTTCCTCTTCCAGACCAAGCCGGTGGATCCCGAACCCCAGCAACAAAACCTAGGCCGAAGGGGAACTTTGCCTGTTCGGGTTTACCGTCCCTCACAGAAGGTCGGGGCAGCGCGACTTGTACTCAGCTGGACTCGCTGGACTCGTTCCCTCCTCCATATGTCAGAAGTTCAGAACCACCTGTGCCAGGTCTCTGCCTTCCATTGCGGGTCAACCTACCTTACCAAGTGGGGCAGGTCTCTTCAGGTCGGGCAGCAAGGTGATTCGTAGCTGGAGGGGCTCTTCACCTCACCGGTACGGTGCTCGCTGTTTTACAATAACGCTGTATCAGCCCTGACAAGGACTGTGGTATCATCACCACTCAGCCTGGAGGCTACTCATCGGAGGTCTGAGTCATCAACCTTCCGCGGCCGAGAAGGGTTTACCTTCTTTTCATCATCATAATTTGATTCAAACCACGAGGGCTGGAAGTGGAGCAAACAAGCAGTGCGCCCCTACTCTAATCTCTCGAAATTCGACAAATGTATGAACTTCTGAAGACAATTACGTCGTTGCCCACTCTGCCCCCGGTAGGTATGTCATCACGAACTGGTTCCTTTCAACTCCGTACTCTTTCTTTTTTTTTTTTACCCTTCCTTGCAAGGCAGGGAAAAGTAAGACTCGGCCCGGCTCCTCCTTTCAGTTCGGCATGCCGATGCACATCATCCCTTCTCTGCATTGCAGAATGGGGTATTCTCGGCACAACCGCACCACTCATCATCTTCCTTGTTATCAGGTTTCTTCGGAGGCCTTCTAGACCAGGCCGACGACAGGTTCTTCGCCTCCGACGGAGCACATCGCTCCTTGTTCCTACGTGTCAAGGTCTCGGGGGTGATCGAAACCGTCGCCGACGGCCATGTTCCTTAGCACCGCCACCTCAAACACCAGTAAAACCGCCGCTCGTGTGGCATTACACCGCTTACAACGGGCCGGTTGCGCGTCGCGTTGTGTCCGTTTCTGCCGTATCACGTGGCATAATGTTTTTTCTAGTCCTTGCCTGTCTTGGTTTCTCTTGGGTGGTGTAAGTCCCGTTGCGCCTCAATAAGGAAGATATGCCACTATACAAGGCTTGCAAGCTAGCGGGCTTGAAGCAGCCCGATTTGAGCGGGCCAATGCCGAGCATTGGGCAGCATTGGATGTTTTCATGCCATTCGGTCGGACTTGACTATCGTTCTAGTGTCCACTTTGCAATCAATACTACACCAGCCACTGGGGTATGCCGCGTTGCGCCGAGAGTCAAGCTCGGACAATGGTATTGTGAGATGGTTAGTAACGTGTCCGAATCAAGGTGGCCCTGGCTCGATACCACCCCAGTGTAACTGTGTAATACACCTCGGGCTTCAGATACAGAAACGATTGGTAAGAAGCAGTTTCGAGCACAGATAGATGCCTGCTCTTCATACACTTCCATCTTCAGTTATCTCGATTTGAACGAGTCTCCATGCTCACATTCATATGTCCCGAAGCTCGATGCAACCTATGTGTCAACGACTACCTCGCACGTTCACGACACAGAACAGAAACCTGCTACGGCTGGCAAACCCGAAGCGGCGATTCGATGGCCCCGAGACGCGGGATGGTCACATGAGCCGAACATCCTTCAAGCCACCACCGCCAGTCCCTCTCCCCGGAACTTACGCCTAACCGCCCCCCTCCCCAAAATCCGCATCCGATGGTCCTTCCGAGAGAAGAGGCAAATCCCTTTCCCGGAGGTATAGTTATCTTTAGATCTCATGCGTTCCAGCGACTCACTCACTGGTAAAACCCCGAGCATCTTCCGCGTAAGGCAACTCCCATCTCTGTCAGATTCAGGTCAGTCCACGGTGCCTATGCAAGTACGCGAACAAACAAAATCAAACCAAGACAAGTTCAGCGTACACGAATCAGACCCCCAGAAACGCCCCCGGCAAGGCTTTTTTGACTTTTTCTCTTCTGACAAACCTGGGAAAAAGTTCCATTCCCAGGTCGGGCGTTTCGAGAAGTCTTCTAGAAGAGGTTTAGGCTTGGAATCTCGGAAGACTAAACCAGTTTAACGCGGTACCGGGACGTATCTGTATTACCGGATACTTTGTATGTAACCGACGTCAGTCAGGTACATACATACCATCCAGTACCTAGGCGGGGCCTCACATTGCGTACAAGCGGTATGTATCATGTGTTCCTGCACAGTACGCTGTGCTGTATGCAGTTTTCAGGAAGAAGGATTGTCCGACTGTTGGCTTGAGCCCATCGCAGCGATGATAATTGTGCTTCTATATGGTAGATTAAGTAGTTAGTTACCTACGAACAATCGATCGGCTTTTTAGGAGAGTCGGATCTTGTTGTGATTGTGCAATTGAATAAAATTGGTCGTGCTGCACCCCCCCGACCGCCTACCTCCTCACAGACAGCTGCAGACCGCCTTGGACGGTTGGTTCCTGGGTTTGAGGTGAACCGCGGCTGGTTGACCGGCCTACTGGCTAACTAGCTGTAGGACGTGCATAATAAGCATGCATGTTACGATTGACATGGTGCTTTAAATGAGAACTCCCCCATTCGAAGGACCTCGCTATTGTTGCCTCTCGATTAAACTCGCTTCCTCTTTGGGCGCCGTTACCTTTGCTTTTTTGTCAAAGCTTTTCCAGCTATAGTGTTGGCTTCCGTCATTAATGGTCCGACCGGCCGATCCGGTCTATATACTCCATGGAGTATATTGGGTTGGAGATACTATGGTCATAACTCTGATATCATTTCTTACCAAGTATAGAAACACCACACGGCCCTTCTTGATCTTAGGGGGTTACGTATAGGAGTCAATAGTTCACATTCGACGTCAGTTATCTTGTGGGGAAGGGAGTGGTGGAGGAGGATGATGATGGTGATGAGGATGAGGAGGGGAAAACGGAGGACGTTGCTCCGATTGTGAGGTTTGCCGTGCTTGCCTGCCCGGCACACCACCAAGCAACCCCCGCTACTCTCTACATGTATCTACATGCAAACTGAATGATGATGGTTGTTCTCCACCAAATGTGGAACACATACTGTTCAACTATGTTATTGCTTTGCATGTTCTCTTGCATGGCCTGACATGTATGTACCTGTCGAAGAAGGAAGGGGAGCGCACCACTGATCAGCCCCTCCTCTTCTCTTCCTGACTTGAGTCTTTTTTTTTTGTAAACACAACCAACAAAGGTAACGGTACCTATGCTCCGACTGACTCGGTGATATACCGTGGGATTTGTTCTGTGTGATACAGAATTTAGAGTGCGGGTTGTTTTTGTGCTGGTCGGATGCTTGGTTGATGATTGGTGTAGGGAGTTTGTTCGGGGAAATCGGCTCTCTTCACCCGCGTCCAAGGGACCAACTTTAGTTTTCTTCCTGTGCGAACAAGAGTTCTATATCGGGAGCTGCGATTGGGCTTGGTTTCATCCTCAAAGTGCCGCCCGGCTCGAGGGAGATGGCATGGGTTCTTTCATCGGTTGGCTGGCTATTTGGCTATTTACCTCGGTAGGGCCGACCGAGGATTATGGATGAGTGAGAGGGATGAATGAATGCAATGACAGACTGAGCGGCCAAAGCAGATTGACTGCTGTGTATGGACGGAGTAATAACGGAGAAATCGGTCCCTACGACAATTAGGTCCAGGGCTTTCAGCTTCAGTCAGCGTTCTGGACCGTGGGCTTTTCCTTGCAGAAGAGCTCTAGTCGACGGATGTGCTGCTGACAATCAATCAATCACGAAATTGCCTTTCGTTTCTTGTATGTACGTACCTTGATTAAAGGGTCTGGTGACTTTTTCTGTCTTGCTCCTCTGTTGAATCTTGGATTCGATATGGATCCAGACTGATGGAGTCCACACGTAGATCAACCGTCCAGACTCCATCGATGTTTCCCCGATTACCATCTGCTTGTAACGTGTACGTAAAGGCTTTGTATACTCTCGGTAACCCTCTCGCTCTCCCCACATGGCAGTACACGTTGTTGTTTCCCTTGGTTACCTTACCCATTGTTGAGGGGCTTATGGCTCGAGTCAGCTGACTCGTGAACCGGGGTACTTGACTAGCCGGTGGGATTGTGTGTCGATGGAAGTACCTTAGTTTATGTAGCAGTTCAGGATCTACCTCGTGTGTGTACCGGTCTGTTCCTGATAATTCTCGTCAGTGGGGTCGAATTCCCTCCTGTATTGACCTAGACTACAACGAAGTTAGGTACCGTCCGCTCAATTGGTGCTCCCAGAGATCGCTTCCGCGAATCATGGTCGGAGAGAGCCCTGTGCGTATTCCGGGAATGAGGGGAAATGCGGCGGGCGGGGAGAGAGACAGAGAGAAGGAAAAAGGAGGTCCAGCCGTGAGTGAGGGCCCTAAAACAACAAAGCACAATAATGGTTTGGCGGGGAGCCTTGGAGGGACCGGTTCGTTTGCTTAGTGAGGCTTTCCCTTCCCCTCCCCCAACACTCCATCCTACTATCCCCTGGCTTGGTTTCACCACAAGTTCAATCTCGAAATACCGGATTTCAGATGTTGTGGCTTGTGATGATGGGTTCTGGTTCTTGAATTGAAGAATCAGGGATTCGCAAGCAGATCGCAATCAGCAAGAAAAGGGGTCACCTGTCGGTACTTAGTGATACATACGGATTGCGCCGATTGTCGTACCTGCCAATCGAGATCGGGACTTTCTGTCCTGGAAGGATCCCAATCCATCGGTACGCCTGCGGGGGGTCGTTAAGGAGGGGGGGTAAGGGGATCGTGTTCTTTACATAGTTCGTGTTGGTTTTCTCAAGTCTGGTTTCATTTCCGTATTGAAGGTCTCGTTTACAAACAGAGGTACTTGGGCTGTACGGAGGGCTACTAGTCTGTCTAGCTGCTGTTGCTTACCTTGCTGGTTGGTTGGCCCTAGAGATCTATTGGTATGGCGAAAAAAAATGAAGTCACCGATGATCGACTGGACTCTTGTACAATGGAGTGTTGCACCTTGTCTACGCGCCAACCAGACTGTTCCTCTCTATCATCACCGTCTGCACAAAGCATTGGTAGATTCGGACGTCCACCACTCTGTCCTCGCCATTCATTCTTCAAACCACACTGTTACTGCATATGCAAGCCGGAGAACCCGACTCTCCACCTCCTGCATGCAACGGTGCTGTGAGTTCGGTGCACGGAGTACATACAGAACCCAAAGCTCTCTCAACCCAAGCGGCAGATAGGAGCGCCCCCGTTACGCCTTGTGGAGCAATTATAGCTTTGCTTGGTGGCTGGAATCCATTGCATCTAGACCAAGCGCGAGGAAGGTAAAATATAGGGCAATTGCCAGATTCAAATGGTGGTGGTCAGCCGGGTTGTCGGGTGCACTCTTATCTTTCATGCAGCAGGAAACACTCGAATCTCTCCATTGAGGATGAAGTGTTTCTCGCTCCAAGGTGGGTGACTACAGCACAATCCTGAATGCTATCACATAGCCTAGGTGGCAGGCAGGCATCATATGCCCTCCTTGCAACAGAAGGGACAACAACGCATGAATTGGGAGACTGGGAAACAAAAGTGGTGCCCCTCGACGTGGCAACACTTAACGGTGCACCGAAACTAACTGCACCATCGACTTCTCGTTGACGATCCTGTTCATCTCGGATCTATTTCCTGTTCCAATGGGGGGTTGAGTGCGACTGTTGTTGTTGTTGTATGAGAAAGCTTCGCAAGAAGGTTGCCTGTTTGCGTACCGGGAGATTTCTAGGATTGGATATTGCGGAGGGAAACCCACATTGATAGACCCAATCGTGACCAAACGAAATCAACTGTATTCTGGAGTCAGCAGTCATGACCAGTCTCACGTCCAAAATTCCAGAAATGCTGCAGCTATTCTTCTCTGACAGATCCACTATGGTTGACATTCCCCAGACTCTCTTTCCCCGCGATGTTGTCCGATGATCATCGGCTCTACCGACAATTCAGCATCCCATCGATTTCGAGAAGCCAGGATGAAAACAAGAACGGTGCATGTCACGGGGGTCGCGAAGAGACGGTGACTCGGTGATATCAGCAAGAGACAGGCGGAGGCCATCACGTGGTCACATGGCGGCGCATCTCTTGCAACAGTCAGCGTCATTTGTACTCCCCTCTTTCTTTGCTTCCCTCAAAACAACGCCTCCCGCCTTTTAAACCGGATCAGGTACTTTTCAGGAGCTGCAGCTACTGGATCCCGGGTTTGCCTTCGTTGGTCAGGCCCTGGCGACTTGTCGATCTCCGGGTCACCAGATCTCTGCGTTGGCATTTCGATCCTCCGAGGAGGTGTGTGTGTGGGTGTGAGCCCTTGCTCTCCTACTAAACTCCCGGGAATTACGCGCTGACAAGTCATCGTCAAACTCGTTAGCATTAAATGTTGCTTAGCGACCTTCGCGCCGATCGATACGCCATCTGTCTCCCCTCTCGGCCCTTCCTTCGATCTCACGCGTGATCTCTTGGGCTGCCGGGGACGACAGGATTCCCTTGCTTCTGATTCTTGGGCAACTTACCACTCACTCAGTTACTTACTCACTCACATACTCACTACATTTGGATCTGATCTCGAGAAACGAGGATCATAACCCGTCCGTCCGTCCGTCATTGCCTTTCCTGTCGAATATCATGCAGACAATGAAGTCAGCATACTCAACGAAAACATACGATTGCACAACATAAGTCGCGTCATGAGCCTCCAGTTCTTCTTAGGCTCAAGGTAGTTTATCTATACCTAGAAGGTACTTTCACTCCAGTTTGGCCTAGGCGCCCCCGACATTTTTCTAGATTCATGCACCTTGCTTCGTATTTCAAGGTCCAGGCCTGATCGATCGACGCCCATGCTCGTCACATCCCATGTGCAATCTATCTGTCCACATATCCTTATGTCATCATCGAACATGGAGATTTGATTCCCTCCTTCTTCCGTCCTGAAAAATCGAAGAACAAAATGAAAAACGAAAGAAGAATACATCTAAATTATTACCCAGTGTCCCAGAGGACATCTTGCCCACCCTCTTCTCTTCTGGTCACCATTCTCAATTCCCCCTCCTCCCCTGAATCCGACATACCGGCCCGCAACCTTTCTGGGTCACACGCCATGGGTAAATTCTTATTTTGACATATGCCGTTTCTTTCCTTTTTCTTTTTTTCTTGTTTCCCGCGGTTAGTGCTGCGGTTGAATTGCTGAGTTGGCAGACACATACACCATACATACACCACACACTCACGCTCACACTCAGCCTCAAGAGGGCTCAATCAACCAGAAGGGGGTCGCCAGATGCGTCGTAGGGTATCGGAAGCAGAAGACCCAGCGAGGTCAAGGTAAGTAAAGTATCAGGATGTCCCTATCTGTCTGATTCTCATCACATCCTATTCACGAAAAGAGGAATCCTCAAGTAAAAGCTACGCTTGAATTTCCCTTCTCTTCATCCGACTCCCGATTCACTAGTACAATTAAAGGTAGGAGAAGTAAAGAAGCGAAAAGCAAGAACCCTCCAAGAATGCATTTTCTTCCTTGCTTGCTTGAATAAGCTAGCTAGCTAACGTGTTTGCTTGCTTGCGTGCTTGCTTGTACTTGTCACCCAACGCCAATTTCCCTTCCCCCTATGGACGCCACCACCGCGTGCATTGCATCCTTTTTATTTTCTGCTCTTCCGCCCCGTTCCCGTCCCCGGCTCCCAATCTTATCGTCCTATCCCAATGCAGGGGACCGGGGTATCTATCTGGTATTTCGAATACGGTGTTTTAGGGATTACGGTGGGTTCTTTGCAGTCTGACCTGTTCTTATAACGAGTAGGGTTTGGGTTTGGGCTTAGGTGGGTGAGGGTTGGGAAGGTGGATGGGGTCGATGAAAAGACCATTGACGTAGCTCCAGACTTGGGGTTCGGAAATAGACTTGGTTTGGCTTTTTGTCAAGAAGAGGGAGTGTTGGACAGGTGCGACGAGGGAGCAGAGTTCCGAGGTGGAACGTCTTTTTTTGTTGCTTCCACATGCTATGCTTTGGTTCCAATTTGGAGGGAGGTCTCTACTTTGGGATGGGCGCTTGATGTACGGTAAGTGTTCAGCAGATTGGTGTGATTCGATGGGTTGAGGTTGTATACTGTTGACAGTGTAGCTATTGGTTCAGAAGGTCATATTGTTTGATGTAAGTGTATGTAGTGTAGGTGTTTTTCTTATGGTATGGTACATTGAAGGTGTTGGTGTTGAGATTACAAGGTGATAGCAGTAAAGTGAGAACAAAGAATAGTCGTCAATCCATCAGGGTAGGCGACAGGCGCGAGCGTCTCACGAGCTGTGTCTGGGAGAAGGAGAAGGGTACAAGACCGTGGTGTCTACAGAGCCTTTTCTGAACGACGCTCCCAGCGCACCACGGCTGGCTTCAGCGGGCCCGAGAACAGAGTCGAGTAGTCTGTTCCCGGCACACCCTTCTTGCCTTCGAGGTTCGAGACACGCAGATGGCGCACCATGGTCGCGACAATGGTGATTAGGTTGAGATAGGCGAACTTCTCGCCGATGCAGCGGTGACGGCCTGCCCCGAAGGGTAGATAGGGACTGGCGGTGCCCTTGGAGACAACACCGTAGCCGTAGTCGACCAGCTCGCCGCCGTCTTCCTCCTTCTCAACCTGGTTTTCCCAGCGGCGGGGGTCCCACTTGCTCGCATTGGGGAAGAATTCGTCGCTCTGGGCCGTAACACCGGGCGAGGCCATCAGCACATGGCCGGTGGGCACGACCATATCGGTACCGGGCACGGGCATGTGGTTCTTAACCTTGCGCATGATGGAGTGGATGGACGAGTGTAGGCGCAGGGTCTCCTTGATGACACTCTTGTGAAGGGGCAGCTTGTCGAGGTCCTCATACTGTAGCGGCGCGAACTTGCCATCCGCTCCACGACGGAGAGCCGAGACCTGTTCCTGGTAAAGCTCATCGAGCCACTGGGGCTCGGAGGCCAGGCGGAGCATGATCCAGGCGCTGATGGAGGCACTGGAGTGCTGGCCCGCCAGGAGCAGAGTAATCATGATATGCGCGATCTCGTGATCCGGCACCGGCTGTCCGTTCTTGTACGTGCAGTGCATCAGGTTCCACATCATGTCCGACTTCTCCTCATCAGGATTCTTGCGGCGCTCGCGCAGAATCTCCGTGTAGATCTCGCGCATGCGGGCGTGCGCCACGTCCCGCTTACGGTTGTGCGGCAACGGCGCCCACGGCAGCATGAAGTTGATTGGACTGAATCCCTTCTCGAGGTCGTGATACAGGTCTGCGAATTCGGATGAGAGCTTGCTGCGGACCTCGTCCCCTTGCAGGGCGCGCGCTGCGGTGTAGATTGTAAGTTCGGACATGGCGGCGGGAACATCGAACACTCCGGAGGTTCCTTGGAACCAGGGCGAGGTGCGCAGAAAGTCCAGCGTCTCCTGCTCAATGAGATGCACGTGCGATTCGAGCGCGGTCTGGGTCAGACCGTACTTGACGAACTTCTTCTGTTCCATGAGCTTGGAATTGGGACAGTCGTAGACAACGTCGGCTCCGAACACGGGGGTGGTCAGAGGGGAATAGACCTCCTCAGCGTTTGCATCCTTGAGTTTGGCATTGAGGATGAACTCGTTGCCTTGAATTCCCAGATAAACCGTGGTCTTTTGTCCCAGTAGCACAAATGTGAAGATGTCGCCGTACTGTTTACACCACTGCCGGTTAGCTTGCACAGCCGCGGTATCGCGATCGGTGGGAAGTCTCTGACCTTTTTCCTGTTGGAGAAAAAGAAGGCGTAGGGGTCCATGCCATAGCTGATCGTATTTCCCAGGAAAGGGATCCAGTGGAAGACCACGGGGGGTTCTTTTTTATTGCGAAACAGCAATTGGCGCAATACGTTCAGTGCAATGATGACCAGAAAACCAGCGGTCGCGTAGGTGCTGATGACAGCTAAGGAAGCCATGATGGCGACGTGCTCAGAGTCAATTGGATCGGACACAGGGCAGAGATGGTCATAAAAGACAAGAAATCATCATCTCCAGCTGGGGGGAAGGTGGAGTGCGGGAGAGAAGGGAATTAAGAGGGAAGGCCAAGTAACCCAGCATCTCACTGGGCAAACGATCAAGAGGTCTGATTTTCTGATTTTCGTTAGTTAGTCCGAGCTGCCAGGCACCGACCCAGCCCCCCCTGATATTGGATCCTCTAGCCACTTGGGGACGAACCAGCGAACCAACGAACAAGAAAACCGGCATGGAGATGGTTCCTGAGCCGAATCAGACCACTTCACTTGTCATCTTGGGAGATTTGAATGGGCTGTTGGACATCGACCCATGCAACAGAAAGTAAGGATCCTCCAAAAGAGTTTCCAACTGTCTTGAAGGAAGATTCCCGGAATCTCCACAATTGCCCTTTTGGGCCAAGCTTGAAGCAGTGATTTCGTATTGAATACGCCCGCCCGTCATTGGTTGACTGGAAAGGCTGCCTGGGGCCATCCACTGTTCTGGCCAGGGTAACTGCCTGAGGCAGACAGAGAGCATAAAGCATCATGGATAACAGCACAGCATAGCAGCATAAACTGAACACGAGATAGCTCTGCATGGACTGGAAAGCGACAAAAGTCACAAAACGGAAGAGTCATAATATATTGTGGCAAGCATCACCTAATGAGTCACTCCATGACCTTCAATGAGTAATCGTGAGCAGAAATGATAATGACGCCGGTCTTACCCGTTCAGGACTAGTCTCTCCAGCAGCTTTATCGCCGCCCGCCAATACCTATACTTGAATACCTCCATCCAAGCTGCCTTGGGATATCAACTATAATCTTCACGCCCGTTCGACTCTGTCTGCAAAAAACTCATCTTTGGAATACATCATGGACACCACTCAGCCCAGGAGCTCCGGCACCGCCAGTTCGGGCCCTCCCCAGAGACCCATTTCCAAAGCAGAAGCGTCCAATCCCAGAGAGTTCCAGCTCAATCAGCTCCGGCGACGCTTTCGCCCAAAGGAAACCGGCGATGAAACAGGAACGACGGCGACTTTTGGCTTATCGCCATCCGATCCTGACTTTCCCTTTGAGATGGACAAACTACAATGCATTCTACATGTCCCGCAATCTTACCCCACTCAAGGACGTCCGACCCTCAGGGTCACAAATGCCGAAATGGGAAGCGCATTCCAGGAGAATGTTGCCAGAGGGTTCGACGACATCGTTGACAGCACCATCCGAAGCGGCAGTCGTGGGACTCTGCTTAGCTACATGAACAGCCTAGACCGACATCTCGAGCGTCTACTGACTACCTTGGAACGGGGCCCTACGCTCAAGTTTGTGCCTAACACGTCGGCTAGCAAACCACCACAAGCAGGAGATCAGAAGCTGACACGAGGTATGGCGTCGCTAGCTGTATCTTCGTCAACATCGCAGCCTCGAGCCCCAGGGCTGCCGACTCCAAAGCCCGCTCCGGCTCCGACTTACAGCGCGGAAGAGAAGGCTCAAGCGGAGAAGCGGAGAGCAGTCGAGACGAAACAGCTGGAAGCTCGCCTCGGGAGACTGTCCTCATTTCAGAAGCTCAACGACGGTCTCGCTTTTCTCATTCCTATTCAGCCGGCCAAGGCTGATCGGCTACCTGTCTCCCTTCGGTCTGTGAAAGCCGTTAAGCTGCAGGTGCCTCCTTTGTACCCGCTCGAGCCAAGCGCCATTGAGCTGAACAGTATTGAAGGCCCGGAAGCTCGGGCTGTTGAAGCTGGCTTCTCCAAGTGGGTTCAAGAGAATCTCAATCTGAACCTTATGTCGCAGGTCAACTACCTCACGAGCAACATGCTCAACTTTTCCAAGACACCAGTGGAAAACTCTTCTATTCAAACTGCAGTACCCGAGGTTACTGAATCTAGTCCATTAGAAGAAGCTGCGACAAGGCCACCAGCCCCGGAATCTATAGCAACGGACAAACCACACGTTCATGTTGTGCCTCGACCTCCTGAGTGGAACGTGGGCGGTGACAGCAGTGCTTCTGAGGAAACGGATTTCACAGAGTCTGACGAGGAACCTACGGAGGATGACGAAGATGGGGGTGCTCCTGTTCCCGACCTTCCCGAGCCTACCAACGTCGAACGCGGTGTTGCCCTTTCATTTCCTTTCTTGGAACTCTACGGAATCGAGCTCTTGGAACTCGTTGGGCTTTACATCACGGTGAAATGCGATCGGTGCAAGGAACCAGTCGACGTGAGAAACATCCCCCAAGTGAAGGACAAGAATGATGAGCTCTCTCTTAAAGTGGAGACATGCAAGAAATGCACAAACACGATGAGCATGGGTAAGAAGATCTCTTCCAGCATACTCTCCCTGAGTCTGAAAAATTCCTGATCTTGATTTGCAGGATTCCGCCGACAATTGATGCATCCCACCGCCACTCGAGCTGGCTATCTGGACCTGGATGGGTGTACGGTAGTTGATCTTCTTCCCAGGTAAGATTCCCTTCCTACTGGCAATCCAAGGACTCAAGTCTCGTACTAACAACCAGTGCAGTAGCTTCATTCCGACTTGCGCAGAATGCTCAGCGCCGTTTCCTAACCCTGGAGTTGTGGCTGTCCGTGGCGAAAGCGCAATGGCCAATTGCCGTCAATGCCACCGCAAAATGGGTACGTACGCTGTTGTGCACGTTTGAAGGAACCAGTCATACTTACGTGTACTAGTTTTCAAGATTCCGGAGGTGAAGTTCCTGAAAGTTGGATCTGCTGCATGTAGGTCATTCAGTGTCTACACGTAGGATCAACCCGCTCACTCAATCACAACAGTCTCTTCTCGTGATCGCCCTCCTCCCCGCAAGAAGGTATGCAGCACCATTTAATTCTCATCACAGCAAATGAATACTAAGATCCATAAACCTAGCCCAAGGAAGTCCTCGGAATCGTCGCGGGCCAAGAACTCCCCCGTCGCGGCCGTTGTTCACACTACGGCAAAAGCTATCGCTGGTTCAGGTATGCCATCGACCCGCAAAGCGTGCCCAAGAAAACAAAACTAACGTCCTTCAACCTACAGATTCAGCTGTTGCGCAAAGGTTTTCCCTTGCGACAAGTATGTCCTCCGCTTACATCAATCTCATTAAACCATACGCATACTAACAAACCCTGACACAGATGTCACGACGCAGCCACCGACCACCCGAACGAACACGCAAACCGCATGATCTGGTAAGCAACCACCACCCCACAGAGAAAGCATGGAATCGCTCCGTCTAACAATACCAAATAGCGGCTTCTGCTCCCGTGAACAAATCTACCGTCCCGAAAATTGCGGGATCTGCCGTGCCGTCCTGATCGGTAAGGCCGGCAGTGGCTTCTGGGAAGGCGGCAAAGGCACCCGGAACAAAGCCTTGATGAGTCGCAAAGGTATGTCACTTAGCTTGTTGGATTGCCTCTATTTGAAGTTTTATGCTAACGCAGAAACAATCTTCCGAATTAGATCCACGCAAGTATAAGCGCCGTGGTGGGACGACGCCCGGTGGTTCATCGAAGAAGACTTAGAGGATCAAGCTTTCGATCGTGAAGCCTATGAATCAGGTCTACAGAGGCAGAAGGAGTAAGATTCTGTAATGAGATGGGCATGCATAAGCTATGCGCTTCATTGAGCGGTTGCGCGCTTGCTTCCAATCTGATTTGGAGGAACTGCTGCATATGATGCGGAAGCATCTTTCTATCGTTTAACCCCCCTCCTTTACGCTGTGGAGAAAGGGAATGAATGGATTTACGACGACGCGTTGTGCGAGGGAATATTCCCTTACGGTTGAGACATGTCTGATTGTCCAGTTGCCAATTGGCTGCAGCCGGGAGCTTCATGGAAGGTTGTGCTCATTCGGCAATAGGCACAACCAACCATAGCTGCCCAACAAGGTCTGTAACCTAGGATTTTGGAACATGCATATGTGGAGTTGTGTCATGGAGATGGGCATTTGACGAATGTCAGGCCTGTTTATTGATGTGTATATCTGGCATACTGAAATACAGTACACCCAGCGCGCAATAAAGGTCGTCACCTGGCTACGAGAATCATGAACTTCCCATGAGGCGACAGAAGTCAGAGAGAACTTCTTCCAAAGAAGGCCTCAACAGGCAGGCGGATGAACATGAAGGGATCTCCGTACTACGATGGCCTTATCGCATGATCATATTCCCCGGCACCAAAATCCCACAACTCATCCGAGAGACTACAAATGAGGGTGTGGTCGGTTGTTCCTTGGTCATTTCCCGATCTGTCTAAGTACCATCATGATTCCCATACAGCCACACCACCTCAATTTAAACTACCCTGCTGAGAAACATATCTTGTATGTAGTAAATATATTATCATCTCGAGTCCCGTCGTGACAGTAACGCCAAAGGGAGTGGGACCTTTTTTTTATTTAGCCATGAGAACAAAAAAATTAAATTCTGTGTACAAGAAATCTAGAATTCCTGGTCGTCGTCGCCGGAGATGATGACGTTGTTGATCTAGGTAGGGTGATTGTTAGTGTTTTATGTTCAGTGGTTGTAGATATGTGATGAAAGTCGAGCTGTGAACTCACCTTGAGGACCATGCGGCAGAGCTGGGTAGCGAGCAACAGCTGCGAGCGCTTGCCAATCAGGGGATCGATAGCGAAGTGCTCTCTCATATCTGGAGGGGGAAGAAATAGCTAGTTAGTGATATGAACGAGGTAAGCAGCTCAAGAAGACGTACCGTTGTTACCAGTCAGCATGCAGTCGACACCCAGCCGGGAGTTGTTCTCCTTGACCTGGCGCGACTTGATCGAGGCCAGGGTCTCGATGGGGCTCAGACCGGAGTTCTCGGCCAGCGCCAAGGGGATGGCGTCCAAGGCATCGGCGAACGCGCGCATAGCGTACTGCTCGATTCCGGGGCTCTGCGGGGGTGTTAGCCGATATTCCGAGGGGATGTCTCTGGTGAAGAGGTCAGAGTTCACGTACCTTGACAGCAGCATCCTCAACCGCGATGGAGCAGGCAATTTCGGCAGCACCACCACCGTAGACAACACGGTTGTCGCGCACCAGGTTACGCACAACGCAAAGAGCATCGTGTAGCGAACGCTTGGCCTCGTCGATGATCTGTGGTCACCGTTAGCATTATGGCACGTCGGGTCCGTATTGAAAACCGAACTGACCATCTTGTTGCTTCCTCGTACGAAGACCGTGACGGCACGGCTGTTGGCGCACTCCTCAATCACCAACATCTTCTCCCGCGTAGTACCAAAGGTCATCTCGCGCACACGACCTGCAGTTCCAAGCTTCTCTGGGCTCAAGTCCTCAAAGCGGGGAACGATCCGACCGTTCGTGGCGATGGCGATGAGTTCGATCTCAGGTCCACCGACCCAGCGGACAGCGGGGAGCTTGTTCTGCAGCAACAGGTGATTGGCCTCGTCATCGAAACCCCACTGGCAGATTACCAGGTTGGCGCCGGAATCCTTGAGGTTCTGAATCATCTCTGTGAACTTCTCCTTCTCGTAGTCTTGCAACTTCTTGAACTCCTCCACGGATGTGATGTCGAGCTTGTGCTTGGTCTTGGGCTTCGGGGGCTCGAACGGACAAGTCAAAATGGCCAACTTAGCATCCCGAACCTCATCCGGCATCTGAGGGTGCGAGAAGTCCTTGTCGACAATGACACCCTTAACGAGAAGAGAGTCCTCAAGAGCACCTCCGACCTTTCCGTCAACCTTAATCAACTCGAAATCAACGTCCTTGCGCTCGAGGTCGGCCACGGAGAGGACGGCATCGATAGCGATCTTGGCGAACTGGTCGTGGGACTTGGAAACGCTGTGAAAGAGTCAGATGAGATAACTAAGTTTTCTTTTGGCACACGGTCCGCGTACATCTTGGAACCCAAACTCGTCTTAGCAACCTTGAGGAGGTTGGAGGTATCTTCCTTTGTAAACGGAACTTCGTCGCTGATCTTATCGAGTTGTGCGACGGCAATTTCGCAGGCCTGGTCGTATCCGTCTGCGATCCGAATAGGGTGGATACCCTTGTCGATGAGTTCCGACGCCTGCTCCAACATGGCTGCCGCCAAAACCACAACACCAGTAGTTCCGTCACCGATTTCCTCGTCCTGCGATTTCGACAATTCAACCAAGAGCTTGGCCACGTTGTTCGTGATTTCCATCTGTCGAGCCCCTCGTGGTCAGAATACCTTCCAAGGGAGGATTGCGGATAGTAACAAGCGGCACGAACCTGACCGAGGATAGTAGCGCCATCGTTGGTCACGGTGATATCGCCATCGGGGGAAATAAGAATCTTGTCGAGACCGCGGGGACCCTGGAGTTGTTTTAGAACCGAGTCACACGTAGGCGTTATCGAGCGGCGTTTCATACCAGGGAGGTCTTGACGATGTTGGCAACCGTCTTCGCGGCGACGATGTGTGACTTGACGGCCTCGGTACCATGCTGTCTCTTCTTCTTGCCCTGACTATCGGAGCGAAATGCGATTAGTGACATCTTCCACACAGAACTGTGGCCCACAGTCTGGGTGGGGGATCGCAACGTACTCCCGAACGACGATGAACGGCCGGCCTTGTTCATCCTTCATCACAGAGGCTGGTAGGATGGTGGTCAGCGATTCGGAACTTGTATCATGATGACGAGGAGACGTAGAGGAGGGGTTCAACCTTGAGACAAATCAAGCTCTGTAGCCACGAGGGAAGAGACGTTAGCACCTTGGTCCAGAGTGAGGGGTTATCAGAAACATACGCATAGCCATTTTGACGGTCTGCCCACTTGGCAGGAACCTGGGAGGGAGGGGGGAGGTCGGAAGAAAGCCTACACGGCTGGAAAGAGAGAAGACGAGTAGAGAAGAAAGTCTCCCAAGAGAAGATCTATCAGGAGGAAGTGAGGAGGGGAAGTGTAAAAGAAGGGGGAGGGACGGAGATGGGGAGGGGATGCTTTGACTACCGGCACAACTGAGAGTGACGGGCGAATGTAGAAATTCTGGAGATGAGGAGCCAAAAGCGGGCTAGTGAGCTGCTTTCCCAATATGGTCTAGCGCGGATCTTCCACCGCGCGCCTGCGCGACTAGCCAGTGACCATTCCACCTGCGCCCAAAGAATCGCTCATCATCAATCAACTCTTGCTACCACTCTTTCTCCCTTCCTCCATCTTTCAATTTCTCTCCCTCTGCGGACGGTGACCTGTTCGACATCGACTCCTGAACCCCGTCCGCCTCGGTCCCGTTCCTTCTCGACCGCCAAACTGTTTTCGCGACTTTTCAATCTCGCCGCATCTCCTTTCGGAACAACAGCAATGCCTCGTGAGTAATGCCAGTCGCCAATCCTGGCGCATCGACTTCCTGCGCGCCAAAAGAGCACGTCGCAAGCTGATACCCCTTCAAGCTCCGGTGCCCGATCTTTCCGATGACGAGTCGACTGGCGAGTCTATTCCTTATGATGACACCTCCGCAGCCAAGAAGCAGGTCAAGGAGGAGAACGATAACGATAACGATGATGATGAGGAGGAGGATGAGGAGGAGGAGGAAGACGTGTCAGTGCAATTGGCAAGCGATTAAGGCCACATCCACTGATACTGACTTGCGCAGCTACCACGTCGAGAAGATTGTTGCACATGAATGGGGAAAGAAGGTGCGCACTGCCGCCACTTGAGCCTGTCGCGCCATTGAAGCTACTATGAACATCTGACTCACTATGCGACAGGGCGAGCTGCTCCTCCAAGTGAAATGGAAAGGATATGACGATCCCGCCGACATGACTCTGGAGCCAGAGGATAACCTGTACGCTCTCGGTTTCTACTATTCTAAAAGCAGGACTAACCTCCTGGATGTTCTCTAGCGATGGTGCAAAAGAGGCGGTCGACGAGTACTTCCGTGGACTAGGTGGTCGCCCCGAGAAGCCTCAGCCGAAGAAGCGCAAGTCCATAGGTAGACCCCCCAAGTCTGCAACCCCCGAAAAGCCACAACAACCGAACAAGCGGAGAAAGTCTCGAGCCAACGAGTCGCCGGAACCGCAGCCTGCAGACGATAGTGACTCGGGCTCGTGGGTACCCAAATCGAAGAGCTGGGAGAAGGAGGTGGAGAACGTCGACACAATCTTCCGTGAACCTGGTACATCGAATTTGCTTGCAATCCTGAACTGGAAGAATGGCAAGAAGTCCAAGGTCCTCATTGGAACCTGCTACGAAAAATGCCCTCGAAAAGTACGTGCTGTTGATAAATCTCCGAGTTGGATGTACCAGCTAACATTCCGCAAGATGCTTGAATTTTACGAGTCCCATCTGTAAGTCATCGGTCGTTCTCGCGACGACGCTGCTCATCGGCTAACTTTATGCAGGGTCTTCAAGGAAGGCTGAAGTACCGCGTGAAGTCTTTCCGCCTATTTTATACCTGGCAAACTGGGTGGAGCACGAAGGCATCTGCCTTCCTCCTCTTTCCTCGCTTTCCCTAATCGATGGAATTAGTGGCCATGAAGCATTGGCAACGAACCGCGCATATGGGTGTTCTCTGGAAGCTTCTATGACCACTATCTACTTTATGACTGTAAGATAAACCCTCTTTTGGGTAGTCCTTGAACATGAGCAGTCATTGAGGCCCCAGAATGTCTCAAGATGGAAGAGCGCTTGCACACATCTGAAATACATCCCGTTACTTTCTTCTGTTGCCATTTTCATTATATTCCCGGGTCTATCTCTGAGTTTTGTCCCTTGTTGATCGCCTAGCGTTTCTCTGTACTTTAGTTGCACGTTATCAAATTTCTTTCTGGACTTATCACTCGACGGCCTCTGTCTCGAGACCAGCAGCTCTTGCCATGCTTAGATATTCCCACCTAGCATCGAAAGCTTCCGCGCCATGCTTCTCTAGCACCCGCTGGACTCCTCGTGTCTCCGTACCTTCAACACATTTGTCATCCCCAGGTGTCCATACCCCAGGCATGTCGTCAGGGATGCCTTTTCCAGCAGTCAAAAATTCGAGGACTTTATCTGCCAAGTGTGGGTCCATACTTGTACAGCGGAGGGCCTCGATAATCTGTTCCTCGGTTGCCTTACCTGCCCGAAGCCGTCCATTAATCCAGGTGTCAATGTCTTGTTCTGGTAGATCTGTTTGAGGCTCGGGCTCAGGCTCAGGCTCGGGGCTAGACGGTAAGAAAGGAAGTTCAAGGAATAGAGAGTCTATCTCGGGGGGTATTTGCGAGATCTTAGCGGGATTTGGTGGCTCTTCGGCTCGATTCTGGGATTCTCGTGGGTTGGTTCCTTGGTCGGTTTCGTTCGTAGTTATGGGAGCCATTTCCGCGGGAATGGTTACTGTCGAATTGAGTGGTTGTTGAGGCCTCACGGGCTCTTTGCCCTTGTTCTGAGGGCTCACATCTGTACCTTCTTGGCCTTCTGGCACATGCTCGGCTGCCATCCTTTTAGAAGCCGGACGATGCGTCTCGTCAGTCTCTTCCGATTGGGTGCTAGAATCCGAAGTACGCTTTCTCTTTCTATCCGCCGGCTTGCTAGAAGAGGGCGCTTCCTCAGGCTTCTGTGAGAGTCTTGTCTGTGGCCGAGGTTGTGTTATCGGGCTGGTCGACTGTGCGGGAGCAGCCTCTTGCGAGACTGTTTCCTGCTGAGTGGGACCTTTTGGCATACCACCCGGACGCGGACGTCCGCGTAGTCGCTTCAGATATCGATCACGGTAGGATTGAAAGGTATGTCTGGGATTCTATGGGGCCGTGCGCATGATCAGATTCCGTTGCGGTGTCCACTGGGTTGGAGCGTATACTACCTTCGCCGCAAGTTCCTGATAAATCTTGTTCCCAGAGATGGAGGCATCGGGGTCCCGCTCATACTTCTGTACCCAATCCCAGAGAAGCTGGTCATCTGCAATCGTGTAGGGCACTTTGTGACTTCGAGTGGGAATGTATGAGGCGCCAACTGGGCGAGCTTCCGATGGCCCGGCCCGATAAGCCTCTAAGCTCTGCATCCTCCCCTGGCGGATAGAGTCTTCAACAAATCTGAAGGAATATCTATAGATATGTGAGTCTCGAGTTACTTGAACACGCCGGAGAACTCACGTGTCGGCGGGGAGATTCCGTCGCTTATGATCAACTAATTTGATATCCGCGTCTTTCTCGAAAAGCCTTATGCTACCTCCGTAGCGCTTGAGCCCGTCCCGTGTCAGGTAGAAGCCCGCAATAGATCACAGGGGTGGCGGGGGTACCTCGATAAGTTCTTTGAACCTGTTTCTCTGGGGGACATTTTGCGAGAGCCAGAAATGCTTTCCTCGGAAAAGAGTCCCACCAGCTACGCTTGCGCCACCATGGCTGGCTACCGTATGTGTCTCAGCCATCGAAAACCATCAAGGTCTCACCGGTCTCAACAGGACTTTCGTTGGTTGTCGCGTCGGAGCTGTTGAACGCCCCTGCAAAGCTTCAAACGACGCGCTGTCACGTGCTCTGATGTTGAATATAGACCCGACTGCGCCGGAGGGTTTCGATGCTTCAGGGCCAGTCAACTTATTACTTATATGAAAACTAGCGGCATCATGAATCCCATCTGAAAGTATGATCATGCTCCGAGAAGTTGGTTCGGGCTCAAGTACTTTTGTGGTAATCATGACAACCTCGAACCAGCCATCGCCGTCCCTTTGAGGAAAGACGGTCACGTGTACGGCCTTCTCTCAGACAAGCCGGTGGGCAACTGCACCGCAACAATCATCGGTTCAGCTCATTCTAGTATGACAGACAGCCTTCCAAGTTAGCTCCTCCGGCGATTGTTGAATGGACCTCTGAACATTTACGATCTCATGTCCGACCAATGATATATCTCATCAGTTTAACATTTTCTATGTTGTAGCTCGGTTTTCTTTCGATCATCCAAACGGAGCCAGATCCGATTCGACTCGAATCACAATGGGATTACTACGGACCATAGCGCTCGTCATCCTTGGAATTTCAGGTTTCGTATTTGTCGCCCTCTTTGGAAAACTTCCTGCATTTCGGTAGGCTATGTATGAATTCCCAATGCGATGAATTGCGGCTGATGTATGCTCGTAGCAAAACTCCCATTGGGTTCTTGAATCGAGTTCTCTGGATACATATCCCGAATGGGCTCGCATACTTCGATGACCGACTGTTTAGTGGCCGGCTCTTCTCTTGCTGCAGTCGAGCTGGCAACTATGTTCTCAACGAGAACCACCCGCTTGTCCTTGTTCGTCCCATGAGGCAGTTATCGTATCGCCAATCATCTGACTCGAACTAGATATTCTTCGCCTCACTCCTGGTAGCTGGCCAGTGTATGTTCATTCCAGCCGCTTGGGCCAGGATCTCCATGGTCCATCACCTATGGATCCCGCTCATCGTAATCTTCCCTTATTACTTCTTATATGCGAGCATAACCACCAAGTCCTTTATCACACTGAGGAACCATGCGGAGGAAATGGAACGCTACCCTTACGATAGGGTTCTCTTCCATCCCGGCCACCGGTGCAGTACTTGTCGGTTTCTGAAGCCGGCGCGAAGCAAGCACTGCAGCACCTGCGGAGCATGTGTTTCCCGACACGACCATCACTGCGTGTGGCTTATGAACTGTGTTGGGTTGCACAACTACCACTACTTTCTGTCGCTGATCTTATCGCTCTGTGTCATGTTGGTTTATGGCTCATGCCTTGGATACACCCTGTTGCACCAGACCTACGACAAACTGATCCCCGCAGATAGTTCTCTGCGAACCACGCGCCAGAGCTGGACCACCTTTGCCAACGTCTGGGCCGTGGTCATTGCTGCCGATGTTCGCATCGGCGCGACCACCCTGTTAATGACTATGACCGCCCCTTTGGCAGGGGCGTTCCTTGTGTACCATACCTATCTGATCTGGGCCGGGATGACCACCAACGAAAGCTCCAAGTGGGCTGACTGGAAGGAAGATGTTGCCGATGGCTACGTGTACAAATCGGCCAAGGCTGAAATTTATGCCAAATCGCCCCTACTCGCAGAATCCCAGGGGCCGCCAACAGACTGGCCTTTGAGCAGTGAGCAGGTCCTCGCTCTCAATGGGGAGCCTCCGAGAGAAGGGCATCTGTTGTCTCCAAATTCAAATGAGATAGATGGGCCGGTGGACCGCGATGCTGCCATCGATCCCAGGTGGACCCCAGTCCATAGTATGAGAGAGATCGACAACATCTATGATCTCGGGTTCTGGAACAACCTGCGCCATGTGTTCGGACTCTCAATCCATCCAAAGGCACTGTGATGCCTTGTTGTCTTCATGTATATAGAGAAAAGGATTTGAATGATCACGATTTTTCGCATCGTCCGCAGTCACGGCTTGTGCATAGATAGATGTTCTCGAATAGGCGGTATTCAGCAGCGGGCGCGGGCACGCACCGGCGGGCGGTGGGCGGGATAGTTCCGGAGCCGGAAAAATTCCCCTCAGCGGGCGGGTGTTATTCTTTCTCTCTCCGCCGGGCTTGGTTACTTGGACTTCTTCCCCGCGACAACACTCCACGGTGCAGCTGCTACACCAACAAGCACGCAGCGTCACTTATTCCCCGCCCAAGATGGCCGACCGGGCAACAGCGGAGATGAAGCCCAAGTGCACCCCCGCCGAGCTTATGCTCAAAGTTATTTTAACGGGGACCTTGAGCCACTATGAGACCCGCGGCATGATCGACGACAAGCGGCTGGAGCACATGCTTTCTGCGGGCAAACAGATTTTATACAAGACGCACCAAGAAAGCGATGTCAGGTGTGTTTCCATTCCATTTTCACAATAATCCACATAATTTGGTTGTTCTGCACGCCAGTACTGTAAAACCACTGCAAAAACGACATCGGACTGATCGATTTCTCTACGATAGGCATAATCTCGGGTTGTCGCCGGACATCTGGCAAGGGTTCACAGATGTGTTAACAAAGGCGATCCCCGTTCTCGAGTCCCAGTCCTTCGCTTGGAAAAGCCCCCCGACCGCCAACTACGATCACTCTTCCTCCAACCTCATAGCCTACAACTACTTCTCGCTCGTCAAGGATATCGAGCGCCTCAACGACTTATGTACCATCGCCCGCAATCTACTCGCCACCACGAAAAAGGCCCAGAATATGGCAGCGGAGAAGGGCTTCGACCAACGGATTCTCGCTTTGGTCGATACCTGTGTTCGAGTCACCGCGCGGGGATTCGACGGCGAAACGAATGCACGGAATGAGGAGCGCTGGCAGAAAGTCGTCAACCTCTACAAGCGTCTTCTGATCACGTGCCTGCAGTTCATGCACAACTTCATCATGCACAACGAGCAGCGCAAGATGGTTTTGTGGCTCGACTTGTTCGGATACCATTCCACCGGGGACTCGAACATCATCCAACCCAGAGAACCGCTTGATCCGGCCTTCGCTCAGCCTGAAGGGGTGGCGCCGATTGTCAAGACCGGGGAACGAATCGTCAACCCTCCGATCCGGGCCCTTTACGACCAGACCGCGGAGGACTTGCTTCTGGAAACGATCTCTAATTTCCCCCGGGAGCCGGCTACGATCAAGGAGGAGGCGGCAATGCTGCTGCTTGCGAACATCAAAGATCACATGGAGAAGCTGCTTGGGCGCGACTTGACCGCAATACAAGAAATGGGGAAGGATCCGGAGCAGGTCAAGGAGATCCGCGCAGCTTTGACTGCCATACTCGGAGCCAAGGTAGAAGGGTGGTCCGATCTCCAAGACAGAGCCAAGGACCTCCCACCAGCCCTGCCGGAAGACGAACCACCTCGCAAAAAGGCCATCGTCACAATAGACCGGAGCGCAACAGCTGGGTTCCCGCGGGTTTGCTGGACCGATCTCCCCGATCTTAGCGAGTACGGGGCGCTTTCTGCTGGTGACGCGGTTGTTATGGAGGAGGATATGAGTATGCCCCGGTCGGCTCAGTCTGCAGCCGAGACTCTGCAGGAGGCAAAGGACGAGTTGATGGCGCGGTTGCAAGAGAGCTCCCAAATCGGTGGCGACGCAGACCAGGACTACGATACTGGAGATGCGGGTACTGTTGGTGATGATGATTCGCGCAGTCTGGAGGCTGTTGCAGATGGAAGTATGGAGGAGGAAGAAGAGGATGATGACGAAGACGACGATGACTACCGTGGTCGTCCAGGAGATCAACAGCGCGGCTTGCTTACGGATATTCCGCTTGTACTGGGACCAGCAGAGATCGAAGCGCTTCCGATGATCATCCAGGCAGGTATTGTCGACAGCTTCGGGCTGAAGGGTGGAGAGAGAACAGGGTCACGGAATATGCAGGCGCTGCGATGCCATATCCTGCTCACGCAAGAAACCGGTCGAAACCTACTAAGGGAGTTGTTGATCTTCATTGCCGCCTGGGATCTTCCCGATGACGAGCTATACTTCAAGATGATGGTTCAGATCATGGATGCAGTCCTGAAAAACGGTCTCATGTCGCATGCGTATTCCGATTTCGGTCAACCTAAGGATATCATCTCTCCTGCGCAGGCTGTCGTGGTAAAGATCCTCACGCATATCTTCCGAGCAAAGTATTCTCCGGCGTCGGTCACTGGCACACCCCAGCATACCACAAGCAAGAACCCAGCGCCTCTGTCCCGCGTGGATATCCTTACCGTTCGGTACATCTTCACCATCTTCCGAGGCAACATTATCCCTGAGACTTGTGCTTTGATTTACTTGCAGGGGCAGATCCGAGCCGGAAGAGCCTTGCCAGAGGACTTCCCCTTGAATCTGTGGGATATGGAGCGGGTCTACGAAGGTGTCTACCAATTCTTGGAGTTTTTCGCCGTGCTGACTGAAAACAACGACTGGAAGAATCTGCTTGTCAAGTGGGAGATTGTGTATGACTTGGTGACATTGATCAAGGAGCTTGAGGCCAGCATTCCTAAGGGCCAGCTGAGTTCTCTCACTCTGGGCCGCAACAGTCCGTCCAGAGACCATCAGTCCAACTTGAGCTCCGGACCCGTTGCAGTCGAGAGACCATATGATCCCGGTGACCCCGACCCCGTCGATGCCGGGCCCGGCTCAAGAGCTGAGTCGCCCCCAATCACAGAGGATCCGTCCGAATTCGAGTGGCGCAATCTTAAGAAGCTGGTTGTGCTTGTTCTCTCGTCTTTGGTGTGGAAGTGCCCAGAGGTACAAGACCAGATCCGGCGCTACGGGGGTGTGGAGACTATCCTGTCCTGCACCAACTTCGACGCTCACAACCCCTACATTAAGGAGCATGCTGTCATGTGTCTGAAATTCTTGCTGGAGGGTAACCGCGAGAACCAGAAGATGGTGGAGGAGTTGGAGGCGCGAGAGGTGGTCAAGGATGACAATGGGGTCCTAGAGAGAAGCGGCCTGGAAGCTATCATTGACAAGGCGGGCAAGCTAGCCCTCCGCCCCAAGGAGGAGCTGTGACCGGGCCCGGCCCTCGTGGCCGTGAGTGTAAATTGTAAAATGTACATAAACTAGAAGATCAGGAACTAAAACCTGATGAATGAAACGTCTTCTATGCAATCACTACCTGCACAACACCAGTTCCACACAAACCCCCATGAATATAACTGACAAACACCCACTCACATATACAAATAAGCGTCCCGGGGGAGAACCCCCGGACCCCCCTTTCTTTCAGCTTCCCAAGCACCTCAATCCTTAGACAAGATATAAACATCCTGGGGGAGAACTCCCGGGACCCCCCTTCCCTTCAGCTTCCTGGCCCCCTCAACCCTTAGAAAAGATAAGCGTCGGTGAGAACCCCGGACCCTTCTTCCCAACTCCCCATCCAACCACCTACCCGTATGCGACCAACAACAAGAACTAACCATACATCCCATCCCACTCCTCTTCCTCCTCATCATCAACAACAGGCTTCCGTCTCGCCTCCTCCTTCTCTCTCTCCTGCTTCGCAAAATCCGTCCGATCCAACGGACAAGTTCCCCGCAGCCTCAGCCACGGCCGCACGCACTCCAAATCAAACAAATGCGTCGAATGACACGGCAGCCGCACAACAAGCGGGTACGGGTCCTCCAGGAACGGGTTATTGCAGATCGGGCAGACCTGCGAGCTGTTTAGCGCCGACTTCGGCACCCGGTCCAGCACTGCACAAACAGGCACATTAGCATTGATCCTCAATCCCCAATTCAGCCCCCTTTCACCCCCGGACCAAACATAACGAAGCGATAGGGAGACAAACAATCACAAAACCCCTCACTAACCCCCTCCACCTCCTTAGGCGGCACCTCCGCCGACCGCAACAACGACTGAATCATCTCCGTCAGCAGCTCGTTCCCGTTCCCGTCGGTGGCGGCCGTGTCCTCGGGCCCGAAACTCGGGATCCCCCCTGCCGCCGCCGCCGCGATACCACCACCCCCGCCCCCCTCGCGCCGCATCACGTTCAGCGCTTCGGCCAGCGTGTAGAAGGCTGCGCTTATGTCGCGGGGCACTGGGACGGCGTGCGGACGGTGCCGGTGGTTGTTTGTGCTGGCTTCATCGGGGCTGATTTCCGAGAGGGTTGCGAAGAAGGTCGAGAGGTCGGGGCGGCGGGGGCGCTGGGTTGTTGTGTTGTTGTTTGAGGGGTTGGAGGGGTTGGTGGAGGGGTCCGTTGTGTTGTGTTCCACTTTCTTTGAGTTAGTATAGGTAGATTGGATGAGGAGAGGGGGCTTGGCTTGGGCTGGGGATGTACCTTCGTAGGTGGACATTGTGGTTGAGTTTGTAGCTTGGAAGCTGTAGGTAGTTGGATAGTCTGAGGAGGGGTTGCGCGGGGTTGGGGTTAGATGTCTATGTTGTTTTCCAGGAATAGATTGGAGGGAATTCCCGCTGGGATCGAGATAAAATGCAAATGAACCCAGAGGTGAATACAAGAAGAGTGGGTGAGGTTGTGCGGAGCACCGAAAAAGAGCTCGATATATGACGGCGGGCGGAGAATGCGGAGGCAGCAGCCGATAACGCGTTGCCCGCTCGGCGGCGGAGAATCCGATCGGGCTGAATAATTACTACTTTTCTTAACTGATTATCCGAGGCACCGTTTAGACAAAGTAATTCAGGTGCGATTATTCGATTGATGATAGCATGATAATCAAAAATTGAAATCTTCATATACTACGTTCTTACCAGCGAGCCAGTCTAATACCGAGCTTTTCAAGGCCACACTGCCACAGAAATACCATGTATCGGCCAACGACAGATCCAAATCTCCTGCCTCGATTCTGCGTCGCGAAACTTGTGCTCCAGATGACAGCACAGTCTCATATTGACGCCGGGTAGACTCGTCCCGTGGATCCGAACCGGTAAGAAATAGAGACGTCGACTTGGGCAACGCCGGAAACCGCTTGAACGTATCCCACACTAGACCCACGTCGCTCATAGCTATAGACCACAGGAGCCGCAACCGACTAACATCAAGACCAGGGAGCTGCGCAAGCAGTGGTGTGATTCCGATACCCCCTGCTATAAATGGCAGGAACTCGTTTGCCGTCGGTTTGATCTGAAATTCTCCCCCAATTCCCTTGAGGGGCACCTCGAGACCGGCTCGTTCATTGACACCCCAAAGATAGCGAGTGACATTGCCGTGCTTCCTAGCCGTTATCTCAAACTCCGATGCAGAGATCCCATCGCCTGGGAAAGAAGATATGGTGAAAGTTCGAACATAGTCATCATTGAGGCTGGTCGGATCATCATCTTGCATGTGGCTGTAACCGAGATTTAATTCCTCCCAGAATGAGAACGTAGCATATTGCCCAGGAATCCACTTTCCAAGCTTGGCTGGATCGGAGACGCGAAAACGAAACCGCGAGATTGCTGGACTAAGACTTTCTTTCCGAATAAGAGTTGCTGTGATAGAACTATCATCGTTCAAGCCAGCGGCGTTGACCTTTTCTGTTGCCAGATACCGCACTGGCGGATTGTACGGAGACGGCTCCCCGGCTATACCGCGGAAGGAGAGGGACTTTTCCACATATCTAGCTGCTGTGACGGTCACCACGACCGCTAGGTTGGAGCGCGGAAGCACCCGTGCAGCATCTGCGCCCACCAGGATCCGCGTGCGACCAGTAACATATAAAGCATTCCCTGTCTCGAAATCTGGGAAGACGTATCCCGCAAGGGGATTCGTCTGAAGATTGCCTAAAGTCTGGTATAGTCGATTTCCTGAGTACTCTGGATAAACGAAGACAGCCCCATTTGGCTCGTTAGAGATCAGTCGCACAAATCCTGGGGGACCACCACGAATGTTTGTGTCCATATCGATCGTACCGTGGGCCGAGGAAATAAATAAGCAATCGGCACGATCCAGGAAGTCAACAGCCATTGGCGGGAATTGAGGCGCATTCGATACCAGCTTCGGACTTGGCAAAGCAGGGATAATCTGCTTCTTATTGATATACTTCGGGCAGTTTCCTGAGTCGTCAGTCAGATCACACTGTAATGCTGGGGTTTGTACTCACCGAGACTTGCATCAATGTGCAACGTCAGGTGGGCGATTCCGGCCTGGCCTGAGCCTGATGCTGCGTGGCGGGGTTCATCTGTAGAGTCAAGGGACCCCGCAATCGCCTTGCCGTGAAGCTTCACCCTGTTGCGATTCTCCAGATCAAGGACTAGCCCAGATATCAGTTTTCCTCCAGATGTCCCCAGTAGATTTTCGGAGAGGGGATCAAAGCTCCTGTCCACAGGTGTAGTCAGTTCGACGGTGGTCTGTGAGGTAGGTCTGGCGAAGCCTTTCTCGCCGCCCCAGATGCTCGTCCATGGCCGTCCTTCCGAATCGATCGTTCCGATGGCCAGCAGGGGAGCGGTTCGCAATAGGTAACCGGCCTTATAGCTCAGGGAGGGAACTGTGGGGTTGACTTGGGGTGGGATCTGAAGTAGATTTTGCATCTTCTGCTCGCCCTCATGCCAGGGGAGGGAACCTGCAAGTATGGAGGTCATGTTGGGCTGATAGTTTGGTAACTGATATTAGACTGCCAACATGAAATCAAGAACAACAAAGACATCACAGCTTGAATGACACCAATATAGAATGTCGAAGGCGCGAGAGCATAGTATTAATCAGCAAGGATGGTGTCAGTGACCGCAAGGAACCATGCAGCGACAATGGCAATGGATCAATAATATGATACGAGGGCCCTTCTAGAACTGCATGAGGTAAGCGAGGCACGTGCTTGCTATGCTGAGGTGAACAGTCACTCATAAACTAACTGTCAGTCTCCACATCAACGCGGCGCAGTTCGTCATCTTCTCTTTTTGTCCCGCTGCTTTCTTTAGCAACAGCCGTGGTGTGGAGCCTGTGATCGACCCAGCGAGGCGTTGCACTGCGCATCCAGCGCTTGTTTCAATCTCCCTCCCTCTCCTCTCGCTCCTGTTTCTTTCATGTCTCACTGCCTGCCTGCTTTCGTTTTCCCACTGCTGTTGAATTGACATGACCTGAATTTACTCTACTTTCCCCCTCTTGCAGGCTCAAGAGTGTTATCCTTTTGCTTGTTGCTGTCAGCGGGTTGTCGTCAGCTCGTTATCAATCAATAAACAATTACAATTGATAAGTGCACGCCTACTGCGGCCTCAACACAATCGATACCACCCATCATGCGCACCACAGCATCAGTCAAGCCCTCGCACTACCCAGCGATCCCCTTTCACCTCATTCGCGCGACGGGCCTCATCTCGACCTTCATCGTAGGCATCATCCTCGCCGTGTTCATCACCAATCTCCACAGCCATGGGTACAAACTGCCCTGGGCCTTCCTGGTCGTAAGTGCTAATATCGCCTCGCCTACCCCAGATCCGCCTGCCCACGCCCACCCACCCAGACACACAGACCACATTACTGACTTGATGTCCCGAACAAAGCTCCTAATCGCTACTGTCCTCACGCTCCTGAACTACATCCTCACAACCCTAACGCACTGCTTCTACGGTCTCTCGCCGCGCCTCTCCCTAACAACTAACACGACCACCCTCCTCCTCTGGCTCATCGCCCTCGGCCTCCTAAGCTACAGCCTGTCGCACACGATCCTGACCAGCTGCACGACAACCTACTGGGGCACGTCGACGGGGATCAACGTCTGCCGGATTTACAAGGCGCTGTTCGCCTTCACGATCCTAGCGACAGCCGCGCACATCGCCGCCGTGACCCTGGACGTGATCGTCCACAAGCGCCAGACTCGACTGGGCGAATACGACCCCATGGCCAGCAACGCCGCTCTCAACGACTACAAGATGCACAACCGCGGCAGCAGCGCCATGTCCGGCGGCATGGGGCCCTACCACCCGGACGACATGTACGCGCAGCAGCAGCATCCCCCGCAGCAAGCTCCGTACGGCTACCCCGCCAGACACGAAGCCTATCACGACGCGCCGGGGAATATGTCGGGCGGGTACATGGCGCCGCCCCCGTCATACGGCGGGCTGGGCAACCACGCCACTGCGACGGCGGCGGATGAGGATTACCATGCGCACGGGATGGGACCGTACGGCGACGACGCCCCCGCGGAGGGCGATCTCGGGGCCCAACACCAGGTGCCTCGGGTGAGGTACAGCGCGTATGGAGCGTCGGCGGCCGGGTATACCCGTCCTGCGGAGCAGACGGGGTATGATGCCGGGGCGTATCGGTAGACCACTTCACTGTGCTCATGAACAAACGGTTGTTTGCTTTCCATGTAACCTCGGGGCTGCGCTGTTGTTCTCCTGGAAGTGCGCACATGCTTGCTCGACCACAGAATTACTCGCGCATTTTGTTAGCGCCATACACTTCCAGTCTATGGATCTCATGTGTTACGACCTTACAATGTACAAGATTATCTATCTGAATCGATCATATACTATTTCTACCTACCTAGCCCTGTACCGGACGTATGCTATGAATGAACCGGTAAAAGTGGGGTTGATGTTGCAGGCGAGCATTTGTTAAGGTACCCTTCCAGCTCCATTATCTACGCCCATAGACCTCTTACCCACATACAGTGCCTATCTACGCCGGAACGAGCCTGGCATCACACGACACAGATCCAAATGTAAACCGTATTAAGATATTAAATTGTAATTTTTTTTGTCTCGCGAGCACATGATACATACGCATATTCCCCCGCTCTAAGCATAACAAGCAGCTCTAAACATGCTGAAGCGAGGTTTCGATTTCGCAATCGAAGATAGTGGAGGAAAAGGGTAAAAGAAAGCTGATTAATGAAAAGTGACCAAGAAGGACATGTTCTGTGACAGCGAAAGCGAAGGGCCCATGAAAATCATATGAAGAGATATCTGTTTTACATCCCAAGCTTCATCCCTCTACATGATAACTTCGTTGGCAACGTCCTGTGCAGTCCAGTTAGTTTGTGGCTCTGTGAATTGAACGGAGGGACAAAGGGGACGGCAGTAACGTACGCGCTTCAATTCCTTGTAGGGCAAACAGACGCAGTTTTGGACGCGCACTTCGTCGCCCACGGCGCACTCCTTGCCCAGGATGGTGATGCTCTGCACCTTGACGCCGTGCTTGATGATGCTCGTCGAATGGCTGGTCATCGGCACGGGGGTACCTTCCACGCGGGCCCAGGCGCCGACCCGGCCGCTCCAGCCGATGATCGAATGCAGCACGCAGGCGTCGTGCTTGATCTCGGCGTCTTCCAGCACGATGGAGTCCTTGATGCGGGCGCCGGCGCCCACGACGACACGCGGTCCGATCGAGACGTTGGGGCCGAGCTTGGCGGTCGGGTCCACGGTGGCGGAGGGGTGGATGTAGACGGGGGGCACGATGGAGGCAGAGGGGGAAGCGAGTTCTTCAGACTGGGCCTGGAAGGCCTTCTGGAGGTACAGGGCGTTCGCGGGCACCGCGGAGCCGGCCGTCTTGATCTGGCGCCAGAAGTCCTTGGTCTCGTGGACGAAGAAGCGGTTGCTGTCGGCCAGATCGGACAGGATGTCTTGTTCGAGGCGGAGCACCTCGGTCTTCTCCGCATCATCCTCGGCGGCGACAAACGAGGATTCCAGGTTCTCCGACGAAGGGTATGAGAGCAGACGGGGGCGGGTGGTGCGACGCTTAATGGCGCTGCGGATCGAGGGGAAAATGCATTCCGTGGCGAAAAGATAGACACCGCAGTTGATGAGGTTGGAGATGTGCGACTCGGGCTTCTCGACGTAGTGCAGCACACGCTTGGTGTGCGAATCCGACACGATGCAACCAAAGTTGGTGGCAGCATCGTTGCTGACCCGAGTTCCGAGAATCACGGCCTCCGCATCCTTCTCTTCAAACAGCTTAAGCATCTCGCCGAGCGGGAACGAGCAGCAGACATCGGCGTTCAACACGAAGAAGCGCTCGGGTTTTCCCTTGAGAATAGCATCGCGGAAGTGGTAGAGACCACCGGCTGTTCCCAGAGCCGTGTATTCGCGCAGGTATTGAATCTTGAACTGAGGGAACTCCTTGGCGGAGTCCTTGATGAAATCACGGAACACCGTTTCGTCATAGTAACCAACCAGAATGACCTCTCGAATATCAGGGATTTTGGCAAGGGCCTTCAGGCAGTGGTGAATGATGGGATGGCCAGCGACTTCGAATAGGGGCTGTATTGGAGAACATAAGGTGAGCAACTCTGTAGGCTGGCGCCGAGATTGGAATCCGAAAGCGGAGAGGGATTGGAGCAGACGAGACGCAAGGATGAGGGGCAGCGACGGACCTTAGGCACATCGAGAGACAGAGGTCTGAAACGAGTTCCTCTGGATGGGCCACCGACCTGGAGTTGAGTCGTTGAGTCAGCAATGGATTGATGAAAGGAGAGAGTAACGAATGCCGCCTACCAAGATCACGGCCTTGGTGGAGGCCACGTTGGAGTGCTCCCGGACAGGTACTTGAAGCATTGAGGCGATGGAGAGAGGGCAAAGTGAGAAGGCGGAGAAGGAGGAATTCACAGGCGCGATCACGATGAAGCTGAAGTAGGAAGTTTTAAGCCAGCAACTTAAGGAGGGGCGATGGAGACTCGACTAGTTCGTTAGTTCGTCTAACGACAAAGAAGAGGAGACGGCGAAGTACTAAGTAAGTGACTAACAGAGTACCTTAAGCCGGACTGCTCTTAGCGCCGCGGGGGAGAGAGGGAGCCTGGATGGAGTCGGGTTCGGGCCACGATCCACGGTTGGCGCGAGGGGAAGGAAGTCCGTTTCACCGCTTTCGGCCAGGCTGCCTCAGGTTGCCATTCTACCTACATGCGGATTGACGTTCTTGGCGAGATCTACATTCTCCCGATAGATGAATGGATATTTGAGATCTACGTGTATTCTCGCGTGCAAGTGCCTGACATACGGATCTGTCTGCATTCGAATCTACTTGAAAAAATCGAAAGCACTGCTAAGATAGCGGTGGATACAAGCAATAAGCGCCGGTAACAGACAAACGATAAGTAGCATTGACATACAAGCAATGAGTGACCATAACTGCTGGATTGAAAAAGGGCTGCTAAGGTATTAGTAACTGCAAGCAATGAACTCCCATGGCGGACTCACAAAGAGTGACCATGACGGCTGGATTGGAAAGATAAGGACTGTTATGGTAGACAAGCAATAAGCGGCGACGGCAGACAAGAAAACAGTGACTAACAGCGCCGAGTCATGAATTCATTTGCGATCAAAAGAACCTTACTGTCCCTATAATCAATTTCCACTTTGTATAAGAGTATTCTATGTCATATTCTTCCTTGGGTGTTTGGGTCTGACGAAGGCCTTTGCTCGATTCTTGGTCACTCGGAAAGTTATACCAACCAGCCATCGCCGGAGATCCTCAGCATTGATGTCAAGCTTTCTTGTCACATCAAGGTCTGGAAAGCTTTTGTAGAGTTCTGACGGAGTCAAATCTCAGCGTAGACCCAGCATAGATGGGGGGCAAGGAATCTAGTTCGGGCCCCGGAAATAGGCGCCGTTGGTCATGGTCAATGTTAGCTACAATCACAGGGTCACTGTTGCTGTTTAGAATGGCCTACAGCACGGCGACCTCGCTTCCACATCTCGAGATAAACTGTCAAAGCAAAGACCCAATCTTCCGTTTGTACATGCTCATGAAACTCTTTCAAATTGAAAGACTTACTTTACTGTCAAAGGATTCGCAGTTGGTAAACGGGGGCTAAAGTATTCTGCATGCTGGGCTCGTCCGCAAGTGTTGCCAAAAGACATAAGAAGCTGCTGCATACAGGCTTTGTATGCTTTGTCTTGTCTCCGAGCAGTGCGAGGTGCCAGATCCTCCTCGATATCGAGTATAATCACAAATTGTATTTCCGGAAGGGTTTCGAGTCATTGTCTCACAGGGAGTATGTACATGCAATGGGCAGCGACAGAGAAAAAGCCGTGACCAAGACCTCTTTCATGCGCGAGTGCCTAGCAACTAGAGACGTTTCTAGTTGCTGGCCAAACTCATTCGAACTAGGCGCCTCAGGCGCTGATAGAACTTTTGGCATTAATTAGCGAACGTCTCCGGCAAGAACGAGCGCTCGAAGTTTCTTGAGAACGCGCACTTCCTCAATGGAATCATGCTGTTTGCCTCCAGTTCCTTGGGGGTCTTCATCGCGGATCAGTATGACGAACTCTGATAGTGCCCCAAAGTTCTGTGCGCGGAAAGTAGCAGCCATGTCATTATCAGTAGAGACCAGGATTGTGGTCTCCGGACCACAACTGTGGTGGCCTACATCAAGGGATGGATTAAAAGTGAAGAAGAAGTTTCGCCTAGCCAAGCTAAAGCTTGTGACGCCGTCGAGGGTATAGTAGCCACGATATGTGATGAAAAAAGGCTGACCGGCGTGCCAGACCCACATGGTGGGACTGTGTGGTACCCATTTGGCACGAACGTTGCCCTGTTTCGTAAAATCAAAGGGCCATTTAACCCCTCGCTTCGCACTGCTTGTGAGTGCTATGGCCATAAATACCCAGTAGTCACTGAGGCGGACATTCCCGCCAGATGTAGCCTTTCGAAATATTGATCTGATCTTGTAAAGGGCAATTTCCCTCCGAAAGTTTGGTCTTCTGTTCCCGGAGATCCATGAAAGCGTTACCTAAAAATCTACCATGCTTAGGATTCAAGTTAGTTTCATTGAGCCAAAGAATGACACGGTAGCCAGAATTCAGCTTACGTTCAAATAGCCTAAATAGTTCAAGGTAGATCCACGAGAGGCTCCTCTTCCACGGTCGAGCATGATACATGGCGTTGAGTCACCCCAAACGCCTTGATGTTACATATCTCTCGGTAGATCCAGGACCTTGGGAGTTGAAATCGATAGAAGTGGTGAGTGATCATATAGGTGCTACCAACCAGTCAACACATCTCTGATGACTCTGATGGAGGCGACTGAAAGCATTTTGACTTACCAGGCTGCCTGCGTAGAATGTAAGATGGAGGAAAGAAAGGGTTAAGATGTCTTGCACCGATCTCGTTTGGATATGGGTTGAGGAAGTCTCAAGTGGTGTGGTGGATGAGTTTTGGAAGTAGAGAGGAAGAAGGATGTCTTACGTGGGTGGGGAACAAACAAAGATCAGGGAGAGTTGTAAATAGTTTGACGTGACACAATCCTTCACAAAGGGGGCGCTTTAGTACTACTATTGAATTCTCCTTGACATAAAAATTGTGGTTAATACATTTCTTGAGAAAGAGAAGCACTGGAAATTCTTAACGTGACACCGTTTTCGAAAAGGCTACTTGGTTGCTTCCATTGGCAGCCGCTGACACTAAGAATGCAAAGTGTGATCTTGTAAGTTGATCTATCAACTTCACAGCCAGCTGTATCTTTTCCACAGAAACTGGCGGCATGCAATACAATATTCTGTCCTCGCACTTTAGTGAAATCACAGAGTATAGCTATTTGCTCTGTTCGCTCAATCCCTCTCTCTGATATTCCTTAGGTATAAATCCCCCTATCTCTGTATCTTACATCAAACACTCTTCGTCCTGCAAATGTAGTAACACTCTGCGGAGCCATAATTTTTTCTTTTCCTCTCTTTTCCAATTTCTCCTTCCCATCACTATCTGACCGGAGGCTGACTGTAAAACATCCCTCTCCATCATAAAAAACCACAGTCCTCGCTCTACTTCACATCTTCTCCCTCGCTCCTCAACAAAGCTTCCAAGTCTTCTTCTAGCTCAGTCTTCTTATTGAACTATCTCCATGTCAGTACTACCTGTACGCCACTCACCTCACGTGGATACATCTGAACCGTTTTCTCGTGAGTACTTGCTCCTATTCATGAAGAGCTTCGCCTTTGACTCACGTTATGAAGCCTTGGTACGAGGAACACCTCTCGAAATGTCCGGTCTGCCTACCCTGAAGAACGATTCGATCAACATCATCACCCGAGACATGAAGACTCTGGTGAAGAAAATCCAGGATTTGAGGCACATTGGTATTGAAGATGCTAGCAGCAAGATCGCTCTCCCCAGAATCTGCGTCATCGGCGACCAGAGTGCGGGCAAGAGCTCCCTTATCGAGGGCATGAGTGAGATCAAGGTCCCTCGGGCGGCAGGGACCTGCACTCGATGTCCGATGGAGATCAACCTCAGCGAAAGCGATCCAGGCCAACCTTGGACGTGTCGTGTTTACTTGTCGAGGAAATACATGTATGATTGGAATCACCGGGTTGACAAAGTCACGAAGAAATCACATCCCTTCGGTCCCTGGCATGAGCAAAATCAAGAGGATGAGCTTTTCATCACCCTGAGTAACAGAGATGATGTCGAGTTGGCCATCAAATGGGCGCAACTAGCTATCTTGAACCCCGGGAGACCGTCCAGCGAGTATGTTCCTGGGCAGAATGTTGAAACCGATGAAGACTACTGTCAGGTCAAGTTCTCCCCGAACGTAGTGCGTCTTGACATCTCTGCTCCCGCGTTCCCGAATCTTTCCTTCTACGATCTTCCTGGCGTCATCAGCCAGGCTGAACATGAGAAGGACAAGTATCTGGTTACCATGGTTGAGAACCTTGTCAAAGATTACATTACTCAGGAGAACTGCATTGTGTTATTGACCTTGCCTATGACCAATGATGCGACCAACTCTGCCGCTGCTCGCCTCATGAGAGAGGTAAAGGGGGCGAAAGCAAGAACCCTGGGAGTTCTCACAAAGCCCGACCGCATCCAAACCGGAGAATCCTACAAACAATGGGTTGAGATTCTGGATGGAGACAAATTCAAGCTTGGCCATGGATACTACGTTATCCGCAACAACCCAGACCCCTCAATAAAGCATACTCAGGCTCGCCTAGAAGAAGACGCATTCTTTGCTTCACAGCCATGGGCAACGGATGACCTGTCGGTATACCAAGAGAAGTTCGGCACCCGAAAGCTGCAGACAGCGCTGTCGAGCCTCTTACTGGACCAGATTCAAAAGTGTCTTCCCAAGGTGATGGAACAGATTGAAGCCAAGTCCCGAAGTATTGATTCCGAGCTCCAAACCTTGCCGGATCCTCCTTCAGCAAGCAGTCCGTTTATTTTGTGTCAAATGCTGAACCAATTCAAGGAGTCCGTTCAAGCGCATATAGACGGCGGCTCTGAAAACTACCCGTTATTGAGGTTGTGGATTCATCTAGCATCCGATTTCAGAGAGATCTTGTCAAAAACTCGGCCTACCGTCAACGTGCTATCTAAGGATGAGCAGGAGGCAAAAGAACGGAGCATTCAAGAGAATGCTGACTCAGATATCGAAGTGACTATGGTGACACCACAGAAGCGCAAGGCCTCCAGTCATCGTGGTACCCCAGTCCCCAAGAGGAAGACCACGCCGGAACAGGGCAGAATTCAAGCATTTGCGAAACACCTCCTGGATGTTAAGAAGTTTACCTGGGACGAGATTCGTGCGTGCAACGAAACTGCATCACGGGGTTGTCTTCCAGATCAAATTGACCCAAAGGCGATTGAGATACTGAATCAGCGGAGCCTGGAACATTGGAAGGCCCCTATGCTGGCGTTTCTAGAAAAAACCCATGACCTTGTAAAGAGCCAGCTCTTTGAGCAAGTGGACCTGGTATTCGCGCAGTATCAGCGAACTGCTCTCTATCGCGAGATTCGGCGAATCTTGGAGCAATACCTACAGAAGCTTCAGCAGGACCATACTAGCTGGGCAGAAGAGGTTTACGATATGGAATACACCAAGCCTTTTACAATGGATCGAGTCACACTAGATCAAGCCACGAAGAATGCGTTCGATATTCTGATGGCCGCCCGCAACAAGGGTCGGCTTGAGCTATATCAGGAGATCAACAAGCACGTTAAGGGAGAGCAGAACGAATGTAAGAACATCAGCCAGAAAACGGCGGACATAGCGGCGATGCTCGGCCCGGATAATTTCCTCCAAGAAGTGAAAATGATGGCGGTATGGTTGAACCTTGCCTCGAGATTCGTGTCCGCATGACTGACTGGCTGACTGACCGTGCTCTTCTAGGCCACGCGAGGCTACTACGATATTGCCAATTCTCGATTCGTCGACACCATTTGTCAAAGTGTACACACTAAGCTCTTTGCTAAGTGCCGTAACCAGTTGATCAACGAGATTCAACAAGAGCTGCATATCGATGACTATGACAGTAAGTGATGAGTCCTAGTTGAGACCAAGCTGCTGCTAACAAAGACTTCAATGTCTAGTGGCCGAAAGATGCTGCGAACTCATGGCGGAAGATCCAGAGCGCCAACGTCGCCGACTAGATCTGCAACGCGAGAAAGAGAAAATCGCCAAGGCGCAGACATGGTTGTCGGAAGCCAAGAAGGAAGCGGAGGTCGAAGACGTCTACGATGATATGACGGTCAAATCGCAGCCCCAGGATGATTGGAACCTTTTTGGCCCGACGATGGATATGTCTGTGTAAGGGGTCATACGCAGTACACATGGGTTGGGCGGTTGATTGAGGTTGAGGGCAACTTGGTTAGGAAGAGTGGAATAATGGAGGTTGGAAGGCGGGGTAGGTCAATTCCCTCCAGCCTCGAAGCAGAGGGCGATTGATTCAAACCCCAGCCGTCTGCCCTAAGCCCTAAGCCCTTGCAGTGATAAGATTGATAGCATTGGAAGGGTGCAGTGCTCCGAATTGCAAGTTGTCATGTCAAGTGATTAGAGTGCCAAGTAAGGGGTGATACTTTTTTGATTCTGTGGCCTTCAAATCTCACATGCTCTTCTGCAGAGACCGCAGTGAAATTGGCCTGAGGCTGCAATAGACCTTTGAAGTTGAGTCATTGAGCTGAGGGGCGGGCGTGGGGAGCTGCCCCTCCCTACCCAATCACCGTCGCCCGCATTCTCTCCCGCCCAAAATTCTCTCTCTCTCCGACTTCAAACCCACCAAACCCGCTCCGTATCATCGGCTTGTCTTCTTTCTTCTCTTCCCTTCTTCCCAACGTCCTTCATTTGTCATAGGGGAGTTTGAGTCCTTTTTCCGGTACTGCAATCCTCACTAAGTCACCATGGCCGACAACACCGCCGTGCAACAGGCCGAGGCTTCCTTGGCCAACCTCATCCTCGACGAGGTCACTGGAGAGAAGGTGTCCAAGTCCGAACTCAAGAGACGCCAGAAGCAGCGTGAGAAGGAAGCCAAGAAGAAGGAGCGTGAAGCCGCCGCTCCCCCCAAGCCTGCGAAGAAGACCTCCGCCGAAGACGACGAGGCCAACTTGACCCCCAACGTGAGTTGTACCCCGCCATCGCCGGGCTGCGTCGTCGCGCAATAATTGTTAACCACATTCGATTCTAGCAATACTTTGAGATCCGCAGCAACAGAATCAACAAGCTCCGCGAGTCCAAGCAGCCCGATCCCTATCCCCACAAGTTCCAGGTTACCGATGATCTCCGCAAGTACCTGAAGGAATACGAGGGTCTCGCCAAGGGCGAGCAGAAGCCCGATGTCACCGTCCGCGTCGCCGGTCGTATCTTCACCAAGCGCGCATCCGGTTCCAAGCTGATCTTCTACGATATCCGCGCTGAGGGTGTCAAGGTGCAGGTTGTCTGCCAGGCTCAGAACGTTGCCGGCGACGTTTCCTTCGAGGCCCAGCACGAGCATCTCCGCCGTGGTGACATTGTCGGTATTGTCGGTTTCCCCGGTCGCAGTAACCCCAAGAACCGTGACGATGGTGAACTGTCGATCTTCGCCTCTGAGGTCGTTCTCCTCGCCCCCTGCTTGCACGCCATCCCCTCCGAGCACTTCGGTCTGCAGGACAAGGAGCAGCGCTACCGCCAGCGTTACCTGGATCTCATCATGAACGATCGGTCCCGCAATGTCTTCCTCACCCGCGCCAAGATCGTCTCCTACATTCGCAACTACTTCGACAGCCGCGACTTCGTCGAGGTCGAGACCCCTATGATGAACGCCATCGCCGGTGGTGCCACCGCCAAGCCTTTCATCACCCACCACAACGACCTGGACATGAACCTGTTCATGCGTGTCGCCCCCGAACTGTACCTGAAGATGCTCATCGTCGGTGGTTTGGAGCGTGTCTACGAGTTGGGCCGTCAGTTCCGTAACGAGGGTATCGATTTGACCCACAACCCCGAATTCACCACCTGCGAGTTCTACTGGGCCTACGCCGATGTTTACGATGTCATGACCTTGACCGAAGAGCTCGTCTCCGGCTTGGTCAAGCACGTCACTGGAGGCTACGAGACCACTTTCCACACTCAGTCTGGTGAGGTCTACAACGTCAACTGGAAGGCTCCTTGGCGTCGGGTGGAGATGATCCCCGCTCTGGAGGAGGCCACCGGCGAGAAGTTCCCCCCTGGTGACCAGCTCCACACCGCCGAGACCAACGAGTTCCTGAAGCGCGTTCTCAAGAAGACCGGTGTTGAGTGCTCTCCCCCCATGACCAACGCCCGTATGCTCGACAAGTTGGTCGGTGAATTCATTGAGGAGACCTGCGTCAACCCCACTTTCATCACTGGCCACCCCCAGATGATGTCCCCTCTGGCTAAGTACCACCGCCAGAACGTCGGTCTGTGTGAGCGTTTCGAGGCTTTCGTCTGCAAGAAGGAGATTGTCAACGCCTACACGGAGTTGAACGACCCCTTCGATCAGCGTCTCCGCTTCGAGGAGCAGGCCCGTCAGAAGGACCAGGGTGACGACGAGGCCCAGCTCATCGACGAGAACTTCTGTACCAGCTTGGAGTACGGTCTGCCTCCTACCGGTGGCTGGGGTATGGGTATTGACCGCTTGGTCATGTTCTTGACGGACAACTACAGCATCAAGGAGGTGCTGGCCTTCCCCTTCATGAAGGACGACAAGACGGCTTCTGAGACCAAGACTGCCGCCGAGGTTGTTGGCATTGAGCCTCAGCCCGAGGAGGGAATTCGTAAGTTATCTCCACTTCTATTATGAGACTACGATGCTAATAACTTGTTTAGCCCACAAATAAATGCACTTTGATGAATGATTTCGGACGATAGTATAGTTGATGATGACTTGTTGCATGGGTTTCTGGGATGTCAAGAAGAATTCAAAAGATTACAAATCAAGACAGATTATAATAGGTCTTCAGTCTTCTGCAAAAGTAGATGAATATGAAATGCATGGTTTTCGGTTTCTAAGGCTAAGAGCTATGATAGCAATGCTTATCCTGTCTAAAGTAGTCAAGCGCTTTTTTTAACTGGTTACCTATGGGAACATACAGTTGTATCTAGCGCGAGGTTGGAACCATGTGCCGGGGCAACAGAGCCCCAGGCAGCAATGCCTGATCTAGGTTTCTGCCTACTACTTTTTTAAATCAACCTCAATGGATTGGCGCTTTTATACTCAGTCCTTTTGTCTTCAATGCTGTCCAACTTCACCAAATGCATCCTGCTTAGCCTAAACAATGAACGTCGCAAACCTCGGTCCCTCGGTCATCTCAACACCTCCATCCCAGCTCTTATTATCTTCCTCTCTTCCGACGATACCTTCAGAAGCAGCTGCATCCTACTCACTACCTAAGCATGACCCTCCTCAAGCCGCTATGAACGACCCTTACCCAAAACAACCTTTCTTCGTCCTCCCTGTTTCCGCAATTCTCAAGTCCTCCACACACATGGACCTCGTCGAGTCCAGGGACACCGAGTACTACGCTGCCATGCAGGAGAATCTACACGGCGATGCGACCCACGTGCGATATAATCCTATCGAAGAGCGTTTGACCGAATCCCATCACGAGAAGAGCATCCCTTTGTGGGATCCAATTATGGGTGATGCTGGAAGTATATGGGGTTCTCCGGAGTTGACTGTTGAGACACTTGAGTTTCAACATGGGACGAGTGAGCGGGATTCGCGGAGGCATATTGTTGATGAGTTATTTGAAGTTACGGGGGTAGAGACACCGGATTGGTGGAGGGGGTTGTGTTGGATTCTGTGAAAGATATGATGCATTGAAGAGTGCACTATGAGGTCGGGCAGCTGTAGCCAAAGGTCGAAGAGGTGCTTCATTGTGATGATGGTTGCTGGTGTCATTATTGTTGTTGTTGCTGTAGCGCATCGCGTAGATGCCGAGGATAACATAGAACAAGATTTGTGGGCTGTGAGAATGTTCCCGGAGCAGTCACTTGTGATAAACCAATTTCTCATACTCAAGATGGAGTAAGTAAGCTTATGTATCATACTCAATATATCATCATCTCGACACTCGTGGATTGATTCCGCATTTATCTCCATACAAACATCGAAAGCAGTCCCGGATGTTTCGATTCTCCGCCTGGGGCGGGAATCGACGGCTATTTTCGTTTTCCCTCTCTCAGCTCCGCTCCGGTCCTCACACTCTCTTGCCCATGTTTTCCCCATCAAACTTGAGTCTCCATCTGGATTGACTCATGGCCCCACGGTCTGCGATCCGGCTTTGCTGCTAGACTCTCGACTCTGCTTTTGAAGAAGCCCGGTCTCTCTCTGCGATGTTATTGGTCGAGCTGGAACTCTGCCTATCATGGAAGTCAGGAGGCCGTCCGCCCGCTACGGGGACACTCCGACGCGGACCTACCAACGGACCTACAAGGCCTGTCTCTCTTGTCGCCAACGAAAGGCCAAATGCAATCTGGGGACCGACCAGGATGGCTTTCCTATAGGACCTCCGTGTGCGAAATGTCGAAGGGAACAGCGAGAGTGCATATTCAGTGAGAAGAGAGCGTGGGAAAGAAGCAATCAGCGTGGTATGCTCTTTTTCCTTTTGAGTTTTCTTTCCCCTTCCTTTTGGGCTGCTGATGTCACCGCCTCTACTGCGCGAGCTGTGGTGTTTGTTTTCTTCTGAACTGGGAAACGCGTCGTGGTTTCGAAACGGGCAGGGGCTGATTTTCGTTACCAGGTCTTTCGGAGGATACTCCCCTGCGGTCACCGAACACACGTCGCAGGCTGTCGGACCATGTCAGACAGGATCGGGAGGTACCGGACGATGTTTTGAAAGTCGGCGCAGACAGCCCGTTTGAAGATGGGAGTAGTCATGAGAATGAACGCGGAAGCTCACGCCAGACTCTCGCTTCTGAGACGATGACCCGCCGCAGTGATTTACCCCATGATGTGCTACAGGTGTTTGATGACCAGTCCGTGAACAATAGCACTACTGAAGGTAGTACTAGAAATTTACTGCAGCCCCATCCCTTTGACATTGGACGGACCCGGCGCCGGAGCGTACCAGACGATGTTCTACAAGTGTTCGATGACAGGCTAGGTGGTGAGAGTAGTAGACATGGTCGCGGCACTAAAAGATCACGCCACTCCCCGGCTTCTGATTTATATGTAAATCGGATGCGGGGTGTGCCGGAGAGTTTACCACGGGGGATATATCGGCGACTAGACGATAATAGCAGCAAGCACGACCATGGCGACGAAAGCTTCCGCCAGTCTTATAATGCGGATGCACGATCAAGTCAGCACCCTGCAACCTCGAATTTGGCGAACTCCATGATGCGCACTGTGGTCTCCAGTGGGAATGATGCTCTCAATATCCTCTTCGAGGCTGCCGTGGCCCATAGTCAGGACAATCTTGCAAATGAGTACCAGCCGCAGTCACGAACTACACAGGGTCATGTTGCGCACGACAAAGGCCTGGACAACGATCCCATAAGCCAACCGCAATTCATGTACCCTACGGAAGCTCTGGCCAAGGCGAAGCATCCAGTACAGCTTTCGACGGCATCGGAGGAAGTTCTCAAGGTTTGGGAATCCTGCCGATTCGTCAAGATGGGGTGGTTCACTTCCAGAGAAGCGGTAACTCTTATTGATCTGTTCGTATAGCTACCTTGTCCTTGTTATAAACGTATTTTGACGGGTGCAGGTTTTTTAAGAATATGGTCCCTTTATCTCCAATCTTGACCAATTTCTATGCTGATCATAGTACCCACCATCACCTGATTACTTGCGATCCTGCTTTGTGCTGCGCTATATTGATGCTGTCGTCCCGGTATCATGTGTTGCCTGGGGCTGGAGGCGAGTCCCGAAACTTTTTCATCCACCATCGTCTGTGGCAACACTGTCAACATCTTGTGATGCGACTGATGTTCGGGCAGGAAAGGTCGTCGCATGCGAAGAATCGAAGCATCGGGACAATTGAAGCACTCCTGTTGATGTCAGAATGGCACCCAAGGTCTCTTCATTTTCCACCTGAGAGTGACGGATGGGACTCTGACTTAGTGTTGGCCCCTGAACCCCAAAACCAAGATGATTCGTCATCCAATAGATGGCTTGAAGACATGGTTGAGCCTGCTAGAAGATCCGACCAGATGTCCTGGATGCTCCTGGGTTCCGCGCTGTCGCTAGCACACGAGTTGGGGATCTTTGAACTTGATGATAAGAAATGCGACTATACGTCGCTGTACGAAGGCTTCATCTCGAATGATCAGATCAAGCTGCGCAGACTCCGGGTGCAACGCCTTCTCTATGTCTACATCAATCAGCTGGCTTGGCGAATCGGATGTGTCTCCCTCATGCCACAGAGCTTGAACCATACCATTCTTGGTCGGCAAACGACTAGGGATGTGAGCCATTCGGAAGACGAATGGCTGGCTCTGATGGACTCGTGGATGGATCTTACCAAGTTAGCCAAGAACGTGACGGATATGTTCTTCCCTTCGATAACATTCGCGAGGCAACAGCTGCATAGTGGACGTTATATCAACCTGCTAGACCACTTCTGCCCTCTTTTACTGAAATGGAAGGAACAGCATCTCAGACATGACGGTACGTATACTTCTTTTCAATGTGGTACTCTTTATACTCCTTCGATACTGATAACTTGGGCATGTAGTGCTCAGCAAACACTTCTATGATATCCTCTTTATTGAATACAACTTTGTGCGGGTCTACACACACTCGGTGGGGATGCAGGCTGTCGTGGAGCGTATAGTCGCAGACAATGATTCGAACGTGGAAGAAGTCCGAGCAATGCACATTGACCCTGTCGACTACAACTATATCCAGGAAGTGATCGACGGATGTTGTCAAATTTTGCAGAAGGTCATCCAACTTGGCGACGCCGGCGCTCTGCGGTTCTCTCCCGTTCGGATCTTCTTGAGAATCACCAGCTCTTCTATCTTCTTGATGAAAGCTTTAAGCTTAGGAACTCGTCCAGCCAAATTGCGCGAATCGCTGGATATACTTGAGCGTTGTGTACAGGCACTAAAGTCGAATGCGCTCGACGATATTCACCTGAGCACTCGCTACGCCGAACTACTAGAGATGCACGTGTCGCGCCTGCGTCGCAACCTGCTTGCATCTTCCAAGTCCGTTAAGAACAGTCATGGAACCACAAATCGCAATTCAATGGGCCCTCAACAGAGCACCGAAAGCGACAATCCTACTCCCATGGTCGATGTTCCGGTGTCACAGAGTCTGGCAGATGTGAGCTTCTTTCCTCCGCTCAATGATCTAGCCGGGGATGACTGGCTTTCGCTGCCTTTTGATCCGTCCATGGCACCATTTGGGCTCAATGGTTGTGGGCAATTTCCTGCTTATGGAGGAGGTGCGTTGAACTTCATCTGGAATCTGCCGTCGTGATTTGGTATGAGCAGTGAAGGGCTGGGCCCACTAGCTATACATTACATATGTCCCCGATAAGTAGCTTGTTAATGATTAAACTTTATCATGCATGATCTTGCCTAGAATGTTGACTTTCAACTTCCGACTTCATTGATTTCGAGTATGCCGCAACATAACCATTTTTCGCCGGAAAGTATAATCGAAGCAACACAAAGTAAGGAGAAACATCATTGGAGTATATGAAATCAGACACAAATGGAAGCGTGCGTTCACATCTGCAGCCTTCTGTAAAGTAGAAAGAGAACTACATCATATCGCCAGCACAACTGGCCCTGAACTATCATCATCAGCATGGCGTCAGAAACTTAGTCCGGATGAGTCGGCCAGGCGAAGCGCTCGGTCCTCAAGGGTAAGAAAAGTATGCAAGGATACGAGAGAAAAAACTTTGATCGAATCCCTGCCAGTTGGGATGCATATTTCCTTCCATGTCTTCCCGACTCGCCACTGACGGAGTTGTTTGGACATTGTTTGGAAGGGAGTTTCCGGGCTGGTTATCGGCACGTGACTCCACTCCCCGAACCAAGTCACGTTTTCCCGGCGAAAAAAGCCAGAAACTTATTGTTGCGATCCGCCTTCGCTCTCCGTCCGCGACCCCAGAGTTTGTCCATTAAAGACTGTCTCAGCCAGCCTGTCGTGCACCACCTCGACTTGATATCACGACCCGATACTTCTTCCTGCAGCTCGCATCGCATCGCAATCGAGCTTGTTGCATTATCCCGGAACCGCCGTCTCCCTCTTCTATCTTCTTACGTCCTCGATCTTGTAGCTCGTGCAACAGCTACTCGACACTCCGCGCACGCTAGCCATTTGAGCTCTCCTCCCTCCTCCTCTTCCCTCCTTATCCAGACTTCGAAATGGATCACTCCAGAGATCCCTGCCCCTGGGTTGCCCTGAGCGACTTTGGTGGTGCTTTCTGTATGGGTGTACGTCATTGGACCCCAGAGTTAAAAATCTCCCAGCTGCATTTGCATCCGCTCTGGATCTTTAAAGCTGATCACCAATCTTGCTTCTAGGCTATCGGTGGTGCCGTCTGGCACGGTGTCAAGGGTTTCAGAAACAGCCCCTATGGAGAGCGTCGGATAGGTGCCATCACAGCCATCAAGGCTCGTGCGCCCGTTCTCGGTGGTAACTTCGGTGTTTGGGGTGGTCTCTTCTCGACCTTCGACTGTGCGATCAAGGGTATCAGAAAGAAGGAGGATCCTTACAATGCCAGTACGTTCAATCTGACTCAATGCGTCGACGATGCCCACGCGAGTCTACATTGCGGCGGATCGCGCGCCTTTTACAAGGAATGACGCATAAGCTAACGTTCACGTTTTCAGTTATCGCTGGTTTCTTCACTGGTGGTGCCCTGGCTGTCCGTGGTGGTGTCAAGGCTGCCCGTAACTCGGCTATCATGTGTGCTGTCTTCCTGGCTGTCATCGAGGGTGTCGGTATCGGTTTCCAGAGAATGATGGCCGACAACACAAAACTCGAGGTGAGATCATTTGCACCCACCCCGCCTTGTCTTTTTCTCTCGCTGGTCAGGAGAATTGGGGCAACGCGTCACTTTAGGAAGTTTTTGAGAAAGGCTAACTTATTGTGATTCTCGCCGGTTCCAGCTCCCCCCTCCTCCTCCGACTCCCGAGAAGGCCGTCGCTTAATTCTCTCCAAATCGACCCCAATCTCTTCTTTCATGTTAGTTAGGAACGTACGAATTCCCGCGTTGTCAGCAATATGCCCATCTTCCTTCATATCCTTATCGTGGTCTCTCTTCTCTGGTGTTGGGCTGGTTCATATCATTTTAGGATGCATGGTATAGAGGTTCCTTTCAGTTCCTTGCTTCGATCCTCGCCCCTCTGTCTTATGATGTCTTCTTTTCTTTATAAAGAAAGTGGGGTTTGTCGGCGATTTTGGATGACACAACCTCGCATCCTTGTGTATTTCTGTCTTCTTTTCGTGTTTACTTCTGCCGAGAGGGCAGATCCCCGTCACCCAAAAAAGAGGTCTCAGCGGAATCGGTCGGAGACTGTTCTTTTTATTTCTTGTACATTAACATGCAGATAACAGGTATAATGTGATACTTAGTACACACACGCAGTGATTCTTTGGGAATTGGTAGTGACTTGTTGTCCGTCTGATGTGTTCAGCAGGAAGAGCTTCCCGATGGGGCCAAGAGCGTTGCCGATAAGCCGCGCGACAATTCATTACTGCGGCTAAACCCGTTGTCCTTCGTCCTTCAGCGCTTCTTATCAGTGACAACAATCAAGAAAGAGGGGAGAGAACCGACTCGGAAGCTGTGTCTAGAACAATTCCCAATTCTACCAACAATTATCCCATCGTGATTCTACGACTTTTACAATCCTTCAACTTATCTTACAAAAATGCCACCACCACCACCCACCACAATCCACGACCCAAACCTCCCCGCTCTCTTCCACCCCACCCTCATCCTCCACGGCGGCGCCGGCGCCATCCACCGCGCCACCCTCCCCCCGGACCTCTACGCGCAGTACCACGCCTCCCTTCTCACCTACCTCCGCTCGACGCGCGCCCTGTTAGCGAGCGGCGCCTCAGCACTCGACGCAGCCGTCCACGCCGTCGCCCTGATGGAGGACGACCCGCTCTTCAACTGCGGCCGCGGCAGCGTCTTCACGGCCGCGGGCACCATCGAGATGGAAGCCTCGCTGATGGTCACGTCCGTTGTTGATGGGGATTCGTTCCCGGGGGTGGTCAAGCGCGGCGCGGGCGTGATGCGGTTGCGGAACGTCCAGCATCCGATTCGGTTGGCGAGGGAGGTTCTGCTTCGGGATGGGCTTGATGACCAGGGCCAGGGCCAGGGCCAAAGTGGAGGTGGAGGTGGCGGCAGCATGCACTCGCAGCTCGTCGCGCCGTATGTCGAGGACGTGCTTGCTCGACGCTGGGGTCTCGAGTTCATGCCTGATGAGTGGTTCTTCACTCAGCGCCGCTGGGATGAACATCTGCGGGGCTTGAAGGGCCTTCCTGAGGAGGTTAGCTTGAGTCAGGGGACTGTTGGGTGTGTTTGTCTTGATCGCTGGGGTGGTTTGGCTGTTGCGACTAGTACCGGTGGTTTGACTAATAAGTTGCCTGGTCGCGTGGGCGATACGCCGACGCTTGGGGCGGGGTTTTGGGCGGAGGGGTGGGAGGGGATGAGGGTTGGGGTCGAGGGTGGGATTGGGATGGGTCTTGCGAGGAAGGGGATTGAGGAGAGGGAGGGTGGGCTGTCAAAAAAGGAGATCTGGGATATGAGTTTGGGGGATTGTGTGCCTGGGTTTGTGAGGCAGGGCATGGATCGCGTGTTCGGTGCGGTGTTGGGGACGGGGACGGAGGCTTGGCTCGATAGGCGGGCATCGGAGAAGGAAGCGCTGATTGTTCGGCAGCCTACGACGGTGGTGCAGAGGCACAAAACCAGGCGTGCCGTTGCGGTGTCCGGCACCGGCAACGGCGACTCGTTCCTTCGCACTGCGGCAGCTCGCACCGCTTGCGCCATCGCGCGCTTCTCCACGCCGAGTCCCTCGTTGGCGCAGGCGGTGGCTGCCGTTGCTGGGCCCGGGGGGGAGTTGCAGCGTTCGGCTGGGGAGAGATGGGGCACGTCCGGTGAGGGTCAAGGTGGCATTATTGGTATCGAGGCTGAGTTGGAGGACGCCGTGCCGGATGATGACGGCATGGCGACGCTCAGGCGGGGCAAGGTGGTGTTTGATTTCAACTGTGGGGGCATGTGGAGGGCTTGGGTTGAGGATTTAGGCGATGGGAAGGAGGTCGAGAGGGTGATGGTGTTTAGAGATGAATATAGATAGAGGGTGACGCTAGTGGTGGTGCTGGTGCTGATGTTGGTATACTCGGCCACTATCATCATCACTCGGTCATGTCGGAGCAGCAAATAGCATTTGCGCCTACCATGGAACGGCCCTTGTTGTTAGACTCGAAGGAGAAAAGCATAGGCATTCATATAGCCTATTGAGTAGGTTATGTCGGTTTAAATCAGTCAATCAGTGAGGACGCTGTCACTTGAGACATAAGAAACCAAGAGAAAAGACATGAAACGGCGGGTGGTCAGGTTGGGTGGGGTTTATTGGCCAACTGGCAGGCACAAGTTCAATAGTAGACATAGGTAGGCTGTCTAGACAGAGCACCATGAATAGTATGTTTCCTTCCAAGTAATGTACTTCGGATGGGGCTTCTGTAGTCACTGCACGAGATAATTTTTGCTCGGAAGAAGAAGCTTGAATGTCCTAGAATACCAGCCAAGCTCGACGCATGATGCCGAATGCTGATCTGTGTACTGTACAGGGCTGTTTGCTGTCTGACATCGACTGACTGAAACCTCTTGTCGATCCCTTGTCTTTTGTCTTCTAGATCTCGGGGAATTCTCTATGACACGCAGTACATTCTAGGTACAGATACAGCTCTTCTTCCAATGTATACTTGCGTCTGCGAGAAGGCATAAGAGACAAGATGCCTCGGAACCCGACAGGTGTCGTCCGATGGGGGTGTACCCTGCAGCTCTCGGACAATGAACAAGCTTTCATCACCAAGGAATTGTTTCTGAGACTTCAGTTCAGATAAAGACTGAGCTCTGATAACCCCTCGACGCCAAAATTGAAACACGTCGTCGAAGGAGGGAGAGAAAGAGAGAGACAGAGAAAGAGACAGAGAGAGAGAATCTGTCAGGGAAGTAAAAAAACCCCCACAGACCCAAAGCTTGGCTTGGCGCTTCTTTTCCTCCATCCATCGTCACGTTCCTTTCCTTTCCTTCTCTCTCTCTCTCTCTCTCTCTCTCTTCTTCTTCTTGCTTTTCTCTTCCTCCCTCGTGTTTTCCCTTCCCCTCTTCATCTCTTTTCCCGGCTCGACCAGCTTCACCTCGCGTCTCGTCGCAGGTTTTGCTCAATTCCCTCGCATATCTCAACCCATTCGCTTCTTTCCATTCGTCCCTTCGGTTTGTGCCATGCATTAAGCTATACCCTCCCAGTGAACGAAACGCCATATCCCAATAATCTCCTCAGCGACCGCGTCTCTACACCACTGTCACCACGCACCACACCTCCATTTTTCACCACCGTCAACATCAATCAACCTCGTTAATCATGGAAGAAACCGCCTCATCGCGTCCGACGAACACCCCCGAGGGTTCCGTCGGAGCAGACGACCACAACCCGTCGAGCTCCGCGAAGAACCCTGCTCTCAAAGATCGGCAGTGCCAATACTGCCGCCAGGCTTTTACCTCCTCCTCCCTCGGCCGCCACCTCGATCAATTTATGTTCAAGAAGAAACCCGATGGCATTCACGATGTCGAGGAGATTCGACGCATCAGAAGTGAGATCACGCGACGACAAGCTCGCACCTCGTCCGGCAGACGCGACACCCCCGAACGAACCCCAGGCAAACGTCAACAAGACTTGTTCGGTGCTGGAGACTCGGGCCCAAAGCCACGCGACGGCGCGTATAGGATGATGTTCAACACCCCCACATGGCATGCGACCGGTGTCATCAACGACATCCCAAATCCGAGCCAGGCGCAGGAGAACAGCTCCGCTCATTCGCGCATTACGCCTTCGCAGTCCCGAGCCGGTTCATTCACCTTTACGGACAGGCACAGCTCGAGCAATCCGGACACAATGAGGGCGCTGGAATTGGCTTTGCGCGAGGTGCTGGATAACATCAAGGCTGCAACGTACGACCACCATCGTGACTCTCATCAGACCCTTTGCACTTTGTTGCGAGCATTCTGACTTTTCTCATCCCTCTAGCTCTCGAATGCGCCCCCGACTCTCACCTTTCGATTTTGACATTCAGTCGCAAACCTTTCCCTCCCTTTGTCTGCAGCTTCTTCCACCTCCACCCAGCCTCTTCGCGACTAACCCATTTCCATCGCCGACTTCATTTCCCCTTCAACCTCCGGGTGTTGAGCACCTCGAAATAGTCCGGCAAGCTCTATGTGCGAAGATTGAACAATGGCAATCTGACCAGCTCTCCTCCGTCGAGTCTAGCTCTCACCCACACTCCGGCCGCCCATCGACCTTCGGGCTTGACTCCAACATGATCAGCCGCAGCGCCCAACAACACGAAGACCTCAGCCTCCGCCACCTCGAACTCGCCTTCAAGCACTGGGCCACTATGTCTCAGGAGGCGCGCAAAGATTCTTGGCAACTCGAGATTACGCGCGCTTTCGCCCGCGAACTGGACAAGCGCAAATCCCTAGACGACCAACTCGCCCGCGTCCAACAGGAAGCCAACCAACTCCGCGCCCAGGTTGAACGGCTTGGTTCCTGCCAATGGCCGAGGGAATTTGCGCTCTTTCCCCCGGACACCCTACCTCTTCCGCGAGATATCGCCAGGGAATTGGATACGAAAGAAAGCCAGATTTCGCCCTCCGCATCGAGATGGGACTACGATAGTGTGGTCGCGAAATGGAAGCGAGTCGTCATGCACGATAAGGGGATGGGTCGTGTAGGGGTAGGCTACACAGGCTCCGTCCAACAGCAGCAACAGCAGGATGATGTCCGCCCAGCAGCATCTTCCCATTCGGAAACAAAACAGCAGCGCAGTACCACAACCACAACCGGCACGGGCGATGACAGATCAACAAACAGACTGCTACATCCTCCGACGGGTACCTCTGCATTGAGCCCCGACCCTTCCCCAACCAATCCCGGCCCCACCACTGAAGCAAAACCCACATCACCATACATGCAGCAGCAGCAGCAGCAGCAGCAGCAGCAGCAACAACATCACCACCTCCACCACCACCACCACCATGATTCTTTGGCACGCAGCCCTGAAACAGGTCCCCAGGCGAAACGCCCCCGTCTGATGAACGGGCATCATACGACGACAGCAGCAACAACGGCACCATCCGTCACCGGACACAATTCCTCACAAGGTCATGTCCCTGGATCTGGTTTACCTGCGCCATCGTCTTCACCGACAGCAAGTGCTGGTGTTGGTAGCACATCAAATCAACACTCGACTGGCTCCTCCAACTCGTGGGCTACCGCGCACCAATCAGCCGGTATACCCTCCAACCCCACGGGTGCGAATTCCGGTCCTTCCGCTCCGACTCTGCCTCCACCTTGCTCAGAGACGGCTTAACCGGCTGTATTAGACATCTGGCCTACCTTGTGTCAGTTTCCCAACCCATTGGCGAGAAGCCGCGACGGACTCTCAAGAAGACGAAGCTCATCCCAAGACCAAAGGAGCAAGGGGATATTTTTTATTTCATTCTCATCAGTGACCGGGTCACAACATAATCATTCATCTATCTATCTCACTCTTGAATCCAAATGTATCAGATCTCGGCGCTGGAAAACAAAATGTGGGATTAACACGGCTACATGAGTATGAGTATGAGTATGATCAAGAGGAAGAAAGCAAAACCGAAATACTCTTTGCGAAGCGTGATCGGTTAACTTGAGGATTGTCTATGTTGTGTGTTGTTGTATGTACATACGTCTTTATATATATGATCCTTGAGATTGAAAAATCCATTCACGGTCTATAGTACTTGAGCGTCCGCAATCATGCGATGAAGATTGTCCGTGGATCTTTTCAGTGATGACTAGACAATCTACGATACAGTCGAGCCTTCGCGGCCGTAGCTCGGTGCTGCTTTGATCGATACACCTCCATACCAGTCGAAGTATGCGCTTTCTCACTCCAGCAGCGCCTCACAGTCTCCTGGGTAAGGACGTCGTCGTCATTTTCTCGATGGTATTCTGCGGCCTCAAAATTATGGCAATGGGGCCAGGCCAAAACAACTCATCCAATCGGATCCCATGGGGTTCTCGTCGACTCTCCTCTTGATCAGAAGCGTCAAGGCGTCGAAATGATATCAACTTCTAGTACTCGAAGAGCGAACCTTCGTCCATAAGTAAAGATGCGGTGCCTGTATATCTAGACCTTAGCACTGCGCGGGGAATGAATGGGATGTTGGATCGGGTATCTGCGTGTGGCTGTGGGAGGAGATATATATGTGTAGACTATAAGGTAGTACTGGATCAGCTGGATAGAAACACTACATTATATGATTTTGATGACAAATAGATAGTAAGCATATTTTACAAGTGAAACACGATTGTTTAGTTGCATTGAAACCACTGAGCTCACTGATCTACTGTGTTATTATCCAGTGATGAATATGAAAGCGGTGCTAGGCACTCTGCCTTGTAGATATATTTCAACCCGTTGGCAAGGCCAGTAACCCTGCTTGAATAGTCCATAAGCTTAACAAACAATGATCAAACCGGTGCTTGAATCAGACACGCTGGCTTGGGTACTTCAGCAATGAAACCGTTTGAACTTATGATGTTAGTTTTCTTTTTTCGTTTTGTACATCAATCGACATATAGATCCTGGATAGGTAAGAGAGCAGCGCACCTCCATAGCCGTTAGTCCAACCATGTCGGGCAAGTTCTTGCCGTGCCTAGTGGCATGGGCCCATATACATATATAACCAGAAGTAAGCAATTCGTCCTCTAATACATAATCTACTGACATCTCTGAGAGCAGAGGGTTATCGTTGATTCTAGTTTCGTTAAGAGGCCATTGTGGCTTCGCAAACTGCAAGATCCTAGAAATAGTCTAATGATATTTAAGATACCCAGTACAGTGGTCGATAACCTTGTTCCAGCAACAAGCGCCACGAGGCGAATTTAGGTTATCTTTTCTGCACCCTTCAACTCTATTACGACGATCCCTGGGCAGCCTTGCCCTGTGCTGACCGAGTAAGATATACTCCAGAGAGAAGACATCTATTCCTGTTATGGAGTAAGGCTGGTCATCGTCTCAGAAGGTTTGAATTGGGCTCAAATGAACTAGTAACTAAGGTTTGTACTGCTGATCCTTGAAGCGCTAGTACAGACTATAATGCTTTCAGATATGTAGCTATAGTTGTAGTCTACACCTTTTATTCATACATACAAGTAGATCAATTTCTGCGCTGAGGAACAGCATGAAATTGCGATACTTCCTAACAGCAGCTTTGATGAGAACTCAAGTGCTAGTATTTGTAATATCAGCTATCATCACTACCGACCGTACTGTCTGAAAGCGACGTATAGTAATCAGCCAGCGTAATTCCAACACACCGCAGATCAAGTACTAGCTGCTGCCTCTTGTTGATCCAGCGGTTGCTTTGACTAAATCTTTGGGACTACCGGTGAGTCCCTCCTTTCCAGGTTCAGAGGCTCAGGTCATTTCTTCTGGAAGGTTGATTGCCGGGCTTATCAATATCAGGTTCACATCAGACAATCAAAGTGATGGGGAAGTTGATTAACCGCGTCTTATCTTGCATGACGAAGAGCCAAGCTCATTGCCCTAGCCTGGAACAATTAGGCAGCTGTGGATCAACTTGCCCGGAATTCGAATTCCCCGTGGCATCATCCATCAACTTATATCCTACAATCACAAGTGAAACACGTAAGGGAGTGGAAAGCCATCTAAATTCACCGTCCAAACGATCGAGACGGTTCAGATACCCACAGGTCCTCTGGAAGAATGTTTAGCAGCAAAGATTCACTGCGGCGGAATCACTGTCCCTAAGGTGGTATAACATCATTGGTTTTATAAAATAAAAAGAAATCTGACTATTGAAGAAAACCAAAAGAGGAAAATGACCGAGAATAGTAACTGTAATGTCTATTAGAAACAGCTATGAGCTAATTAAATAGGAATTCTCATAAAAACAAGAAAAATAACCTAGTAATCGTTGATTTTTCCGAGTACTTGTGAGCACTTATATGATACTTGTATAAGAACAGTGGCACTATATCGGGCAAGCAGACTGGATTCGCAGCAAATCATTTCAATTATACACTATTTGTAGCCTCGACTCTCAGATAACCATCTCCTGACCCACCTTTTCGGAATCTGCACGAGACATGCGTACTATGCACCCACTCCCATAGTTAGAGGCCAGGATAAGCCGATTCTCCTTTCGAAATAGTCAAGGAATCACTGGTCCTTCGTCCCCTTCGCCTTGGCCTTCCGTTTACTGAACCATTTCCGGATGTCCCCTACACCATGCAAATATAACCACGAGAAGAAGAACACAGCCATGAAGTTGAACACGACGAAGGCCCAGAAGATCCCCTACGCCCGGCGATATCAGCTTCTTGCTTTATCTATACATTCCAACCCCAAAAAAGCAGAATTTGGAAAGGGGAAACTTACATAATCCCTCCATTTATGCGAGTAGTAGACATTGAAACTCGCGGCCTAGATCCATGGGAGAGGACTGTAGTTAGCTCTCGGGCTAGTCAAAGCAAGGGAGGTTTGAATGTGCAGAAAAACAGAAGGGGATGACAGTAACTTACGAATACATCCCCATCTGAATACTGGCAGAATGCGCAGAGGCCGTTGCCCGCGTCGCGGACGTACCCGCCGGCTTGATTGGCGTACGCACCCGCGTAGTCCTGACATGTCGAGCCGGGAGGCGGACTGAACCGGGATTCCTCGCGGGAGACGCAGCGGACGGGGACGGCGTGGGTGACAACACCCAAGAGGCCTTCGAGAAGGTAGTGGAAGGGCGTGAGCCAGTACATCCAGGAGCGCCAGAAGTGGATCAGGCCGCTGTAGGGGACGACGACGCCACAGAAGGAGACGACGAAGGTGAAGAAGGTGGGAACAAGAAGGGAGGCGAAGAGCTCGTTGGGCGCGAAGGCCGCGATGAATTGGCCGAAGCCGATGTAGAAGGCCTCGAAAAGCATGAGCATCATCCACACATAGCCGGAGCGGAACGAGTCCCGGGGGAACCAGATGCCCCAGTACCTGGACGTATTGTTAGTCTGTGGAAGATAGAGGAATGGAGATGGGTCGGCTTACCAGCAGTTGAAGTAGAGCGTTCCCGCGACAACTGAATAGGGTAACTCGGGGAGAATGGCGCTAGTCACGAACGCTGTCCAGGAGTAGATCTTGGAGTTGGCTTCCCGGGATTCGTAGAGGTTTCGGAAATGGAGGAAACGGGGCTGGAGCTGCTGGATCAAAGGCGGGGAGATGGTGAGGGTCATGAAGATTGAAAACAGGCGGGACTGCATGTCGATGGAGCTGTTTCCTAAGTGCCAGAAGGTGAAGGTATTGAACAGTCCGGTGAAGATATGAAGGATGAATTTGCCCTGCGAGCTTGTTAGGGTTGATAGTTAAGGTCTTTAATGACTACGTACCATAACGTATTGGGGTGTTCGCCAATAGGCAATGAAAGAGCGCGTGGTGGTCGCCAGAATCTGTGTCCAGACAGGCATCGCAAACTCGCTATCGTCGTCTGTTCTTTCTCCCCCACCTGTGTTCCGCCGCTCTCGAGTGATGCCCTCGATCGTTTCTGAGAGTTGCCTGCGTTCTTCCGAATTCGCCCAAACATCGCCCCAATCTTGTCCTTTGTACTCTGGGTTGCCAGCACCAATGGCGTCCAGCATATACTATGTCGGTTAGTATATCAGATCGACGAAGAGTTGGGGGTTGCAATACCTCGGCGGGATTCTCATCAGGAGCACACTTCCTGGCACCATTATTTTCGAAATAGTCAATGAGCGTCTTGGAATCCGAACCCAATCCAGCATTGTAGACAACCCTTCCCCCACTTTGCAGCAAGAGCAAATCGTCGAACTCTTCGAACAGAACGGCGGACGGCTGATGTATCGTGCATAGGATAGCCTGGCCGGCATCGGCGAGTCGTCGAAGAAATCGTACAATGTTGAATGCGGCCAACGAGTCCAATCCTGAAGTTGGCTCATCAAGGAAGAGTAACAGTTGCGGCTTGCTTGCCAACTCAACCGCGATGGTCAATCGCTTGCGTTGCTCTGCATTCAACCCGGAGCCACCCGCTCCCACTGTAGCTCCTGCTATCTGCCGCATTTCTAGCAGATCTATGATTTTCTCACAATAATCGTACTTTTCTTGTATCGATACGTCTTTTGATTGACGAAGAAGGGCCGAAAACCGGATTGATTCCCTTACAGTGGCTGTTGGCTCATGAATGTCCATCTGCTCAGCGAAGCCTGTGGCTCTTTGGAAACTCTTTGGAAGTGGTCTGCAACCTTTAGCACAAGTGGTGGGACTGCTGAGAGAGCTATACTCACTTGCCATCCACAAGGAATGTACCAGTAACAACACCGAAGTTAACACGCTGTGCTAGGGTATTCAAGAGAGTTGTTTTTCTATGCAGCTTGTAAGCCGAGACATCGAGAGAGATAATTGATTCGTAGATACTGACCCTGCTCCGGACGCACCCATCAGAGCTGTCAGGCGACCGGGTTTTACATATCCCTGCACGTGCTGTAAAAGTTTCTTTTGACCCCCTTTATATGGTATCGTATAAGTCACATCTTGCCATGTGAAGATAGAAGTACTTTTGGCGATACCCTGCACATGATCTTTCGATTCGTCCGAGTTCTTTTCTTGCAGACTATTGCTGCTTCCTGATTCAACGTCACCCGGCAGCTCTTTGTATTTGACCGCCTCCTCCACAGCTTTGGGTGCCTCGCCCCTTTTGAAGATAGTGACTGTGCTGCCGCCTTTGTTTGGCTCCTGTAGCTCCATGCCAATCATCGTCAACACGACGAAAAGTATGAACCAACCAATGATGATGCCAAGGTTTCGCCAAAGGTGAGAACGTCTGTATGTGAAAGCTTCCTGTATGTAACTGGATCCTTGAACGACCAGCTGGTCTGGAGTACTCCCTTGTATGGCGCATACCTGATGGTTTGCCTGTGCAGTAGGGCCATCTGGAAAGATAGATGGTGGAACGCATTGTAGGTTGAGATTGTAAAATTCATTCGACATGATTGCCTCGAATGCATACTGGACTGGGTTTACCCAAATCAACCATTTGAACCATGGATGCATTTTCCACGGAGGAATGAGATAGCCTGAATAGATCAGTCAAGATTTCTCAACTCAGGGGGATCTGATTACCGGTATATACAACCAAGATCTGGATCACGACACCAGTCAGGCGTGTAGCTTGGCGAATTAGCTTAGGTTATTATTTCTGTCAACAGCATACTTACAAACATCGAGAGAGCCGGTCAGCGCGCCGATAGTCCGGAACAAGGAATACATCGTCATGGTAAGCGTAAATATGAACAAGAAGTTGATAAAAAACTGCGATGCTGTTCTTTGCAGGTTCGACATGCTGCACATGATGGTCAGTTACTGGTCAATGGGATGGTCTGAACACATGCGTACAAATATACCACCAACTCGAAAAGAGTGACTTGGATGAAAATGATGGGCACGTCAACAGCAACCTGGGCCAAAGCAAATGCCGAAGGCCGGTAGAAGGAACTATGATCATCAGTAGGAATTACTTGATTGTAGAATCTGTACTCACAAAGTTTTGTGCTTCAGCATAATGGGTCGACTCGAGAAAAATGCCGTCAGTTCAGCCATGGCGAGTAGAGCATTGAATAGAAGGACGAAGAACAAAACACCTCCTCTTGTGAAGACACCAGCACTATTGTACGGGTTAGAAAGGGGAACGACAACTGGAAGGTTTGGCGGCTGACCTAGTCTGTGGGAGGTCATAAAAGAGACTTCCAATGATTAGTGCTTGGAAAGTAAGCATAGCCCATTTCCCAATCAATGTCTGCTTATCACCATACATAATGAGGAATTGTCGTTGGGTAAGTATGACGATTTGCTTGTAAAAAGATACCGTGTAATTCTTCTTGAGCTTTTCCCTGGCAAGCTCTTGTTCTTCCATGTTGGCCTCGACATCCTGCTCATAACCTTCAATGTCTTTCTGAGCAGCTTTGAAGATGTCACTCCGCCGATACGCTCTCTGGAAATCCTCTCCAGATCGTGGAATACGATCCTCCCATCCTTCCTTCACACGCCGGGCGAAAGGGTCGCTGACCGATGTCAAGAAGTCAGGCGTTGTCCATCGAGGGGGACACTCGAAGCCGAGGCGCTCAAAGTAGGCTTTCGCATCCTCCGTGCGTCCATAATAAGCACATCTGCCGTCCTCGATTAACATGACCTTGTCAAAAAGGTTGTAAAGATTCTCCGATGCTTGATACAGCGCCACAAGAGTGGATGCATGGGACATGTCCGTTGAGCTCCTCAGACTCTGAACATACTCCAGAGCAGTGCTGGCGTCTAGACCTTTTGTGGAGTTGTCCCAGCACTGGGTGCTGGCCTTGGTGACCAAAGCTTCGCCAATGGATACACGTTTCTTTTCTCCTCCGGAAATTCCACGTATAAGTTCATTTCCGACTTTGGTACCAAGCGCGTGCTCAATCCAAAACAGTTTTGCAATCGTCGACAGGAAAGTTTCCTGATATTGCTTCCTGCTTTCTCCCGGGAGCCGTGACTCTTGACCTGGTGTTCGGCTTTTGAGAGCGAACATTAAAGTGTCTCGAACGGTGAGCGTGGCGTAATGGAGGTCATCCTCAGGGTTGTATAGCACTATGTGGGTTAGCATCAAGATTTCGAGACCGGGAACGAGGTATGTCAATTACCCTCCGAGCGATATTTATCAGCCATTGTGTCGGAGTCTGTGCCTCCGTAACGTACATCACCTTCGACACTCTTGTAGCCGGACCTTTGGTTCCCTATCACTTTCAAGAATGTGGAGCACCCAGACCCGGGACGACCCAGAACGAGTAGCATCTCTCCCGGGCGCACGCAACCCTTTCGAAGTATCAGTGAGAACAATCCCATATAAGATTCGGTCACACACACGGGGGTACTCACAGTGAAATCATCGATAATGGTACGTAATGCAGAGCCTGAGCCAGAATGCTTCAAGCGTCGAGTAAAGAAGTTTTTGATCAGTCTAGGTACCGCGAGGAAGATGTCCGCATTCGTAGGCTGGATGGCAGCCCCAAGCCCAACACCTTTGACGGTAAGATTCTTCCATACTACGCCGAGATGTCTTGTCTTCTCCTCTTCTGAGTTGGCCTTTCTCTCGTGGCCAAACATGCGAGACACCAGTCGCGCGATTTGAGCTGTGTCATCTGCGCCTCCAGGGTCGGCGCTTGACCTAGTACTCTGCCTCTTGGATAGTACGCGCGCGATATCATCGTCTGTCAGCCGTCTCCCAAGAGATAACCTTCGTTGACTCTCAGCGACCGGTTCGCTGGCGGTGGTGGATTGTTCTCCATGATGGCTGGATTCGGAGGGCGGTGGTGACTCCGACGGAGACAAAGAACTCAACGAGGGGTTGTCTTCGTGCTGGACATTGAAATTGCTACTCGGTCCAGTACCCTGCTCTTTATCCATGACTAGTTGTAAGCAAGAAGCTGATCATTGATCTAATGGCAGTCAAAGATTCTAGCCACTTGTTAGTAGATATAGCAAAGATTGATGGGAGCGTCGGAGGTAAATTTTGATATCCACGCGATATGGACATACATCATCAGTTTATATCTGCAACCAAAGTCAGATAACGGACATAACCGGATGTACGCAGGACTGGTGGTGGTCCGAAAGCCTATTGATCAGCACATTCAGAGCTTCCCAGATGCGACAATGCGGAGGTGATCGGTCGGGCTCCGACAAGCCGATGTCGCGGAGAAGCGTGTATGCCATCCCATTCGACGAGTTGGAGCCGGATCCAAATTTTAGAGTGTGAAAGCCCGAGCTGCCAGGATGTATGGTGGCGGATGATGCGGTGCGGTCGATATTGACGTCGACCATCATGAAGTCATCATCTGCGGTCGTGGGCCCAGAACCATGGATGAGCTGAGCACCTTGATCGCCAAGGAGAGCTGAACCATGCAACTTGCTCATAGTCCTTCCTAACTTGAATGCACAGTAGTACGCGTTATTTATGCTGTGCCTCGTCTCGGTTGATTGTGCTATGTCGTCTCAACTGCCGGGTGGTGAACGTCGGGGTTCATACAAGCCGTTGGCGGATAGAGGGCTGTAATCGCAATGGATGGAGTACCAGAATTAAGCATTGCGGATGATCGAAATTCAATGTTTAGACTGAACAACTGATTGAGAATGGAGAGAGGATGGCATGGATGAGGAAGATGGAGAGGGGTTGATTGTGTGTTTGTCAGGTGTCACGGCCGAAGTCACACCTTTCACTCCCCTCCTCTCCTCTTCCTCTTCCCTCTTTCATCTTTCATCTCTCATCTTCCCCTCTTCAATCTCCTCGCAAACAGAATAGGGACTCTTCTTTCTTCCCCAACCCCGCATCTGCAAATTAAACCAGGCGGGGAAGACACTGCAGTTCTCGTCAGGATGATTAACCGGTTCAATAGGAGGGGCTGATGTGGTGAATTATGGATCTCCCTGCAGCTGGATAATTATCCCGCCTCCTAGTAGATGCAGATTTTCCGGACTTCAAGTGGCCCCATCACTGGATTGACAGGACGCTGCAGCTCCCAGTTCTGGAATCGGATCTTTGTTTCGGCTAAATGTTGAAGACCTCGAGCATTAAAAGCGGCCTTGAGCTTCCATAGACCTCGAACAATCATGCGCTTCTCAAAAGGTTGCAGACGTGAAGCATCATCATGCGCGCTCTCCTCATCATCGGGCTTCTAGCCATCTACGAAGCTGCAGCTTCAGACTCAAGTAGTGGATCACCTACTCGCAGTCCAGCGCCTTTAGTCACCAGCCTCAATATCACGGTCGAAGGTTAGCTCCTCCGGACCGGAATACTTGGTATGCCTTCAGCTGATATGCAATAGACCTATGGAACATCTACATAGGTCCCGTGGAGACTGCAACGGTCAACACAACCGTGGAGCCCACTCCGATTCCGAGCTCGCAGCTGATCCCACCTCCTCAGTTATACTATCCGTCCTACCTGACTGGGGCCCAGATCCCCGGACAAGGGAAGAACGAGAGCTGGTCATTCCCGAAAGGGTTCTGGTGGGGCGTTACAAGCGCCTCATACCAAGTTGAAGGAGCTGTCAAAGTGGATGGCCGCGGCCCCAGCTTGTGGGATGCATTCACTCACCGAGCGATGAGTGTGGCTGACAACCAGACTGGAGATGTTGCGATCAACCAGTACTACACCTACAAAGAAGGTAACATACCTTTGGTATTCTTGATTGAAGCCTATACAGTACCTGACCACTGAGACCAGACATCCAGCGGATTGCCGCAATGGGCGTCAAAGCTTATTCCTTCTCCATCTCATGGTCCAGGATCTTCCCCTTCGGAAATGGTCCCGTCAACGAAGCCGGTCTGCAGCACTACGACGACGTGATCGACACGTGCCTGCAGTATGGAGTTGAGCCTCAGGTAACCCTTTACCACTGGGACCTCCCACTGTACCTGCAGCTCTCGTACGGAGGCTGGACCAACGAGCGAATCGTCGAAGACTACGTAGCGTATGCGAAAGTGCTACTGAGTCGATGGGGGGATAAAGTGGCACAGTGGTACACCTTCAACGAACCCATCTCCTTCTGCGGAGAGTATCCCGTCCCGGACGGGTACTTCACGCGCACCACGAGCATTCCGGACGCGCAGCAGAAGTTCTGGTGCGGCCACTACATGCTCCTCGCCGCCGGGAAGACGTACCACCTCGCCCGGTCCCTGAACATCACCGCGCCTGTCAGCGTCAAGAACAACGGAGGCTACAAGCTGCCCCGGACGAACTCAAGCGAGGACGCCGAAGCCGTTGAGCGGGCCTGGGCCTTCAACGAAGGGTGGTTCGCCGACCCGCTGTTCCTGGGCGACTATCCCTCGCGGCTGAAGAACTTCACCTCAAGCTTCCTGCCGGAGTTCACCGCGGAAGAGAAAGCCCTCATCAAGGGCGCGAGCGACTACTTCGCGCACGATGCGTACACCGCCGCATACTACATGGCGCCCGATGCCGGAATCGCGGGCTGCCTGGCAGACCCGAGCAACAGTCTCTACCCGAAGTGCTACAACTCGACGTACACGTTGCCGGCCAGCGAGGGGGGCTGGCTGATAGGACCGGCCTCGGACCCGAACACGCGCTGGCTGCACAAGGCCACCGAGTGGCTCCCTGCGTTCCTGCACTATATCGAGCGCACGTGGAAGCCGGCGAACGGGATCGTGATCACGGAGTTCGGGTGGACGGAGCCGTTCGAGGCGTACAAGACGAAGCGCGAGGATATCCTCACCGACCCTGTGCGATCGGCCTACTATCACGACTACGTAGAGGCGATGCTGACGGCCGTAGCGGAGGGGGTCAATTTGGTGGGGTGCTTGGCCTGGTCGATTGCTGACAATCTGGAGTGGACGGCGGGGTTTACTGTTAAGTTCGGCTTGCAGGTGAGTGGTTCCTTCCATGGATGCTAGGGATGTACTAACCAGGGTAACAGTACGTCAACCTCACGACGCAAGAGCGGTTCTACAAAGCCAGCTTCTTCGAACTGGCAAACCTGTTCAAGACATACATCAAGGAATGAGATTGCGAGCGCTCGACTATCAGTGCTCGATTCTACCAAGCAATAGAGTCTATCTTCCCAGACTGGGATCATTGTAGCAATGAAACCGCACACATAGCATAGGCACGAAATACATCCAATGAACTCAATAGCAACATCATCAGTCCGGTCCAGTACATAACCTCAGCTTCACAACGTCTATACCAGACCTCCAACAAGTAATGAATTTGTGCAAGATAACCTTCGATAAGTCCATGCAACGAACTATAGTCCCCCAGTCAGCAAAGCACATGCTCCAGCCCCAATCCCATGCCCATAAATCAAATCTGCCCCTCCCGCCATCAAACTCCAATATGACACCGCCATCGCAGCGCCGTACCCAGCCCCAGAACCCCTCCACTCTTCCCCCCAAGGAATAAAAAAAAGCCACCTTCCATGCACCCAAAGCCGATAAACCAATTCCCACTCCCAAAAGCCCTATCCACCCCCCGCAAAGGCTTTGCAGGTATATAAACCCCATACCCCCAACCAACCGACCATAAAATCTCAGAGCGAGGGGAGCATTGCATACCGCAACGACAACAGTAGTACATAAGCCACGCACACATCAACAAGCTCATCCGGAATTCAAAATTCCAGAGTATAGGATCACCTAAAGATAAAGAGGCCGTAGGTTCGTAGCGAGTTCCAGACTGGATTGATGTAACATAAGGGTATGATTGGGGGGTGAGTAACCTGAATCGGGGTTTACGGAGTGTTCATTCTTACAGAGTTTGAAGGTCGGGTACGCACCCTGGATGAAAGGTGTACTGCGGGTTATTGTACTCCGTAGGTGAAGGGGACCAAACGAGTATGATTCGATTGATAGATCAGCCCTGGCAAGGTGAATCAAGTCAATGCGTATTGCCTGGTCTGGCATTGATATAAACGGGCTATTTGGAAGATACTCTCACTGCCATCTGTGGGTCCTGACTCTGAGACCTGGGAGGCTGAAAGTACAAGTGATAGACGCATAGGGCGGGTGGGTGCACGGGACAAGTAGAAAGAACCGATCTGTCTCTCTGCTCAGCCTACCTAACATCCTCATTACCTCTACAACTGTAACTGGTTATCGCGCATGCAATAATCGATTCTTTCCTGATAGGACACGTTCAACCCAGTACATAAATATACACAACTAGATCTACAGGGATGACACAAATCATGGTAAATATATTTTTATATGGGTATCCATGATGCATTCCGGTGTAAAACACTAACAACCAATGCCAAATGCAGGGAGATGAGATGGTAAAACAAAACCCCCTGCTGCGGGCTAAGAGATAGATAACATGGTATCACTCGATAAATAAACCTCTATACCAGACCGCATCTGTCAATATATGTGCACAACGCCCAATGTACTCCACACATGCCATCTCTCTGGCATATGGACTTCAGATCAATGATAAAGGAACAAAAGCACACATGTGTGTATTCAAGATGCAAGGGCCCGACGGAAGACGCTGGTGACCCCCAAGATCTGGAACACCAGATCTGTGTGACAGATTGCCGTCAAAGTGCGTTCGTGGAACAGCGGAGCCGTGAGCTGAACCATACCAGCGGTTCCCAGAATAACGTGAAAAGATCTCAGCCACCAGGGTTGGTCTTTAATGGGCGGATCGCCCCTCCCCATGGGGCAGTCTTTCCGGGGATGGTTGCACAGTGCCCCCGAAACTTTGCCGCCGATCTGACTTGTAAAGCTCCGCTTCAAGCGAGGTAATGACCGGCGGTGCGGATTTCAATGGCGAAGGGCCGGCAACCCGCGGGGAGAGCGAGCGATCGTGGTCGCTGAGGTTCGAGGTATTGATACTTAGGCCATGCACGTTGCTGCTGGCACCGCTAGCGCGGACGCGGAACGAGCGCCGGCCCCCATTGAGGTGGTCGGCCGGCGTGATGTTGACATCCTCATCGTCGTCCACGTGATCTGGCGAGTATCGCATGCTCGTCTCCGGGTTGCGGATCCGCTGATATTCGCCGCGCTCGCCCGTGGGATCTGAATCGTCTGCTTCAGAGTCGAGGTTGGGGCTCCGCGCCCACGATCCCTTCCGAGCTTCTGCGCGCATCTTGGCGATCTTCATGTAGTTGTACGTACCGATGCTCGCAATGGTGACGAACAAGCCAGTGATGTTGATGAAGGTGAGCTGATCATGGAAAATCACCCCAGCGGCACTGATCGTGACCACTTCCTTGAAGATACCGCAGATGCTCAAGGTTACCACAGATGACCGCTTGAGGAGCGCGAACTCGGACGAAATCATACAGAACGCGAGCAGGCCGGGGAAGATCAGAAGGCCCACGCCAAACAGGGTGCCACGAGCCTCGGCCAAGGCATGGAAACCGGCCGCAATCTCGGTAGGTCCCTCCACGGCCAGCGCAATGATAATGAGAGACACAAACATGACAGGGGTAAGGAAAAAGAGGGTGGAGAAGGGATTGGCCGTCGCAGGATGGCGGAGGAGGAGGATTTGGGTCAGGCCCCATCGAAAACCCGAGAAGAACGCGGATGCAATGACCAGGACGAACCCGACTACATTGAAGGCGGTCTCACCAGCGACCATCATGACAACACCTACAGTCATTGTGGCGATAATGATTATCAGTCTAAATGAGGGGGTCTCGAGGCGGAAGAGGAAGGCAAACAGAAGAACGAAGGCGAGGGCGGATGATTTGCACATGGTGAGGAAAGTGAGGGAGATAAATTTCAGGGACATATTTCCAAGACCAATGTCCAGGGAGGTTGCTGCACCGCAGGGAACCAGACGAGTAAAGTAAAAGAATTTGGTGAGGATCGGCCCTTTCTCCAAAGCATCATGATCTCGGACGGGTGACCCGGACGGGGTGGAGGTGTGAGGGTGCTGCGGGCGCAACGATGGTATCAAGTATAACAAAAGGGAAGAGAGTGTGAACTGAACGGCCATATGCAGACTGGTGGTGAAGAGAGGAAAAGGAAACACGACGTTGTTATCGGAAAACATCCATTTGTTGTACTGTGAAGGGGGAGCACGCGACCCGGTTAGCACATGTCCAGAACGAGTACAACTCCGCCCCGTGGGTCGACTTACAATTGAAATTGACAGCGAGAAAAAGTACCACATGAGGATCAAGGCGCCATTGACTAGGAGCTTCTGGAGGATATCCCTGTCCGCCATCCCCAGTGGTAACCCGTCGAGCTTGGAAGCTTTGACATCGGCGATCCGGGCATCCAACTGCCTGCGCTGCTGTCTTCTACGACGTCGCTGACGTCGCTGTCTCGCCGTCAGACCGGTTTCCTCGTCATCGTGAACATCCTCGTCCGAGCTAATGTAATCCATCTCGACGCTTTCCGCAATGGAGGAGAGATCCGACTCGTCTGCGTCCTCAGCCGGCGAGGACTTCGTTTCTTCCCTCTTCGAACCGACGCCGTCCCCGGTGGCCCTTAAAATGTCGTCCCTTGGGTCGATAGCGGCCGAATGGGAACCTGCCGCCAACACTGAACTCCGCCGTCGATGGTGATTGCTGGCCGGGGATACACCCATACTGGAAGAGTGCAGATCGTCGGAGAGGTAGGCAGGAGGGAGGGAAGGAAGCGAGGTGATATCTGGATGTATAGCGGACTATAAGGCGTTCGCTACAATGAGGATGGCCCCATCAGTGAGAATGTGATTTGTGTCTCAGAGGCCCACCGCGCGCGCACACGATCGAGGGAATTTGGCAGGGAAATAATTTTTGGGGGGGAGGGGTTTCAAGGATGGCGGCCAAAGGAGCGTGGGAAGAAAATCGGTGAAGGAGCAAAAATGACTGGTCTCGGAGAATGGAGAGAAAAAGGAATTGATAGGATGACACAAAGGAAAGTAAAAAGGACTAATCCAAGGAAAGAGGTAGGTAGGGAAAAAAGGAACTGTCAAAAGTAGGAAAATTGGGGGGGGAGGGGGGTGAATAGTATGGGTAAAGGGTATTGGGGAAGAATGGATGGATGAATGATGCAAGGGCGACCGCTGCAGGAGGCGGAGGACAAGCAGCAGCAGCTGAGCAAAGCAAGAAGAAAAGAGAGCCTGAGAGGGCGAGAGGTGAAAGAGAGGGTGAGGAATGACACCGTAGGGAAGGGAGAATTAACCAGGCGCTAGGGGAAAAGTAGATTAGTGAGGAAATATCCAAATAGTTCAAAACTTGGGGAGTGTTAAGAGGCAGTGGAGGATTTCAAACAGAATGGGAATCAGAATAGACAATACTGAGTAAGTATGAATAATGAGTAAGAAAAGGAGGGAAGTGAGTTTTAGATGATGTCGGTTGGGCGAGAAAGATGAGATGAGATGAAATGGAGATTTGTTATGGGTTGGAAGGAATTCAGGGTCCCGTGCTACAAGTACATACAAGTAGGTACAAGTAAGTACAAGTGAGAAAGAAGTACACAAACAAAAGATGCGATGCGATGCGATGCGATGCGATAGTTTTGATGATTGATTGATTGACGGAATGACTGATTGTTGTTTTTCTTCTCCCTTTCCACTTTTCAATTCACCTTCCACCGTCTTCAGCTTTCTCTTCTCCTTCTTCTCCTTCCTATCAACTGGAATCCACCCCTGGATGAACCGATCTAGCGATAAAAGTGAGAGAATGCGAGCTCCTCCTCAATAGCCACCCGAACGTCATTCATCTCCAAACCATCCATCCATCCATCCAGCAGAAACAGAATACGAGCACGACCGAAAGTTTATAAATCATGATGACAACAACCCATCAACCACTAACTGACTAACTAATCAAAGGTTCCACAACGACACCTGACTTGTCTCAAATTGCAGGCCACATTCAGGGAATTGAATTTGAGGGTCACTCCAGAATCCAGACAGGAAGGAGTTTTTACCCTTTCGAATCTGAATCTGCTCCTCTCTCAATCCAAGACGGAGTTGAGTGCCTGAACCCAGGAACTTCCGTTGCCGAATGGGATGATGGAATGAATGACCCTACAGTACTTACTTGCAACAACAACATCACCACCTGACTGGACAGTAAGTACTACTTAATATCAAGTAGATAATCTCAATCTACTCTCATCACTTCATTCCCGGTCCCCCTTCCATTTAATTTTGTTCCCTACATTAGTTCAGTGGAGCACCGAGGAATTGTGCTTGCTGTTACAGTCGCAGGAAATTAATTTGCACCCCCCCCCTCTCCCCCAATGTTTGGTTCTAGAGATACCGCCTTCTTGAAGCGCTCACACACCGCCTAAAATATATGGGAAGAAGCTGGCAGAATAGCCATAGGCTAGACTTGATTAGGGGAAGTGCTGAACTCTTTCTGAGGGGGGGGTGCATATTAATTTCCTCCCACTGTACCCCCTCCCCCCCCCACCCCTCAATGCCCACCCAACTCACTGGGCTGTGTGTGCCACTTGGCCCTCCTCCTCTTCTCTCCCCACCCCTGTCTGCCTTAAACTAGTTTGGCTGGGCAGAGTTGGACAAATCGAAGGGCATTCAATCCCTGATCCTCTTTTGCTTTTCCAAGGCTGGCAAAGAAAGCGGGGAACCAACCGAACACCGAGCGATGGCACCGACGCGCCGAGATTAAATTCATAGTTTGCATGTTGCGCTTCCCCTTCCGGACGATCCGGGGGAAGAAGATGATTTAGTAGTTGCTAGACAGTAGACAAACAAGGCAAGCAAGTTGTTGGTGGTACTGTACCTTGGGAAATTCAAGGTTCGTGAGGGGGAGGTTCTTGACTAGCTGGAAAGTATACACAGTAGTAAGTACTATGGTTGAGATCCGTGTTTCTTGGTCGGATCGGATCTCAGGGATGCAAACAAGCATTAGTCATACACATAACTCTGGACTTCTTGTAGTCAAGTCGGTAGTATAAAGTCCTATCATTGCAGCCCTCGTTACCTAACCACCGAAATCCATCCATCGATCCATCAATCAGGCAGCAATGATCGCAACCGGGATCCTCCCATTTGTACCTGGGGCGCAGTCAGTCACTGAGTCAGGGCCAACTTCCTTATTCACCTCTCACACCGACTGATGACTGAGTGACTGCTTGGCAATGGGACCAGGAAATTATTCAGAAATGGGCGGACCACACCAGCCTCGGGCCCCGACTCTAAGCACGCGCCCTTTGTGGCTGGTCATTGGGTGGTCGACGTGACAGCAAAACAGTAAGATGCTTGCTGGCTGCGGACTGACCCGACAACAATTGCTGTCTTCAGATGATCCCGGGTGTTGAGTTCAGGCACATGGCTGCACTCCCCTCAAAGTGCGAGTCAGTTCCATCTTCTGGAACAGAACGGAAAGATAGATAGGGAGATAGTATGATGAACGAACCAACCCGCCCCTAAGACTCTGAGATCATAGTTCCCCAAAGAACCGAGGCTGGATCCTTATCACTCATTTCTCGCCACAGGTGATGTCCCTCCCAATCGATGTCATCATCATGATGATGACAAGATGAAGTGGAAGCCCGCCGCTACTCCCTAGTTAATACTACTAACTAACGAACTAACGAACTATAAGCATGTTGCCCCTCAGCCTGAGTGTCAAGAGCGGGAAACCCTCGTATCAGCCCGTCAATCACCATCGAAGTATCGAGTCACCTGCCGTGTGTTGTGTCCTAATGTCAGGGTTCAACACCACCTAAGGCTATCGATTATCCGTAGAATAAACTCGTCCATGTGGCCTGGCCTGGCCCGGTCGGGGCCGTGGAAAAAGACCATGATCGTCTTACCTTCTGCCGCCCGGCTGTATACACCTGGATTGTTGTGTAGACGATGAGTTAAGATTCACCACCACCACCACCACCACCACCACCACTATTCATTGAACCATACTATACCGCAAGTAACCCAACCACCACGCAGTGATATGAGTATTGCATGAATAGTCCATGCACCCACCCCACCCCACATCCACATTTCCACAAGAAAACCCAAAAAAAAGTACATATCCGATCCATCATCCCCAACCAGCGACGACAAAAATCCATAACCAACCCAGCACCAAGAAAGAAACCCAAACAAAATCAACACAAATGACCACAGCCCTTAGGTTCAATACCAAGCCCCACTGAGGTACTAAGAACCTCCGCCCCCCAGCTCCCACATAGCGCATGGTCGAAATAGCGTCGGACAAACCTTGAGGGGTTTGAAGTGGTCGGTCCTACGATGGGATGAACTAGGCTCATGATCTGAGGCAGGTGTTCGTCTTTCGTGATGTGGTTGTGCTACTGAGACCTGGAGAACGGTTGTGATGCGATCTGTGCATGCGTATCACCGGGGGGGAGGGGGGGGATGCTCACATGGTCGGTGGTCTTGGGAGGGGAGTTCGTGAGAGGGCGGGGGGTGGTGTACAGTACTTGGATGTACGTGGATGCGAATGTTGATGGGAATGCGGAGGATTTGGAGCACGCGGTTGATCGGATGAAGTACGAGTACAACCAATCCACCAACCAACTTGGACGGTCCTGTACTCAGGTAGGACCTGGGGTTCTGTGAATATCCGCGTCGTCCTTTGTAGCATCAACGCTTGAACGGGCGGTTGCAGGTGTAGAAAGACAACAGAGGTACGGTTTTGAACGTATAGCTACAACAGTCAAAATGGTCATCATAAGTCATGTTGCCCTCCAGTCAAAGTGTGTGGTACTATAGCTTGACATACAACATACACATGCACCAGCCAGAGGGTATAGACCTCCATCCCCACTCACTCTCCAAAGTGTGTAGCGAGCAAGATCTGCAAGATGCGAATGCAGCCAGCCTTACCTACTACAACCCAATGCAACAGCAGAGAAATTTCTATTTTCCGCCCCAGCTCACCCATATCACACCTCACCCGTCCGTCATGTCGTTTTCTTGCGACTCATCTAAAAGTCTCAGACCCGCTTTCCCATGTATAGTTAAATCTCACGGGGCCGATCACTCGTTCCCCAAATGCTCTTCTCATCTCGCTGGTCCATGCGGATGGGCATATATTCCCACTCAAACGCGCTTTCATGACCGTACCATATAAAACAAAAATGCCGTCGACAGAGGTAGTCAGCTTCGGTATAGAACAGGAAATCGGTTCAACCGCCCTTTCTCTGGCCTGCAGCGCCAGGTCCTGCAGTCGATGATGCGTTAGGTAAATGCCGGGGATTCTGGGGGCCAGGGCCGGGGAGGTGAAGCGTACCGATATTGGCGCTGGCATTGCGCAGTTCAATCTTCTTGCGTTCCATCTCAAGCTATTCAACTCACATCAGATCGCCGCCACTCACGGAAACTTGAAAAACTGTAGGATGACTTACCACCTTGCGTACTCGGGCAAGAGCAGCTGTGTCACCAGCCACCAGAGGCCGGCAGTCATCCACGCGGTACGGAGCCGCAATGGACACCGCATCCGCCACGATGATCTTGGCCCCATCCCATCTGGCCGGCATGGTTCGACTGAAAGCGTCGAAGATATCCTGCGCTTCGCGAGTCACGCCCTTGCCGCGACGAGCTTCGCTTTCCAGCGCTTTCGCAATGGCATTGGCCTCCCGAGTCTTCAGGGACCGTATATCAAGAGCGTGGAGGGGTGGCACGGCGTCAGCGAAGGACGGTCCATCGGCGGCGGTGGCAGACGGTGCGAGGGAAAGGATCTGGAAGGACTGTATACGCGAGACCGGGATGATGCGGTAGTCGCCTGTTTGGGACTGCTTTCCGTCGGCAGTGTCGATGGCGACCAGATTCGTGATGGGGCAGACTGTAAAGAGTGTACCCTCAATCGTCGATGCGACCGGGGCTGTGCTGATGCGGACACTGGAAGATGGGCAAAGCGTCAGCATATCAACGGATAGCACTGAGACAACAGCAGGCATCGAAAGCCGCAGCCACGCAGCCTGATGGATACCATTGTATAGCCTGCTGAAGAACGGGGGAGAGGGGGGGGGGCCCTTACCGTGCGCCGATGGCGCCGCTCAATGCCACTTCCAAAGGCACCATGGCACCTGTCGTTCCCTGTCCAGTAGCACCTCCAGTCGGTCCTTGCGCAGATGCTCTCGCTCCCACACTTTGGCGTTTGTTCTCTGCCATAAGCCCGCTTCTTCTAGGGACGAATGATTCCAGTGAAAGTGTCCCACCAGCGACGATACCAGATGAGGCCAGCAAGGGTCCACTCGGTCGAAATAGAGGAATAACCTAAATCAAGTGTGAAGGGCTCCGGGCTTCGAAACACTTGCTTGTGGAACAGCGAAAGTCAGTCCAGCAATCAAACTATTGAAGTGGTAAGGCCAGGAGGTAGTGAAACCGCGGTCGTTACTAACAATGACAATGGAACTCAGGCGCGGATCAAGCTGATGTGGGACGGTGCGGGCACCGCAGTTGGAACGAAGTCGGACCAAAAGAACGACAAGAATAGAAGGTGCTAAAATAGCAAACCATAGAATTACCCACCACTACTTCAACCGATCACAGGGAGAAAGAGTTGAACACCGTCAACGCCGCACATGTAAGGTATTGGAACAAGATACGGAGGTTGGCTGCAGGATGCAGAAAGAGGTCGGGGAGCGGCGATGTTGGAATGACCAAATTGGGATTAGCTCAGGCGGAACACAACCTCCAAAGCAGCACCGATTGATGTCCACTGGACATTGACTACTGGGCACATTGCATGGGAAACTGCACTCTACCAGACCACTATACTTCCCCCAAGGCATACTTTCCAGGAAACAAAACAACACTGTAAAAGAAAAGAAAAAGGTTCATTTCATTCCATACGTTTTTAAACGTTTTTTAACGTAACAGTAAGCATCTAGATACATAGTACTATGAAGCGTAATTAGGTATGCTTCCTGCTTCGCTTCTTGTTTTCATAATGATCATTCTTCACTCAGAAGGCGCAAATTGCAAACTCCCTGAGCTCAGTACAACTGTCCCCTACTAGACCCGTGCGAGGCTTCACGTCCAGCGTATTACATCGCGTGTTTGATTTAAACAATGTAGGTCGACGCAGAGACGTTGCCACCACGGCCGGTCCAGTTGACGTGGATGTCCTTGCCCTCAGGGTAGGTCTCGCTGGCGTGCTCGGGCTTGATGCGGAAGGTGTGGGCACCGAAGTAGTCACGCTGGGCCTGCAGCAAGTTGGCGGGGAGATCCCGGGTGCGGTAGCCGTCGAAGAAGCTGAGGGCAGTGCTGAAAGCTGGGGTGGGGATACCCCAGAGAGCACCCTTGCTGACAACGTTTCTCCAGCCCTTCTGAGCGTTGTGGATGGCCTTGTTGAAGAAGTCGTCGAAGAGAAGGTTCTCAAGGTCGGGGTTCTTGCGGTAAGCGTTGGTGATGTCCTTGAGGAAGACAGAGCGGATGATGCAACCACCACGCCACATGAGGGCAATGGAGGGCTTGTTCAGCTTCCAGCCGTACTCGCGAGCAGCCTAATCGTATGTGTGGTCAGAAGCTGGACATTATAACAGGACTGTGCACTGTCTTACCTCCTGGATGAGCATGAAGCCCTGGGCGTAGGAGATGATCTTAGAGGCATACAAGGCCTGCTCGAGGTCCTTGATGAAAGCCTGCTTGTCACCGTCAAATTCAGGGGTAGGGCCGCTAAGGAGGCCGCTGGCGCGAATGCGCTCGTCCTTGATGGCAGACAAGCAACGAGAGAAGACGGCCTCACCGATCAGGGTGACGGGCATGCCAAGGTCGAGAGCGTTGACAGCGGTCCACTTGCCGGTACCCTTCTGACCAGCCTTGTCGAGGATCTTCTCGACGAGGGGAGTTCCATCATCATCGTTGAAGTAGAGGATGTCACGGGTGATCTCAATGAGGAAGGAGTCCAAGACACCCTTGTTCCACTCGGCGAAAACATCGGCGATCTCCTTACCCTTGAGACCCAGACCGCGCTTGAGGATGTCGTAAGCCTACAGACGGATAGCATGGTTAGCATCCAAACGTGACAATCCGAAGATTTCTTGCCGCAGATTTGTCGACTCACCTCGCAGATGAGCTGCATGTCACCGTACTCGATACCGTTGTGGACCATCTTGACGAAGTGACCAGCGCCCTCGTCACCGACCCAGTCGCAGCAGGCTTCACCGTCGCTCTTGGCAGAGATGCTCTGGAAGACATCCTTGATGTAGGGCCAGGCCTCCTCGTTTCCACCGGGCATCAAAGAGGGACCGTAACGGGCACCCTCCTCACCACCGGAGACACCGCTGCCGACGAAGCGGATGCCCTTCTCGGACAGGTACTTGGTGCGGCGGTTGCTGTCGGGGAAGTGAGAGTTACCACCATCGATGATGATATCACCCTCCTCAAGGTGGGGCAGGAGAGACTCGATGAACTGGTCGACGGGCTTTCCAGCCATGACCAGGAGCATGATGCGGCGGGGACGCTTGAGCTTAGCGCAGAACTCCTCGACGGAGTGAGCACCAACGATGGACTTGCCTATGGCACACCACGATATCAGTTCCGATGTCTCGACAGCCTTGGGATTTGGCGTCGAACTTACCCTTGGCCTCGTTCTCCAAGAAGCGGTCGACCTTGGAGGTCGTACGGTTGTAGGCGCAGACAGTGAAACCGTGGTCAGCGGCGTTAAGGATCAGGTTCTGACCCATAACGGCCAGACCGATGAGACCGAAATCAGCACTAGGCAAAGGACGCGCCGGAGCGCCGACATTGATGCCGGCGAGGCGGGCGCTACCAGTCAGTTGCCAGATCTATGTCAATAGGTGGGTAGAGAGAAAAGAAAATAAAGGATTTGGGGGAACTGCATTCGACCCAACATCATGTTGGGTGACGCAGACCTCCCGAAACCACGGCCTCCTCATTGTGATGAGTACACAGATGAAGGGTAGATCGAGCTCATAGCAATGACTCGACGATCATCTAGAAGCTAGCATGCGCTCCCTGATGGCAGCCGCAAGGTAAAGAGGATTGAAGCATGCATGAAAGGAAGCATCGATGATGAAGCAGGTGGAAGGCTAGAGTACTTACACAGCTTTGTCGGCCATGATGAAATTGTGGGGTGGGGGGAGGAGGATAGGTGTGGTTGGGAAGAGAAGCAGAAGGGATGAGTTAGTGGAAAGGGAAGTGGGAGGCGCAGAGGATATATGTACAGCAGGAAGAACCAACTGTTTCCAGATTACGAGAAGATGGAGTTAGATTGAAAAGGGTTTAGAGGGAGAAGAAGAGAAGAGGGGAGAGTAGAAGAAGAGACAGGGTAAAAGGAAGAAGGGAACGGGGCAAGCGAGCAGAGCAGCGTAAGAAGGAAAGCATTGGAAGATGTCAGAGCAGGATTCACGCAATGTGGACGGGGCTTACGGAGCAGCTCTTCCGTCATGGGTGGGACGGAAACAGAGGGAGGGGCATTCAGTGATTGAAGGAGGGAGAGAGAAGGATAGCCCTGAGGAGCAGAGTCCTCCGGTGAGACCGGCCAGCTACTTTGGGTACAAGTTCACAGTAAGTAGTAGTCAACGGGTTGGTCTACTCAATTAATAATAATAAGTAATGATGGTAAGAGAGACTTCAATTGCACCGGGATAACAATACTGTAGTCAAATGTCTTTTACCTCGAACGATCATCCAGCTAGAAAGAACAACATTCCCAGAGGAAGCTATGAAGCTGTAATCATGATGCCAATACCAATGAATGATGATGGCGGGGCAAATCAATGGAGGGGCACAGCAACCGGCAGCGGCACTGCAGAAAACCGCTAGTAATCCGGCCTACATCGGCCCTGAAAAAAGGAATTTGTCCCAGAGCAGCGCTTTCGGTGAAGCACTTTCGGGAACGGATAAATTGGACCGCCTTTACCAACTCTTCCCTTTCCTTTCTCCTCCCCTCCCTTCCCCTCTCCTCCACCCATCCCACTCTCCGACTCACCTAAATGCTAAACTAAGAAGGACGAGGCTCATCATCAGTCCGGGCGGGAATATCGGGATGATTGGTCATCGGTAGTTCGAGCGGAACACCCATGCAGCCATCCATCCTCTCACGCCGACAGATTGAATGATTTCCACCGGAGAAATATACTCCATTTCCGGGGACTCTGATCATCCCGCATCTGCTAAACTTCATCAAAGGAGGTTCTTTCCTCCGTTGCTAGGCAGCCTGGGCTGTTTAGTCGGCAACTGCATTGCCCAGTCAGGCTTAGGGTGGGGGTGCCGTTGCATCACATCATGTGCCAATTCCGTTGGGGGTTCAGAAGCACCAGTGAGGCTAGTTATTTAGTTAGACTACGCTGAGTAAGAGGATCAGGGCCAGACTAACTGACTCGCCCAGGGGAGTCTTTGGTTCTTGATATCATGCAGTAATATTCTTTTTGTTGCAGGCCACAAGAATATCTATAGTTCTACGATGATAACAGAATGGTCTTTGTGTAGATTGTGTGCATCCTCAAAAAGAGGAAACTCCGATTCGTTGTGCTGTCAGTTGTCGTTGCTGGAGATGAGAGCTCCCTCTTTGGATTCTGAGTCGAGGGGCTGGCGCTGACAAGCACATCGAGGTTCGATCGGATTATATTGATTGTCTGCATTTAATGCGTCTGCAGGCTATGGATTGACCTTCTTATGCACGATGCTCTTCATACTCAGGCATGCATCAGTATGAAATCACGTGAGCAAGCCTCACTGTTAGATCAGTTTGCAACAGCATGTTTGCACTATACGGTAAATGTCAAAATCCATAGGGGCAGTTTTTCTTCGTCGGTCGCGTCTGTTGCTTCAGGCATCTAGAACCATCTGCCCATGTCCATCAACCCGGACCTTTCCTCACTGACAGCTGTTCCTTGATACATTATTCTTATCTCTCTCACCACCCGACCGACCCTTCCCAAGCCAGCGCCATTAACACCCCAGCATCAAGTCTCTACTCACTTTCCCAGGCTCTGTGGTCTAGCCTGAGATACGAACTCGCACCTCGAAGGCGTACTTCTTCCTCACCGAGTTCGGGACCTTTTTCAGGCGCGACGTCTGGCGTATGACTGCGACGTCAGTCAGGCCCTGAAGGTACGTGTCTGCTGCTAGTTGCTCAACGGCGCATCACACTATCCACCGTTTCTCTTTTATACGAACTCTCCGTTCATCATGTCCTTTCCGCCACCTCCAGGTCTTAGGCAAGCACCATCGTCGCTCCCTGCGCGCCCGCCACAACCAGCGAGCGCTGCTTCGCCTTCCACCTACCAATCCACATACTCGGCTGCGCCGTCATATGCGCCGCCCGGTGCAAGTAGCAGTTATGGCAGCCAGGGGCCGTCGCGACCCGGCTTCAGCGCCGCCACAGCCTTTCAACCGCGTTCAGTAGCCTCCACTCAACCCTACCGTACCAACAGTCCTGTTGTGTCCGCTCCACCCACCACTGCCAGCGGCTACGCGACCCCAACCACCACCGGCTACGGTAGCTACTATCCGCAACAAGCACAAGCATCGTACCAGAGCGGTCCGGCCTACTATGGGGCTCCCGGCCAGTATAATGACGGCAACACATATGGCCCGTCCGTCCCACGGATCCAAAACCCATTCCAGCCCGCTGCCGGAAGGGGCTACGGCGGCCGGAACGACTCCGGCATGGATCCGGAGACCGAGGCGCAAATTGCGCAGTGGCAGAGCGCCTACGCGAACAAAGAGGAAGTTCCGGCTGCCGGCAAGATTCCCGGACGGCGCGACGCTAACCAGGGCCCCATTGCTGGCCCCGCGTCCGGAGTGAATACCCCGTCTGGTCCCGCCACAGGAGCTAATACCCCGGCACCCATCGTGGGGATTCCCGAGCCCGCGCCGAAGACCGTTGTTCGTTCCGGTGGTGGACAGAGCTGGACCGACACGACACTGTTGGAGTGGGATCCGGCGCATTTCCGCCTGTTTGTGGGAAATCTGGCAGGCGAGGTTACGGATGACTCCTTGTTGAAGGCGTTTGCCAAGTACACGTCCGTGCAGAAGGCGCGGGTGATCCGGGACAAGCGCACGCAGAAGAGCAAGGGCTACGGGTTCGTCAGCTTTAGCGACGGCGACGACTACTTCAAGGCAGCGAGAGAAATGCAAGGCAAGTACATTGGCTCCCATCCGGTGCTGCTGCGGCGGGCCACCACTGAGGTCCGGCCCGTGTCGAACAACAAGAATGGGAAGAAGCACGGCGGTGGAGGCGGCTCGGGTGGGGGCGGTTCTGGTGGGGGCAAGGTCAAGCATGATGGAGTCAAGAAGCATGGGAAAACTAAGGGTGGCTTGAAGCTCCTCGGGTAACTGGGTTGTCCGGAGTGTACAAGGTGGATTGCCTTCGGTCCTCTCAGTTGGATTATGCTACGGCCTCGGGGATATTATGATAGAAAGAAAGCATTCTTAACTTCAAATCAGAAATTGTACGCAATATACCCTCGTTTTCAATCTCAGACATAATGATAACAACAAAAATAAAGATATATATATATATATGATATAGAACAAACTCCTATGATAAATAACACCCTGGTAGGTCAGAACCAGTCGACCTTCCCAGTCCAACCGAACAGAATATACAAAGAAACCCCAACCCCAATCCTCAAAGAACTTGAAACTCCCAACGACCCGAATCAAGTCCTCATATAAATCCCAATCATCCTCATACCCTCCTCACTAACAGCCGTGGCATCATCACAAACATAATCAACATCACCACCCATCGTAAATCATAACATAACCGAAACCATAACCCATGAACCCCATCCCTCACTCAGTAGCAGCCCGCAAGCGAAAACTTGGAATCAGATGCATATCTCATAGCACTCATAACGACCACCCATCCCATCGCGCGTAGAAGGATCCAACAACAGCCTGGCGCGAGACTGTGGATTTGGGGGTGTGGTTGACATCAACCGCCGCCGCCTTCCTCGCCGCTCTCCTCGTCCATCGCCCGTTTCCGGTAATTGACGCGGTTTCTCATGGTGTGGATGCCGTAGCCTGCGATGGCGAGGATGATGAATAGCACAATGATGATTACTGCTATCGCGATGTTTTCTTGCATTTTGAGGTGGGGTCTTTTTCTTCGGTTGGGGGTGTGGTTTTTTTGGTTTTGAGTTGGTTGGCTTTGTATAGAGTTGGGTAGAGAGCGAGCTTGATATAGAGTAGAGCGAGTGGGCGGATAGCGGCTTATCGTATCAATCAATCTGTGGGGCTAGATTGAGGATGGGTATAGATCCCCCTGGTTTCTGGGGACAAACAAGGGAGAGTTTGGGGAAGAGAGGAATGGAAGAAGGAGACGGATGGCATGTTTGGGTTATAAGGTTGTCCGACGACAGCCCTGGGCGCTCATAAGTGAGTGGGTGGTGGTTTGAGTGCTTCCCCAGCCATGTGGATTTTCCTGGCTGGCCTTGGTTTATTGCGGGTGGCTGGGGAAATGCGGTGATGCGCCGACAACAACAACCTTGAACAAGAATAGTACCGCTAGACCAAGGCGGTTTGCCGGCGCTAGTTCCGAGTGGGTTAAGGATGTTTATCGCTGGTCTACCTAGGGACTGAGGTGGTCCAGGAAGCTGAAAAGAAAGGGGGGTCCGGGGGTTCTCCCCCGGAACGTGTTATGGAACCGGTGATTAGAGGGTAGGGCTGGTTTGATTTGTTTACTAGCATGCTGTATAGCTTTTGATTCTTGGAGTTGGTTGGTCGGACTCATGCTACACTATTACATCTTCAATACTTCATTTTGAGTTGAACAATCGGACGAGAACTAATCCTCCGCATGAGACTGACACCCTTCATCATCATCACTCCCTTCATCGCGCTTCTTCACCGTCTTTCCCTTCTTCTTGCCCGCTCCATTCATCATCTCCGTCAGCGTCTTCTGGCCCTTCTTCTTCGCACCCGTTCCCTTGGCCGCCTTTTTTTCTTCCGCCTCTAACTTCCGCAGATACTGCTCCATCTGCTTCTCGCGCATCTCTCTGCCTTCCTCCGCCAACTTTGCCTCCAGAGCCCGGAACTCCTCGCCCTCCGGGTCCATCCCGATCAACGACTCGAGGAGCTCAATCTCCCTCGCCCAGACACTAGGATCAGCAACCAACTTCGCCGAGGCGCTGACCGGCTTCTTTGTAGTCTTCTTCTTGCCCTTCGCCGGCTCATCCTCTCCGCTTTCATCCTTAGGCTCAGACTTTACTTCCGGCCGGTCGATCGGCGTCTCCAGGATCATCGGCACCCCCTCGAACCGTTTCTCGTTCATCACATTGTGGAACCCCCGAAGTCCCAAGAACCCCGTGCCGATGTTCGCGTGGAGATCCCGCTTGCTGCCGCGCGGGGCCTTGGAGTCGTTGAGGTGGAGCGCCCGGATGTGTTGGATGCCGACCAGGTCCTCGAACTCCTGCATGAAGGCCGCGAACCCGGTCGGGGTGACGAGGTCGTAGCCTGCTGCGAAGCTGTGGCAGGTGTCGATGCAGATGCCGATACGCGGGTGAAGGTCCGCGGGAATCTGCGCGAGTAAGTCCTTGAATTCTGACAGCGAACCGCCGATCGTGCTGCCGTGGCCGCTCATGGTCTCGAGGACCGGGATCACCGTCGTGGTGGCGCGGAGAGCCGATGTAAGCGCCGTGGCGAGTCGAGTTATCGCACTGGCGTGGGGTGTAGAATTGGCCGAGCCCGGGCTGTGAAGCTTGTTAGTATCAAGGTAAAGGGAGGGCTGGGCTGGTAATGAGGCTGGCTGGCTGGCTGGCGTACTGGAAGTTGTATAGTTGGATCCCTAGAGCTTCGCATCGCCGCAGGTCGTCAAGAAATGAATCGTAGGCTTGCTTGGCTTTGGCTTTGTCTTCTTGAGCGAGGTTCACAAGGTAGGAGCCGTGCGGGAGGATGTGTCTGGTATCCATTAATAGGCCGATACATGATGCGCTGTGGTGGGAGAGCTCACTTCGCTGCATCGTATTTGTGCTCCTTGCAGAGCGTTCGGAATTGATCGCGATGATCGTCTTGGAGAGGGGGATTGTCCCATTTCCTTTGCGACTTGAGGAACAAAGCAAATGCGTTTCCACTGATAATGGGTCAGTTCGTAGTCGAACGAACTCCGGATGTGGCCGACTCACCCAATATGCATGCTATTATTCACCGAGTTGAAGACACCTGTAATGACCATCAGCATCGACACCAGTACACATAGAGTGGAGAGACGACCAAGGCGACGAACCTTTGGCCGCGCTGACATGCGCCCCAACAAGCATGCGCAAACCCGGCGTCCGAGCTCTCAAGGGCAACATTTTTGCCTCCTCTTTGGTTTTCTGTTTCCTCGAAACCTTGACTGTTTGCGTCGGCTTCTCCTCAATCTCCTCCTCCTTCGCTGGAATGTCTTTATCCTCTGTTGTAGTTGCGACAGTGATCGTTGTTTCGACTTCCTCCTCGGTTTCCTTCTTTACTGTAACGGCGGCAGCGGCCTTGCCTCCGCGGGCTCTATTGCTTTTCGGAGTTTGCGCAGACGCAGTACTGACTTGCACTTTCGATGGAATATTTGACAATGACGTAACGGAGCCTTCGGCTGGCTTTACACGCTTTGATCGACGGAGTGGGGAGGTTTGTTCGCGGACTTCGTCGACGAGCTTGCGTTTGTGGTCCTGCGGAGAGTGCGGTGGCGAGACGGCGACAGCGCTGGATGCTGCTTTACGGGTAGCACGAGGAGGCATGGCGCCGAGCTCACACTCAAAAGAGTCAATGAAGATGATTTGGGAATGGCAAAATATCTATGCACCTTAAGAGTTGCGCGGGTGGGTCGTGCAAGACTGTCAAAACTGGTGGTTCCGGCGATTTGGAGGCGCGGAGCGGAGCGGAGTCCGCGAAGTCGAGGCCTTATTGCCTCATAGAGAAACACGGTTCCACCAACACACCGCAAACATGGCATTGAGTCTCTAAATTTCTTTCTAGTATAACTACTATGGCGAGATAGCTTTTAGATACTGTTCGGAGCTGTTTCAAGCTGGCTACATGACGAGCCTTCGCATCATGGCTGACCAGCTGGTGGTAGATTCAATATTATCATTTCAGGCATAGCGTGCATGTGACCCGTCGCCAGGGCAACCGCGCCTCAATTAGCGGATGTTTATCGATAAACTCGATTTGCTTCAACTTCTGACTTGGCTCGCTTCCCCAGTTTTGACCACGACGACCATCGCCATCCGCCGCCCAACGCCAACCACCAAATCGCCGACACTACTGCACCGACCTGAACACCCTTGACGCCAAGTTTGAACCCATCTCGCGAAGTGGGAGACCCTTATTTCGCTGTTCATCGCCGCCATGGCGGCCTCCGACGACCTGATTGATTTCGACATCATCGAAAACCAGAAGGAGAACATTCAATCTCTACCAGGGGGCCGATCTGCCCGGGAACTAGCCCGTATCTTCAGCCCGCGGGAGACCACAGACAAGCTCGCTGTCCCATCGCCAAACGAGACTAAAACTGTCAATGATGCTATCAGACAAGAATACGAGGCGGAGCTGCAGGCTATTGACGAGTCGGACGACCCCCTCGATGTCTACGATCGATATGTGAAGTGGACACTCAACGCCTACCCCTCGGCCCAGGCCACTTCAGAATCAGGTCTTCTCCCTCTCCTGGAACGCGCCGTGAAGCACTTCCTCTCCTCAGCTCACTACAAGAACGACCCCCGCTACCTGCGCTTATGGTTGCAGTACATCAGACTTTTCTCGGATTCACCGCGAGAGACATTCGCATTCTTGGCGCGCCACCGCATCGGTGAGAACCTTGCCTTGTTTTATGAGGAGTTCGCAGCCTGGCTCGAAGGGGCGGGAAGATGGACACAGGCAGACGAAGTCTACCACCTGGGGATCGATCGGGAGGCTCGGCCAGCAGAACGGCTGGCCCGCAAATACCGCGAGTTTCAGCATCGGTACGAGCAACGGACGCAAGACAATGGCCCCTCGTCTCCGGCCTTGCCCGCCGTCCGCCCAGCCTTGGCTGCCAAGGTTGATCCTTTTGCGTCGGCTACACCCGCCTCGCCTGATCCGCAGGCCGAGCGCCCGGCACCCGCGCGGAGTGCCGCCCCGAAGACGAAGTCCGGCAAACCGAAGATGGCCATCTTCTCTGATGCTGGCGCAGCGAGCCAGCCGGCGGTCAGTGGACCGGCGCAAGGGTGGGACAACATCGGATCGCTGCATGATCGACGCAAGGAGAACAAGGTGGAAGCGAAACCGTGGGCGGGAGAAACGTTGAAGGCCGGAAAAAAGCCCGTGCCGAAGGAGAAGATGACGATATTCAGGGATGAGGTATGTGAATTTGCCGATTCTCTCTGACTTTCCAGATATTTACGATCACAGGACTAATTGGTGGCATGAACCCGGGTTGGTTTACGATTAATGTATTCAGTCAAAATCCAAAATCCAAGTCAAACAAGACACTCCAGATTCAGTTCCAGAGCACCGTGTAAGGGAAGCGATCAACCCACGTACCGGACGCCGAGAACGCGTCTTCGTCAACCTCGATGCTGTATATCCTGAATATAAGAATCCCAACCATGAAGTTAGCTTCGAGGAGCTCAGAGCGATCAACCGGGGGTGGATGAAGAAGGATTGGCGGGTGCGCAAGGCACCGCTCAGGGAGATTCCTGGCAATGCTAATGCTGAAATTGCCCCGGAAAATCCGCTCGAAGTCGGCATAGAGAATGAACTGCCTGCAGAATTCAAGCAGAAACTGACCGTGAAGGATAGAGATACTCATGCGCAGGAACAGGCTGGAGCAAATACGGTCCAGGAGAACAAAGCCAAGGCACGAAAAATGAAAATGCGCGAGGTCAAGCAAGAAACTCAGACGAGTAAGCGTGTCCCTCGGGCCCAGGTGATACTGTACTATTCATGAGTGCTAATCAGCTCGCAGTTAAAATGAAGTTCGACTCTCCGACAGGAGGAAAGATTCGTCGCAAAAGCACCGCCGAGCCTACCATGACCATTCACACACGGGCTGCGACTGATGAGATCTATAGTATATTTAATCAGCCTCTGAAGGCAGAGACTGATCAAGCGGCCGAAAGTGACTTCGATGATGATGATTACACTAGTGCTGGGGAGAGTACTGTGACGGGGCATATTTCCGCAGCTTCGAGCGATTTTGGCGACGATGAAACAACAACCTTCCACAAGTCCTTTGACGAAGATGGTTTCGAGGATAACACACGGGCCGAAAGTGTTATCGATGGTGAATGGACCCAATTCTCCGCTTGTGACGTCCCTGACTCACACACGTCTCATTCACTCGCTGATGAACGTCCGTCATACGGCGGGAGAGAGAACGAAGAAGAGCAGTTGGACGAAAACTCCGGTGTTGAGCAGCCTGAGAGACAACGATTTGTACCAGAAATGCCCGAGGATTACGTTGCGCCCTACGGCACTTACCGAGATCCTGCAATGGTAGCTCAGAACCGCTTGCCATTTATGACACCCATCGTTGAGCAGACGGAGTACTCTATTTCGATGACAGCAGCCAGAGCCCAGATGTATAATGCGAAGACACCTTCCAAACCCCAGATGGGCAACCTCTTGTCGAGCCCGCTGCTTGCTACCACGCCTTACCATGAGGACCACTTTGCTGATATCCCTGAGGATGTGACCATTTGCCCGAATGTGGATGAAGTGCGGTCGAGCATGAGACTAACACCCTTGAGTGAGAGCAGTCGCCAGGAGCCTGTTATCGCGCAATTGCAATGCAGTCCCACGAACAAAGACATTCGCAACACAATTCTTCGATCTCTACAGCCACCACTAGCCTCTTACTCAGGCTACCACAACCACCCGCAGATGGTAACCCATTACGGCTCAGAGGTCCAGAGATTTTTCAAGGCGAATAGTAAGCGTGGGAGGAGTGGGGATGAAGCGGCTTTTGACTTGCCTATTCTTGAACTTCCAGGTGCCGACAGAAGTTATATCATCCGACGTGAACTTGGTGCTGGAGCTTATGCCCCTGTATACTTCGCCGAAAGCATCGAAGGGCTACCGTCCGACTCGGAGAACGAATCAACAGAAAACTCCAGCAGAGATTCCCGCAACAAGACCATTTCCAGCTACAACACCCCGCGATATGGGTTTGAGGCCCTCAAATTGGAGGTTGGCCCACCGAGTGAATGGGAATTTTACATGATTCGAACTGCACACGACCGCTTGACACGAAACCCTGAGCTATCTCGCGCCACAGACAGCATCATTCGTGCTCACGAGCTTCATGTATACAAGGGCGAAAACATCCTGGTGGAAGACTATCGTGGTCAGGGAACAATTTTGGATCTGGTCAACCTCGTCCGCCACGAACCCATCTCAACAACCACCAACAGTGAGTGTGGATTGGACGAGGTGCTTGCCATGTTCTTCACGGTTGAACTCTTCCGGACCGTTGAAGCTCTGCACTCATGCGGTATCTTGCACGGAGACATTAAAGCGGACAACTGTCTTGTCCGTCTCGACGACAAGCCCGCCTTGTCTCCCACGCTGATCGACTTGGGCAATGACTATTCCGACCCGCGCGAAGTGTACTATTCCCCCAAGGGTCACCACGGCTGGTGCAACAAGGGTCTCTCCCTGATCGACTTTGGCCGCGGTATTGACATGCAGGCGTTCTCCCCGTCGGTCCAATTTCTCGCCGACTGGGACGTCGGGAAACACGAGTGCAACGAGATCCGCGAGGGCCGACCCTGGACCCACCAGATCGATCTGTACGGACTGGCCGGGACGATCCACGTGATGCTCTTCGGCAAGTACATCGAATCGATGCCCGTCCGCCGCAGCGAGGGCGCCTCCTCCGACTCGGACAGTCCCGACTCCTCGACCACGCGCACCTACCGCATCCGCGAGTCCCTCAAACGCTACTGGGAGCGCGAGATCTGGACCGACGTCTTCGACCTCCTCCTCAACCCCGGTGCAGAGCGCTGGGTCAACGTCGAGCGCGAGAACCCAAACCCCGCCGCCAGCACGTCGACCGGACCCATCCTGCCCGTAACGAACTCGATGAGACTTCTGCGCGAGCGAATGGAAGCCTGGCTCCTGCTGAACGCAGAGAAGAAGGGCCTAGGTCTGCAGATCCGTAAATTGGAAGCGATCTTCGCTGAGCGTAAGAAGCGTCTGGAGAAGGTCTAACAAACGTTTCCTTCCTGTTGCACCTCTTTTGTTTGTCCCCTTTGGACCTTTTTTTTTTTTTTTTTTTTAGTCAGTGCCCTGGCCTTCATTTTTTGTCCTTCGCGTTTCGGTCTTGGTGTTTGCATGATGATCTAATCTCACATCCATCCCTAGTTTATACCCCCCCCCACCCCTCCTATCTGTGCGGTGTGCTTTGAGATCTGGTCTTTGGTCTTGTTTTCACAGCGATGGCGTTAGGTGGGATACTTTTACTCCCTGTCTCTCGTTACTCGGTTTTAATTTATTCCTTCCCTCTGGTTTTGTCTTATCGGTAATGAAACAGGGGCTGGCTGCACATCAGTCATCACTGTAACTACTGTATCATTTCTCCGGAATAATGTTTCTTTACCTCTGCTTGCTGGTTTGCGCATCTTGAGATAGGTAGCGTAGGCTTTTCGACGTATTTCTGGAGACCGGCATTGAGATTGAGCGTATGCACTGGGATTCAACAGTTCCCGTCCCTAGTAAGGTCAAGGCCAAGGCTCTGTCTTCGTGCCGTTGGCTGTACGGCCCTGTCCGTGTTTGATATCATAGATGAGTGATGAGCATCGCCGAAGAGTAAGAACAAGTCTACAGCCGGAAGGTTCATAGATCTGAGTTAGGGTCCTCTCCGAAGGAGGACCAACCACCCAGAATTATTGTTACAGTCTTGGATTCATAAAAGTCAATTCAATCGATCAATTGAGTACATGTTACGCTTATCCTTCGCAGGACTCAGGCATAACTCAGACTGAGCATGCAAGTTTCTCTAGAGATAGATAGAAAGATGAAAAGGGGGTGCTGCAAGATGGGAACATCAAGAAACAGACAGTCTTCTGCTCAACATTTCAGGGGGGAAAAAAAGAGGGGGCAAGGGGCCTCAGGCTCACATGCCACACAAACAATAAGAAAAGAACGCTAGAATAAGAATTTGAAGGCCATCGTTTCGCTTGCTTTGCTATCCATGTGATGTTTAGATAAAACCATTCATCCCAAGCAGGAACGTCAAATTCGATGGAGCATGATCATATCATCTATCAAAAATATCATTTCAGTCAATAGCGCGTCTCTTCCGTTCCAATCGTCGTCGTGTTTCCTGTGGGTACACGCGGTTTCATTGTCGTAGCAAAAAGAGTAGATAGATCGCACAGGAGGTCGATTGTCGGTCGGTCGGTGAGGTGAGTGGTGATGAGATAGGTAAAAAGGAAAAAGGAAAAAGAAAAGGGAAATTGTCAAAGAGTGCAGTTAACCACGAGGGAGCGAGCTGTCGGTTGGGTGGTGCTAGCAACTGCCCTACATGGTAGTCGGAGATTCAGTTGACCTTTCAAAGAATGAATTTGGTTCGGTAGGTGGGGAAGGGAAAGGAAAAAGGAAAAGAAGGAATGTGTGGTTGACCGTCAACAGCATTGTGCAGAGAGCTTTGGAAGTCTTGCAGCAAATGAGGCGAATGGTCTTGTTGAGCCGCTCATGGGTGCTGTACAAGACCAGTGCTGCAATAGTCCGAGGTAAATTTCACAAGAATAAGGAAACAAGAATCCATTTCTGTCGATTTGATCCGCTTCAGCCAGTTTGGCTGGTACACCATGGTCCCTGGTTCCGGAGCATAACACCACGGTGATTGCTGTTAGAGCCACAGACATGAATGCACTTTAGCAATGAATGTTTGCTGGTTTTTCGTATGTTGCCAATGTCGAGAATTTTCAACAGGCAAGACTCTGGGAGTGGAATTTAAGGTAAGGTCATAAGATCGTCAATGCCGTTTCTGTCATTATTATTTGATCGAATGCGATCAATATCGCTATCGATCAATCGTCCAGATCATTAGTGAGATAATTGTCACCAGCAATTATCGCCTTGTGTAGGGCATGTTGAGGATTTGCCTGCGAATTCGTTCTGCATCAGATATGCCTTCTTCTGTCGGGTCATAAGGGAGCGGACTAGTCGTCTCTGGTGCCTTGAGAGGGGTGCCAGAATTGGTCGGCCTGAATTGTGGGAGTAACCCACTTGCGAACGGGTCGGAGAGAGACGGTGCATGTTTGACGTACCGAGGCGAGGTTTCGGGCCGTTTGACGGTCTCAACCTTGAACGGTGAGCCCAGTCGTTTGATACTGTCCCCTACCAAATTGAGAAGAGGGTTGACAGGCTTTTCCGCAAGGCTATCAGCTTGGCGAGACGAAGATGACGGTGGAGAAAATAGCTGATCGATACCCCTCGGGTTCACCGCACTCATTGTCGCTCCACGATTGCGAATTCGTATCCGGCGTTGATCCATCTCGTTCAACTTTCCTTGGCGGACAAGCTCTTCCAATTGATTCCACGTATCCTGTTCTACAGGCGACTCTATGGCAGCCGCATTGCTGGCATTCGTGGTCTCACGGTCCACAGTGGGGAACGTCGGCGGGGAGCGTAGGCGCGAACCAGTAACGTGGATTGTATCTCGTCTACTCCGTGGCGTATGACGCTGGTGTCGTTTTCTCGAGCCATGGGGACCCCAGGTATTATACGTAAATGGGGACCCCAGGCGGGGTATGGGTTCTTGCTCGTTGATGTTCGCAAAGTCCCGCACGTGTGGCTCCATTGGTGCAGGTTGCGCCACCCCGAGTCTCGGATTGTTGAACCACCCATCGTCCTTTTTCGGCAAAGAAGAATGCTCTGCCGTCAGTTGAGCGAGAGGTCCGTGGACCGAGCTAGCCACCAAGGATACGCCCAGATCGCGTGTTGCATAGGCCGTTGAACTATTACTAGGGGCATCGACCTGAGAAGTTTCCCGTGAGGCCCGAGTGAACAAATCGTAAAATGGTGTCGGGCTCTTCGACTGCATCATTCGCTGGTAATGAGGTGCGATGGAAAATTTCTTTCTGCAGAGAAGCTTCAGCCTGCGCCGGGTCGACGCCTCCGACTTGGGCCAGACTGGTCTTGCGGTATCGGCCTTGGGGGTCGGCGTTGTGTCTCCGCCTGAACGTGATTGGAGTATGGCGAACGGGAACTGCTTGTCCAGTCTGAAACGGCGCTTCTCCCAGGTCCGTTTGGCGTCGCGTGCAACTCTATGAGTGACACCTAGGGGCGGAATACTACCCGGAGTCATCTTGAAAGGAGTGATCGTTGGATCCTGGAGGTATAGCTGATAAGTGTTCCACAGATGATTGTCCATCTCGATTGTCCAGCGCTCCTTTGCCAGAAAAGCCCGGGCTTTGTTCTTGTGTGCTGGGCGCATGGTTGGCGTCTCGGTAACATGCTTTGGGGGCAATTCAAGATGGAAAAATGGATCGTACGAATCGCTTTCCATGCTCGTACAGCTTCCGCCCGCCGAGCGCCGCGACCCGAATGTTTCAATGGACGAGACAGAGGAATCCGATGCTTGCGAGCAGGCGGATCCAGGACGTTGAATGCTTTCTCCAAGGTCCCGATGATCTTCGGGGGACCACGGCTCAACCAATTGCTTGTCTAGATCCGGACGAATCTGGGCTGGAGGGGTCTTGAGGGCGACTCGGTCCCGAGGAGGCGCCAGGAATCGGTCATCGCGTGACGGGATCGCTGGGCCTGGGTTGGCAACGAAGGTGTCGCGGGAAGTGGGAAATTCGATTGAGGGGAGGGGAATGTCGGAGGGATTTGGATGAGCCGTGCTGAGGTCATACTCGGCTTGCGCAAAGACGTTGGTCCCGGAGCGCACACGAGACCGGCGAAGGCGACAGCTGGAATGACGCAGCGGCGGCGGCGGGACATCGAGGTGCGCTGACGTGCGCTCGGGTGTCCTGGGCTCCCCTATGCTGGTGGAAGGGAAAGTGAAATTCTTGGGCAGCGTGCGCGAAAGACCCAGCTGTCGAGACTCCATGGTGTACAGGTGACGATCTCGCGCAGCGGAGAGTGGCAACAGACTGGATCGCGACGGCTTGGTCCGAAGAATCAGTACGTACTCTTAACAAGAACACTGCTTCTGACGCTATAACATGTCGCTCGTCTGTGATGTGTTATGCGCGGTCGAAGGAGATTATCCTAAGCAAGAATCGAAACGCGGACTTGAGAATCCGAGGTCGCGCGCAGTATAAGCGACACCAATTGGTCGCGCTGATACTAGACTGTGGTCGTTATTCCGCGTGATCCAGGCAGACAGATTATGACAGTGTCCAAAAGGATGTTTAAAGTAGGAAATACGTTTCACTTGGTAGTTGAACGTCTTGAGTCGAACTCGAGGGAGATCGGTTAAGCGCGCTATAGGATTGGGGGGGGGGTTGCGGAGGGTCGTAAATCGTAACACTAGGTGCGAGCAAAAGAAAAGGAAAAACAAAGTACGTCGAGGTGTGAGTGGTCCGGGGAACTGTTGGGCGAAAGTGATGTGAAGCGCGACGTTCTGGAATGTAGCGATGCGCTGGAATTGAGACAGAATCACAGTGATCGGTTGGCGCGGTCCATTGTCCGATCGTCGATTTAGTTGAAGTATGGGGAAGAGGAGGCGGACATCAACCACCCGAACAAGCCAAACCAACACAAGAAGTAAAAATGAAAAGGAAATGGGGGGAAGGGATGGTCAAGGACGAGCGACAGGCTCTATCGGAGAAAAAAAAAAAGGAAAAGAAACAACGTGGCTGTAGAGGAAGAAAGGGTGAGCGAGAAAGAAACGGGGAGAAGAGAGGAAGAGAGAGAGAGAGAGAGAGAGAGTCGGAGGGAGAGGGAGAGGGAGGGGAGGAGGGAGTAAGAGTAAGAGTAGGAGGAACGAGGCAAGGGCAGGGAGTGATTCGGAAGGAAGTTTAGGCCTGAGGGAGAGACAGCCGAGAGACAAGAAGAAGCGCAACAAATACCAACTAACCACCACTAACTTACAGTGGAGTTTCTTCCACGTCAGGGCCTCTTTTGGGTTGCTCTTTAGCTCTTTAGGTTGGCTCTTTACATAGCTTCCTGGGCTCGATCCTCTCCAGATCTCCATGTCCCCTGTTTCCCCCGTTCCATGGATGCCCGTCCCCATGCGCGGAAATAGTTGTCATGTCAAGTCAGGTCAGATCATGTCATATCATGTCATCTCAACCCCATTCTTTTCAATTAATCTTGCACTTCTTTCTCTTTTCCTCATTATCATATGCAACCATTCTCCAAAGCAGAAGGGGAAGAGACCAGAACAGAAAAAGAAAGGGAAAGGCGTTCGCGTCACCTTGGCTCTGGAATGCGGAGAATTGATATGCTGGACAGACATGCTACGCTGGACATCCCATCCTCGTGAGCCACTCAGCCATCGTGCTGACCCCCTTTTTTGTCTTTTCCTCTTGTGTCATGATCGTTTTCTCACTGGCATTTTTTCTTCTTCTTCTTCTTGTTCTTGGTCTGATTACTTGTTTGATAAGCTTGGTCGCTGGTCAGTCCTCTTCGCATCATTCACTTATTGACCTGAAAGTGAGGCCGGCATCACCCTGCGTCAGGAAGAAGATAGATTGATAGTGAGCAAAAGGGCCTCCCGCCTCACCGCGTTGCCCAACGATCTCCTAAAGATGAGCGCCTGCAGTTGACTCGACAAATGGCCGTCCCGCTGATGGGGCGGATCGTTGTTGGCCCCTCCGAAAAGGGGACTGACTGTCTGTACCTTTGCATGGGCTGCAGCGCTGGTGTCATGTCGGGCCACGCCCAAGAATTAATTTCCCCATTACTCTATTCGCAACATTGCTCGTCCTCGACCCTGCAAGGGTGTCCGGTGTGATGGGCTCGAATTATTTTCCCACTGCAGTGTGACTTACTACTGGGAGTAGTAGTTTTCCTTGAGTACTACTAGGAGTACCTCCGCTGCTCAGCTGCTCCTCCAGGTTTCTCTTTTCTGGTGATGACAAGCTCCACGACCCCGAACTTCAATAGACTCACGAGGCATCAGCGGGTCCGCCATTGGATCTACAACCCGTGCGTGAATCCCGCAAGTGACCACAGTACCCGTCCCGACTTTCCCGGGTCTATGCCCTAGTGTCCAGGTGAAGGAAAGTCAGGTGGCTGGGAAGGAATTTTTCTGTCCTGGATTGGATTGCTGTCCAACAAGGTGGCTCGTCCTCTACCAGGGGGGCTTCCTCGAAGCCGGAGGAGAGTCGAGGGACGAGGGAGGAGGACTCGGGGGCTGTGTGTGACGGTGAGACAGCGCGAATAGGCGAACACTTCCCCCGAGGCAATAATGAACTCCAGTCTCCTGCAGAAGCGTTCTCCACCGTCTGGCCAAACGAACCCCGATGCACTGGGCATGCATTAGCATCCCAACCCGCAGCCAGTAGCAGAAGGAGATGGCCGAGCACTACGGAGTAGTTCAATTGGTATGCGCCGTATGGTACGGTTTCGACAGAGAGTGGGCAGTGAGTGAGGAGAGAAGCCGGAAGAAGATTCTGCTGGTCTTCCTCCATTATATACTAATTTCCCCCTTGTTTGGCTGATAGCGTCCTTCTTTACCCACCGAATTGCACTCTATGATTTCCTAAGAAGTCAATTCATGAAGAAGGGGAACCACAGAAGGGGATTGAATCGAATTGCCCGCCGACAAAGACGTGACCCTTCAAGGTTCCGTCCGAATCGGGCTTATCAGCAAATTCTCAACGCGTCGGAAGGTGGGGTAGACGCGACTTTACCGCGTGATCAACGCGTATCCGCGCGTCTGGTAAGTGACCGTATCTGTCTCGCTTTCCACCATTCAGCACGTGCATCGCAGGGTACGGGGTTTACCGCTACTGGAGGGGTCTGTATGTAAATTTGATATCGGTTCCTGGCTAAAAAATCAACTAAGCCCGCACTTAACTCCATCGTTGTTTTCCCGCCCAAAAATAGCACCGAAATTCAGATGGCTGGGGATGGAGCACTACAATCCAGGAACAAGGAAAAGTCCAATTGAGTCGACTATAATTAGACACCGCTACTATGATGTCCATGCTGGAGTGGGTAGGCGAGCGCATTGAGCACCAGATGGCATGGAACTGATATGGCCGGACTGTGAAAGTGGGACTGGCGGATTCAATCTCTCAGGGACCGGTACTTCCGAGCGAAGACGCTTACTGCTACCGGGGTCTGGGTCGCTGGATCGGTCCAGCTCGAACCAGACATCATCCATGGCTGTTCTCCAGGGATCAAGAACGGTTCCCAGCATTTACCGGAACCTGGTTGAGCTTGATTTTCCATGCCTCAACATAGCAAGTCCGTCACTGACTACGCTTCCCACCAAGCGCTGTGTCAAGAAAGCACAGCTATTTGCATTAAGGAGCAAAGAACTAACCAGCGTCAAGTTTCGTCTATCCCTGCCGAAAATCCTCCTGCACCGTTAATCCGTGACCCATTAAGCTTATCGCCCATTGCTTCTTCTCTTCTCATCCGTCCTCCGCACGCTATACTCTGTATCTGTATCCATCCTAAGCCACCAGCAGCAGTAGTAGCAGCAATCAAGACTTGATAGCAGATTCCCAAGGCACGTGCATGTCACACCTGCAACCCGACCACATAGAGCCAGGCCTGTCTATTTAGTATCTTGGAAGAAGTAAACAAACTTCACCTTACCAAATCAACATCCGTCAACACTGAATCCACCTCATACTTCTCATCACGTACAGAAAATACCACTAGAGCCATAAGACAAACATCCCTAAGAAGCCCCAATGGTCCAACCCAAGACCCAATCCGCGGACGTAGACCTCAACCTCCAACCTCAGAAAAAACACCAACCCAAAAGCATGGCAAAATACCTCCCCCCGAACTAGAATACATCAAAACAACCCCCTTACCGAGGTAGATCCAGTTCAAAACAGATGCACCTCAGCCCGCATGCACCATCAACCACTGCAACAACCGCACCCACCAAGCCGGTAAGGCAGTAACCAATCCTACACGGTCTACGCAGCATACCAAGGGCACCCCAACCCCAACTCCACCCCAGCCTTAAGTCCTCCAGCACCGAACCCCCTTCGGGCAGACAAACTCCCCATCGAGTAAGTATCAATCCTCCGAGTCGAGTCCGCCATAACAACCCCTCATCACCATCCCTCATCGCCACCATCATGATAATACCCAGTACTAACGCATGTCCCAGAAGAGAACCAACTTCCTCATCAGTAATACATAGGACCTAGGTATACCCGCATTCCTGACCATGAAGCAAGTCTAACGAACCCCCGCCTCGGGATGGACCATACAACACACAAACCCACACCATAGGGAGAGCTTTCTTCATTGCACGTCATAGACATTCCCTTTGTTTGGGCTGGACTGTACATGTGGTACTTCTGGGTGTGGGCTTGGTTTCAGGTTGGGCTTTGTGGTGCGGTGGAGAGCGCCCGGGGAGAAGGGACGGGAGGAGTCCGTTCGCTGCTTTGTTGCCTCCCCTCATCCCTTGCTGCGAGTGGGTTGCACTGCGGTGGTTATGTGTAGTTGTCGTCATGGTGGTGATGGTTTTAGCTCTGGATGCTACTGTACGTGCTTACTCTACTGCTGTGCTACCGCACATTGATCCTGAACACCGAAACGAGAGATGCAGTCTGTTATGGAGAGGGTAATAGCGGGTTTCGCACGGTCTAAGCGGCTGATATTTTATTTCTGGATGCATTCTACATACGTACAGTACACCCTCCCAGTCCAGTCCTCTATTCCAAACCCAAAAGCTCAACCTCCGGCGTCCGGCCCCGAAACAGCAACCGCACAGTCGGGTCGCAGATCGACTCGGTGCCGTGCAGGAAGTTGGGCGGACGCTCGGTCCGGTCCTCGAACTGCCAGTCGTATCGCAGCAGCAGGTGCACGAGCACGATCTTGAGCTCGTGCGCCGCGAAGAACCGCCCGGGGCAGGCGTGCGTCCCGTGCCCGAAGGCGAAGTGCTCGGCGCTGGTCGTCACGAATTGGAATCGGTGCTCGTTGCCCGGTGACTGTCGCCATCGGTGGAAGCGCAGGCCGTCGTAGGTCCCGGGTGAGGCGTAGATCGTCTCGTCTTGCAGGTTGTGTGCTGAGACCTGCATCAGCGCGCCCTTGGGCAGGCGCGTGCCGTCTGATAGGGTGAGTTCTTTGGTGGCGATGCGGTTGAGTAGGGCTATCGGGTGGGTATGTTGTCAGTTCGCTGGAGAGGGGGTAGTGTTTTGTTTGGAGGGGAGGGAGGGTTGTTTACCGAGTCCCGGGGGGTTCATTCGCTGGCTTTCCTTGAGGACGCTGTCCATCTTCTTCATCTTTGTTAGGCTGGTCTTCTTCAGGCACCCTCCGTCTTCGTCAATGACCGCCTTGATCTCGTCGCGGAGTACTTGGATGTATTCGGGGTGGGCCGCTAGATCGTACATCACGTTGGTCAGGAGGTTGGACGTCGTGTGGATAGCCGCCAGACTGAGTCCCATCTGCCACTGGGCCAGGTCGATCTCACGCCCGGCTGTGGCCTCGAGAAACCAATCCAGTACATCCTCGTGGCTCCGAGCTGGGTTCTCGGCGGGGAGCCGACCCTCCCGGATAAGTCTTCGTCGTGAGATCTCTTGGTTGGCGATGGCTTTCCCGATGCTCAAGTTTTCCCGAAGCCTCTGGAGGCTGGGTATGAACCAGTGCACTAACGGGTGGAGGAGCGATGGCCAGGCCCGGAGATCGCGCGCACCCATGAAAGCATTAATGGTGAAGTTGACCGAGACGTTCAGCCACTGCTCGTCGCGACAGACCTTGTCGCCCATGAAAACGAGGGTTGACAGCCGTGCAACTATATATGGTATCTCCGCGGCGAAGCTGATAGGGCTCCATGCTGTGTGCACCCGTGGTCAGTGTCGAGCAGTCCTTCTGGGGATGCGAGCACATACTATCGCTTGGGGGCAGTTTCTCCTGCAAGACGGCGCCAGTTTCCTTCGACAGAGGACGCACAAGTTGACCTGAATACATGTTAGCAGTGCTGATCACTTAAATTGAAAGTTGCGTACCGAGACTATGGGTTAGACGCTTGTTGATCACATCCAGGACCAGTGGGCTCATATTCCCAAAGACCTCAAAGCCGGGAATTTTAGCTCCAAAGAAGGTCTGGTCAACTCAACACGGGTCAGCTCTGCACGACTTTCATTGTATCACGAGAGCAGATACTACCTTTTTGTTGGCTTCATCGAAGTTGAGATGGGGATTATTCTTGACCTCATCTACAAGACTGGGATGCAGGATGACGGTTTGGTTGGAGCTCGAGACCAACTGGAAGGCTTTTCTGCCCTAGATCGAGTTCTGATTAGTACTGTACATCATCCACCATACCGCTATCGAGAACTCCGAGAGACTTGTTAGTCTTTAGGGTAAGACAAAGCACGAACCTGGCTGAATCCCTCGGCAAACAACTCCTTAGCAGAGGTGACGAAACGCTGCTTAGCCTTGCTGTTCGAAAGCTCCCATCTACTCTTCCCAATCAAAGGGATGTTCTTGTATGGGAAGCTATCAGCGATGTCATGATAGAAGCTCGACACGAATATCAGAAGCAAGGCGACGACTGCGCCCTGCACCAGATGCTGGCTCTCCAGATGCTCCAGAATCAAAGCCATTGTTACTTGCTTGAATGAAAGTCATCTGGGACGACAAGGGGGATAGGACGAGGTATATATAGGGGGTGTTTGCGTTGGTATCTCTCTCCGAAGTCACCGATCTTAACCCATCCTGTCAGCCTGGACTGGCTGTCGTAAGAACCAAGAGAATCAGCGGTGCTTAGGCCACTTATTCCGACGCCAGGAGCCCGTTGAGAGGGCGTCGGAGCTCAGTGCGAAACGCCGAAGCATTCTTGTCTATCATCTGGATTGAGTTCGTTGGATACGCTCAATACGATAGACACAATGAGCCACACGAGCTTTGAGAGGGGCTGTGATCGGCGGGTCAGCTATTCATTGGTGATTGAATAGCGAAGTGCCGTATATAGGCTGGTTGAATACAACAGTTCGATTCCTAGAAAATCTAGAATAGTTCCAGAGATTCGACAATCCCTGGTGATAGGCGTGGGGATTTACCCGGTAGGGTAGGTCGGATGTCCAGGGATGGTGATTGGAGATCTTCGACCCAGGGACTAAATTGGGGTAGAATCCTGACTTGCAATATCATGGATGGCGCTTGATCCTTCCAAAGTGCGTGGCGGTGATTGTAGCGTTCGCACATAGAGTGGCCACAACGGTAGGTCTTCTTGATACTGCGCGTCAGATTCACCCAGACACAGTCGATAAATTGCACGCGTGAAAATTGACGAAGTCCAAACAGTGGACGGAGAGTGGGTCTGGGATAGATGAGTGATTAATTAAGTCGATATCTAATTTGTCTCTTCATGTGGAGGTGAAGGTTGACTAGTGATGGGGGATGGTTTCGTCGGACTGAAGACGCTCCTAACCGATACGGCGGATACGCAATTTAGCCTGCAGCACGATCCACTAAATTAACCACTAACCATCTCATGATCCTCGGTCCTGTCAGCATCATGAGCACCAAGCATCGGCCCCGTCATACACAATATGACCAATAGTAAGAATGACTTGGAGATGCGAACAATATCCTGATCTCTTGGTCTTCTTCCACCATCCTGCAGGATACCTCGTATCTCCACAACCAGCGACTGATCTCCTGCCTGCAACTAACCTCCTATTGTCCCAAGAGAATATACACTTGCTACGAAATTGCGAGGCCTACCGTTGACTACATCCAATTAGTTCGATAAAAGACAACCTCTGTGGGAAGAGGCCAGAAACTTGGCACTATCCTCTAGATATGGTTCTCAGAGACATGGAGAACTAGACTTCGAAATTACGAGCTTGCCATCTCCAACATGCATGCGCACTCATAATGAACTGGCTGGATCAATCATGAAACGGTATCATTGCTTATGGTGTTCAATACCAATAACCACTACATGTGTATCGACTGAGCTCAGCATATCAGGTTACAGTCATCGACAACGATCTTCCGGTGCTCTCGTCTGATGTTACCGAAACGCGAAGGAGAAATGGACCCGAAAGCACAGAAGCAGATGCAGATGCAGCCAGAACCATGCGCGATTCACACAATCGACATTCGTACGAATATAGGGGTGGACACTGGGCAACTATATAAAGAGCTGGATCGCAACAAGCTTTTATGGTGTTGATTTGGGACGCCAAAAATGTAATCGAAGTCACCGTGTTGGCACTGTATGAGATGCACAATGGGAAAACGAAGCAGATTACTTCCAATGAACTCGAACATGCGTCACTGTAAAGTAGACATGAATCAACGGATCAAGAAGAATTGGAGTCGAGCGGACAGTGTGGTCAAGCGCTGCTGGGATTTTCATCGCTGCTATAACAGTTATACTGACCTCTGGACAGGGGAACACTAGACATCATGTCATCTTCCTGCCTGTACACATTCCCGCAAAGGTAGGGCACCTATCAATAGACCAACCACACACATCCCCCAATCTCAGCCCAAACCTCCTCCAACCACCATTTACTCAACCCTCACGACTCACAAACCACCCCTTCCCTCCCACGACAATCCAAATCATAATCATAATCCCGAAACACATCCTCCGGCGACCCCTCCGCAGTCCCCAACCGCTGAAACCCCTTCCGCACTGTCGACTCCCTCTTATACTTCTTCGGCGACGACCCCCACGTCCTCATCGCCGACGCCGCCGTCGTAAACTGCAATTTCCGCCTCACCCGCGACGCCAGCCCGAGCTTCTTGGCCTTCGCCTTCCGCGAGACGATCTCCACGCACGGCGACGGCTCCTCGTTGTCCTCCGCCTCGAAAGCGTCTTCTGCTGTGCACAGCGTGCGGCGCTGCTGCGTGAATGAGAGGCTCTCTGGAAGATTGATCCGGTGGCAGTGGGTAGTCGAGCTCGAGGCCGTCCGGGATTGTTGGCCCAGAAGGGGTTTATTGTGGGAGCTGCTGCTCTTTCGGGATCGGGGGTGTGATTTTGTTGTGGTTGCTTTCGTTGGGCTTGGTCCATCCAATGAAGGTTGTTGTTGCTGGGGAGGTTTCTTCTTCGAGGTTTTTGTTTTTATGGGGCTGAAGCGTTTGCGGGCTTGGGGCTGGAATAGGCTTGTAGTTAGTTATTGCGGGGGAATGTTTGGGGGTGTTGGTTTTGGGGATAGGCTATATGTATACATACCGGGTTCTGCGGCGTCTCTGGTAAATGCGCAAAGCAGTCCTCGGCGCACGACTTTTTCACCTTGACGGGTGATGATTTGAAGGGCGAGCTGACCCTCATTGTTCTCGAGTTATAGAGGCCTTGTGTCTATCTGGTTGTAGGTGAGGTGTTTTGGAATGTGTAGTAGTATAGAGGTCTGCAGAGGGTGTCGGTGGGGGTACATGGTGCTATTACAGAAGTTGATAACAGTATGAGTCTGGCCTTGAGGAGGTGCTTGGAGAGTGTTCTTAATACTTGCTTGCAGTGTCTGTATCATTCTTTGGATGCTGGGGCATAAAATTGCGTTTTGGGAGGAATGTAAATATTGCTTCCGCTTTGGGTCGGTCTTTCAAGGGAGGTGGATGGGCTTTTTGAGCAACCATTGCTTTAGGTAGGTATGGTCTTTGACTTGGTAGATAGCCTGATACCAGTAGTTTATGTCGATTGTTGATTGCGGTTTTCTATAGCTTGATGGAAGCCCTGTCGAGTATAGGCTCGAAACTAGCGAAACCAGTCGTTGACATTCCTCGCAGGTTACAGGCATGGATCCAGGTAAATTCCGCATATTCCAGGTGGAGTACCCGTTCGTATAGCATGTCTATTATTGTGCCTTCTCAGAATTGTTTACTGGCAGCGAGTATTAACCTCTTCTGTACTGCATCTTTGTTGTGATACTTCGCAGAGAATCTGTGGTCCCCTTGATGCATCAAAGGAGACAGATATAGTACCCTCTTGAGACCATCTCCACTGAGAAGTCATTGGCTCATTACACCTCAGTTGTCTGGTGCTCACTAGCAGGCTCCCACGAAACATAGATCCAGTCAAGAACAGGCCGGTTACATCAACATGAATCGAGTGGCAATAAGCAGCTCCACCCCGAGCCTGACATGACAGCTGCGCTTAGCCCCTGACGTGTACAAGACCCAAACATATCAAACTCTACTACAGACTATCCTGACCTCATCAGCAGGTCACAATGAGTGAACCAGACAGTAGACCCCGATATCTGGCCACTGACATTTCTAGTAATGTTCAATGGTCTGCGCCCGCCACTCCTCATATATAACTAAACACTACACGCCTGCACTGCACACCTACAACCCAACAAAGTTGAAATCTCCCCACAAACATATATTCATAAATCCCAGTCCATACACCACTTGAAACACTCCACTTCCAATACACAGAACAAAAATGACCGAAACAAGCCCAATTTACAACACCATCTCCGCCCTCGACGCCGAAGACGAAGCCGCCACCTACAACACCACCGCCACCCCCGACGAAACAACAACCGCCTACGGCGCCAGCGCAGCCCACAGCGCCGCCACCATGGAGGAGGGCGACAACAATAAGCCCGCCACCTCCCATCTCGCGAGCCATGTCTCAATCCAGGACTCCGACCCCTCTGACATCCAGTACCAGGCCTCGTCGTTCGGGAATGGCAACGGGCACCATCTTCAATCCGGTGACGGGCGCCTACAATAAGCGACTGGATTTCTCGAGTGAGGATGGGTTGGTGCGGCATCATCGGCGCGAGAGGTCGACGGCTGGCGGTGTGTATCTGCTGCGGGAGGTGGAGGAGCGCGAGGGTGGGTCGAGGCATGTGCATCGCGAGTATGAGAACCCGGGGACTGGGGTGAGTTATTTGCGGGATTTGCGGGAGTTAGATTGTTTATTTCAGGTACCTCAGGCTATCTTAATTTCTGGATGACGAAGAAGGGAGGGGCAAAGGAGGTAGTTCGTGTTGGGATGGTATTGTAGCATGTATTCGCGTTCATGAACTGGAGTTCATTTATAAATGCTGGCTATACTTTCGCAGCATTACCAGCAAACACAGGTAAAACACAGGTAAAATCTAAATAGCAATCCCTTTCAATACAGGCTTTTTGTTCCTTCCCCTCCTGGAGTACAAGAGATGAAGGGGTTCAAGAAACATATAATAACTCCAGCCCATGCTATGCCTAAGCGCCATATTACGAAAGTCCCACACGAAGGGGGAATCCCTTGACAAGAAAGAAAAGAAGAACCACCGAGCGAAACCAAAGAGACAACGACGACAAGATCAAGCCTCCGCATCCGACGTCTCCTCCTTCGACTTGCTCTTCTTCTTCTTCTTCTTCTCCTTCCGGTCCGAAGCATCGACGTCCGCCTCCAGGTCGGCCGCCTCGGAGTCGCGCTTCCGCTTTTTCTTCTCCTTCTTGTCCTTCTTGTCCTTCTTGGCCTTCTCGGCCGCCTCGAGCTCCTCGGGCGGCACAAACGCTTTCTCGCGCTCCTTCATCTTCTCCTCCCGCTTCACCCGCTGTCTCTCCATGATCTCCTCCTTCTGCGCCCGGTCCTTGGCCTCCTTGGACAGGAAGTACTCGCCGGACTCGATCTGCAGATCCACCTTGCTCTTCTCCGGCGCCGGCGGGAAGGGCGTGTACACCTTCTTGGTCTTGTCCGTGATCTTGAACGGCGTGCGACGCTTCGACAGAGTGCGCTTCTTGAAGTTGGGCAGGAACCGGTCCCACGATTCTTCCGCCAGAGAGGGGTCCTTGGCCAGCTCACGCTTGATCATGAGCTCCTTGATGTGGTAGATCGGGTGGATGTTGGCCATGCAGTCATTAATAACCTTACGCACTTCTTTCAGCCCCTTGTAGGGTCCCATCGCAGCGACCGTGTTTCCTTGCACCAGGATGTAGGTGTTGGTGAGAAGCTCGAGGGCCTTGAGGGTGGAGCCGCCGGGTCCGAGGATACGTTGGCGGCGCTTGACGAAGCGCTCCTTGTTGCGGACTTGGTTGCGGATCTTGATCACGTCGCATGCGACTTCGTCGTCGAGGATTTTCAGAGCCTAAGAATATGCCCGTCAGTGGGTGATGCTAGACAGAAAGATAGAACAGAGCAGAATCAAGAAAATCTCACCTGTTGTACCGGCACACTTCTCGACAAGAGCTTAATCAGGTCGCGCGCCTTAAGGATGGCAGCGGGATCGAACGTCTTCCGCGTCGTCTTGACCGTCATGCTACCCTCGACCAAATCGAGGGTACAGGCGATGCCATACTTCTCCAGCGATCTCGTCACGAGCGGCCAGGCCTCCTTCAAATATTGTTCGCGATACTTGGGGAAGAGAGTCGCAAAGGAGGACTCCTCCGCGAAACTACCGGCGACATTGTCCTCGGCGTTGAACGCTTCGACCTGTGTCGCAAATTTGCACGGTTAGCATTCCCAAGTCTTATGCCCATCCTCCGAAAATCTTTTAAAATGTAGCTCGTCACACTCACCTTCCATTTGTCAATATCGTCCGTATCCCACGGCTTATCTCTTTTGTATGTGGAAGGCATCGTGGGCTCCTTGTTGCGACAAAAGAAACGAGGGGGTCACCTTGGATGGATCTGCAATTCGATGGAAGATTGTTGATGATCGAATTGGCGGCCAACTTTTTCTGAGGCGCTCTCGGCCCCGCGGGCACTTACCCTTTTGGGTAAGTTTCGCTGCCAGTAGTCTCAGGCAGAGTTCAGGCATCATTTGCCCTGGAGATTCCCGCCGTAAGCGCCCAAGCGCCTGGAGGGATCGAGGCTCAACACTTTGACTCAGGCATAGTTGCGCGAGGCATTATTCTTTCTACAGTGCATGGCTTTTACTTTGGCTTTACGGGTCGCTGCACCTTGAATCGGCCAGGGGGTGGCCGCTGCGCTCATTATTCATGCAGCGGCGCGTCTCCCACCGTGATGTATCACTCCCGTGGAAGTAGCCTCATGGCGCCCTTCAAGATATTGTAATGTGTGCGAGGAGACTACTGGTCCAGGCCAAGACGATGCATGGTTCAGTGGTGGAGACTACCTAAGAGTGTAGACAGACACGCTTCGAGAATGTTAATCTAGACCTAGTGCAATGGCTCGGGCAACAAGGGAAAAAAAACCTCTGTGTGACTTGGGCACCGTTTGAGGTGTATTAATTCTATCCACAGTGCTGGGTTATCTTCTACCACCTACAGCTGGAGACATCGAAGACCTTCCCCATGGAAGACCTCCACTGGACATTAGATGGACATTTGGCCGTCATGATTCCATAGATTGGTGCAGCATGAATTGTATCTCGAGATATTGGACACCCATTATCCGAGGAGGTAGATGACATATCCAATTGGTCGGAGACTGCATGTAGCTCCCACATCATGGAGGCAATTGTTGCGTGCCCAGTGCCCGTGGCTGGCTGGCTGCGATAACGAATGCCTCTTCATTCTGGACCCTTTGAAGAACAGCTAGGGATACTCTTTGAGTATCTTCATGCATTTCAGGGGGTGAACAGACACTGATCCCCTCCTGCTAAGTGTGGGTTGTGGGAACTGCATGGAGGAATGGACTGGTCGACTTCGTGGGGGTGGATTTCATGTTTCGATTCCTCGAACCAGCGAAGGAGATCCCGTGAGTTTGGTTCCGTACCCGAAGCGCCGTCCACCACTCCTCGTCATCGAACCTTCCTTTTCCTTGACTTCTTCTCCCTTCTCCTTTGATTATTCTTCTTCCTAGTCTCAGTTGCCGTCTCATTCTCTCTTCTTTAGCATCTAGAAGCGATTCGATTCCGCTGTCGATGTGGACGTCATTGGCACGAATCGAGAAAGTGTCCATTGTTCCTTAATATCCCGAGGTAATCGCGCAATCTTGCCAGCTGGTGGCTTAGTGAAAGCACAGATGTTGCAGGCCAGTCAGTCAACTATTGCCATAGCCTCCCTGTCAAGAAAATTCCAACATCCGGAAAACCTGGCATCAGCATTCACTGACCATATACACTCATCACGGTTTATTCGAATTGTCCCGTGTCACAACCATAACCGGGTATGGGGTGTGGAAGCCTCATCCAATGTCTTCTCAATGGCAACTGTCCTATGAAGGAATACCTAAACCCAATCAGCACGCTATAGCACAAATTCACACTTGCTTCCAGGGGTGGTCTCTAACATAGGCCAGTGCACATGAAACATGATCTTGACCTATGCTTTAGCAGTTCGGCGTGGCGGCCCACTCCCGACTATTTTAGGACCCACGGCCCAAGGAAAGTCACAGAACCAACTTGGGACATAACAGCACAGGTAGATTTCATCTCGAGATATCACATTTAAGAGCCGATTATGCTAGCGTCGATATCAACTTGTCTAAGGCGAACAGTGAAGGCTTGCCCCACAGAGCTCCATCGATCTATGGGAAACTCCAGGTCAACAGACGCTTGAAACCCAGCTTATTGTTGGAGCAAAGCCATGAACAGACGTTACGGCTGATACCTAAATTATCTATCGAGGCTTCCTTCCGATACACACATACCTGGGTTGTTAGTGCCTAACCCCCAGCACAGTTGAGGTAAGCAACTCACAGAGGAAAGTAGGCTTTCAAGCCTAGTGTTTCTGCCTCTTGCTGTGCCCTGGAGATGAGCTCTTGGAACTCTTCATAAGGCATCCTCAGACGTTTGGTCATCGGGTACAAAGCCACTGCTGAGAGCAACTGTTTAGTACTTTCGACGTTGGCTGCACCTATCCCCCGTACCCTCGGCTCTAACAGGGTGTCAGTTATATGTCGCACCGAACTCATGCATTGGAGTCTATACCGTTGGCCCACCCGGACAGAGGAAGAGGAATCATCCTTGCGTCCACCTGATCCATTCCTGCCGCCAGCAAAAGGTCTCTCAAGCGCGTTCCCACGCGAAGGTCCTTCTTATCATCCAGCGATCGCATGAACTTGGTGCTCCATTGCCTTAAGGCGTGTTGCTCAGTGAGAGAACCATTGTCTGACTGCACGTTGAAGTACATTTCTACCATCTGGACCCAGCCGCCCGGCTTCAAGACTCTAATTTCCACACAAGTCAGTTTCAAGGCGTCAGAAACCACGGACTGGATGATTTTTCCGCCATATGCCAGACCTCTTGATATCTTGAATATAAGACAGCCACCGGACTCGGTCAATGCCTGTCGCTAGCATTCTGGAGTGGACGAGGTCGAAATGATTCGAAGGGAAGGTGAAGGGGCGATTCAAGTCGTCGACCTAGAACAACCCATATAAGCAGTTTCTCGCGCGAACAGCCTGGAGAGTAGACCCGAGAGAGACACGACCAAAGAACACTTTCGATGGGAGAAGGGTATCCGCCAATGTAATTCCAGCCGACTATCCCTCACACCCAAGGAGGGGACCGTACCTGAAGCCACAGATTGTCTGGAGTATTATCAGGGTTCATCTGAGGAGATATATCGACACCAATGATCTTCGCACACGACAGTCAGCGAAATTATTTGAGAAGGTCGCTGTCCTTGGCCTGACCTCGCATCGTGGATTTTGCTCTGCTACCTCGATCGCCCAAGACGCGGTACCATGGCCACAATCGAGAATTCTTCTGGGGATTCTTGGGCTCTCAAGGTCCGGCAACGGTGGAAAGATAAGTCGGTCGTTAAACACCTTGTTGAAGACGCGGTGTTGAAGCTCGAGGCGTTCCACTTCATCCTAGGGTCATCGAAATCAGCAACGCACGAAACGCTCGCGAAGCCTCCTGGTTATACATCGTCAACGGGTTGGAAGCAGATATTATGATCGATCGAGTATTTCTGATAGTCGCGACCATGAACTGTAATAAGCTGAAGAAACCTGTCGTCCAGGTCCTCCGTCTCGGAGTCAGAACTCCTTGGAGACAAATAAGGGTTAGCTCCCAATGCAATATCACAAGATGTGGTACCAGGCTACGTACGACATCATGGATTCCCGGCTTATGACAGACTCAAGTAGGTCTTATTCTCCGAAGTGGTCCAGATTAACAAGGGTCGAACACAGTAGTTGGTCAGTCAGCACGGCGTTCTATACTGTGACCTGAAAATAGGAGACACACATAGTACAATCGAAATTTGGTCGTGAGCGATTGATGAGGCAGCCAAAATTGATGGCGATGAAGGCCCCTTTGGTCACGCCCAGAAAGTGTGTATCCTGCCATTTATGGGTGAGCTGAGCGAAGTATTGAGATGCGGGACTCAGTTGCCCGTACTAATGTACGGATGGTGGGAAAGGCCGCCCAGCCCGATACCAGGCGTTAGTCTTGGTGCTGAGGAGCACCAAGGCTAATGCCATTGGCAGAAAAGGCTCTGGAAACACTTATCCAGCCTCGCTGTACTCAACGAAGATCACCCACTTCTGCAATGAACATTCTCTTCGTTCAGTGATGGCTGAGCCTTCAGCTCTGTCTCAGTGGCAGAACAAAACTTACATCCCGAACCGAAACCATTACACAACTAAGTAAGATTGAAAGGGGGAGGGGGGGGAGGAGGGGAGAGGGAAAAGCGTTCTTGGAGGGGCCACCAATGCTACCAATACTACCCCATGGACGCAGACAGCCAGTCTAGGAAGGTTCCTTGTACCCGTTCCTCGGGCCTTGCCCATCACTCAGTGCCTGGAGACCAACCGGCACTGTCGCACAGTGACTCGTTTGTCTACCAGTACGATGTACCAGGCGGAGGACCCAGGCTGTCATCTCCATGCCAAATCAGGGCATAGAAATCTTGTCATCCATACTACTATGCCCGTTTGGTAAGTCGGCCTCCTGACTTCTCCGTTACCTGCACCAAAAGGTTTTCGTGTTATCCCGGGTGGCCACCTGCTGATTCGAGTGATTCTGGCGGGTGAAAGGTAGCCAGCAAATGGCCAGGAAATCGTTGCAGCTGCTTGGTAAATTATGTCGAAGCCCTGGGCCAAGACCGCGCAAAAGGAGGATTCTGTCCGGGAGACAAATATAAGCGAGCTACCAAGGCAACAAAGCCCTCAGGGGGAACCAGCAACGGATACACAGATACACCTCCAGTATTCGCGTATTCATGTTATGGTCACTAGGGACAGTGAAGACCCAAAGCCAAGGGAAGAAAAAGAATCGGGAATTAGGAAGAAATCGAGGATCGAAAAATCCCGTTGAGGCCAAGAAAGCAGGCTGACTTAATGGATTTGGTGCCATGCACGATCAACCGCAGGGTTATTTGAGTGCATAACGCACAATAGCCAAGGAGGGGTTTGGCGCAGTAGCGCAGTTTTCCGGCCAGCCACTACATCAAGTACGGTGACGGCGTCCCTCCGTTTGATAGACAGCAGGGATTGGATGGTATTGTATCAATGACATTACTCATGTTCGAGGTGGGTGGGGGGTGGATGTTCTGAAGATTTCGATCTTAAGCACAGGTAAGTGATCATCAGGTCAATCAAAACTGCCCACTACGGGGTGCACTAAAACCTATGCTGTTGGTCTTCACATTTACGCAAATGAAATCGACGAGGGTATTTTCCTCTTCAATTTTTTCCCTCTCTTATTCCAACTCACCCACATCCACATCCACACCGCTCCTTTTTCGAGTTGCTCAATGATATCCGGCACCCAGTGTTGGGAGCACTGGTCAAACGAGATTGAAACGACCCTTGAAGTGGCTGGGTCAACGTCAAGATGTGTAAAGTTCTGGCATGCGACCACCCATGAAGGATAGGCCAATAGCGTCATCTACATGGGTACGCGGGTGGCTTAATTCCAACACATCCACACTCTGAGACACTTCAATTGGGTCCTCCAATGAACGTGCATTCTTCAAACTTACCGCAAGTGGTCTAAGGCCAGCTGTGGAAAATACAGCGATTGATCACGTCTCTACGGTTGACCACCTGGTTGATCATAGAGGGCATGCACTATTACTCATTGTCGACGTTTGTCCCTGTGCTGCGGGAATGCACCGAAGTCAAGCGTGATGACGAAGCGGCAACTCCGCCATGGCTGCCATATGAGACAGGGCCCTCAGCCCAGCAGAATTGAGGGGTGACTTTGCTGTGGGCAGAGGGTTGGTAAAAAAAATAATAAAAGGAACCGTGCCAACTGGCTCGTTAGGGTTACGCTAAGGAGGGGAGGGGGAGTGAGTGAGTTATTGCTGTTCTGTCCTCTCAGCGTACCCATGCACACTAACAGGGGGTTCATGCACGTCAAAAGATTGTCAGACGGAGTTGTGGTTAGAGCCATCCAAGCTGCCGGTACAAGGCAAGGTACTAGCTAAAGGCAGAGAGGCAAAGGGACAAGATAACCTTAGCTTGATAGCTAACTAACTATTCTCCCTCAGTCTCACCTTACCTTACCCTTAGCAGTTTTGGCAGCGAACCCAGAACCATGGTTCAGTTCTCGGGAAGCTGGAGGCCTTCCCGTTGCCGCTCTTTCGGGGGTGGGCTAATGGACCCGCTACAATAATGGGGACTGAGATGAAAAACCCACTGTTGTCTACGTACTTTTTCAAGGCGCTCCTTTTCCCTTCTTTCTTGTCTCCCCTCTTCTACTATCTCTTCGGCTCTTCCGTTCCTTGTGATTCTTTAAGACTCTTCGGACTCGTGTTGTTCTTGGCTTGGCTTACCGCTACGTATAGACCCGTATTGGTCTCAGTGTCGCCAGCTCACGCACCCTCACTGACTCCGTATACACGAAACCGGTCATGCCGTAGCTTGTGCTACTGTACTTTCTGAGAACGCAATCCATACCCTTGGAATTTCCAGTACCTTGGTGGTATTGCCGAATGCAACTGGGCTGAGCCAACCTATTCAATCCGTTCTCATTCACCCACTACTTACCTTGACTTTAAACCTAGATTATCCACACAAGCAATCCAGCTAACGTGTCCAACCACAACCACTCGATACCGACCTGCGTACCCATTCGTACAAGAATTGACACAGCATTACTCGTACATTCCCGCCAGCTTACACCTAGTATTAACCTTCAGATCCTGGGACTGTGTACCGGCACCTATGCCCAGATTGGATACACCTTCAATGATAAACACACACGACCTGACAACCACAACCCGTATTGAAGCCAAGACCAAGTACTAAGCAAGCTAGCCAGCCTTTCCCCCCTTCTCCTTTCCGATAATCCCAGACTTAGAAAAAGAGGCCAATCCACATCGAAGAGCCATAGATCCAGGTATCCGTTTAACCACGAACGAAGAAAACATACACTTCTCTAGACTGGACGTGTCCTCATCTCGACCTCCCTATGCATCTTGTTAACCCAGTCCAGACCGATGATTGAACCCGAGAGGGCTTTGCGCTAGATCATTGCCGTGCCTTCTCGTGGCTTGTTGGCGTCACGTGCGCGGTACGTACTGTCCGTGCTGTTCCGGAGAATTACGTTGAATATGCTGCTTGTGGTCCTAGGAGGGCGCGATCAACTGGGTTTTCTCACGGGATGAACTTTGTACTGTAATCGGAGGTTGGGTTGTCTAATGGTGTTTCGTAGATGTCTTGCATCAGAGGCTACTGAACTCTGAACTGACGATGATTTGTCACAGTGTGGTTATGATAGACCTGTGTGTGGGTGGAGACATTGCGGCGGGCGCCTTCAAAGGTACAAATCTGTGGGAAAGGAGCACAGGATGGTGTCTTGTTGTTGACAGAGTCATTCTAGGCGTGTTTGCGTTGAGACTACGCTACTTTTGGTTTTTATCCTGGGGTTCAAACGTGTTCTATGTTCATTCATTGCATTCCATTGCAGGGCTAGATAAAGTGGTTCTGGGGTATTTTTGAGCTCGTTGGTTTGCTTCATTTAATGGTCGTTGGTCGTCCGTCGGGTGATATACTCCGACCGGTAGCAGGGATTCGCGACAAGTGCGGGAAGGCTGATGGGGATGAAAAGGTGGAAGAAGGGTGGACAGTGGAGAAATCCAGGAGGAAGTGATAGGCGGATCGTTGGATGCGCCCGGGTGAGCGTCTGGGCTTGTTGATCCAGTGTCCGCGCTAGCTGTCACACTTCGCTGTGTGTTGAAGATTTCCTGACGGAAGGCTTGGGTTGCGATTGCGGAACGCGGACCGCTTTGCCTTAATGCCTGGCATGCGCAGGCGAAGCTAGCGCTGATGTGATTGAGGCTGCATGCGACATTGAATGAACAAACCTGCGGATTATTCCGTGCGTGGTTGCATCTCTTGCGGCCAGTGTAAAGGGCTAGTTGGGAGAAAAAAAAAAACCCCCCCTCCTTTCCGGAAGTGCTCAGTCTTCTTTGCTGATAGCGCTCAACGCGTGTGCGAGCTTGAGAAGAACGACGCTTTCGGTAGCGGCATAATAATTCAAGCTGCAACCCAGTTATCAATAACCGCCAGATATATCAAATCCAACCAGACTCACCTATCCATCAGAATCCGCAGATGCCTGTTGAAATGGTCTTCGACTCGTTTGAGCGTATCTTCCAGTTTGTCGAGCCGTGCGGGTTCGTATTCCCGGTTTTCAACTCTACTAGCCATGTCGGGATCGGCCAACATGATATTGCGAGAGAGCGTGTCGGTGGCCCATGTAGCGTACATATGGCAGCATGTCATCAGGCGGTGGTGAACCTGAGCGGTATGTGAGTAAGCTAAGCTGACAGATGGGGTATAGCCGACAAACCTTCAGCAGTTTCGCTTGCGTCAGCATGCACTCTTTGAGACAAGTATCCAAGAAATCTACATGATCCTGCATGAGCTCGTCTACCGTACGATTGACCTGTTTGGTACCATTGACGGTCACTTCTGACCCATCAGCATCGGTTCCATTCACCCGGTCCATGAGGTTTTGCCAGTTGGGCTCTATAACCTCGGCCGTGCAGAAGTAGAGAAGCTGTTGAATGAAAATTAGCATTTTCGAGCGCAGGTTCCACGCGCGTCTTTTCCACGACTCCAGCTGTCGGCTGGACGATTTGTGTTTCCAGGCTTCGGACTGGGTCTGAGCTAGCCAAGACGAAACGAGAAGGCCCTCATGGTGCCGTAATGATAGGGTGTGCCGGAAGATAAGTTGGTAGCGTAAAACTGTCTTCCGACTGATGACAAGAGACAATGGGAAGGGAACCAGATAGTCGAGCTCGAGGGCATCAATTGCGAGAATTTTGCCATCGTCCTCTCCACCTTGCGTCGAAGGGGCTTGATACTTTTCGATTGCCGCCTCCGGGTTATCCTGGTCAATACCAGAGACGCTCACGACCTGCATCAACCACTTTGTGAGTCCGACCTTGTTCATCCGAACCTTAACATCTTCTTTGAAAGGTTCCTGGGCGGCAATACTGCCAGGTTGCCGCAGGGCCAACTCTAGAAGCGACTGGAGTTTGCCTTCGTTGACACTCTTGGCAGGCTTCTGCAACTCAGAATTCGCAATTTCGAGAAAAATAGAAAAGAAGTCGGAGCGATCCAGAAAGAAATAGTGTTTGAGGGAACGGAAGCGGGTCGTAAGGGAGTTTTTGGTCAAGAGAAGATTCAGTAACGAGGCATTTGCGTATGTGTAGGCTGCGTTGACGTTATCCAAGAAGCGAGGATCATCCAGCGTTTTGGGCACATCCTTGACTGCTTTGCTGACATCGACACCACCACATTCTCGTACCACATTAAGATATTTTCCTGCCAGGAGAACTTTATCTTTGACTGTGTCCAACTGCGGCGGCACTTCGTTGTCGCGGATCGTATAACGCTTTTCCCAGTACTCATCCGTGTAGTCTTCTTCGAGCTTTTCGCGTTTTATCCACTTTTGCTCCTTCACCAGAAATTCGCCATGTGGGTCTTTGATCCCTCCATGATGCAACCATTCGTTGAGCATGGTCATGTAAGGCCGGCTTGCGTCGCGCAGCAACCTCTCCAAAAGAGCCTTCGTAGTGGGATCACCTGAGAACGTTGCCAGTCGCTCTGTAAGAAGACGTAGAACGTTACCGCCTTTGCAAATCTTCTTGCTAGACATAGCCCCCGGGATCAGATCCCCGCCTTCCCTCAGCTGTTCCAGAATGTTGTCGACGTCGTCAAAGTCGTCGATTGACTCGTCAAGGTCTTGATCCAAGAGCCCATTTCGCCGGAGGAGTTCCTGGCCGAGTGAATACAATTGGGCCAAGCATTGGCTAGTCGGGATAGTGTGCAGGTGTAGAACGTGCAGAGTGAAGTTCGGGTTATTCAATAGCTCCCCTTCAAGCTGTGCCACAAGAACTAAGAACTCCTTCAACAATTTCCGGATCGTAGCACATAAAGCATGGCTCACTGCGCCGTACTCTGCCCGACTTTGCACTTCCACAAATGCTTCCAGTGCGCTGTAGTGCGTCGCAAGTTTCAGCGTCGATAGGGTGAGATCCTTCAACGTCGGGTCTAGACCTGTCGGTAGCTGAAAGACTGGGCCTGTCAACCTGTCTTTCTCTACAGACGGGTCGTACGAGCCGTGGTAATGGATATATTGACCCTCAAATCCCATAAAAGTAAAGAGAAGATCTTCCAGAATTGCTCTCTCTTGCGCATCCGCGGACAGCTCGCGCAGTGATGGAGGTTGGAGCGATTGAGGAAGGGCGGATGCCAACGGAGGGACCGAAACACGAGTGGCTAAGGGCGCGGTGGAGTGAGGTATTAAGGAAGCTTGCGGATTCCAAGGAGCTGTGTGTGATTCAGAGTTAGCGTAAGAGAGCTCTCAGCTTGCGAATGAGCATGTTGAGGGAACATTGACTGACTCTCGGCCTGTTGCTTCTCCTTCTTTCGAGCATTGGGACTCCCACCGTCGAGTGGACTGACTCGCTTCGACCGGGATCTTTCTGGCCGTTCGCCTCTGTTATGCCCGCCCGTCGAATCCTTGGTTGCGTGCCTTATTTGACCGTGGGCTTTTTCATTCGCGACGCCTGCTATCCGGTCTGCACGCCTATCGGTCGCCGATTGTTGTTGTTCGCGGCTGAGCCTGGATTGTGGGCTAACTGCTTTGTAACGAAATTGAAGCATTTCCGATTGCTTTGGAGAGGCACCGCTGCGCAAGGCGGCGGTTTCTGGATCAGCGACGCGATTCGAGGCAACGCGGGGTCGTGATGCGCTTATGTAGTTGGCGCGACGGTCACTGACGGACATGCTCCCGCAGGGTGAGAACAATAGGAACGATCATGCAACATAAGGTAGGTTATTGTGCTCGCGAAAAGATGGTGTGATGATGGGAATCTCCTGTTGAAGCTTGAGACACGAGGAAGAGAATGAATTGCGCGCGGTCGCAACCAGACGTCGCGAGGATTCGGAGTTTGGGACGCAACCAGACCAGAGCAACAGCAGCAAACATGGGAATTCAATCAATACTCGAAGAAGCCGCGGCGGATGTGGATGCCTGATGTGTGGGCCTGGGGCAGCCACCACCGCCTTCCTCTCCGCCAGGCACTCGCCGGACTTGCGTAGCCCGCAACAGCACAGCTTCGCCCGAGCTTCCCCAAGAGCAGCTGGTTCAACATCTCCTCCCATCTCTTCCTACCCTCCCCCTCATCACGACTTCCCATTCTGCCTCTTCCTTTCACTACACTCTGACTTTTCTCCTCCCTCGACACTTCTTCTCCATTCTACATCGTCCATACAGCCAACATGTTCATCGCCCGATCGGAATATGGTAAGCTCCGTCACACCCTCTTCTGTGATGCGGTCATCTAACAGCGTCTTCTCGCAGACCGTGGAATTAAGTACGAGCTCTGCCGCTTCCCCCTCGACTTTTTCAGCCTTGTCAAGAACAGACCCTAACGTCGTCACCCTCACAGCACCTTCTCTCCGGAGGGGCGTCTCTTCCAGGTCGAATACTCTCTCGAAGCTATCAAGCTTGGCTCCACTGCGATCGGTGTACGTCCAGCCCATCCCTCCTCCGACCTTCCCGAGCTGCCAATACCTCCAGCGGCACGCGTGTGCCCCTCCACACGAGATCCGCCGTCAGATCTGTCCTCGCAGAATGGTCTCGCTGACAAGTAAACCAGGTAGCAACCTCGGAAGGAGTGATCCTGGGCGTCGAGAAGCGCGTCACCTCCAGCCTCCTTGAGGCTTCCTCCGTCGAGAAGATCGTCGAAGTCGATCAGCACATTGGCTGCGCCATGTCCGGTCTGCAGGCAGATGCGCGGTCCTTGATCGAGCACGCCCGCGTCGAATGCCAGAACCACGCCTTCCACTACGCCGAACCCCTCAGAGTCGAGAGCTGCACCCAGGCGATCTGCGATCTGGCCCTGCGGTTCGGAGAGACGGGAGATGACGAGGAGAGCGTGATGAGCAGACCGTTCGGTGTGGCTCTGTTGCTTGCCGGTATCGATGAGGATGGTCCTCAACTGTATGTGTGACCCCGATGATATTGTTTCTCTGCGCGGAGATGCTGGTCTGGTGATGCGGTACTAAATATTGTCGTACAACAGATACCACGCCGAACCGTCGGGTACGTTCTATAGATACGATGCCAAGGCCATTGGGTCCGGCAGCGAGGGTGCGCAGGCGGAGTTGCAGAACGAATACCACCGCTCCTTGACGTTGGCCGAGGCAGAGACTCTGGTCCTGAAGACGTTGAAACAGGTCATGGAGGAGAAGCTGGATGCCAAGAACGTCCAGCTCGCCAGCGTGACCAAGGAGAAGGGATTCCGCATCTACAACGACGAGGAGATGGGCCGGGCTGTTGCGCAACTCGGCGGAAACCAATGAGGGAGATGATAAAGCATGAGAATCTTGATGGTCCAACATGTATGTCGGCAGCGGTAGTATTGGAGGAAGCGGAAATATCTGTTGGGGCAACCGATAGAAAAGAACAATGACTTGTCTAATGATTTATATATCACTTTGTTGCATTGCTCGTCTTTGGAGCTCGAGTAAGATCTACTGACACTGAGCAGCAGCAAACACAAACCCCAACAGTCGACTACCCACCCAACAATCCTGTTCTCGTTTACTACTTGCCTACAACAGCCCCCAGAATTACCTCCACCACACTCTCAGGCTGGCTGAAGTAGAGGTTATATAAATGATGCTGTTGAGATGGGCTCCTAGTGAACTGTTTGTGGCGGGCTGAGCGCTTGTCTACTGTCTCTGAAGGTTGTCGTCTAGGTATTAGTATTTCAACGCTATGTGGGTTGGTTAAGGGGACATGCGGTGCTGCTCGGATCCAGTAGAATTAGATACTTAACCTATTCGCGAAGGCACTAATTGGGAATATATCACTCGTGGTGGAACGGAACTATCTTAGGTTCAATGTAAGCTGACACAGCGCTAATTCTCGTCCGATCCATTTCCAACCATTACCTATACCATCGCCGAGATCAACACTAATACACTGAAAGTAAGAACGATAGCCACAGAGCTACAAAGCGAACTGTTAATCATATTACTCTCCCTATCTGTACTATCCTAGCCATATGTGCTCCCCAACACGCACAACCTCGTAAGTCGTGGAAGTAAGGGATCCTCTGGTACTTATAGGGCTGAATCGTCTGCCCAGCGTAGTGATTCCACACCACCCCTGCAGACACACTCGCCTCTTTCTCGCCTCCACCCTCCCTGGCTGAATCAAGTCAGCCATTTCTGGCACCAGCTGGCGTGATCTGATTCCTCGGGTGGTTTGCCGGATGCACCGCTTGCATACGATGTAGACATTATGCATGCACACATAACCTGATTTGCCGGGGTCGGCTGGCAACCAGGGGTCTAGAAGCTCTTGCTGTAGCTTTCTTGCGCCACGATTGATCTGGCCTGGGTTGTGAAATGGACCGGACGGATGATGCTGTTGACTTGGCTGTCGCTTTGTGTCTGTGAAAGGGAATCTAGATCGTGTGGCGATGTCTGGATTGTTATGATAACTGTGAGGCTGGTTTGTTTCGTCGTCTATATTTATCTCGCCTGGTCGGATCTGTCGCTGTCGCCGTTGGAAAAGGGAATTGAAGTTCCGAGACAGGAGATTTTGTGGCAGTACACGATTGTAGTTGTGCGGTTGTTGTGGCCTTTGTTTGGTGTTCTTGTTGCCCGAGAACTATGTCACGCATCTTATCCCTGACGCTTGGGTCGGTTGGCATGACTCGCATCATGAACATTCGTAATCAAGGCTGGAGGCTGACACATTGACAGACGGTGATCTTCAGAAATCTCATGTCTTAAGACGTCTTTGGTCGGAGCAATAACTCGCCAACTGAGAAGTGTCAAGTCGATGTCCCTGTCGGTGATGGCATGTATGCTTCAGAATATAGTGTTCGAGTGCGGATGGCGCGACTTGACCTGAGGATTTTAACCATATGCCTTGATTGAGTCCGGTCGATCATTCAAAGAATCCTTTGTTCAAGATCTTGCATGCACGGTCTGAGCAAAGAAGTTCTTTGTTTGCCTGCAAGGCCGAATGTGAGCTGTAGTACAAGAGGTGGTGGGTGATGAGTTCATCGCTTAGGTGTTCTTCGGCTGCGGTGAGCGACTTGCAAGGATATCTTGAACAGCTAAGTTATTTTGACCGAATCAAAGCGAGGCACCTGACTATGGGGTAGGGCAAATCAAGCGTTATGCTTGAATCAGCACAACTTTAAGCTTATGTCATTTGCTAGTGAGTCAAGCACAACACTTCAGTACCTCGATTGGTCGGAAATTGGCACGAGAGGTCCTGCTCGGAGCATAGTCTCATGCCTGATCGGATCTACCAAGCAGCATGGGCCAGACCTAGCTGAGACAATAACCCGACCTGTGTGTGGTGCGCAGGGACGGAGGCTGGATCGTGCAGAGATACCTATACGGAGTCTTGGCGCAGGATAACAGTTGGCAGTACCTTAGCTTCGGCTCCGTTCTTGTTGGCTCGGCATTAGTGCACGAAAGCCATTAAGCCACAGGCTGGGAGGGGGAGAGAGTGGGCTTACGCTCCCGCTAGGCGGCCCATTATTGTTTCTCTTCATGGCTCATGCGCCTGGAGGCGCTTCTAGTTTTAACGTCGAGTCTGCAGACACCCGGAGGGGTCAAGGATGATATGGAGAAAATACAGGCGGCATACCACTTCTGTCATTCCCTGCATCTCCGTTACCCTTTTGGAGCTCACCCATTAACTTAGCTGTCCCGATTCGGTGTCAAGGCCACTGTTTTGAGTCAGATATGATGGCCCTTTCTCGCTCCTCCATTGCCCGGCCGAGGCTACTCTCCAGGGTCGTCTCCATCCCACTCCACTATCACTGATTTCTACCCAAGCACTGTCGTAAGCCTGGATGATCCATCTCGGTTGTCCAGTCTCTCTCGGTCTCGAACATTTTCTGACCCGCTGTGGATCGGTGGACGTAGACGATATGGCCATGCCAGCAAGTTCATGGCTGGATTGGGTTTGTTTATGTGGATAACGAGGAGAGCCAGAAAGCTCGCAGATAGTCTTATTGGCAGATCATCACTATCGGTGAAGGATGAAAACACATACTAAGTTCGTCCAAATTGAGAACCAAGATCAGGCCACTCTGCGGCCTGGTTGGAATACTTGATGTTTATAGTTCAAAGGCATTGTTGATCATGGCCAGTCTCATGCACATTCAAAGCAGACCCATCCGAGTCGACCAATTGAGATTCTCCGCTTACAACCGGAAACCTGAGGCCCAACGGGCTCAATGACAGGGTCTCTATTTCCACAGAATGAAGACCACAAGGTCGCACGGCACTGTTTTGAAGAAGGCGGTTGAATCGGGGTAGGAAGTTAAAGTTACAACAGTTCTTCAACCCCTGTCGTGGTCACGTGGTGTTAGCGAGGCTGCCACTGTACTACAGCAAGACTGGTGGTTGGTCATTGTCGGACCTCAGTAACCGCGCCTTCGAAGGGAGGATTGCCGTATCAGGACGATGCTTTTCTGGCTGGAACTCTTGGGTTGAAACCCGGAGCGTCGAGGCCTTGTCTCGGATCGACAGAGCTTATTGTCGACCACAGAAGAGACTCTGGACCTGGGATCGGTCGGCTAGGTCGTATCCAACAGCGACTACTGTACAGTTCCTGTACTCACTGGCCGCCTCTGGTCTGAAGTGAGTGGGCTTTAGACCCAACCACAAGAGGCGTGATGCATGATGCACTGATGGGCGGACAGCTGGACGGAAGCAATGCGCGGCACTGCTTACGCCTCGGGATTTGCGAGAGGACGACGACGACGCCGACCAGACTTGAGGGCGAGGCGCTGGCTGGAAGGGTGAGTTGCAGGAAGAGACCGAGCTGGAGTCAAGGGATTGACAGACAGACAGACTGACTGGCCCTGAGAAGCACACGCGGTAACCGCACGGGGAAGGCGACAAGAGGCAAGGAATCAACAATGACAGCCACGGTCCGTAACGAGACACTTACACGTGGATCCGCCGAGATGTCGTAGGGCGAGGGGTGCGGATCATTCGAGATTACCATACCCTTACCATACTTCGCCTTCCGCCTGAGAGGGAATCTTCTCCGCCAACGTCACTGCCTCGATTTTCTATTTTTTGAATTATTTATTCTTTCTCTCTTTATTTGTCTGGAATAATTCTCTCTTCGCGGCCGACCAGACCTCCTCTAGAGATTATTTAACCTCTGCTGAATCTCCTCTGCTGGTGAAGTTTTGTCCCTGTATCCTGTGTCATAGTTCCATCCACCACTACTGCCTTATCGACTCGATCGATTATCAACACAGCCCCGCCATCTGATTTAAACTGCGGCCCGCCAAAAGTCAGCCGCTGTCGTCACCCACGGTTCGATCAAATCATCCTTCCATCTCGTCCTTCTATACTCCCGTCCATCACAACAGTCAGTCACCCTCACCATCTGCCTTCCATCCCTCCGAGTCATCGCCTCGATCACATTCCCGCATTGCACATGTCTCGCTACGGCGACTATCGTCGCTCCACGGGGGCTCTTGACGATGACCGCTACCCACATGAGCGACGGGAGCGTCACCACCGTCACCGTTCGCGCGCTCCCTCGGTACTCGATCGCCCCCGCCGATTCGAAGAGGATGAACGCTTCGAGTACCGTCTGCACGAACAAGATCGCTACGGCCCTCCTGCGCGTCGTCCCGACGTCGTCTACCAGGACGATCATTTGGTCTACCCATCTGGTCCTCTGGTTGCATACGATCGCCGTCGCGCGGAGAGCCCTCGGCCCCGACCCCGACTTCTTCGTCGACAATCCTCGCTAGACACATTTGATCGGATCCCCTCGCGCAAATTAGACGAATACTACTACAGCGACTACCCTCCCAGGTCATCTCCCAGCCCGCCACCCCGACGCGGCTCCTACCACCGGACTCGTGAGCCAGACTACTATGAGGAAATCAGCATCGCTGAAGGGGACTATGGCGAGGATGAGTACCGAGACGTTCGCGAACGGAGCGTGGGACGGCCCCGTCGCTCGGCGAGTCGTTTTCGGGAGCGATTAGTGGAGGAAGTGGATGTGGAAAAGCCATATCCTCGGAAAGGCAAGACTCGCATGCCTCGCAAGATGGTTCACACCACTGCGATCCGCGAGTTTGGCTACCCGTATGAGGAAGAGGTGTGTATACATGTCTTTCAAACTGGCGATGGAGAACAAAGCCCAGAACCTATTTCTCTCGTTGGGTTGCTGACCTCTTTCGTTCAAGGGTAAAATGATTGTCATCCAGCTGGCGCTGTCCAAAGAGCAGATTGACGAGGTCATTGGGAGGAGTCGCGAGATCAAGCGCCTGACCGAGAGTAAGTCACTCCCACAATTTGCGTCCGCAGGCACGGAGGGCTAATCGTATGGTTTAAAAGCACGCGTTATACACACCAGCTCGCCGTCTCCAGTTCGTGCCCGCCGTCGAGACAGAACTGTGGAGCGAGTCCCTATGGAGACCTACACCCCTAGAACCAGCCATGACACTCTTCTCATCGAGCCGTCTCCGTCGCGGCATCGGTCCCATTCGCGCCACCCCCACCACCCCCAGCATCACCATGGCGAGCTCTTGGAGAAGAAAGTGACTAGAACTGTATCACGTTCCCGAGGCATTTCGATGCATGGCCGACCTCGTCGTCGGTCGTCGCCGGTGCGCAGGTTCGAGCGATACGAAGAAGAGCCTAGCAAAGCTCACGCTGGCCCGCTAGCAATCGTGGTGCGTCCCCGCGACAGCGACGAAGATCTACGAGAGTACGGGCAGATCGAGCGACGTGGCAGCGGAGAGTATGTCCGCGACACGGAAATTATTGGGGATGGCGTTGCGGAGGAAATCCATGAAGTGAAACGGGAGCGCAGAGGTATGAAATGTGTCGCTTTTGTAATCAACCAGATGCTAATGCTTCCCCAGGCCCCAGTTCGCGCATGATGCGTGCGATGATGGCGACATTGACGTAGCCTGGACGAGGTGATTCACATTTGTTTTCTCATGATGCTAACTTACGGCTTATCGATTACCCTTTCGGTGTTTCCTATTATGGCTGTGATATTCCTTTTCTGATGTCGTTTCCACTTTATTTTCTTGACATGTATCATAGAAGCTTGATTTGTGGTCTCTCACTGTATTATTTGACTAGCCTGGTTTGATGGCCATTTGGCGAACTGAGATAATGAGGACTATGCCAGCAAGGAATCCTCATGAATAATGAATATCTAGACAGTGAACCGAGATAGTCTTTGATATGGTCCTGCAGGGGATGAAACACTTGGAAGTGTGTGTATATGTATGTTATTTCCTGCAAGTAATCCCTATCACATACTGCTGCCAACTCATCGCATTCGGAGGGCGGAACTATTCCAGAAACGTAACTGCCGGCATGAAACGGTGGCGGTACGAGGCGGTGTCACACCGACGGACGGCAAGTGGCCTTGACGCTTGCGATCATCCCAAAACGCTCTGCAGACCACAGATAAGCTATTTCGATCTGTTGCAAGATCTCCTGCATCGCATCTACTCAAGACACATCAGTAGAATCGTGCCGACCTTCGTCATGGACAAGTTCTCAGCGTTCGGAAAGAACCTCAGGTAAGATAGTTGATCGTCTTCTTCCGCCTTGTGTGGCTTGTGCCAGGAGATGGTGGTGGATTCCGTATCCAATCTCACCCACCCTCCTCACTGCTGCAGCACAAGCTGTTGCTGCCACTAGTGATGGAGATCTTTCGCTGACTTTGAATCTCAATGGGGCTTCAGCGCGAGCTTCTCTCCTTTTGCTCAGCGCACCCAGCAGATGATCCGCGAGCAACTCGGCCAGGCAGAAGATCGGACTCAGCTTCCCGATGAGTACATCGAGTTGGAGAAGCGCGTGGATGCGCTGAAGATCGTGCACCAGAAGCTTCTCCAGGTGACGTAAGGACATTTACGGGTTCCTGCAAGTCTACATGCTCACGTACCGGGCCCTGCAGTTCCCAATACTCCAATGAAGCCTACGACTACCCTCCCAACATCCGTGAATCCTTCAACGACCTGGGTCGCACGATCAACGAGAAAGTGTCGCTTCTCTCCCAAGCCTCGTCGCCTGCCGAGGCTCAGGCGGCTTTGGTCGCTCCCCCTTCGGCCAAGCCCCAACCCAAGACCTTCAACCACGCCATCGCTCGCGCCTCGCTGGCCGGATCCCAGACCCTAGCGCAATCCTCTCATGGCGAGGACCCCCTGGCCACCGCTCTCGAGAAGTATGCGCTGGCCGAGGAAAAGGTGGGCGAGGCCCGGCTGGCCCAGGACGCCCAGATTCAGTCGCGCTTCCTGGCCGGGTGGAACACCACACTCAACACGAACCTGATGTTCGCGGCGAAGGCGCGCAAGAACGTCGAGAACGCCCGTCTCATGCTCGACTCGATCAAGGCGGCCAAGAAGGCTCAGGTCAAGGGCGACTGGGACAGTCTGAGCGAGGAGGCCCGCGCCGAGATTGAGCAGGCAGAGGATGAGTTCGTTGGACAGACCGAGGAGGCTGTGAGCGTGATGAAGAACGTATGTTTCTGTGCCGCATTGGCTTCGTAGGTATTATGGCTGATCATCTAGCAGGTCCTCGACACCCCCGAACCCCTCCGAAACCTGGCCGATTTGATTGCCGCACAGCTCGAGTTCCACAAGCGGGCTTATGAGATACTCAGCGAGTTGGCTCCTGTTGTGGATGGTCTGCAGGTTGAACAAGAGGTGAGTGCTGGGATTTTGGGTGCATGGTACATGACTAACTCGCGATAACTACAGGCTAGCTACCGTAAGAGCCGCGAGGGCGCTTGAAGGCAGCTCAAATTGTAAATTTCCTTAAGCTTTCGTTGTTTGTGTTGGACATGCAGCCCCGTTGATTCAGCCCTGTTTGCTTTCATGACAGTGTTTTATATCCTTGAGTAGGCGGATATCTCGGTTAGTTGACTCATATGCCGCTGTGTTTATCGTAGGACAAGCTGTAGTTACGTAGTATCTATCTGCTCCCGGGCAAGCTCAGCTGTCGGCCTCAGGCTCCCAATTGAACCTCGCTGTCATACTAGTAGACGGGCGGTGAGACCAACCCAAGCGGGCACTAATTGCCAGTAACAACCAGCCAGCATCACTTCCGGAGAAGCTCCGCCGATAACTGGAACCTCTCTGTCGATAACCACCATCCTTTCGGTCCGCCTGCCGCGACGACCTCCTTTGCCGCGCTTTGACCCAAGTCTCACGAATTTACTCAGCTTTTACGCAGACAGCGACCATCTCATTGCTCCCCCGGGTTTTTCGAGAGCCCTGTCCTCGCTCCAGCGATACATACCCCTCGAACAGTCCCAGCAATCAACAGCAGCAACAGCATCAGCGACCTCCGCAGCGCAGTTCTCCGAATTCGAACCAGCTTAATATCCTGCACCTTCACCAGCAGCCTTTCTGTGACCCACCGAACCCGAAATCGACAGATAGGCTGGACCTACGCTGTGCTCCTCCGCCCATACATCACCATCTCCATCACCGACTAGCGCAGCGCTACACGCCCCCCTCAAGACCCACGAACGACAGTCAGACGAAGGAAGGAAGCACATCAAAATGGCAACCGGGTACGTGATCCCACCCACAGTTTCCCTGCGTGCGCGCAGTCGCACCTAAGACTCCAAGCCCCAAGCCCGAGGCCTAGGACTTTGCCCTTGCCATCGTCCAAGATGCAGACAGACAGTCAGGCAGACAGGGAGGCAGCTCAGCCTCTTGCAATCCAACCCAGCCCAACCCAACCCAATCAACCCAGATCAAAACCCACTAACGAATCCCCAAAACACAGATGGAGTCTCATAATCGGCCTAATCGTGGTGGTAATCGCCGCCGTCCTAGCCTGGATCTTCAGCCCTAAGGGCGAGAATCAAACGTATGTTCCACCGCCCCCAAAGCCCTCTGCACAAGGCAAACCCGTCCGTTTGTCTCGACGCGCTAGAATCCAGTCCCGAGTTAAACTAATGATTCGATCGAACAGTGTATTCAGAAGTACGCTCATCTTGTCGTTTGCGTGCTGTTATCTTATGTGGGGTATGTTATTCCCCCAACCAAAACCCCCTATGGGGGTTTTTCTTGGGTCCATGTCAAGGTGTCGTGCTAATGAACCTGCGATTAGCGATCACGTTCCTTGCGCAGTGGCATCCGCTTATCACGCCTAAGAGGGCGGATATGAGGCCTGATCGGGTGCCTGAGTGATTTTTTGGAATTTTTGGTGGGATTTCTGGGGAGGGGTTGGGCTTTTGGGGGGAATTATTGGATTGATGAGCGGTGGTTCTTACGGGATTTGTGTGGATTACGGGTGGTGGTTTTAGAGCTTAGCTTATCTACTCTGTTTCTATACTCTGTATAGTTTAGTTTTCTTTTTTCCTTTACTACTTGCGTATTTTCGAGGGTTCTAACTTTGCGGATTGCGTGTGTAAATGCATCTTGAGTTTATAGTCTACAGTCCCCCTCTTTCTTTTTGGTCTTAAACCGGGGATGGTATGTGTAGCTCCGTATATCCAAGACTAGGGAATCGGAGATGTGTTCCATTGGAAATATTATTCAGTATTATTTAGCCCACCCCCACCAACCCCAAAATAACCCTCTGCACCGACCACCGCGCCACCAGGCCCGCCACCGCCAGCGCCACGGCCCTCAGATACCCGCACCCGAGCAAGATATACAGCGCCTCGATGTTGCTCAGCAGCACGAGATGCGTATCTGCTGCGCCCAGCGACACGAGTGAGCCCATCAGCTCCAGGGTCCCGGCCAGATAACTCGTGGGGACGGACTCCGGCATCGCGCGGATGATACTCTCCAGGAGGGAAGACGAAAGCGATGACGAGGATGAGGCGGAGGAAGCGGTCTGCGTTGCGGCGGCGATGGCGGCTGTGAGCGTTGCGGCAGGCGTCAGGACGCTGTCTTGGAGCAGGGTTTGAGGGCCGGCGTGGGCGTTGCTGCTGCCGATCTGGTTGATGCTTGGATGCGAGGCGGTGGTCGTCGTGAAGGCGTTGCCGCTGCCGTCCGGGACCCAGATTACGAGCAGGATGGGGAATAGTTTCGCGCAGCTGCTGACGAGCAAAGCGGTGCTGATGGCTGTGGGGCTGGCCGGGGAGGGCGGGGGAAGTGGCTTGATGTTCATTCCCATGGGGATGTTCATCGTCATGTTCTGCGTCGGGGTGGTGGAGGAGCGCCGGAGCGGCGGCGGAGGAGGCGGGGAGTGGGCGGCTGAGGTTTGGGTTTGGGATTCTGTGCCCGTCGTGCTGGAGCTTGTTGTTGCTGCTTCGTTAAGTGAAGAGGAGGAGCCCTGTGGGATGAGTTTGGGAGGGCTTAGGGTTGTTGCGGGTGTCGGTGTGGTTGTTGGGGAGAGTTGGGAGCTCGGGAAGGACGGTAGTACCGGGGTGGATGGATGGAATGGCTCTGCTCCTGCGCTCGTCGCTGCATTGTTCTTCTGGGTGGGTGCGGCGTAGCCCCGGCGTGTTGGAGCGAGGATCGAGGCAAGCAGACGGATGGTGAGATGATGAGCGAGAGTCGCAAGCGCGTTCAGACTGAGGAAGAATAGGTATTGCACGACGACCGGGGCGCGCCAGAGGAAGGTATTGACTATGGAGGGCGACTTTTCGATTCGCGCCCAGGTGAGATAGACGTCGAATAGGAGCAGGAGGATACCGAAGCGGATTATGGAGCGCTGACAACGTCAATTGATCAGCTGTGATTGTTGATACTCTGTAGGTTCGAAGCTCTTACATCGAATTGGTTATCATAGCCTCCCAGTCGGTTGAAGAGGAGATGGCGATAGACCTGCCATATTAGGCTTGACTATTAGGTGCAGAACCAAGCTTCATACCTGTGGTTTGATCAAGACAAGATCAATGAAGAGCACGACAAAGTCATACTCGACATATTTGTCCGCGAACCGCTGGCAGCGCGGACACTGTGTCAACCGCACTCCTTTACCCAGGGACCGGTCATCAGCACGGCTGTAGGTGCTATAGAGATGGGAGACGGGATATGAGCACTCGATGCAGATGGGCATCGTGTCAATCGCTCTTGTTAATCAAGGCATCATGATCTGTGACCTGTGACGAACGAAGGGCAAAGAACGTGAAAGGAGGAGATGGAGTATTGGCGGAGTCCGATGGGAGCGCGGAGTCTCCGAAGGCGGTGAGACCTTCTCCGCGGTATTGATCACTTTGAAATGCTGTCAACTCCACCCCTCGAACTCTACAGAGAAAAGGTCGGCTTCTTACGTCCGACTGCTGTTTGGCCTACTACCTGCTTCAAGATACTTCTTTCTTCTGCGTTACCCACACGTGCAACCCCTCCCGCTAATGTTGGAGCTTAGAGCTTCCTATCCGCCGCTGGGCTGTTCACATACGCGAGAATATCATCCCAACGACTCCCCAACCGTTCCGGGGTTGTCTTGAACAAACGTGGAACGCCACATTCCTCATAAGTAATTCCATGGACAGCCATACGTGCGATGCCCAGCGCAGACAGGAAGATTTGCGGCATGCCATGGCTACTGAACCCGGCAATCACCAGCTGACCGGGTTTATCCGGCACATGCTCAACATGGGGCAAAGCATCACTGCTGTAGCCCATCACTACTTCACATTAGCAGGACATCACGGTGCAGACATACGACAACTGTTGTGACACTTAACCCCTGACCACACGCGATCGGTATACGCCCCAGTATTCTCCCAGCCATGGAAATTGCGCTGCATGTAGTTGTCAAAGTACCGCGCGGCGGCTTTGAGGACCCGGCCCTCGTCTGTGTTCTGATACCAACTAGAAATGTCCTGCTTGTAGAACGTGGACTTTGTACCACCAACAATGATACTACGGTCGAGCCGCGGGATTAAGTAGTCGTAATCCCAGGCATTGAAGCGCAGAGTATACGAGCGTTCCATGGGAACAGTAGGCGGGTTGGGAACCACGATTCGACTGCAGAACCCTCGTACCGGGACGATCTTATCCTTATACTGCGGTGCAAGAGCAGCGGTGTATGCATTGGTGGCGAATATGACCGTCTTAGTGTGAATCGAGCCTCGGTCGGTTGTTACTGTCCACCGTCCATCGACATCCGGTACTTCAGAGATGTGCCGCACAGGGGTGTTCGTCTGTAGATTCGCTCAGTAAGTGCATGACGAGCTTGTATGGCCAGCAGCGGCCAGTGCGCTGGCTAAAGCAGCCCCGGGCTCCTTTCACGCCCGGTACCTGCAGCCATTGAAGTCAATACACACCCACCCATCCACCGCAACATGAGCCCCGTAACTAGACGCAGAGGGACTCACAGCTTCAGCAGACTCAAACCCCGTGAACTCCAGATGCTTCACCGCATTCACGCCCTTCGCAACAAAGGCCTCATATCCCGCCTTAACCTTGGCAAGCTGCGCCGGGTCAAAGTGCACATCGCAGACACGGTTCAATTCCATATCACAGTCAATCTTCTCCTATTCCACGAGGGCCTGCGCCGCAGAGACATGTTCCATCTCGAAGGTTGCCACTTCGGCTGCTGCATCGAATCCATACTCGTTGGCCAGGTTGCCAACCCGGCTATATACGTCAGGTTTGAGATGGCCGCCTGCGAGGCATCACAGATTAGCGACTCTTATTAATGACCATCAAACGAGCTGTGGTGAGCAACTCCCCTTACCATTGCGTCCCGTAGCCCTCGAGCACGCCTGCCGTGCTTCGAGAATGACAATGCATGGCTTCAAGCCCGTGGCGCGGTCCAAGCAATGGTAAGCCGTCGATGCGCCGGCGTAGCCCGCGCCAATGATGACAACATCACAAGACTCGGGCAGGGTCTCTGTGGACCGATGATTGCCCAATGGGTCAGGCTTCGACCGCCAGAAGGAAGTCATGCTGTTTCTCGATGGGAAATGGCTTGGTCATGGTGATCGGTTTTGAGGTTGGGATGCCTAAGCGGTGGAAAAGGGTAGAGCATAGGCTTCGGTGATGTAGTTATCACGGTGCTTAGTAGTGCCATTGAGGATATAAGAATTGGGGCATGCCAGCTCATGGAGCTTGTCGTGATAATGGACGATAGCGCCGACAGCTTGCAGCGGGGAGGGTGTCGCTCCCTTGCCGATATCGTGTACTGTACATTAGCGTCCACTGATGAAGGGGTGAGCCCTTATCAGATTGTTCTGATTTCCGTATCAGCAATCAGGCCATTAGTTGTCAATCATATTCATGTGTATATACTCGCCGCGACCCTGCTGGAGATAGGTAACTTTTACCGCGGGCTCGATCATTCAGTAAAAATGCAGGACTACTGTACGTAGATAGCGACCAATGACTGACCTAGCCCGAATTTGATATATGAAATTTATGCCCTCAGAGATGACGCTAGGATACACAAGCAGAGTAGAATGAGCCGCAAGCCCGCTATAAAGAGCTGTGCTTCATCTATACAAGACGGAGTAGAAGCAAGGGTACCACAACCACAGCCATATTGTAGCCAGACCCCAACAGCATAGGATCTATAGTTCCGATACAGCAATCGCTATATTGTCACCACTGACCGCCTGAACCACCGCCCTAGGTGGCAGAAACTAATGAACCTCGCGACGAAAATTGCGGAAAGTCGCGGGAATAAGCGGATTTTAATAACGAACATCTCTGAAAAAGATGTCCGGGAAACTGTTCGTTTTTGGCGGTGGCAGAATACCTGCGGCCAGCCAACTCGTCGGCCATACTATCCATTTTGCGTCCGCAGCTCTGGATCTGAGGAGCTGATAGTTCGTAGATAGCTAAGGGAAATTGTGGTTTATTTCACTTAACATCTCGCATCCTTACCCATATGCTCATCATTGGGCTTGGTCGGCTTTGGTTCCAGTACAGTTTCTTACAGTTTTATTGTACAGTTCCAATGGTAGCTACTTGATGATGATTTACTATGGGTGCTTTTTTTCGTAGGCCCAAAAACCATCATGCAGCACTCGTTAGGCATTCTGCCCTCATGGAGAACGGGAAATAACAATTTTTCCTCGTGCTAATTGCTTTATCATGGCTCGCATGGCTTCTGCCCGTTCATTCCTGTTCATCAAAAGGATGTAGAACATTTATACAAACTACAATACATCGCCTATTGTACCAGTCCCTCCAGCTTCTTCCGCAGAAAGTCTTCCTGCTCCCTCTGACTCTTTCTCAGATCCAGAAAGAAGGCCAAACCCGCGAAGCTAACGAGACTCAGCGCGAACAGAAAGTAGAACGGCGTCGAGTTATTCCCGGTGGGCGACGCATCAATAATGGCGCTCGACACCAACGGCCCGATGAATGACGACGTTTTGCCGATGATGCTGAAAAGACTGAAGAACAGGAACTCGTGGCCCCGGGGTGTCACTTCAGAGATCATGATCATCGAGTAGCTGTACCAGGGGCAGACGAGAAGACCGTAGTACACTTGATATACCTAATTCAGAAACCTTGTTAGGAACGGGTGGTAGTGAGATCTCATGCGGAGATCAACGTACCCAGATCTCCCAGAGGTGGTGGAACCCGAACTTCTGGGTCCATATACCAATCATGCCCCACCCGTCGAGAAGGATTATGGCGACAGCAACGGTGTTGAACATGGTCTTAGTGGTAAGGTTGAAGCGTCGCTGAACGTACCAGAATGAATAGATGCCGACGGCCTGGATCGGATGTCAATTGTCGGACAACGGATTTATGAACAGTAACTGAAGTACGAACCTGGGCTGCGATACCGGCCAGCAGGACATATGTCAACTCTAGAGAATTGTACGACACAATATTGTTTTGTAGAGTGGAGATCACAGTCACGGTGGTGTTCAAGGAGTCGCCGAGGAGGAAGTAACCTGGAAATAGTAGGCTGGGTCAACTCGAGGTCCTCAATCCGGATGTAAGAAGACAATACCAATGAGATAAATCAGGCTCTGCTTCAACGTCCAGACCTCCTTCACCGCACGAAACAGCTGGTTCAAGCCAGCAACAATGATATTGTTGCCCTGCGGGTCCTGGCCCGGCCGTCTCTTCTCCAGCACGAACCAGGGTATCGACACCAGGAGCCAAACGCCGCTGGCAAATGCAATCAGAACACTCAACCCCCAGTTATTGTTCGCCTCACTCGCATTGACGTTCAAGGCGAACATGATGCCCACAATGACGCCTAAGATGAACAGCTCGCTGACCGACTGCACATAGAAGGATACATTGGATAGCTGGGTGCGCTTCATCGAGTCCGCACGATCATACTCTTCTCGCGAGATCCGCCCCGCGGCGTACTCATCCGCCGTATTTCTCATCTCCACGGTGTTCCGCGCCAGACCGGGGAATGCAGCTGTCCAGAACGTCAGTGTCGTCTGATATGCGATCAACCCAACAATGTATAATCCCACGCCAACGTGCCATTTATCAGCTTCATGGACCGCCAGCCACGCGAACCCAATCGCATACGCAACGACTGACAGCACAATGAGAATATTTGGTCTCCAGTTCCCAAAGTCGGCGAAACTGCCAATGACCAAGAATACGACGACCTGGATGGCGAATGAGATGCCGTTGCAGAGGAGAACGATACTATTAACCGAACGCTGTCGGCCCGCGAAGTTCAATGTTCCCCGATCGCCGGCTGCTTGCGACAACAGGTTCTGGAATGCAGTCGGGGCGAAGTCTGCAATTGCGATCACTTTTAGCTTCGTAATCCGGGGTAATCTCTTTTATCGCGACAGGCCCGTGCATGTGCACCGGGCGGAGGGAGAAGTCCTTACTGAACAAGGATAAGCCATTGTTGCCGATATAGTAGCTAGAATGGCGGAATTTAGTAGCAACATCGCAGGGAGATCACAACTCCACGCACGCATAATACGCCCAAATCTCCCATTTTGTGGTGCAATATCGGTCGTCGAATTGGTCGGGTGGACGCTGCTCTTGCTCGCTGCCGCCGTCTGTGGGGCTACCTTGTAGTTCTTGGACGATGTCAATACTTGTAGGCTTGAGGCCATCCTCCAGGGAGGACTTGTGGACCGAGAGATCTGTGGTCGCCATTTCTGAACTTTTTGTTCTTTTCTCTCCTGATATTCTTCCTCCCAAGAAAGCAATTGGCGTCGGCGATGCGTCAAATCGCAGTGCGAGCTGCACGCTATTAATACCGCAGACTGACTGGCTGGAGGGGTTGAGCCCCCGCGCGAGAGATCGTCAAGCGTGATAAGAGCAGATAAGCGATTGGCACGGTTGAGGTTAAACAACAAGTAATTTCCAGGCAAATGAGTGGATACGGAGTGTAGTCCAAGGTTTTCTTGCTTTTCAGTTGCTCGAAAACCCTGGCAATGATCGCATGCTGTTGGCCTGGACCGGCTGATTGAGCGTAGCACGCAATGGACTAATACTGCAGGGGTTCGAGAAGGACGCTGATGAAAATGATTGGTCTGAAGAGCCTTGCGTTGAAGAATTTGCAAACGATCAAGGATGGGCGACGGCAAGCTGATTGGGAAGTGGCAATCCCTTAGGTGCGATTGAATCGCGAATGGTTTACATTTGAGATGTCGAGGCACGCTTCCGTTTTCAGGCAGCCACGCATCCGGCCTGCAATCGTGGCCGGCCATTCAGCAGCATAAAATTGGCTGTCTAATGTGTGGAGAATCTCGTTCGATTCTAGATCGGGTATTACATTTAGGCCAATCAGCGAATCTGAACTATACGTGTCCACCCCGTATATAACCAAAAGCCGGCAACCCTCACGCGCCCATCACAGCTTCGCCTGTCCACTTTCTATTGATGACCAGCTCTTCTCATCCAGCTTCTTGTACTGTGTGCCATCCAACCAGTACAGCTTATCGCCCTCCCAGTCAGTGCGCGGGTCCCACCCTTTCTTGGTCAGAGCTCCCTTGGCTTGCTTGAATGTAACTCCGGTTTCCACCCTGGCAGGGGCGATGTTAGCAAACGTCTTCCTAAGCTACATGTAGTAATAATCTCGGCGAAGAACTTACTTCTCTGTGAGTCGAATGAGACGGGGAAAGGCATAAGATGGCACACCTCTCTTCTTCAACTCAGGATAGAGGTTGGCCATGACTTCTTTCTCCGTGGCCGGGGAAGCATCTTCAAGGGTAATGCCCGCAGCACCAGCTTGGCCGTCATAACTGTGAACCGCGATTGTCAGCATCAAAACACATTCAGACTTTCGAAACACGGTCTAGGTTCAAGAGTTGCAAAACATACGCGCTTAGTTTCACACCATAAACCACAGCATCCTGGATGGCTGGCAGCCGGCAGATATGATCTCGAATCTCACCCGCACTGACATTCTCGCCCTTCCAGCGGAACGTATCACCCACGCGGTCCTGGAACTTTACCCAACCATCATGATCCCGAACCACTAAGTCTCCGGTGCGTTGAAACAAATCACCTTTCTCGAACACGTCACGGAGCAATTTCTTCTCCGTTGCTTCCTCATTGTGCAGGTACTCTGTGAGGAGGCCGCGGCTCTTAACTCGTCCTATCGCCTCTCCCTCCTCTCCCAGTTTGGCTTTCACACAGAAGCCTGTCTTGGGATCTCGATAGGGCATATCCGTCTCGGTGTCGTACTTGACGATGTATGTATCGTTCTCCATGAAACGCTTGATGAAGCCTGAATGCCCAACCTTGCCTGCGGCCCAGGCGCCCTCCCCGAAGTTGTCGAATTTGGCCACGCCCTCTGTTGATCTATAGAACTCGCGAATCTGGGGCACTCCGAAGCGTTGGCGGAAGCGTTCCCAGATTTCTCCGCGAAGTCCGTTACCATTGGCAACAATGCAGGCATGATTACGGTCGTAAGCGGAAGGAGATGTCGATAGAAGATACCGGCATAGTTCACCAATATAGAGAATGCGTGTTGCTCGAGAATCATGCACGTCCTTCCAGAATTGTGAAGCGGAGAATTTGCGGCGGAGACAGAGCGTACCGGCATTTCCCACCGAATAACAGATACCAGTAAAGTAAGCTGTGCCGTGGAAGAGAGGAAGAGACGAGTATGTACGCAGAGGATAGTACTTGGAGCGGTTGTTGATGTCAACCGTCTGAGGATTGGATGTGATCAGTCCCATCATGTTGCGGATGGCGCAGGCTTTCGGTTTGCCTGTGGTGCCTGAGGTGTAAATAAGCGCGCTCAGGTCGCTAGGGGATCTCTTAGCAGCAGGCAGCCCCAACGGCGAAAATTGCTGTAGGTCTGCTGATGTGACAAGTTCTGCTGTACCAGGGAAACCCCCAACAAAGGAAGTCAAATTGAAGGCGAGATGAGGTAGATCCGAGCATACATATTGCGATAAGTCGGGTGTGGAGATAATAGATTTACTGCCGGAGACACTGAGGCAATGGGTGAAGGTATCGTCTGTCGAAGCGTGTTCATTAAGCGCTTGAATCGAGCAGCCTGACTAGGCAGTCCTTACCTCGAAGATTTGTGTTGATGAGGGCAGCAACGGCTCCCAGTTTAGAGAGTGCGTAGATCGTCACGACCATCTCAGGCGAATTGGTAGTGAAGACGGCTACAAAGTCTCCTGGACCGATGTGTCTAGCATGAAGAAGAGCAGCGAATCGATCGACCACTGAAACACCACGTTAGGAAAGTCAACCAGGATAAGGACACGACGACGACGGTCAGGTCCACGTACACTCCTTCAACTGTGCATATGTCCATGTCTTGTTCTCAAACCAAAGTGCCTCATCCGCGCCATGGCCATCTACTTCGATCACCCGTTCAAGCATCTTGTAGATGGTGGCTGTATCGCCAAGTTGCGCGATGCGTTGCCCCAAACGGTTCGTAAATGATCGATCTTTGTAGAGGGCCGAAAGGTCGCTGGCAATGGAATATTTGGCATTGAGATATGCGCCTGCCGCCACAGACAGGGCAGACGCGATAGCAAGGGAAGACCCGCTGACCTCCGAGAAGAGCTCCATTCTGGAAGCTATTATCCCCAGCCCTGATAGTCTATATTGTGTGTGACTCGGACAGTGACGGCTGCAACTGACAGCTTTGAGAGCTACTGAAGGAAACGATCTCAAAGGTGCCGGACAATGGGGAAATTGGGAAGATGGTATACAGTCAAGATCTGGGGTAGTGAACAATTATAGGAAGCCGATTGAGGCTAGCAGGAAGCTCGGAATCTGGGGTCGGGAGACGAACTGCTGGGAACTGCCGTCTGCCGTCCTTACCAGCCCTGCGAGGTACCACAGTTACCATTATTCGTTTATCTAAGCAGGTTTGAGACGAGGCGGTAACAGTATGCAGTCGGCTGGTAGTAGAAGTTCATGCTGAAGCCCCTCCCCCCCCGGTTCTTGTCTGTTGCAAGGTTTCGGGGAATAAAAGATTAACGCTCTATGTGGATTCATGTTGAGCTAGTTGTCTGGCTGCGGTGAGACTCTTGCGAGCTCTTGTACAGCAGCTCACGCGAAGACTCTGTATATGAGTCACATGAAACATATTGTTTCATTGTATAGGTGATTGTTCGGTGGTTACCCATCGACAGTCCGCTCAGAATCGGATCTTCGGGGTCGGGGGTGTACAGTCGCAGGAAATTAATTTGCACCCCCCCCTCTCCCCCAATGTTTGGTTCTAGAGATACCGCCTGCTTGAAGCGCTCACACACCGCCTAAAATATATGGGAAGAAGCTGGCAGAATAGCCATAGGCTAGACTTGATTAGGGAAAGTGCTGAACTCTTTCTGAGGGGGGGGTGCATATTAATTTCCTCCCACTGTACTGTATGGGCTGCCATGATGAGGTTCCGTTCTTGATTCTGCAGTAGAGGGTATGACAAAGATGAATGAGGGCGACAATGGAACGATTCTAAATGACAGGATCAATCTCACTGGATGACTGGCCTCGACCCGCAATTGACAGGCTGCTGCGGGGAGGAGAGAAGAATCAGGAATGCAAATGAGGCAAAACACTAACAGAGGTGGACAGGGCAATCCGGAGACTCACTGACTGTCTTGACTGCCAAAATGCGGAGGGCCGACAACCGACTGAGCCGAGGCCGCGGGGGCTTACCGTATCTTACCATTCTTACCACTCCGTTACTGACTGCTCCGCCTGCACCAAACTGGCCCTCGGCTGGTTTTTCGGCCATTTGACTGCCTCGATGCTCAGCCGGCCCGTCCATGGATCACTCACAGACCAACTACGTAAGAACTGGGAGGATGAGAGTCTCACGGGGGAGAGTGGATACAATAGACCCGCTTGATCGGCATTGCCAGACTGGACCAACTCCCCTAACCCGGTCTCGGCTCGGCTGCTTTTCTGTATCTGGCTCTGTCGCAGAAGCCGCGGTTGATTGTCTTGCTGCTGTTCGCCCCAGCTTAATAAAACAATCGTAGCTCCTGGGAAAAGAAAAGTCCCTGAATCTCTATTCCTTCTATTCTAAACCTTCTTGTACCTCCCCAAAATCGATTTGTTTTCGTTGCGGGATAAAAGGAAAATACAGAACTAGCACAATGTCTTCCCCTCAGCAACGGTTATCTTCGATCGCTAACCAGCTTGCCGGCTCTGGTGCTGCCTCTGCAAAGCAGAAGCTTTTGAGCCAGAATCCTGATGATATCGTACGACTCTGACACGTCATATTGTAATTGAGAAGTGGGATGAGGCTGACTTGGATTTTTAGGTGGTCACATTCGCCGCCCGAACTCCCCTTACCAAGGCCAGAAAGGGCGGACTTAAAGACACTACGCTCGATAATCTTCTGGTCTCATTGCTCACAGTATGCTATTCGTGTCTGCATGCGCCGCCTATCCCTGGCTAATCACAAATCCTATCAGTCCATTCGTGAAAAATCCAACTTGGACCCGAATCTCGTCGAAGATGTTTGCGTCGGAAACGTTCTATGCCCCGGTTCTGCGTACGTCGCACGCTCTGCTGTATTGGCTGCAGGATTCCCTGTGACGGCGGCTGCTTCGGTTGCCAACCGTTTCTGTTCTTCTGGCTTGCTGGCCATCCAGAATATCGCCAACCAGATCATCGCCGGTTCCATTGATGTTGGTATCGCGGTAGGCGCGGAGAGCATGAGCACCAACGCCGATGGCGGTGCTCCCGAGATGTCTTCACAGGTTACGTCGCACCCCATCGCCTCGCAGAACTCGCAACCTATGGGTCAAACATCAGAGAACGTTGCCGCCCAATTCAATATCTCTCGTGAACAGCACGATCGGTTTGCGGCCAAGAGCTATCAGAAAGCCGAGCACGCCCAGAAGTCTGGTTGGTTCGAGGATGAGATCGTTCCCGTTAAGACTCAGATCAAGGACCCCAAGACTGGTGAGATGAAGGATATCATCGTTGACCGGGATGACGGTATCCGATATGGCACGACTGCTGAGTCCCTGGGCAAGATTCGCTCCGCCTTCCCTCAATGGAAACCCAGCGCTACCACTGGCGGAAACGCCAGCCAGATCACCGATGGTGCTGCAGGGCTTATCCTCATGAAGCGTTCGCGCGCCCAGGAACTTGGCCAGCCTATCCTGGCCAAGTTCTGCGGCGCGACCGTTGCAGGCTTGGAGCCCAGAATCATGGGTATCGGTCCGTCCATTGCTATCCCCAAGATCCTGTCCAAGTTTGGGTTGTCCAAGGACGAGATTGATATCTTTGAAATCAACGAGGCTTTCGCATCCATGGTACTGGCGTTTACCCTGTGTGAACCAAAAAAACAACAAATGGCTAACTGCGACATAGGGAACATACTGTGTGCAGAAGCTCGGTTTGGACGAGGCCAAGGTCAACCCCCGTGGTGGTGCTATGTAAGTGCATGTGGTATTCTTGATGCGTATCAGTAGCTAATCGGTTGCACCAAGTGCCTTCGGCCACCCCCTTGGTTGCACTGGAGCCCGTCAAGTCGTCACTGTTCTTTCAGAGCTGCGCCGACAGAACAAGAGAGTCGCAGTCACTTCGATGTGCGTCGGAACTGTAAGTTTACACTCCTCTCATACTCCCAGCTAATAATTACTCGATGATCTGATTGATATCCTTTCCAGGGCATGGGAATGGCAGGAATCTTTGTCTCCGAGCATTGAAGTATAATCTGGACCTGTAAATAGTTATTTTATGACCAATACAGTTAATATACATTTCTTATTTGTCGAAAGAGTGAAGTATCCGCTACGCATGAGAGTTGTCAATTGCATGGCTTTAGCAATGATCAATAGGTGTATTGAGGTAGTAATTCAAGTATGATGAGATGTGCGTCTGTAGGAACGATAAGCTGCGCCTCTGGGGCAGTGGTGGGTCAACAACCCCAGACTCGGTGTCTCGACTCCATAGTTGTTTCTATCTTAAAGTTATCCTTGGTAGAGATAGGGAGGCCATTAGTAGCCGCAAGTCAAACAGCAAAATTAAGTGCATGTTCAAATAAACTTGATCGACGATGCATTTGGACCAAAGCAATCAACCCGGAGCGGAGCACAGAGACTAAAGAAAAAGGTGCAAGTATCGTCACGTGCATTTCCCCCCAGCCGTCGTCATCGACAGCTGCCAAGCCAGGTACGTCCCATGACACCGCTCTTCGTCCTCTCCTCCATTCGCCTCCTCACCGTGCATCATTTCGGTCCCCATCAGCTCTTTTGCGCCTAAAGACTATCAAGCATATATTATCGCTCATCTGCTCTGTGTCAACCCAAGTTTCGACCGGCTTTCATTAAATCAAGACCAGCCGCGGCTTTTACAAATATTGCGATCATGAAGTTCTTATCTATTGCCGCCGCAGCCCTCTGCGCCGCTCCCTTCTCCGTTACCGCTCGGTCAATCGACTTCTTCAGCTCGCAGTCTCCGATCGTTGCCAATGGAATTCCAGTCGAAGGCGACAACCCTCTAGAATACTGCGCTAATCCATCCGACGATGTGCTGAAAATCGAAAAGGTCGACTTGTCACCTAATCCTCCTCTCCCGTACGTTTAACTGCGACAGAGCCGCTTCTTATTCCAGAAACTTGATCGCTAACCCGTCCCAGTGGCCGTACTCTCACGATCGAAGCCAGTGGCACGTTGAAACAGCCGGTTGAGCAGGGCGCCTACGTCCTGATCGAGGTCAAGTACGGTTTGATTACTCTGATCAGGCAGAAGGTCGATCTTTGCGAGCAGCTCTCCAATGTCGACCTCGAATGTCCCCTTGACAAGGGCGATCTGGTTCTGAGGAAGCAGGTTGATCTTCCTAGCCAGATTCCTCCGGTATGTTCTCATTATCGTGGCGAGGCTAAATGTCACAAGTGGAAACTAATACGGGTCAATATCAAATAGGGCAAGTACACGGTCCACGCCGACGTTCAGTCCGTCAACGACAAGCGAATCACCTGCCTCGAAGCCCATAACATCGAGTTCAAGAGAGGCTAGATTCCAGTTGCTTACTCCAAGGACCCGCCACTCAGGTTGTGATGCATATCAGCTATTGGTCAAGCTAGATGCCTACGAGCTTCTCGGTCGCTTACCATGATTCTCTGATTTTCAGCCTCCCCCGTCCTGTATCTCTTGTTTTGTTTTGAATCAGGTCGTTCTGTCCATTTATTCGCCCTAAGCCTGTCTGGTCTTGGTCATGGCCCATTAGTCAGGTTTTCACGCTTCATGATCCCTATTATTCACATTCCTTGGCCGTGTTCTGTATTCCATGGCGTTTGGAGCATTTGCTCAAGAGACATAGCATACTATCATATCCTTCACGACTGTTACCAATTGGTGTCATGTCACCATAGTACTAATAGCATGTGTATCAAGAGTGCATGAAGAGACATTGTCTGCTACTGTATCAAAGAACGAGATGCTAGAATTTCTGTTTGGAATTGATATGGTGCATATGAACAACCGGGGATTCAGCACATTGCCATTCCGACAAGCCTCGAATATCAGCAATGTACTGGCAAGACTGACAAATGTAGGTGAAATTCTATGAACAAATATCATGGGTATCTTTCTCCCGCGCTGGGTACCCTTAACCGTGCGGGAGCGACCTGACAAAGAAACAATAAATGGAATGAAAGCGTGGGCAGCCCACGGCCAATGGTTCCAGTATTGTTTTGAACAGTCTTATACGACGGATCTACCGTCCTTGATTTACTCCCCAAAGAGTCGGCGCACCCGCTTCAACACACTGTCCTTCTCGGGGTCGTAAGGGTGGTCCTTGCTGGGGATCTCCAGAACAGCGGGGAAAGCCTCGGCATATGAATCGACAGCGTGGCGAATGCGCTCGGCGATCTGGAGACGGGTATGACTGTCAGTATCTCGTGTTCTGGACCGAGCATCGCATCTATATGTATGCGGGCGTAGGGTCGCGCTATGGATCACGTACGTGCTGGTTGATGAGCAGGACGGCGATGTCCTGTCGCTCCTGTGTGAAGCTGTAGAACGCCTTTTCGATGACAGAGGTTTCCGTCTTCGAGTCTACCACGAGGAAGTTCCGTTGGGCATCCGGGCCATCTGTGACGTGCTTCAAGGTTGGGTCAGTAGCTGGTCGCATGCTGTGTTGCCTTCGTTCTTCGGACACTTTAGAGGATACGTACACCGATACCCGCGAGGAGAAGCCCAGTTACGGAGCTGTATGTTTGTTCATCAGTCAGACGAGATAGCTTGAGGGATCGGCGGAGAATAGGGAATTTACTCTTCATCTCCGATGACAGCAAGGAACTGCCGTTCCTATTGTGTCATTGAAAGTCAGTATGCGGGCCATTTTAAGCAACAAAGAGGGGGGAAAGGGTGTTGTGGCGGTCGGTACCTTGTAAGAGACGGCCGCGGCCGCCATGATATTGTAGTGTGGACGTGTATGTCAAAGAGAAAACCGTCTGATCCGGAACTACCCTGCGTCGCCAAAGATCAGAAAAGAAGCCCGCCGACAACAAATGCACAGCTGGTCCCGTTGGGTCTCGATCCCGATAAGTTCATTCAAACGTCGTCATACTAAACCCGGTGTCTGCTTATCTAAGCGGGGCTGGCCGCCATCCCCGATTGTTGTTTACAACCGGGAGGAAAACTTGCGGCTTCGACTCGATCACATTACCACAAGCTTGGTTAGTCCACAACCTGCTTCTTTACGCCTTTCCTTTACCGAGTATATGCTCTTCTGACCTGTCACTCTCACAGCATTCTACATACCTTGCAGTTCTGCCACCTCCACCATGCCTCGGCTCGTTCGCCGCCGACCGTTGGCAGAGCGCATCGCATCGTACCTGAACCCTTTGGACTTTCTATTGTGGCTCTCTGAGGAAATTGATACTCATGACTGGGATCAGTTTGAGAAAGACTGGGCGTTGCCGCTTGGTGTGCTGCTGAACTTGACCTTCCTCATAGCGCGAGCCAATAGTCAGACAAGTGGTAGTCAAGCTATAGATGATGTTTTTGGTGACGATGAAAGCACACCTTGGCTGAGTTGGCTGGTACGTGTTGTTTTCTATGTTGCTGGAAGCTGGGCTGGATACTTATCTGGCTTTCAATAGGCATCCTTTATCGTACATTTCCTCACGACTTTCTCCGCGTTCAACGCCTTCTATACCTTCTATCGAAAACGCCACTATCGCATGTTCGAAGCCTCGATTGACCGTGCCCCTGCGACACCATCCGCGCATCGAGTGAGAGTCGACTCGACGCCCGTCACTGCATCGCCTCTGCGATACTTGGCCGAGGCGGTTTCTGGATCGGCACAATCGAGAGCGCACCCGGATGCTCAACGCGATGTTTGGGAGCTTGCGGTGTGGGACCCCCTCCCGATTTGCATCCGTCTGTTTTGCCTGTTCAGCCCCGGTCACGTTCTAGTCTACTGGCTCTTCTTGCCGACTCATCTGTCCGATCCTCGCCCCAGCGTGACCATCGTGACCTCTATCTTCCTGGCAGCTCTGCTTTCAGTGCAGATGACATTCCTGTCCTCATCTTATGCGCAGCAGGCCAAGGACTCTATGTTGGTTCACAAAGAGGTTCTCCGGGAATATGACACCAAATTTGTGCATCCGCGGACACAGCCTCTGATGAGGGATGTGGGAACTCAGTTTTCCGAGTCCGATGCCGATGTCAAACACAATAAGGTCGACACGTTCACGCCGACCTTCGTCATTCACCGAGGATTCAAGACAAGCCCGAACCCGAACTATATCAAGCACATTGACCCCGAAGGATTTTCGTCCGGGCAACAATCTGCAGCGGCTACACCTAGTGGTCCTACATATCGCTCAACCACCCTTCAAACCCCTAGTCATCTGAGAGACGCTTCCCCTGTTGTCCGCAACCCAGTTTCATCGATACGGCAACCTCAATTTCGACGAACTCCAACAGGCACAGGCGATGGAGGTAGCCTCGGAGTTTATTCACACGCCAATTCTCCCCTCAGAAAGTCTGTCTCGGCGAATCTAGATCGCCGGCTTCAAAGTAATGGGGACTTTTTCTATAAAGAGCGCGGTACAAGCGCAGTGAAGAGACAATCAAGTCCACTCAAACGGAGCAATGTGCCTGGCGGCGAAAGTCCAGCCACGCCAGGTCCTAGACGGAGTCAAGTTGGCGCACGCCGTGAAACAACTCATTTCTTGTTGTAATCATTCGCTATATGTCCCTCTCTCACTTGCCCGGGTTGGCAGCCAAAAAAAACATTCGTTTCCTGTACAAATCATGTCAGCAACTTTGCCACATGGCGATTTGTGGTCTGTCATTCTCTTAAGCATCAGGTACGGCGTTTAGTGTGTTCATATGATATTCAATCGTGATTATTTCCTTGTTTCTGGGATATGCTTTTCTCAAAAGGCGTGAAAGATTTCCAGTCATATTCCGGAATGGAGGCCCAATAACCAGCCACTGTACATCATGTTTTCTGTTTTCCGCAATCGGAGAATCCCTCTTGGTGTACTTGAGCTTTGTCTTGTTTGCGATGGGAAATCATCGTCTTGCCATGTCTTGGGAGGTCGCATGTCTAACTCCATTGCACCTGACATGCTGCTGGACTTCCGAGTGCCGTCATTTCCGAATTCGCCTTCCCAATCTGAACGGAAAAGAGAGCATACTGAAACTCGGACCTGCGTGCAGCTTCCATGCCAAGTGGTATCAGAAGTCGGAGTTGCGCATTCCGCATTGGTCAGCCCCGTATGTTCGCGCATTCTTCAGCGAGGCGAGCCTTGGCCGTCCAACATTCCGACCATATCATTACACCCATTATCCCTTAGCATTTCCTCAGCAGCAGAACGCGTCAAGTGGTGATTTCCCCAGCCTTTCTTGCATGATGCTCCCCTGGCTCCGACGAACTTCACTTTCGTCCAACACACCGTACCCCTGAACCCACGTCAATCGTTGCACTCGAAACAATAATCTCGACATCATCTTCGTCTCCGAGGGAATGGGTCGATGTCTTGACGCGGCCTGAAGCTGCCCGATGTTCTATAATAGTTGCGGTTGAAGATGGAGCACTCCTTACACCTACCGAGCAGCAAAAATATGCTGCAACTTCGAAACCCCCGTGGTAAACGTACAAGGCCCCATGACGCAGCAAAACCACCGGTGCAGGGCAAAGGACTCTCAGCTCGGCGCACCGAACATCCTACACCCCCCAAGACCGAAGATTCGAAGACCATGACGGACACCGCGGCACGAAGAGCAAAGCCCACCAAGCTTCCAGTCCCTAAATCGCCCGTCGACAAGGTGAAAGGCAACGCTGAATCGCAGCTTCCCCTACCCGCACCTAAGGAGCAAGAGGCCCATCGAATTTTGCGGCCCAAGAGATCTCTGGGGGCGTTATCGCTTGTCCCGCCTAAAAACACAGATAAAGGAGGCGATCAATACTGGCGCAAGGTACGAGACAGATTTGAAAGAGAGATACCAGCACCGTTACGCAGCAAGGAGAAGCACAAAGAGTACTACCAAGAGGCCTACCGGAAGATCGTATCCTTGGCCACTTCGCCAAGGCAGGAGATCGCTAATTACAAAATGAGATTAACGGGAGGTGTACCGCGGGATGACAAGTTGCATGCACGACCTGTCGGCTTACGGAGGGACGTCCCAAATCTGCACCTCGATAGTCGACTTTCCCTTGGTCCAAATTCATGGAGAGCCGACTCCAACCATGCCGTAGGACAGAGAAAACGTCCAAATACTGCAGAACAAGTGCCGAGCTTACCGGCTCCTGAGACCACGCCGCCAACTACGTCCGAAAAGACAGATGCGACCCCCGACTCATCTGAACAATCATACCCAATATCACCGGTTTCAGCACCCGCAAGTTCTGTGACGGACTGGGAGGATCGATTTGTTGTCAACATGCCGTCAGCAAGAGAACCGAATCCCTTGCATCTAAATGCACAGCAAATATCCAAATTTCAACAAAGCATCGAAAGAGTTCACAAAGAGGGCGGAACGATGCTTGATCCTGAGACGCTTCCAAGCCCCCGTACTACCACCCCCGAGGACAAGATTATCCCCAGCGAACCGCGCGAGAAGAAGACGATGATCGGAATGGATGGCCAGGCACCGAGCCCTGATCCCCCTTCATATGAGAACAATGATGGCGAATCCACTGGTGAACCACCCCGCTATTATAGTCCTGACGAGATTGGAAAGCCACGGTTCAGCACAATTTGGGAAGAGTCACCTGGGCAGCTAACCAACAAGCCTTTTGCAGCGAACCCCGATGGCTCTTTTTTAGGATGCAAGGAAATCAACGGACCGAACGACAAGAACCCGGACGAGATTTTGCTTTTTTCGACCACAGACGAACGCCCCAGGGTAATCGATATTCCAGGTCCCAAATCCAGGATACCCAAAGAAGGAAGAAGAGTCACCACACACGCCCTTACACCAGCAGCCCAGGGGAAGGTGGCCCTTCCGCAAGAGCGGAGCTCAAATTCGCAGAATTTGAATCCTGCCCAATGCTCGAAGCAGTTGCCCAAGACGATGTGCAAGGACACCAAGTGTCGTCTGCCGGAGAAGGCAGAACATTCTACGAAACCTCCCTTGAAAGAAAACCGGGATTTGCAGGCAAACACGACGAGAAATACTCACGAGCAAAGGCCGAGCCGCAAGTCCGACGATGTATTCATTATCACACCCACCATCACACGCACTATGGTTACCATGACAGACCTAAGAGTTCACGCCAAAAAGAACCCAGACACAGAGGAACCCACATCCCGAGCGGCAGGGGAGATCATCTCAGGCACTCGGACGAAATTCCAGACCCAGCCGGGACCATCCACGGCAAGTCTAAGGCGACTGACGCTGGCGCAAAACTCGTGGGAGCGACAGAACGCAGCTTGCACGACGTCCTCGAAAACGCCGTCTCCAAAATTAGTATCCCCGAAGACAACGTCACCAACACAGATACCCACCGTCAAACCTCGGGGCACAGAGCCCGAGCGCCGAACGTCAGACAAGCCAAAGTATATACGTGGGTTCATCCGTACATCCGGAATGTCGAAGGCTACAATAGAAAGTCAGAGCAGTCTTCCACGCAGTAATCCTCACCCCCCACAAAATCACCCACCTTGTCTGGCACCTGGAAGTGGGAACACGCCACCAATGGCTTCTCGGGGTGTTTTCGAACCTCCCCCCGAGCCAAGCCCATCATTCGCACAAGAGAATATCCCGCAAGCGGCAACCTCATCAGCCGCCCCAGATATATCGCCGTACATCGGGAATACATCCTCCGGACCCGATATATCTCCCCAGAACTCTATCAGTAGAGATGGATCGGAAGAGAGGTTCTCGCCTCGCGAACTTCAGAGTTGCGAAGTCGCCGAACTGGACGGGCAGCAGGTCTACGAAACACCTCGAGAAGAAGGAACATTCCATTTCAACGTCACTGACTTCAATGCTGATATCCTTGGTGACCCAGCGAAGCGACCCGAGACCAGTACGGAACGACCCGACAACAAGGCAGAGACAACCGACGATCAGGCATTATGGGCTCTCTTGAGAGATGCTCTCATACAATCGGCAGTACAGATCCATCAATTGTACAGCCAAATGATGGCGAATCGTAATAACAAACCGGTGCTGGTCCGCATTGCCTTCGATAACATTCTCATGATGATAGAGCATTGTCTCCTGGTTCTCAAGAACTTCCTAGCCTTCCTCTCTCTGTACAACTCCACCGGCACTTGGCCAAGACCGTCCAAGAAGGATCTCGTCCACTCGCTGATCGATCACTGCCAAGCAGCGCTGTACGTGGTCACCCTGGGCTTCCTCATGATGATCATCGGTCGAGCCGCGGGCTATGTCGTCCTCGTGAGCACGTGGGTCATATGGTTCGCGAAGCCGTTTGCGTGGTTTTTCGGGGCGCTGGGTCGGGCGTTGTGTTGATATACTCGGCGTGGTGAGGCTTGTACTATATTATAGAGTGTCTGCTCATGCATTCCATGTTTGAAGGAGTGTGTATGTGTGTCTATTTCCGGCGTCATTGGTGAATGGATCCCCGGCGATATGGTGCTTCACGGGGGCTTTTGCGCGTGTTTTGACTCTGTCAATAAACGGACTACCTCTCACGGATGGATGACTCGGATCGATCGAGCGGTTGTGTTTTGCGCGATTCCTCCCCCTCGTTCTGCAGCCCATTCTTATGCGACTCGATGTCATTTACCGTACGAATATGAACAAACTCTGTATGCTGTATTCTCATGATTTGACGGATTCTTTTTTGCAGTAGTTGTAGTTCCATTGGCGTGCATGGGCGACGTCCCTGTTCCTGAGTGTAATAACCCCTTCGCAGATGAATGTCTTGGGCGCTCTGATGCTAGCACACTACACACTATCCATGATTGTAAAGCTTTTCATCTATCTGTCTGTGTCTATGTCTGTACACGACGAAGGGAGGCCGGCAGGCAGGCAGGCAGGCAGGCAGTGGTCTAAAAGTCGCCGACTAGATACGCGGTTTGGTATAGTTATCAGTTGACCGAACTGTATTTTCGATATGGTTTCTAGTCGATATCGAGAAGGGAAATGGGCAGATGGGGGTTTGATTCTCCCTTTCATTCCGCCTGGAATGCCAGTCGTGGACGGGCCATAAGTCCCTCAGGACCGAGTGGCCTAAATCGACAGCTGTAAGTACCACCGCCTCCGCAACACGTGGGTAATATAATGTGAAAAAAAAAAAAGAAACTTTTTAGCCGAAATGAATCCCTCCCCAGAAAATAACAGATGCATGGTCCTCATTGAGGGCAGGGAAGCACAAAATCTCGAACCAAGGTGGCCAAAACAATGCGTGTGTGTGTATGGGTGTGTATCCGGTGGAGACTAGAGTCGGAGAAGACCAAGTGGAGGGATATGAAAATGAAAACGAAAAAAAGCCGTTCTTGACTGACTCCATCTTATGGTCCGTCTTTTTTTCCCTATCCCATGTTGAAAAGGATACGCCGAAATTCGAAACCCAACTCCTTTCGTTCCGTTTATACCCTACCTTTGTGTGTTGAAATTTGAGAGAAAGTCGTGACCGTGCGTAAGCAGAGAAATTGAATTTGCCACACAGTCTTGAATTTGTTTAGAAGCGCTCTTTGAACAGGTTGGGGAAGAATAAATGGAAAAGAAGACAGGTTGGTGTCTTCCAAAGCTTCGAGCTCTATCTTGGAGAATAGATGAAAAGGAAAAAAACGTTGAAGTTCCATGCTCGACGCGGGATTGGTGGTTGTTGTGCAAAACGCAAAAAAATGCCATGCGAGGGGTATATGTTAAATAATAAGAGATGACTGTGAGTGAGAAGATAAGATGTCATGTTGAAGTATCATAAGAATCGCTCAGAGAAGAAATCGTTGAGAGGTCTTCAATTCATGCCGCCATTAAACGTTTCGTTGAGTTGCTTGTTGTGGCCCGAGGGTTCCTGACTCAGGGCCGCGGGTGTAAGTCGTTGAGAATAGATAGATGTTGAATTAGGTGTAAGTGTAGTTGTCGTAGTGTTGAAATTAGTTAAGTAGTCGTAAGATGGGTTGAATGGATGCATATAGGAGTGCATAGCATGATCGTAGACTGCGGGTGGGGGCCCGTCGCGATGCCTGTTGAAAGCGGCATTTGAAAAAGAGATTGAAGAGAGCCTTAATTCCTGAGTGGAAGCTCAGTGCTGGTTCCATTCGGCACGGTGCCGTTGATGGCTCCGTTTGCGGCTCCGTTTTGGTGGCCCTTAACTTGACCGTCCTCGACAGTAACCTCGGTGTCGAGATCCTTCACGGTCAGGTCCTTGAAAAGGTCGAAGAGACTGCTGGTGTTGTGGAAGTCGTTGTTGACTATAGAGAGTATTAGTCATAGCCATAAAAAGGGCGCATACACTTCACTTACCGATGTTGACTAGGCACCAGTCGTCCACAACGGACTGAATCAGCTTTCTGCTGGGACTGGAAGCATCGTGACACTTAGCCCAATCTTCACCGAGGCGGTATGCCTCATCCTTCCAAGCCAAGAAACTGATTGTCTCCACAATCGTAGGCTGGACAATCTCTCGCCCCGCAAAAATACCCCAGGTCAAGGCATTGGGGCTATCGTTAGTATTGGTCCGCAAATCGCCGTTCTTCGAAACAGCATGATATGTGAGATAACCGTTCTTTTCGATGCGTGCGATCAAATCGTCAAGCAGGTAGGAAGGAATCAGAAGCTCTAAGTATGCCTTCTGGTAGACATAGCCGTTCTTGGGACCCCATCCATACACCGGGTGGGAGGATTTCACACCATTTACGGCCGGTTGCGAATTGATGGTGAAGATACCCTTCTTGTTCAACGCGATAAGATCGTCCTTAATGGCGTTGGCTTCGGCGGTGATTGGGCTGTCACTCCAAGGCAGTCTCGCCAGCTTGCCTTCCAGGAAATCGAGAAAGATATGGGTGACGTCCCGCAGCGATTTGGGTTCTCCCCACAGCTTAATGTTTTGCTCGTTTGTGCCTTTGAGACCAATACCATAGCTGTCAAGCTCGCCGAAGGCGGGTGACCGAGAATCGGTCCAGCGCCCGTTGGGAAATTCGTCCCAAGTCTGTGTGCGAGCAATGTAAGAAGAGTTGCGATTCCGCCAGAAGATGGGGCGAACATCTTCCCCTCTGCGATTGAGACCAAGCGACGGCCGCCAAGGCAAGGCCCTCTGGAGTGGCGTCTCTTCAGACGGCAAAAGTTTGAGGTCCTCAAGAACTGCTTGTGTCGACTGTGCAAGGTTCATGGTATAACTGGATGTGATCGTAAGAAACGGTTGAATATAGCATGGAAACAAGGGTGGACTCACAAATGCAGGTGGTTAAGACCGCTCGCGAGGAGCTTTCTGCACATATCTGCGACGAGGCGCTTACCGATGTTTCTGACAGCAGAGTCATCATTCTTGACGGGTTCCAAGGCTTCCAACCAGTCCGGCGGAATGCGAATCTTCGTCCATTCAGAACGTCTGATAAACGCAGCGTACGTCTGGATGGGCATGATACCGGGAATTATAGGCACGGAAATGCCCCTGTCCCGACAATTCTTGACCCAACTGATGAAGTTGTCCGTGTCGTAGAACATTTGAGTAATGACGAATGAAGCACCGGCATCGACCTTCTCCTTGAGGTGATCAATCAGAAGATCGACGTCCGGGTTGTCATCCGCCCCTTCAGGGTAACCTCCGACGCCGATGTCGAAGTGGTTGCCATATTTGTCCCTAATGTGTTTCACCAAGTCCTTTGCGTAACGGAACCCTCCATCTGTGGCTTCCCAATTCTCCTTCTCACGTGGGGGGTCTCCACGTAAAGCCAGAATGTTGGTGCAGCCAGCCTTGTAAGCCGCTTGGAGCGCAGCGTCCACCTTCTCGACGGGCATGTCGGTACATGTCAGATGCATACAAGTTTCCAAGCCATACACCGATTGGGCAACGTTGACCATTTCGCAAGTCAGGTCCGACAGGCGGCCGCCTGCTCCCCAGGTGATGTCGATGAAAGAAGGACCTAGAGCATGCATGCGATCCATTCTGTCGTATAGGTTCTGCACACCCTGAGCCGTCTTGGGAGGGAAGAACTCGAATGAGATGCCTGGTCTCCCGGCAGCCTCATTTTGGGAGAGCTTCTCTTTGATATGCATGGTGTAGTGTCAACTGGGGGGGGTGGGCAAACGTATGAGTTAGAATAATTGTGGCGTCGCTGAGGCATTTGGGGGAGGGGAGGCGGTGGGGAAGCCTAAATAAACAGCCATGGACAATAGGAAGAAATATTCCTCAGGTTGTTCGACTTACAAAGACGAATATGGGATTCAATCCAAGTGACCCAGACAAGTAGAATGATACCAAGGCAAAGGGTATCTCTTATTGAACGCTATCCGACTGCTGATGATCGTTACGCTGGCTCTCTGGATCCGCCGGGGACTGCCAGACCGCGTAGGACGAGACGGAGGAGGCGGATGACACAAAGAAGGAGGGTCTAACAAACCTCGGACCAATGCAAAAGGAACAGGACAGCAAAAGAGAGGGAAAGGAGGTAGGAAGAGTGAAGAAGGCGGGGGGGAGGGAGAAAGAGAGAGAAAGAGTGAGAGAAGAAAGTCCGGACTAGTTAGTAAATGCCCCAGCGGATGGAAAGCCAACAGAGCGGGCGGGACGGACGAAGGAAAGGTGGGGTGGATATTAGATAATACCAATTGTTGTAAGGAGATTGAGGGTCCGGACTTCGGAGCTGGCCTTGTCGGGGCACGTGCTCTCGGCCTCCGGTGTCCACTTAACCAACAACGGATAGCCGCCGATTCGGAGCCTTTTCTTTTCTTTGCCTCGATCAAGTTGATCAACCCACCGAAAGATTGCGAGAGGGGGAGCAACACTTCCATTGTAAGCAAGGAGGCCCAACACCGTCATACTTCTTAGGGAAGACGTGCAGCTCGCTAGGAGTAACTATGTCACCGCATGAAAATTAATTCCACGTCATAGCTGCCTTGCTCATTCAGAAGGTTTGCTGTCCGGTTGATTGTACTATGGAGTCTATATCTGTAGATGTCTATGGAGGTTTTGTTAAGATTGATTGATCATTAAATGCCGATAAGGAATTCCCCGTATTTCTCTGAGTAAGACAGGAGAAAGACCGGCAGTCCGGCAGGCGGTGAGCTGAACGAAGAAAGCGGTCGTCTGCACCTTTTCGGATCCAACAGCACACAGATAAGCATGAGTACTTCGCAGTAACTGGATTGATTGTGTAGGATTCAGAAAAAGACCGCAGACCACGTTTGTGACTCTTCCACAGCGCACTGTCCTTATCTATTGTTCACACAAGTGAACAGGATTCCTGCGGAAATCGAGCAACTTTCCATATCCGCTTTAGGTCGCCCCTGTTGACTTACTAAGCAGCCCGGAGCATGGGGAATGCAAAAGTATATATCCTGAGTAATCCATAAGTAACCGCGAATTACTCTAGAAGTAACTGCTAGATAAAATAACCGTTGTTCTAAGTACTTATCTAAGCTTGTATATATAGTTTATATAATCCTACTGGACTATGTATAATTGAAAGGATATCCTTTATTCAGTCATAGTCCCGTTAGTTTATCTATATTTTCTGATTCTCTAGAAATGTTAAGTTGGAACATGATATTGGAAATTGGGCTTTTCCGTCTGCTCAGCTGTAGAATAGTAGTAAGTAGACGACTACCAGCAAATTTCTTCAATTACTGAGATTCTAGTAGACTAAGTCAATTCTATTTGATGATTCAAAGATCGTCTTCAACTGACATCTATCTTCTGATCTCTTTTTCGATGATATCTACGCCAAGACCTTTCGCCAACGCCCTGCTCACTGATTCGATTCCTACCAACTTCCACCCCAGTAGTTCGTGTCTGGTTTCTTCGATGACAAGCACACGCATGTCCACAGTTCTCCAAAGCGACATACGTCCTGCTCAACGAGAGGCTGTTGCAATCCGGACGACCGCGGGACTCTTATCCCAAAACCACCAAATGCCCTGCTTCTCCCAAACGGGGAGGTCGACGGCGGTGAGATCATACCGCCACAGCAAGCGGGCGAGCACGAGCCGCAGCTCCATCCACGCGAGATTCTGGCCGGGGCAATTGTGGGCGCCCAGCGAGAAGGGATGGAAGGCCCGCGTGGGATGATCGGTGCGGAACCGCTCGTCGCCGCCCAACCATCGGGCGGGCGCGAATTCGTTGGGGCTGGTGAAGTTCCGCCCCGCGCGGTATGCCGCCCAGGGCGGGATGGAGACGGTAATACCCGCGGGCACGGTCTGTCCAGCAACAATAGCGCTCCCGCGGGGCACTAGGCGCCGCATCGCATCCGGGATGGTGGGACAGAGCCGCATGCCCTCCATCAGCACGGCGTCGAGATACGGGAGCGCCTTGAGCCTCGTCGCGGTGATCTCGTGCTCGGCGGAGAATGTGCGGCGGAGTAGAGTCACTAGTTCGCTCAGGCTGGTGCGCTCCTCTTTTTGTAGTAGATGGTTGATCACCCCCGTGAGCACGGTCGTAATCGACTCACTTCCCGCCGCGACGATCAGCATCGCGTTGACCTCGATCTCCTCCTGCGTCATCGCCTGGGAGGCGAGCATCGTTCCCACAAAATCGGGTCGCGTGATAGCAGCAGCAGCGCCAGCAGTGCTCGCCGCCACTCGCTCCGCTACCTTCGTCTCGGTGACCTTCCACATCTCCATAACCGGCTTCAGCGCCTCCGCCGGGGTGCTGGCCATGAGCAGACGATGAAGAGGGGGATAGAATTTCAGCGCCCCAACAATAATGGCGGCCTTGAATTGACTGACGGTCTGCACCCACGGGTGGTAGCGCAAGCCCTCCAGACATCCAAACGAGCTACCCCAGGTGAGATCCCCGATCACATCGAAGGCGAGGTAGTTGATCCATTCCACCAGGTCGACCTCGGCGGCTGTGCTGGAGGCATCGTGAATCTGCGCATCCAGCTTGTGGAAGAGGAGGTCGATGTACCTCTGCAGGATGGGTTCCTGCTGCATGGCGGTCCTCTCCGAGAAGCTGGGGGCAAGAGCTTTGCGGAGGCGCGCGTGTTCCGCCTCGGAGCAGGCGATCAGATTGGCCGCCGTTTTCCCCGGAGGCTGATCTTTGTACTGCTGCGGACGCACGAACTCGCGGTCGGAGAGGTAGATATCGCGCCAGGCCCGGGGGTCGACGAAGGACAGTTCGTCCGGGGCGACGCGGATAACATCCCCATACCTGGCGTGGAAGTCTCGGATGCGGTGGGGGAGTTGGCCTTGGATATTGGCTAAGAGAAAGGGGAGCCGGAATGCACGCCACAGAGGAGGACCGGGATACTTGGACAGTGGATGAAGATAGAGGTTATACACGACCTGGGTGATGAGGTACTGTTTGCGTGGTGTTTAAGTTTTTGCTGCTGTGTCTTTGGGGGAGGGGGGAATGGGGATGGAATAACTTACGAGGACGAAGAGGAGGATGAGAATACCGAGAACAGCCATTGTAAGTGGTCGAAGATTGGCACAGTATGTGTTTATGGCTGGAAGTTCTTGGGGGGGGGGGGTTGGGGAATAGAGGAGAAGAAAGCAGAAAGCTACTCCGTACAAGATCACCTCCTCCAGAAACAGCTAGCTATAATCTATTATAACTAAGCTAATACATAGTGACTGCGGAAACATGTAAGCACTAAGCATGCTTGTATGTACTGTATGTACTCTGTGTACTATATCATGTGTACGATTTCCTCTGTACTGTATTTGCATTGTATGTACTATACGATATCCCAGTGCGAATCCGCAACGGACCATCTGCACAGGCGAAAGAGATACGGTAGCAACCTAATTGCTTAGCCTATACTCATTATACCCCCGGTCTGTCTGTGTTGTCTGTGTGTGTGTGTGTGTGTGTTTCTTTGTCTCTTTGTTTGCTTATAAAAAACTTACTGGTCAAACTACACCAGTTGAGGTAACCAGCCCGCTACCGACTTCTTTCTCAGTACTAGTTACGGAGTACTCCGTGAGTCCGTAAGACTAAGTAGCCAGTAAATAACTAGTTAGTTAGCCATTCTGAGCTTGGTTCAGCTCATTTAGGGCTTCCCGTCATCCTATTCGATATCCAGGATTGCGTCCCGCCCACCCACCCGTAAGATGGGCAAGAGAGGGGAACGTGCGGGCCGCCAGGCACAGCCTCCGGGCCCCGTCCCCTCCGCCCGCCTAATCGTTCCATCTCGGCTCTTGCCGCAGGAGGGGGTTGGTTCTTGGTTTTACACATAAAGTAATGAATTGATGGATGGATGGATGGACGATCCGTCAATGTCCTGCCCTGCGCCTCCTGATTTCAATCACAATTTCAATCTCACCAAGAAAACAACAATAACCATGACTTCCTTGAAGCCCATCAAGCTCTTCTGGAGGAGTACGTTTCCCCCCCCTCCCTTTTACTCAATCAGCGATACTGATGGGATCAAATCCAAAAAAACACAGACCAAGTCCCCAACCCCTCCAAAGTGCTCATTATTCTCGAGGAGCTGAACCTTCCTTACGAAAGCTCTTGGGTGGAGCTCGAGGATCTCAAAACCAAGCCCTTCACAGATGTAAACCCCAACGGCCGAGTTCCCGGTATGTGATGAGAGAGAAAGAGGGAGATCCTGCATTTTCGAGGCTTCTCGGCCATCTGAACATTTTCCATAGCCATCATCGATCCCAATACCGGTCTCACCCTGTGGGAGTCCGGCGCGATTGTGCAGTACCTCATTGATACTTACGACAAGGACCGGAAGCTCTCCTACGCCAGCTTTCCGGAACAATACCAATTGATCCAATGGTCCTACTTCCAGGCCTCCGGACAAGGGCCATACTTTGGACAATCCGCATGGTGAGTAAGAGAACCCTTCGTCCGGCGCCAACCTTCGCATGGAAGGGGGAGGAAAAGGGGCGGGGCTAAACTATATCCATCTACAGGTTCAACCTGTTCCACGAGAAGATCTACGGCGAGTCGCCCGAAAGCGCCAAGGTGCGTTACGAGGCCGAGGTCAAGCGTGTGGCCGGGGTGCTGGACTCAGTTTTGAAGGAGCGGGAGTGGCTGGTGGGCGACAAGTGCACCTACGCGGACCTGGCGTTCGTCATGTGGAACATGCAGATCGCCTTCTTCATGGGAGGACGAGAGGGTGACCAGGTGTGGCGTCCCGACGAGTTCCCCCATTTCACTAAGTGGCAGAACGCGATGATGGCCCGGGAGTCCGTTCAGAGGGTCATCAAGGTGTTGCAGGACAAGGAGGTCAAGAGCGCGTAGTTCTTCAGACTCACAATTTCTTGTTGCCCTGCGCTGGCCAAAGATGAGACTGCCCACTGTAGAATTGGAACCTGATTTGCAATTTGGGCCCCACGGAGAGAGTCGAATCAGTAGAGATAAGACCCAAGATACGTAAACGACTAGGCCGTACACATGTTCATGACTTACCCCTCTTTCTGGCCCTGAATCTGGCCCTGAATCTCGGGACAAGGAACACTTGGCGTGGCTGCCACACGCGGACTCCATTCGTTGCCTAAATCAATAAATAACTTAAACTGAATTGTCCCACAGCAGGGAGCATGTAAAGTCTTATTATTTGCCCCGGAAACAGAGTCGAGAAGGACAAGCATGTCGCTTTGTTCGGTTTTTGGGCTTCCTTCTTATCGTTGGGAAGTAGAAAGGGAGGGGAGTAAAAATGAACTTGCTCTTCTAGTCTTAGTGAGACTGATGAATACGTTACTTAGGAAGTTTAAAAAAAGGCAGATTATATCATGTGAGCTGTTACAGACGTGCTTGAAGGGGTATTATACTTGATCAGTGACATGGAATTTTAGAGATGCATGATAAAGTGCTTGAAAAAAAAATGAATGTGTGATCTTGCTCATTATTTTGTAGTGTATCTTATTAAACATATGCCTGGGTGAGGAATTTGCCATGCCCCCCCTTCAAAGATAATACCTACACAGAAGGCTTATCTTGCTGTATAAAGCTCTGAGTGACCATAATTTGCATTTGCGATTCCGTACACGATCATCCATCGCCGCTTGCCCCAGCTCAATGTCAGTCTCGTGAGGTTGTTTAATGCCCAGCTTCTGCCATTCCCGTCGCTGAGGACGGTACAACTCATGAGGGCTTTCGGTTGCCGAGTCGGTTTGCTTGGAAGACGCGCCCCGACCCTGTTCCCCCCCGGTACCACTATGTAGAGATAGACGGCTGAGGAAGCTTTTAAAATAGTATCTCAGCCCCTTGTCGCTTCCGACCAGGTTTCCGTACAGCGGTAAGCAAGGTGAAACTATACTGGCATTGGGCTCAATTGTACCCCAGATGAATGCCGTCGTCACGACTGAGTACCTGCTCACATTAGTTGAGGCGACAGAGTGGTGAATGTCGATGTAAATGTAGTAGAAACGAATGGCCGAGGAGATGCAACAGCTATGTCATAGAATGTGTCAGCGTTGGTCAGCCACTTGGAGTTGTGGCGCTTGTATGGAGGAAGCAAGGAAAGTCACTGGACCGCAAGGAGGATAAAGAATACTCACAACAGGCCCAGCCAAAAGATGCCCAGGACTTGAATCTTTTGGCGATCTGACATCTGCAGATTGTAGACGGAGGCTATCGGAAAGCACAGTACAATTATATCAAAAACCATGCTCATGCCCGCGAACGCCTCGGAAAAGGCGTTGTAGTTGTAGCGAAGGGGGTTGACGACGTAGGGATCCCAGGCCGCGGTAATCGGGTCTTCACACAGGGGTTGAGCCTACATCTTCAGTCAGAATCCTCTCACTACACGGAATAGGTCTTCCTACAATGATTATGGCAATAGCCCAAGCTGCTATGATGGCGACGAATGAATAAACTGCCAAGCGAAACCCGGGGATGACGAAGATCCGTGCGTAAAATAGCAGAATAGATATCTTCACTAGAGCCAAACTAGCGGCCAGCGGAAATCCCTCAATGCAAAGGGCCTGTGACCATGAATGAGTGATACGTCATCCTTGATTAGTATGGGGCAAAGAGCGTACCCGAAGAAAAGCAACAGTGGCAGAGAGAACATCGCCTTTAGTATAGTTGACTCCTCCAATCGATGCTGCTACAAAGGTATCGATGGATATGCCCCAGGCGCAGATCTGAGCCAAGATGATAATACAACCATCCAAGAATATCTGCTTGGACTTGTGAAGACTGGCATAGATGCGAAGGCAGACCGCAGGGGTGCCGAAAATAGGAAAGATGAATGAGACTGTCAAGAGGCTAGTAGTAACCAAAGACGGGTCCTTGCCCTCCGACGAGCTCATCTTGCAAGTGAAATAAGAATTAATGATGACGATTCCAAATGCATAGGCCTAAGTACTGGAAGCCACACTTATATGCCTTTCTTCCCATTTACAGAAGTGAGATGTGCAGTGCTGCAGACGCATTGATGCAGCCGCATTTGCATCGTGCTAACAGGGAGACGAGCATGAGCGCATCACCAGAGAGATCTGAGTGCTCAGAGGGTGATGATGATTGTGGGGGCTGGTGTCTGCAGTTGGTTCTCATGTATTTTATACTGTAAACCGGCGACTCTCCCAGATTTAGCAAGGAAGCTTTTGGTCAGCATGCATGAGCGGGGGGCCATGATTTCGTCGTTACAGCATTTCCTCTAGGAACTGGGAACTACCGTTCTCACTAATACAATTCGCACAGCGACTGCTTCTGCTCAAATGACCACTTCGATTATTTTCTATACAAGGCCGTCAACTTCTACAGCCTGCACTCACCAGTTCGAAACTGGCCAGCGAGCAACAAGCAGAGTTATACTACTACTGAGGCGGTGCTTGTATCTACTCCCACCTGCCATATGGCAACAGCGGATATCAGCAGCCGAATATCATTTCAAAACTCACAAACTCGGGGTGATTTCTTGCGAAAAAGCCCTTTGTAACTCTGGAACCCCCCCGGCCGCCCGTCCAGACTAAGGAGCCAGTCATGTCTACCATGTACGCTACTGCAGTGGTCAAGGCTACTTTTGTCATTCTCCAGTGAAAGTCTGTTCAGCTTCTGCTCGCAGTATCACTTGATGTACGACTATATATACGACAGACTCACCATAGTTGTCGCTGCAGCTCTGACTGAAAGCTTGGGAAGTCGCAGCAATTGATATCACTACCGCCGTTGAACTGAAGCATCTACTCAGCCTTTCGCCGTGAGCGCCACTCAAATGAGCTCCAGCAGCTCTAGTGTCTATGATACCATGTGTATAACGGCGATCCCAATACCATTATTGGCAGCAGCAGCAGTTACGGTGCTTGTGGTATCAATCAGCTCCGCACCTTCAAAACATATACACGCAGCTTGGCCGGACCGTTACTCCCAGCCAGACTGGCCTTATTCCGGAACAAGCCTCGACCCTCATCGAAGGTGTCAGTCCTGTTTGTGCAGCTTACTGTCTGGCTAAGACTCACCTCAATTGACCGAAACAGCCGGGCCTTGTGCGGCTGCTGCTATCTCAAATTCACCTGATTTTAGTGATTATATGTCACTCGCTTCCTCTGCCCCTTTCGTTAGAGCCATTGACTGCTCTTTCGATTCTTCAGAATCTTCTCTTCCTAACACGGCAGGTGTACCAGTTGCTGTCTTCACCGGTGGTGCCTTGCACATTCTTTCTGGTGTCACTGATACAGCGGTTTCTGTCGGGTTAGCCTGTATCTGGGCCATTTCCCCCTCTGGAGGTTTTGCATATTTGGATACTAATTGTCTCTTTCGTAGCTTCGCTGGCCTGATTAAGCCATCCTGGTCTATTCTGAATCTTGCGGATTAAACGATAGTCTATAGCTCGGTACCTGAGTGCTCCAGTCCGCCCAAATATTCAAAGATTTCTGCATAAGTTCAAGCTTTACTATAGGCCAGAAGTACTAAGACAACATGGCTACGCATACTGAATCAGCGCTCTAGAGCATGTGTGAAACCTCCTTCGCATGATGTACTTTTCCTTTGCCACGTTTCTCTGTTTGAGGTTAATGATGGAACCCGATTCCTGGTTAATCGAGATTGTGTCCCCACCGTGTCTACCGAGGCTACTGATCTCTGACAGCGGCTGCAGGTGAAGCCGGTCCTTCCATATCGAATGCTGCCTTGTCACCCAAATGTCACCCTAATGGGGAGGCTCTTGCGTCTTTTGTCTAAATCTCCGCTTTATGGCCACACTCTACGAAGTCCTGCAGTAGCATGTTACGGAGATATCCGTGTATCAGCCACAGTTACTCAATTACTGTAGTGGAGTCCGATCGCATGTCCAGGGATGCCTGTCAGGCCAACCCTGAGAGTTATAGTTATCCCGGCTTTGTGGCGAGTCGATGGAGGTACGGACTAGGTCAGGGTGCTCACATAGTTGAGGTGGGCACCCGAGGTTACTATCCCTCCTGGAACACAAACCGTGTCTCGTCTAATCTCTACTTTACTACACCCGGAATCATCGGATCTTTATGCAGGGGGCTGTTTTCATTCTATCTCACCCCTCTATCATGATCACTCCATTAAAGTCGAGCTTCTAACTCGCAATTCCTGTCTCCAATGGCACCAATATTCCGGGATCGGATGATATTACAGAGCACTGGTCTCCAGATATTCATTCCCGGCATACAGGCAATATGCATTGTCTTAAGACCAGAACCTCGACCGTTCATCGCCGGCCGGCCAATCCGTGTTGTGCAGACAGACAAGACCGCCTAGCGACACTGAGGCATCAAAACTTGATCCACTTTGGAGCTCGTTGGGGAGTGAATGGCATAGAGAGGACGGAAGAGAGAATATAGAGTTGCCACTTTTCTTGGGAGTCCGAGCAAATGGTAGCGGTGAATGCGTGAGTGATTAGACTTCCTCTGCGGGATATTCCGATCTAAATTTATATTGTTGAGGAGATCGTCTAACCAAACCTTCAAAGCCTAAGTCCAATCAGATGGCGATTGCCCTCCTACCATCCCGTACCAAGCCTCCTTTTCCCACTTGCTCGGCCAGCGCGCTTCATTTTCCCGTCAGGAATGAGGTTCGCAGACAATGTATATCACCACCTGAGCCAAGTCTTCTGCTGATGGATCCGCTAAAAAGTGATATATAAGCTTACTCTCATGCAAGTTCGACCAAGCCAATTAGCTAGACCCAGCGGGCCCGCAGTATCAATGCATATGATACGTACAATGCTTTCGAGACTCCACCGACCCCGACCATGTGCCTATGAGACATACCCGGAACCTGCACGCTGCGTAATCTAGTCTATCTCGAATGTCTGACTTCGGCTTGATAAGCATAGCATTGCAGTCTTGCCTCCATCACATAGAGCGGTAATGCATCGGCAAAGCGCTTTGCTTGATAGTCTTCCGCCCCCCAGCGGTAGTCCAATCTTCTTATGCATACCAAAAAGAACACATATGCGAGCTGAGCCAATTTCTACCCTGAGGTGCATGAATTATTGATAAGCCTTGGTCACACCGCATATTGGACCGTTGAGATGAAACCCCAATGTGGAAGTTCATTTCTATCGGAACGAACCCAGTTGCTACAGTGTGGCCACAAAACGATTTCCGATCGCCGCTGTGCTTGACGGTCGTACAATATGTGATTTCAGAATCAGAAGCTAAGCTAGGTTTTCGACCGCCTCTTTGAGTGAGGAAGAAAACCTGACAGTGGCGGCCGAGGCATTGATGGCAAAAAGGATTTATGCTGCGAGGCTCGGAACTGCTATCTCTGTTTAGGAATCACATTCGCACGAGGTACCAAGCAAATGTGCGGCAATTTTTGCTCAGGTTGAACACCAATTGAGGACAATGTACGAGCATACCCCGTTACTGTTCAGCTCGGTTTTCGCTGGAACGGCATGGACTCAAACACTTGTATTTTACGGTGTCTACTCCAACTGCTTCTACCCTACGATGAGAAACAATAGGCTTCATTGGTCACTGGGTTCATATAGTAGGTATGTGGCCATCTCAAGTGGGGTCTTCAGTCATGTCGGACTTTACAAGCGATGTGAGCTGTGTTGCAATGAGGCCCGTGCCGCTACAGACCACGATCACGCCGAATTCCTGGATGTTCCGATCACACACACAAAAAAAAAAAAAAAAAAAAAAAGAAAAGGAAAAGAAAAGAAAGATACATAAAGCCTGTGATTTGAGGCCGGGGGCTGGGTACCGGTGACTGACTTAGAGTGGGTAGCCAGGATAACATACATTGTTGATCACGGTTCATGTTGACGGTAGAAGACGGGACCGTGTACGAAGTAGAGAAAAGAGCCATTCCTATAATTCGACGAGCGGTCTGGACTGGCGTTTCTCTCCAGCTGCATGAAACTGTGCTAACAACCAATAAGAGCTTACGATAGACGATTTGAGCCGCGTTCATCGGAGCTAGACTCCAGGCTAACCAACGGTCGCCGAGGCTTTGAGCCTCGCATCTCTCTCTATATACTGCGAGGGCTAGCCGTATTTTGGAGTCTTCTTTCACTCCGTGCTGGGGTTATGATGTGAGTCTGGCTCATAGCCCTGGCAACTACCGACCGAGACTAGCAATTTTCAGATTGTCCTCACCTGGTACTAATCTGAAAGAACTTGGTTATCACTTATGATGCCATGTAAATAATACTGTGAGAGGGGAGCCAGCTTGGTCTAGTGGTGGAGCCCGTGCATATTACATGTCATTCTGATTTGACAGTTGTCCAGGAGTCCCAACGCCACCAATTAGGCAGACAACCAACGACTTGGAAGCAAGGGGGAAAGCGAAAAACAGCAGTGAACATGAGCCGATATCAAAAACCTCCGACCTCACTTGTACCGAGAGATAGGACACTAGGAGACCTTGGATGATATATCATTTTATTCTTTCCGCCCTCAACCCGACGACAGTCAACAAACAGCTTGCGTGTTATAAGAAGACGATAACACACCATTGGATTCTCGATCGAAACCTTGAAAAGATTTCGTTGCCGCTCCGAATTGACTTTCCCTGCTTTCAGGTCGCACAGGAATTACTATTCATCCTGAAACAAGGCCTTTCACTCTTTCTTAGGGCCGCTGCCGTTACAGTATACATCTTGCCGCTGATTCTCTGTCTGATTGGCAATTGACGGGTTTCCTGATCACAAAGTAGACTCAACGCCTACCGAGCATGAGAGGGGTTCCCATTCGTCATTAAATCTCCTTCTCAACAAGGATCGGATCCCGCGTACAGTACGGCAAAGTACTATCAGATAAGGGGGACAGCCAATCTTTGGTCGGTTCCTGAAAGGCTCCCGTCGCTGAGTCTCCTTACATGAATTGGATATCCTGACCACCACCCTACGTAGCTAGAATCTCGGTTGTCGTTCGCTCATATTCAAAGAGAAAGTCTGTGAGACATTGACCTCGAAAGTAGTCAACTTTCCTCTTGCTACCCCTTTCTTTCAAGCCGAAAAAGCAAGGGACAATTGAATTCGACACAGTGTAGTATGAGATGAGAAGGAAAGCGAATCATGGATCGTTTGCAAGGTAAATCTTACATGAAATCATGTTTCGAAGCGCCCAGTTCCTTAATTCCGGCCCTCTGCCGTAGTCCTGTACTTATTCCTGCATGAATGTGGGGTTTTCCATTGTGCTCTTGAGATGTTGCTTTTTCGCCCCATGATCTTCATGATTGTCCCGTCCCAACGTTCAGCGTTCGGCGGTCGGTTGCAGTGACTGGAGGCCGAGCTTCTTGACAGGAGCCCACCACTTCCGCGTAGACATTACCGACCACCTATAACTTTGGAGAAGACAGGCATGCTTGGCTTCGTGACTGTTATTCGAGGCGGTGTTTCGCATACAAGCAATGACCTGAGATGTATCACAAACACAGGTTGTATCTCTTTTCTCTCGGTCAACCCGGAATGTCCGATGAGGGAACGGTTGCACCATTGTACCTGGCTGTCTCTACAAGAATACCTTTCTGACCGGTACACTGTACTTCAATTCTGCTTGCCGAAGAAAATACTTTCTACCCTACCCCAAAATAGCGAACAGGGCCGAAACCAAGAGCCAACTAGGGAACCTACAACAAAACCTTGATAATGGGTCAATCAACACTGTGTTTGCATTCTGATCTGAGCTCCGGAGGCTTCGGACAGTCGCGATTGGCCAGCTGATTAGAAATTTCTGCTCGCGATGACGGAGTGGAGCGTGGATACGTCGCTGGTGCTGATAGGGTGCATTGCGTCGTCAGCATATATTGAAGTTTAATTATAGCAAGAGAGAAAATCGATATCCCTCTCTCTTGCTCTTGACTTGACAAGAGTGTGTGCAGGTAGATCTATTTGTGGTTACCGTTTTGTCGCTGCCTCTTCTCTCTCTCATTCTTGATTTTCGGACTGCCTCGTGAAACGTTATCCCGACTGGACCCGTATCCTCTTCAACTGAACTCAGGAGGGGCGAAGTCGGGTCGGAGGCTAGCATGGTTTGTAGTATACGGAAACTTTCGGGATACGCGCGCTTTGAATTGCGAGTAGGCATCGAGGGCTTGCTTGAGGGATCGAGAAAATACTGCGATCAAGGTGGATAGTAGGTGCGGGCCTCGGATGTAGTTTTCCTCTTCCCTCAGTCTCTCAGCCGTGGAAAGAAACTTCGTGAGCTTATCATATCAGACAAGGACCCCGGCAGAGTTGCTGATAGATGCGGTGGAGTGGGCTCGGGTGGCATGTGCTATCGAAGACACTATCAAATCGTGCGTTATATCTTGCATGGGATTGTCCTGGAAAGAGACCGAGCGAAGAAAGATCGGTATGTACGATGGGGTCTGAGGGTTAGTGGTTTAGTGGGAACGAGGTTGATGAAAAACAAGCTGGAACGAGTTGGGATGAAGTATCTGATATATCACCGCAACTTCAATCCTTGTATCTGGCAGAATCATGGATCAATGATGGATGATCGCCCTGCCCAGATGGCGCTAGTGGTCGTGCTCTCTCCACTCTCTGTGACCAAAAGAGGCAAGGTACGAGCTCGGTAACGGCCCCGTTTATTACCATCAAGACCATTACGCGTCTGATACACAAATACGGCCAACATACCTACTACCTACCTACCTAACTAGTAGTATCACTCTCTCTACTCTACAAGCTACTTACTGTATACATCCAGACCGAACACAAGAGCTTGGACAAAACCGCTTCGTCCTCACTTTGTGTCTCCGATCATTCCTCCACTACTGTCCACTACTACCTCCCACCCCCCAGCTTCCCATCAAAGCCAACGGCTTGCTGCACGCAATCATATCCACTGACAAATGATGTGACTCCAGTCATCATGGCCCAGCCTGGTGGCTGATCTGGGAAAATGGGTCCGAACTCCTACAGCATCCCACAACACAACCCAGGTCACCGCAATGCCTCGCCAACTGCCCGTCGATCAAGCTGGCTGGCTTGCTGACTGCTTGCTTGCTTGCTTGCTTGGAAGCAGCCGCAGCAGCTAGATGCTTGAGTCCTCTAGGGAAAGATCTTCGGTGCTTTTTCCTCGATCAGACAATATCGATCCCTCGCTGGCCGGTCGGGCTGTCTGTCGGTATATCATTGTCAATCATGCTTCGTCTCACAGATCCACTTGGGACTTCTTTTTTTCTCATTCCTGCAAGAACTCGGACATATACTCGGGCATATTGCTCTCTTCGCTTTTTCTCCCCCTTTCTTTTTTTACGTATATCTCTATTCTATTCTTGCATTGCCGCCACAGCAGCTGCAGCTACTGTGGATTCTTCTGCCACCCCTCCCTGTTTATCTATCAATTCTCATTCGCTATCGTCGTCCTTGGATTGATTCTCAATAACATAAAGAGGGAAGAGGGCAAGCTACGAGACTTTTGGGCAGACTTCCCTCCCTGCCACGAGATCCCTGGACCCGAGCCCATCTGTCTGGATATTCTCCTTCCCTCAAGACTCGTTCATTGTTCCGAACATATGTCAAGTATATAGAACGAACGGGAAGAGAAAAACGGTCTATTCGAGTAACCGTTGACGATGAAGTGGGGGTTCTCCGGCTGTGTGGCAGCGTTGCTCGCAGCCACAGTCTCGGGCTGGCCCTATGAAGAATCCTTGGTGGACTACAACTTGAACGTGAACAAGGACACCACCGATCCTGCCAAATACGCGGCACCGTCGTGGCCAGGCCACAAGTACACCCCCTCTCCGAAGAACTGGCGGTTTCCCTTCTACACACTCTTCATTGACCGGTGGGTCAATGGTGATCCCACGAACGATAACATCAACGGCACTGTCTTTGAACATGATTTAGACTCGACGCAAATGCGCCACGGTGGTGACGCTGCTGGATTGGTGAACACTTTGGATTACCTACAAGGAATGGGCATCAAGGTTCGACATTCCCGAGATGCACAGACTTGCAATGCGTCTTCCGTTGTCCTGGGCCCTACCAGAAACTGACTTTACAACACAGGGTATCTATCTCGCGGGTACCATCTTGATGAATCAGCCTTGGGGATCGGACGGTTATTCGGCTCTCGATACTACGCTTCTCGATCAACATTTCGGTACAATTCAAACATGGAGAAACGCTATCGATGAGATTCACAAGCGAGGGATGTATGTCCTCTTTGACAATACCATCGCAACGTAAGTCAAAGCATCCTTTTGCGGCAGGCTCACAGCATATGGACGGACTGACGAGACTCTAGCCTGGGGGACTTGATCGGTTTCGAAGGCTATTTGAATGTGACAACTCCGTTCTCTGTCAAAGAGCACAAGACTGTTTGGAAATCAGAACGTCAATATGTCGACTTCCGCCCTGGAAACAGTTATAACGACACATGTGACTACCCTCGCTTCTGGAATGAGACAGGTTGGCCCGTGGACCAGAATGTTCGTGACCAGCTCGTCGGGTGTTACGACAGTGACTTTGATCAATACGGTGACAGAGAGGCCTTTGGTGTTTACCCTGATTGGCAACGTGAGCTGGCGAAGTTCGCCTCCGTCCAGGATCGTCTGCGCGAATGGCATCCCAGCGTGAAAGAGAAGATCATGGTTCATTCTTGCAACATCATCAAAGCTCTTGATATTGACGGTTTCCGTTACGACAAGGCAACGCAGGCTACCGTGGATGCTCTCGGCGATATATCGAATCATTACCGAGAGTGTGCGCGTAGTGTTGGAAAGAACAACTTCTTCCTACCTGGTGAGATTACTGGTGGTAACAATTTCGGCTCCATCTACTTGGGACGAGGAAGACAGCCAAATCAGTATCCTAAATCCGCTATGGATGCGATGGCCATGACGAACAAGTCCGATCAGCAGTACTTTCTACGTGAGAACGATCTCCAGGCCCTCGACGGTGCTGCTTTCCATTATTCGGTGTACCGCACGCTCACCCGCTTCTTGGGCATGAGCGGTAACCTAGCAGCCGGCTACGATACTCCTCTCGACTGGGTTGATTCATGGAACATCATGGTGCAGAGTAACGATATGATCAACGCTGAAACCGGCAAATTCGATCCTAGGCATATGTATGGCACAACGAACCAGGATGTGTTCCGGTGGCCGGCGATTCAGTACGGTGTGGAGCGAAACCTTCTAGGACTGTTCATTACGACTTTGCAAATGCCGGGAATCCCGTTGCTGCTTTGGGGAGAAGAACAGGCCTTCTACATCCTGGATGCCACTGCAGACAACTATGTGTATGGACGTCAGGCTATGTCACCTGCCACAGCTTGGAAAACTCACGGTTGCTGGGCTCTTGATGCAACCCAGTATTATGACTGGCCCATCGAACAGGGCCGGCAGGGCTGCCATGATCCAAAAGTGGCGTACGATCACCGCGATCCGTCTCACCCCGTTCACAACATTATCAAACACATGTATCAGTTGAGACAAGAGTTTCCTATCCTCAACGACGGGTACTCCCTCCAAACCCTCTCAAAGCAGACACGCGACATCGTCTATCCAGGATCGAACGGCACGGCTACGGAGACAGGAATGTGGTCTATCCTTAGAGATCGAGTCTCAAGTTTGCAGAATCTGGGTGATGAGGGTGGTAACATGCCGGTTTGGCTTGTCTACCAAAATGACAACAAGACTATGGAGTATAAGTTTGATTGCGGAAGCAATGCAAGCGCCTTGATTTCGCCGTACACCACCAAGACGACCGTCAAAAATCTCTTTTACCCTTTCGACGAACATACTCTGAAGTCTGGCCCGAAAGCACTTCACCTGAACGGCTCGAAGGAACTCAATGGGTGCTTAGACAGTATCACCCTGAAGCCATTTGAATTCAGGGCCTATGTTCCAAAAGCCCAGTTTGTCGACCCTCGCCCCATGATCACCAAGTTCACGCCCGGACACGACGCCCCCCTGCTCTCTATGGTAGCTGCAGACAAATCTGAAGACATCAATGTGAGCATTGAGTTCTCGACGGCCATGGACTGTGATGCTGTAACCAAGGCTATCTCGTTTACGTCGCAGACCGAGTCAGGCAAAGCACCATCCATCGACAAAGGAAGCGTCAATTGTAAGAACATGGATGCGAATAATACACAATACGTTGCCCAGCTACCCAGCGCTTGGTCTTGGTCAGCAAAGTTGACCGGGGTGTACAACGGCGTTCATCGCTTGACCGTCAAGAATGCCACCGGCTCAGGCGGCAAATCCACGCAAGCAACAGATCACTTCTTGTTCCGCGTGGGTCAAAGCGATAACCCAATGGTATTCACCACTGCCAATTACACGAGCGATCTCGTGCACGGCAATGACAATGGAACCATCTTCATTCAGCATAAAGCGGCAGGTGCCAATAAGTGGCGGTATTCGACAAACTGGGGTAGCTCTTTCTCCGCGTGGATGAACTACACTGGGGGGAACACTACTATCGAGGAACTGCCTTGGTCTGGAACGGACAAACAAAAGTGGCAAGGAAAGCATGTTCGAGTTGAATACTGGAGTCAGTTGACTGGCAGCAGCGACTACGTCCAGGAGGGTGACTATGACTGGAAGGGGCCTGTTCGACGCTTCCCACACCTTTTCTTCAACGGTCCCTACAATCAATACGGATACGATGCCGGTGTTAACAACGTCGCCAAGCAAGATAGCGATGGCTTCTGGAACTTCCGGGTCATCGCCGAATACCCGGCGCAAGGCCAATTCAATGTTTGGGGCATGAACCCAGATGGAAAGCCCGATGAGAGTTTCGTGTTCGGTGATGTCGATGGGGATGGAGTCTTGGATCGCATGCCCCCTTCCTCCCTCGCCAAACTGTCCGTTAATATCACCGAAATTCCTCCGTCGCCTTACCTGGTCTGGAACGTCAAAGTTGATGATGGCACTATGAAAATCAACCTGGTGCCCACTGGCTCCAGAATCGCTCAGCTGATCATCTACATCATTCTATGGGTGGTTCCAATTCTGACCGCCATCGCTGTTGTTTATGCTTTTATGAAGTCGTTCTACCAAATCAAGTTCAACCAGGTTGGAGTTATGGAGAAGAAATCGTTCTTGGGCAGGATTCTCGGCAATAAACGAGGTGGACAGTCGTCAAACCCTCTGGTTCGCTTTGTGAACAAGTCTGGTTTCCTCCAAAGCACTTCTGCATTCGGCGCCGCCGCCTCGCGTACACGGACCACGCTGATTGCAACCATGGAGTATGATATCGAGGACTGGGGCATCAAAATCAAGATCGGTGGCCTTGGAGTCATGGCCCAGCTGATGGGTAAGCATCTTGGGCAGCAGAATTTGATCTGGGTCGTGCCATGTGTTGGTGGCGTTGACTACCCAGTGGACCAGCCAGCGGACCCAATGTTCGTGACGGTGCTTGGGAACACGTACGAAGTCAAGGTTCAATACCATGTGATCAAGAACATCACCTATGTTCTCCTTGATGCACCGGTGTTCCGTCAACAGTCAAAAGCCGAACCGTATCCTGCTCGTATGGACGACCTGGATAGCGCAATTTACTATTCCGCTTGGAATCAGTGCATTGCAGAAGCCATCAAACGTTTCCGGATCGAATTGTATCATATCAACGACTATCATGGCTCAATCGCCCCGCTCTACTTGCTTCCTCAGACCGTCCCAGTCTGTCTCTCGCTTCATAACGCTGAGTTCCAGGGACTTTGGCCTATGCGCACTCAGAAGGAGCGAGATGAGGTCTGCTCAGTATTTAACCTTGATATCAATACTGCACGCCGTTACGTCCAATTCGGTGAGGTCTTCAATATGCTTCACGCAGGCGCGAGTTATCTTCGTGTTCACCAACAGGGCTTCGGAGCTGTTGGCGTGTCCCGCAAATACGGCAAACGGTCATATGCTCGCTATCCGATCTTCTGGGGTTTGAAGAAAGTGGGTAACCTGCCGAATCCCGATCCATCCGATACTGGCGAATGGAACAAGGAACTCCCCAAGGACAGTGAGATCGAGGTCGATCCTCTTTACGAGGCAAGCCGGGTTGAATTGAAACGCCAGGCACAAGAATGGGCAGGTCTGGATCAGAATCCCAACGCAGATCTTTTGGTCTTCGTTGGGCGCTGGTCCATGCAAAAAGGAGTCGACCTCATCGCTGATGTTATGCCTGCGGTCTTGGAAGCGCGCCCTAATGTCCAACTGATCTGTGTTGGGCCGGTTATTGATCTTTATGGTAAATTTGCCGCCTTGAAGCTCGATCAGATGATGAAAGTATACCCGGGACGAGTGTTTTCCAAGCCTGAGTTCACGGCCCTTCCGCCATACATATTCTCCGGGGCCGAGTTCGCGTTGATTCCGTCTCGCGATGAACCTTTTGGCCTAGTCGCAGTTGAATTTGGCCGCAAAGGGGCCCTGGGTATTGGAGCTCGCGTCGGAGGCCTCGGTCAAATGCCTGGTTGGTGGTATAACATCGAATCTACGACAACGTCTCACTTGTTGCATCAATTCAAACTTGCCATCGCAAGTGCATTGAACTCAAAGCCTCAAGTCCGGGCGAAGATGCGTGCACGATCTGCAAAGCAACGATTCCCTGTCGCGCAATGGGTTGAGGATCTGGAGATTCTCCAGTCGACTGCCATACGCATTCATAGCAAGGGTCTCACTAAGTCGAACAGTCAGCCACTGACACCTTCCGGATACAACACGCCGAGTGGTCTCATGACGCCTACTATTGCTTCTTCTGGGCAGCTCACTCCGAGCGGGGTACAGACACCTCCTCTCACCCACTCGCGCGAGGGAAGCTATTCAAACGTCAATCGTCTGAGTGCTTACGGGCCACAGCAACGAAACACCATTGTGTACAGCCGGGATCCGAGCCCCGGCGCTAACGAAAAGCCAAACTCAGGACTCAGCAGACAGCTGTCGCTTGGTGTACGGTCTGGACCCGGTCACCTCGTTCGTCGTGGTCGCCGTCGTCTGAGGAGAAGCATGGGACACGAGGACCCTGCCAACAATTCGAACACGGAGGAGAGTAGCGATGACGACTTTATTCCCAGCTACTATGGCGAGGAAGAATACACACTCACCCCGGAGCAAGCAGAGGAAGGGCGCAGAGCAGATGCAGCCCCTCAATTGGACATGCCCCGACAGACGCCTCCCAGAGACTTCTTCAGCCGCAGACAATCCAGTCAGAGCTCCCTTCCACCCAGGCCCATGCTGAGTCCAGCCAGCCCCGGAAGTCCGGAGCCTGAGGAAGCCCTCGTGTCCCCTGTGAGACAGTATGCCAACGAGCCCGGAAACCGACTCAGCAGTGCGTCTGTGCTTTCCGTCGATACCATTATCGGGGAGAAGAAGGACTATAAACTGCAGAAGGTCGATCCATTTTTCACCGACAGCACAGGTGAATACTACAAGGTATTCGAAAAGAGGTTGGAGAAGCTGAACGGATCCAACTCTGAGTCCCAGCTTTGCATTGAGGAGTACCTCATGAAGAGTGAGAAGAAGTGGTTTGACAGGTTCAGAGATGCCCGGCTAGGCCGCAACCAATCGCCCGCCTCCTCTGTGTTCAACGCTAAGATGGATAATAACTCGCCCATGGGTTCAATCTCGGCCGACGAGATGGGCTCACAAGAAAGCAGAAGTCCAGAGCGCCCTGAGAAGGATGAGTTCCTTCTAGGCAATGATTATGTCCCCCCAACGGGTCTTCGGAAATGGATGCAGATCCGGATCGGTGACTGGCCGCTGTACTCCTTCTTCCTGGGCCTTGGCCAGATTATCGCGGCTAATTCCTATCAAATCACGCTGCTTACAGGGGAGGTTGGTGAAACGGCGGAGAAGCTTTATGGCATTGCCACGGTTTATCTCGTTGCATCTATCGTCTGGTGGTTCTTCTTCCGGTCATTCAAGTCAGTCTTTGTTCTATCACTTCCTTGGCTTCTGTACGGTCTCTCCTTCGTCATCATCGGAGTGGCACATTTCGAGAAGGATGGCTTCGCTCGCGGATGGATCCAAAATGTGGGCGCAGGCGTGTACGCTGCGGCTTCGGCCAGTGGCTCTCTGTTCTTTGCGCTCAATTTCGGTGATGAGAACGGCGCACCGGTCAAGGAATGGGTGTTCCGCGCGTGTGTCATTCAAGGGTGTCAGCAAGCCTATGTTATTGGGTTGTGGTATTGGGGTACAGCCATTTCTCAGGCCGTTGAAAGTGGTGTTACCAATGTTCAGGGTGATATCACGAATACCTGGAAGATGACGTATGTCCTCCCCTGTACTATTTCGTTACTTACAACTAACCCTATTGCAGAGCTATCTGTCTTCCGATCGCTGCATTCCTTTGGGCCATTGGTCTGCTGCTCTTCTTTGGTCTTCCGAGCTACTACCATCAGACGCCGGGTAAAGTGCCCTCCTTCTACCAGTCTGTGTTCCGGCGCAAGATCATTCTGTGGAACTTCGTGGTCGTCATCGTGTCGAACTTCTTCCTCAGCGCACCGTACGGACGCAATTGGAGTTGTAAGTGAGCCTTCTTCGAAGTCATTACTCAAACACTAATGCCCTGCAGTCCTCTGGAGCTCTACCCATGCGAAACCATGGGAGGTAGGAGTGCTCGTTGTAGTTTTCTTTGGGTTCGTCTGGGCCGGCCTCCTCTTCCTATTCGGATACCTTTCGAGAACTCATAGTTGGATTCTTCCCGTGTTCGCGTGTGGTCTGGGCGCACCGCGCTGGGCGCAAATCTGGTGGGGTGTCTCTGGTATAGGTCTATTCCTTCCCTGGGCCGGTAGCTACACGAGCGGTGCTCTCGTGTCGCGGAGTGTGTGGCTTTGGCTCGGAGTGTTGGATGCTGTACAGGGATTAGGATTCGGTATGATATTGCTGCAGACTATGACGCGAATGCACATCTGCTTCACGCTCCTTGCATCTCAGGTGTTGGGATCCATCGCCACGATATGCGCCAGAGCATTCGGTCCGAACAAGATCGGGCCGGGCCCGATATCGCCAGATATCACGGCTGGGGTTAGTTCGATCGCCAATGCCTGGTTCTGGATTGCGCTTTTCTTCCAGCTTCTCATTTGGTATGACTCTATCATCCTCAAGAGATGTGGCAGAACCCATTGGCTAATGATTGCTTCAGTGCTGGATACCTTATGTTCTTCCGGAAAGAACAGCTTACAAAGCCATGAGATCAATGAATTCGGGCAGATGGTGCTGATCTGCCGGTGCCATCGAGGTCGAGTGACTTGTCCTTGACCAAGATAAGGGCATGAATGAGAACGCGGAACAGATGGTATATAAAGAAACCGCTGACCCATCACCTCCGATCTACCTCAACCCTTACCCTTCTCACTACCTTCCGCGCTGCACCCATTCAACCTTGTACATTACCTCTCTACACATGTTCCGAACATTCCTTCCACGGTCGACTGGTGTTATCGAGTCGATCACCCGAAATCCCTTCCTTCCCACTTCCTCCAGTCGACGTATATATACTCCCCCATACGTGATTCCCCACATTCGTTTATACGATTTTGATGCCTGCTTTGGATGCCAAATGTTGCTTATGGTTATGACCCCCCTTTCCTTCTTCTTCGAATGTCGTTACGCTCATTGATCGATTAGCCATGAAAACATGAGGATGATGCATCATTTGCGGGATTTTGATACTTTTTGCATGAATGTTTTTGTTGATGTTGCCCTGATTTGTTGTTTCTGTTTGTTATCCTTTTCCGGGTGGAAAAGCCCCTAGTTACTTATGGAAGTGCTTGGATGAATCTGGGTTTTGCTTTTCCTGCTATGTTTTGTTTCATTTGCAAATTTGAATGGTTGGTTTTGTGTTTGAGCTCTTAGGTTTACATTTGTGCTTTTTTGGTTTCTAGCACATGATTTATAATATGCTTAATGTGGGATGTTCTTTCTTGTTGTATTTCTTTCCGGATACCGATTTGGTTCTGGAAATTGGATTTGGTTTGCGTGAGAGCTACTTTATAGAGTAGTTGAATGGTCGGAGGAAATACGGTAATTAGGATGCACTGCACATATTGGAAAGTTTAGTGCATATCGCTTTTATTTGACCTTGTCTAAAGTTCACTCATGAGCTGAGGGTTTGTTCCGGCTTGGGATAGTTAGGGGTACGCAACTGCTGTAGTAACGATGTATCGGTCACCCAGAGAATCTTGCTCTGCTTTTGGAGGATGATCTGCTTGAGCGTCTCCCACTGCTTTGCCTCGGGGTGAACCATGATGGGTGACTCGAGCTCGTCCAGGATCAAAACCACCTGACCCTCACCGAGGGTCGAAAGATCGGCGACCTTCTGGATAATCTATCCGCTCTGCACAATGTGGCCCAGGATCTTGCTGGATGCTTCATGAACAATGCCAGTGAGGCTGATGTAGCTGACGGTCGAAAGCGCCACATCCCGCAGCTTCTCTGTCTTGACCTGGACGATGGACACATCGACATCGAGAGCCTGAGGGTTTCCTATTGCGCCCAGTTCAACGCCGTGGCCTACGCCGAGGAGAACACTGCCATCTTCCACCGACGGGGACACACTCTTCAGAAGTCTGTCCCGGACTGTAGCCTCAACGGGCCTACAAATAACATGAGCTGTTTTACGACGCACATGGGCTAACCTTCAGCAATCTTGTCTTCAGAGCTAGCATTCGGTTTTAGCCTTAGCACATTCACGGAACCATAAAGCCTTCAAAGTCAAGAGAATCAAGAGGCTCTCTGTTCTTTCCTTTCAATTTTGCTACGCTGGTGCAAATAAGCTTTTCGCTCAGGAAGACCCTTTCACTGGGGACACTTGACATCTATCGCAGATGCTTGGCGAACCATAGTGAACGAGCTCTAAAGCTCTTATCCAGACCATTTGGCTTGAGCGGATCACCAGGAAAGCCGGATGATTGCTTGTCTTGTGGTCAGCTAATTTACCGCGCGGCACTAACGAGTTTCCTACCAGCGCTCCGGGATGGTGAGAGATTAGTGCGAGAAAACAGAAGTCAGAAAGACGAAAACATATGATCTTAAAAGAAGATTAGAATAATCAGAATCTTTTTTTTTTCTTCCAAAAAAAGCCTTTCTATTTTGAGTACCGTATAGCTACTTTCAAATCGATATTACGCCCAAGAAAGAGGAATAATCAAAGGTATTTGCTCATAGATACTCCTGATATCGGAATCTTCGGCTTCAAAAAATCCCAATATTCCTAACATAAGAAGGGTAGAAAAGAGAGACTTGGCATTTCTGACCCTCCGAGCTGACCCCGTCCTGCCGTCATTCCCATCGCTCATCGCCCATGTTCCCTTCTCCTTCATCTCACACCTGGTTTTCCACAAATTAACAAAGCAAGTCAGTTAGTAACCATCCTTCATCAATCAAGTCTACGGTTCAAGAGAACTTTTCCCTCCATACACCAAGACTGGTGGTCAGCAACCTATACACGTCTTCTTAGTCCCTTTGAAGATGCGCTGACATGATCGATAGGAGCTATGGGTGCACCAATCCCAGAAGATCAGCTGCCAGAGCAGCTCTTCCTGGATTATTCCATCCGTGATATCCAAGAAGGTCGTCTCGTTGCGGCCAATGACCCGTGGGCTCCTTTATATCTCGATGCCATCCGCGATGGGAGGTATGGGGATGCGGTGTGGGCGCGATATCACATCGGCGGAGATGTGGAAAACGGCATCGTTGGTGGCTCTGGTGGTCTGACCGTCCTCGAGGTGATCAAGGAGGATGCCCTGGCATACCGAGTGTCGCACCCGGAAGAATACTTCAAGGCCGTGGCGTTCTATCGCGGCACGAGCAAGGACGATGGGCGTGCCGATGTCCTGGATGTCATTTGCATTCTTGATAAACGGGAAATCGCGGAGATAGAGGCTAGGAGGAAGAAGAAGGAGGAGAATCAACTGGAGGATTAAGGCTGCTTGATCCTGCTTTTGCGGTGCTTTGGATGGGTTGTATGGGTTGAGTTTCAGTGGTACGATGGAAGGCTTGTTCCAAGGCCCTACTAGAGTCGGGCAGACTTGACTCTGCGTGGATACGTATCATTCGAAATAGGAAACAATGTCAGCCTTCGCTCAACATGGTGGGATACTGTGCTTCTTCTCTTTCCCACCTCGGCGGGGGCTACCAGTCCAAGCACGGAGTACCAAGTAAAATCAAGAGATGCAATGGCTTCTGAAGTGAAGCCGTTCTAAGAGTCTCGATAACTCAAGTCTTGGTGTTGCCCACCGCCCACCTCGGGTGGCCTTCGCTAGTTCCTCATCCACCATCAGTCACCATCCTCCACGTCCTTGACACTTTGAGATAGAACCCTTACACCATCTTCTTACTAGGGGGATCTATCAATATTCGAAGACTTGGATGGCTTGAACTTGCAAATCCGGCGTTGAAATCGCCCGAATCTACGGGCTCAAATCAAACCGGTGCGCATAGTGAGCTTCTTCGGTCACTTACGGTGCGTTGGATGACCCCGGAAATTTGCACTTCTCAAGCTTATACTTCATTTGCGATCAAAAATCAATGCTATACAACATCTCATCGAGACCCAAACAAATTACTATTCAAGCACCCCTTCAGCCCACCACGAGCTTGGAAACGATCTTCTCACAGGACGCCCGCAGAGAGGCAGCGTTCATGATATCGACCGTCGTCACCAGAGCCCCCAGCTCATTCCGGATCCAGTTGCGGACCTCGACGGCGGCCAGAGAATCGATCCCGTAGACGGCCAACGGACGCGCCGGGTCCATCGGCTCCGACAGGCGCAGCATGCGCACGAAGCACTTGTTGACGACTTCCACCGTGGCCGCGACCTGGGCGGCGGTATCGGCAGACGACGAGCGCAGCTGGAGCAGGGAGAAGTAGAGGATCTGACGCAGCAGCCCGTTGTTGATGCCCCTGAAGGTGCGGCTGTCGAGGTGCTTCTCCTGGAAGCCCGCGGTGTTGGCGATGAAGTCGAAGGGGCGATCCTGGAGAATGCGCATTAGGGTTTTTTTGAATGTTCCTACTGAGGAGGAGGAGGAGGAGGAGGAGGAGGAGGAGGGGAATACAACATACCCGCAGAACCATTGCGCCCTAGATGATCCCTCCAATGGGGAAGGTGATCTGATTGAATGCTCTCTGGAAATCGCCGGGGCGGGTCACATCGGCCGTGAGGAGATCAATGCTGGACCCCAGCGCTCGGATCTGCTTGACGATAGACCTCACATTCTCATCGCTGTGCCCGCTACGAGAGATGACGGCCAGATGCTTGGCGCCGCTTTTGGCCAGGTAGATAGCTAGGGCACCGCACAGACCGCGGAGGCCACCCACAATCAGATAGGTGACGTTGTCGCGGAAGTGGACGACCTTCGGGGCACGTCGGACCTGTGGCGGAAAATTGTTAATACCTTCTTCAAGACACCTACATGGTTCTGACCAGAGCGTGAACCTACCGGAACTGAAATCTTGGGGTCCAGCCTGTCCGAGATCACCACCTTGCCAATGTGCTTACCCGCGCGCAGGTACCGCACCGCATTGGCTACATCGGTGAAGGAGAAGATGTGGACCGGGTTGATGGGCTTGACATGGCGCCCTTCGAGCAGTTCAAACAACCTAGCCATGAGCCTCGCGATCAAATCGTCTGGGGCCCGCTGGTGGGACATGTCCACGGCGCGCAGGGAGATGTTGCGGTCAAACGCCACCATGGCCAGGCTGTTGCGGTCCAGAATGTCCTTCTTGCCAATCTCCACCATGATTCCACCATCGGCCAGGACGCGGAACGACTCGTCCAACATATCTCCGGTAAAGGAGTGCAGCATGATATCCACCCCGCGGCCCCCCGGTGGCGGCCAAGATCTGGTCGCCAAAGTCCGTGTTGCGGGAGTTGAAAATGTGATCGTCGCTCAGACCGAAGGTCGACTTGATGTATTCGCGCTTATCCGGGGATCCGACGGCGGCAAACACTTCTGCCCCGGCGTACAGGGCCAGCTGCATCGAGGCGATACCCACACCACCCGCCGCGGAGTGGATAAGCACCGTCTTGTGGGAACTTACCAGGGCCATGTCGAACCAGGAGTAGATTGATGTCAAGTACACACCACAGAGAGTGGCGGCTTCCTCGAAAGACATCCAGTCGGGGAGGACATGAACGCGTCCTGGCCGGGTGTGCACGCGATTGGCAATGGTGGCCGGGGGTGAAGACCACTACGCGCTGCCCGACCTCCAACGAAGTGACGGTCGGAGACACCTTGGTGACAATGCCCGCTGCCGCTCCACCGAGCTCGCGCTCGTCGCCCGGCACAATGCCCATGGTGACAACCACGTCCTTGTAGTTGAGACCCGCGGCGTACACTTCCACCTCGACATGTCCGTCTTCCAGCTCGACGGGCTCCGCCGTGACCTCGTGGTAGTGGATGGAGTCGAGGTCGCCCAGTCGCTCCGCGCCCATGTGAATCAGAGTGTCATGGGCATGGATGTCCAGCACCTCCGTCTTGCGGGTCGCTCGGGTGGTGACCCTGGAGCTTGGTGATCTCCCAGTTGGGAAGCAAACGACTGACTTGCAAGATGCCGCCGCGCTCGACGAACTCGCTGTCGAGCCGGCTGCCGGCAACTTCCGGCTGCCGAAGGACGTCCAGAGAGGAGACAATGGCGGGGCCCGTCGCATCGCCTGCAGTGTGCTCGACGTCCAGATTAACGAGCCGGACGCCCTCTTCGGCGCGTACGGTGCGGAAGAATCCGTTGACCGCGGCAGTATTGGGGTTGGGGACGTTGAGATGGGCACCGGCCGTCTATCTACGTGCTGTCCGGTGTAGATTTAATGCAAGGGGCAGTGGTGGTAGATCTTTATGCGAGGAGAGAAGGAAGGGAATTTGTGGTGTTCTCGTGGATATTTGAAAGCTGGATTAGGATTATATCTCCCCCGTCTATTCCATTTCTTTCCCCACGCCATCTACCAAATTGATGCCGAAATCAGAAGCCCGAGAAGCAGTGATATATAGCTGTTTTCTTTTGCATTGACCAAAAGAATTCCGAAAAAATGTAGAAAAGAGAAAGGGGGAGAAAAAAAAAGAGAAAGCTTCATTATGGTATTGTCGTATCAAAAAAAACATGTATCAAAAGTGAGGATCGAATGCTCAAAAGGCCGGGAAGGGGGCCGAGGGGGTATGGAGCGAGCGATACCAATCAAAACCGAAATTAGCTGCAGGCTTTTGCAATCTCGTCTCTCATCTCGCCTCCTACCACTCCAAAGGCTCAGCTTTAACATCACCGCGGTTCGTCTTGGGGACAGGGGCGGCGTGGATCATGGTGGAGCCGTCAGCGCGCTTACCGCGCTTCAGGTAGCCGCTGCCGTCGAGCCAGGGGGTGTTTTGTGAGCGCTGACGCTCGAAGGCCTGGATCTTATCCTCCATCTGCAGGGTCAAGCCGATGTCGTCGAGGCCGTTGACCAGGCAGTGGCGGCGGAAGGTGTCAACATCGAAACCCGCCAGCACGGTGCCCTGAGCGTCCTTGACCTGCTGGTTGACGAGGTCGACCTCGATCTCGCGGCCGGCCGAGGCCTCGGCGGCGATCTTGGCCAGCGCCGCCTCATCGGAGATCACTACGGGCAGCATGCCGTTCTTGAACGTGTTGTTGAAGAAGATGTCCGCAAACGACGGCGCGATCACGCACTTGATCCCGAAGTCCAGCAGCGCCCATGGCGCGTGCTCGCGCGAACTGCCGCATCCGAAATTCGGCCCCGTCACGACCAAGATCTTGGCGTTGCGGTACGGTTCCTGGTTGAGTACGAATGATGGGATCTCCGCCCCGTCCTTGTAGCGCAGCTCGTAGAATAGTGCGCTGCCAAGTCCTGTGCGTTTGATCGTCTTGAGGAACTGCTTGGGAATGATTGCGTCTGTGTCCACGTTGGACCGGTCCATTGGCGCGGCGATGCCCTTCAGCGTCGTGAACTTAGGGAGTCCCGCGGAGCTGGAGCCGCCGCCGCTGGTGCTGCTAGCGATAGTGTTGGTGTGCGGCTCGTTGTCTGCCGGTTGGTCGTTGATGCGCTCCTGTTCGCTTTCCGAGCTGGGTTCCTCGTGCTGCGGCTCGACGTTGACCACCGTGTGCGCCTTGCTGAGCACCGGGCTGGATACCAGGTGCTCGCGCACGTCCGCCAGCTTACCCACGATGGCGGCTGCGGCAGCCATGGCCGGCGACATCAAGTGCGTCCGGCCGCCGGCGCCCTGACGGCCCTCAAAGTTGCGGTTCGAGGTACTCGCGCAGCGCTCTTGCGGGGAGAGAATGTCGGGGTTCATGCCCAGGCACATGGAGCAACCGGCCTCGCGCCACTCAAACCCAGCGTCCACGAAGATCTTGTCGAGTCCCTCCGACTCGGCCTGCTGCTTGACCAGTCCAGATCCGGGCACAACCATGGCGCGCTTGATGTTGGAGGCGATCTTCTTGCCGCGGACGACTTTGGCGGCCGCGCGGAGATCCTCGATCCGGGCGTTGGTGCAGGAGCCAATGAAGACCTTGTCGACCTCGATGTCCTTCATGGGCGTGCCGGAGGTCAGTCCCATGTACTCGAGGGCGCGCTTGCAGGCCAGCTTGCGGGCATCGTCCTGGAAGTCGTTGGGGCTGGGCACGACGCCGGTGATGGGGATGACGTCCTGCGGGGAGGTACCCCAGGAGATGGTGGGGATGATGTCCTTGCCGTCGATAAGGATGGTCTTGTCGTAGTGGGCGCCCTCGTCGGAGGCGAGGCTCTTCCAGAAGCTGACGGCCTTCTTCCACTCGGCGCTGTCGTACTTGGGCGCCAAGGGTCGGCCCTTGAGGTATTCGAAGGTCACCTCGTCGGGGGCGATCATGCCAGCACGAGCACCGCCCTCAATGGACATGTTGCACATAGACATCCGGGCCTCCATGCTCAGGCCGCGGATGACGGACCCACAGAACTCGATCACGGCTCCAGTACCTCCGGCCGTACCGATCAGTCCGATGATGTGGAGGACGACGTCCTTGCTGGTGACGCCCGCCGGGAGCTCCCCGTCGACCTGGATGCGCATGTTCTTGCTGCGGCGGGTGATGAGGGTCTGTGTGGCGAGCACGTGCTCGACCTCGCTGGTTCCGATACCGAAGGCCAGAGAACCGAAGGCTCCATGGGTGGAGGTGTGGCTGTCACCACAGACGACGGTCGTGCCGGGCAGAGTGAAGCCCTGCTCGGGTCCGATGATGTGCACGATACCTTGGCGCTTGTCGCCCATCCCGAAGTAGGTGAGGCCGAACTTCTTCACATTTTCCTCGAGGGTGGTGACTTGGAGACGCGAGTCGTTTTCTTGAATGAACTCTTCGACATTCTTGAAGTTTTTTCGGGAGGAGGTGGGGATGTTCTGCAGATGTCATCCGAGTCAGTGATCAAGCCGGATATGCAGGAAGGAAAGAAAAAGAAAAAACACATACGTGGTCAACGGTCACCAAGGTGCAGTCCGGCCGGCGGACTTGACGACCGGTGTTCTCGAGACCCTCGAAGGCCTGTGGGGACGTCACTTCGTGGACAAGGTGTCTGTCGATGTAAATCAGGAGAGTGCCATCTTCCTGCTCGTTGACAATGTGGTGATCCAGGACCTTGTCATACAAGGTCTTGAGTTTCCTGTCGACGCCGGGCATGAGGGGCGAGAATTGGGTGATATGGACGGGGGAAAAGGAGGATGAGAGAAGGATTGTGCAGCTAGGTAGGAGGAGCAGGATAGAGAGAGCTTGCACAAGGCACACGAGACAAGAAAGCGATGATTCAATGATGGGTAGAGAGCAAGAGAGACAAGAGATGGTTTTAACTGCGGTGCACGCGCGATGTCGCACGGCCGCCCCTCGAGGGGCAACGCCGGTCTCGGTGGTCAGCACCCAATGGCCCCTTGCCGATTGGTGCGCAGGGAATTCTCTGGGGTGGTGGGGTCCGATGTCGGGGGCGGAGGCGCTTAGAGACGGAAGCATGACTAACCGAGTACGTACTGGGTCTGATTCGAAAACAAGCGAGCGATGATGATTCATTAGTTCGACTATGACTCCAGTCTACTCCGTAGTTTTAGTCTATTTACATGTGTTTGAAGGCTCTCACCTAGGCCATATCATCCTACAAACTTAGCAATTGCACGAGCAATTAGAACAGCGAAACACCCTCTACGCAGGCTCCATCATATCCGCTGACATCACACCATGAACGGCGCTACGCTACTGGACAAAAAAGGAAAGGTCATGGTGAGTCAGTGCTGTCTTAAATCCCGTCGGGCGTCCGGGTAGCTGGGATTCTGGGCCGATCCAGCTTGAAGCTCATCCCACGGTGGGTCGCGCGGTTTAGTTGGCGGCTCTAACCGGCCCGAGGAACCTCCATCACAACTTTTTGAACACTAGATAGTCATTGAGATGTTGTCGCTTATGGTAGCGGATGTTTGAAATTCTATGCTGGACTGATATACATTATCACTTCTGAGATGGCTAGACATGGGCTCCAAACGTTCTGTTGTCCTCGCGAAAAACCAGCAGAGCCAGACGGTGTCGCACAAAGAGCCCTAAAAGTCCACACACAGTCTGCAGGCCGACCATGCTCAATGCTAACCGATCTTCCCTCATCGGTCCCATCCACACCAGCCAAAGGTTGAGGATGGTGAGATTCGTTGATTCTGTGATTTGACCACTCTCGTTTCTTGTGATGCGCACCAGACGCAGCCTATGCAAGAGTTTCAGGGCAGCGGCAATCAGCGGCGAAGGCGGTACCGTCCACTCCGTCACAGACGCATCCAACAATCCAGTCACGGAATTGAATTTGGGTAGGCGATGGCGCGGACATGGAATCAGATGGAACAGCTGCGGGGTTGAATACAAAAAGTTGAAGATCTGGGGAATGAACAGGAGGAGCAGTGTTTTGCTGAAGTGACCGAGAATGCCGACAACAGCAAAGACCATTCCTGCGAAATAGCAGTATGTATCCCCCACAAAGACCTTGGAGGGGTACCAGTTGTGGCACAGAAGGGCCATAGAGACTCCGACAAATGGCAGGAGGAAGTATAACGAGAACAGGTGCGAGTCAGTCGCAGGATGCGGGTATGGTGTCACAGGCGCAAGGTACAGCGCGTCGTTCGCAATCAACAAGACCGCTATCACGAGAGATTGAGCAACCTCCACTCCATTGACCCCCGCCAGCATGTTGATCGAATTTGGGCAGAAGATGGCCACGGCGGCCATGTATACGTAATACAGCCATCCGAGATCAATGAAGGAACCCAGATAGGGCTGCAGAGGCACGGGCACTACCACATGTGTGACGCCGAAGTCCACGAAGTATACTATAAGCATGGGAATCGCACCGAAGGCGGGGATTAGGACTTTATGACGCCATCTGATATCGAGCAAATCGTCGCCAATTCCAAGGATAACAATGCATTGAAGAGAAAGCAGACCGGAAAGGTAGGAGGCAAGCTATCAGTATGCTTGTTAGTGTACAGGGGTCGTCAATTGGCGGTGGAGTAATAAAACCTTTCCATGAGGGAATCTATGTAGCATACGCCCATGCTCGACGTGCTGGGCTTCAACAACAACATCGCGATTACCTCCTCCCGAGGTAGCTGCCACAATATCTTTGTAGAATGCGAATGGAATGAAGAAGATGAGCGCAAGAAGGTAGACGATGGAGCAAACAGCTCCCATTGTCTCTGGTCTGGATTGTAAGGCATTAGTCACCAAGGTCTCGATCTATGGCATCTGGCGGCTATGATACGGTGGTGAACAAATGGATAGAAGCACATACATTTCGGGCCTCTTCGGCTTGGCCATATCTCTCCCCTTCAGCCCTGCTTTGAGGAAGGTCGGCCCAAGCCAACGAATCATACTGAAGGTGACTGCAAATGCAATGCCACTGAAGGCAGTCGATGCGATCAAGGGTGCACCTTCGCCCTGAAATGTATTGGTTAAGATACCGATGCAGGCTCCCACCAAGAGGAAGAGGCGCCAGGCCTCACGGTGGGAGAGAGAGCTTGAGGTGTCTGAAGTCATCGCACACGGGTCAGTATCAGCATAGCGACCTTACGCCTTCAAGGTATGAATATGACCAGTCTCCAGCATGCGTCGACAAGGTCATGAAGAATAAACAGGCAAGGTGGCATTAGTGAGTGGTGGAGAAAGGCGTACGACGCAATCCGTACTGCCGACGCACCTCCACCGCCTTGCAGCTTCCAGAAGGCGGTCTAGACAGCATCAGATAACGGAGCCAGAGGCCGTGCAATGGTTAGGTAATCAATTGATGGATGACCGAAGATCAACCGGCGATCCAAACAGCCCCGGTGCTTCACATGCATATCTTGTCAGATACGATTCGATTGGAGAAGGAAGAGATTGAAATTGCATGGATAAGCCAAAAGCACCGTTTCCCCAAACCTCAGCTCTCTTGCGCAGCCGATTGTCGACGTGTCTCATTCTGTTTCAAGGGTGGTGGCTGTGAGGCTGGTTGTTTCGCCCATCTAATTGGGGGTGGATTCACCGGATTCGCCTATCATCCATGTCGGGTTTCGCGGATTTCGATGCCGGTCATCGTGACTTGGTGTCGGTGACAAAGTTCAATTTCTATGGCAATCGCATTCTAACGGCGTCTACCGACCATCGCATGAAAGTCTGGGACCAGAAGGATGGAGAATGGCGATTAGTAGATACATGGCGCGCCCATGACGCGGAGATCCGCGATGTAAGCCATCTAACACTGACCACAGAAGCTTGCTTTGTGTTGACTTTAGGCTATTTAGGCGACTTGGAATGGACCTTTTACTGGCCAGCACATCGGCAGTGTGGGTGAGGATATGAAATGCAAGATATGGCAAGAAGATGTTACGCAGCCTCTGAACTCGGGCCGGCGTTTCAGATCCATCTTTCGCCTGACAGCGCCGCAGCGCCACCCGTTCGTTTCCATCGACTTTCGCAACATTGATCTTGAATCATGGCTCGCAGTGATCACGCGCGACGGGTACCTAATGGTCATGGAACCGGTCAGCCCGGACACCCTTGCGGATTGGCAGCCATTGGATCAATTTCGTGTCTGTAGTGCCCCCCAGAGAGGGGAGGAAACGAGCTTCAAGGTCCAGTTTCACCACGATCCCACGGATATCACTCATTCAGTTTCACCCTCTTGGGACAGAAAAAGTCTTTCCCTCGTCGTGGCAGCTATGGACAGTGTTAAAATATACCGTACCGATGCCAATCGACGCTTCTACCATGCGATCGAGTTAAGTGGCCATGGCGGTCTTGTCCGAGACATTTCCTGGGCCAATGGCTCGGTTCGTGGATACGACCTAATTGCAAGCGGTTGTAAAGACGGGTTCATTCGTGTATTTGAGGTCTACACCTCGCCTTCTGACACTAAGAACAAGAAGCAAAATGGTAGTCATGCTCGATCGATTTCGCAGTCGCTATCAATACGCACGCAGGCCCAGTCAGGAATCGGATCGGCTTTAGCAAATCACGCCCCTGCTGCTTCTCTTTCCGACCGTGCGGCAACCGATGATTCTAACTTCAAGCATACATCTAAGGAAGTCGCGTGTATCGATAGCAAACACCTTGATGTGTGGCAAGTGGGCTTTTCGTACGCCGGTATGTACTATAGTTACCTGTACCTCTGCCCTGACGTACGGTCAATATAACGGAAGTCGCAGCCGATTCTAATTTTCATAGGTGACTGTCTCATCTCCTCGGGCGACGATGGTGCTGTGCGCTTCTGGAAAAAGTCCCTTTCAGGGCAATGGCTAGAATATGCCGAGACTGATATGGCCCATCAGTAATTTGCATCCCTGGTTGGAATATGTTTGACCGATGATCAGAGTGTCGACACGGAGTATTTCTATTTCTCTATTATGGGTAATAGCTTCCATTGGCTTTCCTGGTCTTTGAACGCTCTTTATCATTCGTGGTATTCCTATACCCTTGTTCTCTTCTCATATTTCTCTCTTCAAGTTCGAAATGGCGTTTATTATGACTCGCATACGGGGGGGGGGCATAGACCGTCGCTTTAAATTTTTGCTTTCCTGCTAAGCTTCGTTGGTACAATATGATACCCACCTTGCACCGCTCGTATCGCTCTTCTTCCAGCTCCTCCTTGACGCTTGCCTTAGGTGGATGTTCATATGTTAGAACCAGGCCTCAAAGTTCCATGCTCTTCCCTTCAGCTCTCCTGGAGCGAGTAACTACTACTGAGTATCTAGTAGGATGATGTTGGTCTTTCCGAGTTTGGGGTGTGTTGAATGGGTGAACGAGGAAGGAGCTCAACGCTCCTCTGTCGACTCAAGAACCATCTTCCTCCCCCTGTGAGTTTTTCTCTTCTTCAACAACCCCTCCAGGCTTCCACGCATCCATACTCTTCCAGTCTTTACCCAACATATCCACAAATCCAAATCCTTCTACTATCATTATCAGTTACACCGCACGCCATGGTCCTCCCTACTCTTGGAACCGGCCTCTTCATCGGCGCCGGCCAGGCCTTGGCCGCCGGTGGCCCAGCAGCACTCGTTGGCTCATACGTCCTGATTGCCATTCTGATGTATTGCTTGACGACCGCCGTGGCTGAAGTGGCAGCTCACCACCCTCGTCCGCATGGTACTCTAGTCACTCACGGGTACCAATACAGTTCGGGCCATCTTGGGTTCTCCCTTGCTTATCTACGGTGGTATACTTTGGCAATCATGGTCCCTTTCGAAGTCACCACCGCGATGGTCAGTCTTGGCCAGTGGGATCCAGCGCCCTCGGTGGCGATCAGAATCACCGCAGTCACCATCGCGATCTTCCTGTTCAACATGCTCCCGGAGCGAGAATTCATGAGAACCGAGGTCATCTTCACCGGCTTAAAACTTTTCACTACTGTAGGTTTTATGATCGCCTCCCTCTATCTGGCTATTCGGGGTTTCCCTGGCACGTCGATCCGAGGCTTCAGGTACTGGCATGATCCTGGCGCCTTCGATGAGTACCTAGTCTCCGGCCCTGGAGGTCGCGCTCTCGGCTTCCTTCAGTGTCTTCTCTATACTGTGATTGCCTTTTCATTTGTCCCCGAGCTGGTTGTGCAGCGGGCCGAGCATAGAGTATCAGAATCTCATCCAAGCATCCTGCGGTCTGCACGAGTTTCAAGTCTCCAGGTCTTCATGCTCTACATTCTAAGCGCCTTCATGATGACCTTCATGAGTCCTTTCGACGAGTCCCTGTTGACAAACGATGGCCTTGGCGCTGGAGCTTCACCCTACGTCGTGGGCATTGACCGGGCTGGCATCCGCGCGCTGTCAATACTTGCCAGGGCGTTGATCTGCATTTCATGCGTTGCTTCTGGACGCTCGTTTCTCCATCAATCGTCTCGTACACTCTATGCTTTAGCCGAGACTGGCCATGCACCTTCATTGTTCACGGCCCGTAACCGACTGAGCGTGCCATATGTGGCCGTCATTGCCTCTACTCTGTTCGCAATACTTGGGTATCTGTCTGTGTCGGTGTCCAGCTCTTCTGTGCACAATTCACTGATGTACTTCATCACGACGTCGGGCTCCATCTCATGGCTGGGTGCTTGTCTTGTCTACCTTCGATTCCGACGACAGACTGCCGAAGAAGGCATCCTGCAGGTGTACCAGTCCAGCATCCAACCTTTTGGGGTGTACGTGAGCATGGTGGGCTGCGCTGTGCTGCCTCTTGCCAACTGTCTCCTGATGGCCTTCCCGTCGCCACCCGCAGACGAAGCCCCTGCTCTCTCTGGACTGAAGGTCCGCAACGCAGTTCCGGTGTACAGCAGCATTGGCATCTTTTGGATGCTTTACCTGAGTCACCGATTTCGAACCTCCTTGACACAGGGATTCACATCGTTTCGCGTTGTACCCGACGAACAGGTGCAGAACAAAGCCGACGCTGGCTCTCCTAGAGCATCCGGACAACGTGTCTGGTGGGAGATGGCACGGCCAAGAAAGGATTCATCCTCTCACCCTGCTGAGGTCGGATCTTCAATGGGGCCATGAGGGCATCAGTGAGGAATATTGAGTGACGCGGTCATGGCGATCAATTTGGCATCCCGTTTTGTACCTTGTGCTATCCTTCTCTTGTTGTTTGTGGCATCGCGCTTCGTTGCTTCGAATCCTATCCTTAGGGGTTTGGGAGGTGACTAGACCTGTCTGTCTGGTTGCTGCTGGTTCGAGATATACCTATGATCGTGTATGATATGGATCCTTAAATCGACTCGTATTCTAACTTCATGTCCCTGCTGGTCTTACACAGTCTGTCGGCGCCGTCGCTAGATAAATTTTAAGGAGGGGCAGCCGGTAGCAGCTGGCTGGGAGGCATTGAAGCCGGCAAAGCTGCGGGGAAGCGGTGCTTTGTTTCGCCACGCGCGGGCCTGGCAGACTAACCCGTCAGTCAGCCCCTAACGTATTTTACCCGCTACTGTTGGTAAGTTGTAAGTATTCGTCAACACCGCACCGCTCCGGGTCGACCTTAGAGCGTGCGGGCACTACAACGCTATTAGATTGTCCTTCCTGGGCTTGTTGGCTGTTCTCCAGGCTTATTTAGGTCCTGCTATTCTGCTCCTCCCGCACAAGATCCCCCCCATATTATGGAATTTCTCTCTTCCTTGCGGTCTCCTTGCGGTCAGACTTTCCCGTGAGCGAGGTAATATGACTGTCATCCATGGCCATCATTGTCTGGCTTCACTTTCTTCGACAAGAGCATGATGAGAGTACAAACGATCAGAGGAAAGATCAAATATTCTCGGATTGTCATAATAGTCATTCTTTTGCCCAATGCTCTCTTTCGCGATCCCCTCGCTCTTTCTCTGTCTGCCTGGTAACGCTTGATACCAGCCCAGGTGCAAACCAACCCACCGCACCGGGTATGGGTAATCTATCAGTCATGAGAGGATATTTTTTTCCACACCTACGATTTTCCCTGCTCACAGACCATTCCATTTATTATGGCACTTCCCATTCTTTTCTTCTCCCCTTTTCCCTTGCAACCGCCACCCCAAGTCTTATGACTGACCACACAGCCTTGCTGGGACTTTCCGTCCTTTCAAATATGATGGGAACCCTGGCTACTGTCAGGTACTCCTACCCTCTTCCACCACCACTTTGACTACCACCACCACCACCACCACCACCACTACCACTACCACTACTTATCACCACTCTCCTACATCTTCCCAACTAGCCCATATCAGAGACTGGGATGTCTTCTGGCCTTATCCATATATCACCTATTATGACCGCTGCTCGAAGTGCCCGTTGCTCTCTGCTTCTATTGACCATTATCAGCTAATAACGAGGCCCTTCCCTGCCATGGTTCATGGTCGGGTTTCCCGACCAAGCATGCAGCCGCTCCTCGTCCCCTTTGCCGCCTGGAGTACCACCCACGGCGATGGGGGAATAGCCACTTTAATGATCTTGCTCATGCCCTGACTTTGCTCTATTGCTAATCACCCGTTCACAAGACTGACATTTTCCTCAAAGCTAACCTTCTAGCTCCAGCGTCACCATCTTCTGGTACACTCCCCGGACAAGTCTATTGTTCTGGCGTTGGCCCCGATCACGAACCGTGATGAGCAACGCATGCATGAGTTGTCCTAGGCGGTTTTGCTTGCCCGAAACTACGACAGGCAGGTTGACCGACAATGTTCATGGCAGCTAAAATGATCCACATTCAGGTGCATTCAGGCCTTGTCGTCCGTTTTATCCCCTCTTCCTCTTTTCTTTTTCTCTTCCTTTGCAGTGTTTCCCTCCGTCTACGCCCTTGGTTGCTTGAGTGTTTTATTTGACGGCGAGAAACGGCCGAACAAGATCTCTATCTCTTCTTTCTCTCACCTGTTCCCTCTCCACGTTCCGATTATACACCCGCTCTTCCTTCTCCTCCTCCTCCTCCTCCTCCTCCTTCTTCTTCTTCTTCTTCTCCTCCCCTTCTGCTCTCTTCTTCCCGGTTGATCTACTGCGTTCCTCCGGCACCATTCCTCTTTCTACTCGCCTCTCACATGATTTCCTTCCCCCACTGTGTCAGAGACGGGGCTCCCGGACGCCGACTCTTCCCTGATTGAGCCTAGCGGGTCTTTCCATACCGGGAACGGCAAAGCGGGATTTCTCCACCTTGGTTGCTTCCAGGCAACCATGATTGTCCGCCTGAGAACTCAGGCCGGGAGGCAGATTCGAGAGAGCTTTTCTTCGTTTGGGGCGACGTGGGTTCGTTTTCGGCCGGCCTCGCAACCAACTACTTGGCCGTTTCCCTGCCGCAGTGTCCACGGTGCTGTGCTCTGGGCAGGCTGTGCTTCCCCCCTCCCTGCCTACTCTCCCTCCCTCCCCCCCCTCTCCCTTGTCGCTCGTTCCAGCTTGCAATTCGTTCATTGCTCGGACTGCCCGTCGTCGGATCTGTCCCTTTCTCTAGTTATGCTCACCACTAACTAACCTAACTAACTAATTGTGCTCTCCCCCTCTTTCTGCCCGCGATCATTATCGACCTTCCCCCTCAACAAAAAAAGGGCACTAAAAAAGGACAAGTCTAGGAGGTCAAAATCGCGGAACAAAAATAAAACAAAAGCGAGAAGAGCAAGAAGAAGGCACCGTTTCGAGCACCGCTCATCCCCCAGTCACGATTGACACACTTTCCCACCCCCAGTCCTTGAAGCGGGTGGGAGGAAAAATTCCACGCCATTCCTTTTTCTCTCCGGGTCTTGGACGCGCCGCTTGGATGGTCCATCCGTGGCTTTAGCCTCTCGCTCTCGCTCACTCTCTCACTCTCTCTCTGTGTCTCTCTTGTTCTCTCGCTCGCTGTTGCTGTCTTTCTTGCACTCCCTCCTTCTGATCCACTCTCATCCTCTCTCTTCCCTCTCTCTCTCCCTCCCTCCCTCTCTCTTGCTCATTCTCACTCACCGGCTTATTCCTTCTCGATACCTCTTTTACTCGTCTCTTTTATCTTAATCATCTTTCTCCTCCTAGCTCTTCTCTCGTCCCCTTTTATCCTTGCCTTTCGAGTATTACTAACGACGTCCACATTCGCTTGGGCCCCCTGCTACCTCGTCCTCATCCTGACCATTCACCTCATCTCTCGCCTCTTCTCGATGCGATTCGTGGCCTGTTCGCCTTTCCACCGTCAACGACTCCCGATCATCGATTCCCTTTCGCATTCATACGGTCGCACGCGCCACCGAGAATTACGACTTCACTAGGCGTCCCTTCGAACCCCTTTCCTTGCCGAACGCTCGACTCGAGTCTATTCCGATAACCTCTTGTGCTCGACGCCTAACTTGCCTAACGTCGTTTACTGCCGAGTCGTACCTTGTGGTCTGTTGTCTGCATTTTCGCCAATTTGAGACATTGTCGGCTAGTTACTCTGCGACCTAAGTGGTGCTCTTTGACGTTGGAATTCCCTGTCACTGCTATAGTTGTGTGTATACAAACGAGGCCACAGAGAGCAGCCCGTATAGTTGATATGCGTGTTGCTTTGTGACAAGATACCACCACGAGTCGTTCGTCTACCCGAACCACCACAGCGTGTCTCTTCTTCGGTCTCAGAGGGGGTATTCTGTCGGATTATGACAGATACCTCCCCAGTCGTCATCACGCATCCCATCACGGACCCTTATCCGGTCACCGTCCCGCTGCCCTCGCCTGGCGTTAACGGCACCGTTTCAGACTCTATCGTCCCGGAAGAGGAGGAGCCGTATACCATCAAATGCATCTGCGCATTCGAAGATGACGATGGAAACACGGTCTTCTGTGAAGGGTGCGAAACTTGGCAGCACATAGAATGCTACTACCACGGTCGAGATGTGCCCGACGTGCATAACTGTGTTGATTGTGAGCCGCGTCATCTGGATGGCCGGCGTGCAACCGAACGACAGAGACGCCTCAGGGAGCAGAGTGATGGCGGTGACCGGAAAACTAAGCGATCTGGAAACAAGAGTCATAAGAAAAAGATTAAGGAACATGGGGACCATGTGAATGGATTCCATCATCGGTCGGAATCTGGTGCCCGGGATCAGCCCGTTACGAAGAAAGTCAAGACTAATCACCGTGCTTCAGGGTCGATTAGCTCTGTCTCGGGTGTTCCAGGTCTACCACCTGATCCACGGAAACGTGCTGCAGCGTCACTGAGCCCGATCAAGACCGCTGGCCCTACCATTCCACTCTACTCGCACGAATTTCTGCATTTATATGATCATGACAACGACTACGCGAGTATGGACAGCAATTTATTTGTCAACCTCCCCTTGGCCGCCGATCTGGCTTCTTGGGTGACGGAACCTACGGCTCTAGCCCGAATCGCCAACGGGCGATCCGGGCAGGACATTTTTACGTGGTCTGGGGCATCACTTGACCGGTCGCGGTGGCCAATCTTGTCAACGGAGTCGGTTACGGATTCAAGTGTCGAAATGGAGGGGCAGCATCCGACCTGGAAAGTACTTAAGACCAGAGATCGCGTAGGGAAGGATGAGATTGTCGGCGAGATCACAGGTAAAATTGGATTGCTACGAGATTACTGCCTCGATCCTAGTAATCGGTGGCAGGAGCTTCGTCATCCGGAGCCTTTCGTGTTCTTTCATCCCCAACTCCCTATCTATATTGACAGCCGTCATGAGGGAAGTGTTCTCCGTTACGTGCGGCGATCTTGTCGTCCGAACGTGACGATGAAGACTTACATCACAAACCAGGTGGAATATCACTTCTGCTTCGTCGCGAAAGAGGACATTGCCCCGGACTCGGAAATTACTGCGATGTGGTATCTGGACCCTCAGCTGTTTGAATCAACCAATGGTCTAGTCAAGCAGGAATCGAGTGATAGTACCCAGGACAATGCTGCCATCTGCATCAGCAATGTCCTCGCTCATTTTGGTGGTTGCGCTTGCGTACCGTCCTCAAACTGCTTGCTGGCCAGCGTAGATCGCCGGCGGCACCCTAGATCCTTGGACGCCAGCATGAAACAGGCGAACCTCAAGCGGAAAAAGCCCAAGACGAAGCCAGTCATCTCCCCCACAGCCAACAGCCGTGCTGGGAGCGAAACGACCAAAATTCTTGATGATGATGATCAGGCGGACAGCCGCTCTGCGTCAGATTCCGTTCGCGGACAGACCCGCAGTCGCGACCTGACACCCACCCTACAGAACCCGACTGAGAACCATTTGTTGGGAGATACCGAGCTTTCCGCCCGCGAAAAGCGAAAGATCGCGGCCGCAGAGAAGAAATTTCAGCAACTAGAGCAAGACCAGCAGACAACTAACAAAAGGAAGAAGCGAGCTAGTGGCCAGTCCACTCATGGTCGCGAGCGTCAGTCACATTCCCCGCCGACTGGTGCACTGCCTGGGCCGCTGCCTGGTGCGCGTCACGGCTCCCCGCGGAAAATGTCCAACAGCCATAGCATACCTTCCATGCGATCTCCACTCAGTAGTCCTCAATATGTGGACTCTGCCATCCAGACTGAGTCCGACGCCCCTATTGGCGGGTCTTCCTCTTCGTGCTCATCTCGACGGCCTAGTTTCGTGCCCTTGACACAACGCCTGCTAAAACGATGTTATTTCGATCGCCTTCGCTTCGAAAACAGTACCCAACCTGTGTCACCTCAGGCAGAACCTCTTATGTCCACAGATTCGTCCCCCAGGGCACTGATTCCCGGTGGGGGTCAACCACTTACAGCATCAACCCCTAGTGTTTCGGGCGACAAGGAGGACACGGACATGAAGGATGTTGATTCGTCTACCCAGCCCTCGCCCTCGCCCTCGCAAAAATCCCACCAAGTGCACCTCGAGATCTCGCCATCATCAGATCGAGGCATGGTCAAGCCGCCTTTGCCATTTCCCCTGCCATCAACAGCCGCTCATAATGCTCGAATACCAATGAACCCAGTCGGTCAGCGTCGTCCTGAGCTTCGTGTTCCTCTTTCTCTCACGACCACCGCCCCCAACCCACCCGCTGCTAGCCCTGGGTCCGCGGCGGTATCGACGTTGTCTCCTACAGGAGACGCTCCTTCCCAACCTACCCTGTCTGCACTCGCCTCGTCGAGTGTGGCTGCTCCCAGCCCTGTGAAGAAGAAGCTCAGTCTGGGTGACTATATGATTCGGCGTGGTACCAAGACGACTCCGTCGTTGGAGAAAACTCAGGCTCAGGCCCCTAGGATCCTCCCTCCAACCCCAGCTGCATCAGCTTCTGGGGTTCGCGAATCAACGGCAATTGATCCGACAATGTCGGCCGGTAGCAAAGCGCACGGAGAAATGGACGGAAACAAAAGTGACGATAGACATTCCCAGGATTCGATCATGAAAGATATCCCTGGGCCTACTCCTGCCTCTCATCTGTCCCCACTCACGCGATGATGATTGCGTCTCCGGTTGGCGGTTCGTCTGCTTGTCTGAGCCACTGTACTGTGCTGTGCAACAATGTTTCTGCTGATTTATTGTCTATTTTTCTTTCGACCTGTAAAGGACGGGACTTCCTGGCGTTCAGTCGTGGGTATCTATTTGTTTTTGACTGGCGTATCGGGCGTGTTGGAATGGGAGCGGGACCGGTAAATACTCTTGGGATTGGGATGGGCAAAGGATATCACGGATGGGTTCAGGCCGACCTACACCATTAGGTCAAAGATCTGCAGTACCTGCTTCACGATTGTCTTTATTACTATTTTTATTTTTCTTCTTCTTCTTTTTCTTCTTCTTCTTCTTCTCCTCCATTTCTTCACCTTGTGTTCTTTTATTCCCTCCTCTTTTATTGTTAGGATCTTTGATACCCAGGACAACTGGGACTGATGACCCACGGGGTCTTAATGAGGAATGAGAGCGTCTTCGTTTGCTTTCACACGATGTCTTCGTCGTAATTGTCACTATCAACCATGATTTCCTGCCTGTTAGCGAGAGTGGCAAGTTATCTGGTGATGAATGCTGCTGGCTTTGCTTTGTATCTCTTCTGCTCTAATCAAGTCTCGAGCACCAACACATCCGGACTACCCGGTCTCACTTTCAACCACCTCATGATGCTGGCTCTTCGGATTAAGAGAGTCAATCCAAGGGGAGCCAACCCACCAACGAGCCGGGTAAGATTAATTCCTCTCTCACGCCTTCCCTGCAAAGACTTTTTCCGCCTCCGTAGAGACTGCGCCTGGCCGGGTAGTCTGGGCATCACTAACGCTGTGTAGGGTATAGTTCTTGTCTTGGATCCAAACAAGCTCAACGAACTTGAAGCGTGCAAGCTCCACCGGCAAGGACCAAGGTTGCCTGATCTCATGGAATGACATCAAGAAGAGGATCGAAATGATGACGCGGACCGAATTGAGCTTTGTCGGATTTCGGGAACAACTGCAGTCACAGGGAACTCTATATAAGCCGGGATGGTAATCCAACAACTGACCCAGAGAATGTGACAGACAGACATACAGGACATCTCCCGAAATCATCAATCATGGTTGTGAACATCACCGCCGAAGATCCCCAACCCATCGTCCATAGCCACATCAACGGCAGCACCAACGAGATTCTCGATCGGCTCTGCGTTACCGAGCTTCTCAAAGGCTGGCCGGTATACCGAGACGCCTCGGAATGGGCCCATTACCGTAACTGCTTTGCGGAACAAGCCTACATCTTCACAAGTTAGTTTGACTGACCCCCCAACCAAACCTTTGAACTCCTCTCCACTTTCTTCGCGGCACTTTCTGAACCAATCATTTTTCTTGCTAGCATGGAGCGGTGGGATGCCCATCGACGAGTTCATCGAAGTCTCCAAGAAGGGCCGGCGCAACGGCGACCACATCATGCACCGCGAGAACGGCACGCTGGTGGAACTGAACCCGGACACCGGCCGTGCCGTGGGCAAGATGAAGGCCACCATCACGCAGCGCTTCGACTTCGACGGGGTCGAGTGTGACGTCGAATGCGACTGCCGGTTTATCATGTGGTGCCAGAAGGACCCCGCGGGCTGGAAGGTGCACTACAAGCGTCTGTTCTACGAAAAGGATAAGATCCTGCCCGTGGATGGCAAGAATGTTCCTGAGTTCTCCGTCGAGGAACTCAAGCCTTACCCCTACGGGTATCGGTATCTGGGCGCGGCGCAAGCCCGTCTGGGCCATAAGATCAAGTTGGACTTGCCGACGATGAAGGATAATGATAAGTTCCGGGGCATGTATGAGGCCATGGAGAAGTGGTTGAGAGGGGAGGATATAAAGGAGACTTTGGGTATTCCGCTGTGATTATGAGTGATGATTTTATGATGCCTTCCTGCTTGTGTGGGTTTCGATAGTCTAGATGCGATTACCCAAGAATCTATTGTCCTTGATGTTGACCTAAATGCTATGGTCTACTCTCAAGCCAGGAGTCTGAGCAACTGTTTTGCAACTTGCGATGAAAAGCACATTGCGGGATAGACTTACTCCCTCTGCACCTTCACTCCATTGTTTCTGTCCTTCTACATTGCCAGAAACTCGCCCCATTCGAACTTCAATGGCTTAGTACGAAATGAGACATGCTATACCCGAGCCGTCGATGGTGTTAAACCCTTTTTGCGTCACTCTTGTCATTATCACAAGGTACACTGACTGCATAGGGGCCTGGTCCGGTGTCTGGACGCAGATTGAACGGGAGATGTCCTCGTTGGAGACGGTATCTGTCTTGGACTCCTAGCTGGGGGAGGGGTGTTGAGTGCGTGATCATTAGGCCCTTGAATGAGGATTTGTTGCAGGTGCCGTTGGTGGGGGGGGGGGGGTTTTACGGTGTATGCAACCGATTACGGGGCGATCTTATTTACGGGTGTCACTGCACTATTGAGGGGGATCGGAGGTGAGAAATAGGTGCGAGATCTTTGAAGGAAGCTTCAAAGATTAGATGATAGGAATCAACTTGGTCTTACTGTTGTGCAACGTAAAAGAGATACAACAGTCACTGACTGGGCTGCCAGTTGGCCAGACTTTCCCCAACCTCCGGAGTTCAAATCACGTGCTCCGTGCGCGCGCATTGAGAAAGTCGCTCAACTGAAGCTTCCCTTCAACATCCAGCTGCGCTGTAACACTTCCACTTTCTCTCTTTTCTCCCTCTTTTTTTTTCCTCTGCCGTTCTCCTCCGCGGCGACATCAAACTATCTTCAGGTCTGAATTGGAACTTGGTTGTGAATTGCGGTAGCTTCCAGCCAGGATTCCACACCCTCAAACTACACCGACGCACGACCATCACCATCGCCATCGCCATAAAACCACTCGGATTCACAATGGCGACCAATTTACCCAGCTCAGACCCTCTCCTCGCCCTCCGCCAGTCCCTCCTCTCCAATAACCCCCCAACACCGACAACGTCGTCTTCCCCCGCCGAGCAGCCCACAGAAACCGACCTCGACCTCGCCAAAGCCACTCACCTCTACTTCCCCCACCCCACGAGCCCACAGACGATCCCCCTCAACACCCCGACACGCTTCGTGTCCAGCACAACGGGTGAGCCCGTCGACCTCCGCAGCATCTTCTTCGCGTGGTTGAAGAAAGATGTCGCGATCCCGGAGTACATTGCCGAAGCGGAGGGGCTGAACCAGGCCCTCAAGGAGAAGAAGACGACGGATGATCCCTCCGCGCCGGAGGAAAAGGTTCACAACCTGGTGTTCGTCGAGCGATTGGATCTGTTGACGTGGCTGGAGGGTGCGTCGGAGGAAAGCGAGTATATCAAGCCCCTGGAGGGGGAGGCGGCGGCGAAGGCGGCCGAGGCAGCAGCAGCAGCAGCGGCCGCCGCTGCCGCCGCGGCGGAGGGAAGTGCGGGCGCGCAGACTCAGGCCTCGGCGAACATTGCATCTGGGGCTGCGGGTGGTGTCGCTGTGGTGCCGAGTGGAAGTGGCATCGGGGGTGTCGCTGGTGCGACGGGCGCAGGAGCTGCTGCTGCTGCCGGAGCTGCACAGCAGCATGGTGGTAGGGCGCCTAAGACGATCGATCCCAGATTACAGGAGATCTACGATGGAGAGAGGAAGATGGGGGATCGGAATAGTGTCTTGAGGGGGATTAAGCCGACGGTGAGTCCTATTTCCATTTGCTTCCGTCGAACCGGGGCCCTTCATATCCGGGGAGGGGTTCTAGTTCGTGGCAATCGCTGATCGTTTATCTGGGTGGTCTTGCAGGATTTCTCCCATGTTCGCAAAGTCGCCGAGTCCATCCTCGGCCGCAATCGGTCATCACGAACGGGTCAGTATCCCGCTGGAGTCACCAAGCCCGGCAGCAAGCCGACGTCCTCCTCCATGGTACCCGTGCCTACGCCGTCCGCCGGACTCTCGCAACCCCGTAGCGGCAAGAGCAGCTCCAAGACGCAAGATCCGATCATCCTCCTTTCGCCGTCGGCGTCGTCGCTTATCCGCATGTCCAACGTGCGCTCGTTCCTCCAGGAGGGCGTGTTCATCCCGCCAGACCACCCTACGCTCGCCACTGGTACAAACAGCAACCTTCTCTATATCTCCCGTCCCCTTCGTCTGCAAGATAGCTCCTCCAGTACATCCCTCCTCCGGCCCAGTGCGGCTTCCTCGACCTCGCGCAAACCCACCCGCTTCATCTTGGTGGACAGTACCGCCAACTTCCGCCCGGATTACTGGAACCGCCTCGTGGCCGTGTTCACGACGGGCCAGACCTGGCAGTTCAAGTCCTACAAGTGGACCTCGCCGCCGGAATTGTTCAAGCACGCCACCGGTATCTACGTGGGCTGGCGCGGAGAGGACAGTCCGCGGGAGGTGCGCAATTGGGGCCGCGGGGTGCAGAGCTTCTCGGTCGAGAGATGGGATGAGAAGGGCGGTGTGAATGGCACCGGGCGGTGGAGAGATCGGGAGGTTGTCGAGGGCATTTGGTCGGCAATTGAGGAAGGCATGCGATTGAGAGGGTGGGGTGCGAAATAACCTATGATATGGGGTTTTCTTCTTTGAGAGGGGGGGGAGGAGGCTTACTGTCTTATCTCTCTCATCGTCAATCATCATCTTTCTTGCAAGTTTCAGGGAGAATCCTCGATTTTGGGAGATGTTCTATGCATGCAGGTGGGCGGATGGGACAGACGTCCGGACAGGCACCACGCTGCTTGATATCTTGAAACAAAGGACGTTTCAACCCTAATTCTTGTTACGCCTCGATTTTGAGACGTGGTCATCGGATGGTGTGTATGAGATCCCTCAACTCGGTACTCGAGCCATGCATGCATGCTACCGTTATCAGCGTCAGCAGCATATACAAAGTACACTCAATCGATCCATCCATCCATCGCCTCGAGCGAACTCCGTCTGAAACAAACCCCACCCCCACCCCCTTCTCCCTTTCTTTTACCTTTTTTTTTTTTTTCTTGGGATAGAATAATGTGTATAAAATCCTCGTTCGGGAATCCTATGGCCTTTCTCATCTGTACCCGTTCTTGAGAAAACTTTTGCTATCGCTATCCGGTGTAAATGGTTCTTTTCTTCATCTTTCTATGAGTGATCAGCAGGGCGTGTTGTTGCTGTATTCTTGGTCTGTTTTCCTGTGGCTGTCACCTGTATTATCACGATACTGAATAGTTCGTCATTCTTGTCTTATCATTCGTTGATTCAGTCGACTCTCTGCACGGCTCAAAGTTGATGAATACCTAGGTAGTGAATAACCTAAGGTAGATAGTAAATAACTAGTTGTGAAGGAAAGGATAACATAGGCAACATAGCTGACTAAGTCCCCTGATGCACAGTTCACAGTGTGCATGGTAACTACGGCGTACAGTACCGTACAAATGACAATGGGCATGGCACATGCCCATTGCCATGCCGCCCAGGGTCCTGGATGGCAGCAGGGGCGAGCAGCCTACCTAGTGACCCTGGCCAAGCAACCTTCAAGCAAGCAAGTAGGCCGTGAGGTGTGGTTGGTTGGTTGGTTGATTGGTTGGTTGGTTCCCCGTGCCGTGTGGCCTTCTTCGCACCTCGTGCGCGACCCACGTGTCGGCCATGTGGTTTTCGGCGGTTGTTTGTTTCTTCACGGCGCTGTTGCTTTGCTTTCCTACACTCTTTTGTTCTGGGGTTGTAAATGGAGGAGGGGAGGGGAGGGGAGGGGAGGGGATCGGGATTGTTACCGTTCTACCTACCTAGTATTTCGAGAGGCCCGGGGAGGTAGCCGTGGGGTCTATACAGTACGTCTCGATATGGGGTTGAGTCCAGATATGTGCTCCGCTACACTCACTCATAGGTAAGGTCTACATGTCGACAGGTCGATGGCTTATCAATCATCTACAAAGAATATGAGATAAGTATTCTCCGGATGGTGAAGAATAAGTAGTAATTTGACTAGGTAGTAAGAGAAAAGAAAGTCTCGCTCCACTTGGCAATCACAGAGCGGGCGGACAAGCAAGAATCGGGACATGACACACATGTACATACACACATAACTCAATCGCTGGATATGGCGCGCAACAAGAATAAGCAGAAAGAAAAACCCTTGAAAATGCAGATCAAGTATGCTTTCAATGATGCAGGCAGCGGACAAAAAAAGAGAAAGAGAAAGAAGAACAAGGATAGGGGACATATGACGGCATACACACACATGAATCAATCGGTCGATCAATCAATCGATTTTATCGAGAAAGAAGCAAGAAGTAAACGAAAATGCATATGCAAGAGATGAAAGGAGAAATATGGGGTAAAAAACGCCTCTCTAATGCTGGAATACTGGCGGTGTGTTTCAGCCTTCTCTTCTTCGAGTTCGACAGAAAGAAAAAAGGATAAGGGGTAAAGGAAACAGGGACAAAGGAAATTGATTAGAAGAATAGGAAAATTGGTTCCCAGCATCTCTATCACATGATCCATTGATCGTTAAACATCTTTTTCACTCATCGGTCGTGATGAACGGATTAGATCGGATGATCTGGAAGCCCAAGAGGATAACCTCCTGCCGTCTGTGGATGGGACAAAGGCTCGATCATGCAGAGAAATAAAGAAAAGTCGGAGACGCATAACGTATAATCATGTCGTGTCAAGTCAAAGGTTCAAAAGTAGCAGGCCCCGGGTACGGTTGTTGGAGTCACTTTTGCTGGTCGGTCCGTGTCTCGCGAGACCGTGCCGACCCAGAATTCATCATATCTGGCGATCTTCCAGAACGCACTGGACTCCATGGTCCCGGTGCATTGCCGTCTTGGCATTGCGTCCAAGAACAGTTTTTGGCGTCAAGGACAACGATGAGGTAGGAAATAGTGTAGCCCCACGTTGATCCATTTTCAAGGTACGTCTCATGTCTCAAGGACGCGCCGAGCGGCTTGCCGACCGCTCCGGTACCGGAGCCGGAGTTGGAGAGTAAGACCGCGGGGCACCAATCAAATCCACATCGTGCTCCTGAAGGATGCTAGCACACTTGGGATCGCGAAGAAACTTGGGAACGGAGTCCTGCGAGGTGTTAGACGTGATTCGTGACCGCCAGGAATCGGTCAGACTTACGCTTGACATCAACTTAAAAACAGACGTTTGTGCCATCTCAAATAGGTGTACCACCTCTTGAAGACTCTTGAGCATGGACTCGTCGTCTCCCACTGCCTTGGTCATGCGGCTGGCAAGACTGTTCCGCAGGGCGTGATCGATGTTCAGCTCACATGGCGAGCCAGGGGCCAGAAACGCGTTGTACAGACCTGCACATATTAGAATCACCAGTCAGACAGACATGGAGAAGGAAGCTTACCGTATGCCGCAGCCAAAGTCTCCCGTACAGAATCGGGCTTCCTGAATGTGCCAACCTTCTCCGCCTTATGGTAAGCCGAGGTGAATTCAGACACGTCGAGGTAGAAAGACAGGTTCTCTTCACAGAGCGAGAAGCGCAGGAATTCACGGAACAGAAGTCGCAAAGCAGGATCGTGGAGGATGTGGTTCAACCGCGCGTTGTTCGAGTCTCGTGGGATACCCCGACTGTCGTACATCGAAGTGTCACGAGCCTTGTCCCGTGCAATCCACCCGCATACTCGCTGACCGCGTTCGGTAATTCCGTAAATAGCGTTCTTCGAGGGTTGGAACGTAGCTATCGAGTCGTCGGGCAAGTTGATGAATTGGTCTTCTTGCAGCATCATGATCAACCCGTACTTGACAAAAAGCTCAGCAATAAGAACCGTTTCCCGACGCTCAATGGTAGTCGAACAGTCCATCAACCAGTCGACCGCAGCCTTGCCAGTAAAAGTGTTGGAAAAAATCTTGTCCTTGATCTTGCGCTCCTTGGCCATCTTCACGCCTACCAATCCGTTCGAATAATCGCTCAATGAATCAGAATCAGAAGTCGAGATGCTGCTCTTGACATTGGGGCCATCCTGTCCAGCAAAGCGGCGGAAAATGACCTCGATGGTCGCTCGATCGTGTGACAGCTTGTCGGTCTCAGAATCGCGTTCCAAATTGACAAGTTGCATTGTGTTGCGCGGTGACTCCAACACATCGATCACATGACGCGCAGTGATACCGTTGCGCTGGCAAAATCTTTGCAGAATATTGATGCCCTTGGGAGTGAGCTGATACAGTGCGCCCTTGAGGGGAAACAATTGCGATGCTTTTCCATCCACAGATTCAATGAAACGAGCGTCCACGAAGCGCTGACATACTGAGCGGGCCATTTCCTTTGCCATGGAGAACGTGGTGGTTGTGGTGGTAGTGACGATACGGGAGGGATCTTTCGGGTCCGGCATGCGGTTGGATTGGGAAAACTTAAGAGATCCCAGGTTGTTGATGGCCTCTTCCGATGTGAACGAGTGATCATATTTGGTGAATCGTACACGATGCGAATCCAATTTCAAACTGACCATCAAGGTCGAAAACAAGTCCATGAAATCCTAAATTGGTTGCCGTTAATTTTTGGAAATTCCTGAAAGCTCTGAGGGGACACTTAGCGCGCGTTTCGAGCAAATCTTACCTTGGTGAATGGACGGTCATCTTCCGTCATACGCAACAATCTCGAGGATGTTTGATGCATTTTGGCGGGAGTGCTGGGAGAGTCGATCTCCGGTAGTTGTTCGAGGGGGGAAGGAATTCGCTGGATGGTGTGACGACGTCTATCGACGGCGTTTGTCGACTGGTCAGTCACAGCCGGGAACACGCGGTTGGTGGCGTAGTCGGTGGACGCAGGGCTGGATTGTTCGCTGCTGGTGCTGCTATCCGACAATGGCGGAGTCAAGGGTGTACCACCGGGCAGGTCGCTGATGCTGACCTGCGAAGCCTTGCGCGAGTGTTTGGAAAGGCTTCCAGAAGATGCCGAAGGCCTTAGTGGGTAGCTGGGGCTTCCGATGGCTGATAGATTCGCAAGAGCACTAGAAGTCTTCTCCCGGGCCAACGCAGCAAACGAGCGCCGATTGCGACGAGAGATTGATCCAATTACCGAGCCTGTCAAACCTGTTGAGAAGGGCGGAGTGGTGGTTGAAGAAGTGACTGCGCCGGCGGCGGCGGCGGTGGTGGTGGTAGTAGTGATATTGGTTGTTGTGGCGGAATGGGAGAGAGCGGGAACTGCGGCGGGCGCGGAGTTCTGAAGGGCAGTAGAAGCAGCAGAAGAGGAAGTGCGACTGCGATTGTGATCCGGGGAGGAGGGAACCGGAATAGGTACGGCAGAAGATCGGGGAGGCTGAGGGTAATGAAGGTGTGAGGAAGGAGGGGAGCCTTGGTTGAGGGGGACAGAGGATATGGTTGGCATTGAATAGTGCGAACCAGGCGAGTGGGAGGAGAAGAAGAGGGGGGGATTGTATGTATCTATGTAAGGTTGGAGCAGGGAAAAAAATTAGAGTAAAAAAAAAAAAAGAAAAAGAAAAAAGAAAAAGAAAAAATAAAAAAGAATGGAAAAGGAAAGGAAGAAAAAAGAGGGTCAAGGGCAAAAAGAAGGGGGGGGGAAAAGAGGAAGAAAGGGTGGAGGGGTGTGGGTGTGGGTGTGGGTGTGTGTGTGTTTGTGTTGTTATGGATAAGGGAGAGAGAGAAACCCAGACAGATTATTATTTCCCAACCCAATTTTATTTTAAATTCTTGAAACAAAATTGCCAATTCTCCAAAAGGTAAAATCGGGATTTTAATTTCTGTTTTTTCTTTTTGTTTCTTTTAGGAAAGCAGAGGCTTGGCTATTAGGTAGGTAACAGTACCAACAGTCAAATATTACTTGCTTTGGTGAAAGAAGTGGATGTAACCGATGGATCCCTTACGGTTGGAAGAGAATGGGGGAGGAAGAAGAAGACGAGGAAGAAGAGAAGGAAGAAGTGAGCAAGAGGAAACAGGGAAGAGTGAGCGAACGTAGTAGTAGAAGTAGTTAATAGGTAGCTGAGAGCTAGGTAGTTAAATTGTTTAGCTGTATGCAGTGTTATAGTAATAGTATTCTTCTGCCTGTACTCAATAGTAATCACAATACCTGAGGAAAAGAGGAGCAGTGGCAGTGGTAGTGGTAGCAGTAGCAGACAAAGGTGAGAGAGGGCGCAACGCAACAGCAAAACACACACACAGAGAGAGAGAGAGAGAGTGAGACCCCAGGCAGCGCCCAGGGGTGTGAAGAATCAGGCCTGTCAGTCTTTGACCCACCGTGCACGCGGATGGTTTCATGCACCAGACAACGTGGGCCAAGGGCAAAAAGGTGGATGGATCGTCCTTTGGGGCGATCAGAAAAGAAAGTGAGCCAGTAATTTTACCTTGTCGCCAGTCCGTCCTTCCCTGCAGAGTCCGTCAGGCTTCTTTGGCTCCGGCTGGACCAGTACCGGTATTTACCCGCCTTGACCTGTCAGTACCAGAAGAATCAGTTCAATGTGACGGGCGACGCCGGAAAAAGCAACACCACCGGCTGACGGACTGCTGACTGATGTATGGTTCCGAATACAGCCAGCAACGGTTAAGGGGGGCGATGGATCGATACCTGAGATTATGCATAATGCTCTGGGTCAAATCATAATCATGGGGTGCTTCATTCCTCATCATCACTTCACTTCAGATGCTCCTAATGCAAGGGGAGGACCCTGAAATGGCCCATGAGGCACAACACCAAAAAAGCATAGTGAATCGGAGTCGGAGACCTCCGTCCGTAGCTATGTATGTATAGTCTTCGGTAACCGTTTCCCAGCAATTTACCGGTCCCATACCATACGGTTCGAATACCCGCCTTGGTCTTTCAGCACGGCGCTTTGAAAGCAACGTCGGATGATCAGCAGTTTCACATAGATATCCCCAGCTTTCTGTGAGAGTCCCAGACTTGTGATTCTGGGGTCAATTGGCTTCAGATCGATCACCAGCGGTCGACTGGGACATACTTTATATTGCTATTGATGCAAGATCGAGATAGTGCCTGCCATGTTTCCCTTAGCTGCAACCTTGAATGGGCCATGGAATAACCGTCAGTCAGCTCGATGGGTTATCTCCGGTCGTTGATTGGTACCGCTCGTCATCGAACTTCCGTTCGTACTTATCTCTTATCATATGACGATGGGACCCTCCGGGCCTCGCCTAAAAAACTTTCCTGAGTCAACCTCCCCGGGAGCTGCCTCTGTTCAGTATATGCAGCAAGCCGGAGAATGGCATCCGCCATGGTCTCTCCCCTGGACGCTCCTATGGGATCTCTATAGACAGAAGCCACACACAGAATGTACAGTATGCATCCATCAATCATGATGATACAGTGGTCAGGAGAATTACAGGCCATACGACGGGATCCAGTATCGATCGTCATTTATTGAGTCATTAGCTCCGAGCCGGGAAATCCCCCAGGCGATATTCAACCATTCAGGGCGGCTCGTCACGAACACCCGCAGTAGGACTCTTGCCCACCGCAGACTAGTGTGGCCACTAGGACCAAACAGTATGTTGCTGGAAGCCGGGCTCTCTGCGGCCAGCCATTGTTACCTAGTCTACTGCTACCCATTCAGCTTTGCGGCTTGGCATGATTTTGGGTCTTGGGCAAGTTACCCAAGTAGGTAGGAAGTGTCCTTGCCGCCATCACAGACTTGGGTCTTGAGAGCTGCCTTTGTGGTGGTTGATTTGGAGTGCTGGACTGATCTTCCTTCCCACCACCCACCCCCCATCTCATTCCCCTCCCTCCCCCAGTGACTTATAATGATCATCATGGATGGTTAACCATTGCACATTGGTTTATTTGACGAGCCGCCGGCCCTCTTACTCAGTAGATGCCCTTCCATCCCACGTGGGTATCCGCTCAAGCCCAAACTTTGTTGCTCTGAACTGGACCAAGCGAACCAAGCACTTTCCCTGACGCCGATCAATACTTGTTCAATGGAGCCTCAGGCCGACGTCTCTTGCTTAGTATCTGGGGGAATGTGATCTAGCATCTGTGGTCCATCCTGGCTATTTGATGTGCGGCATGTGAGATGTGTGTATCTCCGGTCCATATCTGTGACGATCTGCTGGTTTAATCTCACCTCGATTCTGCCTGCCTGCCTGCCTCAATAATAAGGCGATCGCGGATCAGTCGTCGTCAAACAGCCTCTATCCCCAATCACAAGGGAACAACGAGGGACAAACAGTGGGGATGAGCTTCCCGTGTGGCTGTGTCGGCCAGCCTGCTCGTATTCTCGATCCCACCAGGATTTAAGTCTTATTATCTAATATTGATGCTGATGCTTCCCTTGCTTATGACTGTCTCCCGCTTTTTCCATGACTCTTCGAAGCGTCTTCTTCCTGTCCTAGCCGAGACCCCATGCCGTTCCACGTGGACACACGTGGAGAAGAGCTGGCGGCTGGGTTTAGTTTGTCTGGGTTGCTCAGACAGGCTTGGCTGTTGTCAGCCGTTTCGGCCTCAAGCCATCAACCTCTTACGATCCATCAATGCTCTGACTTACGTCTTAGAGTCTTCACATTTTGGGCAAGACTTGGGATCATCTGCCTGCCATCATTGGCTGATGTCTTGTTCCATCTGGTGTCGCCCTCCGTCGGGCGCTCGTTGCTCATATCCATCCGTGTTACAGCCGGTCCGAAAAAGCTCACCCTTAGCCCGCCGCGACTCCAGTGTCGTACGTTATTGTTCCCCATCACATCTGTCAACGGGGGTACGTACAGCACTACCGTTATGACATACATATCAAGGATCGTCCCCTTGAGATATATCACATCCTGCTATCAAGGATTTCTCTATCCACCAGCCCCATATCAATCCATCACACACACACACACACATTGTCAAACTGTTGGGAACCACCCTCTTGCCCAGCGTGGCCGGGATCCTGATTCCTGCTAGAGAGCCACTAAGGAAAGATTGGACCAACCCCAATGCACTCTGTCTGTCGTAGTCTCGTCTATTTCTACCATCAAACTGGATGTGACTTGGGCGCAAATCTCACACCATTTCGGACGAACTCGGCGCGTAGCCTGAGAACCAAAAGGCCAGACGGGCTGAAACAGGTGTCGGATCCTGTTGGGGTCTTGGTTTCTTCCTTCTGCCGCTCCGTCAATCTTGAGGCTCATCTGGGCGAGGCTAATGCGACCGAGCTATAATGAAGTGCGACGGTCTGATCGCAGCAGGATTGCATCTGACAGGAAGCCCCAGACAGCAAACCTACAGCAAGTCAAAAGCCATCCCTCCTCCTTTCGAATTGTTTCTGCCATGAGTCAATTAGGCAGTAATGAATAGCCACTGCAGTATCACACGGACTCCAGTGATAGAGTATGCGGTTGCCTACTACGTAACCATTACTGCGGGACGGGAGAAGGAAAAAGGAGAATCAAAAACCTGGCCAGATAGTATTCTAGGGTCAGTCAAGATCAGATCTTTCTATCGCATCTTGTGACCTATCCCAAGAGCTCCACACTTTTCTCTCACGAAGCGGTGAGCCATGAGGGAGGGCCCTGGGAATGGCGTAATCGCTTCGTTACTGCTTCGGGAAGAGTCTGAGGGGGGCCGAGGGCCCAAACTGGAGTTTCTGAGAAAAGAGTGGATCAACAGCCGACTGAAAGTGCGGTAAGGGCGCTTCTGTCTCTACTTATCCATTCTGGCGCTGAAACTGGACGACGCCCCTCTTGTCGCAGTTACATAATCACTGCAATTGATTCTGTTGAACTTCGTATATCGATGGTCTCCAGCAGATTCTTTGTTCACGCAACGCACAGCTATCGCATTACCTTTATCTACCGATTCTGGGTGGAGCAGACAAGGAAGACTTCGGTTTACGTCAGCTCCTTTCTGCCTGGGCACCGAAAAGAAAGAAAGAGAGCAAGGAAGGGGGCCGATTGCTCGCCTCTTAACCCTCGCGAACTCTCCGGCAGGAAGATCCTGATCCTTAGTCCTGCATGACTGACAGCGGGCAGGGCAGCCTGTATGGACAGTAAGCGCCAGGTCAGGTAAAGAATATGGGGTTATAGTGTTTTCTAGAACACTTGTGCACACGCGGTACGGAACCACCGATACAACCCTTTTTGCCCGGCCGGCCCCATAACCATGTCCACTATAAGCCGTCTCAAAAAAAGATCCCTGACCGCCACGCGAAAGAGAAGTAAAAATAAAATAAAATAAATCAGCAACAGCATGGAAACTGACAGGGATGACGATGACCCTCACTGCAGTCACTATTGGCAAGGCTGAGTCTGGAATCGGTTGTTTTGGGTGGCGCGCGGTTCCCGGGAGGTTGGGAGGGGAGGGGGGTGACCTTGTTTCAGTTGGTTCTGAAGCTGTTCTAGGGCAATTTCTCTCTTTTGTTGTTTCTTTGTTGCTTCGAATTGATGATACGTACGTGGCGTTGGTGGTGGTGTCGCAATTGCGCTTTTCTCTTGCCGTGAGATTTCTGCCCAGAGAGAAGCCCTTTTCCAAGGTGAGTTCGTCAATCAGTCAGTCAGACAGACTCGGTTTTCTCTTTTCGAGCAACTGTTCAACTCCTTGCATCAATGAATGTCTCTCGTCCATCGCATCGCATCCCATCCATGCATCTCGCGTCTTGTTTTCAACCTTCTCAGTCAAGGCAACCAATGACCAACCTGGCCAAGGCCAAGGGCCCAAGAGTCAGTTAAGTTTGCCATGTGGCTGGCACCCGAGTCAAGAAAAAAGAAAGAAAACCCCAAAAAGAAAAAGATCAAAAGCAAAAAAAAAGGCCCGGGCCAGACGCCGTAGCCAGTAATGGCATGGGCAACTCCGTACTTTTGTGATAGCTTTTGCAAGTTAGGTTTATGGGGGATCTGTGCGTATCTCTCTCTCTCCCTCTCTCTCTCTCTCTCTCTCTCTCTCTCTCACGGTTTTGCGGATTGGATTGCCTCTACTCTCGCTTCTAGCTTTTCCACACTAAACCAGGGGGCCAGGAACCTAAGAGCCCAGGGGGGGTTTCTGAAAGGATTGGAAAGGAGACGCAAACTATCCTGTCGCAATGATAATAACCGAAGTGCTTGGCCGCCCGCTTCTTGGCTGTCAAACAAACATGAGTTCATCAACACACAGCAGAGCAGTGTACCTGTGTTGTTGACAGGTCAGATTCGCCACATGGCTCTCAACTGTTCTTCATCCGCGCCCCCCTTTTTTTGGTCTCCCTTGCTTTTCCTTCTTCTTGTGCTACCTACCGGCAGTTCGGCACAAGTATGCACGCGATGTCTTCTATCTCCCCACTATACAGTCTTCGGGGTTTGCTGTGCCGGTACGGCACGGCTGATAACGGGATGCTGCAGATGATGATGATAAAGGAGGATAAGAAGAAGAAGAAGGAGAACCATGGCAGATCATCATTTCTGCTGCGCGTATCCGTCCCCTTGCTCTAGCCTCTAGCCTCTTGGCACATGGGCAGACATAAAGATCGACCAACTTTCTTTCTTCAATTCTTCTCCAAGGGTCCTTTTTAGCTTTGACCCCCTCTTCTGTTCAGACCAATGGTACGACAAGCGCCGAATTTGGCTGGGGTACGTAGCCTCCAGGCTATCGCTAGTGGAATGCGAATGATGCGGCTTCCCGAGACCGAATAAGCCTCCTAATAGCCGGGGTCATGCTGTAAACCCCGGCAGTTACTGACTAGTGAAGGATACTCAGTATCTACTAGACTAGGTAGGACAGACACAGACAAAGTTTAAACAGGTCAAACCGCATGATCAGTCGCCTTGCCCTCCCTGTCTTCTTTTCAACACTGCAGGAGGGCAGTGTCGCCCCGATGTCTTACAATCCGAGACCGTGCAGCCATTTTCAGTTGTCGCTGTGTCAAGAAGTGAGTTAACTTATAAGACACTTTGAGTAATTGCCGTGGTCTTTTCGCGGAAGGAGGAGATGTAAGATGTGTCATAACTGTACACAAACTCCTGCTGACTTCAAAGGAGGTTGTGGTTTAGACTTTCCGCTATTGGCGGGTAGTTACAGATTCTGATGTATTTTTGCTTTTTCTTTTCTTGGGTGTGCGTGTGTGCGTGTGTGCGCGTGAGTATTGGGTGAAGGATCGACGCGACTATAACACGGGCCCTTGGAGGTTATAATATAGTGCAAAGGTGATATGCACAAGGCGAGTTTTGGTGGGGGAGCTTAAAGTGAAGCTAGTTGCGGTATTTGGATATCGGTGTCAGGTGATTCAGCTTGCGGGACTGTCACTACTATTAGTAGATATATTATACTATAACCTATTATACTCCATAGTGCTCGTACGGCGTGAAGAACGTGAGACCAAACGGACTACTACTGTGGTCTGGCACTGCAGGTTATCTCGGCTATTACAGTAAGAGGGGCGCAACCTGTACAGTGTACGTATGTACCTGAATCGCGATTTGTGGAACAGCTGCTGCCGTCACCTACAGCCCAATGAAGTAGGAACCCGAGCCTGAGTGCAGCGAGTTTGTATACAAGCCGTCGTCGCTCTATCGACATTGTATCTATCACTTTCTCGGCTAAGATTACCCAGATAGAGACTAATGAATACAGCCTAAATACATCGAGCTAAAGGATCCACTTACCTACCTAGTGCGTACCTGGAGTGCCCGCAATCAACTCAACACAGCAGAAACGACCGAGAGAGAGAGCGGTCAGGATATCACGCCGCACGGGGCAAAAGACTTTAAACGGAAAATGAGAAGCGGTCAGGGAAAAGAATCTGGGCTTGGAAAAATAGGTGGGGAAAGGTAGTGGATCCCCGGTGTTTTTGTTCTCTGCTCTTGACCTTGGCAGATAATGGGAGTGGTTCAAACTCTGTTGGGACTAGCTTTGATAGAGCAGTTTGTGTTGTTGTTGTTGGTTTTTTGTCGTCTCTTCGGGATAGGAAAAGGTATCCACTGGTTTTTTTCTTTTTGTCTTTTTTTTCCCGTGTGTGCTGGGCCACTGGCAAGTTCCAGGTGGAGTGTTTATTGGGCTATCCCGGTATGTATTGGAGGATTTCCTACGTGCAGAACAAGACTTGAGTGCGGATTTTTGGGTGATGCGGGTGCCACGTGGTGGACAGGTTGAAGAATGACGAATTGACGGGATACGGGAAGAAAGAAATCGGTGGAACACCGCATTTTGTCGGAGGTGAGACCTGGTTGGTGAACATGGGAGGTAGTTTGCTTTTTTATGTCATAGATTGTGGCAGGATGCTTGGCTCCGAGTGGAAATATTTTCCTTCAAGGTTGAAACATATAAACTGATTGAGGACCTAGATGGGCTGCCTGCCATCTTCGCTTCGTGATGTGGAAGGCCGAAAGATAAGGTACCGTGTACGCAAGCCGCGGAGAGATAGAATACCCTATGAAATTTCAATCAAGCCGAGGTTACAACTATTTACTTTTGATGTGCTCTAGGAGGCAGAGACCAACTCCGGTAGCTTCCTAGATCTGTTCGTCAATTTTGGACAAGCCCACTTTCACACTTTTGAGATCTGTGTGGGAAATTTTACGGGTCGAGGCGGGCTATTCCGCCTTTGGGCCAGCGATGACCCCATCTTAGACTTTGGCCGGGTTGCCGCTGGACTCTCTTAGTCCTGGGGACCGGAGGTATTTGATATTAGCGGGTGAAACAAGCGATTGATCCTCGTAGTCTCAAAAGTTGTAAAAGGTGGTCGACATGGAAGGATCTGCGTGCTGAGTAGCGCTCAGTGCAAAAGGCATCGCATCAACCACACCAACAGAGTCAAGGGGGGCATTTCCGCGATCCTGATTGGGCGGCATAGAGGTTGGTTTCCCAGTTTCCTTTGTTTCGGGTTCGAAGCACCGAAGGACTGGGACTGAGCCAAGTTCCGAGAATAGATACCAATCCCTGTTCATCACGAACTATATGGGGGTTACGGATGGTTCTGTCACCCCTGCAGCTGGAATGTGTCTTTATCGAGAGACTGGGCGATGCTAGGTTCCAACAGCATCGAATCCTGATCCAATCATAGCCAGTTGACGTGAAGCTTCATTTTCACCTCCATGACTCCGTGTGTCACTATCCCAAGCTCTAATGTCCAAAAGTATAGCCCGCATACTCTATTTCTGTGGGCAAGGTGGCTGCTACCTGGTCAGTACTGAGAGTACTTCCGCTCGATACCAACAAACAAATAAACAAACAAACCAACAATTGTGTAACAACGCAAACCCAATCCGAACTCGCTCGATCGACGAACCCACCTGGCATCATCCACCTTCCTTCTTCTTCACCACTCCCCTCTCATCCGTCAACAACGTGTTCTTTCCCAATGAAGGCAAAGCTCCATGAAACCGCGACCAAGAATTGTCCGATCCTCTATTCCATCGGCCCATCCAGACAGAAGAAAGGGAACAAGAGTGACCAATCTAGAAAAGGGGTGACGGGAAGTAAAAACGTAAACAGAAGAGACAAAACGGGTGAAGATCGGTCCAAGTGGCGGCCGATCGCGTAGAAACCGAATGGAACAGTCATGGAATCCTTGGTACAAACCTACCGTTCATTATGGGGCGGTGGAAAAAGAAGCGCCATGATATCATATATTGGAGACTAGCTTGACTCCGTATCCATGGTTTGATGGAATGAGTTAATCTATATTGGCTGATGGGAACTCGAGGATCAGGTGATGTGTTCGTTTCGCCCTTGTTCAGCGGAAAGCCTTCTTGTTCGGCACTAGAAGGATTCTAGAAGTATTCTGGAATACGCTAGAAGGAATTTTCTTTCTCTCGGTGGATCCGACTTGCGCCCCGCCCCTTTCTCCCCCTTCCCTCTCCCCCCTTTGACCCACGGTGGTACATCATGGCGCGTGGGGTCGGTCTTATTGTCTGATGTGACCCGACGGTTGGAATTCGGACACTCCGTAAGTATTCCGTACATACATGTGTTCGGTGTGGAAATCCACCATGGTAGACTTCGCCTAATCCATGTCCGCTGACGGGCTGGCGACGTTCGGTCGAGCCCGGCTGACAAGGGAGGGAGAATTTTCCGCCCTGGACCGCGATTGACGGCTCTAACGGCTGTCCCGACATTTTGTGATCCATGGCAAGCTAGGGGATATTGGATGTGTCGCTTAAGCAAGGGGTGAGAAAGTCAAATCGACTGTAGGTCGGACTTGGCGGGTTTCGTTACTCCACGGCTATACTTGTGGTCTGCTTTTGGCGCTTATATCGCTTTGCCAGTTATTGATTGCCGCATTCTGTGGAAAAGGAATCGAAGTATGCTTATGGCAATCAGATGTGTTTTCCCTTGTGAGGAATACTGGACCGGTGGGACACGTCTAATCGTTAGTTTCGAAAACCCTGCTCTGGGGTTCAATTCCACGTCACTGTACAGTTCTGCGACTACTGCAGAAGATGTTTTCTAGAAGCAGATCAGGCGGGGGAATATTAACCTTTTCCAAGATCGTAGACCTAGCTTTTACGACGTAACTCTTATTTAGCAAGCTTTGTCATGAGCAGCGCGGGGACGTGATAGAAGCGAAGCTACGACATACCAAATACTTCCTCGGACCAGATCGATCAATCATGTCCTTACTTGACGGACCATGGCTACTAAAGAAGCAGTGACGGCATAGAGATTGACTTCCTCGGGTGTATGTACCATGAATTCGCCAGTAATACTCCAATATTGCCAAATAAATCGCGCGAATCCTAAGGGAATGGAGCTTCCTGTATCCGGTCCCTGCCATGCGGACTCAGGGAACAGAGCTTTCTCTAAATGTCTATAAGGGTAGACGATCCATTGACAAAGATGTTAAATGGTAGCAATTGATAATGCGTACGTTTCAGGTGCTCTGGCGGACACCCACATGACATTCGCTATAGATTTAGTCCGA